AAGATGTCATTGAATCCACCCTCAGAAAAATGGTTGAGCGCCCTGTGCGGCGTGTCGGACCCCGCGACCAATAGGGCAGGTGGGTACCTCTTTCTTCGTATGACCAGACATAGCCCTGGAGAATATTCAGAAAGTCCCTGGACCATGTCGATACAAAAACGGCTCCTGGCCTAAGGTTTTCGAAGATCTTGAAGCGTGACTTCTGGGGATCGAATCGTTAGAGAATGTGTTCTCCAGGAAGATTAATAATAGACTCAAAGCACTTGTGTGTCGTGACTGTGGGCTTTCTGGATCGCTGGTTTGTGAATGGACGGAATGGAACATAGCCCCAGTCGTACATAGCCTCATCAAATGTCATCCCGCCGTTACCTTCAATAAGGTACCCTCAGAGTCCCCCGGTTGTTGGAATCGGGCCTCTGTGTGATAGGCATGCCTCACAAAGCATGCCAATTTGAGCCGACTAATGCGACAAGGTCATTAGTATGCACCTGTATTATCATGGCTTGTCAGCATCAACCCGTGGCGATTCTCGAAGTCGGGAAAGAAGAAACAAATACGTTTTAGTTTTATCAGCAAAAATATGTATGATGTAAGTTTAACGTTATAAATGTTAAACCAATTACGAGACGGATTGGTGAGGGTCCGAAAAATTCGAAGTAGATTCCTTTGCTTTCTGCGTCTCAGGGAGGGTGCTAGTTGGGGCATCAACGTCCACCGTCGATTAAAGTACTCAGGAAGGCGAAAGGTCCCCAGGGCTTGGTGCTTGGGAGGAATGGGCAACCCAGGTCTGGGTAACCAATGCTAAACTGTGCGTGTCTCCACGAGACCTTTTTGTATGTATGTCCCTTCGCAGAAGGCCGTTTCGCTCCATCGATAGGAACCGGGGACATCCAATGAGACTTTTCTATTCTGTTTCACGGAATTGCCTGTTCGTCCCTGTTGTTCACGAGGTGGTTCTATTTTCGGAGGCGGACGAGTCTTAATCCGTACAAAAAATGCGAGCGTGGTGCATCCGCTTAGTAAACGAAGAGCAAGCAACTAGTCGCAAAAAAGTCCTCTCGTATGCATGGGCTCCGCTCGCTCATTTGATTTCATCCGAAGAGCTGGATGACTATGGGCATTTTTGAGGACGGATTGTAGAGGAATCAAGACCTAGTCCCTGATCGATATCAGAAGCACGCATATGTACCCTTTTCGTACGAATATACCAAAAAAGTGAAATCAAGTCCTTTTGTTTTTTTCGCTGAGAGAGGGCTTTTCGGGTTCGGAAGATCATGTGCACAAGTAGAGGTACTTTCAGTGTCCCTGACTCCACCCCATTTTTTTTGCGAATGAGTTTTGATGTGGAGTCGAGTGACAGCATCAATTGAGCCTGCTCGTTTAGCTTGGCCAGGGTTATTCGGGAACAGCAATCGAAGCAGGATGGAAGAAGCTACAGAGTAAGGTGCTCTTCTCCAGGTTGCTAAACATAGACATGGACGGAGAATCTACAGGGGTCAGGGAGAGAGTTTGGTTGGAGTGTTAGTTTAATGGGATGATTTGATCGATATTCTGATGGTACTTTTCTTTTCTTTTCAAGGGGGTCAATTATGATGGTTCGCCCATGTTCCAGGCCGCTGTCAAGAGAAGGGAGAGCAACATCCTTTCTTGAACATTCGCATAGGATAGAATGGTGGCTAGCTACCGAAATCGGGTGAGATTATGGAATTCAAGGGTAAGAATAGAAGGTCAAATGGAAAGAAGAGACGAGGACGTGGATTGAGGCGCGGCTGTCGGTGTCTTCTCACGTTAAAACATACTGCGCAGTCAGTAAGTCAGTACGCTATGTGGGAGATTTTCTTTTCCTCCACCGTCGTTAGATCTCTGTTATGCTTTTGGGTTCCCCGTAGTATAGCTGCAAGACCTATATGTGAGCGATAGAGCTGCTAGGGCTTTTGCTTTTTGATGGCCGGGTTTCGCAGGAGTCGACAGGGAGAGCTTTCTGGCAATAGGGCGTGGGGCCAAACGAAAGGGCTAAATATCTGCATCTGCACTGCGACTTTGTACCGGTACCAGCGAGCGAGCGCAAGTGACTGCTTTGATGCTTTCCCTCGAGACTATGCCTTTCCTTAGCTTTCCCTTGTGATGCATATGCAGAATAGACGGCCATGCTGCTTGCTGCTTGCTTGCTTGCTTGCTGCTGCTCCTAACCAGCCAGTAGCAGCAGCAGTAGCAGCAGCAGCTAAGTAAGTCCCTAGGTACATACATATGTACCCAAGAAACTTAAGAGTATACTGTGGATACTGTGTATATGGATGGTATCGTCAGTTAGGGTCCATCTGCAGCGGCACCAAACCGACGGAAAAAGAGCAAGAAGAGACGAACATACGGAAGAAGCAACCAATTCTTCTGAAAGCCCCCCCAAGCAAACATTAACAGCCGTCGTCGAGGAGAAAATGCCAGAGCGGGAAACCTTAATCCGCACGAGCCTAGGAAAAACGAAAAAAACCGTGAGAACCAGGAGTAGTCTAGTCTCGTAGTTAGTTAGTTCGGTGACCATTTGCCAGCCGGAGAGAGAGAGAGAAGAAAAAATAAAAATAAAAAATAAAAAATAAAAATGAAAAAAAAGGAAAAGAAGTACCGTACCAAATACAGAGGGCCGGTACATACCCCTCCCTCCCCGTTTGGATCCCGCGAGCACATCGCAAAAAATAGAACCCGCAGAGACAGACACGATCAGAAGGAAGCCGAAGGAGGCAGAGTTAGCTTGTTAGACCGAAAGATCGAAACATCGTCCTCCCACTCGCTCCACCCAGCACCTGCTCTTGGGGTCTCAATCCCCCCATCCCTTCCGCCTCAATCGTCATTCGACCCTTCTCTGGGGCCTTTTACCCACACCCCAAAAAAGCTCATATAGGGCGGCTTCCCGCTTCCCAATTTTCTTTCTTTCTTCTATTCTGGCTCGGTGCGTCACTCGTTATAGTCTCTCGTTTATACTAGACCGGTGTTGAGGAGGAAATCAGTAACAAACACTATCAACCAATTTTAATCTCACCACAGCTCTCGAGCTACCCACATCCGTTTATATCATCACAAGCAGGAACGCAGCATAGCAAGGCAAACGAAACCTCAGTCCGGGTATCCGGTAACGCTAGGAGCCTTCGGCATTCCGTTACATTCGCTCGTCGTAATCGATCCGGATATCTCCAATCCGTCAACTGCCCGCGGGACATCAGAGCAGAACAGAACAGCCCTTCGAATGATTGGAAGGCGGCTACGGTAGCTAATCGCATTAACCGGCTCATCCGCCAACAAAACTGAACCAAACATTATTGGGCTCTCGGGCTTCAATTTCGACACTCGCTTGACCAGAAGATCTATCTATCTATCTACCTATATCTATCTATCTACCTATATCTATCTATCTACCTATCTATTTGATCTACCTATTTATTTTACCTTCTATCTACCTACGTTCTTAATATATACATACATCCTTCGATCTATACTTTTATCTTCTATTTTTATTTTTATTTTTATTTTTATCTTCTATTTTATTTTTCTTATCCAAATACACTCTGATCTGTTCAGTGGATACCTTTTTTTGGATTACATCAATATTCCAAGGAGGATATCTCTTCAAACCGATCCGTTTGTTTTAAGCTCACCGGTCTTTCATATCTAAACAGTACACTCTCGCCTCACTAGCAATGACTATGGCCGACTTCGATTCATTGTTCGCAGACAACCTCAGAGATTTCCAGCCAGTTATGATGCAAGCTCAATATACTGGCCGGGACAGCATTGGGAGAGCCAGAAGCTCGGGGAGTCTAGATCGGTCCGGCAGGTAAGCAAATACCATTGTCACTGCTTTATTATTATATTTTGCACGTTTTGCTATGTTACGTTACGTTACAATCACGATCTACCACTCTATCATACCCATATGGTGCTCGTTGCTTCAGAGCTTGGACTCGACGATAAATTCGAAGAGAAAGAGAGAGAGGGAGAGACAGCTTGAGACCTCAATATAGGTCTCAGACCATCAAGGTTTTTCCGCTTGTCTTTTCCTTTAAGTTTCCCGATCAGTCGTTTGGAACCCATATTTGGGCCCTTATCAGGCGAACCGGTTTTTTTTTGGGAAGCAAAGTTCGACGAGCACATTAAAAATTTCCCATTGTTTAAAAACTCCTCCATGGGCTCCTTGGGTCCTCACCAAGATCCCGGCCCGGTTCTGCATCCATGTGCGGCGGCATACAGGCACGATTTTTCAAGTTTCCCAACGTATCGTGCCGAATAGATCGCCAGGGGCGTCTGTCAGAAGCAATCTACCACCCTTCGTTTTTTTTTTTTTTCCTCCCTCTTTACTTATTTTTTTCTTTCTTCATTCTACAATTGTCACATCGCTGCCCTGCCCTTCTCATCAGATATTATATTGCACTGTGCCACTGTCCATGAGGATATTCTTGTCAAGACTCAGAGACATGTCTCCCTTTTGACTGCATGCTGCTTTTATAATAATATATCCTTAAATTGCCCTTTTAATATATTTCCTATCGCATACTGTATTATTATTATTATTATTGCTCCTACTACCTTTTCGGCCCGTCCAAAAGCCCTTCCTGTCAAATTTGCCCCGCAAAGTATATACCCCCCCCTCCCGTCCCCACAAGCAATCATCTTCCCTTTTTTATCCACTTCTTTCTATCTTTTTTTTTTTCGTGGCTCGGGTTTCAAAGTATCATCTTCGCATGGTGCTGCCGGGCTGTATGCATTTCGGCGCCTTCTGAGCCAAACGGTGCCTTGGTCGACCGGTCCCTCACATATCAACATTAATTTCTCGCCAATCACAACCAATCCTAGTCTAACACCACTCCTTCCTTCCTTTCTTTAGGTCTTCTTCCGCTGGCATACATAAATCCCAGCCGCGGGCTTCTTCCCTTCAATCCCACAGACGTCAACACTCTGGTGGGACTTCGACTTTAAATTTTGCAGCCGGTGACCCTTTCAACGAAATCAATATGTCTGAGATGTGGACCGACCATGGCATCTCGCCCAACGGGTCACCGGGTCCTATCGACTCCGTTCCCTTGCAATCAGATCAACTTCTTTCTTTCCGGTCCTTCCAGCGCAACAACTTTGTCATGCTAAATCAATGGGACCAGCCTGTTGGCATAAATGTAGCGGCACAGCTCCATGGAATGTTCTTCTTAGCGGAGAGTCCATGGGATGCCAACAGTGGACCATCAGTCCCTGGGTCTGCTACCCTTCCCAAAGAATTAACTTGCTACCGACGAAACCTCTTTCAAGTTAGCGGATCAATTCATCTTCCAGCGGTTAGCTGTGTCATTGTCAGTGAAAATGATGCTGAAATAACTGCGGAGGATATCCAATCCGGACAACGCCGAGTGATCCAATCCCTCGAGGCAACCATCGGCGGAATTGAGAACGTCGAGCACAATGCTGTTAAAATTATCACGGTACCATGGAAGAATGCCGCAACCGCCCCTGCAGCCGCTGCCGCCCAGTCAACTGGTCAGGCTGCAGGCAATCCCGACGAATATCCTTCAACTGCTGCCACCACCACCGGCAGACCCATGGAGAAGGAACCAGCGCCCCTTTCTTTCAACTATCCTGCTGCATACTATGCCAACCCTAATGGTATCCAGCCCGAAGATGATGAGGCGGATAGTTTAAAGTGGCAGATGAATTGGAAGCGACTACAGTTTCGCAGTGCTACGGCTAACAATGGCCGAAGGAAGGATCTCCAACAACATTTCCTCGTCAAATTATCGATTTATGCAAATCTTGTGACCGAAGATTTGCAGGGCGTTCCTACCGACAAGGTCGAGAGGGTCCTCCTTTGCGAGGCTTTCTCCGGAGCGATCATCGTGCGTGGCCGTAGTCCACGAAACTTTTCTAGCCGAAATGATATTCCCTTGACTGGAAGCGCTATCGTTAGCTCTCGACACTCCCATAACAATGCCAATGCTCAAATTACATCGGCCGCAAAGAAGGCTCGTCATATGTCATCAGGATCACAAGAAGAGGAGGCGCCATCCGAAATGATGTACACGCCAGACTTCGCAGGACAATATGCCGACTACCCAATTTTAGAACAATCTTTCCAAATGCCCAACGACATGAACTTCGATTACTCTACACCCTCCGCTTGGATGGATCCTTCCTCTTCATTGTCGATGCTTCAGTCGCCAACAGGCATGATGCAACCACAACAACAGGGTGCCCTTTTCGACCCAAGCGGATCTTACACTAACCTCTCTGACCCTTCTGGTTCTCGCGTGAATTTGGCTGGCATGATGTATTCGGAAGAATTCAGCCCTGCTGCCACTCAAACAATGTTTAGCCAAAGCATGCCAGCTACCACCATGGGAGCTATGGCCCCACCTTCCCTCAGTCACCGATTACCTAGACCCACCAACAGCATGGAAAGCCCTTCCATGGACCTTCTTTACGAATACTTCCCGATCGGCGTTGATGACTACATGCCCCCTGTGGAGGTAGTTTATCGACCCCACAACGCCCACCACCTCACCCAAGCTCCGCCTAGCAAATCTAGCGGCCGAAGCAAGCGACTATTCTCCGAAACTCCATTTGAATAAACCTTTTCACTCCGCGATATTCGTTGAAATATCATTCCTTATCTTTTCGGGAATCTCGAATCGGCGATCCTTTTCTACGTTTAATGACGGAACCAGTTTTTTTGTACTTTACTCAGGCGCATTCTCTGCATGTGGAGTTCTTGTTCTTTCTTTTCCTCGTTCCTAGTAGCGGGTGTTTACCCGTACAAGACTCCTTTGTAGGTACTACCTACTAAGGTGTTTCCCTTCGACCTGTGTTCTTGTTTCAGGTTCTTCTTTTATTAACGATTTTTGGCATAATTGGGTTGGAACAATTGGGTTACTTTCCTTAAAACATTTACTGACTGCATCCTCCTTTGCGCGATAATCCCTAATTGTTCTTCATTTTCACCTTAACGAATTCCCCTTGGTCATGCCCAAAATGAATGGCAAGTTTGTCTTTTTTCGAAATCATGTAAACCGGAGTTTTGGGGGGTGTTTTTGAATTATTTTTCCGTTTTATATACCATACACTCCTTATGAAATGTAATTCAAAATGGCAAAAGATGACTTTGTGCATCTCGGGGAGGAAGAGAAGCGTGGAAGCGCTAGCTTTGTGGGGGATATAAAATGATATTTTTTGAATAATCTACATTTCTCTTGTACCTCAAGACAGAATACACGCCTGCTTAAAGAGAGTGCAATATATACTTAACTTCGAATTCCTATATCAAATTTAAACCGGCAGTTAGTCTTTCCAGCTAGTAGGCCTGTTTCACAAGTCGGAACCATGTCCCTTACAGAATCTGACATTGGTTTCACCGACAGAGATAACAGTTGGCAGATTTTCACTCCCAATACGAGATCACTATATTCAAAGTCCGTATATGTACCAGTACATCTGGACTAACCTTATTTGACAGGGCAGAGAGATCCGTCTGCCCAGATCGAAATGTGCTCGGATGTCACCCTACAAGCCAACAGGCGAACCGGGTACCTCATTTAATGTGTCTTAAGATCATTTGCATATGCTTGTCTCGGGATGGTACAGGATGGCTTTTCGTCTGATATTTCGGTCTTGGACAGCGGGCAGATGCAACCCTATATTACTTAGGCATGTGTATAGGTACTGCATATTGTGGGGGTGGATAGGTAGATATGAGAGAAACCAAGAGCACGTGTTGATTCGATGGTGTATTGGTAGGAAGACGGTTGTGTTAGCGGCTCATGCTGGAAGTGCACCGCATCGTTAACTTGGCTCTTATCACCGGGTCTGTGAATTCAAGCTGCTACAGTAATATGGCACTGAATCTTGCATTCGGATGTACTTGTCCATGGAACGTCTATTCATTGGAAAGGCAATGTAACTGGCTACGTATAAAAACACACATTCAGGGTCGGTACGCCAGAGAGTATTAATTCCGTGATGTTGTTGGGATGTGGCGGGAAGTGTGTTGCTTGGATGTTAGAGAGCCTCACAGAGTGGGTGGCTTTCTAAGTCAGTCGAACGATCGAGAACTTCAAGACCTGTTGTACAATATAATATACATACACACGGACGGAACAAGACGAGCGTCTTCAGAGAGAAAAGAAAATTCCTTTCAGCCGACGAAGAGGTATTTATCGATAAACTTCGGGAAACGGTGCACAGCAGCAGCGAACAAGATTTTTTTCTTACTTTTTCTACCTTTTTTGTTCAACCTGTCTGTTTTCTCCCGTTGCTGGCCACATGCAGGCGGTTTGTCGGTGTCAAGCGAGCATGCATGCAGCCTCACCCACACATTGGGGGCAAGGGTGGCTCGAGCTTGCCGGCCTCGCTTTGACGACTTGCTTGCGTTACATCGGGCAAGGACGAAAGCAAGCTGGGTAGCAGTCAGTTGGATATGTTTCAACTTTTCGTTTGGCTGCAGTGCTGTTGCATGCCATATGCCATGGCCATGCAGTGCAATAACGACCCATCCGCACCTGCAGGGAGCCTTGTTAGCCTTCGACGACAGCTTGGGTTAATTATCGATAGGAGATTTGGATTGTGGAGTGAATGCACCGTTATCTTGTTAAAGGAAGGTGGGTTCATACGATTGTCAATCCTTATACAAGCTTTGAGGACAAGATCTCGTGCTGACCTCTTTTTTCTTCAGGCCGGATGCACGTCCCTACATTCATACTACGATGAACGGAGGAGGTTGCTGGCCAGCGCACCGTTACATCAAGTTTGCGGGAACATCGCGAAAAAGCAACGTCAAGCGAGAGGACCCACTTCGAATACCAGGGGCTCAATTCACGATCAGAATACATCATGGTTGAAAGATCCCATTCAACGTTTTGCTACACAAGCTTCGCTGGTCTAATCAACAGGAAGGCCAAGCTTTTGTTCAACATATGGGTTCCTCAAAACGTCGGGAATGTTGGTGCTACGGTAGTCAAAATACCAAGGATCATGACAATTCCGTTCCCCAAGCCAGGATACGATTGAGGCGTCGTCACTTCTGGAAATAGGAAATGACGGCTTAAACGGTAGCGTCTCCTGAAGCTTTCAAGCTATGGGAAGAAAAAGCGACCAGCGAAACCCTCTGCCATGCCTCTCACGATCCCCACATCTCTTCCCACTGTTACTCTCTCTCTCTCCGATTCAAACTTCACGCCTCTTTTCTCGAATATTCACGTAAACTATTCCCCTGGGTCTATCTGGCGCAGGAAATACGAAGGGTGTGAACGCGCGCTCCTATCCTCCCTTTGCAATCGATCCTACCCAACGAGTGCTACACCACCAACCGGGCTTAAACTCACGTATCCTACCTCGTCTCCACACCGTAAACAGCAGTTCTATTCCTCTAGCCCAGGGTTAAACCGCCTATCGGCAGTCCTTTTTATGCATTAACAGTCAACCAGCATTTCCCTTGCTCCATCGTCCTGGTACCATCTGGCCCCACAGCTACTCTCCCATAAGGATAGGAAAACCACCATTGGATTTGTGGGTCTGACGACATTAAGAAAAAAAAAAAGCGAGAGAGAGTTCGGCGTGCCAGAACAACAGTGTCTGGCGACTGTGAAGTTTTCTCGGACAACGGGAAAACAACGTCGACTAATTATGGTGATCGCCTCGACATCGGTTGAACGTCTTCCGTTACTTCGAAAGCCCTGCAATTGAACCACTCCGACTGCGCATTGCTCGCTACCTCTCGCGCCGGGACCGTTCCATCTGTTGCCGTATTCTAGCCTCTGTTTAGAGTGACCTTTTTTTTTGTTTTTGTTTTTTTTTATATCGCAACATTTGGTTGAATTTGCGATTTCTGATTGTTTTTTATTTTTTATTTCCATATTCGATATTACGGAATGATCGTTGAGGGTTTCATATCGCCAGGAAAAACAAGCAGAAATTAGACAAGGTCTAGCATAAAGCCCCTTCGAACGGCTCTCGACTTTTTCCATCCGACTTCATCTCCCTCCCATCTATCTATATAACATATTGTTCTGATCCGAATGTCCTTTGGGGCTTTTCGCATCGTCGCATTCAAGTTCCTTTGCATTTCGTCATCAATATCAGACACAGCGATCGTCCTGTCAAGGTAAGGCGGCAGCCAGGGTTGTTTCTCACGATATCCGGATATATCAAGCAAACGTCCACCCGAGCGAAAAGGAAAACCCGAAAAGTCAAAATCTCCAAGAGGCGAGTTACCTCTCAACACCCAAGACCTTAAATACCGGAGACGGTGTGCGTCGTTCCATTCGGGAGTTGCATATTCGGATCCCTAACGGTCTACACTCGAACCCTGCCGTTGCATTTGGTGCACCAAGCCGGGACCTTTACCTTCCTTGAACAATCTTGAACAACCAACCCGTTTTCGCCTCCCCAATTGGTCTTCGGATCGCCATATAAGCTTCGACTGGTCCAAGGCCCGGGAATTATTTTTTTTCCTCTTTTCGCTTTCGGCTTTCGATATAAAACTCAAATACTCCTCGGGGTCTTAGCTGGAATCACACTATCCTGTCGCAGCACAGCGTTGATTCTAACCATACCAAGGGTCACCGTTCGATATTCGCATTGGTTTTCCATATATTTTGACAACAAACAATTTCCTTCCGAAAAGGATATAAATACATCTTATTCAGTAACCTTATAACCCGGCTCACTGTACCTGGTCAAGCCGCGACGGCTACTTTGGGCAAGGGTTCTATTCAACCATTCCAGGTTCGAGGTGTTGCCGAATACCACCAACCTTTGGCATCTGATCACATTCAACGACCGAGAAGCTTGCACAACTTGCTACCCAGGTACCAGGTTTTTTATTTTAGAATCTTGGGGCGCACTTTTTTACGGACCGCACGGGTTTTCAATATTGAAATTAATTTGCACGCCTTATACCAATATTTCATATCACGACTCCGAATCCCCAAATCTCATGGGACTTATAGATCCGAGCCTCGATTCAACATTGTTCACATAAAGTAGTTTAACTGTTGGAGCTTCGTACGTTGAAGGAACTAGTAGCCTTAACATTACGCCAAGATAATAAGAGATGGTGAAAACACCGGAATTGAGTGCCCTCGAGGAGCTCCTGGGGCGTGAGCTGTTGGCGAATATCACGCCTGAGGATATGCAAAAGATATCCACGAGCCTAACAGTAGCATATGCTACTGGTTTGAAGGAGAGTGTCGCGTCTATGCTCCCTTCCCACATCTACTTTTTGCCCAGTGGTCAAGAGACTGGGTACTACCTAGCGGTTGACTTGGGAGGTTCTACCTTGCGGGTTGCTATTGTCCATCTCGAAGGATACAAGGATCCAAGCCTTAGAGGAAGCCCGATTGACCCGTTGAATCCAAGGCCGATGAACATTGTCCAAATCAAGTCGTGGGGAGGATCTCATATCGATCATCTAAAAACTCTTACTGGTAATGATTTTTTTGATTGGATTGCGGATAGGATAGGAGACGTGGTGGAGGAGAAATTTGGGAATCGAATGACGAACGAGTTGCCTTTGGGGCTCTCCTGGTCCTTCCCCATCGAGTACGATCCTTTCTTTTGCTCAATGGCTCGAGTCTATCTTAGCTAACTCCCAATTTAGGAGCACATCAATTGATCGTGGAAAAATTCAACCTATGGGAAAAGGGTTCCGTGTAGCTAATAAAGAATTGCTTGGGACTGACTTGAAGGAACATTTCCAAGGAGCATTTGAAAGAAAGGTAAGGTTTTACCATTAAACCTAATCTACTTCGGTACTAACTCGCAGGTATATCTCCATTAGGGTCTTCATATTTCAATGGAGGCTATTGTGAACGATTCACTTGCAACTCTTCTCTCCCACGCCTATGTTTCACCTGCTACTCGCTGTGGGCTCATTCTGGGTACGGGCACCAATGCAGCTCTGTCGTTGCCCCTAAAGATGCTCCCAGAGTCGAAACTTATTCCTTCACACGAAAACCGCCCCAGTAGTGCACAAGAGGTTCTAGTCAACACTGAACTATCTATGTATGGGCGTGATATTCTTCCTATAACGAAGTGGGACGACGCACTTGATAAAGCGATGCCTTTACCTGGGTTTCAACCTTTGGAATATCTTATTGGAGGAGCTTATCTGGGAGAAATTGCCCGGTTGATAATTTTAGATGTTCGAAATGAAAATCTACTGAACCGAATCCCCGAGTGCTGGGAAAAGAAACCATATTCTCTAGGAACTGAAATCCTCGCGCTTTTAGAGTAAGTATTCAACCCCACGGATATTTTAAAGCTTTGGAAATGCTAATTCGAAATAGAGATCGAGTTCACGATCAACTTCCAACAAATTACCACGAGCTCAACAATGAGTATCCTGATGTGGCCATACCCGAACACGATGCTTTGGCTCTGAAGACGATTGCTCTCCACATATCAGCTCGTGCTGCCAATTTTTGCGCGATCTCCCTTCACGCCATAATTAAACTCCGAGAGAGAGCTGCGAAGAGTCCAAGCTCACACCCTACCAAGAATATTGTCCCCATCGCTTTTGTTGGCACAGTCTTGGAAAAATATCCTAGTTTACTGAGGAGGACCCAAGACGCGCTCGACAAACTGACAGACTGGCAACCGACGAGCCCGCTACAGAGTCAAAGAATCGTATTAGAGTTTTCCGCTGAAAGCGCCATCTACGGTGCCGCTGTCGCTGTCGCTGCGGTCCTCGAGAAAAAAGTCAACCCCCCAGTTTCGCCTCTTTCACTAGCACCTCCAAATCCGTTTAATGCTCCCCGACCTCTAAGTTTCCCTTCAAATGAACGTTCCAGCAATGCTAGTACCTTGGTGGGACAAGGTTCAAGTATGGAGGAAGAAACCAAACCAAATGGTAAAAAGGTATCGGGAGGCGAAGTGAATGGGCTAGGAGTTCCTCCTTTCAATAGCGCCCGGAGTACAGACGGGCCTGATGACCAGGCAACGCCCACTGGGGGCGCAAAGAAACCTTTATGGAGCCGAATCAAGGCATTTTTTCAAGGCGTCTTCGGAAAGATGCTCAAGAAGCGTTCAAAACAAGCTTGAATGTGTTCGGCTTCTCATTTATGCTTCCCGATATATTTCATTCCCCCACTTTACTTTCATGAAATCACAAACCCCTTAATGAATTATTGGCGTTTTAATCGATGGTTTTGTTTTGCATTTGTGTGCCGATACTATTACCTGGGACATTTTCTACATGCGGTCCCGTGGGAGTAGGGAGTGCACTTCTGGTTCCTTTTCGGGCATTTGAATTACCGAACTTTTTCTTCTTTTTCCCTCCTGTCCTTCCTTTTTTTTAAGTATGGGAGTTACGGGCTCTTTTTTTATATGTTTTCCTAGAGGCTCGTTGGAGGTTCGGCCTACATGAGCGTGCTGTTTTCTATTGAGGGATACCAATTATATTTTTCCGGGTTTTGTTTCACAAGTTTGTAATATTACCATTCAGCTGGCGATACCCTTGGTTTGGGGCTCTTGCAGTGTAGGCTTTTGCATCACATTGCACTGCACCCTTTAAAACTGTTTACCATCTGCCGATGTTCGGGATTGCAATTACCAATCCGTAACCGCAAAAAGTTATGATACCTCAATTCTATTTTAGATCCGTTTATTTCTTTTATGGTTGAATTCCTTGGTTTACTTCCAGCTCCCTTTCTGAAAAGCATCGTTTTTCGGGTGTACAAATCTGCTTCATAATTTATTAACACGTCTGTATATACACGCTGACAATTCTGAGATTGTATATTGACACTCATTTGACATGATTATATGAGTATTAATTGTGCTTGCGTAGTTTCTCCCATAAGTAAGGTTTCTGTTGCAGAACCATAGCACCCTGTATATAACCATTTATTTACGGAGAATACTAATACCGAACAGTATGCCCCAGGCCTAGGCCCTCACGCGCAATAGAAAGCAAGAGTCCTTACCCAATTGTAAGCTCTTAGTCTAGAACCTAGAAGGTTGCGTATCGTGAACGCCTCCATTACGATCCTGGAATGGCATGACAACATTCTTTTCGGAAGATCCGTCTGCTCTCGCTTGCTCGGCGGTGTTTGGCAAGCCACCCGGCTCTCCAACGAGTACATTATCGGGCTTGGGCATCCCAACTGTCCAGTGTCTTATTTGGACCCAGATGTTGGCGACTTGACGGCGGAAGAGGAGGAGGAGGATGATGCCTATTGCGGGGATTACGGCTAGTAGTTGAGGATTAATTGGCGGGAAGTTAGTGGCTCATGAAAAGTAAGATAATATGTGAAACGAAATTCGATATATAGTGTGGATAAGGCGCTTTGGGGTGTATAAGAGCTACGTACTGACGAGTGAAACTACTATTGCTTTGTGCTTTGTTTTGGGCTTTGTGTAGTGGTCTAGGTCTTCGTGGTCGAAGTCCCTTTTGATGAACATTTTTTTATCGACGCCCTCAGTTCTGGGTAAGATACGAGTGTGGGTATAGTTCGAACAATAGGACTAGTTAGGATGGATTCGTATATATATTCTGATCGGTAATAAACCGACTATAGTCCCGGGCTTGAAATCTCTCTGATAGCTAGCGAACTGATAATAGTTAAAACGTATTTATGATATTTGACGCGCGCGACACCGGTGTGATCTGGCCTTCTTTCCCCGTGGCATGTGCATATTAATTCGCCAGCAGCCCATAGATCCAGAAAGGGTAATGATAGAACTAACTCAGCCGAGACTATATGATTCCGGCGCACCAATTGACGAAATAACCAGCTCAAAGTTATATATCGCGAAAAGGAAATAATTTTCAGGGACAGTAACACTACAACCGGGGTTCTGGATTTTAGGTAGTATGTAATACCCATATGGTAGAATATACATTTGAGAAAGAGTAGAAGTGATGGGCGTTTTTGTGATATGAAGCGGCTGGACTGTCTGGCTATAGATTATATACTTGATGTCGAGGTGTACTAAATATAGCAGCTTTAACAGGATACTACGTTAAGCCTTGCTCTAGGCATATATAAGAAATACCTTGGTCACGAACTAAGTCTCACCTCAATTACATATGTGACAGGCGTGTACAGTTGATCATTTTGATATCCTTGTGAATCGTGACATGCAAGCTCGTTGGAACTATGCGTGTTGTATTTGTTGGATGTTACACACGTGGGTCTCGGTTCCAGGCAATTCATTTAGCATGCAATTGGGTGAGGCTTTTGACCAGGCCTGGTAACGAATTAATTTACCCTGTCTAATATCATATCAGAGCACATCATACATTCCGGGAGTACATACCGAACCTTTTGTCCTGCTAGGATTCTAAATTTGCAAGAGTCTCCAAGCCAAGACTCGAGTTCATTTAATCCTCCTCCACATCCAAATAGACACGTCGACTTTAGGCATCGATGCGAATATGCATATATGTAAGTACCTCCTGAAGTTGACATTCGACCTGGACTCGACCGGGATCAAACCTCCAATCCAACTTCGCCTAATTGGTCGAAGTGTCTAAGATTTGGGTCCGCAACGGCTTCCGAAACGACCGTGAAAGGGAGTCTAAATTGAAGAAACGGCAAGCCTTCCCTCCTGGCGACTCGCGACGCCGGACCCACTTCCTCCAAAGGTAAGACTTTAATTCTGGGGTGACCCCCAATTGCCTCGGTCTGGCAACCTCTACTACTTTTCCCGACCATCTTGCTGACGTGATCGTCATAGCGGACGTTTCTTTGTGCTTCAAAGCCAGGGCAAAACGTGGGTTGGTCTTGGAAATGCAAAAAAATCCGTAATCCTAAGCAGCGTCTGCATCTACAGACTCATCTGTGTGGCACGGCAGCTTGGAAGGCCGAAAAAACAAGGTTCTTTGAACTTCCAGACGGAAGACTACGTACACGGCATTAGCCAAGCTGGAGAAAAAATGTCTTGAATTCAAGCTTTGAGGTGGTGTATCTGTGGTTCAGGGGCTAGCCACAAAACTCGCCTCTGGTACCCGCGCTAATTAATCGCAAGAAAATCGACGAACTGGACCCACTTTTTTACCTCTGAATCTCTCAACTTTCCGTGCGGGCGAACAATGCGATCTGGAAGATATCCAGTAGAACGCCGCCAATGCGAGGCCGAAAGTGGGCTCATTAACACCCGTCGCGTCGACGATGGCTCCCTGTTGGATTTCTGACACACGCCTGCTATAGCTTCGAATATAGGTCAAATTTGCAGCTGCGCAGTCTAATGCAGTAGCCCAAAAACAGTCGATGAATACAAAAAGTGAACAGCCGACATTCATGGGGATCCTATGCAAGTGCAAGGTGTACAGCGAAATATGCCCAATCAGCCATCTTTGTTGGCGGGCTACTGGTAAATCCTTGTGGGTTAGTGAACATGAATATCTGGCTTCGACCGACAACCATGCCGCTGGGTCAATTTTGGAAGTTCTCGTTCCAGCCGAGTTAAACCCCCAAGCTGGTCTGATACATCGACGGTCGACCGGTCGAAATTCTAACTGGTCTTGAACAGCTGTAAAACCACTCAAGAGGGACCCTGCAAGCTAGACCCCTGTATATCTGCGGCACGAAAAATTGATATGATAGTAGTGATAATGGATAAACTAGGTACAGGTGGAGTCGCAAGCTCCGTACTTTTTCTCACCTTAACCCAAAAAAATACATACATAGGAATAAGAAAAAAACGCCCAAAAAAAAAGCTGGGAGTCCCGTCAATTGGCAATGCGGTCTTCTGCTCACCCTTGAAGCACTCTGGCTTGGATACGTGCGAATTGTGCGATTTCTATGTCTTGCTCGGCCGGCCGTACCCCTAAATCGCCAACATACAAGGGATTTGGAGAAAAACAGACTTGTGGCTATAAAGATCGAAGCCAACCCCTTCTCCTCGGGGAATTTCTAACAGCTTAACCTCTTGTGACTTTCAATTCCTTCTGTCCTTACAAAATCTTTTAGTTTTACATACTTTTTATATTGCGAAGTAAACGATAATTCAACATGGCATCCGAAAAGGTCGACGTCGTTGTGGTTGGCGCGGGTGAGTCGTCGTTCCCCCCAGTTCTTTGGGTAGTTATTGGCTCGTGCGCGTGCGCCGACAGCCTATAATTTGTTTGCTCGACACCACTGCACCTTGCATTGGTTCAAGCGCTTGGAGATGTTTGCTAAATATTTCATTGTGGTTCAAATTAGGATGGTATGGTCTTTGCGCCTCCAAAACATACCTTCAAATCAACCCAGAAACAAATTTAGTTGTCCTCGAGGAAGCTTCATCTGCGGGTGGTGTATGGGCGAAACATCGCCTGTACCCCGGATTGAAGTCTAACAACCAATATGGTCTCTATGACCCTAATCTCGGTACATACGAATACCCGGACTTCCCCATGAAGCCCTTCGGTGTCACACCCGGAACTCATATTCCTGGCGAGACCATCCACGAGTATCTTAACGCCTACGCTAAGAAGTTCAACGTATACGACAAGATACGATTTGATAGCAAGCTATCTTCTGCTGAGTACCTAGCTGAATCTAGCCAATGGCTTTTGACAATTGGCGGGCAAGGCGGGGTGACGAAGACTCTATTGACCGATAAACTTATTATGGCTACCGGTGTTACTTCTGAACCATTCCTACCTCTACTTGCGGGCCAAGAGAACTTTGGACGTCCATTATTCCATGCAAAGGATTTACTTCAACACTCCGATGAGCTCTTGAAGAGCAGCAAGAACGTTACAGTGTTCGGCGGGTCCAAATCAGCATGGGATGCCGTATATCTATTTGCCAGCAACGGTATTAAGGTTAATTGGGTGGTGCGAGCTAAGGGAACTGGTTTCTGTTGGATGTCACCTCCGAAGGTTACGCCAGCAAAGAAGTGGATTGAGAAGCTCATCACAACAAGATTCTTGACTTGGTTCAGTCCTTGTATTTGGGATGAAGCTGATGGTTATTCCGGTGTCAGAAACTTCATGCATGGTATGCAGGCATCCGTTGATACCCGCACTAGTTCGAGACCAAACTCGTAGGCTTGATACTGACATCTCCGATATAGGAACCGCACTGGGCCGAGGAATAGTTGACACTTTCTTTGGAATCTTGGGCAGCGATGTCCAAGCTTTAAATGGATACGACAACCACCCTGAAACGAAGAAGATGAAGCCTCTCACACAGTAAGACTTTTGTAGTCCAAACTCAGAGTTTCGGGTGTCACATAAATGTTGAAAATGGCTAACGTGTGTCACTTCCAGGGCTTTCTTCATTGCCTCGACCCTTTCCATCTTAAACTACCCAACCGATATTTTCGAATATGTCCGTGACGGTACCGTTACCATCCATCTCAAAGATATCGAGGAGCTTTCCCCGGGAAAGATCCACCTCAGCGATCCCGAAAAGCCAGAAGAGAACACAGTTATAGAAACCGACGCTCTCATCTGTTCCACCGGCTGGAAATATAAGCCCCATGTCAAATTCCTCCCTGAAGGCATCGAGCGAGATCTTGGCCTTCCCTACGTCAACAAAGAAATTCCCGACTATGCGGATGAGGAGATTGTTAAGAAGGCTGATGCCGAGATTCTAAAGAAATACCCTAGGCTGGCAAATCAACCAACTATCAATGCTAACTACGAAGCCCTTCGTGGTGGCTCGGAGCATGATGAACTCAATAGACCGTTCAGGCTATGGCGTTTAATCGCTCCACCAACCAAAAGATTCCACAACTCCATCGTCTTCTGCGGTGCCCTCATGAACCTCGATACCTCAATTACTGCACATATCCAATCCTTATGGGCAACCGCATATTTGACAAACAAGCTTAAGCCAGTTGATGAAAAGTCCGAGGAAGACATCAACTGGGAAGCTACGCTTTGGTCTCGATTTGGTAGATGGAGAACGTCCGGTGGATTCGGAAGACGGTATCCAGACTTTGTTTTTGATTCAGTAGCCTACTTCTCGCATTTATTAAAGGATTTGGATGTCGAGCCGTTGAGGAAAACGGGGTTGTTTAGCCAGGTCTTTTATCCTTATGGGCCTGAGGATTATGTCACAGTTGTGGACGAGTGGCAAGAGAAGCACAAGGCGTGATTTCGAAGGGTCGATCTTGGGGTAGGCTCTATTTAGAGCAGGCGTAAATATGTGGTGTAGCGGGTTGGTTTTTGGTAGTCTCCCCCACCTGCTAGGTTCTGGGCTTGTGGGTCTAGTTTCTTTTGTTCGATGTTCATATTTGAAATCTTTTGTACATTGGTTCTCTTGAGCGTGCTCAGACGATGGTATATTGGTGGTTAGCTTTCTGTTTAGGATGGTTGGTAGTTTCTTATTATCTAATGTCTTATTGAATCTCTTATTAATTGTAGGACGCTTTGCAGACCATGTGCCCATAGTCGTTCACAGCTTTTGCTGTATATTTGGTAAGGTGTAAATCGTGTATTTAGATTAAACGACAGAACATTAACCCGTGGCCAATTGCCCAAGTAGCTCTGTCTGTCCCAGAGTCAGAGATGGTTAGGAACGGCGTAACTACCATCACACAATTCTCAACCCTGACTCCGTTTACTGCATATGGATACACCCAAACGCTAATTCTATGATGAAATCAAATATCAAACAAAAAAAAATGCAGAAAGGCACCGCTGTAAAAGACAAAAGGAACCCAAAAAAAATAAAACAGTGGAGAGGAACCGGGACCAGCCTAGTTTCGATAAGCTAGAAGAAATTAATGGGGGTAAAATCTCGTTATTCACGAATTTATCAGGCTCAATGCAAGTTAACGCCACGCTTCGAGTAGTGTGAATGTAATGACGGGGAGTTGGGGTGAAGTTGAGCATATGTGAATCTTAGTGGCATGGCATAGGGGCATAATGCTGGGGCGTAGTCTATGGGTGTAGTGTAAGGGCGTAGTGTAGGGGCATATTGTAGGGGCAGGGGCATTTTGCAGATGGGGTGATATTCTTTTCGAATATTAAGCAAAAGACAAATATGTTAGGAGGTTTCCCACGACTTCAAAGTTGACAGTATTTATCGTGGTTTGTGTTATACAGTTGTGAAGCTTCGATGTTCGCAATTCGAGAAGCTTCAAGGAGGCATGTGAAACGGAATCAATGCCAGAGCGCTTCATCATCGGGATACTCCCATCCTTTGTAGACACGGTCCTCGCCTATCGCGCAATATGTTAGGTTCACTCCCATTTAGTATTATTTTGGGGGGTTTAAAGGCTATTCAACTCACCTTCGAGGCCGAGCCATTCCTGGCAACGAACCCACCATGGGATATTCGGTTTTTGGAAGTCCCATCCTTCACGGGTAGGGATATCTTTAATGTTGTCAAAGATGGATTTGCCGGGCTCAGCGATCTCCCAATCTTCTGGCCATGGTTCTTTAACAAGCTTTGACCCTCCTTTATTCCAAGTGGTTCGATCATTGTCGGAGATGCATTGCGCTGAATCCTTCTCTTCGGCGACAATCCCGAGCTTTGCTTGCTTCTCGCGGTCACGGTTGCGAACGAAGGCTGCAAAGTCGTATTTGTCCTTTTCTCCGATTTCTTTGGCAGCCTGGGTTAACGATGGCTTTTTCATTTGAGTAGTCTTCTCGTTCGCCAATGCGAGAAGCTCAGCGACTGGAGCAGGTTTCTCTTCTTCGATGTCAGGAATCATCTTGGCTGCAAGGGTAACCTCTTTCTCGAGACCAGCAAGCTTCCCGTTCTCTGGGATCTTCAATTCTCCTGAGGATTTTCCATTATCATTTTGGGTAGTCTTGTTCTGTTGGCCCCATTGTTGCCCGTTCTTCTGGTCGTCGTTGGAATTGCGGCCATTGTTTCCCCATTTTCCTCCCCCACGTTGATTTCCACGTCCTCTGTATTGCCCTCGTCCGCCATTCTGTCCGCCCCGTCGGTCGCGCTGGCCGGCGCCGCTTTCATTTCCCCAACCTCCGCGTTTATTCTGGCCCCAGGACCCCCCTCCACGGGATTGCTGGCCTTGCTGATTGTTGTACTTTTGGTTTTGACCAACATGAGCAGCATTCGAGCCGCCGGCGATGTTAGCCCAGGTATTTATACCAACGGGGTTACCTTGAGGAGCATTGTTGGGGCCCTTATTAGGGTTGTTGACGTAATTAACCGAGTTTAGGGCGGCCTTTTGGTTTCTTTTAGCAAGTTCTGAGCTTGATGGAGGGGTGAGACCTTGTTTATCGTTGCGGACTCCGGGTCCGATCCACTCAACGGGACGTCTCTGAGTACGATCGCGGTCAGCAAGGTCAAGTACTTGGCCGTCACCGTCCATTTCTTCGACATCAGGAATATCATAGTCGAGACTCTGGACGAATCGGAAAAGGCGGATCATGCGAAGAGTTTCAGGGACCGGAGTCTTGTAGATCTCAGCATGCCATTCGATTTGATCGAATTTGATATAAATTGGCACGGCGAAGTCGATGAAGGTATCCCATTCGGGCATCGGGCGTCCGGTTTTTGGGTCCTTGTAGATTTTTTGAACTGGGAAGTTAGTCCCCTGAAGAGGGCGGAAGCGATTGTCAATTCGCTTGTTCTTAAGTTTGACAGTGTTTTCTGATGGAGAGATTGCAAGATATGTACGATCAACTCGTTCAGCACGTTCGCAAGTCTTGTTGAACGTCATAGTATATGGAACTTTGATGAGTGGACTAGTATATAGAGGTTAGATTACCTTTTCTTCACTTGAAAGCCTTGGAAGAGTTGTGCTTACAGCCCAATGAAGTGGTTTTCATGAAGGGAAATCGCCATGAAAGGGGCAAGTGTGATATCTTCGGGAGCATCAGCACCTTTGTCGACTAGAACAGCCAAGTCATCTGCATTTAGCCATTCCATGTTAACGACATCTTTAGTAGAGCCAATAATCGATCCCTGCGTGGAGATTTCTGGCCTTCCTTGGTAGGCGAAGCAAATACACCCCGGCTCTAGACGTTCTTTAGGTGCCATTCCTGTCTGTAACTATAGTGCATAAAAAAATCTGTTAGAATTGCCACAAGGGTTAAAGTATATATGAGAGTTCCCTCAGGGATTCAGTGGCATCGCAGGTGGAAGAAGGTAATGCTGAACTAAACAAGCACTTAGAACAGGAGCGTTAACTCACCTCGTTTTTACAAAGGGTTTATAGGTTGAGATTTGGAAGGGTTGATGAAGCAACGGTGCAGGCTGTTGCTGTTGCTGTTCGAGGGGATTCTGGCCGAATCGCAAGAATGGGAAGGAAAGGAAGAAGAAGAATACGAGTTTGACAATAGATAGAGAAAAAGATATAGAAAGAAAAGGCGAAGGGGAACGAGATAGCAGAGTGGGTTGAATGATTTCTGAATGCTGAAGGGAGAGTGGAAATAGATTGTGATGAAAGCAGAAAAGGGAGGTTGCTGGTGGAGGAAGAATTTATATTTGCAACGAGAATTGTTGATGTTGAATGAAACTGCACTAAAACGTTTGTAAGAGTCGGTCTCGAGGATATCAGAGCAACGATCGCGATGCACGGTCTCTGGATCAATAGAGGGCCAAGAAGAGATACTTACAAGATGCTATGCGAGGTTCTTGATCAGTTTGGTTTTGTTTCGAGTCGTTATGTTGTTGGTGATAGGAAGGAGTGAAGTTGAAAAGGAATGGAGAAGGAAAGGACGTGATGTTGGATTGTGGGCGGTCCTTGAGTTGTTGTTTTCCAAGTTCAGGCACCCTGTATCGAGACGCACTACCTAAGGCTACTAGCATACTGAGGATCGCGATGGCTAGCCTAAATTTAATATAGCCTTATTCGTCCTGAAATTCAATTGGTTGTTGGTGCTGCATGTAGGCCTTTATCGTCGAACTTAGCCCTTGAAGCTATTCTACACATATATTGGATCGCATTTGCAATTAGTTCGTACATATCGATAACCTAATACGATATATCACTGAATTCATGGAGACACTAAAGGTATAGCTTTCTAGCGAACCAGAATCCGGGAGAGTAATCCAGAGCACTTGTTCTTTTGTACCCCGGCTCGTGCAAAGGTTAGATTGCACTGGCAGTGTACATAAATACATGAAGACGGATGTATAAATACTGCAGCGCGCAGCGAGATTTCAAAATTGATTGCCAAATGATACATAGTATCATATTTTCATTGTTCGCCGATATAGCAATTAAGTACATGCAAACGACCATAATTGTCGCCAGGCCGTCGCGATATCTGGGGTATATAAATTAAGCTTAAGGAAAATTAAAAAAAAACTTCCTGTGATAAAGACTGAAATCAATGACTCGCGGGCCTCCAAGCACACCATTAAACCAATTCGTAAAATTCAAAGAAACATTAGAGCAAAGAAAGGTTGTTTTTGTGATTATGCAAAATGATTTCCACTAATGCATATTGCATCTACAAACGGAAGCCAGCGCCGGTGCTTGGTCTCGAGCTCAACTCCTTTCCTTCTGGTGTCTCGGATCGAGATCGAGACATACCATCATTGATAACTTTGGCGGCTCCGGCAGCCATTCCGACGAAAACCTTGAGCAAGCTAAACAATCCGATGATAAATGGAATAAGCTCGACGGGGGATCCGAGGTTGAATGTGAGGAAGGTGTTGCTGTACTTCAGGGCACCTTCAACGGTAGCGATAAAGGCGGCGGTGATGACAAAGATGATAACCAACAAAGCCCCAGAGACCCAAGCGTACCTCTCCTGTTGAAGAACACCACCGAGAGCGGAGTCTCTGTGAAGTTTGCCTTGGAGGGCCTTGGAGAGAGTGGGCTTGAAGCCGTCGTTGCCGATGATGTTGGTGAGGTAATAAATCTCATAACCAAGGGTACCAGCGCAGGCAAGGCAACCAATGATCATGACAGCCTGGGAGAAACCCATGAACCAGTGGTAGAGGTGGACCTTCCAGAAGAAGAGGAACTAAGAGAGTAGATGTTAATAACAACCCTAGGCAATATAAAACACTGAATCTAAAATAATTTTGGTTACATACCAGAATCTCTTGTGTGCACCTAGTCATAGCGGTGAACTTGTAGCCAGTAAACCAGTACCATGATCCGAACATAAAGATACCGAGAAAAACAAATAATCTAGCGATATGCCCAGCTCTGGTGACTTTGACGTCCATGTTGGGGGAGGTGATCAAGCAAACGACGCTTCCGATGCAAAGGGTCAGGAGAATGAAAACTTCAATCCCATCCAATGCATCCATATTGGTAATTTCATAAGATAGACCACTGAAGATGGCGATTTGAAACAACGTATTGATACCGCGCATCGAGGAGGCAACCGACGGGACGAAGAAGTTGGCCAAGATAGTAGCAAACCATTGAAGGTAGATACCAACTCTGAGACCAAGCGGATAAACATGAGGGTTTCCCATGAGGAAACATTCAGCACCAATTGGTGTAATGACCTTCATAGTGTCCATCTCAGCCCATGAAGGGGACCCGGCCGTCTCATTTACAATAGCCCTCTGGGGCTCGCTATCGTATTGTGGCAATGGTGTCGCTATTGCAAGACCGGCAACCGCCAAGAGAAGGAGGTTTCTGTAGGTGGAAGACATTTTTTTTATATTTAAATGTGGATACCCGATCCTATATCAAAAGAGCAAAAAAAGGTAGTACTCGAGTCGAAGTAGTATATTGAAGTCGATGGAGGCTCTAGTTATCGTAAGGTGTGCGTTTTCAGAATTTGTGCAAGGTCGTGCAAGCCGTTTGAAAGATATCGACTTCAAGCTCAAGGTAGTACGTAAAAGGAAATCAACTCCTTCAAGGTGAGAATGGAAATGGGAAAAGGAAATAAAAAACCAAATACAAAACTACCACGAAGCGAAGTTGATAAACTAATGTACGATAATGCAGTGGAGGGGAAGAGTTTCCGTTGCGTCTAGAGCATGCGATAGGTTCTTTATATCAATCAAGATCAGGAAACTTCTCTAATGTAGATTACAATTATAGAAACAAATAAACCCGTTAGCCTCTGCCGCCTTGCCCTGTCGATATATCCGGGTGCTCCTGGGAAGCTTGTCCAGCTGGATCCACCATTATTTATCGGTCTTATCATTGGCTAAACGGAGGGAAATTGAACAATTCGCAACTTTTCTATGCAGGAAATCCCATTCAACGTTTGGCTACCAACCGAGTCATACCACACAGCAAGCCTCTTCCGTATCCGAGTTCATGCAGCTATGCCATTTGCGTGTCTTTGCAGGGTGAGGCGCTTCGAATTGAGAATTGGTCCCCGTCCCAAAGACATCCTAACGAGCAATTTCTCATCAGAGGCATCTCATTGGGCCGGGACGGCAAGATGAGTGGAGGGCCGAATTCCCGGGCTGGGATAAGCTTAAAGATCGACACGAAGAGGAAGGTCCCTTTCCGCTGATAGGGCAGCACGAATCCAAGCTTCCATGTTAGCGCGCGACTCTTGGCTTTCACTGGTGGACAGGCTGGGAAAGGCTGTAAGCTATTTTTGGTGGGCGCTTGCTGATACAGACAACCAATTTAGGCAATTGTCGAACTGCAAACATCAAAATTACGATGCGTTCTGAGCAATGGCGACTGTCTTATATTGACTTCAATACTATTCGTCTCTTGATGTTGATATCTTTTGTTGAAAATAAATGGAAAGGAAACAAAATAGACCAGGAGAAAGCTAAGACTGTTATCTTATTCGAATCTTCCGCCTTCAAAAGTTCCTTCAATTTCCAATTCAGTCGTTTCGTATTACAGCTGCTCTTTTCTGTTTAAGCTACGATCGGCATATCAAAATTCCAACACCAACTCAATGATAAGCGTGTTGCCGAGTTTCCGGGCGGGTATGCGAGGCTTGCCGTCAATGGTGGAGTTAGCGCCTCTATGTCGTGGATATATTACAACGTTGATATAAAGAATCCGCCGAGGCTATTGTTTTTGTCCATATACATGGCTAGGCTACACTTTCTAATATGTGATATCATTTCCTCATTTTAGGCTCACCCGTATAGTATATAACGTGGATGCTCTTGGACATGGCGTGTTACAAAGGCAAATTGTCCATGCGATCCGTGTAGCGACGTAGCAAGCCTCGACCACTTACCGAACCTATGTGACGCAAAGAATATGTACCCAATGCTAGGCGAGTGTAACTTATGATGGAATTTCAGGCATGAAAATGTACTCGTTTCTTACAAAAGTTGCAAACTTGTACCTACCAACTTTGCGGAGTGGTCCACGGTAGACTCGAGCCTGGGTTCACAGCATGGAATGACATGGGTTTTATGTGCTGAACATCTATTGATGCCACCATGCACCACTTACCAAAAAATAGGCCGATAGGCCATATGCAAGCGGTCCCATGTCGTTAGATACTAAGTACATATAAAACCATAATGTTATGATTTAATTTCGGTGTGACGTACATGCCATTCTCAGCTATGATCGATGATCGCTAATGGATTTAGATTATGCAATGGAAAATATTTATTTTCAGAGGCTTTCTGGTCTCCAGAAAACATAGGAGTATTTAGCGATTCCTTTCATGAATGCTGAGATATCTGTGGGACGTCGGTCAACCGTAAAGGCAGTTTAATATTATTGCAACATTTGGAGTTTACAGGAACAATTTAGACAAGTTTATATATACGTATATCCACAACAGGTCTTGGCTTAATTAACCGCTCTTATATATTCTGCGCACTTGGTGCTACGAACATACTCTGCGTAAATGTTCTTCCATTTCTAGGTGCAGCATAAGTATAATCTAAGCGCTTCTTAGAAGATATCGGCAAGAATAGCACTGCAATGATTCTCAATCCGAGGAAGTGAATATAGGGATCATCTAGCTCCTACCTAGCCTCATATAGCTTCTAGCTTTCCGTGGATGGTTGGAGCAACTCCAACGTCCCCGCTTTGGATCTTTCGGGATAAGGTATTATTGATATTAATATTGGGATCGCCAATTATAGCTTACGGTTCTCTATCGCCTTTGTGGACCACGCGAATTCCTTGGGACTTTTTCGTGCTACCACACCTCCTATTAGCTAACTCCTGATCATACACTTGTCAAAATTCAAGCCCCTTTATATATAGTCCTGACTTTTGCACGATAGCTTTCATTCGTATCAAGGAGGCCAGCCCCCTGTGGGGTTAAAATTTTTACCTCCTAAGTGAACTCAAAGTTCAAAGGCGACATGCGATCAACAAATTACAGGATATCGCAAATACTACGTCTTATTATGCTGTACTATCGGAGTACTTCGATCGATTCATGGAGGGCATCTCAAGGACCTGAACTCTAACACTCACTCTCAATATTAATATATTTGACGCGGCAACCACTATTGGCTAAATTCTCTTATATCAACCCCTCTCCACGTACTTCCGCATGTATTTCACGACCAGCGTCTGCGCAGCTAGCTGCGGCCGCCATTTATCCGTGTAACGTCTTTCAACCACGGACACTGGGCACCGGCCGGCATTGTGTAACAAATCAAACGAGGTTGATATCCGGATATCTCTATCGGGCAAGTTCAAACCACCACTTCTACACCCCGCGCACTTTATAGCAATTACTCGCGCGCAGATATATAGCTCTATATGAACCATACGCGCTGCACCATCACAACGGATCCTCGCATATCTGACACGAGAACCTATGCATGCATAAGAGAGCGAAGAAAGCAAGGAAAGAACGGAGGTCCAAGCCTAACGAAGAGAAATCCCAGGTCGCTTTGGTAACGTTGTATTTGAGAATGTTAAGAGTGGTTTGAGAAATAACCACGTTCTTAAGTTAAACCCTGAAGGGACGGCATCTCCCATGACAGTGCTTCGTATGCCTATACGGACCCTAAACTATGCTAGGGGAAATAACTTTGAGCTGACAGTTCAATATTACAATAGTTCATGGCTACATGTAATTGTCTATTCCTTGATCCTAATGCTAGTATCTTAATGGCATAGCTATATTAATTTAACATTGCTCTTAGATGCTGGTACTATAAGCGCCAGTATCTGGTGACTTCCGTCTACTTGCTTATAAGTTTGTCAGAATATATATTACGGAGTAAAGGCAAGTTCCATCAGGCATCAGTAAGACCTTATATAAAAAGTACCAAGTACCTAATTAATAATCAAAGTTCAAAAAAATCTCTAACTCGGTCTGATACTAGTGAGCTTCCTGAGGTCCGAGTCGGGGTCTGAATGCGTCCCGGAATTTCTGGACAAAGCACTTTACTGGTTAAAAATGATGGAACTACCCAGTAGTACTCCCAAGCTTCCGAATTCCCCTCCCCAGCGAAGCCCGTGCACAGATATCGAGGGTTGCGTTCTCCACTGAAACTACCGTCGGCCAAACGGCCCCAAAAAAGGCAAAGCCTGTCCGAGTGGCGGGGATCCACCAGACAAACGGTACGCAGCTGCCTTAAACTCCCACACATCACAAAATCCCACAGATACATAGCGGAATATACGGTCTTCCCAACGGCTGGATGTACTCCGGAACAAAAAAAAGAGATTTTTTCATGCATGGGGATTTACTTCGAGAACTGTTCCATGTCTTGGAAAAAAGATGGCCCCTTTGTGTTTCTTTCTTTTTGCTGCCAAATTTCCCATGAAAAACCCGACTCGTGGGATAAGATTACGGCGGTGAAGGAAAAAATATCTCAAGACATTTTCGATAGTATGTAATTTGTTCATAGGAGTCCATTCAGGCTGGTTTCAAACCTTATAATGTTTTGCTCTGTTTCTGTTGGACCACGGGCTCGGGAAGCACATGATAGAATTCTGACTGGAATACACCAGAACAAAAAAATATGAGACATGCATCTCGCGAAGATCCAGTGTTATCTTCGATGGAGCAGAGATGAAAAATACAGACGAATGGACTCAATTGAAGTGATACTATTTGTCAGAAAATCATAGAGCCAAGATGCTCAGGACTAGCTGCGCATGAAGGTCTAACGGGTTAAAGGATAGCAGTATGATACAACACAAAGGAAAGATGAATTTAGGTTTTGGGGCTTGAAAAACCGAGTACTTCTTACGTAGATGGCAAAGAAACAGAGGATTGAACCAGGTGGACTGCTCTCCATAGGATCCGTCGCAATAAAAGTAGCATAGCTCTAATAATAGAGTAACAGAAGAATATATAAGAAAAACGATAAAAAAGGAAAACTCCGTCGAATGAAGAACGCCAGTGATCCACCATTAATCCAGCACAAACTTTCTCCAATGATGATAGTAAAAGGATATCTAGAAATATTGCTACAAAAGAAACAAAATAGAACATAAGGATATAATGGAGAACTAAACTTTTGTGACGTCATGATGGGAATACCTTTGAGAGCTTGTATTGCATCTCAGATCTTCTGGGCGAAGGCAAATGTTAGTCCGAAGCAGGTATTTAGGACCTCACACTCGTGCTTGATGGCTTTGTTCTGCCACCAGAGTTGATCACCACCGGAACCGTTCATGATGGGATTGAACCCTCTGTAAAGCTCCTCATAAAAATGTCTCCCAACCAGAACCATAACTCTTGCAGCGTCAGGATCAGGTCCTTGCCCACGAGCTATATTCTTTAGCTTGGGGTTGAACGACGCGGGAAGTGCAATTCTACTCCTCTTGACGTTATCAAATCCCGTCTCTTGCAAAAACCCAAGAACATCATCTGAGGGCTTTATGGCATAACTGTCCTCCAGCATTTCACGAACAATCCTAGCTTCAAGCCATTCGCGGAGGAGTTCGCCTTGTTTTGTAAGTACCGGGTCAACAATTTGAAGCTCGATCCAACCACCGGGGCGAAGGACGCGGTTGCACTCTCGCAGGATGGGAACCCATTCAGACAGACGAAGAATACTAGGGAACGATTTTGTGGAGATTACGTCGAAATAGTTGTCTGGGAATGGCAGGGGCGAGTTTGGTTGTGGGAGGAATAATGCATGATGGTTGAGGGGCGCAGACCATTGACAGGGCGGATTGGAGATATCCTGAGAAGAAACAGAGTAAACCGTGACGTTTGGATACTTAGCGGCGAGGACCCAGCCATCAGCTGTATATATATTATTAGCTATTGAGATAAGAAGAAAGGACATTTGAAGTTAGCTTACCAGCGGAACCATGCAGATGTAATAACCGTCTTCCATCCGTAATATGTGCATCTAGAAGGTATTCGTGGGCATCACTTTGAAGGGACTTCCCGAATGTAAGCCACTCAGCAGCCACCAAAGCCCAAAGCCTTTGCTCAAACGCAATCTCTTGCAACATAGTGTTGTCAGAATCCTGAGCACTATTGCCCCAGTCTTCACTTAGCCGTTTGAACATAATTTTCAGGCCGGCATTTTCCATCTTTTGCAGAGCTGCGTGGAAGCTACTCCTTCCGTGCGCAGAGGGTGGCGCTTTTTCACTCATGCTTCTACTGGCAGATCTCATTGATGGTGGTGGTTTGCTATCTATTGGTAGATGGTGCGAGTAACCTAGCGTATCGTATGAAGGTAGGCCTGCGGTAGTAGGGGTATTTCCACTGTTAGACATATGAGATATCGCCCATTGGTGCTGATGCAGAGTCTGGGTCTGGATTTGAGTCTGGATTGGCTGAGGCTTTGGATGCATGCGATCCCTAGTACCGGGCCTAAATTTATAATTTGTCTCATGTTCCGCTATGTAGAAGGATTGAAGCGAGTGGTCAATCGTTTCGATCTGCGATTGATGCGAATCACTGCCACTTCCCATCGACGCAATCCTTCCGGAATTTGGTGATGAGGGCGAGATATCATCGGAGCTGCTCGTCAATATGGGTCGTAGATTGAAGTCTGATGCAATCCTCTGGTTTGTAGTGGGAAATTGACGGGTGCGATGTGCGTTAGGGCCTTCAAAGGCTGATAGATTATCTATGTCAGTGAAAGCACAGACTCAAAATAAGACATGTAGGTATAGATAACTCACTGTCTGGGGTTGGGGGTACGGGGACGCTCGGTGGTGGCATAGGAGGTTGCCGTGAGATATCATACTCCGACGTAGGTGGCGTATGTTGATTATAGATACGGCCATTGTTTATTGGCCTCGGTGGCTGTAAGGAAGTAGTCTCTAGTGCCAGCAGACTGATCTTTGGCTCTGGGGTACTATTCTCTCCTTCGCTCATCGAGACCGAGCTCTTCTTCTCGGGTGGCGCATCTTTAGACTTGCTCCCAAAGAAACCAAAACGACTTTTAGGCTTTTGCGATACTATGCTTGGAGCAGCCTGCTTTTGACTCCCTGCGCTTGACGACGCCGTCGACGAAGGCTTTCTACCCGAACTAGGTGCCGGTGACGAAGAACGCTCACTCGAATTGTTGGTCAGGACAGATCCCTCCCTTTCTGTAACTCTCCTGTTTTTCCGTTGACCCACAGTTTCCCTGTCGCGAGGATCGCCATATTCAAGACCAATTGTGCCAAACATTGCGAATTGCGACGGAGTGTTCAAACGTAGAGAAAACTCCCTCGAGAAGCAGATGTAAAGGTTGTGGTGTTAACTTAAACACCAAAGCTCGTCTGTAGGAGACCGGTACCCTCCCGTGATATCGACAGAATCAGGTGGTTCAGTTGAGGTCTGTGTTGTAACGTTGTGGATTCCGAGAGTCTGGTCTAATCTCAAGCCCGGAAACTGATATGAAGAGGATTATATTAGAAAATCAAATCCCACACTTGCAAACAAGTGTATAGTTCGGATTTTTCCTTCTGGCGTGCTCGGAAAATATCAAGACACCTTCTCTGTTTCTTTTTTATTTTTATTTTTATTTTTATTTTTTTTTTAATCCCCTTGACGCCGTTAAGAAAAAAAAAGAAGAAAAAAAAAAAATTCTTGGGGCCGTTAATTGCGGGTTCTATGTGCGTCCGAGGTGTGGTGCCTTTTTTTTTTACTCTTTTCGAAATTCGGGCTATGACATCGGCCATGCATGCATATGAGGCTTCTGAAGCGTCGTGGTCGTTTGGAGTGCGGTTCGGGGCCTTAGCTAAGAGGTTCTCGAAGTGGGCCTCGGTCGAAGAAGCCAGGCAGCCGACCTGGACAAGAATTCGGGCAGGGACTTAACCGGGCAGACCCTCGAGCGTAGGAAACAACGATGTGACGAGGTTTATAGAAAAGAGGGAAGGAGAGGATAATTAATATGAGCTTGTCGAGCCTCGAAATATATTTCCAAATGGCCCTTTATTAAACCTGGGGGATCAACTATTGGATTGAAACTAGAGGCAGGTGAAAAGTATCCAAAGCTGAAGGAGCGGTTCCAGGTCGGGAGGACGAGATAATTAAACAAGCTGGCTCCGCTAGGTCTTAGTTTTTTGATAGGATCTAGACGACTTCGAAAGCCCTGTCAATTAGTGTGCGCAATGAAAATCGGGCAAGCATACGAAGCGGTTCAGGTTCAGGTTTAGTCGAGGTTCTCAGTCCTCAGGGTACACAAGCAGCGACTATCGAGGAAGGCCTCTTCGTGGGAAATAGCCCAACGGTCCAATGAGATCGTTGCAAAGGGAACTGGACTTGTGAACAGGCTGCAGACCTGCACGATTTAGTGTAAATCGATGGAATCAGAATCGAATCAGAACGGGCTGGCGTCGAGCTCTGTGAGATTGTGCGATCGTACACGACTTTTCTGTAAATTGACTAAGTAGTTGTTTAGGATGACCTGGCAGGGCTCTCTGCAAGTATGTATACTTTCGATGTTGTTACAGAAAAGTTGTGTCTTTGGCTGTGCAGTGCAGCGTAGGTATGTATGTATGGCTGGAAGCGGTAGTTGAATTCAAACTCCTGGACTCCCTGTTCCGACTGCTTCATGATATATTTTTTTATTCACTAGAATGGAAGACTATGAGATTTCGTACTCCTGGCTTCCGCATCACGCATCTCTCCTACCGATTTCAAGGAATGATCAACCGCTGGAAGTACGTTTGAGACCTGGGAGGCCCGCTGCGGGGCTATCTACTTGCGTCCATAAATACCTACTTTGTATGTACGCATCTATGTTGTAGCGGCCGCACAGATGAACTCGGGACATTGCACACAAGACACAATTACAAGGCTTTCGATTTCGCATTTAGTGGCGTCGCTTAGCTGACGACTTCGAACGGTTTGTTCCCACAATCAAGAGGCCTACAGCTCATTTCCTGAGCTAAGCATTACAAAATATGGGCACCTAGCGTCGAAGCCCCGAGTTTGGAACTCCCATTGTACCTAGAATATTAAATTTCTTCGCTGCTTTATTCGTTTTCAAAGCGTTGCAAGTTTACCGGTGGTATATTTAAAACGGACACACAGAAATGTTATGTACCGGTAGTACCGGGCCCAGAACTACCGCAACCGATATCGTTGTTAGTTCCTGTCACGCAGATGTGATTCTTCCAACATCGTCGGCAGGGCTAGTCGTTCTCGAAGTGTTAGGTCGAAAACGGATCTTCGCTGATATCATGTGCTAGACGGTAGCGCTGAACACCAAACGTCTAGATGCCCTGAACAGGCGAGAGAGTCGAGAAGTATATTAAAGTAGGTATTGATGTGTACACAGTAATAGTAGTGCGGCGCATCAGAATTGGAAACCGTCCCCGTCGGCTATGAGCTTTCCTTTCTTTGAGATAATTCTATTCCACGACTGTGCATGTGCAGGCTTCCATGGACTGCCTCGAAAGAGTTCGGAGGCGGCATCAGTTATATCAAGTCTCTGTTATCGTTAGAAAGATTCCGACATTGCTGTGAAACAGAAGCCGTGAGCGGGGTATCTATAAATTATCAATATTAAGATAGACCAAAACGTGGTAGGCCCAGTAATATCAGTAATATCGGGTGTTTCCCAATATAAACTACTATCTCGTCTATAATCTCGGAAGGATTGTCTTTTTCGAGAGTCTTTGTCTGTCACGTTATCGGCTCTCCAACTTGTTTGGGGCAGGAGGTTGTAATCTGAGGCTTACATGGACCAAAGCAATATGGAAATGAAGATGTCTTGGTCCCCTTCGCCAGTCAAACGAGATATTCTAGGGTTCAGTCATGGATAATCTGTATTGGAATCCAAGGACGGGATTCGATGTAAGGGCATTCCTTGAAGTCTAGGTCTCCCGTGTTGATGTTCGAGCCTGGTCAGGAGAACAGTTTCCTGTTAATACTTTCCCCAGATCGAGGCTGGGGCCGAGGTATGAGAAGTTGCATACCACGCAAACACAAGTCAAGAATATGCAAGATTGCAAAACATCATCTTGGTTAGAATTGGAATTATAATGATACAGAAACAAACCCGGATCCGCATAGAGCAATCGATATCGGTGTTCCCAAAGGTTAATTGCTGTTGGCCGGAGTTTTTTTGGCATTGCTTGCAGGATTTTCATGAATTGTGGTGTTCTGGGCGTAGGTCTCGGTCTTGCCGTCATGCTTCCGCTCCTCTAATGGGCCGGTCGAAGGTTGATTCCCAGAAAGAAGACCCTCAACCCTTGCATAGAACACTGGTAATGATTCCCGCTGGCGTCTCCTGCAATCTATGAAGGGGCAAGCAGCCGTATGTTTCCCGCCTTTCGTTTATCCCAGATAAAACAGTCTGAAGGAAGCAAGGGCGTCGTTCGCATGGTCGCGCCACCCAACATCGCCGTACCAAGTGGGACATCCAAACGAAAGTTAATTGGAAAAATTACTGATTATGATCCGAGAATCGGTCAGTTTCTTGACGGCTGTCGGCGGTTTCTCATATCATTTTTGTGGGTCTAGTGAGGAGCCTAGCGATAGCTTTAACTTATCTTGCTTATCGCTCCATCCTAGATGCATGCGGCAGCCATCAACAACGATAGAGGCGACCCGAATCATATGCATTTTCGTATCAAGAATACCAAGCCTGCTAATCCGCCTCTTATTATTATCAATGAAGCTTATACAACTCGTCGATAAAATTGGGGGGGAATTTTGGGGGGTCTGCCATGGCCATTCAAATTCGGTTGTCTTGAGCGAGTGCAGGGTTACGGCGGATACCGTGAGAAGGCAGTTTGCCCGAGTGTGTATACATGTCATGCAGTTTATGCAATGCAGACTGCTGCATGGCAAAAGTTGATCATGATGATAGACTTGGGTTGGAAACTCACGATAAGATTCCCAAGATACTGCATGATAGCCTCTGATTCTATTGGAGGAGGTCCGTTATTGCCCCCATCGAGGCAGCTGGACTCGGGTATGGACTTGAGTATGAACAACGTTTTTCTTTTGTGATATCCCTTGCCATCTACCGCCTCTCTCATTGATTAGAAGTATCCCTTGCTTCCCAGGAACAGGAACAGGAACAGGAACATGCCTTTTGCATTTTTGATAGTCGAAATATGGTTAGTAGCTGAACTATTACGTCCATATCGCGCGAGTTTATCGAATGGTTGGTGGGAAAGCCATCAACAAGTCAACTTTCCTGCTTCATCTCGGTTTGGATCTTTCGGCCATTACCTATCCGGCATGTGTACGAGCTGGAAGCAGTTGTAATTCTGATATCAAAGCTGTCTGACATGGTCAGGCCTATAGGTAGGCAGGCTCCGATCGAGACTAACAAGACGTGGGTAACGTTCGGCGGGCTGGCATTGTGGGGTCCAAGTGGGTCCCCATTGAAGGACAAGACTCTGGGCACAGGCAACCGGGAGCGTGGGGAGTGCCAGCCAGCGAGCAAATTGGAGGCATTCAAAATGTGTATCTTTGGGTGATGAAGTTTCTTTTTTTTGGTGACAAACCTTCTTTTTTTTTTTTTCTCAAGTTCACACAGGCGAGTCGAAAGAGATATCTTCCCAGCACACACATACCCCTCCATGCACAGGAGTTGCAACGAAGGGGAAGATACCAGGGACGAGACTCTGTGCGCAAAAGAAAAAAAAAAAAAAAAAAAAGGAAATGGCGTCTGAATGTGAGAAAGAAAGAAGCCCAGAGGAGGTTTCGACTCGGCCTTGCGCAGGTTTCCCGCTTGAAAGGCGATCGTATGTAATTTTGGTGCCCCAATTGCCTTGTTGAGCCATCCGACTGAGACCCGCAAGATGGCCCTAGGCTTTGGGACGAATGCCCTTCGGCATGCTATACAAAAGCTCTCCACCTCCCGCCTGATAGTCTGTTTTTTTCCGAAGGCAAAGCATTCGATCTCACGACCATTATCCGTTATTGTCGTTGAATTTAATTATTCTGCATTTCGCTTTCATTCGTCTTTTGTAGTCGATATCAAGATATCATAGAACTACTTATATATTATATCAGCGGAATAAGGCTCAGCCTCTCGAATTGGTTCGCTAAATAATACGACGCTTCAACGCAGATATATTTAAGTCTACATAGACTTCTACTCAGATATGGACGCCATCAGGAGATGGATCGAGTCCGTCGACAATGCCGTCGCTGCTACGGCCTTCGGTCATTATTTTCGCCTTGAAGGTTCTACTCACGTATGGAATATCATCTGCATTCACAATTCAGTCGATAGTGTAGAAACTAATATGTTGATTTAATTATTGCAGCCGAAAGCTCGAACGGGTGCCCGATTCCTAAATGAAATCCGTGCCGGAATTACCATTTTCTTCAGTATGTCTTAATCACTTACCGATTGATATCGATCTATCATCATGATAGTGGAAGATGTTTACTGAGTATCAAACTTTGACTAATTCCTACTAGCCATGGCATATATTATCTCCGTAAATGCTACGATTATCACACAATCTGGAGGTACTTGCGAATGCGAAAACCGTCGAGAGGACCCTTTTTGCGAAAAATCTGATGACTACAAACAATGCCTTATCGTCCTTCAACGCGACTTGATCACTGCTACTGCTGCCATCTCTGCCCTTTCGAGTTTTGCAATGGGTCTTTTTGCCAACTTGCCAATTGCCCTGGCTCCTGGTATGGGCATAAATGCCTACTTCACTTACCAAGTCGTCGGCTTCCATGGAACTGGTCCCGTTAGCTATCGCATGGCCATGACTGCAGTCTTCATCGAAGGATTGATTTTCGTTGCCCTTTCTATCTTCGGTCTCCGTCAATGGCTTGCTCGAGTTATTCCAAACTCGATCAAAATCGCCTGCGGTGCTGGTATCGGTCTATACCTCTGCTTCATCGGTCTTAGCAACTCTGCTGGTATCGGTGCTATCAATGGTGCCCAAAATACCCCAGTTGAATTGGGTGGCTGCCTCGAGGAGTTCCGGAATGACTTTGGGGAATGTACCAGTCACAAACTCGGCAACCCCACCATGTGGATTGGTTTCATGCTAGGTTGTCTTCTCACCGCTGTAAGTTGTCGAACTCAGAAGTCTAGCCTTTTGGGGTTCTCCGAGCTAACGTTTCCGTCAAACAGCTTTTGATGATGTATAAAGTCAAGAGTGCTATGATTATTGGCATTCTTCTCGTCTCGATCTTTTCTTGGCCACGGGGCACAAACTTCACCTTCTTCCCACATGACGAAGCTGGTCTTGGTGATCTGAAATTCGACTTCTTCAAGAAAGTCGTTACTTTCCACCCAATCCAAACTATTCTTGTGCCTCAAGACTGGAACCTTTCTGGTGCTGGCGGCCAATTTGCCTTAGGTATGCATATATTTAACCACCCTCAATTTTAGAAAGAACTTGAGTCTAACACAAGATAATACAGCTTTGTTCACTTTCCTCTACGTTGATATCCTCGATGTTACCGGTACTCTCTACTCCATGGTTCGCTTCTGCGGTGTCGTCGACCCAGAAACCGGCGATTTCGAACGTCAAACTATCGCATATACTACAGATGCCACCATGATTACCATCGGTTCCCTTTTCGGAACTTCTCCAGTCACCGCTTTCATCGAATCTGGCGCCGGTATCGCCCAGGGTGCAAAGACCGGTCTCGCTTCCATGTCTGCTGGTATCTGCTTCTTCATTGCTATTTTCTTTGCTCCAATTTTCGCCAGTATCCCACCATGGGCTACCGGAGGCGCTCTCATGCTCGTCGGCTGTATGATGATGAAAGCTGTCATGGGCATCAACTGGAACTACGCTGGTGATGCCATCCCTGCCTTCGCTACCCTCATCTTCATGCCATTCTCCTACTCTATTGCCTACGGTCTTATCGCCGGTATCCTTTGCTACACTGTCCTCAACGGCTCCGCTTTCATTATCAAGCTTGCCACCGGAATTTCACCTGCTGATGAAGACCTTAAGGAGTACTGGACCTACAAGCTTCCAGAAAACGCTGCGACACCATGGTTCATCCGAGCTCTTCGCGGGGAGAGGAGATTCTGGGTGACGCCTGGCAAGGATCAAATCATGGAGCTCAACTCTGTCGCTTCTGGAAAGGGCGATTACGAAGGCCGCGATAGCGGACATCGATCACAGCCAAGCCAATAGGTTCAAAACTAGCGGCGCTTGTGCATTTCTAGTTGTTGCAATCTTTCTTTTCTTATATCTTCCTTTTTTTTTTTCAACTCCCATCTTTTTCTTAACTCCCATCTCGAGTGGGTAATTTTGTTAGCCTTTGCGCGATTTTGGTAGCCCTGGTTTGGTTTACTTAACGAATTTCCTTTGTCTATACTCGATTCACTTCAGCCATATATTTTAATCTTTTATCTTTTATCCAGGGTCTACATATTTGTACCTAGAAATCATGGTCATCGCCCTTAACATCTACATGTATCATCTACCCTGTACCCCTCCCTTGCGATTTTACCTTTACGTTCTGGCGAAGATCTATCTCCTACATATCGGGTTTCTTTAGCGTCTGTTGATTCTGTGCATATCTTCACGGACATAAAATTACCTGTTACAAGCAACGTCACGAATGAATACAGGCACAAGTTGAAATACATCTTGCACCCATGTAAAAATAACGAATAGATTATGCTATTCGATAGATGGAAAAGTGATTCACCTGAAACCATGACCAAGATAACCGTCGCCTTGCGAGGCCGTTAGATCGGCAGCTAACTAGGCACAATAGCACCCGTAGGGCTCTATGAGTTTTAAAATCGAGACTAACTACCTAGGTAGGCACTAGCTAGGCAAAGTTTTTTTTTCCTTCTAACATTTATAAATTTAACTGAAGAGGCATCTTGTTGTTTATCACCGACGATTCTACCGAATATCCTTTGCTGACTATACTTAATACGTAATTGTAGCTTGAAATAACCAGGTTTTCTATTTGACATCGATGAAATAATGCTGCAGTGCGGCCATGGCAATGGCCCAACCCGCTGTCATAATCGCGCATTCTGCAAATCATTCCAGCTGTCAAGAAATTCCTTTCGGCCACTTTTAGGAATTCCAAGATGGCTTTCACAAGCCTAAAAGAAAATTTCGTACCTGCAGCTGTGTATGCAGATAGGTACTTACACTACGTATACATGTATACATGTCAGCATGTATCGACTAGCATGGCCCCTAGTCGAGTTGTAACGTCTTTCTTTCTTTCTTTCTTTTTTCCCCTTCTCTCAACCCCCTTCCAGAGCTCCCTATCAACATCGATAAACTAGGCATGTATGTAAGTACAAGCATTCCACAAGGTGCAGCACTATTTAGCAACGAAACTCATATCACGGCACATCCGTGTGGGATTAATGAACCGTCCTGCGGAATTCATCACAATCCCACGAATTTTTTAAGAAAAAAAAAAAAAAGAAGTTGGACGGCGGGCCGTAAGGTGACAGCCACACCATGGTGCCAGTGCAATTCGATACGTACGCATCCTTAGGTTAGAATTCACGGACTGGAATTCTGGAACTGTAATTACCTATGTTGTCGCATGTTATCCCGCTTCTATAAACAGATCTAGATAAACTAAGGGAAATATTTCCAGCGGTCACTCTTACCGACAATGCAATGCAAAAATGTTCCCCAGTCAGCTCCGACTGTCTAACATGAAGTTTAAAGCATGTAGAAACCCGATAACTCGTCAAGCAATACAATATATACTATGTATGACGGTGGCATCAAGTCTCGGAAATAAAAAGCTGATATGGATTCAGCTGTTCAGAAACTAAAGGTTAGACACTGGCTTTATAGAATTAACCCGAGTTTCCAATATCTCTCTCCCAAAGATATCTGTCTAAAACCAATGAACCTTCCATTCTGGATGGATTGTTTCTCTCTTTGATTGAAGCGGGGTTCCTTAGATATACAGATATATATCAGGTACAGACATCTCGGCCACCTGAATCTGTGTCTCGGGAAGTTTAAAGGGAACATACATGAACTGGCACTCCCCTTACTTCCTGCCCACGTTTAACCTCACGTTTTTATTTTCTTGGTTAGAAATGCATTATAGTTATCGGCTTCCTGCCTTCGGCATCACGTTTTGCGCGTCTTTGCAGTACACCTCGAGTCCACGTGCGACGAATAAGGCGACTTAGAGATATATATCTCGAGATATCTAAACATCTTAAATCCTAAAGAGACGTACAGGGATGGAATGAAACGCTACATAAACGTATAGATAAAACATGCGGTGGGTGTTTGCATCTCAGCTACATTCGGATTTTGAAGTTTTCGGAATTATTATCATGAAAAGCTGATTTATAGTCACCTAACGGAGTCGTTTGATCAATTGATCCCCGGCGCGGTGACCCCATGGGGCACGAGGATGATGAGCGAACTCCCCACGACCACGACGCGGGGGAAGCCCCGTGGAGATAGAAGAAAAAAAATCAATCCTATTGATTGTAATTGAAGGGTCTTTCGGATCCCTGGCCCTTGGATACTAGCTAGGTAGGTAGCTAATGCCGCGTAGGCCACGACCGATGACGGGAAACGAAGTAAGCGAAATGTATGACAAGTACATACATACTTGTGATGGATATGATACACCAACATGTGTAAACCATTTGCATGAAAGATCAAATGGGGCGTACATGTACGAACCTTAAGCTGAACACGAGAGCTAGAGTGGAAACAAAAAAGAAAAAGGGGGGCATGCAGCAGAGCCATGGGTAAGGCTAGAGTCTATTATAGGACGTTTTGTTATTAATATGTAGTTAATGTACTGTATTGATTCTCTTGGTCAAGCTGTCAGCGCTTAGGTATCCGTTTCTCTCGCTCGGCACTGGAGGCAGCGAAGAGTGTTTTGGATAGCTATAGGGTTAATAAATTTATTAATGTGCGGTAGATGGTTGCACCCTGTTGTAGTTGCACGTCGTCTGTGTTGGGATGTTGGCTCCAACTGTCATGCATGATTATGGATTAGAACTAGATTCGAACTATAGAGAAGAGCAAATGTATCGGTTAGAGACCAGGGTATAAGACAATACGATGTGGAGACTGTACTAGACTCATGCCAGGGGAATTGATTCTTAATCAGTGAGAAACATGCTCACGATTTTGCACAAGGTTGAGGATTCTATGGGGATACTTACGGCTCAGGGAATAACTAAAGTAGAACAAGGTTGGGGGGTATATGTACCTGGCTCCTAGCTATTATAGCTGTCAACGGCATGTCGGATGTACGCGCTGTGCCACAATCAACAGTTTGTTACTGAAATGACGGGATTGAATGTCACGCCTTTGCTGGATAGGACGAGTTAATTAAGTTATAGCGTTAGCCAACAGTTAAGTCTCGGGATGCTACTACAGTATACCACTGCTAACAATAATATCGAACTGATCTTGCATGCAATTGCCGTGTCTCTTAGACTCGTATGGTGGGTTATAATAAATTAAATATAAAGGTATTTGCTAGGTTTACAATAATTAACTTGGACCAATGGTAAAATAGTCTTAAGAAAGGTTTTTTTTTTTTCCCTCTTTGATTCAATTGATGAATGGAGCATATTCAGTGATCAAACTAGTGGTCCGTTTATGATGCCTCATCTCTATAAGGTGACAAAATAGACTCTAAGGTGACCGATTATATACTTAACGTAAATACGAAGTCGGTAGTTCCACGAACCAATATGGCCAATGCAATGTCCATAATTATGAAGTGCAGTCATCGCCGGCAAAACGCCGAACGAACGGAGCTGTTGAGGCCGCCATTTCAAGTGGCGAGCTAACTCCACTATTCAATGAATGTGCACATACGCGTAAACCTACAGCTCCCGGGGTCTTGCATTAGTTTGTATTGATTGGAAGATATATTAGTATACAGGAGTTGAGGTTGTATTTCCTCAATTCTCGCGACAATACTATGATATAGATTCTTCGCTATATATGAGTGTTAATATTCTGCGCCTTTGCCCTGTTCATACACGGTCCTAGAAGTTAACTTCGTACCTGCATATTCATATATCTACCTAGGTATATACTACCTCTTAAGTCTACGTAGCCACCATATCCAATATCTGCATCATCGTAACTTTATATATTTTTAATTTAGCAGTCAGATCATGTCAACTATTTCATGACCAATTCCAGGTCAATCATAGAGAAACTGGCAAGATATATATCATGTCAGCACAACTAGGGAACGAGGGGAAGCTGAAGACGATCAAATAGCTTGCTGAGCCATATCCTGTGTATTGATGCCGGCATGTCAGGGAAATGGTGATTTCCAATCTAGTTCCAATCGACCGAATTATATCCAGTAAATTTTCGTTTCTGGTACTGTTCAGATCTGGAATACATCGGTATCAGTACTTATTTGTATCTATCCAGGCTTATCATTTGATTAAGGCCTGGAGGTAATTGGATATCCGGAGGCACCTTGCTACCCAGGAAGACCCACACAGCTGTATATTATATTTATATTGCAGTAAGTTTTATAAACTTATAAATAATATATATACGTAAGTACCTACTTAGGTACTTACATACCTAGATAACTTCCTGAATGAATAAGCTCAAGAGAGAGGGTAGTTAGAAACGCTATATTTTAACAATCATCCTGATTTCCAAATTTGGGTAACACCCTTGTATCTGCATGGAGACTCGACTGTTCTCGCCGAAGCGGTGCCATCTATCGACGATCCCGCCAACCTCATCTCAACACATTTACTACCAGCGATAGCTTGAATTCGAACATGCATGGCGGGTCGACAGGTCGACCAGTCGTGATGGGATTCGAGGCTAAGTCGTGATATCAAAACATAATTCGCATACATATATGCATAGATCTCCTCATTATCCTTATCCCTCTTTTCTTTTTTTTTCTCTTTTTGTTACACTGCAAAGCAGACTTTCTAATGACTGCCCGGTCTTAACACAGAATTCGACCAACTGGCTCAGCTCGCTTCATTACATGGCACCGAAGCGAGACATGTGTGTAAGTACGTGCTCCAACCTTTCATGAATTCAGGCCATGTCTTTCTTTGTCTTCAAAGAAAATTCAAGTTTAAGTTAAATTCTTGACTTGTGCATACATGCGCCACTCCAACATGAATTGCAACCGCCCTCTGCGGTACACTATGGGTTGATTTAAACGATGCAACCTAGGTGCATATATATCGATATCAATTCATATCACATTTACTAATGCCAATGCGGTTCTTCATATCTTAGGCTTCGGTTGCCTTCCATTTGGCTAGATCCCTTACTAGATCGACATCCCGCTTAAGCTTATTCTCGTAACGAAAGGTTGCATCGTCTCCACTTTGGGAGAACCTCATGCGCACCGCGATATAAATGGATGTGAGTTAAAAAAAAAAAGACGTGAGGGCTCTCGTGGCAGTGGGCTGCCTTCCCGAATTGCCTGCCTCTTCAAAAGAGGTCCTTCAGCTGCACATGCGCTGGATTCTTTTTCGAAGTCCTTGATTCCCCCAAGATACCTTTCAAATTTATAAACGAAGTTACTCAACTGTAATATAATTATAATAATGATCATGTTTTATGTCGACTGCAGATTCTACGATATACGCGATGTTCAATCATCCAGCCGTCACAAAAATAGTTTGAAGTTTGAATCGACGAAAAACCGCCCCCCATCAATTCAAATCCAAAATCCGAAATCCGAAATCCGAATCCACTAGGATACACCAAGCATTTTGTCCCTCCTCTTCTTCAGCTAGACTTTGTCTCATTGTCTTGTGATATGATTATATTCCCAAGTTCCTTCGCTTGGGAACGTCATTTTGTAACCCCATAAAACAACCTTTTTTCCTTCATGGAAAACCTTTTTTTCTTGTTCTGACCTTCCCAATATTGCGGGTGAAACTCACTTTACCGACCCGATCCAGGCATTCCTTTCGCATGGGGATTCTGCAAGCATTCAACTAATCGCAACCTCACCCAAAGACTGACTAGATCTCGAAGGAAACGTATCCAAAACCCTCTCGGCCCCAACCTTCGAAATCGATCCACTCATATCATATACTTGCAGTCATACAGACATTCTTCAAAGGCTTCCGTCTAGGTCATTATTTTTCCTTTTCAAGCGACAGACTTCCCCCCCATTTTTCTTTTCGATATTTCCCGAAACCGTGAGAGAGTTGATCTTGTGCCCGTTGGAAGAACCAACAGTGACGTTCTCGTCGTCGTCGCTCTCGTCGCCGCCACCCCGATATCATATTGCTTTGGGGGGCCCCGGAATCCCAAGATCAACAGGCAGCCCTCCCGGATGAACATTCCCCCATAGATAGGGTCGTTCAGTCTAATCGTCAGTAACCATGGACGAGAACGATCAACTTGCTTGGTAAGAACTGTTTCTCCGGACGCTGCCGTTGGGCCGTTAACGCGCACGCGCGCGCACGGGGGAAAGGGGACAATTTCTGACTCTGGTAATTGAATTAGGGACATCGGGGCGGTGTTCATGATGGGTTTCAGTGGGACAACCGTGACTCCGCAGGTTAAACAATTGATTGAGGAGCACCATCTCGGAACAATCATGTTGTCCGGGAAGAACTTCAAATGTTAGTTGTCTTTTGTTTTTTTTAAGCCGTAGATACATATCGCGGGGTTCCCCTATATCACACACCCTTCACCCCACATCCCCGTCATCACGCTCGCCGTTCTTGCGCAATGTGCGAGAGGGGGTATAACATCGCTAATTAACTCTTCCCAATCACAAAAAATATACAGCTGCCGAGCAAGCCACAAAGCTCATTTTAGAGCTCCAAACCATCGCGCGCAACGCTAACCATCCGTATCCGTTACTTATTGCGATTGATCAAGAGAATGGGGGACTCAATAATTTATGTGATTCGCAGCACCTACGGCAATTCCCTGGCGCCATGGGAATGGCGGCGACGGGATCGCCCGAACTGTGTAGGGAGGTTGCCAAAGCTACAGCACTTGAAGTATCGTCAGTGGGGGTGAATTGGATATTGGGACCGGTGCTAGATGTGCTTAATCCGAATGCGCGCACCCAGCCGTTGGGGGTGAGAACTATGGGACATGAGCCAGAGGAGGTATCTGAAATGGGAGTGGCATTTATGAGGGGATTACAAGGTATGATAGACCCTAGAAGGTTTGGAAGTCAGAAAAAGAGGAGGCGGAGGAAGAAGGCTGGTGTTGTAAGGGTCTAGATGCGGTTTTGGCTAACTAAATCGTGTAGACGGCGGTGTCGCAGCCTGTGCGAAGCATTTCCCCTCATACGGCAATATCGAATTCCAAGGTTCTCCACTAGACGTCCCGATACTATCCGATACTATCGAGCAGCTCAAGCTGCATGGCTTAATACCGTTTAGGAAGGCAGTGGCAGCGGATATAGATGCAGTTATGGTCGGTGGCTGTTCAATGCCATCCCTAGAGACGAAAGTTATGCATGCATGCCTTTCGGATTCTATCGTAAACAAGCTTTTACGCGAAGAGATGGGGTTTAAGGGGGTAGTAGTGAGTGAATGCCTGGAAATGGAAGCCCTGCATGAGAACATCGGCGTAGGCCAGGCGACAGTTATGGCACTGGATGCAGGGTGCGACCAAATCATTGTGTGCAGGTCGTTTACTTTGCAGCAGGAAGCTATCCAGGGGCTCCAAATAGCTGTAGAAAGCACGATTATATCGCGGGAAATGGTTGCAGAAGCTGCCGCTCGAGTAGCCGCTATGAAACGAAAGCGCACATCTTGGCAACAAGCTCTGAATCCGCCTGGGGTCAATTACTTGATGTTTCTAGAGCCGTCGCATAAAGAGCTTTCTGTGAGGGCGTACGAGGCATCGATCACGATAGTGCGAAACAAAGACCGATTGCTGCCATTGTCGACAAGACGCGAAGAGGAACATGATATTCTCCTGCTAACACCTCTCGTCAAACCGTTGCCGGCTTCGCTTTTGGCGCAAGCGGAAGAACTTAGCGCAGCCTCCAAGTTAGAATCGAGCCGAAGTGATAGCTCTCCAACACCGACCCTAAATACGTCGGCGACGTCCCGGCCGGATCATAAGTCACTACTATCCTCATTTCTCTCGGACAAGGACCGAGTACTAATGACGGGTGAAGTTGTCTTCCGTGAATTGGGGCGTTCTATTGGTCGCAGTTCTGGTGCGAGGATTCTTCATAGCTCGTATACTGCGAGTGGTATCCGTCCTGTCCACGAAAACCTCATTGAAGCCGCTTCAATGATTATTGTTGTCACCGCAGATGCAAATCAGAACCGATATCAATACGGGTTCACCAAACACATATCAGCAGTTAGCAAGATTCCTACAGATCGTTTCCCCAAGGGGAAGCAAGTAATTGTCATTGCGGTATCCTCGCCGTACGACTTCTGGGTTGACAAGTCGATTGGAACCTATGTTTGCACCTACGATTTCACAGAAACGGCAATCGATGCGCTAGTGAAAGTCATATTCGGGAAGAAAAATGCCAAAGGCCTCCTCCCAGGGACAATATTCAAGAGACGGCAGCAGCAGCAGCAGCCAAAACAGCAGTGGTTAGTCGAGCATTGGAAGAAACCCCGGGACTTCGAATCTCTCAAACAGCTCCTGGAGGCAGTTAGGCGTTCAAGCGCGGAAACCCCGTCCCTTTACATAGATCTAGCCACGCTCCCCGCTGCTGCCTACCTTACCGAAGACATTATCATGAACGATGGTTCTGTCATCCTAGAACAGCAAAATTTCGTCGTTCGGAACTCTTCTACACGTGCGCTCTATGGGTTTTGTTCAACATACTATAATCCTAGGAGCGGGGTTGGCAGCATTGGGGTTATTGTAGTCGATCCTGCCCGCCGTAAATTGTCAATAGGCAATTCCTTGCATGCATCTGCTCTACGGTATCTACGACAAAAGCCAGGCATCAAACGAGTCTCTATCGGATCGCGATTCCCAGCCATATACCTCGGGATGCCCGCTTCCCTAGATCCCAATACCGCGACGGCAAATGTTACCGAAGGAATGGATCCCAACAAGCCTTTCAAAACATGGTTCCGCAACCTGTAAGTCGATCAGCTAATGCCTCTAACGTGCTTATAAGTCTAGCAGTAGCTAATGGTATGAAACTTTGTTAGTGGATGGCCTGAAACTTCATCATCTCGTGTGCATCGTCTTCTTCTTTCCAACCTCGCCGAATGGAAGCCTCCAGCTACGATCAGCAAACAACTCTCTGACGCTGGTATTTGCTTCGAACTCATCTCAGATATCAAATCCCCGACTGCGCCCGTACTCTACGAGCAAACCATGGAATTTGTCCGCTCCCATGACAATAGCCGTTATGTAGACCCATATCGCATAGCCGGTGATGACCTTCAGATCGGTCAAGCTCGTATCCTGATAGCAACCAATAGCCAAAAGAAATTCTTAGGAACAGTCATACTAGTCTGGGGAACAAACGACCTGGGGAAACTCGAGAAATTTACTCCGTTGATTCGACCGAATATGCTCGCATCCGCCGCTGGCCATGCCGGGTCCGAAGCCGATAAGACATCTCGAAACGTTTGCGGGATTTTATACCCAGTTCTTGCGCCGACACCACTGAGAAGGCTTGTCCTCGAAGGTCTTGTGGCGATATCTACTAAACATTTCCAGATGCCGCAGCAACAGGGAATGGTGGGCTTCAGTAAAGTGATTTTGGATTGTGTAAGTTTTCAGTAGTCTTATACCTTAGTCCCGAACGAACTTAGAGTAGTAGCTAACACATAGTTATTTTCTTAGCTCGATAATCCTGACGACGCACAGGCTGTGGTTAATAGCAAAAATGGCAAAACTGGCTGGAGGATTTGGCATACATTTGAGGAGATGGAGTGCTCACTATTGGATTTGAGGTCTTCATAGAAGAATCTTGAAGAGAAAAAACAGAAGAAGAAAAAAAAACATATACCGAATGCTATACTTTATTCTCTTTTTTGGAGTTTTGATCCTTCAATTCAGCCAGGGTCTAGCTAGGACTTGAGGGTCACGTCTAGCCTGTTTCATTTTCATTTTATATATCCATTGCAGTATTGACCTATAACAGGAACCTCTTCCTTTTCGGAGAAGTCAGGGAGAAACTTTTTCAGGAGTTTTTCTTTCAAGGAGTTATATTGGGGGAGCACTGATGTATTACACAAGTCGTTACAACTTGCATGTCCTCTTTTCCTTTCCCTTATTTTCCCCCTTTCCTTCTTTTTTTCTGTCTTTGTATCTAAGTTTTCTACCACCCCCCGGTTTTTTTTGGAAGGGAGAGCGGGAGAAGATGATATCTTTCTGTTCTATTCGTTCGTTTCTTTCTCCTTTTCCTTTCCTTTTTCTCTAAGGCAAGCAATACATCAAGTTAAGACTAAAGCGGGTCTTCACTTTCTCTACAAGTTTTACTGGAGTGTCGGTGCAGACTCCTTTAAATTTAGCGATAAACCTTAGGATACTACGGATTCAGGGCTAGGATATTACTATCCCGCGCCCACATCTGGCGGAGTAGAATTCAAATTTGTATAAAAAAAATAGACTGGCATGTAAACGTGTAGCCAAAGAAAGAGATATATATAGAAGGTATGTTGGAAGCAAATCAAACAATCTCACAATTCTCTAAAAAGAGAGGATCAAGATTGAAATACTATTGCCACCATTATCACTAAAAATAGTGACCCACGAATGAGTTTAATAGTTTATGGGCAAGCCTTCCCATCTCGAAGAGACGGGGGAAACTGTTTCTTTTAATCTTCCCTGTAAATATAACGAAAATCCTGTAGGTTGAAAGTGACGGCTCCATAAATGGAGTCGTCGGTAGGAAGTCCGGAAAGTTGAACCAGGGTGGGAAAGGGGGGGGGGGGGGCTTTTCTGTTTCCGAGAAAACGGCTTATGCATGAAGGCAGGAGCGAAGGTAAGGAACTAGAGAAAGGTTACAGAAGTGTTCAATTTTTATAATACTATACATGCGTACATTATCTTCGTGGACAGGAATTAGGTCGAAGGAAGCCTAAGGCAGGAAGCTTAAGGAAAATATCCAATTGTCGATGTACACGATTGTGAAGATGGTCAATTGAAAGTTTGCAGATATATATAAAAGAAAACTAGAAGCAATAGAGTAAAATGAGCGGCGTATTGGACGAGGAGGTGCGATTATTTGGCAGGATTGATATCGTGAAAAAGTTTTTGGCGGAGGAAGAAATTTCGAAATCTCTCCTGGCTGGGTTCCAATTTTTTATATGGGGCAAAAAATACAACAGATCAACACAATTTCCTGTGTAACAGGCTTTGTTGCTAGACTTTTACGGGGGCACAGGGCGTCGATCTTAGAAGATTCAATCGTCCAAAGAGAAATAAAAAATAACTAAGAGGAGCGGAAGGGTTCTGGGACAAGAATATTAATATCCATTACACAGAATAGAAGGATCGTAATAATGAAAATAAGAATGATAATGATAATGATAATGAGGTAAAATAAAAAGGGAGAAAGCAACATAGTTATACATCGGCCCAAAGGTTCGCGCACAAACTAAAACATGCATGCCTGCAATCGTGCTGGGGAAGAATATTTCAGAAGACCACCCAAATGATAATAATGATAATGATGATTTTTTAAACCAAAGATTTTTGTGGGTTTCCTGCCGATAAAGGAAAACATTGACCTCGCTAACACCAGACGAACCGAACTCGAAAGGACCAAAGGAAAGCGTATCTCATGTACAGTATTCTCAAATAATAATCCCGTAGGGGTGAGAGGGGGGAAGGATAGTAATAATAAAGAAATCGGTCATTCATAAAAGAAAGGGGGTAGAAAGCAATACGCAAATATGCAGAAAGACAGGGACTCCGTAACAATCATATCGTCACTTCTATGCAGTTTCTCCTTCTTGCCATAACTTCTGTAATTCGTCAACTAGGTAGTAAGTCAATCGCCCAGTTCGGTGCTGAACCTCTCGAATAAGGTTGGATAGGATCTTCCGTTCCTCCTTGCCATCAAGCACAAGACCAGCGGCATAAAGGCATTGAAGACTGATCAAGTGGTAGGATTCATCGACGTCCGCGAGCGAGATCCCGATAATCATTTGGGTACACAGCTTGTATTGCCGTTGGGCTGCAAGGAAATGTTGGTATCGGTCTTGAGATGGTGGTTGAGCTGTTACAAATCCAGGTTAGCCGGTTTTGTTCGCCCCTTGAGGATCTAGAAAATAGAAAAAAGCAGACTCACGTTTATGCATCATCAACATAATCTTTGCAAAGTAATAAACCTGCATGGCGATCCCACAGCACGCTGGACTATACCAAAGAGCTTCAAAAATTCCATCTTTATCTTTCATTCTCGTAAGGGGCTCGTAGCTATCCGGCAAACATCGCTTCCAGTCTTCAAGTTTTTTCTCTAGCATTTCTGCTCTTCTCAACCGCTCTGTAATATTATGCTCGTTCTTTTCGATCTCGTCTTTGGCGCAATAGTTGATGATTTGGCCTAAGATGAACATAACTCGATTGCCTAGTTCATCTTCTCGGAGCATACACATACTTTCAGGGCTAGTGTCGAGATGCCAGAAGTCTTCGGTAATGAAAGTTTGCCTTCGTTCTCGGAAAGCGGCAAGGACATCTTGACGGTACCAGGCCCAGAAAGCCGCACCCTTGAGACCTACTAGGCTTTCGTGGATACCTTGTGGTTTGATTATTGAACCAACCCCTTCTAGATGTCTTCTGAATTCTTGGTTCGAGCCGTCGATAACTTCAAATGTTGATAGGATGACAGCCGTAGCAAGGAATTCTTCTGAAGATGAGAATCTTCCATCTACATCGTTGACTAGAGAATTTTGCATTTCTCGGAGGGCTGCATCGTAGTATTGGCTGTACTCCACCTCAGTATTCGACTCCTGAGTTGGGGCTAATACTGGCGTAGTTTGTCTAGCAGTACGAAGACGATATTGTTGTTTAGCGGACAGAGCGAGGCATGCTTTGAGGAGGCCGGTGTTTTTGCGGGCAAGCCTAGGGACCACTATCATGAATTGTCTATCGAAGTCGAATATATCGAGCTATCAAGTTTTTGTTAATACCAATGAGTTGAACTGAATTAAATTTTGAAGGTAAACACCAACTTACAGCTGGACACAGCCGAGAAATAAAGTTTCTGTATAGCGCCGATTCATGCTCGCTAAGTGGCAGAGGTACTGCAGGTTCCCTCGGAGTGGTCGAAAATGGAATTCCACCAGCACCGTTTACGCCGTTACCCATGATTGTATCTGGAGTGACTCTATCAAATCCTTGAGGATCGATTCTAGTAGCGTCGAATGAAATAGAAGTGCGAGGTGCTGGTGATATAGGGGCCCTATTCCAACTATATTAGACAACGACATATCTAAAGGACTACCAAAGCGCCTAAGCCTACAATACTAAACCCTGGAACTGTGTAACAGCGGCGCCGGTTGGTGATATCAATGCAGAACCGGGAACCTTTAGTTGCGAGGGGCTATCGGCAGCGCCTTGTGTGAGAAACGGTGATGTTGATACAAGGGGGAGAACACTGGGCTGCGTTCTATGTCGTCTACCTGCAAGCCCGTTCGGGGATACAGCTGTTGAAGTTGGGGATATTCCTTCGTGGTGTCCTGCCGCTACGTTCGCCAGACTTAGCATGCCAGAGACATCAAGCTCGGGGTTAATAGAGGCTATGGATGCTAGGGCTGATTCGCTTTTAACATCGAGTGGAAAGCCAGCAGATAGATCTAAAGACCGTCGATTGGGATTGGAGCCAGCGGGACCGGAACTACCTGCGCCCTTCTTTGATATCGACCCAGACCGGCTATGGCGGAAAAGACTGTCGGGACTTGGGAAGACACACTAAGAGAGATATTAGCACCTATGGTGGAGATAGGTGACGCTGTCAAATTTAAAGATGAGACGAACCGATCGATTCCCCTTTAAACAGTTCTGACACTGTGGTTTTTGCTCGTCGCATTTTACATGACGTTTCCTGCAAGTGTTACTTTTAGGCAAGATGTTAGCATCTCGTCTCGATCTTATAATTTTTTTTTCCCCTTGAAAATCTGCAGATGCACTTAGGCGTAATTATGCATGAAGGTACGGAATGACAAGGTCTACAAGGTCTTGGATAGGCAAGTATGCCGCATCAAAGACATATTTATACAGGGCTTTCGGGCTTTTAACATACCATCCTGTTCTTACTCGCATGCCACGAAGAGCACCGGCTACGATTGGGATCTGACCCGATAGCCGTCGTTCTGGATGCGCCTGGCCCCCCGGCTGTGATTGCTGGGGAGGTTGCGATTGCGACTGCGACGGGTGATGATGATGGTTTGAATGCGGTGATCCATGGTCGTCCTCGCGTAGTTCAGGGACAGTGTGATACTCAAAGATGGGCTGGTCAAAGTATTGCCGCCCACCCGGCGAAGCTCCCGTCATATCGAGGGAACTATCCGGATTGTTGGACACTCCGTTCGCATCGAACGGGCTACCTCCAAAGTGCGGTAGACTTCGTGTCGATGGAGTTGAGTGACCCGACATGGCCGATTGGCAGTGGAGGGGCTCGACTCTAAGATGTGAATGCACTGCAAGTCAAGGTGCAAGCTCTAATGGGATTTTCCCCCTAGGCCTATGATCTCCCGCGCGCGCGCTCCTCTATGCAGGCTCCGTACAGGGACAACGACACGAAGAACAAGGGGGGAAGAGTAAAACAATGTTAAGGAAAGCGAGAATTACACGAAGCCAGGAAGCTGCTGCAATAGCTAAACCTAGTCGAAGGCTGCGTGATAGTAGCGCATTGCAATGGCTCCGAGTCGACTTGATTCGCGTGTTTCTTTTGCACTGTCAAATCTCGGGTGGATGACTGCAATTGGCGAAAATTTTAGGGGCTCGAAAGCGAAGTGGAAAAAAAAAAGCTGGTGTGGGTGTGCAGCCGAAAAAGACTGGCAGTCAGACCAGCCCTCTCCGAGATCTATCACGTTACCACAAATGACCACGCCCTACCAACTAGTTGGGAGGGATGGGATCGAAAGGGCTGGCAGATGACAGGTGGGAAGGATTCTGTCGAAACGAGCTCTCGGATGAGGCTTAGTAGGCCGGAGAACGTGGAGAAGGCGAGACGACTGCCGATGGGAGATTAGAATCGATTGAGGATGCGGAGGGGAAAAAATCAAGAGCCCTCGCAACTGTTGTGCGGAGTTCGTCTGGATATGAATCTCGAGACGAAGCGGACGAACTACTAAAAGTCTTGTCGATTTTGTAGAGCCCCTATTCGCGCCCTCTCATTGGGGAGAAGGACTAGCGGGTTCTGAGATCCAACCGAAGGCGATGATGTTCCTTAGCCGGGCGCCTAAGCATGCACCGGAGTGGAGTCGCCAAATGCAACTTGGACAGTTTTCCCATGGAAACATGCATTTTGATTCAAGATAATCCGGATCACGGTTTGTCTTCGAGATCTTCAGGAATGCACATAATTGTAACCAGTCCATTCTAAGTTTAGATGCATCGATGCCGAATGAATGAATTTATAGGGTACAGTTTACGTTTACGTATGACGGTTACATACTTACATACAAGCCAAGTTGAAACAGGCACAACATGGAGATATACTATATCTATGCATGGTTTTGCTTTGACCCCTCCCTTCAATGGTATCTTATCATAGCTTTATCGATACGCAGATGCTTCCGCGCGCTCCGTTCTTATATACCATCAATTTGGGTAAATTTGCGCGAATCGAAAGCTTCCAGCTTAATTATTACCCCAATCCGTGGGCCTTATTACAAACCCACTTTTCATTGTCTTCGTTTAGCCGACTTAAACTTTTTTTTTTTTTTTTTTTCGAAAATGAATAAATTTCTTCACCAGGTCCAGGGTTCGGATCTATAAATATATCTCCCATGCATGCAACCGTCTACAGACACTATTGATCATGCCCAAGAAATGCATCTCAGGATTCTTCATGATTACGTATTAGTTTACCCCAGACATAGATGTTGATTTCAGGTGAACAATTCTAAATTTATCGCCCTTTTTGGAAGTATTTGAAACAGGCGACTCCTATTCGCGCCTTTCCAAACCTGTCAATAAAGTTTAATTCCACGCAAGCAGCGTCGTATCTATAATGGAGGTATAAGCGCATGAGAGACGCTGGAAATGCAATTCGACCAAGCTTGCAAGGCAGAATTTAGTATCCGTGCCCACAATCTCCGATTCGCGATCTAAAAGAAGGTTTGGAACCCGCAGATATGGCATCCTGTCATCAAACAGCCGCCTGGCAAAACGTGCTGCACTTCACACACGAAAGCGCATGGCTAACTATACACCACGCGACTCGCTCGCTGTTCACGCATTATATCAGTGTAATAAATTTAAGCAAACATTTTCCTGCAGCTATGCCACTAAATACACTGCTGCGCGATATTTTGTTGGATTTCTCTTAACTTAACGTTAGTTATTGTTGGACAGCCGGGTTGTCATAGGCAGACACTAATCCATTGTCTCGTGTGCAGATTGAGAATCGACACTGAGATTCTTACCCATCCGTGTCGAATCATGATCATATGATAAGTGCAGCCTTGTAAGATATCATTAAAATCTCAACTCTATTTCCTGTCCCTCTTCTAATTTAAACGTCCCGCAAATACATCGACCTTCACATTTCGGTAAACAGTAGTGATTGAGTTTAATTTTGGATTCCTGGCTGTTGCTGGTGTATACACGTGTAGCTAGCGGGGTCGTCGATCAAGACGACTTGCTGACAGAACTTCCCGTTGCCACGGCTTAAAGCAGCATTATCTCTCAAATCGGGAGCACTTGCGGGCATTTTCTTGTCAAAATTTAGACTCTCTGTCCTGAATCCAGTCTTCGATTTGAACAGAAACATGTAGTCTCGGGCTAAATATAGGGAGAAACGTTCAGAACCGAAATAAATTGGTGGTCCATAGAGATTTAGCTCTCGAGGTTGTTAAGTTCGCGGTCGCCGAAGTCGCTTTAAATTCTTACGGTTACAGTATATCGGCAGAGGACAGCGAATGGCGGTACGGAGTATTGGAAATGCAAATCAAACAAATCAAGATACGCCGCCTTCGATTACTTATTAGAGGGATCCTTCGTGCAGATATATACACATTCCTAGCATGCACCGATTAAGACAGATGATTTACCACTATTCGCATCATGAAAATCTTCAAAGAGCAGTCTAACGGGAGGATATCTCAATTGAGCTTAAGATACCAAGAAAAACTCCCCGTTGCAATTGGCAGAACAAGGTGCCAATAACGGCACAGGACAATCCTTGTCAGTACCCCAGAAAAAAGGGAATTGAGCCGTCTGAGCCAAGCCTGTCACAAGCTGCCTTCCTCGGACTTTCAGAAAGCTTAACATGCTTGAAGCTGGCATCTGATCATGCATGAAGAAATAATCGCTTCGGCCGTAGATTCCCGAAGCGGTATTGCGCTCGAAAGGGGATCCACACTTGCCTCCAAGTTATTGGATTTCGCGATTCAGATATACACATATGCCAGTTACTATACGCATATGCCTCCACACTTTATGAATCGCAATAAAGTTTGGGGAAAGCATTTGCGCCGGGGAGAAGGTCTCAAGTGCCCAGCACTGCATCCTGTTTCCCGTCAAAGCTATGTACAGTTCTATGACATCAAGAGTTAATCGGATCTAAAACACAGCCAGAAGGATATTAGGATATCAGCCAAATGCGAATAGATATAGATTTGGGTAGTCGAGTTTTCTAGACATCACGATAAACACGTTTAAGGCAACATCTCCACCCTAAACTAGCTCTCGAGGATATGGTTAGCTAGCGAGGAATGCGAATGCACTGGCCCAAAGCCCAAAGGCTGTGCGTACTCTGTTGCCTTGAAACCGAATTCTAAAACCATGGTCTTTAATTTTACGACATGCAATCTTTTTTTTTTTTTTCTTCTTGAGATCCTCGACGGATACGAGCTGGCCCGGGCATCCGCTGCAAGCATGAGATTATTCGCGAATTCACTGCAACCACGCCCGCCGGGTTACATTACATTTAGTCTCGTGCTGGTTATTTCCAATCAAAGGGCTCTGAGTCGACCAGACTAAAAAGTGTTCAGAAAAGAAAGACAATAGTTTGACTGATCCCTTGGGCCTGGAAGCGGGTGGTGGATATTGCTGGCAGCAGCCCCATGGTTTAGAAGCATTGGGTGTCTCAGAGAAATTTAAAGTGCAGCTAGCTGCTGTCAATAGATGAAGTGAAGCTCCTGCTGGATGTGGATGTTGCAAGTTGAAGCGACTGGAATTTCGAGGCAATGCAAAGGAGGATGCACAACGCAGCAACCGGCCAAATGTAACGCACCCCGCAAATTCTGCTCGATCCGACGACATGTCCAACACTCGACTCTCGCTACTTTCTGAGGGCTCCTTGCATGGGGGCGGGGGGACGAGACAAACCCGATATCATTTCTTAGATATGCAAGTACGTGAGTATCGAATCGAATCCAATCGAATCCATGATATCCGCCTATTCCGACGGGGAGGCTGGAGGCTCAGATGCTAGACGCTCAAAACTGACGATCGTGATCCCATCGTAATTCAATTAATCCACTTCAGAAGACCCCAATCCTGGGGCCCCCAAATCGCTGGTAAATTGAGCTTAGTCTCGAAAACCTCTCGAAGGGACCTTCGAAACCGGGAACAGCGTCGACATGTGAAGCCGAAGCCTGTCTCTTTTTAGACGAACCCCGGACGACCCACCTTCTCCAGATCGCCTGTGAGAACTCAACCCACCCCCCGGACTGATTTTTCAATTCAAGAATCATGCCGTTTGTTCTTTTTTGCCTTCGTCGCCAATTTTGGCTCTAGTTTGCTCCCATGCAGGAACATGAATTGAGGTTTTGTTCCAGGGTTACTAGTGTAGGCGGGACACTTCTGCTTTCCCAGACGTCTGGTGCGTTCCTTTTGCCAACCTCCTCTTGACATATCCGCCTACTCTGCACCTGCCAGAACTGCTCCTCCTCCCAGTCAAAACTATCTTTAGTCGACGACCGCTAGGGGTGGAAGCAGGATGGGCTTATCGGTGTGTGCCCACTATATTGCGGCCCATGCTTTTTTTCCTACACAAGCATGGCCCCATTTTACACCAGCCAACTTTTGTCAGACAGGCGTCAATGTGATGTATGCATGTCCACTCTAACCTTCTGGTTGCAGGGAATGTGAAAAACTGTCCGAGGTAGGATCAATGTGATAATAGTTGGCAAGAAGACATAAAAGGCCTTCGCAGGCCCCAATCTCGATACAATTCTTTTTTTCTTCCTCACCCATCAGTCACACAGTCGTTAATCATCTCGAGTGGTAAATAGCATACATTCGCTTTGTAATATCCAACAAGCATCAATCTTTCGACATTCTTTAAAGCTTTTTTTAAGTTTTTTATATAATCTTTAATACTACAAAGTCAAAATGAAGTTCTCCGCCGTCGCCCTCGCTACCATTGTGGCCGTTGTCTCCGCCCAGGGAATCGCTGATATCCCAGCTTGCGCTCAAACCTGTCTCCTCCCAGCCCTCCAGGCTACTGGCTGCAGCTTGACCGACTTCAAGTGCTCTTGCTCCAACAAGAGCTTCGTCAGCGACTCCACCGACTGCATTGAGAAGAGCTGCTCCCCAGCAGATATTGCCAGTAAGTAGCTGCTGAATCATCTATCAAGAAAATAAGCTTTTCTATATCAGATATCTAACATATAACAGAGGCTGCCAAGGCTACCTACGAGCTCTGCAAGGCTGCCGGTGTCGAGATTGTGACCAGGGCCCCACCTGCTGCAACTACTTCTGCCGCTCCAACCACCGCTGAGCCAGAACCAACCACTGCTGAGCCAACCACTGCTGAGCCAGAGCCAACTACCTCTGAGGCTGTATCCTCCAGCGCTGGCCCAACCTACGGCGAGCCAGAGCCATCCACCACCGCCGCTGTCTCATCCACCTATGCCCCAGCCCCAACCACCATCATCTCCACCACCGCTGCTGGAAATGCCACCCAGACCCAGCCACCACCACCACCAAGCACCGGTGCTGCCGTTGCCATCGCTGGCAACGTTGTCCTTGCCCTCGGTGGTGCCGTCGCTGCTTTCTTCTTGTAAGTTAGCTCGATTGGCGGGGTAGTGTGCATTAGTGAAGATGTGATATTCTTCGATAGACGGAGAGCGATCAATCATCTAAACTAAAGAGCTAGAGGAGGTTTACCACGAGAGATATGTCAAAAGCACTCTCGTAACTTCATGTATAATACTTCATAATTTCCTAATTATACTATTACCTTATTTTCTGACATGTCTAAAGAAACATGCTTAATGTTAATGGATCATACAAAAACTGAGAGACCTTTGAACGTAAATGACAAGCTAGCAGCCATGTAGTTTCTTTAGATAAATACTTAAGTAATTGGAAATGGCATAATTGGAAATGAACAGCTAGCATTGATAAACTACTTAAGAGGCACCATGACATCGATGGTCGCCGTTATCGATCAAAGCCCTTGTTCCGGATTCCTATACCCAACAACACTCTAGATCATGCACGAGGCCGAGGCTGGAACCGCGCTCGAAAATAACTTGTCGGGATTGGACGGTCTCGGCTCTCATGATCTCAACTAAGAATTTATTTCCTCTGGGCTTCCTGCAGCATGCAGTCTCGGATGCACCGCAATGTTGGATCGAACGATTCAAGGATAAGATCGAACAAACAACACACAACGTGTTGCATTTTTCCCGCTCGCATTCCTCGACGGAAGTTGCCTATTCTCTTCGAACCCCATGTAACCTTACGTGCATCGAAGACCCTTCTAGATAAAAGAAAAATAGGAATACTAAAAAATAGGAATAATAATAAAAAACACGTAAAAAGTATTTTGCCCCCTCCCTAGTAAGGTCATTTGTACAGAGTACATACATGTAGTGTACGTAACCCCCCATGTACAGGGTATGTACTGCTACCCTCCACAGACTTTGGTGGCAAACCCGTGGCTTGCATTGCATATATCGCTCACTCGCTTGGCCCAATGGCGACCCGTAGCCGGGTCAGAACGTAAATGCAAGTAGTCTGGACTTGCAGCTGGCTCTTATAGGGCTGGAATTTTGGTTGCGGAGAATTTCACTTTGGGCGAAGGTATTTGAGATCGGTTATCGATTTCAGCTGGATTTAAAGGTCCTCTAACCGAAGCCATTACAATTATCTTACAACTAATAAGTAAGTACCAGATTAACTATAGCTTTCAAGCTACCTATATGCGAACCGGCGATCGCCTGTTGGATGTTTTGATCATGGGAGGGTGGTTCTTGATCGAAGCGGGCGAAGATGCAACAGCCTAAACAGCTTACAACATTACAACTGCAACTTCTAAATCTCTTATCACATTACCATTCCGTCAATTCTGCCAAGCAAACATAACTGGCCGGCTACATATCGCAAATGTGATGGTTCGGTTTTTTTGGACACGAAAAAAATATAAAAAATATACAAAAATAAAAAAATAAAAAATACGATTCCATTCCGTCGTCATCATTGAAACTCCCTGTTGGATTAAGAAGGTGTATAAACAGAAAGCACCTGTCGTGGCCAAATATACAAATAAGTATCAGCCGCATATCCAAAAAGGGAATGTGTCTTCGAAAAGGCCTTGTATTCATCGACTAACTCATGCCAGGGTACCTCGTTTGGGTTTACTAGTCAAGAGTCGCAAATGGAAAATCGGTCGTATTTCATGTATTAAATTAGCAGAAAAGGAGTGAAAAGGGTGCGAGACATAAGATTTAGATCCAAGACAGATGCAGAGGCGACTAGTAATAAGTATTGCGCTTAACTATAAACGAAAATCCAACGCCTGATATAAAAATAGAATTATCATATGGACTAAAAGAGTATACTAGTATATGTTATCGTTGGTAAGCAAACAAAACCCTTCCTAAAAGATAAGCAGAAATCCAACAAGTTGTGATCATCAGTTCGTATTCGTTGTTGTCGTAGTCGTAGTTGTAGTCGTCGGAGCAGGTGGAGGGGTGGGAGCTGCTTCTTCGGTAGTATTGTTGGCAGGCTCCGCGCTACTGGCAGTAGCCTGTTCCTGCGTCGTAGGTTCCGGAGGCGTAACATCGGCAGGAGTTGTAGTTGGCGCTACTGTAGTTGGAGCTACTGTAGTTGGAGCTACTGTAGTTGGAGGAGTGGTGTTAGTAGCTTGTGCTGTGTTGCTCCTGCTAAGTCCTGTATTTGTCCTAGAGATTGTCTTGATACTAAAGTTGCTGAGCTTTCGGGCAACGGCGCCACCCCGGAAGCTTTGTTTTCGCCACCAACTGAACTCGGCGGGTGTAATAGGGGTTTCGCCCGGGTTGCCTGCGATTTCGGGGTCAGGAGTCAGAGGGGAGACACTACCCGGAATATTGTCGATAGGACTTGTGGCTTCGGAGAAAACTGAGCGGCGGGTTCTTGTACTAGCATTGCGGGAAGCAGCAGAAATAGGGTCGGATCGTTCAGTGGCAGGTGTAGGGACGATAGAGAAAGCATCATTGGCTCGGTTTTCGTCAATAACCCCGAGTTTAGCATAGTCGACAGCACCAGCGTCGAGTTCAACTGGGCCTTTTGGTTCGGCTGGAGATAAGAAATGTCAGTTTTTAAAGTGTCACGGCGAGAAAAGCTTGTGCGACCAGCCATTTGGGCATATGCACATACCTGGTAGTTCGAAAATTATCTGCGGGTTACCAGAATACTGATCTCCAGTGGCGTAGGCGGGTGCGATAGTCGACATGCTACCGTAACTGCCATATTGTTGCTGCGGATCGGCTGGATATTCCGGATATGCGGCGCCCTTGGTGTCTTTCTCTTGGTTTTGGAATTGCTCATTTCCTGCGTCCTTAGCTGCTTTCCGCTGCTTCCTGCGCCGGATGCAGAAGAAGGCGATACAACCCCCTACAATGGCTAGAACAACCACAATACAGACTGCTACGACTGGGTAAACAAACTTGGGCGTCTCTGATTTTGTCTGTATAATGCTGACGGAAGGAGTGCTATTGGCAGGCTCGGAAGGATATGGGTAAAATGTGGCCGCTCTTTGGGGAGGCGATTCAGTGACGAACATTGCCTCGAGAGTTGGAGCTGCCCATCTGGAAGCCGTTTTTGTAGCCGACCCGTTCTCACTAAATTAATTCGTTAGTTTATTGTATTTCTAAAGTAAATAAATAAATAAAAATTCAAAAATATGAGTGGGACATACTCTCCGCCGACAACATCTCTGATGGGTTGTGGAACCTTGTATTGTTCGTAAACCGATGGGTCATAAGCGCTCATAAACTCAAGTTTGTTGAGGTTGAGGACACGAACTATGTCGATACATCTGCTCGGACTTGATGGGGCGCCTCCGATAATGAACATCTGGTCGGGAAGTGGTTTGACGCATCTGTGACCTTTACGTGCGGTTGAGGGCGAACCGTCTAGGACCTTAATCCATTCAAACGCTGGAATGGAAAGGACGTAGACGTCGTCATAATAGGGGATGGGACGAGTCAGCGACTGCCCAGGGTAGCCTCCGTAGATGTAAATGTGGTGAGACTTTCCGTCCTCAGAGGTAGCTACAGTTGCACAGAATTGTGCGAGGCCAGTTGGGGGGATATCACCGGTTGTATTCTGGAGATACCATTGTTTGTCATTAATGTCGTATATGTCAATAGTCTGGAGGAAATTTGGGCCGGTCGCGACTGCTCTATTCAGGGCGGCCTGATAGACAGATGGGTCCTCATCTGGGCTCTCAGATTGCCACTCGGCTCTGGTAACGCCCCCAATAACGACGAGGGCGCCGAGCTTTCCAGCTGGGACGTAAACCATTTCTGCATTTACTCTTGGACGTGCCGGGGTTGGCAAAGTCGTATTGGTCCATTTTGTCCGGACCTGTTCCGATAAGTCGGCAGATATGAACTGGGAAGATGTGACATTGGGGCTATATCGTGGACGAGGACCAGGACCACGGATTTCTCCCCAATTTTTATTCTATTTCGGAATTCATCAGCCATCCGGTCAAAATAGATGTCCTCTTTTCGGAAAGAAGGAAATCATGCATTACATACCCTGGCCCCGGAAAAATAGTAAGTAGTGTTCAGTTCTCTGACATTGACTCCAGCACCACCTGCGACATAGCGGTTGACGTCGTTTGAGAGAACGGGCCCGACCTGCCAGCCTCGCTGCCAAATCCTTTCTGGGCCCTGCCTGTACACGTCGAAGACTTGTACGTTGTCGTCCGCAGGAAACGATTGGATAGAGTCCGTGTCAGCTAAAAGCCCACCATAAAGCCAAAAGCTATTATCATTCGCTGCCATGAACCCAGCCTGCAAAATGGCAAGAAAATGCATTAGTCACCTGCATTTTTGGGATATCATAAATCTGAGGATGCATGCATACCGTGACCTGGGCAAAGGGAGTATCTATCGTTTGAAAGGGTACCTCTGTGGTATTGAAGCCAGTCCCCAGATTTAGGTAATACGACAATGTTGGTATGTCGTTGACTAAGGTAACAAGGATGTCAGCAAGAATCCAAATCGACACCAAGCAAGCCTCTCTCCCACGAGGCTTCCATGGTTGGCGGTGACACAGCCTAGATAATGCATAAATGCGACCTCAAATTGCAGATTGTTTTTCTTAATTTTATATTTGGTAGCCGCTGGACCTCTGTGCCGTTGTTTGCGTGTTGCGGGTGAGGTCTTTCTGTTCTGCTGCACAGTCTCCTGCACCCTCAAATTTAGGCTTGAGCTCTGGCCACCCAGCCAACCAACCACCCCATTGAGCAGTCAAGGGGCTCCCCCTCTTAATGCACCATCATGAGGAATCCTTTGCTTCAAAGGAGGAATATCGCAGGAAAGATGATAAGCAAGCAGGTGCATGGAGAGTTGACATACCTTCTATTTGTGGGGCACCAGTGCCCGTGATATTAGCGCGTTTTAGCCTTCCGCCGTTAATATAGAGTTGATCTCGAATGATTGCGCCTGCGGTTGTTTGATATATGTTAGGACCCTGAGAAATAATCTGTGCTGATAAGACCCGAACTAACTCGATGGCAGTTCCCAGGAGCACATCGCCCTGATTCCAATCTCACGTCGTTCCAAAGGCCCATTTTCGCGCCTGCTGATACCCATTTCCGCTGTCGAAACCGCAAGTGCATGGCCCAAAGCGGGCAGAGTCGCAAAGATGAGCTTCCTCCGAACCATGTTGACCTAAGCTTTGTCGAGAAAGTCGTGGTGACCAGTGAAAGAAATTCAAAATCTGATCTTTTGGTCCGATGGTTTCCCTGAAAGGCTGATATTATAAAGCTCGTGGAGGGCGCACTAAACCTCTTGGGCTGAGTCTCGGGTGGGTCCAACGGCTGTACTGATGGCCACCAGGCGCGAACCTCGCATCCTCCAGAATCAAGGGCAACTATCCGTCAGCTACTGCATTGGCTAAGGTCCTACACATGCGACTCTGAACTAGGAAACGAATGGGATGAAAGATGACCCAGGAAATCGTATTCCTTCAGGAAAACTAAAAAACAAATTACCACCTTCTTGATAGCTCAACTGTCAAAGTAAGGGCGGGCCTCCTTAAATTGGTGAAGAAGCATCGATCGAGCCCATCGACCAATGCAAGCCAGAAACGTATACGGCCAGCTTTCTCTTGTGCCATGCGGGTCATGCACCCAAGACTTCCTTCACTCCAGGCTGCATAAGATCGCTTCTCCGTCGAAACACGCAGTTCGTCCGGGTGTTACACTTGAGATGGGGGAGGGGTTTTGGCTGTCTCTGGCATTTCCCGCGAGGTACCAGTTACCTTCCCGCTAACTTTGCCGACAAAACCGTCCTGACAAGGGTTTTATTCTGGGTGACAGGAAGGGCCTTCGAAGGCTTGTTCGAACGCAGTTTCTCATTTCACCCCACCCTTTCGAGGTCAGGTTGGAATGCAAAGAGCAAAAAGGGAACAAAGATCACACAATTAAACATGACAAGGCCAACCTGCTCGCCTCTTGAGCCCGGAGGGAGACATGCCACCATCTTTGGGGGCCTTGTTATAGCTGGTCTGGGCACTTGTTATTATTATAGCTTACGGCTACTAACTACCTTTCGGTTCCCCCCCAGCGAAGCTCGCTATTCCCGGTGGCACAAAAGCATATTTGCGTCTGACGAAGAGGGAAGAAGTCCAAGTTTTTCCTGCTGCGGTGAACAACAGCAACCTTAACAATAGATGATAAAAATATCATTTAGCATCGATATCGTCGATGCGACGATAAACATAAGACCAACTGATTTCATTTTCAAGTGGCTGGGTGGTGCTCTCGCTTCGAAGCCCTACTTGAACAAAGGGACGGCTGAATAGTGCTAGTGGAAAAGGGTTGGCACAGCCCTGGACCTACCGGCCAATAAGGGCTGCAGCGACAGTCTATCCAGCATGAACTATCATCTTCTGCCAAAGATGGCCACTCCATCCTCCAACGTGCCCAGATTGCGAGAGGTAACCCCAAGGTTGCAAAATGAGTAATACAATATTTGAATATATTCGCACTCCTCAGCCGGGGCACCTTGCGAGAAAGAAATTTTCCCGCCCTTCCTTGCATGTTGCTTACTGCCGGTTCTGCAGGCCAACTTTACGATATCTTGGAATTGCATTGCTAAATGCACACCCTTGACCTAACTGGGTGGAGACACCTCTTGTCAATGAGAGAGTAGATAACCCGTCGCACCGCCAGTTCTTTCTAGCCTGATTTGCTTCCGTTTTTGGTACGCCTCACCAGCCCTTAACTGGAGACAATTCACAATTCTATCTGGAGGGACGATCTTGAACTTCAGATGGTTTGAAGTTGGTCCTCTTGGATCCCTTCTGTCATTCGCTTTTTATACAAACACAAGCTTGTCGCTCGCTGTCCCTGAATAGGCCTGCAGGCCTCTACCCGCTTACAACATGATGGCGGTTTCGTTCAACGCACTGTCCCTCGCTATTATCCTGCTGTTCTCCTTGGTGTCGGCGACGAATCCCAAAACGACAACGATAACTCAGACGCAGACGCAGACCAGCACTATCACGACATGTCCGGTGAGTATCTGATGGAATGCAGTTGATAGTCAATTCCTAGAAGCAATTGTTGACAAGCTCCGAATTATTTAGGCTCCTGAGTACCCCGTGACAGAAACTGTCACTGTTAGCTTAACTTGCCCCGTAAGTTCTTTTTTCATATCGCGAATTCCACCACGCAGTGTGCATGTGACTTACCAATGCCTTTGCATATCTCCTTAGACCCCGGAAACTGTTACCGCCACGACCACAGAAACTGGCTATGGCGAAGTTACAGTTACGGAAACTTGCTATATTACTGTTACTGAGACTCCAGATGTATCTACAATCACGGAGACCGGTGCTGTTACTATTGTCACGGAAACTCTGACTGGCGATGTCACAACTATTACCGGCGACGGCGTGACAGTCACGGAAACTCTGACTGGCGATGTCACGACCATTACCGGCGACGGCGTGACGGTCACGGAAACTCTCACAGGAGACGTAACTACGATTACTGAAGCCGGCCCGTCGCCAGTGACCTTGACACAAACATTAACTGCGTCGACGGTAACGGTTACTGAGGGAGGATACCCGGTAACAACGACAGTTACACACACTTCAGTATCTATCTCGACAAAGTGGAAGGTTAAGTGGAAGACAACGACGTCGACAAAGACACAGACGGCGACAGAAACTCTGACGAATACCGCCACTGAGACTCAGACAAATACTGAGACTCAGACGAATACAGAGACCCAGACGGATACAGAGACTCAAACCCAGACGGATACTCTCACTCAGACGGATACTCTCACTCAGACGGATACTCTCACTCAGACGGATATTCTGACGAATACGCTGACCGACACACTGACTGACACTTTGACGAACACTCTGACCGACACTCTGACTAATACACAGACTGATACTGCCACCGAGACTCAAGTCGAAACCCAAGTCGAAACCCAGGTCGAAACCCTGGTCGAGACTCTGACTGAAGAGGTTTTGATAACAGAGACCCGTACAAGCCTTATCACGGAAACGACCGAAGTCCCCAGTCCTTATCCAGTGACAGAAACAATCCTCAGGACAGATGTTATCACTTCGACGGTTGTGTCTTCGTTTACTACCATTGTCCCGACGACAATTATCTCTTCGTTCACTACAACTCTCGATGCAGAAACAATCGTAGTCACGACGACGTTGACCAGCTTCGTCCCAGTTCTAACTACTACGACTATTCCGATCACCCGTACGACTACTCGGCTCGTCACTGTTCGGACGACTTCAGTTCGGACTGTGTTGGTCACAACTGTCCGCACCTTGCCGCCAATCATTCGAACCGAGACCCACACGCTGCCGGGCAATACCATCATTCGCACGCTGCCAGGCAATACAATTGTCCGTCCGCCAACGACACGCACCGTCACTGCCACGGTTGTTCAGTATGTGCTATATTTAAAATAATATCCGTACCTTTTTTTAAGCTTTGACGAGAGCGTGTTTCTAACGTTGCATGACTAGGACTGTGACAAACACTATCTATACCAGGATATGCGAGGCGAGGTACCCGGCAAAGGGAGACATTAACGCCTACGACTTCCCACGCAATTATACTTGGGGCTGTCCGCCAGGATATGTTTGCGCACCCAAGGTCCAGCAAAGACCCGGTCGTGGTGCATGTCCGAATGAGCCTCCACCGATCGATATCTATGCATGCCGACCGGACGAGTGTGTCAAAGCCCCTCCTCTCGCCGACCCTCAGAAGCACTGCTGGCGGCCTGCTGGATGCTCGTACAAGCTCTGCACTTACAAATACAATAATTATCCGTACTATAATTTGGATCCTAGGAGATGGGCTCTTAACTTTTCGTCCGACGGATATACCCTCATTGATAATGACCCTACGGGCTACAGGTACTATAAACGGCAAGCCCAGGCTTTATTGGCACAGGCATCGACCGATCTAGCCGTTCCCGTCCAACCCTGTTACGATGAATGTAACAACGCTATGTTAGAGGCCCAACGGACTGGTAAAGTTCCAGCTATTTGCGAACTTGACTCGGCGTTTAACTTCAAGCTTCAGCAATGTAGCACTTGCATGTCGAGGCTTGATATTACAAACACGCAGTTTCCTCAGCTCGTTTATCCCGACGTTGCACAATGGGTCTCTTATTGCGAGGGGCTCCTGCCAGCGCCGCTTATGCAGACTACTCCGGTGAGGAAAGGGGAAGATAGCACGCAGACCACATCGTCTGCCGATAGCGTCATCTCGAAAGAAACCGAGACCGTCACTCTGACACCTGAACCTACGACGGTTACGGCCACTGCGGAACCCGTGACTACCTCTGGTGACGATACCAGCGAGCCTCCAAGCACCACCGCTCCTGAGCCAACGACCACCCCAGAACCGACAACCACCCCAGAACCGACAACCACCCCAGAACCGACAACCACCCCAGAACCAACAACAACTCCGGAACCAACGACCACCCCTGAGCCAACCACTAATCCGGAGACAACTACAGCTGAACCCACCACTAGTGAAGAAGATTCCACCACGCCTGCCCCTACGACAGAACCAACTGGAGAGACAACAACATCTAGCACTGACTCCCCAGCGACAACGACAACAGACGATTCCAACCCCACAACAACGGAATCTAGTTCAGGCGAACCGACAGGAACAGATACTGCGACAAGTGACACGGCCAACCCAACGTCTACAGAAACCGACGAGCCGACAGGTACATCTTCAACTGCTGGTGAGACTTCAACTGGCGGGGGCAACGGTGGGGATGACACCACTACCACTTCTTCTCCACCCTCCACCTTGACTTCTACGAGCTCTTCTACGGTAAGTTTCTTACGATTATTTCTTCAACCAGTTACAATACTAATAGAATTGTACAGTCTTCATCAATCTGGATTCCAAGCATCTCTGGGGTCACCCGGCCAGACTTCACTGGCTCTCCAACCATCACTGGGCCCCCAGCTGCCACAGGAAGCGCCAGCACCATGAGCCCACCATTCATGACAGTCATCATGCTTGTTCTCGGGTCTTTGCTCATGATGTTTTTGTAGAGATATAATTTGCAAACATGCAAATATCTGAGGCCTACAAAGTTCTACGAGAATCAAACCCCTCAGATACCTAAACTAAAGGAAATGAAAGAGATATTGTAATAATGATACCAAACGGGCCCCCTTTACCTCACACCACCCCACACCTCAGCACCCCTATCTTCATCTGATATTTTAATGACCCCCCTCAAAGAATTTACTTCATACACTCATTTATGATAGCCAAACTTAGCATTAGCGACATTTTAGCGAATCTTGTGACCAATTTTTGGATACCACCTTTTTATCTTTTCATGTATCATCTTGGGAAATCGTCTATTTTATGGATTAATCTGGGAACCAAAAAAAAGGTTATTTGTGCACGGATTAAATTATGGTTTAATGGGATTAACTTTGTAACAGCGGAATTATCGATGAGAAATCGTGTAACGCGGTATAACTCTAGAATGAAATAAATAATTCTTAAAAAAAAAAAAAAGGCCAAAGCTCCGTTCTATTGCCGAAAGGATATTCTAGACTGTTCGGCTTCCCAAATTTGGGTTTTTTTGTAGTGATAGCGATTGCTCAAGAATGCCAAATCTTGCCAGCCGCGAATTGATCAATCATAGAGCGTAGGCATCGAACGCCCTTCTTATCGTAATCTGCTGTGACGGCATAGTCCTCATCTCCTCTGACGCAATTAACCTTTCAAATTCCTCCTTCCCGACCCACTTAAACTCATCATGCTCCGACGGTTGCAAAACCACATGCTCGGAATCCTGAACTTCAATTTCGAAATTAAACTTGCGCCACAGATCACCCCTCCTCCCCTGGAAGTCCGCCGTATCTATAAGCTTAACAATCTTGGTGGCTACTAAGCCCGTCTCCTCAAATAGCTCTCGTGCCACTGAGTCCAAAAGTGTGGCGTCTATTGGAGGGGCTTCTGCGCCCCCGCCTGGGACTTCGTACATTTCTGGATACGCAGATTCGGAGGCCGAACGGCGGATCAAGAGGAGTAGAGGCTCGCCTGAAGACGAGGGTTTGAAGACGAATGCTCCTACTCCGATGGTATCGCGTGGAGCATTGAGAAGGATGATTTCTTCTAAAGGTTTGTTGTATTGTTCGACTTCTGGGCTGAAAGCGTAGGTGTGGTCCACGAGTGCGGGGGGAGGTTGGTCTGACGGAATGTATGGAGCCGCAGACATCTTGAAAAAAATATTGACTTGTACTAAGCTTTCTAATGAATCTGGCTCCTTCTAACCTCTACTATCGGTTTGGCTATTTTGGGGTTATCGAGGTACTTTTTGAGGGAGAGATGTCGGGCTGTCGGAGCCTTATATACGATAGTATATATAAGCTTAATTCTAGCGAGTCGCACGCGCGCACACAGCCTCAAAAGTGAATTTAAACTTCGACTCACTGACGCACACCCACAGATCCGGGACGGTCTATGACGAGGCCTCTGAGTCAGTTGCAGAGAAACTAATGTAATAATGTCGGTTCCTATATGCACATCGTGCAGTAGTCAACCGCGTGTCTTCGGTTTTCTCAAAGGCTAAAAAGGTGTCTACGACGAAATCCAACAATGGCAACGCGTAATATGCAAGGGTCTTGGGTCCTTCTTCGTTATTTGGCAAACTACTAGTGGTTGCAGAAAAGGGACTCGCAAGGAAACGCGTTGAGGCTTTGGGTAGTTGAGGTCATTTACAAAAGCGAAGAGGAGAAGCATAGAAAGGAGTAGTAGGTGAGAAGTGGGTCATAGCAACGGAAAACTCCTTTGCAAGGATGGCAGTTGGAAAGAAGCTGTCGCTAAAAACGATTGAGAATAAACATACGTGATTGATGAAATAAAAGCTTTAGGAATAGCATATCGATGAGTTTCAAATCTCATAAGAAGTATAATCAATATCAGCAGTATCAGCATCAGCAGTATTAGTAGTAAGAATGGTCGAGGAATTAGTAAGAGTGGGAAGGCTGCGATCAGGGGAGATATGAGTACCGACATCGAGTTGACCATTCGTCAAAGGGGAAGAGGAGCTTGGGGGATCGTCTTCCGTTCTCCTTCGTATACAGAAAATCCACCCAGTCCCATCGGCATCCCGCTGCCGAAGGAGCTCATATTCATCGTCCGATTCATTATATGGGGTCGAACACTCGCCTGATCCATTACTCCCTCCTCCCTCAAAGAAGTGTCCTTTGCCGTCCTGGTTGACTGTACTTATCTCCCCTACCCCACTAATTATGGAGTCAGGGAATGGGAGGCTTAAAGTAGTCTCACTGGAATCCTCTTCGATTCCTTCCACCTCTTCCACTCCCCCTCGCTCTTCCTCTTCATCTTCAATTTCATCTTCCATTCTCTTTCGATGCCCCCTTCTCCCCCAATACTGACGAATACCATCGCTATCGTGTCCATTGGGGAAGTACAGCGCCTCGAGATAATCTAGTTGCTGGGCTAGACTCGCGTTTGGAGCGATTGGCAAGCGATGCGAGACGATATCCCTTTTAGGGACAGTATAAGGAACAGCCGAAGCCGGAGTACTGGCGGCAAGTACAGACAAGATATCCGGTTGGTCCAGTAATTTAAAGGAGAAAGCAGTGTAATATTCCAGCTGTTCAATGATTAGGACCAACTCTGCTTATTTTCTCTTCTTTTTGATTATGAGGATGACTGACCTTGGATTCGACCGGCTCCCAGACTTGTGCCCAGCTCATTGCTGAGTGGCACTCGATGTTGATATCGAGTGCGAATTGGGGTGTGTTGAACCCACGCACACAATCCCTCTACTAGATCGATCAGAGACGTTGCTCTGCCAAGTATACTTAATACAATGTACAATGGATCTTACCCCGATATTTAGGCTGAAAGATGCAGAGTCGTCGATTTGGTGAAGGGTAGTATCGTCCACCAGAAGAACTTCAACAAATCCTTCCTTTAGTGTAAACCTCAGCCATTCTGTGGGCCTGTAGGTTCTGTTAGATAGGTAATAATTCAAGAATAATCTCCTAGAATGAAGCGACCCACCCTTGTTTGTGAAATGAAATCAAGGGAGCTCGGAAAGGGCTCCCGGATATCTTGAGCGTGTTAAACGCTTTGTCCGGGAGGAACACGGCTATTTCGGTGGCCATAGAGGCAAATAGCAGGAACTCCTCTTCTTAAATGGTTCTTGGTAGTTGTGACGATGGTTGGTGATGGAGGTGATGATGATTCTGATGGTAGAAATGTGGGTGATGTTGCTGGCAGGTTGCTAGCAGATGAGAAGTCGGCCATTTGATATGTATGTGTTTGAGTAAGTACTTACTTACTTACTTACGAGATCCGGTGTGTGTTTGGTGTAACTGGGTTTTTGGACCGTGGGAATGTACTAGCAAGAGCACATTGTATTGCAACTTCATCTCAGCGCCGAACAACTTCTACATCTAGGTATGATGAGACCAAATACGTCCTTGTGTTCGAGATACCATATGTATTAGCTTGCGAATTATACTCAGACCCGTCTCTGGCTCCAAGACTACTCAGATCCTAGACTTGAAGAAATAGTTAGCCCCAAGGCACCTAGAGCGCCTGTGCTAATAACGAATATAGTACGAGCCAATTTAGCCAGATAGTTGACAAGCCCTGATGATTCTTCGTCTCTTAAGCTAGGCTCCCTAATAGAAGCGACCTTGAGCTCTTCTTTGCTAACATCTTTGATTTATTTGGTCAGGGTCTTGAAAGTAGCGGCCTCATCCTTTATCGTGGAAGAATATACTATTTACGGTGCTGCATGCGCAAAGGAAAACATGTTTCGGACTAGGAATTCGAGGTTGACCCCCTCTCGCCCTCACTCAATTAAGGTCTCAGCGAAGCCTCTGCCGCGACTACTTGGTAATGCACCATGAGACTTGATTAATGCATGCCCGTGCGTGCGTTCTTAAGAATTGAAAACAAAATAAATGCTTACTATCGACTAGAATATACGACCTACATATATTTGCCTACACCCCCTACTATCAGTCTTCTTACATGCATGCATGCTTGTCAGATCTACGAATAAATTTTATCATTTTTAAGTCATTTGGACAATCGATATCCATCTACAAAAGCTCAAGCTATCCCGAAAAATCGACATTGAACTAGTGGATTCTGATTATTCCGTATCAAGAACAGCCACGCCCCATATATATATATATATATTGCGAGATGCCCAACTTCCGCAAGTTCATCAAGAGCTTACTAACGCCAAGCGGGTCTAAGAAAGGCTCATCTAGCTCTTCTCTTTGTGACACGTGGGAACGAGAGCATGTGTCCCTAAGGCCTGCAGAAGGAGGGTCGGGATCCCAAACCCCAAAACAACCCCCTTCCGAAAAAATGGAGATTTTCTATGACCCGAATCCATACAACTTCTTCCTCCTCTGTCCAACACACGCACAACCAGGGTTCGTTCAAGAAATCTATGAAGACGAAATGGCCCATCTCTTGTGCCTCTTCAACGGCAAGCTACACCCGGGTCTTTCGCCAGGTGTGGCAAGGGAAGAACTCTCTCGAAGGACAAAGCTAACCCCAGATATGAAAACAAAGATTCAAAGAAGAATGGAAGAATTGGATGTGTCTAGAAATGCTTTGGTGGATCCTAAGAAGAGGGCAATTGTCGACGAGAGATATGGTGATAGGACTAACTGCCAAGTCTGTGCGGAGCCGCCCCAGGTTAAAGGGCCGATAGCAATGATTGATCAGCTCAGTTCGGGTCTTCAGTCCCATCCGCGTCCAGGCAGCAAGGAATGGAGGGAATACAGGGCTAACTCGGAAAGACAGCGCATGGAAAGAGAGCGCGAGAACTCATAAGTCTGCACGTCAAAGTAAAAGTATACACATCGAAGACTGATGGGTTGGGATGGTGTGAAAAAAGGCATCGATATCAGGTGGGCAGAAGGCGTTGACGCTATTCATGACCCCAGGAGAGATAACCAACACCTCCCGACCGAATTTTCTTTAGATATAGAAGCTCTAAATGGCTTTTTATATAGGCGGAATATTTAGTGGACTCGTCTAGTGTTCCGTAGATGCTGTGCACGTGTCGGCACGAATGCAATAGACCGGGCTGTCCAGCCTAAATTAATATGATTCGAACAATGTTAACCTGATGCGTTGCGTGGTATTTTGATGTAACACAACTGCAGCCAAATCTGGCAACCGAATGAACCGCGGCATCTTGACGTTCTCATGCAAGCGGCATTCGATTCCAAGGTTCCCCGATGCCGAATAATCGATTCGATGGGGGTGTTCTCGGTCCAGCCGAAAGGTACTCGAGCTTACCCCGGAGCTTTCTCCATATCGAGATTGGGAAGTGAGTGCTTCCGTGCCTCCAAGACCACCCAACATTCTAACAATATAAGAATCCTACCCGGCCGGTTTGGGGTAAATAAAGATGCCATGGTTGATTTGCATTCATTCAATTTGTTCTAAAATATATAAAGCTTAAGCTGTAGCTGCTTCAAATTTAATTCTTCATTTTTTCGAAATAGTTTTTGACCCGCCCGCTCGAACCTCCCATTTCAATTCAATCTTGCTTTCCAAATTATATTCGTCGCACAAATATGTCGCCAAAAAGCTACAAGCAGGTTGTCTATGCCGAAAGGCCGAATCCTACAATTATTCCAGATAAAACCTTCAACGTCAAAACCGCGTCGCTACCGACGTCATTAAAGCCCACTGAGATTCTAGTTCGCGCACATTACCTGTAAGCAAATGGCGCTCGAAATACCACAGTCCAACACATATGCACACTCCTAGACTCATCACTAATTCGATCACTATAGATCCCTCGATGCTGCTATGAGATCATGGCTAACTGCTAAGAGATCTTACATCGCCCCTGTGGAAATTAATGATGTTATGCGAGGCTCTACAATTGGCCAGATCCACGATATTGGCTCGGCTATTGACTCTACTAAGTTCAAGAAGGGAGACTGGGTGGTCTCCATGTCTGGGTGGGCGGAATATGCTGTTCTCACTGAGAAGCTAGTAGAGAGATTAGACGTGCCTCCTGGGTGTAGTCCGAGGGATTTCATGAGCGTTTTGGGAATTACAGGTTTAACAGCCTATTTTGGGCTGGAAGAGATCGGAAAAGTCAAGCCTGGTGAAACTGTTGTCGTTTCCGGGGTATGTAGCGTCCAGTTCCCTTTGAAATCTACGAGTGGTTCTAATTTTCTTAATATATATATAGGCAGCAGGTGCAACAGGTAGCATGGCCGGTCAGATTGCCAAGATCAGAGGTGCTAGGGTGATTGGTATCGCTGTAAGTGACATCGGATCTACCTAACCTTACTTGAGAATGACTTTTAACATTTCTGGGGGTCTATATAGGGTGGTCAAGACAAATGCGATTTCTTGACCTCGGAGCTCGGCTTCGATGCCGCAGTTGACTACAAAAACCTAGAATGGAGAAACCAACTCCGTGCATTGACACCCAAGTACATCGATGTCTATTTTGACAACGTCGGCGGTGAAATTCTGGATGCGTGTTTGGCCCGTGCCGCGAGGGACAGTCGCTTCATCATGTGTGGTGCAATCAGCCAATATAACACTGCCACACCCAAAGGACCAGCGAATATCTTAAACGTGATTGTGAGTAGCTATTCTTCACCTGAAGTACTTCAAAGATACAAGACTAATCAATGATTATCTGTAATAATAGTCTCAACGAATAACAATCAAGGGCTTCATCGTTTTTGATTTTGCCAAGAAATACAATGCTGCGAGGAAAGACCTTGCAAAATGGTTGACCGAGGGCAAGTTAAAGAGCAAGGAACATATTGTCACAGGTGGCATTGAAAGGGCACCTGCTGCTCTTGTAGACCTTTACGCCGGTGGTAATACTGGCAAGATGTTGGTTGAGATTGCTCCGATGTCTGAGGCTCTCCCTGGAAGCTCAAAATTGTAATGCACAAGATATACCTGAAATGTACTTAATACGAAGTAATGGACTTGGGCATGGTATTGCCATATAAGCCTTTGATTTCCATATCACCTATTACTACACTATGTACTATATATGTTATTATACGGTATCTTCAAACGTTATTGTACATATGAACATAACTTTTTGCTTTTGTTGAGCACCGTATTAACATCAAACTCAAGGCCAAAATAAAGAAAAAGAGGATTTTGACTTCCCAAACTTTTGATCCTCGCAGTATCAGCATATCCAAACGGAGTTTTTTTTTTTTTTTTTCGAGTCCGAACTGGCCCTATACCTAGAAAAGTCCAAACATATTTTGAATCATCAGTAGCAAAAAAGAAATCCTCCCAAGGTATGTCGAACGATTAATGTGTGCACCATTTAAAAGAAAAGTTAACCCAGTTTCCTAATTGGGTCCAGAATCGAAATTAATGCGTCGGGGAATTAAAAGGCCCATTAAAAAAGCTAACACTATTTAGCTTTCCTCAGCGAGTAGCAGCTCAAGCAGATCCTGCCCTCCGACATCCGGACCCATCAATCCATTACTTACCCCAGCCCCATAACCGAGAAGGGGCTCAATTGGTAGTGTCAACCAATCATCCCCACTGGTATTGTTATTTCCAAACAATCCATCCATTTCATTATCTCCAATACCGTACATATTCGCCAAATTGGTAAAGTTACCAGTATCACCCATAGCATGAAATGAGGTCGGGAAGACATTCGAATATGTCGGGAACTGTTGAGGAACTGTATTCCCGTTGAACCCATTTTGGTAATTCTGCTGGTCGTTTGGGTAGATGCTGTTCCCATAGACGATGTGTGGATGTGGCATACCTAGGTTGTCTAGATCGTTGACGCCGTTGGTCGTGTTAACTGTTGCGGCATCCGGCATTGGTTGGTCTGCGTTTGCACCTTCCCCATGATTAAGCTTATTCGGAGTGTCCTTCCCGCTCTGATTCATTCGGATAAATCTTGCTCTGATCCTAGAGGTGAGCGTTTCAAGGAGGTCACCGAACCGAAGGGCAAGGTGAACGTCGTCACAGCTGGCAGCACGGAGGGCGTATACAGTTTGGTCCATGAGTTTCAATGATACTTTGATATCGTCTTCTCGTGCACCAAGCGCGAAGGTTTTCAGAAGGTACATAGCGGCTGATGCGATTCGGAGATATGTTCGGACCGGTGCATGTTTCAACCAGCCTCCTGGAAGAAGCTTTCGGATGACCGTTAGAAGAAGGCAGCGAGAGGCGTCAACTACTTCCTTGATATATTCCTCGTCTCCCGCACATATCTGCATAAGGGTTGCATAACCAGGATTAGAAGCCATGACTGGAGGGGGGGCTAAGAAGGTTGCAGGGGTGATTGTGGGATTTCCGTTTAAGTCTATTGGCGTTGCCCCTTCCTTGCTTTTCTTTGAGCTCCCATTAAGGTGATTTGGGTTGAGGTTGGTGTTTGTACACCTATCCACAACCGCCTGCAGCGCTAAACTATTGACATACAGCCTAAGGTATTCAAATTCGACCCTCATAATTGATCGCATGGGCTCTTCAATAGTCAGATTGTCGAACTCCCGTCTCCATGCCCTAAGTAGCGGTTGGAAATGCTCGAGGAGTTGGGTATACCGGCCTGTTCGTAGAACCATCTTGGTCGCCTTTCGGGACGGGAAGAGAAGCTCCGAGGCAGACTTCATAAGGGAAGTCAGCTCTACCCACGATTGAAGCACGAGATCTTGCACAGGCGTTGCTGTTAACGAAGGGGGTTCATCTGCGTCAACTGGTTCGGGAGCGCCGTTTTGAAGCTGTTGCTGTAGGAATGGAGAACGCTGTTTCCCCCTGAACAATACCGTAACGGATATATGGCGTGGGATCATGCTTGTCCAGCCAAGTCGACTAGCAAGATGCATAACAGATATCACTAGGATCCTTTGAACTGTTGCGGTGCTTGGCTTCGCGACAAGTTTGGAAGCAGAAGGGTGATTGTTTTCAACGCCACCGATCGGGCGGTTTGCGTTATCCTCATCGTTTTCGTCGAAAACCCCAAGCTCATAGGCTAGCGCGAGTGAATTTCCAAGTAGCATCCTAGGGTCAAGTTAATTTTGGCATTGGAGATAGTTGTGAATTAAGCTTAAGAGGACTTACCAGCTCATGCGGTCGCTTCTGTAAGCTGGTTCAAGAAGATTGCCAATACTATCCCCAAGTCCCTCGACGACATATTTGTTAGCGGTGCTAGATTCGCCATCGTCATCCCGTTCCGGTTTATCCTCGGGCAAACCGAAACCACCAAGTCCTGCGTATTCTCCATCATCCTCTCCGGGGAAATGCAACCCTCTGCAGTGCCACTCGGTTAGCGCGACAAGGGCGAGTACAGTTCCCATGGTCCTCATCCGCTTCTCGCTCCCCCACATTAATCTTTGAAACAAGCTTTGAAGGTTTCTCCAGAGCTTATCATGGATAGCATATGATCTTGAAAGTCCACCTGCCCCGGGAAGAAGACAGTACCGAGAAGCCAATGTCAAAAGAGTTGTTGCTAGTACTGGTTCAGTTTGTACTAGTTCGTCGTGGGTTGATGGATCAGAATAATAACCAGTAAATATCGGGCTCATTGGCGCCATATGGTTATAGAAGTATGTCATATATAGTAAGGCTTCTTGTGGCGTGAACCACCCTGCAATAACAAACCGATACTTGGCCCAGGCTTTGAGGGACACAGCAATCGCGTCCTCGGGGTACATCTTGAATGGGTCATCGTCCTTAGTCTTCGATGAGGAAGTACTCGGGTGGGCTGATGTAGGCGACGTCGGCGACTTCGGGTCGGCGATGGGGCCATTTTCTACGCCAGTTTCTGCTAATGGGCTTTCTTCCTCCTCAGAATCCTCGATATGGTTGATTAAGGCAGGGTCAAGAATGGATTCTGGAACTTCATCTTCATCAGCCAAAAGCACTCGACTGCGAGATGGACTCATTTCCCTCCCCGTGAGCCGTCGGTTCCTCTTTGAGTGGATGGAAAGATTGTTGATGTGATTCCGGTTCACTTTTGGGCTGACAGATCCATCTTGAAACCTCACGCCACGCGAGTCACACGACGATGTACTACTCTTGGGTGGGGGAGGGCGCATGTTCCCAGGCTCTGCAATAGTTGGAGAACAAGCTGTTGCAGCGGATGGAGAGGAATTCTTACGATCAAAACTTCGCCTGGGTACGCTTGAAGTCGCCGATGTAGAGGGATGATTGATAGGTGAAATATGGGACGACCTGCCGACGGCTTCGAAAAGAAGGGCTAGTGCATCTGGCGTATTATAGATCTCAGTATTTAGAAGAGTAGAGGCAGAGTTTGTGGCGGCTTGAGCCGTCTCTGTGAAGGACTGAGCGGCTAGAGTGGGATCGATATCCCTATCGCCATCTTGTTGGCCTTCAAAGTAATCACCCGGCTCGGGGAGGCTATTTCTACCATTCGGCCTTTGACGAGGTCGCGATACAAACTCTCCTGCACTCGATGCTGATACACTTTGAGACCTTGAATGGCCTGGTTTCGTGGGTAGAGTCGTGGGTAGGACAGGAGGACCAACGACAGTCCTCTTGGTGGTATCCTCCTTCAACCTCTTCCGACTCGGCCCATCATCATCACCAGAGCCCGTTAGTTCGCCAGGGCCCCTCCGCCGGGTAGCCGAAAAGAAGCACTCTTTACTTTCCCGTCGGCATCGAACGCATGGAGGGCTATGAGGTGCCTCAACGCTTCCTAGGTCACAACGGACCTTCCTACGACGACAAGGGATACACGCCTATCCGATCCCATCGTAAATAATTGTTAGCGGGGTCTATAGTGGGTCTATCGAATTTTAAGGGGAATATCGATGGCAATGGATACGATAACGACGATGTTCTTAGGCATACCTGATAAGATCTATATTAATACGCAAAATTTACATCAGCGTCAGCCTCAGCGTCATAACTAGAGTCCTAAAAAGCCCGAAGTCTTTCCGGTACAACTTACCGTTTATGCGTTACAGGTGGTGTTACGCCAGAGCCTCGAAAGTCATTACCGCTGCTACCACTAGGAAGGGTCTGGAGACCAGCGGTTGGACTCGGGAGTGGTGGAGCTTGCGGGTAGGCGTGGCTACTCATCTACTGCTCCTGCTCCTCGGAGAATTCGGTACACGATGGCTCGGTCTTAAAAACAAGCACGGTAACGCCGACCAGACAAAAATTCCTTATGGTCTGATTCTGATTCCAAAGGGGCAGCTATTTTCGCCGATAGTTTTCTCTATAGGGATAGTTAGGGCAAAGTTTGGGGTATGCTGTTTCGTTTGGTGAGGAAAATGGCGGTAAGATGCGGTTGGAAACGCGTTTTTCGCACAGCAAGTTTAGAAATTCTGGGGAATTTGAAGCTATATACTCTGGGCAGGGCAGGCCCTCAGTGAGTGCAAGTGCAAGTGCGATGGCGCTGCGACAGGGCTAAGCTCGACTGGACTAGACTCCTTAGTACTCGGTATCTCGACTAGGCTAGCAGGGAAAGAGCTTAAGAGGAAGGAAGCGTGATAGGGCCGAAAATTCTCTCGGGATGGCGATATGCAAGATTAAGCCCGGATATTAACTCTGAAAAACATCTCTGCGATGGGTATGTGCTCCTCGCTGGTAGAAAGCCCCATGCACCTGACCCGGCCAAGTCATCGAAACGAAACGAACATGAACGAGAACAACCACCTGCTGCATTCGGTTCAGACCAGGAACCCGCCTCAAAGTTTGTCCCTGGATCCATCACAGACCATTCGACGGGATGGCAGGTCCATCCAGAGCACGTTCACACGCATTAATAACATGGCAGGAGGAAGCCATGCAATCAGGCCCAACAAAATCGCACAGACATCGTGACCATACTTTCGAGTTCTGTGGGTCAGACTAGCAAGCCTTGTTACCCCAGATCCGAGCTCTCAACGGTAGCCATGTCTCAAGGCCATCGGGACTCTGGAGAGCATCGATATGGGCACTTATTGCTACCTTACGCAATTGCCGAAAATAAGCGATAGAGCTAACATAAAAGCAGCCATTGGAAGCAATCAAATTAGTCACGATGTTTATTGAGAGGAACTCTGGAAAAATTTTTATATAAAGGTGGGTGGGCGCAGTTACCTGGTGTCAATTGTTAGAAGTCGAATCCGGTATTGATAGGGTCGCTTTGTGTCCGATAAGCCCGAACGCGGATCCACTAATCGGATTACGGAACACACCTTCGGGTTTTTGCTTTGGATAAGTTGGTATCCGGGTGGTGTCGACGTCGACGTCTATTGGAATACCACCGAGGCCAGAAAGCTTATTGGTCGGTAGACGTAATACGGTCAGCTAGATCCTTAAATCGCGCTCGAGGTGTAAGGTAAGGTAAGGTAAGGGAAGGTAAGGTAGTATACGTGTGTATACGTAAGAAGTGTATACGATCCACACCGGTTCGTATCGACTCACAATTCACTAAGCTAGCTGCTCCTCCAAGCTAGATATCGATCGATCCAAACTTAATATCAACTTTCAATTTGAAGGTATCTGGACGGGAAGCGTACGTACCATAACTACTTAGGTAAGTACGTAAGTAAGTACTTGGTAGCTGGTAGGTGCTAAACATAGTACCGAAATACCCGGGTACGTTACCGATGAATATGTACCCACATATTCCTTCTAGAATTTCGAGACCACGTTCATGACGCAAATCCCAATCTGCCTTGATATCGATCACACTGAAACGTCCCACACTCAACATCACGTTACCTGCAATTCAAGGTCTCGCATAAAGTGTGGCTTCAGATGTTTTCCCACACCGACGAGGGTTGCTCTGTACAGCCTACTTGGTGCCATTCCATTGATGTTCCATTCTGTCCAGCGAGATGCTCTTGGTTAGGGACAAACTGTGTTGAGGTGAGGTCGAAATATCAACACAAGTTTCTAATCCAACATTCACAACGCGGTTTTCCATACAGCCGCCTTGCTGTTTCGCCTGTTTAGAATTTGGCAGATGTTACGACAAATGTTTCATAAACTTGATGACATAAAATGAGCCGCAACTACACAGTATTCGGATATGGCTAAGCCAAAATGATCATTGGTGGCTGATTGGATAAACAAGACTTTATTATTTGGCCATTATCCGGTACTCATCTTATTATATTATGCAGTTGGCGATACTAGCGCATATGATCATGCTCGCTCCCGTATCGACATGTCGACGCCGACACAAGCTCAAAGATAATAGACAATGCAGTATACTTACATATGCAGGCGGTACTGTGGCTCTTTAAGGGTGCCTTCCTAGGCGTGGAAATTACCATCGTTCATGCACTAGGTCACCTATACAGCTAAGCTTATAACAAAGGTGCACTGCAAGTCTCTTGACGGATGTTGCCTTGTTCAAGTGAACTACGAGTATCCCGCCCCCCCCTACTATTAGTGTTATTTTGCCCAATCCATTTGATTCGTCGATGCTTTAATTTCAGTAACTAGCTGATAAAGGGAAGGAATGGTACCCAAACCATGGGATCAATTTCAACATTTGATCAAATGAGCGCTGGGTCGGTACCATTCCAGATGAATTCAGCTCTGAGGCTCCTAAAGTTTCGTATTCAGTTCTCGGATTATGATCCTAGCATGAGTAAATTTCTTCGAAATAGGGGCCGAAGAGAAAGTACCGCGGCAAGATGTGTACATGTATACATATATATTAGATCCCTGGAGAATGTTAAATTGCCGCCCAGTGTACTTCAACTGAATCTTATTAATGTAGGTCTGAATCCTATCTGACCAATGTGACTGCTTGCCGGACCGCCGTGTAGCGTACCCGATCCTAGATGGGCAGTGCTCATTTTACTGTCAGGTTTAAATCGTTTTCGATTGATAATTTATCCCAATCGGATGGATGTAGAACAGGCTTCCATAGTTCTAGTTCGGCCCTGTCTTCGATGCGGAAGAAAGGAACTTCGAGTTAATTACAATCTTGGACCCAGTGCATGTATTCCGCCAGGATTCTCTGTCCCGAGGCTCAGGGCCATGGTCGAAATATGCCGGTCACTAGTGCCCTCAATGTGTAGCTTACTCGGCTCCGTAGATCCGAAATGTATACATGGGGGGTACGGCGAATGCGTTATTTGTAAGGGCTCTTGGTCGTATGTTTCGGTACTGGTATACCTGGCTCGCGGCTGCCGTACGAATATGGGCACTTGGCTACGCTGACTCCGAGCCGCGGTTACAAATCGTGGTATCATTACTAGTTATATAATTATACGTATAGAGGGTGCACCCTACGATGCTTTAGTTTAGATCCTTGAAGTCTCTAAAAGAGATAGCATGCTCAACCCAGTAGGCCGTGGTGAACATTCGACGTCAATTCTAGAATGGCTTGAGCTGATTTCAAGCCAAAGGAGGGATCTAGCGTGAGGGCGGGTCACTAGCGCAGGCGTCGCCGAAGCGTGCATGTATACCCTGTCGACGACATGTCATAGGCTGCATACACTAACGCGAGAATGTGAAGGAAGGTTCCAAGTAGCTGGATCTCTGAACTAGTCGATCAGGAACATTTTACTTTCAATTTAACTAACCAGTAGCAGCCTATCCCAGCCCAGTGGATACATGTATAGCTAGTGTGGAACTCGATCCCGTGCCACCCTCAATATTTCAAGGTCGTCAACAATGCAGCTTGCGCCCTAATATACAGGTGGAATTTCCCGAAGGTTTTCAATCTAGAGGTTAATTGATTATGCCTAGGTCCTACATATAACGTGCAATTATCTAAGAAACGTTCCAAAAGGCATGATAGTTGCTACGTAGAAGGAAAAAAAAACTGGGCCGCAAAGGCCGCAAAGCTACGGGCGTTGCGATATCGTGTATACTTGACCCGTAGAAGTGCGCCTAAATTGGATTTGTGCTGGCTATCGCATGCTCTTCAGGCGTATTTTTCTTTGAACAGCTATGCCCAAGCCCGTCCGCAGCATTTACTGCAATATCGTGCATGCTGTGGACACAAGTAACATTGTCAAGCTAGCGAAAATCTTAAAATTCCCAAGCAAGGAGCCCCTCACGTACTGAGGGGTATTAAGTCACGTTTTTTACCGAAGCCTTTCATGGCATAGCAGGTTTGGCGCCTAATTGTCAGAGGCATCCCAGATCTGTTGGTATCACCGCCGCACGCTAAAATGTTTAAATTCATGCGTTATCTGCAAGGTTTGACTCCGAATGACACGAAACTACCCAAAGGAGAAAATCGACTTTCCATTCTCAATGTCAAGAACAAGCTTCTTCGCAACTGCAAGATGAGCCGAATGGTATAAAGGTTTATGAAACGACTAAAAAAGAAAAGACCGATGTGTCAAGCTATGAGCTGTAAGGACTCTAAAGGCTCCCCAGGCTGATTGATAATTGCGGAATCACCGCAGCTATTGGAACGCTAGATTTTGATGTCCAACCGGTACCCAACTTGCAACCTTTACAACACACTTCTTGCAGGCCCCACCGGCCACGATATCGGATCCCGGTCAGTCCATGCCAATGTGGCACGACACAAGATTCCTAGGCCGGTCGATTCTGAATACCCAAAGTCTCTAGTTTAATGAAGCATGGCTCGACATGCGTGCCCTACCCCGGGTAGTGTACTCCCACTTGACACCTGGAAAGGAAAGTTAATTCTCCTAATTGGGACTCCAGTAATCCTTCATCTTGATATGACAGCTTCCCGTGGCCATTAGCGTGGTGCCCCCGAGCTACCCCTCGAACAGAATTTGTGAAAATGCAAGAAAATTGTCTGCCTTAATAGTTCATTTCGTTCACATCATTGCCACAAACTGCAAGACTCAGGGACACCGTTCGGCATCCCCAACAATAGCCATTGTTGCCAGGTGACGGGTGGTGCTGAAACTTTTAGATCCTGTACTCTTATTGGTTTAGATAACTTTTTTATCTTCTTGATCAAGGAATTGGATGTGAATTATACGAAATAGCGGCATAGTATAATCGGGCTGTACGGTGCACGCTCCAATGCCTCCAATGCTAGAAATCTGACTTGAAATAGCGGTTGTTAACAATGACATTCTTCTATATAATCGTATATGATCTCTCGTCTGCTCGTAAGTCTTCTTTATTCTCATACCATACCCAAAAAAGGATTCAAAGTATCCACATCTCAACTATATCTATCTTCTTTAAAGCCACTTATTGTCCGGTCTTTTTTAAACTACCCTTCCAAAACATCGAAATTCTGAAATTCAACTTCCTACAAAACCTTACAATTCCGTTGATAAATATTCCCAAATCCAATGGAGTCCTCTTCTTCCTACACCGGGCGTAGTCGCCGAGATAGCCCAGTAAAATATATCAGAGGACAAGCTGGAATATACAATAACTCCAATCGTATGACAAAGCAACAATGGGCTTGGGCAGAGGATGGCATACAGCAATCGAATTACTCCGTAAACTGCAAGGAAGGGAGTCGATATTATACTTTCAAACTCAATGCGTATCCTCCCCAAGATGGATACGCTTTAGGCCGATTCGAAGCAAAAGTCTGTATTGGCCCCGAGGGCAGTAAACATGAATACCCTACATGTACATGTAGAGACTATGTCGAAGCCCAAAGGGCCTGTCGCCATATATTCTACATTCTCGACAATGTGCTGAGCTACGAGAACCAAGAACTTGAAGATATTAAGGGGACAATGCCCCTTCGTATCGACGGCCATTGTCTCCGCTCCCATACGGGTCCTTACGATCAAATAAAGTCCAGAGGACTTTCTTATATCGCCCAATCTCATATGTGGATGTTCTCAGGACCGGGGGAGTGGTCCGTTTCAGATCAAACCAAAGACATACTTCGTCACCTAGATCAATCCACGGACTATTCAGCCAGTCACTATTCAGATGAATATCTCTCTACGTCTCCTTCCCTTGCAGGTGCGGTATATCGATTGGCTATCTCAAACCCCGAATTTTTAGCTGACTTACGGAAAGAAGCCCCAGTAGATCCATGCTCAAAGTCATACTTTAGACTTCTTGACCAGCAAATTGATTATGCTTTTAGGAGGTGGATCAATTACACCAAGACAGGCTGCCCACGACTCAATTATCGAGATGACGATACACACCCCGATAACCTTGGAACTCCAAATGTACCCTGGATTGCTGGCCGACTTCAAAGGTTCGTCTACGACATCGAAATGGCCACTGTCGAGCGAAGCGAAATGTCATACGAAAACTACCATAGAGCATTTGGACTTCTAATTAAAATGCTTGAAAGCGTCATAGACATGGACCTAGATGCATCAGAGCTAGACTATCGACCACGAGTCGAGATGGCGAGCGGCACAGGAATGGAAAGGAACTTGTTCACTCGACTAATTGGGCGTTACTCCCCAGGCCATCCTAACTTTGCTATCAGCGTTATGAGAAGGATATCACACGCAGGGCAACCATTTCTCCCACGTCTTTTAGATTGCCGCCAGGTAATCCATGAGAAAGCCTCGAGGGAGTTTGCCGATGAGTTTGAAACTCTTTTACAAGAGATTCAAAGCTAAGCTCTCTTAGCTTAATTTTGCGAGTCTGTCTACGGTTCTGGGGCTAGGCTCCAGCCGCTGCATTGCAATTTACCACGGGGGTACCATTGGGAGGCTCCCCGTGGTAGCTCAGGCTTATTGCTTCTAGGCTATGTCTGCTGGCGTATGGGTTTCTTTGTTTCTTTACTTTTTCCGCTCATAGCTTCAATCTTCACAGGGGCCCTCGAGCTCGCTTAAAATTATCTACTGCATCGGTTGGATTGGAGTTTTTCTTGCCTTGGCGCATTTTCGTCTTTGCATAATGTTCTAAGGAGGCTCATGATGTTTTCCATGCGGCTCAATGTTGTTGGATTTTGACTCAGGCTGGTGAACTTTCTTTCTTTTTTCCTTTTTCCTTCTTCCTTCCACTTTTTTTTTTTTCTGATTATTGATTAGATGTTTCGATAGACTTTTTGTTTTTTTCTCCAGATTACCTCGACTAGTTTTGTCTTTGATTTCATTATTATTTTTTTTCATTCTTTTTTGTTTTCTTTTTTTTCTTCCGTTCTTCAAAGCCTGGAGCTACTTTTTGCAATAAGTTTTAACACATGTTTTGTAACTTCGATTCAATTAAATGCGCATCTATAACTACTTTATGATAGCTCGATCTTATTGATCTATTCCTCTATACGTATACAACAGACACCCGCCGACATTCTTTATTATCCTTCCACATTTTATGAGATATCACTGAACCAAATTTCACTCTGTCAAGGGCAAAGTTTAATAAACCATAACTAGGAGTCAACTAGTCGACTATATTGAAAAGAAAAACCATAATATCAAAACTAGAAGCCAAGCCACCCACCAGTTCGTAACCCCAATAAGCAAATGAATTCTAAGTACCTACCAAGAATTCAATCACCTGTTGTAGATGGAAGCAGGCGCCAAAGCCTTGGCTGATTCTGTAAGATAACCTTGATCCGGATCGGGAAGTCTGTCAAGAATACTAAGTCTCACTTGTCAGTTTGTTGTCGATGGCACTGCATCGCCACAGGCGCGATTTAGATGCTATGCAAACATTTAAAGACACTACTAAGCCTATTCATTGATAGTAGCCTTATAGTAAGCTAGGGTATACTTTAAAATGGTCTAGGCACACAATCCGGATCGGTTTCATGCTGCAGGCTGCGCCTAGATCCAGAGATCCACTATTCGCAAAGATCTTAGGTCCTGATCGATGTCCCCCCCGTACCGGAAAGCCTTAGCCGAAGGTTGAATTATATACTTTTTAAAACAATAGCCTTTGCAGATGTGGATCATAGATCTTATCAAGTGCTTTAAGAATGCTCCGGGGTAGCACTAAATTTATAAATGTTTGCATTGGCTTAAAGAGAAACGGGGTATACTGGTACGATCTATAGCTCCATTGCAGACCTTTCCAAGCCATTTTTACGAAGTATAGCCATAGGCGGACTAACTTTGACAGCAAGCCATCGGGGAATTTCTTTCCGTCCCAGAATCGATTTTAACAAGCACCAGGTTCCACAATCTTGGAATAGCTAAGACTTTGAGGCTGTTCGCTTAGAAAAACGAGGTTAAGTTCATACACGCCCACGTGTGTTGTTTTTGGGATATTTTGGGCAAGGGACCATGTGTCCTGCGTTCCACAAAACCTCACATGTTTCAACGCCAGTATTGTTAAGCGCTGGTCGATCTGGAATGTTATTCTGGGCTCTGGCACAGCTCAGTGCGCGGGCGGATTGTTTGTTCGCTGCTAATTATGCTGCATGCTGTGGCTTATGATATATAGTATTCTTTTTGCCCGCGAAACATATTTCGCAGACAGTTCATATGTCCCCGATCGCTAGGATTCTAACATGATGTTAATAAGAAACCAGTGCCGACATGTCATACATGCGCATATGCATATCTACCGGCCCTTCCAACCAGCGGGGCAGCATAGTGAGATAACCCACATCGCAATTGCGCAAACAATCCGCGCCTTCGTAGTAAGACTAGGCAGCTACCGAACTGTTCATTAACCATAATGTTCCCTCCACTGCCCAGTCTTTAATTAATCGTATAAATTTTTTATTTTTTTTAGCTAGCTAGGCTTAAAGATATGAACGGCGAACGAAGGCATTCTGTACTTTCGAGCGACTGCACAGTCACCAAATAGCACTCGAAACCATCACGGGCCCGTAATCGTGATACGCATTCAAGCTTCAAACAAACAAACACTCAGCCACGATAGCTAACTCCTCGATTCTAGGTCAATCGAGTTTACGATATTAGGTGGAAAAAACACCGGAATTTTCGGTCCATAGCCTCCCCCAGGGGATCGATCCCGGGACATCCCTAACTCTGTACCATGTGATATTCCGACAATAGATATCATCTAACTTGGAATGCCGGCCGGAACTCTAATCTAATACTGATACGATAGATCGACATGTATACGCAGCATTAATCCGTATCTTTCATGCATTTCCTTTTCTGCTTCATAAACTTGATCAAGCTCTTTATCTTTAACCAGCCGGTTCAGAGGTGACGAGCGACTCATAGCGCTATACCATTTTGGGATTTTATTATCTTCTGATTGGTCGCTGGCCGCATCGTCAATGCTCTGATTGGTCAATTTGCCAAGCTTGGAAGCTTAACTTCCAACATCAGAATGTGTTGAATTTCGAGTTCTTGTCATACATGACGCAGCCGGCCTGTTGTCTTGAGATACACGTGTACACGACTACCCGATTATAGAATAGTATGACTTTTTGAAGAAGGATTGCAGTACTGTTATATATTAGGAATTTATTAGTCGGTATTTAGAGTGTATAGCAAGGCGATAATAGAAGCCCCGGAAGTTCCGTTACACCGTGTTACAACGTTAACTTACATCGACATGATATTAAGGGAGAAAGAGTTTTGCCTTTTTTATTGAATTTAATTCAAAGAAGATGTGCAAATTGGGTGAACTTTCTAGAACTCTCTATGTCGACTCGTCGCGTAGCTGTTGGGTTACGGATGAAGCAATAAATCGATGAAATCCATACTTGCAAACCCGAAATTTGTTCCACCAGCTCGGCCATAGGCTCCGAGACTAAGAATTCGTTATGAATAGGTGTATATGCATTTGGAGATTCATTTGTCCCCAGCTTAAATGATCGCAACTAATCACACATAACCTTTTCTTCTTTCTCATCCTATCCGACAGCATCTCGCCCAAGGTACAGCCATATTCTACAGCCATCAGCTATCATTCTCGCCTTTCAGTAATATATTTGCAACAACCACTTCACAGATCTGCTAATCAATATACAGAAAGTCCTAACCTGTTAGACAATCTTACTCAACTCCCACAATGGCATCATCATCATACGGTATACCCCAAAGCATGAGAATCACAGTCCCAGAGAATTCACGTGTCGTAGATGTCCGTGTTGTCGTCCACAAAACCTCTTCCATTGTCAACGATAGGCATGTCAACCACTGGTGCATTTATTTCCACACAGAAGAAGGTTACATTGTCAAGGTCAACATGAGAGAGAAAAACCAAACCGAATGGTCTTACGTTCCATTCCGAAATGCAACCTACGGATGGCCTGGAATTTTGGATATCTCTGCGTATCAGTCACATACTATCACACCATCCATGATCAAAGCGTGGGATCTTCATACCCTCTGCCAACCCCGAGTGAAGGATCTGATCAGAGTCTTGCGCCGAAATAATCGCGAATACTACACTATGGCCAAGTGTGGATCTGGGTGCCGATTTTGGGTGTAAGTATTTTTCATTCTTTCTAAGCCTACCCCTTGACTTTCTGATCCTAAGGTATCTCAAAATATAGGTATACCGCTATCAGTGATTGGGAAGGTGCTGGCTACCTCAACGCCGGCACAATCCAATACATTCGGGAACGTCTGATGTTCTGGTACGATCATCGACAAGATCTGGTACGTACCGTGATCAAAGAGCCTCTCGACACAATGCCTGAAGGAAAGTTCTGGACTCCGGAAGAGTGGACTCAAGAGATGCGCCTCTACGACCCATTTCATCCATCCGCCGACATTTGGCACGATTACAGTAGGTAGTTGACTCGTGGTGAATCAGTTTCTTGAGCGAAACATAGAAGAGTTTGAGAAGTATACTATAAGAGATTTCAAAACTTACAGCGAACTAGGAATTTTGTGACCAAATGGTCTGAGACTAAGTAATAGTGAAACCAAAGGATCCTGAGAGGTCAAACTGAGAGGGGATCGATTCCCAGGCTCGTATTTATTCGGAAGCTGGGTGTACTCGGAAAAGTATAGAAGATCGTATGAGTTACTGATATACCATCGCTCAAGAGTGTATTGAGTATAGAGGAGTATATTCGAAATGAAAACAAATTAATTTATCACCTGTCATACTATTATTTTTGAGAAATTGTGATATTTGGAGTACTATGCTACGATGTATCTCAGGGTCTTCCTTGAACTAAAAACAAAACCCAAATATCAGAAGGAAGCGTTTGGATCTATTTTCGTCCCGAAACCCTGGCCTCTATGTGGATAGCTGAAGGTACGCCCCCGTCCGATATCCCACGATCGAATCTGATATCTGATAGGGTCGAATGTATATATATCCTCGGGTTGGATTCCATTTTAACTTATATATAACCCCTAATTCCACACGCTATTGCTTTCCGATCCGGTAGCAATTACCACGAATTCAGTCTCCACATTGATGCCTAAGTATTCTAAACAATGTGGCGTTCGGTGCGCTGGTGCCTCACTCGAACCGATATCGTCTTGAAACTTCAAAAAATGTGTTGACCAGACCGGAAAACCTTCGAGTTTCGAATTTTTACCGAACGACCAGTATCACCCCACTTTCTAAATTCTTATCGAGAGCTTTGCGCATGCATGCCGATGCTACAACCCGGGATCCTCACCGCCGGAGTAAAGGGCTATCGCAGATCGACATACTCGCCATATCTTGCAACATCAGAATTGCAGATTATGGTATCTGATAAGCAACTTTTCCTATCAGAAACATACTGTCGTTTTATTAGGTCTCCATTTTAAATACCCTAGGCAGCCTTCAGTTAGCTCGTGGTTTGTGCGTGGAGCCTACCCTCTTGGGAAGGTGCAGTACTTTCATCCCGCCAGATGCAAACGAGAGACAGAAGCCCTTTTCCCGAGTGACGCGGTACCTTGGTAGAGTTTTCAAACTAATTTCTGGTGTTAAACTCAGGAAAATGAGACCTGGCGGGATAGATATTTGTTTCGATGGACAAAGAGGGGAATGTAGATGCGCTGCCGCTCCATCCTTTGGATAATTTTGTTCCACAATTACTTTACGGTTCTCCTATATCAGAGAACTGTACCTGAGGTTTTATATTCATTGGGTGCAATCAGCTTCCTAAAGCTTGTGAATATACACAGTTATTTCGAGAAGCTTCACGGACTCACCACCATAGAAAAATCCCTAAATATTATAAGAAAAATGCTGTGGAGTCGAACTTTTAGTCTATATTACAGCTACTGTGTAAGCAATGTTTAGCTATTAGCATTGAAAACCTGATATCATGATGTTTTGGGATTTAAATGTCAACCCTAGTACAATAGTGATATCACTTCTGGTGAGCCAAGCGCATAGCAACAATATGTCATGCGCATGGGCGGGAAACCGTCTGCACCGTGACCATGCATGTATAGAACCTCCCGAGCCAATGAGGGAGTCTACACGGCTTGGCCTTGTGGTTCCTACATGGCCCCTTCGAATCCGACCTTGCAGATCCCGCCATTGACATCCCCATGCGTATGCCAGATGCATGAATCAGAAGCCATTTCTCTCGTTTATTCCAGAGCGGCGGGGCGGGGTTTGATGTCTCGGATTCTATCTGGTCCGCCGATGTGAACCAGCACGAATTAAGAAGTTGCGAAAGATGTTGTATTAGCGAAGGCAAGGCAGAGCTACCTCTAAGCTGACGATGATCACGAATTCAACCACGCTATTAGGAGGAAATGTCAAAATGCCTCCTTCACACGTCAGATGATTTGAAGATACCACTCGAGCTTCGGTCTAGGTAGCTTGAGGCGAGACAAGTATAAATGGAAAAAATAGAACGAGGCTTCTTATCCTGAGCTCAAATTGAAATGCGCCCATTACATTTACAACCCTAGCCGAGTTCCCCTTTGTGTTTCCTCTAAACTCTCCGCTAGCATCAAAATCCCATGTGCCTTCGGCTTTGTAGAGAAAAAGTCTATTGAGGAAAGCTAAGGGAAGTTAAGAGGGGGAAAAAAGAAGAAGAAGAAGAAGAAGAAGAAGAATTCTACCATCGTACCTACAATCGTATGCATGCATGCATGCAATGATCCCGCTGGCTTCTGCCTACTTGTCTCTAAAACACATTTTTCGCTAGACACCCTTTTATATATCCGAACCCTTTCAGAATAGTTCTTACCCTGTCTCGATTCGAGACCACCACGAGCCCCCCCGTTTGAAGAGCCGTCACTCGATCGATAAACCCCACGCCTGTAATGTTTAGCATTCTGTTAAATTGACAGTGGACAAGGAGCAAGCCGTTGGGAAAAGCGAATGGAACTAGTACGAGACGGAATCCTGAAGGCAAAAGAAAAGACATGGGTTATTTTTTTGGCTTTAGCGGATGGGAATCGGATATCATAAACTCCCTTCCTTCTTCTTTTTAGCTTCGTCTGATTTGATTTGATTCACCTTCTGTTTCTTACCCAACAAATCTTTGACTCAACTCCTGGCGATTGGGGCATAAACGATAGGCGCTATAGAAGTCAAGACTGTCTACAACTTCGACGTTTAACATATTCCAACAATATACACACGGTTCTCCGGTCTATGCTAGGCGAAGAGCCTGCTCCAAACACAACATATGCAGGTCCCGTCAACACAATAGCAACCTTGAGTTGAATTAATTCGACAGACGAAAATGGTGGACATGGCGGCAGCTTCGCAAACTCCGTCTGCTAGTTTGGAGGGGGATCCTCTGAAGCAGTATGATCCAAACCTTCCAGTACCCTATTGGCATCAACGGATGGAGCTCGCTGTTGTGGTTATTGTTAATACACTCTCCTGTAAGTTTGGCACACAAACAGCACCCAATCCCAAATTTCGACATCTAGATTCTAGCAAAAAAAAAAATTTTTAAAAATAAAAAATAAAAAATCAATCTAACAAATTTGTTTAGTGATGGCTATAATAGCCCGAATATATCTTAGGGCTATCCGCCTCAAACGCTTCAGAGCAGACGATAAATGGATGGTTGCGGCAGGTGTATGTCATCGAACCACATTCCTCCCAAGAATGCACACTTCAATAGCTCTCGTGAACGGCAGAGATCACTCGCCTCAGAATTATAATTACTAATGATTGTCCTTTTTACTCCTTCGATTACAGGTTTTTCTGATATTTCCGCATTTCGTATGTCAAATTGGCACCAACAGATATGGCTCAGGTCTACATGACCAAAACATCCCCGACGCATGGATAGTTCCGTTTTGGTATTTTTCATGGGGTTGGATAGGATATAATATTGTTTCGACCTTGATAAAGATCAGTGTTTGCTGCTATCTTTTACAGATTGGTATGTGAAGTTTCTTGGTTCTACATTCCTGGATATTACTTAGAGGCCCCTTGCTTCGGGATCAAGGCTTCCATCACTTGGTACCCTTCAAAGGGCCTTGGAAGTTTACGCTATCGTCTAGAGAGGCGCAGCTAACAAATATGAAATGAACTCGTGTAGTCCCGTTTCACCTCCTCACATTACGCCGCCTGATTTATGCCCTGATGGTCATAACGTTTGGGCTTGGGCTTAGCATTTCCCTTTGTCACCTGCTCCAATGCACGCCTTTGATTAGTAACTTCGACTACACAATTAAGCAAGAGCATTGTTTTAACATCGATATCCCGCGTTTTACATGGATTGCGGTGAGCATATCAATTGATCTGTGTATCCTTGCCATTCCATGGGCTATTATTCACGGAACGAGGATCCAAGCTGCGGAGAAAAGAATATTATTGATAGTATTTTCCGGAAACTTATTGGGAACGGCTGTTTGGTAAGTTGCATCGGAAGGGTCGGATATCCCTAGCCCAGGCCCCAACAGAGAATCGTAAGCTGATATATATTGTGTGTAACAGTGTTGTCAGCATCTATTCCGTATGGAATACTCGAACTTCCCTCGCCCATTATGACCTTGCGTACACACAAACAGCCTTTGCGATTACCAACGATGTTGAAATATTCTTTTATGCCCTTGGTGCATCTCTTCCTGGTAAGTCAATTCAATGCTGTATTTATCAGTAATCATGAACATGTTAATAAATATCTAACTAAATTACATCGATAGTCCTATCTCCGTTCCTTCTCTCCCGCTTTGCCTCTAAGCAAGAGCTTAACGGCACCGCAAGCTCAAGGGTACCTAGTTGGCGAGTCAAAGGCGGGTCTACCATTGGTAGTCCTATGCATATGATAGCGCCACCTAGACGGTCAAAATCTCATTTAACAACGCTAAACGACGACGACGACATCGAGCGGGACATCGGTCGTGAGATTGAAAGCAAATATGGATATAAAGTTGATGTAGACCATGACGACGAAAACTCATCAGATTTGACGTTAGAAAACAGGCCGAGTAAGACTACATATGGAGAAAGTGAAGCTGAGGGTTCTACGAAAACGTCTATGCAGAAGTTTACAGTTGACGATATTGTTTGATTGTTCCAACTCCAGGAAGTTTTTGGATCTCTGGATTTCAGTTATGGATTGCAATATTGGTTCCATAAAAAGAACTTTTGATTTTGTTGGGTTTATTTAGCGTATTGTAAAAGAACATTTCGGCGGCGGCGGATCTGGTACGTACATACTATAGCGAAGTACTTTTCTCTCTCTGGAGTTTCTTCTTTACTTCACGATACCCTTGTTGGATTGTTGTTATTTCCGTATTCGACTTTTGATCTTAATATCCTTGTAATACGGTCCTGTGCTCGATTTTCATTCGACCTTCTCCTTTTTTTTTTTTTTTTTCCTTTTCCGAGCCATCTATCGATGCATGTGTATCACACTATCCTAGCTTAATGAATACACGAATACACCTAGCTACATTTGACTTAGAGAAATATTAAATCTAAAATCTCTAGGCATATACATATATACCTATTTCTGCAATTTACAGACCGTATGAGGACATCATATTTACGAGGTCAAGATGATTATTTTGTTGGCACATGTACCAGGATTTTGGCTCCATTCCCGTCACGTCAGCCTCACCTGCCGATACCCGAACCCCAAATGCCAGCTCAGGAGGCCACGCAATCGATCGATCTTAAAATGAAGGCCCCGTCTTAGTTTCCAGGAGATATCAATAACACTTCAACGAGCTGACTGTGCCCGAAAGTTAAACTCAAGTTGAGGGATCTCATTATTCATCGAAAGTCGTGACATCTGGGGCCGGAAGATAAAACCTTGCCTCTCTATTTCCAACCCTACGGCGGAACTAGTCGAGGATGTTACCCGAGTATTGGCACTCGTCATTTGAGCACTCCTAGCTGCATGTAGCTTCACACCCACTAGTTTTAATTTGGGAGGATCCATTGCACGCGATAGTTTGACCTCGAAAGCCATCTCCGCCTGAGAAGGCTGTGGTTGTCATATCTCTAGGCGTCTATGATCAGGCACGAGATTAGTCTCATTAATATACATGTACACATAGGTAGACTCTCTTTTAGATTTTGACCAACGTTATGTTAAACAAACTGATAACCTAGATTTCACACCCGGGCGCTAGACCCAACTAACGCACTGTTTGTACCCCTCAAATTCCAAATCCTGCGGATTATGCATATCTTGCAAGATAGCGACGCTTTAAAGCAAGGATGAAGGGATCTGATGTATCACCATCGAAAAGCACTTGCTAGCGGAACAATCCCAAAAGGTCGTAGGATATGTGAGAAAGCGAAACAAAAGGGACCAGCGCAGAGCCTACGAGGGACAGACGTAGCTACATGTAGTACATATGTATCGAACAAAAATCAATGGTGTGACCGATAATTAACTCGACACGGCCCTTGGGAAAAGTGATGGACCTTGTAAAATTAGAAACGTGAACCACTCGCTTCCATTGGAGATTTCCTGTTGTCGCCCAAACAATAGGTCTGGGCCGTCTCTTGGAAACGGCTAGGGAAAGCGAAAGAAAAAAATGAGGCTCAGATTTATGAGCAAGTTGGGCTTTAAAACTTCAGCTTGCCCAGCCCCCAGCCCTTCGGACTTTTAGTTTTTCTCTCTCTTCTGTGGGCTTATTATTTTTTTCTATTAGAGCTACAAGGCTTCAACATTTCGCCTGGACGTGAATCTAGGGATAAAGACGGAGAATTCAAGAGGATTCGATACACAATACAGTTATCCTTTCAACAACATTAGTTTGGATACCGAATATTAATAACTACAGCCTGCCAGGATCTAGCCGTCCTCCGGTCGCTTCTTCCCATTCCAACTAAACATCCGACATGGCGGACTATTCACAAGGCCCCATAGCTGGCGCGCCTCCAGCCCAAATGGGATACAACAATGTCAACACAACAACTATGAGTTCCAACCCGGATAACGCATTTTTGTCAACCGTCAGACCTCCATACCGCCCATGGCTGAAGTTTCTACCTATCTTAATACTAGTTTTCACAATCGGTGTGATTGCTATGGTTGGATACGTTGTTAATGTGGTGGGAGATGGGACTCAAAGTTTGGGATTCAATCTGTTCGCTGTAAGTTTTTTGTCAAAAAGAAGAGGATCTCCTGGGTTATCTTGTCTAACCATTGAATTTAATTTAATTTACAGGGAGCATGGACTCTGATCGTCGGTACCTTCTTGATTTTGGCTTTCTGGAATATGCCCCACATCCATTATAGATGGATAATCTTCATCCTCTCTGTACTATCCTGCATCTGGTGGCTCGCAGCCTTTGCATACCTCGCATCGAACACAAAACAATCTTTCGAAGTAATCAAGATACTCGAATCGTATAGTTCATTGTCCAGCACCTACAGTTTTGATCCTAGTGATTATGGATTCAGGAAAAGAGATTTGAGTGCTCTCGGACTGTTGGAAAAAAGGCAGTCTGTTAGCCAGATATACGAATATATCAGGAACCTTCCAAAGTATAAGACGGCTGCGTCGGTTATGGCTGGTGCCGCTGCGATCGGTGCGATCATTTGGTAAGTTGACACTGACAGTATTTTGCGTATATATCTGAGTTTATTTACTAATAGTGGGGGATAATTATAGGGTCATCTTCTGCGTCTTCACCGTTTTCTACGCCATGGCTCTCTTCAGCAGCTCTCCTTCCCAATCAGCTCCAGCCGCGCCAATGGGTCCTGTCCCAGTAGGCCAAGAGCCTAAAACCGAAACATACGCAAATGTCCAACCGGTTTATCCACCGGCTGCCGCAACTACCGCACCTACTTTTGGATATCCATCGAGGCCTGACAGTACTTTCTCTAGCGCTCCAACATACATCACAAACGACCCTAGGGATCCCCGTGCGGCGCCAGGCGCTGAGTTTTTAACCCCGCCACCGCCTGGAGGGTATACAAACCCGCAGTTTGAGGTAGATAGGAATTATACAGTTAGTCCGTTGAGTGCCGTAGAAATGCCGGCAGTGAGCCAGCAAGTGAATTTGGCAGAAATGCCGTCTGCACCGGCGGCGGACCATAGATAAGGGTTGGTAATATGGTGGAAGTATGTCCGATAGTGGGGCGTATCTAATGCATTAGCTTGGCTACTGGTTATGCCGCTGTTATCTAAGAGACAAGATGTTTGATATTCTGGGATTATTTTGGAGAAAATGTGCGATTCCTATATCTACTTAAATATGCATATTGCTCGCATTTTTTTTATGGGTCTATTAGAGGAGACCTACTGCTATACTTTAATGACTTAACAGGTAATATATTTCTGGCCTTTACTATTTTAACGAACAAATTGCCTGAAAATCAAAACTTATGATGAGGTTCGGGTATACGTATCTTTTGAAATCAAATTCCAGTGTGCCACTTGATATTATATCAATCCGGAAATTCACTCAGGGCAGCAGTACTGCAGTGCACGACTGTCAAAAACCAGTTTTCTAGCTACTGGGTATCATTCTAAGTTTAAAAGCAAAGTTGGGGTATTGCGATACTGATAAAATGCAGTCTGTCCCCTTTCGCGCTCTTTACGTCTATACAATTTCCAGACCCCACTAATTCCCTCTAACAACCTTCACGCCCCTTCCCCACCCCTTTCCGAACCCTTCAACAACTCCACTGCCCAATAATCCACCCAGTACCCACTCAATAGTCACCCCCTTGTGTTCCCTCCACTTCCTCGTCCTCCCTTCAAACTTAACTTCCCCGTCCTTCTTCTTCCTAACACTGCCCTTGTTCTTCGAAACCCCTCCATCCCACTTCTCCCTTACAAACTCAATCGTTGCTTGGCGGTGGGGGCAATGACGAAGTATATCTAGAAGGTGAGATTTCGTTAGGGAATAGAGGTTAGTGAGGAGGCCAAGAGATGGCGGGGTTATAATATATTCTATATGGGTATCCCTTGGCTTCGAGGGTCTAGAGGAAGAAGATTTGGAGGCATCTCTGTTACTAGAGGATATGGATGATAACGATGATAATGTAGAAATATGGGAATGGTCTTTTTCTGGTATTGGAGTTATATATGTCATCGCAGAGGTGGGTGTGAGAGTAGTGATATCAACTGCAGGTAATGTATATGCATCATCGGAGTTTATCGTCAGAAACCCAGCAGATAGTAATGCCATGATAGTTTCTTTTGGGAGGGTATTCTCAGCGGTTGGGTCAGACGTGATAGTTGTTAACGAGGGATTATTCACGAATAACGATAAAAATGCCCCTTTCAATTCGGCGTCTAGCGCTGAACTCGAAGCAATAGATTTGAGAAAATCATCTGTCGTAATAACACCGTCGAGAGAAGTCATATTCCCTGTTTTGATCGTAACCCGGCGTAATGTTCCATCTGCCACCAAGGAGGTAATTTCTCGCTCGGTCTCCGTTGGTGACAAGAGGACCGAGTGCAGATGTGGCAAAGGCACGACAGGTGGAAATGACTTCCGATAGTTTAAGACCTCAGCGAGTAGATCTCGCGATATACCCAGACCTGTAAGAGTCGGTGGCAAAGGCGTGAACTGGTTGGACATAATATACTTCATGCCCTCGAGTACTGTAGTTGGCAGTGGGTCTGGCCGAGAGCTAGTCGGCCAGCTAGGGGAGTATAGGGCAAGGGAATCATCATCATAGTCATTATTATTGCCGCTGAATGTGGAATGCACTGGTGGGGTTGACGGGGCACTCGAGGACTTTCGAGGACTTGACGTTGCAGACTTGCGACGAAGCTGGTTCAGAGGATTCTTGCGCTGTGATACAGCGCCTGGCTGGCTCTTCTTGATACGGTAAGAGGCAGTGAAGTTCAGCGACATATTTCCCCAATATCGATACTTTAGGAGCAACTATGGTGGGGAGAGGACTCGGGAAACGAAGGAGGCAGCCGAGTCTATTTCCACGATTTTGCATTTGGTTCAGATCCTGGCTTGCGCTAGTGTTGATGATTCACTTTTGCAACAGGAGCCGTATGACTAATCAGATTTCAGCCAATCGGCGTTAAATTGTGTCGGTACTGTGGTCGGACTTAGTGCCAATACAGAAGCAGCATGCTCAGTATGCAAGTATGCTGTGTAGTATGTTCTAAGATACCTCATATTGATACACCAGAGTGCCTATTAACAAGAGTAATTACCTAAGTAGGTAGGTATTAGGTACCTATTCACACCTGGAAAATCATTTGGAACATTGCCTTCGCTTGTGGCAGGTTTTAGTAACTCAAAGGCCTCAGTGAGCTCAGCTCCGTCGCCGTCTGCACGATTAACTGGTCTAGATAATATAATTGATTATATAATGGGACCAGAAGCCAAGCCGTTCAACTCGGATACCCCCCAAACAACTGTTCGTCTTGCTATTTCCGTAGGGTTTCGCGCTTCGGAGAGGAGTACTTCCAATACCACAATATTCCGGTGGTTGGGAGGGGATTCCTTATTTATTTTATCTTTTATCGCCCACGCACAGGCCGAGACAGTAATATACACGTGCATAGATCCAGGTTCTAGGAAGGTTTTCTGCTAGGACCACGGTGTGCGCATGCCTTTCATGATCGAAATTTTCAAAAAAGCCATGGACTTCCCTTGATATCGATAGAAAAACTACAAAATGCGAGACTTTAAAATGCATGGTGTATACTTAGTCTCAAAGCCAGCTATCCCGCACTAGGAAGTACGGATCATCATCCCCAGACTATACATCTGCAGGGCATATCACGGAACTAAGCCGCTTAGGCGACAATGTTCCTAGTCCAAAGCTCCTCCACGCCCATCCTGTGAATGAAATGCTGCTGCCCCACTTTGAGGACATAGGTTTTCATAAGACAATGGATGTTATCATGCCGGCCGCGCTCTCCTAGCTACGGCTGATTGGTGCAACATCGATCGCCGTTAAAACTAGGAGGAAACTCGTGTACTGCATACGCCCGGACTTATAACTGCCTGTAACGTGATATCATCTAGGGTCTATTCGTGTTATGAAGAACCCGTCTCATTAATAACTACTTACCTTTCGAGGCAGCTCAAAGGAGTAGAAGCTTATTGGGCGGCCGGTTAACGGTCGATTCTACGAGAATTATGATCATAAGACTATATTCTATGCACGCCGCAATCCTGCATCCTAGTATGCGATGAAGTGTTCTCCTGCTATAATAGCACAACCTATCGCGGAGACCGATTTTGTAGGGACAGGTCCACAATGCTATAGGGAGATAGCTAAGGGCCTATAAGTTTCAAGCACCCCAAGTGCGAAGATTCGAAATTTAAATCGCTATCCCATATCATACGGCGGCACCGCTGTAATAATTAATATTAATACATATATTGTTGATACCCCATCTTGTTTTTCGGTATTAATATATTGATATTACTTTCGATCCGGAGATATGCTCCAACAGGTCTTTCTTGCCCTGACGCTGTTGGGTACAGTGAAGGGCCTAGGAAACCCCCTCGACCAGTTCCTTTATAAGAGGCAAGCTCCACGAGAGCCACTGTTTGTGAACGTAAGTCAACCTGCTTAGTCTTATATATTAATGAATATATTAGACAAAAAAGAAAGAGATAAGGAGAAAAAAGTCAATAAGAAGGAGGAGGAGGAGGAGGAGGAGGAGGAGGAGGAGGAGGAGGAGAAGGAGAATGAGAATGAGGAGGAGAAGGAGAAGGAGAAGGAAAAGGAGAAGGAGAAGGAGAAGGAGAAGTAGAAAAGCGCATGAGCTAATACTGCCCTAGGTTCCAGCATCAGTTGATCTCGAATGGTACTCCTGCGGCAATGGAATCATAGAAAGTAAATTTGAATGCGCCAGGCTAAGCGTCCCACTCGACTATAAACAACCTGAGAATGGACTCCGCGCAATAGTTCCAATAGTCAAATTCCCAGCGGAAAGCAATGCCCCTTACAAAGGCTCTGTTCTCTACAATCCAGGCGGTCCAGGCCAGCCAGGGGTAGAGTTGATTTACCTCGACTCAATTTTCGAAGACATCCGCTCCGAAGTAGTTGGAACCGGCTGGGACATCATTACTTTTGATCCTCGCGGCATGGGCTACTCGATTCCCCATGGTAGCTGTGATATCACACCAGGCACATTCGTCCCGGAGCGTCAAAATGCAACGACCCTTCCAGCCGTGTTAACTGGCTCAAATATGAGACACAGGAGACGTGCCCCAACTTTTCCTCCCAATAATGACGAGGTGGTTTTCAATATGTTAATACCAGATGACCCACCTTCACGGAAAACTATAGCCTATGCAGAGGCGGATAGCTGGACCCGTGCTTGTCAAGAGCTGGTTTCGCAATATAACCAAGCAGGTCCACATATGAACACCGTGGTTATGGCTACCGACATGCTATCGATAGCTCAAGCTCTCGCCCGTGAAAAAAATGAAAGCAATACAATCCTAAACTATTACGGACCTAGTTATGGTAGCCTTCTCGGCCAATATTTCGCCACCTTGTATCCTGATAACGTTGGAAAGTTCTACTTGGATGGAGTAGTAGACGCAGACACTTGGGTTACCCAAGATAACGCAAACACTACGATCATCCATGTTGATAAGATATGGTCGAAGTTTTTCTCTGCATGCTATGATGCAGGTCCGACAAAATGCAGCATGTTTACAGGTCGAAACTCCCATGCGGTCCGCGATAGATTCAACGCTATCACTGCAAAATTGAATGCCACAAAATACGAACTTGAAGGTATTCCCGAGGCTCCACATCTCAATATCACGAGCCTTCTATGGACGATCAAAGGCTTAGCATTCGGAAGTGGTTACGGCCCAAGCTTCATATGGCCGCTTTTATCAAACTATCTTGTTTCCTTAGAAACGCTCCTGGCTTCAATTGGTTCTGCAAACCGAGACCCCGAAGTCTCACGAAGAGCGTTATCCGAATTTGAGAAAAGAGCTGAATCAGCTGTTGATCTATATACTAAGATCTCTGAATCATTTTACCAAGTTGCATGCACAGATGCAAGAGATCTTCGCGGGGTAGTAATTACTGACGCGGATTGGAAAGCGTGGAAAGCTGTCAGTAAGATCATAGGTCCTTATAAACTGGCCGATAGAGTTAGGTGTACAAAATGGCCGATAAGACCTTCATGGGAATGGTATGGCCCTGTAGGTGGGAAGACAAGAACGCCTATCCTATTCGCGGGAACGACATTGGATCTGATCACACCACTCATAAAGTACGTAAAATTTGATTAATTGGCTAAATGAGATCTTTACGGGTTTGACTAATACATGGACCCTTCACAGTTCTGAGAAGGCGAGGACGCTTTTCAAAGGGGCCAAGATGCTTTATGTCGACGAGATAATGGTTAGTTAAATTTCTGGTTCATTTTTAGTATGTGTTACAGATCTTTGATACTAATTAAACGTTAAACCGAATCTCTAGCATACGGTTTCAGGCACCAAAAACAAGTGCGCCGCCCGCCATGTCCTCGCATACTTCCAAAACGGAACGCTGCCTGGCCATGATAACAGATGCAAAGGGGAGACAACGATATTCAAGTAGACCTACAGAGTTATGCATGTTCCAAAAAGTTATAGAAACGAGAAGTGTGTACACATCAACTAGCCAGAGTCACTTACGAACCTGTGTACCGAGGCGAATGTAATCTTGTGCACCCAGAAGCTCTATAACATCATGTCATGATCCAATTAATGCATGGTCCTTGTTAACGTTGATCTTCACGGATAATTAATTTTCTGAGAACCGCGATCACTTGAACATACGGCCTCTTCATAATACATCGCGCTAAACACTACGACTGTGGTATTTATCTTTGATATCATAGAAATCTAAGCCCAGTTACGACAGCTCCTTCGCATCAGCTCTGCATATGAGTTATAGTTTGCTAGAACATCTTACATGTAAAGAGTACCTAATATTCGAAACCGGGATCGATGTAGCATCGACAGGGCAACTTGGCTAATACTGCGTTGATTATGTGGTATTATGTGACCGACAACACATAATGTTTGCCTGCCACGACTCGGTTCGCATTGCTCGGACTGAGCAGGATCATGATGCATTCGGGGTCTATCATGCATGAAGGGAACAAGTATGGTTTAATCAAGTACTGGGATAATTAGATGCTGGCTGTCGGCCAGCATGATATAAAATGTGAACGTTCCTCATTGCATCGCGGGGAGCCAAAAGTCTAATAAAACGGCGTTATATTGGTCGCAGGACCGTAAAAAAAAAACCGATATGTTTATGGCCAGCGGGATCTTTATCTGCCCGTCAAATGAGCATGCACATGTGCCATCTCTGCTAGTCTCGGCATAACATCAGGATACGGAAGCTAAAAGCATCCAGGTCCCAGGAACCAAACCACCACCGCACCCGGTCATACCGAACATCCCCCCTTCCCCCGCCACCATGCCCGGCTAGCCAGCAACTTCAGGAAAAATTTCTGCTCGGTATGCTGTCATATCACCGGTTTAGCTTCATGCCATTAAAACTAACATGTGAAAGCATCAAAAGGAGATATCTTATCGCTTCTATATAAAGGGGAGATATCACGACCTGCATTCGTTTGTTGCGAAAGAAAGAAAGAAAGGGGATTCTTTACCTACTATTCATAATCGTACACAATGGCCGACGTCATCGAATCTCCAAAACCCGACACTACGAAAACTATGCCTACAGCTAACGACACAAAACCCCGTGTGAACGGAATAAAACCCGTGCAGAGGACATATAGCATCGTAGATCAAGATGGTGTTCCGTCAGAACTGGTTACCGGACCGTCACCGCGGCGGAAGGCTATTCGATGGGCACCGCTGGTGATACCGATCCGTCGACGATTGGAGACGCTCGTTGTGGTTATATTTCAATTGGCTGGATTGATTGCCCTAGCCATGTTTTGGTTTACGGCGGCGAATCCGTTGACTTGGCCTTTGTATGTTCAACGTTGTCGCCGTATTGCCATACCATCACTGTAGACGCTAATAGGTCCTATAGACTGGTTCCCTACCTAATTTACTTGACTTTAACGCCTCCTCCATCCGACAAACCACCATCGAATTTCTTGTCGCCTATTATTCGCAACAAAAGGTTCTGGTCGTACTTCTGCACTTACTTTCCCATGCGTCTGCATCGTTCTGTCGAATTGTCACCAGAGGAAAACTATATTTTCGGCTTCCACCCTCATGGAATCATCAGTCACGGCGCTTGGGGTAGCTTTGTTACAAAAACGACTGGGTGGGACGAATTATTCCCAGGAATCAGCAACACTTTATTGACGCTCGAAAGTAACTTCCGACTCCCATTCTACCGTGAATATTTAATCGGCATGGGCTTGGGAAGTGTTAGTAGGAAGAGTTGTGAAGGTTTACTCGGTGGTGTCCCCGGTGAAGTTAGTGAAGCCGATGTTCACCTGACAATTTGGGATCGTGCGCCGAAGGTTTTCAGAAAACGAAAGGGGTTTGTGAGTGGAAGTGCTACGCCTCTTGCTGCGTCGACAACGGTTATGAATGGTACACAACCGAATGGTCGCATAGTCTTGGACGGGGAGAAACCGGCGATGAAGAAGGGACAGGGGATCACGATTGTTATCGGGGGCGCACAGGAATCTTTGTTCGCGAAGCCCGGGAACATGACGTTGAAGATGAGGAAGGGTTTCTTGAGAGTCGCTGTCAGAACGGGGGCTCATTTGGTGCCTGTGCTAAGTTTTGGTGAAAATGGTAAGAGAACGGACCTTGGATTCCCCTTCTGTGCTCTATTTCAATGCTGACTTTTGTCTCCTTTCCCGTAGATTTGTTCGATCAGCTTATCCCAGAAAAGACGAGCTGGGTGCATAAATTCCAAATCCTGGTGAAGAAGGTGTTCGGATTTACAATCCCACTTTTCCATGCTAGAGGTATCTTCAATTATGATGTTGGGCTGGTACCATACAGGGTCCCGGTTAATACTGTCGTTGTAAGTTTTTCCTTATTGATTCTGTGCAACGGATTGTATAAGACTCGTATCTTTGGCGACGGCAAGATCCTGTAACTTGCAAGGAACAAGCATGCTAATAACTATATATAGGGGAGACCAATCAAAACCATTCAGTCGCCAGACCCGAGAGATGATTACATCGATGAACTGCAGGACCTGTATTGTGAGGAGTTGGAAAGACTATGGGAAGAGCATAAGGATAAGTTCGCACCAAGACGAAGAGCAGAGATGAGAATTATTCGGTAGATTTTTTTCTGTTTCTTTTGTCATCGTTCTTTTGATTCAATGTTACTAGGCTCCTTTTTTTTTGGCATAAATATTGGCTCGGGTTAGCATATAGGCGGAGCACTACTGTTTTTGGCAGGCGGGTTATAACTGTTGATTGGTGATAAAATATTTCCTTTTGTTGAAGGCGAGCGTATGGTTGAGGAGAGGTTTCGCATTTGCATTGGCGATTTGTTCGTTTTGCGTTAGATGGTAGCTATTATTCTATCTCTTATTTTCGTTTTTTTCGAGTTATGCACCTAGACCTAGTTTTACCCTGTACCCACGTGTGAGGAGCCTTCGCAATTCGACTTCGAAGTCTTTTTATGTGGCTCCTCCGTACGATATACCAAGACGGGAAAAGAAAGCCACATAAATACGCCACCGTTGTCGACTGTCAACGGTATGGCATCCGAGAGGGAAGATGTTGGCGGACCCGTTACCCAAGGTGCAACGGCAGGGCAAGCCCGCTTCCCATTAGCTAGCTAAGTGGAGTCGGGGGATGGATACCTCAGCGGTAGAGACCCTTCTTAACGTTAAAACGTACACTAAATGCAATATTTCACCAATGACACCGCAACTGGATGACAAAGGCCTGAAAAACAAAAATGTATTGATTCTATGGAAAGGATCGCCGTTCCTTCAATTTGAATGGCTGTGGGCTAGTTTAGAGTGGGGACGACGAGGGTGGGGTGGGCGATGATTTCGTTGGTTAGGAGGGACTCTCGTGTTTTTTGAGGCGAAGGGGGGTTTTTCTTCTTTTGCTTCTTTCTTTCTCTCTGGTAAAGGGTTAACTTCATTGACAGAAACGATAGAACTTAAGGATGATCTTAAGAGAGGGGATTAATAGATGGAATCTGAAGCGATAGCCTGTAACCTTTTTTTTTTTGGTAATTGTGAATGCCTTTCGGTATTAAGACAATCTATGCATATACGTGCCTGTATACATAGGCCTGTACGATGGTAGTATAGTATATATAGTATATAGACAGCGGAAGCCGTGAAGCCACGGGGGTCACTGTCGATATCGGTTGGTCCACATGGACTTGCATTGCGTCTTCTTCCCGTCGTTACACAGCCAAAAAGAATAAAGGCAGGTAAGAAAGAAAAGATAAGGAACTACTACATACTACTACACATTCTACGCGCCGCCGCCGCAGTTAATTAAACGGTATTGGTTTTCTCGGCTCGACTAAAACTTCAACCCTATTCCTTGACCCTACTTTCTTCGAAAAATAATTCCGTAGTCCGGCCGGTTGTGTGCACGCGCACGAGCACGGGATTCCCATTGATACCGGTCCAGATTTGTATCCGGCTGGGGCTGGGTTCAGGGATTTTGGGAAGTAAAATTTCCAAGGGAGACAGACAGACATAAACGGGAGAATTCGAGAGATCTGGAGCATGGGTTTACTTTGCTGGTTAGGCTGCCTGCATTGCAGCTTGCAGGGAGAAGCGGCACAAGGATTTTGGGCAAGAGGGAAGTCGGGGTTCGAAATCTTCTTAAAATGTTGCGACGAAAAAAAAACTTTACGTAGGAGCCTTTTAAGCTTCTGGCATCTGAAGGGGGTTTTGGGTTTTTATATTATATTTGACCACGAGTCGTTTCGGATTTTGTTGGGACCACGGGGGCTCTTTTTCTAGATGCTATCATCGAAGCATGAGATTATTAAATAATGAGTTAGGTTCATGCATACTGTACATGTGAAAATGAAACGATTGTCGTCGGTCAAGAAGACCGAACAGAGGTGTAAAAGCCGTTATTAGACTATAAAGCGCGCCATTTAATGGGGGTTTATTGGTTTCAAGAGGTCTTAATACAAATCGAATCGTGGGGATTCAATACCATTGGGTACGGTCCCCATAATTGGTAGCTCGTGGGAAGAATTCTTGTCAGGAGATCTTATTTCGGCAATCGTTCACATCTAGACTGAATTACGCTAGTATCCAAAGTGATCGATGCGATGTGATAGCCTACCAATCGATTGGACGGTTTAAGAGTCCGTTCCACTTTTACGATGTGATATATGATGATGGTGCGGAAGTTGTTCTGAATGGCCAGGGTTTGGATCCATGGATGGATTTACGAGAAAGGTTGGTCAGATGAAGGTTTTACTCTATCAAATTCATTTGCTGAGAATATTTCCTACAGAGCGAAGTCTTCAAGACAATTGACATGACACCGCCTGCTTAAATGAACCCTGCAGGCACTTCTTCTTTTTTTTTTCTCCTATGATATTTAAAGGAAGCAACGGAAGCAGGGTTCCTTTACCCCCGCATCAGAATTTGTCCATACGTGTGGGAGTTTAATCCTCTTTTTTATGCAAAGTTGCGGGAAAGGGAAGGAAAACCCTTGCCACAGGCTGCAGCAGGATGTTCTGGATATTGGAACAAGCCGTTGGTAGACAATCGCTGCTATTTTGGAAGTACCGTTAAAACAGAAACGCCTTATACTGCGTACCGGTTTATTCCCTGGTATTTACCCTCCTTTCTTGTGCTTTGTTCTGTATTCTGTGACGGTTTATTTTTCCGTATCTCTTTTTCATTCTTTTCTTTTCATCTGTATTTTTATTTCTTTCTTCTATTGTTTCGATTCTAGTGGGATACATACATTTTTTATAACTTCGGTTGTCGACATTCTGTTTCGTCCTAATTGCCTGCCGATTACCGAATAGCTTTTTAGATACAGATATACCGACGCTTTGCGAAATTGGGGCTAGATTGCTATTTGAGTTATTCAATTACTGGAACTTCTTCTGGACGGTTTCCTTGTAAGTACTGATTTAGTAGCTGCGGGACAGCCTAGGTCTGGTGGTTTGTTTCTGCTGGCACAACTGGTTCCTGCATGTTCCTCTTTTCCGCTGCAAGAGCTAGAGTCTTGATACGGATCCGAGCGCAAGCGAGTCTACTTTGCTGCATGTGCAGTGCACTGACTTGGACCCTTCCCTCTTTTTTCCTCGAGTTCCTGTTCCGTGAAGAGTTCAAAATAAGTATCCCTTAAACTTGCGATTACTCCCCGACCTGCCCTTTGAAAGAACTCGGGGGAAATTTGCCTCAAATGCGAACCCGTTGAAGTTGAGAGACATTCCCTCTCCTTGTCTTTATTTTATCTTTATTTTTATTTTTATTCCATTCCCCGGTGTGAAAAAAAAAGAGTGGACGTTTCGTCATTGCGGAGTTCGATACTTTTCTCTTTGATTTGATTCTCGTTACGTTATCGATACATCATCTGCATCTGGTACGAAAAAAGGGAGCATTCGATTCGGAATATCTGAATGTTAACTCGAACAATCCACAACTTTCCTTTGGCGTCGATAAAATAATCTGCTTGACAAGACCATAAGAGCTGATGTTTCTAAAATATACGACATAGCCCTTAGGATTTATTTTTATTTTTTATTACATAGATTTATCAGCAAATATCCGAGAAGGGGAAAGGAAGGAAAGAAGGAAATTTTACAAACTCCCAAGCCACCTGAGACCGGAACGTTTACCGACCATTTAATGATATCGAATGTACAATTTCGACATTTGGACTGATACATACCTTAGCTAAGCCTTTCAGCCACGGCGACCGCTTGCTAGTATTAGAAAGTGTCAAGAGATCGATTCAATATCAAAGTCTGAGAGGGGTCGTCGACGGATACATGCATCCGATATTTTCGAATCGATATCTCCCCTTTAGCCTTTGACTCAGGTTATAATTATACTTATCAGTTTCGAGTCTCGGATCCATTGGTAAGGACCATTTGCATGCCAGGTCTATCACCACCGTTAGACCTATCGACAAGTACTAGGAGTAAAGCGCAGTGCGTAGCGCAGTGCAGCATAGTGTGGGAGTTCATTTCGTGGGATATCGCTGCCTGCATATAGGGGGCAGCCAGCCACTAACCAAGACCCTAACGACCGAGTAAGTACCCCAAATACTGGCGCATGCTGAAGATTGGTTACTGAGTTAGTCAGTCAGTCGCAGTGGGCAAACACCACAATCACAACCTCTTCGCTTTTCCCACCGACATCTTCATCTCCATCTCACATCACCTCACTTAACTTCACCTAACTTAACTTCATCTCCACCTCTCCTTGAACTTCAATTCTTCTTTTTTACTTCTCCTTCTCTACTCGACTTCAGTTAATTGGTTGGTTGTTTGTCCGTCTGGCTGGTATCATCATATCCAGTATCGTCAAACACCAACCTGCTACTTCCCCTCTCAACCTGAAACTGGCACCCAACAGCAAAAAGGAAACATCCTTCAGTCCCAGCTAAACCTCACTCTTCGAAGCCGCGAACGCTTGTTCGAGAACAACTTCTCTTTAATAGCTTGCCGTCCCTTGCTTGTTTGCTTGCTATCAAGCTCTCCTTCCTTCCTAACTGCCGACTTCGTAGCTGCTGCTGCTGCTGCTCCACTCCGTTGGTAATTCGATATTGTTTCCTTGCGGATCACAGCCACTTCCGACTGAGAAGCAACCATCACTTTAAGATTGCTTCAAAAAGGCCGCTTCACCGTCAAAGCAAAAAAGTCCTCATTTGCCGCGAAAGCCTCACAAACAGACAGATAGGACGAACCAGACTTTCGCTTGTTTGAACAGTAAGTTTAGGGTTTCTTGGGCATTTCCCCCTGTCTGTTTGATTCATTCCTCTTTGCCCTGTCCTGCGCCTGCGATTTTTGGCCTTCCCTGCCTTTGAACCTTCAACCTTTGATGGTTTCGACCTTCCTTCTTCCCCCTGTTGTCTTCCTCCACAAGAACCATCTTTCCCCATTTTTTTCTCTGTCTAGCTGGCTGTCAATAATCGTAATTGTTCACCCCTTCATTTCCAGCGGCTAACGTCTACCACTGTCTCGGCACTAGCGACCTTAACGAACCTCATCAACCTGTCATAATAGATATCAACACTTCAGCAGGACCCTCGCGGATCTATAAAAGTCGGAATCCCTTATGTCGTCGCTGTATTGAACTACACGCCGAAGCGATTCTGGTCTTTGCCTGCTTTGCAACGAATTCTAATCTCCACATCGTCGACGCCGAATCACGGGTCTTCCATCTTCATCCGCCTGGGAGCGGGGAATCTTTGTTAACGACCCTCATCGCCTTATACACACGACAGGGCGATCGTCTTTTGTTTCCTATTAATATCAGCTTCGCAAGAAAACGTTCCTTATATTCGGATCACCTCCCGAATCTGTCTCATACGCCCTATTCATAGATCATCACCCTAAATATGGCGACACAAACGACCACATTGCCCCGCCCGGGATCTGGCACCCGATCATCTGTTCCGAAATCACCAGCACCCACATCAGGTCTCCCCAACCCACCATTGTCGAATCGAAAATCATCCTCCATCGCATCTCTCAAATCATTGAAACGACCATCTTCATTTGCTAGCCTGAAGGAGGAATCAGATAAAACAAACCGACTGTCGACACAATCCGAGCGTAACGTTGCAGGATCATCTAGAATATACTCACAACCACCAAATTCGCCCCTCGCACCCGGTGGAAGCGGAGTTGCCGGAAATAGGAGGGCATCGGCACTTGTTCCAGCGTCACCGGTTATCCCAGCAGCTCGAAAGAGCAGCTTAAACCCGAAGGGACGGTTCCCATTGAATGTTGCGAACTTAAAGAAGAAAGAGGACGGGTTAGGCGTTAGTTTGAGCCCAGACGACTCGGTGCCGCCGCCATCCCCGCCACTCAGCAGGTCCTCCTCGCAGTTAGGTCATCATCTAGAAGCTCCGATGATGGAGAGCAGCAGTGGAAGTCGGAGCCCGAGCGCCTTGGGAGGTGAAGAAGGCGGGAAAGGAAATGTTTTGGTGTCAGTCAGGGTTCGGCCAGCTGGAGAGTCAGGAAAGGAAAGCCCAGAGTGGACGGTCGACTCGAGCAAGTCGCTTGTCAGATATGGTGGCAAGGAAGGAGGAGATTATTATATGGGTAGGTTTCATATGGCTTAGATTTAATTCTACAGCTCAGCGGGGCATTCAAGGCTAACGAGGAAATCTGCCTAGATAATGTGTTTGCACCGAGGGACAGCAACGTTAGGGTGTATGAGTCGTGCTGCAAAAGGCTAGTTCGACGAGTTATGGAAGGTTATCACGGAACGGTATTTGCCTACGGTATGACAGGTACTGGTAAAACATTTTCTATGCAGGTACATATCAAGCTCATCCATTTCCGTCAATTCGGAAACATGTTCCGGTCGCGGGATGTATATACTAATGGAATGTAGGGAACTTCTGAAAACCCAGGTGTTATCCCATTGGCCGTTACAGATGTCTTTTCTTTTATTCGGGAAACTCCTCATCGGGAATTTTTACTCCGAGTTTCCTACCTCGAAATCTACAACGAAAAAATCCACGACCTGCTATCCCCGGCGTTAAATAGTGGGAACGGTATCTTCGGCCAGCAGGTGGAAGAAATTAAGCTTCGGGAAGATAGTAAGCGAGGAGTCTACGCTACACCACTCAAGGAAGAAATTGTCCAGTCACCTACACAGCTTCTCAGGGTTATTGCAAGAGGGGACTTAGCGCGAAAAACCGGTTCGACACAATTCAACGCCCGCTCTTCGCGATCGCACGCCGTCGTGCAGATTGTGGTAGAAAGTAGAGAGCGTATCACCGGAGGCGGCGCTCCACTTGATGGAAAGCAGACCGGTAACGCTATTGGTGGTGTCCGAGTCTCGACACTCTCCCTTATCGATTTGGCTGGTTCGGAGCGAGCGGCAGAGAACAAAGAGCGTCGACAAGAAGGTGCACATATCAACAAATCCTTGTTGACTTTAGGAAATGTCATCGCGAGACTTTCCCAAACAAAAGATGGAAAGGATAAAGATCACCTACCCTATCGAGATAGTAAACTGACCAGATTGCTCCAACCTGCCTTGTCCGGGAGCAGTCTGATTAGTATATTATGTACGATGTCTTCGAGTACCGACGCCAATCAAGCAGAAAGTTTGAATACTCTAAAGTTCGCGGCAAGAGCGAAGAACAACATTATCTCACATGCTAAGAAAGCTGAAGAAGCGCTTGTCACTGATGCCGGAAGCAAAGTTCTTTTAGAGAGGTATAGACACGAGATCGCCGAACTTAGAGGACAATTAGAATTACAAGCGAAGGCCCAGATGGAAACGCAGGAACAAGAAGCACAGCGTCACGAAGAACAGATGATCGAGATACAACTTGCTCGGACTGCCCTCAAGGAGCGGATCGATCACCTGAATCGACTGATTCTGAGTTCTAAATCTTCAGGCGTCAACACTACAACTGGAAATGGCCGCGCTTCGACATTACTGTCCGCCCGTTCATCAACATATTCGACCGCTCCCGGACCTGGACCACAAGCGGTTCCTCGTACCTTTTCACAATCAACATTCGCGTCGATTGGACCTCCACCAGAATTCCTACCTTCTGACCCTGGGTCTGACGACTCTGCCGGTGAATATGGAGACGGCTCGGCTACTTTGTCTGCACAAGTGAAAGCCCTCCAGGCAGATAACGCCGACAAGTCTCGATATATCGCTACCCTTGAAAAGCGTCTCCTTCAAGCACGCCGAGCCTCGCAATCTAGAACATCGATTGGCCTCGCAAACTCGCCTAGATTGTCGGGTACGGGAGAAGAAGGATCATTGGCTTCTATCCTTCGAGAGAAGGATTCAGAAATTGCGAATCTCCGTGCTCAGCTTGATGATAAAGAAAGAATGGTAGCTGCTCTTCGAAGTTCAGCTAGGAAACGAGAGTTGGCAGATCTCAAGGTCTTGAAGGTTCGAACTAAGAGCATCGACGACCTCTTAAGCTCGAAGAGGCGAGCTTCTACAAACCCTATGTCTCCACCTTTGAAGAATTCTTCCGATGATATCGCTGGGCAAACCGTTCCTGAGGATGACGAGGAATTACTCTTGGTCAAACCGCTCAACATATCTGTGCGACGTACACCGGTCCCACCGGTCCGCGTCTCGTCGCAATCCTTAGTGGCAAAGAAAAAAGCGAGCGTCATGAGCTTACCGGACATGCCAGAGCCAATCACTGCGTGAGGAACGAAGTCGATTCGCGATGAAACCATGCCGGAAGAGGTTGTGACCCGCCCAAACACCGCTTCTCCAACCATTACCGATACGAATTTTACGACTAATACTGAGCCTTCTTCTTCTTCTTCGGCGGTAACACTGGCCTCTGCACCAACAACATCCGCGGCCCCGGAGATCAATGGCATTATGCCACAAATTGAGGCCACCTGGCCTGGTGGATCTGCCCTTTTGTTGTGCATACTCATCGTTCTTGCAGCTTGGTGGTTGGGGCAGATCATGCTAGTTGTTTAGGGAATATTGCATGGGATGTGGGAATTACTGCCATAGCTCGATGCGATTATGTTTTCATGAGGTTGGGAAAAGCACATGATGGTTTTCCTGTATCCCTTTCCGTATTATGTCCACGCTTGTGACGCATGTAGCGGTAGTGGGCTCTGGCCACTTTTTCTTGTTCTCTTTTTTGTTTTTACTGTCCCCCTTTCGTTATTAATATGAACTTCCTTTCTGTGCCCACTTGTCATCTGGGATGGAGTTCTGATCTGCGATAGCCATCGAGTGCTGTTTCGTTTCTCTTCATTGTTACAATATTTTCTCGCTTCCTCTTTTCTCTTTTTTCTTTCCTCTTTTACAGCTATGATGGTTTACAAAAGACACTCGACTTCATTGTTTTTATTTCACCCCTTCTCTAACTTTGATGCAGCTTATACTGTACCGCTACTACTTTTCTACTTGTTTTTTTTTTTTTTTCAAAAGAGGGAAAGAAATCATTATTACCGGAGCTTTACGGTTTGTTAGCTGGGTCCTTTCGTTTTTTTCTCTTCTGGTTTATTTATTTATTTATCGATATCCCATCTGCCGTTCTTTTACTCTACCTTTTTTTTTGTAGCATTTCTATTCTTCCATTCAAGGCTGTTCTATCCTGCATCCATTGTGTGTATAAGTGTGCATGCTGCGAGTTCCCTTCCAACTCCCTCTCTTTCGAATTCGACTCTCCATCTTTCTTTCTTTCTTTCTTTTTTAGTTCCACCAATATTCCATAATGTATATATATACCCATCATATTTTTTTTATCTTTATGGCGGATTTTTCTTCTTGAATGTCGAAAATAAAAATGAAATCTTCATTTGACATCACTTCCTTGGTGGTTGAGTGGTTTACCTGAAATATCTTCTTCATCTACCTCCTCTTTATCTTCTTGCTTGAAAAAAAACAAAAAAACATTCACGTCTATCTTATTTCAGGGGAACACAAGCATGGATGGCTGAAGAGTGCGAGGAACCTCTCTTTATAAATTTGGTGATGATATCATGATGCATAGAGCTGCATGATATCATGATCAACCTACATAGTTACCTGCCCGGGTAGATTTCGAAGGGGGTTTAGATTTAATTATGTTTAAAATTTGAGAGTAGCGTTATGTATTGTCTCCTGCGCATGCTACACGAAGGGGATGGTATCATATAAGATTTAGGATATCGATCTAAATATCTCGATCGATTGTTCCTGAAGCCTGAAGCTACCTTCAGGCGGGCTTTCCGTCCCAGAAGATCATCGATTTGCCCTACGGTACCCCTAGGCACCTGTTTATCCATGTCCGCCTGGATTCGAGGCTACTAACCGGTCATATCTGGTCTATCAGGCGGGATTACCTATGATCATCGCAATGGCAAAGGATAAATCAAATACGCCTTGTATTTTGTCCCTCCGCATTGATGCGTCGATGGACTAACTTCCTTTGAGATTACATACAACAAGATACAAAACGAAAAAGTGCCATCCATGGAACTTCATCCAGAAAACCCAAGGAAAAGGCAAGAAAAAAGTGGCTCTAGTGTACAAAAGCTGCCATCGCGAGACGCCATGTTAAAATCAAAGAAGAACTCCTTCTACCGAATATAATTAGGATTAGAATCGGGGTTGGAGTAATATAAGCGAATCAGCCCCTTGAAATGTTTTTCATAGGGATGGCCCCTGATGAGATTTCGAACCCGCTCGGATCGTAACGGGTTGGGCATCCGTTCCCCGGTCCGATTTGTGAATAAATCGTTGAGTAATCCCCGAATTTCCTTGGCTTCATCGTCTTCATCATCATCATCATCATTATCATCATCATCGTTGCCTTCGTCAGGGTTTGTTTTCCTATCATCTTGCGTTTCATCTATGTCCTTCGGTCCAGCGCAGGAAGAGCTGCCGAATTTACCTGCCTTAGACTCCATTTCCTCATTATCCTCATACTTCGTATCGTCGTCGGTATACCCCATTTCTTCATCCTCATCCTCACCTCCATCCTCACCAACCTCTGTTTCTTCGTTATCGTTATCTCGCATCTCGCAATCTTCCATCCCGGCAGTAGCATCATTTTCTTTTCCGTCAGGAATCTGGGCAACTGCAAGAGCTCGTTTCTTCTTACGACTAATGACAGGCTTTTCTCCTATCCACCAGCCCCGGTCGATTGTATCTTCGTCGTAATCTGAGGATTGGGAGCTCGATGAAGTATAATCCTTTTGTTGAACGGTATGCTTTTGTTCTTGGGTGATGTGTTTTAGCTGTTGGTGGAAGGTGGGTGGTCGAATGGGTAGTAGGGCAGGCAATAGCATAAATGGCAGGAAGGGCGGCGGGGGAGGCGATTTTTGAATGGATGGAGGAAGAGTAAGTGGTATTATAGGCAATTTTTGGATGGGTAGAGGGATGGGTAGTGGGATGGGTGGCGGTTGGATGGCTTGAGGTCTCTACCCCCCGCCTCCAAAGTCCAGTTTTCTTGCTACCTTCTTCCCACGTTCATCCGGAGTGTTAAATAGTTCTCCAGCTTTCCTCTTGAGGTCACTCCCGACCTTCTCGATTCCCTTACCACCACCCTTCTTTGGAAGATTGGCGGGTGGAGTCGGGTAAGGTTCTTGGGAAAACCACTTCGAGTCCAAGGCTTCTCTAGCAGAACACCGTTTTCGAGGGTCCAGTCGAAGCATTTTCATGAGAAGATCCACACCAGATTCACCGGCTGCAATGAAGGTGTTCATGAAGAAGTCCGTTCCTCGTTCCTTGACCAGAGTTCCACTAGCTTCATGATAACCGGGTAAAGTGGTGACGCCGGGCCAGTTCTCTTCAGTCGGTGTGCCCAGCCATTGGCAAATTAATTCCAATTGGTGCAAATCCGTATTCCCTGCTAAAAACGGAACTCGTAGCATGAGTTCGCAAAAGACCAGGCCGAGGGAGAAGATGTCGACCGAAGAAGAGTAGAATTTGGCGCCGTAGAAGAGTTCAGGAGGACGGTACCAGCGGGTGATGACTTGGTGGGTCATATGACGCTTAGGGTCGGCAAAAGAACGGGCGAGACCAAAATCTGCAAGTTTAAGAACTCCATTGGCAGCGAGAAGCAAATTGTTGGGTTTGATATCCTAAGATTTGTAGGTTAGTCAAAATCTCGAGGGTGAGAACAGAGTTCAGCTTACACGATGAATAACGAATGACTTGTGACACCACCATAACCCACGTAAGCTCATTAACATCCAGCTTTTGATATCACCCATCGACAATGTCTGTGAAGTATCCCTGATGATCATTTCCAAGTCGCTGTCGAGGAACTCGAGGACCAAACAAAGGTTCTGGTTTTTGGATGAGAAAACATCGAGGAGAGCGATGATGTTGATGTGGTGAAGTTCACGTAAATATTTGACTTCACGGATGGCGTCCATAGTAATCCCATCGCGAAACTCGGTGTTTACTTTTATCTTTTTGATGGCGACTGGAACGGCGGGCTCAGTAGCGGTAGCACGGCGGTGGCCGAGATTGACAACGGCGTAGGCTCCCTCTCCGAGCTTCCGGTCTATAAACGATACCTATGTTAGCAATAGCTAAAGACTACGCAAATGATACAATGGGTTAAATGAGCTCAATGGATAGACGGACCTTTTGTGTACTTCTTCTTGGTTCGAGTATTGAGGTCATCAGGATCATCGTTGTCGGACACATCGGAGTCGTCGTTTGGTAGCTTGACATCACCACTGCTCTCGGCGGCCATGCTGGAAAGAGGGGTGTTGTTTCCGTTCCCGTTCCCAAACGGCAATGTTCGTCTTATGACAGTCGCATTTGACAGGGTGCCTGAAGTCGGAGGACCAGTTGTCGCGCTCATCGCGACGGGAAAGATGGATGGTGCGATACTTTGGTGGAAGACGTGGTGTTGAGAATGAAGCTTAAAGTAAATAGACGAGCCATCGGCTTTTGTGTTGGATACCACGAAGGTTTCGGCTTGCTGGAGAAAATTCTAGGCGCTGAAACCACAACTTCGTGAACAACTTCAGGCCGTTAGATCACAACCTCAGGAGGTCACATAGCCACGAGAATTCACAAAATGGTACGGAATCTATCTTCAATGGAAATATGACATTCATGGGCACTAAGGCATCGTCTCTAGAACCGACTACGACCGTTGTTCCCCGCGAGGAAGTCCGCGATATTGGACTTCCTACAGCCTAGGTCCAATCATGCGAGGTTACTTCACCACTCACGAGAGCCGCGGCCTATCCCCGCTGTATGATATCCTCCTATACTAGCCATATACTTAGCGAGCCTCTTAGGCTGAGGCTCTTGATGACAAGATCATGTTAGACTTCGGTATACTAATCGGCATTTTCACAGGAATCCTCCACCGCCCCCGATGTTAAGACTTTCCTAACCAAAATCGGCCGAAATATGATCCAGCACGAGTCGAAATTCACAGATTGGAAGCAGCTTATGGGAACTACGACTCAGCAACTACGTGTTATGGGTATCGAACCGGCTAGGGACAGGCGGTACCTGATCGACTGGAGAGAGAGGTATAGAAATGGGATTGAGCCAACCGAATACAAGAGAGGAAGGAAGATCGACGGTGGTGAGAGACGAAGGAAGATGGTTAGGGCACTAAGGAGGATCACAGAGAGACAGGAACAGAGAAAGAAAGAAGAACAAGCGATAATTATGGGCAAGTTGTAGGAACTTCGTGGGGGGGATGGCGAGGGCCCAGCGGGACACTGAACTGTCACCAATTGGCCCATTAAGGAAGATATGCAATCAGAAGTCGACAGTATGATCCAGATAGACTATACTACGGGTTAGTTTATCTTGGACTCGGTGTGGCCTGTGATTTCCTACACTTGATATCCTTTTCGACATGTCAATCAAGGAAATCCTAAGGCTTATTCTGTCCTTCGATACCACCATCAAGGTCGTATTTGGTGCATTTTCATCCCTATGTACATACACATTTATATATATTATTGAATGCTCATCGCAATGCGCATAATTATCTCGTGTCCATGCAGAGTCGCTTGGTCTCGTTCCCGGCAGACGTCACAAAGGGAAGCATGAGTCGCTACATTGGACATCGTCCTGGATCGAGCCCTCTTGTATAGTACCGCTTACCTGCAACGTTCACTTGAACCCTCAATACCATAAATGCAATAAAGTAAGTGCGCTGCGTCGAGAAGCCAAAAATAGAATGGAATATCACGCCCAATGTACGGCGAGTTAAATTTTAACGCCCATTGGGTATAATATATACTTGCTTATGTAGGGCCTTTGTTAGACACGTGGAGATGGGCCAGTATATACATACGGCGATCCAAGGTTAATCGCGCGGTCAATCGATATTTTCCAAAATTAGACCTTTCCAAATCAATTTCACTATGGCCGCCTATATAAATTCCCAGGCAAGATCGCACCCCATGAAAGAATATCCCGGCCTTGCAAGACCGACAACCACCATCTCCACCAGCTTAACAGGGTACTTCTGGCTACATTAGCCAGAGGTATTCTAGGAAGCCAAAAAGGATACATCGCCTGCACTTGCCACCTGCATTCTAATCCAAGATGATGCCGTCATCTGAAGATCGGCCAAGTTATGTTGTTCAACATGCTACGCAGTATAGGTACCAACGTAATTATAACGTCGGCCCTAACCAGCGTCAGCCGTGGGACGAACGCATGCCCCAAAGGAATACCCCATATTTCAATCCCACTTATGGCCTGTCTGTAGCTGGGCCGGGTCAGCCCAGTTCCGGTGTAAATTCTGTGTCTAGCCCAACCATGCGTAATGATAGCATGGATATCCCCGCACAGCCGCACGAATATTCGGAATTGATGGGACGAGTAAGTAGCCGGGCTTCCTCGTGAGCTTGAAAGATATGGCACTGAACAATATTTTTAGGTAGAACCAACACCTAGAGCTGGGCATAGAGAACCTCGTTGTGCATTGTCTTTCAACGTCCACAAGAGATCATGGAACCCTTGTTTAAGAACATCTGCAAAAGAAGCTCTTGTTGACCTACCACAGGGTTATCCTGAATTTGAATGGTTGAGGGATGACAATGCTAGGCACCTCATGATGAGTACTGGAAAGTTATTTAATATACGGGAATTTATAACACAGTCAGGGTTCTGGGTAGAAGGCGGTTACTTTATCACAACTTTGCACTTTGGCTCTTGGATGAAGAGCGGTAAGCAACCCACGCAACAGATGCTCGAACTATATCGCGGAAGAAGGGACTACGGTTTCACCGTTTCGACGATGTACTACAACACGACCGGTATATACGAAGATGATGACTTTGTCGGTGTCTATCTCATGAAGTGGAACCTTGAAAACGATCTGGCAGTGTTTGCGCCAATAGTCAAGGACCGAGACCAGACTGCGCCCTCTATGATTCCTACTGGCTGTATCGTTGAATCAGATGCCTTGTTTCAGTACTTCGACCGCCTCAACGGCGTTGATATGTTCGCCGTTGGGTATAACAACCTTCCAGACCTGGATATATCCAGCTATCTATCCGAATTTGCAACTGAAGTTCCTGATATAAATGGAACAGTGGTATGTCAATTAAATCAAACACCATACTCCTTTGTCTACGTTATCTAATCGTTTAAAAACTCTTGCATATATAGATTGACTATAACTCTATGATCAGGCCCAACTTCAAATCCGTTGCAGTTGGCAGTATCCGCGACATTGACCCCGTCCGTTCCGAGTTGATGGTGGACTGCACAGCATGGAAAGGGTTCTTTGGCGGGCTCATCGCGATCAGATATCAACATTCACAGTCAAACATACAACCCCTTGTCATCGGACATAGTAAGTACATACCTGCGTCTTGAAACGGGTTGATATCATGATAGAGCTGCTGCTGATTTCGCAATAGTTGTCAGTGCTAGAGGTAATGAGAGATTCAATCGTGCAAGGCTCATACCAGCCGGTCTTCGTGAGTATCTGAAACAGGTCAACCCATTTCAAATAGGACACGAGCCTGGCGAGTTAGGATTCCCCCGCGTTAGTATTGCCACTATTCCACTCCCAATGGAAATGGCACATTTCCCCAACGGTTACATAAGACACCATGCACCCCCATTTGCGATGCCCAGGCACCCATATCGTAGGGGCCCACAGAGGCACTTAGGTTCTCTCCACCGGCTTACTTCAAGTTAGATTATTCACACCAGCGCGGTATTCTTTTGTCATAGAATGCGATTTATACACAGATGCCGCGTTTTTGCGAACTCCTGGTCCAGCGAGGCCACCCGACCAGGACTTTCCCACCGGGGTTCACGAGCAGTCTTTGTCTTTTACGACCAGCCTCGCCAATTGTTCCATTAGGGCCTGTAACAATTTTCTCCTTATTCTATTGTATCAATTAGTCTTAAGTTGTTGCATTTGTATTTCTGTCGCCTCCCCTTAGAATAAACTGGTTACGCGGTTTTCTAGTATTATCACGTACATCAAGGCACACTAGTAGCTATGGATCGCCTAGGCGTCAACGAGAGTCGTACGTTACTGCGCTAGGCATCATTTATCATATAGCTATCAGACACTAGCGAATGTCAACATCTCGCGTCTTTCTCTTTTTTTTTTTTGGTTGGACTTCTCTATAGATCTATCATTCTATTGTTACCATTAATATCACTTACTCGCAACAATAATCGTTCAGTAATAATAATAATGATGAAATGATAATAAGAGTAAGGTTTTCTGCATTGGTCATCAGCTTTGGTCTAAGATTATTGGTCATCTAATAAAAGCTATAAAGTTTAAAATTTCACACACACACACTAAGCACAACTAGTTGAGTCCCGATCTTGTGCACTGGCTAAATTTGTTGATATGTTGCATCTTGAAAGAAAGTTGTGTTGCTGACGCTCGGATCCTGGTTCCGAGATGCATCTACGCCAAGCTATCCGAACCTCCCATGCCTCGTTCGAGAGCTATCCGGAAGGACCAAGAGATATCGATATCCCTAAAGGACCCACTTGATAGCCTTGTGTCGTAGCCGGGACTTCGCAAGGATATAGCCAACTAGAGTCTGTTGAGATTTAGAGGGTGATGTCTCATGGTCTCTCCACACTTGCTAACAAAAGCACTCACTCGCTATAGTCTAACTCTATCAGGCCAGAAACCATGCATGGCCTGCAGGGAGGTTGAAAGACACGAGATCCGTTATCCGTAGGTCTCGGTCGAAACGAAACATGGGAATCCTATAACCCTTTTATGACGATAAGCAAAAGGTACAGGTACATAAGAATGCGGTTTGACGGGAAGGGAAAAGAAAAGAGTGTGTGGGGATCTGCATGCCAGTGCCGCTTTTCCCGCCGCACTTGCAAGAAACCGAAAAAAATAAAATAAAGAACAGAAGTGCCTAGCCTTTGTGTAACCGAGCCAGACGACATTCCTTGGGGCGATAGAAGCGCATGCGCAACCCGATTGCGACTTTGAGCATGTTTTTTTGAACCGTTATTTGACAATCTGAAGGTGGTTTCTAAGAAGATGAAATGGTGATATTGGAAAAGCAGATTTTTAAGCCTCCTTTTTGCGGCGTTTGGAGAGGAGGCGTTTCGCTCTCTTTTTGAAAGTCGCTAGCGAATTAATGGGTGGTTTAGGTAGGGATCAGCATTGCTCCACAAAACATTGCAGAGGCTTCAATGGGACCCAAAGTTGTCAGTCTTCCTTTGAGACTGTCTTGGTTGGGACTTGTGTAACCTGTCAATCGGCTAGGGTAGTGGGAAAGAGATTCAAAACCACGTTACATGATCTCCCTGGGGCGGTAGGAACCGATATGTGCGAACAATGCTAATGTCTCGATGTTTAATCTGTGGCGCGAGTATATGCTACTGCACTAGCCTCATTTGCCACCTAACTCCCCTACACTCTTATCGACATGTTCCTAACTCTAGCCATCTTTAAAATACAACTAGGACGTAATAACAGATTATTATTTAATATACGGGCTCTTGGTTCCTGTGATACCTTGCCCTAACTATGTATATAGCTATATAGCCGGTTTCGTTTTCCCATGATCTGGTCAAGAGAATCCCCCAAGCTGAAATACGCCCTATATACTCGATCCGCAGAAACTAGCTAGCTTGATTCAAAATCAATTCTGAAAGCTTGGCGATAAATATACGGCATTCTACGGCTGGACTCTTGGAATTTCTAATACACCTCCCGACTATGCTAAACTTTAGCCCAAAGTTTTGAACCGTTAATACTAATACTGGAGACACTAAACTTGGGTTGTCTTGAATGCTATGTTCAAGAAAGCTCGAAGCTAACAAGGCGGGCTTTGTCCAGATCCTCGAACGGATATTAACTTCCGGTGGAATTGCCGGGCGCAAGACTATTCGGAAAACAATTTCCATTTCTTACCGAGGCTCGAGGAACTTCCCCCCGTATATGAGCAATACGGTGCACGAATAAGTACATGTAGTGATGGAACGTGAAGTTGTTGCAGAATCAATCGTGACGGCTATCGTGCCCCGCCGGCTGCGGAATCAGCATTCCTCATAAGATATAAGGCATAAAATAAGGCATAATATGGATGCGAGCTCCACCAAATTTAATCTCTAAGCTGGCATATATCACGGGACATGGGAAAGTTTGGAATGCCATATGCCGTGCTAGAAAGCTTAGCAAAGTAAGGGCTATACAAAAGTTTTTTAACCATTAGATCGTGAAAATTTCCGGGTACCCATAGTAGGGCCCTAACTAAACCCCTTGCCTTGCGGGTTTGATTCCCCGCCGCGGCCCCTTACTGAACGGCCGGATTCGTTTTCCTGACATAATTGACTTTTCAATGCAATGCATCATATCATCGGATCAACCGACGCGAATTAAGGAGATGCTATGCGCATATGCATGATTCGATTAGCGACTAGGTTAAAAACACAAAGTCGGCCATCTTTATCGGCGATCTGCAAGGATATAAAGTACAAAAAGTGAATATAAGTATTGGCACTGAGTTCGAGGCTCGAGGCATCGAGTCGCGGACTTATCATATAGTAGATGCTGATCGGGCCATCTGTTCATGAGGTCTTGCATGCCCTGCGATATAACTAGGCCCTGCGAGATAATAGCGTGAGATATGCTCCGGGTTAGGGAGCCCTAAAACCAGCATTATGTAAATTCAAGGCGGGCCAAAACTGGTTGAATTTCTAAAACTAAAAATTACTGGCGTTGGGGAAAACTTTTGGTTGCTGCGCTCTGGGATTTTGGACTGAAACCCCAGGATCGACAGATACTTGCCCGGTGTAACAACGACCCCCGGTAACTATGTAGCACAGCCACAACACCCCGGTCTGCTTATAAACCCAAACCAGCATTTGGAGGCAAAGGAAACACAATGCAGTTTTCAGCTAGCAGACGTCCAAATTTATAAAAAAGTCACGACAGTATCTCCAATAACTGACAAATCTGCGACTTCGCAAGAGGTTACTGACAGGATAACACATCTCGGGGTGGCGTCGCTCGATCCGTTTCTAGTTGAGGGTTTTGCAAATTTTGGTGGCAAAATGCAAAACACGGACCCAACATGATGTTAATGTCCACATGTTAGAAAAAACGTCGGCGTGTGCACCTGGTCCGCGGTCAATAGAACGTGAAACATATGGTGGAGAGTATATATTTTAGCGCTATCTCCGGACGGAACAAGGAATGATCTTTGCCCTTAAGCCCAATATTTGATTATTTATATCTTATAAACCAATATTGGTGCTGTGGCTTTCGCCTCCCAAATTTCGAAGAATTCGAGGCGGCGAATGCCGTTCCTTCGAATGCATCTAGTTTTGAGGCATTAGCAGCTTAGGAAGATCGATATCCCATTTAGGTCTCTCAATGAAAGGTATTTCTCTTTTGGGACCGGGCAGTTTTCACACATGTCTTCGTTGTCGACTATAGTCTGGGGTGTCTTCGATACCCGACATTTCTCCTAACAGGCTAGCCCCGGTTTCGGGAGGCCGCGGGGCTGGCGCCTGCTACCCTATCAATCTCTACCCTCTAAATCCGCTAGACTACATGATTTCTGCATGGGGTTTTTTCTTCTCGAGACCAGAACTGTTCCGAGGAGTCTATGCATATGCTCTCTCTCTCGAATAGGCACCAATCAAATATCGTGATTGATGAGCCTATAGTTTTTCATCGTAAGATCCTAGAGCCTCGATCGAAAACCTCATCAAGTCGTTTATCTGATCTACAACCTTACAATTTGCCAATATTCACACGATAATACCCTGTCTGATATCGAATTCACATTAAAACAGACCGTTTAAAACGGCGGGCCCACTTCCCCTTTCGATTGAGTGGCAAAAGTCGGCTGCATTCTCGCTCCTCTGTTCTCAAGCCCTTTGGATTAGGGTACGATCTCCTCAACCGGTTCTACCTGGCATGCCTGCACCCTCGCACCATCATAACGAACTAGGGGTGTTTTAGTGTTTCCTATTTGTCGGTAGAAAAGACCTTTTATGCTTGATGAAATGATGAATACCGTCCTACGTGCTATTTCGCCATGGTTACTCCTTGAAGACCCACCTATGAAGATGAGGAAAGCAGGGGAAGACAGATTCATTATTCTCATGTCCACCTCGTAGAAACAGACGGAAAGAAGAGACACGTACCTTAAACACTTAAACAGGAGTGGAAGCCAGGCGACGGCGCATATGCCACCTGTACGAACGTACGTCCAAGTGTCTAGCAAACCCGCTTTAGGAAAGAAAGACATGGGGGTGGGAGGTTGAAAGCTCGTAAGTCCGTTGATTGGATATTTCAACGGAGAAGAAACCCTTACACAGCATTCTTAAGGTTATGTCTTAAGTCCTGGATGGAAAAGTATTAGCCTTCGGCATCGAAGGGGGGTTGGGGAGTACGTAGGATTGAGATTGTTCATGACACTTAAATTCATTATTACCAAGCCACCACAGCGGTCATTGGCGCCTTTTCACCTAGAATCACACCTCGCATAATAAACAGCTGAAGGGAATCCTTCTAGGGGGGAAAGTATTTCAGCCTTTCCTTAATTGTGAAATGGTCATATCTATGACCACTAGTAGCTATTCCGCCGGCATGATATTTCCACAAGCTGCATGAGGATAAAAGCGCATCTGCGTGGACTTGGGTATGCATGCTGGCCGTCCTGTGCTGACAAAAAATATCTTGTTGTACCCGTCAGGCAAGTCTCTGAATCGAGATATCTGCAGGCGAGGTGATAAACGATAACTGTCTTTGCTAAGTCTCTCCTTCCCTCCGGCTTAGAGCAAAGGTAGAAGACCCTTTGGGTTCAGAAGGTAGGTTTAGCCATAGCACTGTACCGATCCCGATCGTTCTGCAGATGAAAGCATACTCAAGCGGTAGGCGGGATCCTATGGCATTGGATTAACGCTAGACAAATAGAAACACCAGATCCTGAACACCCAGAACTATCCATCGGCTGGCTTGAAAATCCCGCCTACTAAGACAGATTTGGTGCTACTACAATATTACATTCTGCATAAAACAAGGCAAATGACCTACAGACGAGACAAGGCGAATTGAGGAATAGGCAAAAAGAAGAAAAGAAGAAAAAACGATTAGTTTCCTTCAAACTTGTTAGCCATACCCAGTGAAAGTTTCTGAAGGCCCTTTATTGGGAGTGATGACAAGGTAACCCGTGACAAACACCAAAGAAAAAGGAGATACAAGATCAAGAAGGTGATCAAATACAACCAACGGATTTGTGATAGCCAAACTTTCAAGTAAGTAAGGGAATTAAAAATGAAGAAAATGCTAAAGGATAATTGTTTTTGTTGATAACAAAGGAGAACGTAGCAAGAATTAAGTTAGATGGTATAGGGCCATTGGGTAATGAAAATATGATACAGGAATCGAAAATATCATCCATTGATCGGATGGATAGACCAAGACAAGACCAATACTCCTTTGTAGCAGGGCTATGAAACTTCAGGAGAAAATAGCATGCTAAGAAATGCACTTGCGCTTTTAGTGATGTTACTGGATTCAAAATAATCAATGCTCCGTAGCTTGTGAGACTTCGGCAAGTGCTTCAGAATTTTCTGCCACTCCGTTTGTAGTGTCGGAATCGAACGGTACAGCGCCACCGCGGTGAAACATCTGAATTAATTTTCTTCCTACAGTAGGCTCCAGCTCTGTACCGTCTCTGGCGATTTTAACCTCTCTAGAGACGTTGTATGGATTGCGGAGACCTCGGGTCCTGTAAAAGGGAACTTTTGATGTGGAGACCCATTCGACTCTGAATGGCTTACCCCAGGCCTTGCTGATAGTAGTTCCTTCTACAGGAGCAGATTCGTCTTCGGAGTCGCTATCTTCGATCACTTCCCAGAAAATGGTCCCACGGCTTGAATCATCGATAATCCGCCCTCGTGGTGCAGTAGCAGTCGGTGGAGTATAAATCGCTTTCGGCAAAGCGGTCTCGTCAATATTTTGGGTCATCGGCGCCCATTCAATCTTAGAAGCGACTGCATCAGATATTTCAGAGACCATACGGGCATAGCCATAGTACTCCCCGGATTTATTTGCCGAGAAGATAAGGAAGACGTTCTCAGATGCCTAGATTATAATTAACTAGTTAGAATACGTTGTAAAATACAACAATCCCCGGAGTTAATTCACATACCAGATACGCTTCATTCAAGGCAACCTCGTTGTGGGTTTGCGTTGCCCAGATTCCATTAGACACACTAGTATCCAAATCTTCGAGTGTGAGGCTTTTGACAATGAAGTAGCGGTCTTTCCCTTTTTTCCCAGCTGCCTCACTGGGCTTTGGCAGATCATCAACTTGTGACGCAACCTCGGGTTCGACTTCACTTGGTGAATCTGATGATTCCTGAATGGGGGCAGGAATAGATATTTCAGCGTTGCCATCAAGTTCTACGTCTCCCGGTGACGAGTTTCGCCGCAAGCGACAAACCAATCTAACCCCTTGGAACCGAGAGTCATGAAACTTTTGCATAGCTTCGGTGCAGGCCGTCTCAGTTTTGTAGTTCACAAAAGCACAGTTGCTTTTGGAGATAAGAAACACGCTTTCGATCAGGGTTGTAGCGAAATAATCTTTCAATGCTGTTACTGTCGTTCCAGGTGGTAAATTTCCAACCCAAAGAGCGTGACCGGACTGTCTAGGCTTTCTAGGTGGACCCCTTAGCAGAACTGGGTGTAGGGTGGAAATAGAAGATCTGCTCCCAAGACTTGAATTACTGCATGCCGATAAGGATTGTGAAAGACCAGGAGCAACACGGTTATTACTGTATGACACAGGAGATCCTCTCCTCTGGCGACTAGTAGATTGCGTGAGATGCCTTGGTACTGGACCCTGTCGTTGGCCTAGCGCTGCTGGGTCGAAGGACTGTGTAAGTGACGCAAACTGGAAGTCGTGCGTCTCTTGTCCCACATGGGGAGCACTTCTTCTCCTAGGTATATACCCAGACTGTGGCTGTCCGTAATTATAGTCTAACGGGGCAACATGAGGAATCATTCCGGTTTGTTGTCCATATTGTGGGAGGTAAATGAACGGCATGCTTCCATGTGGCCATTGTGGGTATTGCACGGGTGCCTCGGCGCCTGTCGGTTGAGGAGCTGAGAATGTTGGATTATAGCCAGCGATTGGGATATTATGAGAAGCACCTGGGGGACTCTGGCCATATGGATCATAATAGCCAGGCGCCTGTGGATAATGTGAAATAGAGTGCATAGGCCCAGCTTGTGTTGCTACTGTGGGAATTTGCATGGGCGCCGGCGAGATATTATATTGAACGGATGGAGGGGGAATAACAGGCGCATAGCGGATTTGCTGTCCGTGTTGATGACCTTGAAGTTGATAAGTTTGCAAAGAAGCTTGTAGTCCTTGCATATTAAAGGATTGATGAGGAGGAGACGCCTGAATCGGCACTTGAGGGTATCGCGGTTGAGCCGCCTGCGCTACATAGGGCATGTGGGATTGATGATACGGTTGCGCTTGAGGAAGCATGGTAATCGTTGGACCATACATTGTTGGAGAATTGGCAGAGGTCGTAGTGATAGAATCTGAAGTTATAGGGCTAATAGGATTGAGTCCGGCCGAGGGTTCTTGGTCCTCTATATTATGTTTGATATCGGTTGCTAAAGTCGAGCTAACGATCAGACTGCGCCGGTGACTCCGAGGGTGCGCATCTCCCATTGGGAAGGATATATATCTCTCTGACTCTTGGGGAAAGGCGTATCTTTATAGTTGATCCACGGAACTAAATATTAGCATGATGTGCATAGCTTAGGTACTCTTGTAGACTGCCTAATCCTAGAGGGATGTGAGAGAGGAACGGAAGCAAAGGGGTGGCTGCCACATATGTCGGTAAAAAGCAAGACTATTCGCTTCTCCTTGTATGTTTTAAATATACCAGCCTTCCCGCAGACAGATCTGTGTGTATGCATTCATGCATGTTTTGTTAAGAGAGGGGACCTACAAGTTGTAACAAGGGCGCGAGATTCTGTCGAAGAATCTTCAAGATAAGGTTTCGAAATCGGACAGGGTTGGAAAGACAATAGTCTCAAAAAAAGTAGAGATACTTCTGCCATATTGAATGTGAACCTGTCAGCGATAGGTCCTAGATCGAGTAGATAGTTTGTTTTTAAAAAGAGTGTTAGGCATGCCATACTTGCCGCCGGTCGAACAGAAGAAGAATTGAAGTTCTGTATGTGTGTGACGGACGAGTGAAGAAAAGTCGTTAAGGGAAATGTCCCATTATTAGATCAATAAGACTTAGTCGTCTGACGGGGGACAATAATAGGAATAGCAGTCGCACTGTAGGCCAGGAACGGATTTGGTTTAATGTAAGTATGTATGTATGTATGGCTTGCTGTCAACAAGCGAAGGCGTTGAATGGAAAGGTGGACCACCACCTCTGCGGGATGAGAGCTAAACCTTGGAGCTGCGGGCTTTGAGCCGTCCGAGCGATTTTTAAGATAGTAAAGTAGTATAAGGTTTGGGGAAGCCTGCCACAAAAAATGGAGAGCTAGGATGCTCCAGTGATTGCTCCAGTGGCAAGCAAAGGTTCCGTCTGCTTAATGGATCGGAACTAATATATCCCCCCCAGGTGGCTGCTCCAACCGAATCGTAAGAGCCAGGGCTTTCCAGGGCTCAGGGTTTGGTCTGATATTGACGGGTGAACTTATCAACAGCCAATGCAATGCAAGTGCTTACTCCAGTAAATACGTAAGTATGTACTCAATGCAAATATGCACCTAATAACCGGTATGCTTATTTGATGTTGAAGACACAGGTCTAGGGCGGAAATACTTCCGACTAAATACCAAGTGGAAGGGAAGCTCGCTAAGTTGGAAAATATAGTAAATTTAAAACGTGAAGAAACGAAAGTCCTCAGCAGCCCAAGCCGGGAAGGGGTTTCTCTTTTCCTTGCCAGTCGACACAGAAAAACGGGAAATAGCGTGTAACGGTTTATGGGTGTACTCGAGGGCAGACTCAATGTTTTATGATAGCATTGAACCTCAGAGTTATGCAAGAGCTCGCAGCGGGATCGTCTCGCAGGACTCTGATGCAGCCATCCTGCCAGGAAACTTGATTGCTTCCACAATCATCCTCTAGAAGAAGAGGAGGAAGTCCACACAGAATAACCGTACATCTTAGCATGGTATTCTTTTGCTCGGCTAAGAACTCCTACTCCTTATGACAGTTATCACTAGCCTAACTTTTGTGGACATGGTACTTCAAGGGGAGCAGCCGTAAACCCTCGTTCAAAGGGCCCCGAGAACGGGTCTGCATGCGTTGCACTTCGGGAGAAAGTTGACTCGGAAAACCGCGATGTGGGGCGGCCTGCACAATCTGCAAAACGGTGCTAATGGCATCCTATTGGCCCAATTGTCTAAATGTATGATCTGAAGGTGTCAGTTGTGGCGTTTTCGAATGGAAGCTGCTGCATAAGCTTGATCCCCGGGAATTCGAAGTCTCCGACCTCAGGTTCAATTGTGGGCCCATTCCGGCTTCCAGGGTCAAGGATGATTGCAAAGAAGCCGTTGAAGAGACTAAAACGTGGTTGTGGCTGTGCTCCAAGCGATGCAACCAGAAAAACGGGGGCCGATTTGAAGAATTGAAATGTGCAACCTCAAGCCATCTTGTTTTCCAGTCAGAACATGTTTAGATGACTGCAAGTTCATTTTGAGTATCCACTTACTTAGTTGTTGTACCTGTTAGGATTCTAGAGTGTTGATCATCTCCCCTGATCGATACCATTGTCGAAAATAGTTCGAAGTGAATACTTGAGTAAGAACCCAGGTAAGTAGGTATGGATTTGGACTCGACTTGCCAATCTCGTGAGGGTTCCGGGACACCAGGACGACTTGTTCCCGGTCGGTTTGCCCTTCATCGGATCATACATAACATACGGCTATTTCTCTAGATCACGATTAGCAGCATGGTTCTGGGCGACAAGCAAGGGTTCGCTCATCGTTGGATAAGAGGTTGGTCCGATCTGAAGGGTGAAACTTTTTCTTTTCTTCGGGCGCTAGGGTGGAAGAAAAGCTTGGCCTAGGAACTTAATGCTGCACATGGCCTGTTCAGGAAGCATAAAATGCATGGACTTCTAACCGACATACAAAATGGTAAGGCTAAAGCATATGCAATACTTCAAGAGCCAATTCAGGGCCTTTCTGTGCGGCTTCAAGAAGTCTTTCTTTTGATCGATCCCAAACTGGCTGTGCTAGTGGGGGGCTATTTCCGGAGGACTATCCATACAGGGCGCTCACTTAGTACGTATATGCGTATCGGTATCTGTATGCAGGTATATGTTCCTAGAATGTAAGAATGTGGATTTATCATTTCAGCAAAGGGTTTCGAGCGCCCCACATTTGATGCTTCAGGATAAACCAGAGTCATGCGGCTAGGTGCACAGCACTGGTGGCAAGCAATTGCGTCGATCCTCACCGCTTTCTACCGAGCTAGAGGTATCCGCCTAAATTTTTAGCTTTTTTCCGATAGATCAAACCACTTTTGCGACAAGAATATCGTGAGATCGCGGACCCGAATGGCAAATTTACATATGGTCTGCTTGTTGTTCCCGCATACCGGTCCTAGCTACTATGGAGCTCCCACTTTGTACTCCATTTGTAATTTACAGTGCGGACACAGCTGAGCCAATCTTCCTGACATAATTGTACAAGAATGTTGGACATTATCGTTCGTCACTTGAAATCCGGGGCGATAGAGATTTCAAATACTTGCCGCAAAAGTCGCACTGTGTGTATCTAGCGCGAGGGAACGGGGTGGAGTAAATGCATCATCGAGGTATGAAGTTCTGGGGATCATTTGAGGAACATGCGCTCTGTGCATAGACATACATAAACGAATGTGGGTTTTCAGCTGGACAGGGTCAGTTATAATTGTTACATTATACCGTGTCTGCAGTATCACGTCTATCCGTATCCATATGGATCCATCAATTAAAAGACTTTCTTAAGACTAAAACTCAAAATCAGGGCCTATGTTTTGGGTCGAGCTCCAGCCCGTGTCGACGAAAGTACTGGCCTGACCAATTTTCAATAAATAGTGTGGCTGACACCTCATCAATGAGGCGGTGCTCACGTTCCAGACTTCTCAGGAACGCCTCATCCTGGCAAGTTTAGATGCAAGAATTGTGATGACAACGCTACAACCTGCATGCGCCTGCTTTTACAACTTGGAATATTTATTCTCCGTGGAATACGTAATTGCATGATATCATGGCTCTTATTGATTCAAATTCAGAAATCTCGAGGGGCATCTCAATAGACCTCATGATTGATTGATTCCACGTTTTAATTTTGGCAAATATGGGTTTGCTTCGGTGATGTTACATATTCAGAGCTTGCAGCGCCTGGGCGGCGTGCCGTGCCATATTTCCACAAGGTCAGTGTCAAGCCATGCCTAGAAGAGGATCTGATAATTTCTTCGACAAGCCGCGGCAATCAGGGCACCCACAGGCCAAAGCAAGAATATCGAAGGTCCTTAAGACATTGTGCAGATACATAAGTTTTAGATCTGGCGGTCCCCTGCCCACTTCTTGGCTCACGCGGTCAGGGGGCCTATGTTCCCGAAGCTTGAATCGACACGGATTATTTGACACTCCTTCTGAAAAACCTAAAACGAAACAACTGAATTACGGCCTTCTTCAAATCGTATGCTGGAATAAAATGTCCATAGTAAGGATCACCGAAGATAAAGACCCGGTAGGGCTATAACCACCGCCCGGTATCATCTGACACCGGGAATTTATCCAAGCTCAAATCGTAGAGCGCCGTCAACCTCCCGATCAGTCTGATGAAGGAAGCCACGCTCAAAAAAAAAAAAAAAAAAAATACCCATGAAACAAATTACACTGGCAGCTGTTTTTCTTAACTCCGAATGGTTGGTTCATACATAGTATTCCATTCAGAATTTTATGCACTCACAAGGGGCCTAATTCACACTGGCTATTCGGATGAAGCCACGAGACATGTCAAAGATCATCACCAATTCCGTACTTAGGTATGGAGGAGTATGTGGTAAATGTACTCCCTACAGAGTCGGTGTTCAATGCGCCTTACTCAGGCCATCCACTGACTTTCTTTTCCCAATTCTAAGTTTTGTCCCTTCAGACCCGCTTTACCATTGCCAGGTGCCTAAGGCTGGGGTATCAGGCACAAATAGGGTGTCAAAGACGGAGTTTTTGTAACATTTATGCATACGATTCGCGAGATTCAGCTGGAGCTTTCTAGCAGTCGGTTCCGAATTCTCGATACAGCTTTCCTTCAAGTTTTCCAAAGTCCCAACCCTTGCGCGTTCTGTGAAACAATTCATGCCGATAGAGTTTTCCGATTAGAGTAATATCCCAGGCGCTTGACCCCCACGGCTAAAGATATCTGTAATTCATGGAACTTCAAGAAGTGCAGGTCTTGAGAAGAAAGGTTGCGGCAAATTGGAGCCTGCCAACCTGTTCACGATATCATTTGAGTACATGGCTCTATATATATTTGGAAATACGGAGAATGTAAAGAAGCGCCGTGGCAATAGTATTAGTGTATGAATTTAGTGTACATACTTATATGAATTTGATGTACATGCAATGCATAAAGTTTTGAGAAGTCGGAAAATATCGATAGCAATGTAAATATAAATTAGTCAACAGAGCTGAAGCCACTTACACTCATATTTATATATATAATTTATATGGCTGGCTTAGTGGACTTAAGCCCCCACTAGGCATCTATAAAGACTTATAATAGTATTACACCCAGTAAGCTATAGGAATGCTTCAGCCTGAAATTTTGTCCTGGCAAAGAGGGGTTGCAAAAGTTAATTGATCGAAACGAAGGATAACAATGTATCGTCAGATTCGCCTTAACCTCGATATACCTAAGTACGTAAATTGAAATGCAAATGCAGCAGTGTGAAATTTCCGGGTGCCGGATGATGGCTGAATATATTTATATTTAAGTGGCCAAAATATTTTTGTGCCACCAAGCCGCATGTAATCTTGAAGTCACGATCCTACCACCATATTTGGCTGCATTGACAGCTGAAAGGACTTACAACCAATGCGAACAATTTATAGATATCCATACGAAGCTCGAGTACTTAGCATAATTAAAGTACAGCATCGAGGCACAACTTGCGTTGCCAGCCTTACAACACGAAAAGGCTCGAGCGCAGTCCAATTTCCCTTGTTTCAGCTTGGTAGCCGTTGTTCAGCCGCAAGGATGCTTGTTTGAGGAAAGTGCTGACAAGTTCGATCCTCCGGAGGAGCTGGAGCAGCTCATAGGCCAGTTGGCCGTAGGAAAGTCGGGCTGCAGAGCGGCACTTGTTGCTTGGAAGTCACCTTCCTCTCTTATCTCCTGATCTGGACTTACTCCAAGACTTCTTATCCCCATGGTTTACAACTGGTAACGGTAGTAAGTTCGGCTCAAATAATCTTTGGGAACGTTAGCTAGCTGTCGACATGTACGGCGGCTTCCAGCAGCATGTCCCGCCAGGCGGTATAATTCCAGGAACCGCGACTGGAGTGAACCCTTATCCTAATAGTAAGTCAAGATCTTAAACCAGACATGCGACACAGAGACATTCGGTAGCGTGAGCTCATGGGATGGATGTGTACATGCGCTGTCTCGATAGAGATTCGCAGGCTAGCTGGAGCCTGAGGGGTTAACTATACTAACGACTCGCTACTATTCGTAGATAAGCAAAACGTCAACTTAGGTTCCTATCTAAATAATACTCCTACTACTACGTCGAATTTCGCCGCCCCGCCTTCGTTTGCTCCTCAGGCGGCTGCGAATGCCCCCTATGTACCCCATGGGGGAGGTGCGCCACAGTGGAATGCTGGGGCTCCTCAACAGACCGTTCAAGGCCAATATGGTCAATCTGGCCCCGGGCATCCTACACAATCTGGATTTCAATCCAACGTGAATCCGTCTGGCTTTGGAGGCAATGCGGGGTATCAACAACCCGCTGGTGGTTTCCTCAATACTGGCGCATATGGCGGCCAACCAGCCCAGCAGCAGCAGCAGCAACAGGTACAGCAGGCTTCACAAGGAGGCGGGTTCTCTTATCCTGGTCAGAATTCTGGAGGCTCGCCCTTTGGAGCTACATACGCTGGTAGCGTTACAGGGCCCCAGTTCCCCCAGCAGGAAGCTTTTAATCCCAATCCGAATAATCGTCCAGGTTTTGGGCAATATCAATCTCCTCCTCCCTCCGATGCACACCAACCTCCTGCTGCATACGGTCAACCATCTGGAGCGGGGGTCGGTCAGCAACAAAATGCATATGGGCAAGGTGGATTCAATGCGCCTGGGTTTAATCCGAACAACCAGGGCTCGGGAAGCAATCAGACACCATATGGGGGACCTTCGTCCCAGGGATTTAATCCGGGACTGAATCAACAACAGCAGCCAGCTCAGCCGGGGCATCAAGCATGGCCTACGAACTACCCTCCTACCAACCATGCGGATCATGCGCAGAGCATAGCTCAGCAGTGGGCCCAAAACCATCAACAGGCTCAAACCCATGGTGTAGATCCAGGCCATAATAAAAGATACTCGATAGCTTCTGTAACTGAACCATATCATTCTGCATACGCGACGGCCACTCCACCCCCTCCAGCAGCCCCCAAACCGGAACGTCCTGCTACTTCCGCAACTTTCTTTGCAGCAACAGCTGGTGCATTGAAGACTCCGGCCCCAGGCCCTTTGTCGCCGCCTACCTCGCACTCACAGCCCCAAGCAGCTACAAATGTACCTAAAAAGCCAACAACTAGTGCTTCTGGGTTCGCTGGTGGAGGGATTGGTGATTGGGAACATTACGGCGACTTCGATGGCGATGATGATCACGACGATGCCACAAAACCAAATCAACAGCATGAAGTTGCAGTAGAGGTTCCCGGTGATAATCAAGCTGTTGAAATGGCAGCTGCGACACCACCACCACAGCCACAGACGCAGCAACAGTTTGTTCCCCCCTCTCAATTACCAGCAGTTCATAGTTCACCTCAAGCGCAAAGGCCACCAACGGGCGGTGCTGCTCAACAACCTGTGGGACATCAAATGAGCCAGCAAGCCCCAGGGACATGGGGAATAGATCGACCTCAGTCAGGTGGGCAGTCTGGCTTACAGTTCCAAAACTTTGCCCCCCCGAATGTTCTCCCCCAAGTTCAACCGCAGCACCCTTCAATTCAAAATCTTCAACAGCCTTACAGGACGTCCTCGCCATCTCAAGGGGGCCAGCTCGCTGGTGGGTATAACTCCGGTCAGGCCCAATACCACCAGCAGCCACACCAACAGCCAGTTAGCGGCCCTGCACAGATTACCGGTCCAAATGCCTACAATGAAAGTTTTAACGCTCCACAAGCCAGTCAATCATACCAATTGACCGAGCAGTTACGAAAGCAGCAAGAGGAGCAAGTTTTGCGACAACAACAGGAACAACAGCAGCATATCCAAGCGCAGGTGCAAGCACAGATTCAGCAGCAGCAGCAGCAAGCGGTAGCTCAGCAGCAAGGATACCCTCAGAATCAATCCCCAAATCAAGGTATGCACCAGTACAACCAACCAACCCAGTCTCCGCCAGCTCAAATCCCACAACAACATCAGTCCCCGCACGGCGCCGCATATCAACCTCCGGGATTTGTACAACCCTCGGGCGTATATGGACACAATCAGCAATTGCCACCCCAACAGAGTGGATTTGTACCACAAGTGTCGAACGCTTTAGACCCTTATGGGCAACAGCATGGGCAACAACTGCACGGGCAACAGCTGCATGGTCAAAGCGGCATCATTCAGCCCCCTCTTGATAACTACGGGCATAACAGTGTTCCATTACCTCAGAAGCCTCATGCATATCAAGAAGAGCGTATTCAGTCACCCCCTATCAATCAGCCTGAGCAACCTATTATCAGTCACCAGCATCACCAATCATTGGATGGCTCTATTGTATTGCAAAAACCACTTGAGCCAGTTATTGAGCGTAAGTTGACCTCGTTTTAGAAAACGTATAAGCTTATTGCGTCGTTGACAAAGTTGGACTAGAATCCCAAATGGCCCAGCACCTACCTATGCAGGAAACAGAACCAGTGGCACCAACGACTAAAGGTAGGTTTTAATCATCACACTCAGTAACTATTAGATAAAAATAATAATGGATACGGTAGATGCTTCGACAGAGGCCGCCGCTCCCGGCGAAGGGCTAGAATCTATGGAAATACCAGCGGACCTTGATCCGTACTATAAAGAATCAATCCGAAAATTCGTCAGAATGATTGTTCGTGAGGCGTCGGCTAAATCAAGCGTGGAATCCCTACGGATTTTTACCGAATTCATGGAGGATGAAACATATTCACGAGGAGATAGGTATTCTGATGCATCCTTCCAAGATTACATCTCGGACGTGAGCAAGGGCCAAACTTTCGCAGGTCGTCTCCGCCCATTCACTACGGAGAGCCCTGATCCATACGACGGTCCTCGAAAGACAGTTGGCCCGGTCCATGATCCGAATGTTAGGCGAGATAATACATTTGATAGCATTGACTCCCCGTTAACAAACGCTATCGAGGCGCTTAGGGCAAGCGGTCGAAAGGGCAACCATTCTCCATCATCGGTAGAACATAGGCTGCCATACACGATTGATGAAGAGGTCCAGCCACTAAAATCTCAGAATCAGCAACCTCCAAACGAACTTCGGGGTTCGGCTCAAAATGCAACAGAACCATATTCTATCCCCGAGGAACCTATCAAGCCGCTTGTTCACCACAGTGATACTTGGGGTAGCCAAATAGAGCCCGCGCCCCTCGCTGTAGAGCTACAAGTTCAAACGCAACCAGTCCTGGTCCAACCCCTAAACCTTAAGCGCCAATCAATTATCGCGAGTCCGCCACATGTCAATCCCCATCAACCTCCTCCTGCGTCTCTTGACCACAGTCCTGATTCTACTCAACCCAATGAGGCTTCCCTAGCCCAGCAAGCTGCTGTTCTTGCACAGCAATGGCGTGACTCTAGAGCCCCCGGGCAACAAAACCAGCCAAATAATGGTTCGGCCCCAGGAGGGTTCCAAGTTGCCCAGCACAGACAATCTATCCCACCTGGTCAATTTGATATTCAAGGTCTAAATCAGGGCCAATCGATGTATCAAAACCCGCCACCACAGTATGATCATATTGTCGAGGCTCCGACAGTTACTCAAAGCCCGTCTCAATTACGAGGTCCATACCAGCAGCCGCCACCTAAGACACAGAGTCCAGCGCAAGTTAGAGACCCGTATCAACAACCACGGCCTCACACACAGAGCCCGGCACAGATCAGAGATCCATATCAACAGCCGCAACCTTATAGACAAAGCCCAGCGCAAGTTCGGGACCCATACCAACAACCAGCAGCTCATCCAATTCAGTCAGAACTTCCAGCCCCACTACAAGCCAAGAGTCCCCCTCAAGCAAACCCGTTCCAAAGCCCTCTCGCCCATACCACAAGCTTCCCCCTAAATGATTATCAAGACCCAAATATGCAGCGTGGTACCCCCGGACCCGGACAGCAAAGATTCAATCCTCCCACATCTCCGCCTCGTACTGAACCTATAAAACAAATAGAAATTCCTGAGCCACAGCAAGAACCTCAGAGACGACAAGATCGACCAAGCATTTCTGGCACGGATACTCTGAGCCAAGGCTACGTAATGGTTACTCCAGAGCCCGAGCCAACTCCAGCTCAGCCAATTGTAGTCGACATAAGCTCTCCCATACATGTTAAATCCCTACCCCCAGAGCAAATCGGCGCCCCGAAGAAACCAAAGATGGATGTTGCAGTCTTATCAACGATCCTTGGGCAAAATCGAGACGGCATACCTGACAAATCACAAATCATTGTTCCTATCCGCGCCGCTTTCGAAAAAGTCGGAAAGGACTTCGCGCACATGGATACCATGCGCAAAGAGTTCGAAGCCGAAGCAAAGAAGATCCGACACAAGAACGAGACCGAAAGAGACAGGGCAAAGTCCGAGCATGACGAATATACGGAAGAACTCTACTCACAACAGAAGATTCTCTATGAGGACCTGCACGATATCGACGAACAGTTTAATATCGAGCAGAATGCCTTGAAGGAAAAGCAAGAAAAGGAGGAGTTTGATAAATTCAACAAAGAGGTTTTCACGCCAGTCTACAATATGGTTCAGGAGAGGATAGTAGAATTGAAGAAACAGCAAAAGTCTCTCCTCACATTCATCAAGACCGCATCATCCGGAAGGGAGAAACTTGACGCCAATAGTAGTAAGCCCAATCTACAAGACTGCTTAGTAGCACTACTCGATCTACATGAGGTCTTGGAAGCACATTACATGAAACTGCAAGAGGCGATTGCGGATCGGGACAAGAGGTACAAGAGCACAGTCCTCACGCCGCTCTATGCATCCAGCAACTACGCCAAACTAAGAGATGCAAAGAAATACTTCGATGAAGAGGAAAAGAAAGCTGTAGTAAAAGCCACCACTGAAGCTCACGAACGTGCAAAGGCCTTAAAGGCCGTCATTGATGAAAGCATGATTCCAGGTCTCGACCTTGAATTCGGTTTCTTCGATGAAGTAGAGCAGTGCGTAACAAAGATCATCGAGAGCCTGCCAGAAAACCCGGGGGAGTATGATGGAGATCTCAAAGTTTTACACAGTGAACTAGCGTATGCTAGCGGCATCTTGGAAACTTTGACAAATACACAGGCGTCAATGTTCAAGCTTTACCACCAAGTCAATACATCCGTTGGTAAAGCTGACAAGGCGATAGCTATGAGTCAGGCAAAACAAAAGGGGGATAAATCAGATGCCATAACAGCCCTCGAAGCAGAAAAGGATTCTCAGATGAAGACGTTAGATGACGAGCTGAAGGAGAGACTTGAGGATGTGAATGGCCACTTTGGGGAGGCGAAGGCAAAGTTAGAGCCGATTCTTGCGAAATACAAGGCCGCTGCGGAGGGTAAATAATCGAAAGTTAGTTGGCGATGAAGGCAATGTAACGATGACGACAATTATCATGCGATTCAGGAGTAATGTTTTAGCCGTCTTTAGCGTTTTATATATTTATATACTTCTCTCTCTCTCTCTTCCTCTTTATGTTCTTTAAAGCGCCAGTTAGTTGAACTATGATTTAAGATTGATACCGTTAAAAAAAACCTCCATTTATGAAACTTAGCTAAACCCCTATGCATCCACCTAGCCTTGAATCTACCGGCACAAATGATCGAAATGCAATATTGAATCAAGAAATCAACGTTGTATGACAAAAGCCGCGCATTCTGCGCATCCCGCTAGTTCGGCAATATGCCATTGCCCCATTACGAGGCAATTTGCCGCATCGAATTCTTCACTGTTTTTCTTGTTGAAGTATTCACAAGGAACTCCCCAATATATCCTTCCCACGCTGATGCACAGACCATGCATCATCATGTCATTCACCCAACCACTTTTGATACCTTTACCAGCCACATCCTTGCGAGGTGTGGGTGGCTTCAACCATGAAAACGAGAGTGGCTAAACTCGATTTGCAACAAGCGCAACGCCCATTTGCCAATCACATCCTGTCGTTCTCGACCTTTTCCAGACCCCCATGTCAGTGTGGACCCTGACCAATTTTCCCTCACACATCGGCCCAAAGAGTGAGAAAAAAGAATTGAATCAGGAATGTAACTTGCCCAAGTACCTGCCTTGCATAGTGGCGTGGTAATTAGGTCTTGAGAACAAAAATGTATTTTCCTCGTATCAATTCTCTCTCGTTAGCCTGTAAACCGTATGTTCATGAGATACCTGTATACATCGTGAATACATCCGTCTACACACTCGCATTCCCCACTCTTGTGCCGATAAAAAATTCAGAGACAATGTTCCACTTCTTATCAAGCCCCACGTGTTCTAGACGTGGCGTAGCTGACTATGTAAAAAAAAACAAAATCCGAGAAAAGGCGCATGCCTGAGTCTAAACCCAGCAGGACGGTCAACGGGAACCCCGCTGACCCGACCTGCATGACGTAGACGCCTTTCGGTTTCTATTCCCGATTCCCCCCTTCTTCGTCTACAAGCATACGTGGCTTAGCCACAGCAGCCATCTCTTAACTACTTCGGTTAGAAAGAAGGAGAAAATGAGTTTAAAAGACCAGTCTCGCCAGCTGCGTTATGAACGAATATATGCATGGGGTACGCTTCGATGTGCTGGGAGGGGAGGATGATACATTACTCGTTCGTTTTGGCCTCAACCTGTATGTCCGAAAAAAGATGTGTCTTCCGCGGCCCGCGTCGACACCAGGGCCTCACAAACATGTACCATCAGGTACACGAATGCCGCACAAATGCGTCGACAAGGGGGACCCTGCCGTCGGTTCCATCTAGGTCATCACAAGAAACTTGGGGCCCATGCCTTCTTTCGATTTACAAGAATTCGAACTTGCGGGAATAAAAAAAAAAGTGATCACGGGAAGAGGAAGCATTTGACGGGATAAGGGAAAATTCCAGGAAGGCTCTTACATACACAGTAAGGAAGGAGATCTTTTAAGAGTTTCAAAGAGGGGTTCCTTATTTTCCAAACCCCACTGGGTTTCATGGCCATATTTCTGTTGAAAAGGTCAGTAGTCTTAGTGCTATACTTACTTTTTTTACATAATAAAAAAAAGATAGCAACTAAGTGGGACACGCAAGAAATACGCCTCGGTAATCTCTTTGCCGATTGCTTAAACCAAGGACAGCGGGATCGATTCTAAAGAAATTTCTAAAAATATTCTGTTCTTGCTGTTTGAGAAGGGCCGTGGTACACCTAATTGTGGCTTTGTTGAAGTTTCTGATGCAATACCGAAATTAAAGGCTCGGAAGAACCTTTAGTACTATATTCGAAACTAACACTAACAAGATTCACTGACTTTTTGACAGTTGAAACCGAGCCTTTTCCACCCCACCCATCCCTAAGCGAGGCAACCTGTGACATCAATTCTAATATGTTCAAGCATCTGCGCCACAATCTAATATGAGGGCCTGGCCCTTCCCAGCCTGCGGAATGACTGCAATGGGTTCGTCAATTGCTTGAGCGATAACGCATAGATATAGATATGCGTGGTATAATTATAATTGGGGAACAAATTCGGTAAAGAAATCCGGCGCAAAAAAAAGAATATCAAAAATAGAAGAAGAAGAAGAACGGGATAACAAAAACAAGAGGACATGTCCCCATCCCAATCGTGTCCATCATATCGACAAGAGGAGATAATCAGATGACCCAAAAAGGTTTCGGATTCTGATACACGGGTATGTTCCAGTAGTTTGGAATGAGGCGATCTGCTGTTCCTTCGATATCTTATAACCGGCCACGGGCTAGCTAAGCTAGCTTGTTCACATGAATTACGGAGCTGGAGGCTATGCTCAAGAGTTGGGATCTGGGCTCCGATACACAAGCTTGACGGGTAGAAAGTTTAATAAGTAACTACAACTATTAATAAAGCCATCCGCGGATACAATGCAGCGAAATCCGTTGGGGTGAACAGGGCTCCCCTTCATGATTAGTGTATTATTCAGCAGATGCAATGTGCTAGCCGTAGGCTTATATCGCGAGGCGCATATGCAGTCTACTAACTTTATATCTTACGTCGGTGCACATGGTCCCTTTACCAATTTCAATTGCCTTCTAACTATCCATGTCTACTTAGTTGTCAACCCTCAAACTAGTCATAGCAGGGCAAACATGTAAAGCATGAAAAAAGCTTGGAAAAAAGATAGATTTAGTGCGTTTATGAAACAAACTTCACGCAGATGCGATAATATTGCGATTATCAGATCACTTTCCCGTCCAGCGAGCAAATTCGACGGACTATCTGAAAATGGTCTGTAAGAGTGTTGTTATTATTCGGCTGGGGCTAATGTGGTCGTGAGAGGAGGGTGCTGATCATGAGGCGCTAACTTAATAAGGCGGGAAGCGGGTGCGTTGGTGGTAGAAAGTGAATATTATAACAGTTGTATATACTGAAAGGGGATTCTGTATACTAGTAGTATGAGTATATGACAAAGTGGGACAGGTAAACGACTATAAGCCAACGTTAACGCCCGAAATATATCTTGACGAACGTGAGTGAGGGAATGAGACGAAGTTAAGAAAAAAAAGTGGGGACATCTTTAAAGGCAAGTATGAAGTCAGTCGGAAGGGAGAAGACTCGCTAGAAGTAATGAGCAGTTTGAAAAATAAAATAAATAGATTAAGAAAGAAAGAAAAAGTCCATAAACAACCGGTAACTATGCATATTGTTGTAAAACTCCACCCAGAGATATCAGCAAACAGATTTAAACCAAAGGGAAAGTGTAAAACGTGACAAGGGACGCGTGGAGGTTAAGAAAAAGTGAGTAATGCTTTTGAGGCAGGACCATTCTATTGTATCGAGAGGTCCAAGAGGAAAGTAGAGGAAACCTGACGAATCATAACAGCGGACCGCTAGAGACAAAGATGATACTAAATCCTGTAGGAGTACATCTTAGCCACCCCGGAACCCGCAAGAGTAGCTGAAATAGAGAAGAGAAGCAGAGCATCATGACAAAGTAGTGCGTAGAATATACATTATGGTACAAGGTATCATACATCCTTGTGGCGTGTTTATCGGGTTTCGGCGAGTAAAGCAGCTTCGAAACTAGCAAAGTCAAAGTCAAGGTCGGGGCCAGGTTGCTAGACTGATTCTGGTCCTTGACCAACTGGCTGCTGTGTGGGTGGAATGCCGGTCGACTGACGCTCAGTACTAATTGCCTGTAGCCTAGCTTCCATCCCGGAGTTCTTCTCTTCTAGGTCGCGGATTCGTTTTTCGAGCTTCTCAATATATGACCATATCCCTTGATCCCCAGAGCTAAAGATGTTGGATTGTCCACCAGCAAGGGCGTCCGGTGGAGCGAGATGGGTCCCAGAAAATGATCCAGGGCGTGACAAGCTACCTGGGAGGCCTGCATTGTGTGAACGAGGAGACGTCTGGCTTGGCTGAGGTAAACTGTAGCCAGGTCCAACCGTGCTCTGACGACGGCTATTGTCTATCGATTGTTGCTGATGGAAGGGAGTGGATGAGAACGATGGCGATCTAATAGGTCCCAAGGACGTCGAATCGTGTGGTGGTACTGGAAACCCCGGATTGCTAGGAGAGAGTGCTCTTGGGGAATCAGTCAAGTCACCTTGTTGGAGGATTGAAGGCGCGTTCGGTTGAGAAGTATTGATGCTTGGCGGTGCTGGAGCACTGAATGCGGAAGGCATATTAGGGTTGATAGGAGGGTATGAGTGGTTTGAAGCAGAGCGAGGTGGCAACGGAGCTGGCTGTAGGTTCTGCGCCTGTCGTGCCTGCTGCCGTGCTCTTGAATAGCTATGCCGCGACCTCGCATTTGGTAAACTCATCGCCTTCCTGCTAGTGGGCGATTCCGGGTAGTCATGCATTGCCTCATCATCCCCAGTGTGTTCAATACCTTCCATGCCATCTGTGCCATCGTATCCACCTTCACCAAGACCAGTCATGCTGCTTCTTCTACCAGCACACCCTCCTTCACCACGATTATGTCGAGCAAGGGCATCGGCACGAGCAAATCGCCTGCCACAGCTATCACAGACGTGTGGTCGTTCACCGGTATGTAGCTTCTGATGTCGTTTCAAATCATGCAGCCGACGGAATCTAGACTGACAGGTGATACACTGGAAAGGTTTCTCATGAGAGTGGGTGAGAAGGTGGGATTTCAAATTGTGATGTCGTGTGAAGGTTTGGTGACAATTTGGACATTCATGTTTCCCTCGAGACCCGCTGGCAGAAGAGATGCTAGCCCTTGGATCCGAAGATATGCTCGCTCTTGGATCCGGGTAGGACGCAGATTGTCGATGATCCCGAGGATCCACAGGAGAGAAAGGTGTTGTGGGAGTTGCACTACCAACATAGCTTTGTCCCAAGGTCTCCGAGATGCTACCAAGCCGGGGCCTTGTTGGTGAAGTATCGCTCCCGAGTCCAGCTGTAGCAGTCAAGCCGCTCTCAGCAGATCCTGACGTTGCACTATGAGGCGAGACTAGAGCATCAATGGCACTGGCGGGAGCGCTCGGACCACCAGACGATAGGCGACCGATGGCTCCGGTTTCTATCGGTGCGAGCTTAGGGCCAGGAGCTGGAGGGGCGGCACTGGTCGGGCCATCAGTGGGCTTACTAGTGCTGACACCCTGTGAGGTTAGGATCGCAGCTGGATTCTGACTTGTCCCGTCGTCGAGGACGTCAGGATTGGATCTTGGGTTTGGGCTCATGGAGCGTCGAGTAGCGGCCAGCAGGCCGTCTGCGAACCCTTTTGGGAGGAAGGAAGGGTGTAGCGGAGGAAGAACGGAAGGCGATGGAGACCTTCGAGGCGATGCCGGATTTATGGCTTCTATGGCTAGTGTCCCCGATCTTTCAGGCGGCGTGCCGTTGGTGGTTATACTCGGAACTGACGATATCTGGACGGGTTCGGGCGCCATAACACAGGAAGACGGCCGATGTCGACTGTCCTAAGCAGATGATGTGGAGACAGAGGTAGGATAGATACTCGGTGGTATCGCAGTGTCTTGGGGGAGGGTTGCTCTGGTGAACTGTGGCGGTGAAGAAGAACAGGAAAACGCGTGGTGATGGGGTGGACTACTCTGTCGCGAGTCGGCGAAGTGGCGGAAGATATTGTTGATGTGGCTTGACTGCGACAGTTTGTTGTTTGGGTCCGTCGATCCCGTCAGACCGTGTTGTTGATGGAAGATCGAGAGGTTGATATTAGGTGAGAACAGAAGGAACAGAAAGCTTGCTTGCTTTTGTTCTTGGTCTCGCTCTCGCTCTCGCTTTCACTCAGCCTGCCTGTCACAGCCGCAATTTTTTTAAAAAAAAATTTGTTCTTGTTTTGTTTTACTATGGTATTTGTTAATATGTTATGTTGTTGGTGCCCCGGCTGTCTGTCAGAGTTCGGGAAGTGGGTGGAAATGGAAGGAAGTCGCAACTGGAAATTGCAACGATCAAGTCAGAGGCTCTGGTGATTACGTTGGAGCTCTGTGGGAGGCAAGGACTGGTTAGCAAGCAGCCAAAAAGAGATTGGTACTGAGTTACGCCGGCTGGAGTGAACGAGTGGAGTTGGTGGAAATGCCGCAGACAAACGAACAGCTTGCATGAACAGCGCTCCAGGCGAGGAGGTCCGACAGCACGAAAGGCGGGTTGGTACAGGGCGTTCATGCAACAAAGGTCTATGCAACGGAAGGGATAACGAGGGACGGAGGCTCAAATATCATGATATCATCAGCCTAGCGGCGACAGTGTCCTTGCGGAGGGAGAGAAAAGAAAGGATGCGGTGATTGTGATTGTGATTGGGACTGGACCAAGTAGGAATGAAAGGATGGCATTTGTGTGGCCGGGCTGGGCTGGGCTGACGAAGAGAGGAGAGAAAGAGAGAGGGAAGGGGACATAGAAAAGAGGAAGGCGGTCGACATACACCAGCAACTACGCCATTACACTAGTAAAACTCGTGGTAGTGGTGTAATAGTAGTGGTGTAGGAGTTGGGTGCAATATGTATGAGAGCATGAGCATGAGCATGCGCTTAGGACCACTCTTTCTTCTGCTTCTCTTCTGTATAACTTTTTTTTTTTTCAAACCCGCGCCAGAGGCAAGCAAGGGAAGACAGACAGACAGAAAGACGAATAAGAAAAACAATGCGCCTGCAAGCAAACCACCTGTGTCGCCACCCTTCCTTAACGAACTAGGGAAGAGAGGCTGCGTGCTTGCAATAAGCAGCTGTGGGTATTGCTTAAATCAATCCATCGCGGGACTAGCGAGACAATCCACTTCACAGCTTGGATTTATTGGCCAAGGCTGAATAGGATAGAAAATGGAAGGAAGCATCTATCGCCGTCTTCTCCTTATGCACCAAGGGGCCTTTGCAGGTATGGTGCGAGGTACAGTGGACAAGCGTGGCTGGTGAGGGAAAATCACGATGACAAGCCCAATAACAACAGAAGAGGGAGCAGGTAGGAGAGAAAGAAAGAAAGAAAGAACGGAAACAGAGAAAGAGGGAGGGAGCAGACTCGTACCAAAGCAAGGCGCCAATGCGCAACATTCCAGTTTCCATGTCACCAATATGAGTACTCTGTGCTGGAGAAGGGAGTGAAGATATAAATTTCGTCGATACAGCACAATCGCAGAATATTATTGATCGTATGAGAAGAGGAAGAAGAAGAAGAAGAAGAAGCGTCAAAGGGCGTTGCGTAATGCGTATCTGGAGGGAGAGCCGAGAACCAAAATATGGGAAACCTAAATATGCAACAAAGCTTCTAAGAAGCCCAACTCGAATTTGCCGATAAAAAAAAGACGGTCACTTGGACAGTTGATGCTTCTCGAATTGTTCCTCCTTGTATCCCGCCGTCAGCTTAGTCGGTTTCCGGTAGTAGTATAGTCGGGTTTTCCTAGGACTGATTGTGTCTGGCCGAATGACTGTCGCGATGATTGTGGAAAGATCTTTCGTCGGAGAATATCAATTCTTTTTTTTTTTTTAAAGTTTTCTGGAACGGACGTTTCACTATGCCCGGCGCAATCAAGCAATGACGAAACCGTGTGAGGTCAGTAACTCGAAACCAATGTGCCTGTTGGACCGAATTGTTCTTGACAAAATCCCAAGAATGTATGTGGGAAGTGAAAGGACGAAATTGGGGATTTAGGAAAGATGATATGAAATTAGTTATAAGGAAAAGAAAAAAAGGAAATATGACGAGCCAAAGAAAAGGTGCGGTGCACCGCCTGGTGTTTATTCCCAGGACTTGCTTGTATACCTACTGGCCATACAACCGTGGTGTGGTGGTGGTGGTAGTGGTGGCAGAAAGTATGGCGGCGGCGGCTGCTACAAATAAAAAAAGACCAGCAGAAATGATAACTTGTGGGCAACCGCTTCTTTCCCTTGCTCTGTCCAAACCTCTTTCTCTTCTGGGGGCAAAGAACTTTAATTCTTTGTATTTCTCGAGGTGGGCTTGAGCAGCCTTTTCATCTGCTTGCCCATCCGTTGAGAATCCCTCCAGGGTTCTAATATGCACGGGTGCAGGCAAGTTGCTCGAAGAGGACGCAGAGCCAAAAAGAGAAGATGAGGGACGGCGAAAGATGCAGGACTGGTCAAAATACTGACTAGTGCAAGGAAAGGGCCAGGTGGTGGAGATAACCGGAAGGAAAGAACAAGGTGGAAGAAGAAGAAATTAATTAAACGAAAAGCCCACGAGGGGTACACCAACGATGAAAATAAGAAAATAATCCAGAGCAAACCAGCCTCAAGTCACTGCGTGTACAAGTAATGTGTATACCTGGTTTGTGAGGACATACCATACATACAACATACATTTATGTCGGTCGTATGTCGAGTGATATCGGACGTCGACCTGAACACGAGATGGTTGCAAAGGGAAAGCGAGATCGAGGGGAAGTCAGAGTTTGGGGCGCTTTTTTTTCCCTTGAAAGACACCAGGCACACAAAGCAGATGTAAGTATGGATGTACTGAGATGTCCTGGTGTCGTGTAAGGTGGTGCACACTCCGCTGTGACATGCGATCTCTCGTCGAGGCAAGGGTGATGAGGCGTATTAAGACAACAAGCAGGAAGACGATGAAAAGATGCGCCCTTGATTCTGAAATGTGCAGAGGAGGGAAAAAGTGCGCTGACACGACTTACCAATCTGAATCCGTCACCAAAGTATATGGCTAGACCGCGCCGTCGTTCTCTCGAAATGCCCTTCGACTGTTACGATAGAGAATGTTGACAAGAAGGAGTGAAAAAAAATATAAAATGCGGGAAACAAGCCAGCCAGAGGGGAAAATATGATGGCGTAGTGAGCCAGCCCCGGTCAGTTTGTTGTGGTTGCTAGCCTCTGGTGCGTGGCCGTGGTTGGTGGTTGGTGCATGCGCCGAATGATGACGGCCGGCCAGCCCAGTCCAGCCCAGCCAGCAAGAGAAGGCGAGGTGTACCACAATTGCCAGGGGAAAAAGAAACGGGGAAACGGGTTTGGAGATGACGAGATTGTAAGAGGCGCTCTGAGGCACTTGACCTGTTCTGATAAAGCCTGCTGTGGCTATTTAGTTCACGAAACTTCCCAATTCAATTCAATCCGGTTCGAACTATAATATATACTTTATGAATAAGTGCTTTAAATTGTGGGGGTAATTATTAATATTATTGTACTTGAATTAATATGATACTCTAGTTACAGATATCAAATCGGATCTGTAGGCACTTAGTATGTACTTACTTTACTTATGTACGTCTGTAGTACTGTTCAGTCACATTAATGCTAATTTACGGCACCTACCCGCTCTGTCTATAGTATCATGATGTATATATTTATACATGTATGTGGGTGTCTGTACTTGCGGTGCAGCGATATTGATACTAATAGCAGGCTATGGTAAGCTAGAATGAATTAACAGTTGTCCAAATTGCAAACCCGTAAATTTACAGACATGCAATAGTGTCTGGCCCCGAGACTGATATGCAATGCAATGCCGCTGGTTGGAAAACTTTTGCCATTTTGGTTGGCGTTTTAAATTTCATGTGGCTGTTGCATGCTCACGAGCCTCACCAATTCAATTCACTTTACAATATCCATAAAATGTTTGAAACAAAGGATATGTTGGCTCTTCTGAAATGTGAGCTATTAAGATATCTTTATTACTTAATTCTACGTGATACAATGGTAATTTAGCACCCATGATAGAAAAGACCAGGCAGCCTACCGTCAATATTTGAACAGAACAATGCGGCACGCCGGCAGCGCATACCACAAAGGGCTGCGAACTTAGGCTCGGTCAGAGCCAGAGACACACCTGAGTCTCCTCACCCAGGATGTTTCGAAGGCGGCCAAGTTCTCGGCTCATATCGAGCGTCTAGAGGAGAACACCGGCTTGAAGGAGTGCATTCCACTTACTGGATCGGCGTAGCGTGATATAAAGTTAAATGCGCTTATCTTGGATTTATATTCTGCACCTAAAAGTATGGTATAGGAATATCCGACAAGAAAGTGCTTTTTGTGCACAAGCTTCCGATATGATAAAATATTCGAGTGAACCATAGGCGGTTCCAGAGCTCCAGCGCTCCCCACGTCGAAACTAAAACCCAAGTCGTAGCTTTTTAAGATCTAGGTCGACTACGTGCACAGAGCTTCGGACTATAAGATCACCGCCTTTTGCCCTCGAATCAGAAGAAATGCACGAAATTAAGTGGATAGGATCTGCGACAATATGCATATATGATAAAAGAAGGTGTCGGTGGGGATATGTGGTTTGTTTGCTGACTTGCTTGCGCTATGCAAGTAGTTAGGTCGACTCTCGTTTGATACCCAAGCCAGGCACCAAGCTCAAGATCCAAGATGTAATTTTGAAATCGGGATTCTTCGTGTCTGAGCTTCTGGTTGTTTGTCTTGTGCTTTGTGGTGATATTCTCCGCCGCGTTAAGGTATTGAAGCGCAAATTCGGGCCTTAAGCCTTAGCTTAGTACCCGTTTTGGACATATAAGATGCCACTGGACCGACTGCTTGTTCGACCTCACGCGATTCAAATGTACGGTTCATCATGATGTCTTTCCAAAGACCCATTATATAACGGATCGGCTGCCTAGACCGAACCATCGTTGATTCAATCCGAATTAGTTGTGATCATTCAAAACCGGTTCGTCACACCTGCACCTACACACCCACTTTTTGCAAGACACGGGTGCGTGTGAATCTCTGCGGGAAGAAAGGAAGGGAGAGGGGAAAAAAAGAAGAGGGAAGAGGGGAAACCCCATCCGGATATCCTGCTAACCGTCTCTGGTCAGCTCGTCCTTGAATCATATCCCTTCGATCGAAAGGCGCTCCGTAGTCGACCTACCTCCTGCTCTCCTGGCCAATCTTTAGCTGAATGGAACCTTAGATATATTCGGATCATCTCACCCAAGAAAGGTAGCACTGACAGCGGAGTGGCTGCAGGACGGTCTACAACGTTGTTTGTCCGCTTAAAGGCTTATCCGACGCAACCTCCCGCAGAAAAGCCTACGAGGCGAATTTGAAGGGTCAAGACGATCTATCCGGAGCAATCCGTGTTCATTTCAGATGGTTGAACAACCACAAGCACAACGGCTGCCTGATGGCACCGCCGCAAACCCCAACAATTCAGTCAGCTGATCTGCTTGGACCGGTACCGCGGTCATGCAACAGTAGCGGCAGCAGCAGGAATTACGATCAAGGAATCCCCAAATTTGATAGAGAGATCATCATCGATATGACCATCTAGACCATGGTGCATCAGATTTAAAGCTGCTTCCACCGACATCGGTTGCATTGGTTACCTAACCATGCTCATGCGCTATTATGCTGGTGCGGCGGTGATGTGGCAGCCCGTACACAACCAGACTTCCCCAATTAGCCACTGTGCCGTTATGGCCCCAGCGGTTAATCCCTCCCAGACCTCTATCTGCAAAAACGTGTTCCATAATTCCATCTATTATGATCCCTAGAGCCTTGGTTTGGCAAGAAGTAAAATTGCAACCACAGTCCGAAGAAAAGGGCGGGGGCTTGACATGCGGGGATAATCCTGCTTCATCCATCACAACATGACAATGGCCACACGATGACACGACCATGGGACAAGCGCCTTTCATGGGATTCACGAGCTTGATTAACGCCATTGATGCAATGCCGTAATTTACCAGAGAGCGAATTTCGTAAGTTATTGACAGGGAATAACCCCGGCCTCCATTAACTAAGCTCTTTATAATTATAACACCTTGGGGTATTCGGACTGCCTCATAATATTGCATATCTCGAGGCTGAACTGCGTATTTCATAGATGCCGCATTCTTTTACCTTCTCCTCGGCACCCAGGACTTTGCTAACAAACTATTGGGAATGCTTGATGCAAGGCATGCAGATCTGACAATTCGAACCCATCGTACGAACGGCATATGATCATCAGTAGGTGTGATTCGCTTCTGCAAGAAGGTCTGGCTTCCTTGGTTTTTTTTCTCCGCTTTGTTCGATCTCGCAATAGCTCGATAGGCGACATGTTTTTACAGATACAAGTACATAAGTACTTGCTTACTAGGTACAGACATACCTTCGAAGAGCAGAAAGGCCAGGTTTCAACAGGTTCTTGTTTTCGGCATCCGGCTCATCTTCGGCCAATGCAGAAGACTTTGTGACAAGGATTCGAGATGATTTGTACAGACCCCCCTCGAGCCAATAGGCTATGTCCTTGCAGACTTCAAAAAAACCATCACGGGATCCCCACCGTGCGGGACTTTAACTTGGCTCCATAAGCCTTCCCCTTTTCTACCATGAACTGGCTGAAATGGAAAGCGACAGCCATTGTGGGGCGCAACCCTTCTTCTTTGAGGAACCCGGTCGCACCGCCAGTTCCACAGTGCAATACATCATAAATTCTCACCGGCAAAACTTGTCGCCCAAATCGCAGCGTTTTATTGGTGGCTGGCACTTAACAGGTCCGCTACTAATAAACTTTAGATTAGCCCGTATATCGGTTCTCGAAATTATTCTCCTAAACATGCATGGTATTGATTTTTAGGCATTCGTTTACCCACGTTTATTAGAGTGAGGTATCCCGCTAGTTCTTTCTGGTACTTGGTGGGTAATTAACCAACATAACCTTCATTCCCTACCACGATCATGGTTTAAGCAGGAAATTGGCCTCCATAGTACAACGGTCGTTATTATACTTCGGCGCTCTAGGGAAATGAAACTCATCTCTGGTACGGCATCTAGCCATCGGGAAACGTTTTGCTAAGTACCATGTATAATACTTAGTCAGTAGTATTATGTAGAAGTTCGAATGTTCTATACCCACTTTTTGAACCTCTATATTGTATTGTCTAATTACATTTACGTTTCACACCAAATTGGACTTTGCAAATCTCGACCTTGATATCGGAAGGCTGTTGCCTACAACAGAAGCCACCAAATAATATGATTTGTCGCAGTTGCTAGCCATGGCGAGCCACCATTTTGCGCGTGGCTTTCATTTTGCTTTCAGAACTAGCCAAAGGAGCTAGGGGTGTCTTTGCATTTTGCTACTGCGACTACGCATGCCCAGATGTAAGCTCGCAGCCCCCATTTTCACGAGACGCATATCTTAGTCTTGATTCTAACATGGCCAAGTCGAAAGAGGTATGTAATATCCGATTCTGCCGTTATCCCTCCTTTTTGGCGGACATTTTGTGCATTCGTTCCTGCAACAAAGCGCTTCTTTTACCAACACAAGTCTGTGAGTTCGTTGTTACTAATTTATTACTACTCTCTACCAGACCAGAATGAGGCGTCAGAGTCTCTTCTGCATTAGGGGAATTTAGCAGCGGTTCAACCCGCAGAGGGCTTTCGAAGCTCACCATTGGTGGTCTCAATCACGAGGCCAATAACGGCCAACCAACGGGAAACTGTCGGACCTGTCACGATAGCAAGCGAGAAAAGAAAAACACTTGAAAGCAAGGAGACTATCATCTTTCACCGTGCATGCCGTGCTTGCATAAAAGAGGGGTACAGTAGCTTATCATGGTAGAAAAACCGCTGGCTGAGTGGCTTGCATGAGAGAGAAAAAAACCTTTTTCTCCTTGACGGCGGGGCCCACTAGAAAGCCTGCTTTTCATGGTGCGAACATGATCGATATCTTCCAACAAGAATACACTGATTACGTTAACGATAGCCCTCCCACGACCAGCTACTAATACATAGTGGGATTGTGTAAGTCCGTTCGTGGATGTAACATCCGCGGAATGCTTTGGCGCTGAGACATTCGGCTGATATTGGTATAAGTGTGATTTGCCTTCTTCGATATACTCTGATGAAGAAGTCAGGAATGTGGCGTTCACAATAGCTTCACTGCCACGCATGGCGCAACCGGCCGAGTCTTCATGAAACAGAATGTTGTGGCACATGATGATAGATGATTTATGCACATAGATATTATGTTAATGTATTGAGATACCATATAGCAAATTATGAACTAAGCAGGATATAAACTCGGAAAGCATGGCCGTTTTCAGCGGGGTATCGATTGGGCCAATTGATATCCGGTTAAAACGAGAAATAACTCGATGACTCTGGCAAAACGCACGCCACAGCTGTACAGCTAGCTTGTACATGCCATTCTCAGAAGCGAAATATGACCTTCTGGACTTCAGCCTTATCAAATTTCTCATATGCCGCCACAGCATCCGACAGGCTCATGTGGTAGTTTGTCAAGAATCTAGGAGCAAAATTGCCTGACATCAGTAGCGGCACATACCATCAAATAGGAAAACTAAAGTCTAGCCGCAACTTGTTGAGGCTAACTATGTATACATACCGAAGCTTCTCAAAATGATTCTTCAACAAGCTGAGCGCCTCATCATAGACTGACCTCACAGGGCATCTCCCAAATTGTAGTTTCAGGTTCTTCGCGTACATTTCTGCTCCGGAGAATGGCAACTGTCATTGTGTTCAAGTCAGCCGCGAGCAAATCCTCCTTTGGGATTCCAACTTGCATAGTGATATAGCTTCAGCTGTGTCACATAAAAATAAATCTGCAAGTAGACGCACGACAAGAAGAACCTTACCTCCGCATTGTGAACTCCAATGCTGCTAATACCTCCCCATGGTCGAACTAAGTCATATGCAAACCTTAAGGCTTTACTCGAACCCACAATCTCAATAACAGCATCTGCACCCCTTCCTTCAGTGGCGTCTTGTATACGCCTCTTAATCCCGTCAATGCCGCCTTCATATGAACCGAAATTGAGCGGCTGGGCACCAAGTGAAGCTGCAAGCTCGAGCCTAGACTCGACGGAGTCTATCACGAATACCTGTTTGGGACTGAAAGACATAAGAGCTACCAATGCACAAATACCCACAGGTCCGAGACCAAGAATCACAAATGTCGCATCCGATGGAGCTTGTGAGGGTGGGAGCATTTTGATTGCATTAGAAACAGCAAAGTAGCCTCTTCTCGGCGAATATGTGGCGTCAGTTCTGTCTTTCCCCAATGACGTCTAGCTTGCGGATAGGAATTCGAAGCCGAAGCAAAACCACTTAATACGTACGTTGGGAATATATCAGCCATAAGAATATACATACCCTCTGGCACACCCTCCGCGACCTTGCTGATTGTTCCGTTGGCGAGTGGCACCCTCACATACTCGGCTTGAGATCCTTCAAGGACTGGGGACCCGAAGAGCTTGCATTTGTCACAGCGGGACGATTGTCCGTTCTTGCAATAAAAGCATGTTCCACTAGATCCGGTAACCGGGGGACATTAGTGTGTCAAACTTATGGAGCTCTTGATAGAAAGTATATCGAATACAGACCACGAGATCGTGAATGGCGCCACAACTTTGTCGCCGACTTTGGCGCTGGTTACGGCAGATCCAACTTCTACTACTGTCCCCACGAACTCATGTCCCTAAATTAGAATAATTTAGCAAAGGGGATTTCCATTTATGAGTGTATACTGCGCTCTAATCAGTATTATGGTGGAGCGCTAACCATGATGAATCCAGTCACATCTTTCTTCTCAACGCCTCGATAAACATGTAGCTCACTAAATTTGATAGGTGGCTCAAATTAGCTCTAAATATTTCTGCCTACTAGGTATACTATTAAAGAAATGCCCAAAGTTTCCGTCGGGACATTTTCATTAACTCCTAGTATAGTATAATTTCCGATTTCTAATTGAACGGGTTTGCAAATTTTGAGAATTTGTTCTGCTAATCCAGTCGTGAGGTGTTGTAATTTCATGGTTTCGCAGGGATCCCGATTCTTTGCCTACCTTCCACACAGCCCCGCATAATCGACTTTACAGATGACATCGTCGGATTCCTGGATTTGCGGGATTGGCCGTTCTTCTACTGCGATCCATTTTGGGCCTTTGAATACTACTGCCTTCATTGTTTGTGCCATTGTGATCAAAGTACGCGTATCCGGGAAATTAATGTTTAAACGGAGAAACCAAAAGTGGCGGTGCGGGCTGTAAATTTGTGGAGATTGAATGCTGCATAAAAAAAGATTACAATTAAAGTTTGGCAAAGTATCATCAATTTATAGTCGGTTGCCCTCTGCAAGTCGCGCTCTAGACTTTCCGTGATCCTTTTTTTTAAAAAAAATACAGGTTTGATCGCGGTTCTAGCCGCTGGGGGTAGCCGGGTATTCAAGTCGTAGCTACGGCTTATTTCGACTTGATGGTTTTTTTTCTGTGACCTTGCAAGCTAAGTTTGTTACCTAATATCGCGGCGTCAGAATTTTTTGTTGCAAACGGAACTTATCTCTAAGACACTACCGAGGTCCGAATTTACGGACAGGACGGACCGGAGTATAATCGGGTGATTAGGCTACGACATACATAAGCATCTGAGCTCTGGGATAGGATTTCTAATCTTAATGCTGACTTCATATTCCCAAGAATTTAATACTTCCGCGAAGCGGAAATTGGTCTTCTAGGCCTCCGTCATGTAGATCTAAGAAATCATCTGAGTGTGAGGTGAGACCTACGTACATGCATACATTGAAAAATATACAACAAATATTTGTGTTGTCACCTTCATTCCGTTCTGTGGGTTTGATTGGAGCCGACGCAAACGACGACGTTACGCACTGGACTGTCGACGAAGATTGTAGCCTGGGCAAGGCCAATCCAGGCAAAAGAGCTAATCTTTAAATCCCGATGATCTATTGTTTGATCCTAATTATATGGTGTAACCTACAAGTTCCAACACGGTTCAGGGTAATTAGTTCATTCAACAATCTCAGTGATAAATATACACACGTGCACGCATGCCGGGTGCATGTGTGCGCACGGTGTGTATTGAGGCCCTGGTTCGCGATCTCGTGGACACGTATTGTCTATTATCTCTCTCACGAGGTGGTACGAAATGAGTTTCAAGAGTGATGTAAAATTCAAGACTAAATTTATAGGTTGTTTTACGACTCTAGTATAGCTACAGTGACAATGGATCAATGCACGATGTATCGATATATCGATAGCTTGATATGTGAGATTCCGCAGGTACGCAGAGTAACTATACAATGGTTAGATCTCTGGTGACGAGACCAGTTTAAATCTGATCAGTTTTCGATTCGGTCTAAAAGCTTTAAAAGCGCCTTGCATAAGTAATTTTCACCGCAAACACCTACCAAAAGTATATTAATAAGTTGACATGGCTGAGTAAATCGTTTACGTCGAGGATAAAGGAATCCGAAAAATACTTGAGCTCGAGCCCGAGCTATGGCTCTTTTGGGGTACGGATATATATATCCTTTGCGACGTCAACCAAATGCTGAGCTGAGAGCTGCAGGAACCTATTGTGCGATGTCGATCCGATTCTTTCGCGGGATCTTTTTTATTTCTATGTAACAATCTGTATGTACATGTATGGGTTAGCCAAATTAATGATAGATTTTTACTGGGGCCTCTGGAGCGATTTGGATTGGGGATGTACAGCGGCTGTAACTAAAAACTAAAAGTTCTCAGAACTAGCCCTATTATCTTTCAACCTCGGTTCTATTTACAGGATCCTGGACATCTCAGCTCAGTTTTTGCTTATTTTCTTGTTCGTGATAGCTAGGCTTGATTATTTCAAAGCTTCATCATCAAATTTGTACATATACGAAGGTGATAGAACGGAAGATGAGTGGGGAGATGTGAGCCGCAATATATTGATAGGAGTCAACGAGAGATCTCCAAGAGAAGGTAGGCGCGCGGGCTTGGCTACGAGACAATTAACGCTTCGTTCTCAATTTGATATAATCAAGACATTCGCAAATACACAGGGAAGGGTTATTAGGGGGGGGTCTAATCCTATAAACATTAGAACTCGAGCAACATATTCGAATGTTGTCTCGTACCATTCGAGTGGAAATTCACCATAAAAGTTTCATCATATTATATTAGGGTATGGATTTCATATATTAGTGGAGTACTTCGGATAGATAAGTGTTGTGTTTTTCGTGTTGGGATGTTGTCTGGCAGCGCGTAGGGTGACACCAAGTCTTCTGCCAAATAGGGGAATGCGCAAGTGATTTACGCTAATCGGATTAAAAGGAACCCTTGATATGCTTAAATGTGGGACATATGCTACCAATTGAACTTGTGCTTGAGCCGATGGGATGGTATGAGATGCTATATATTGTTCCTTTATATTTTTAATCATATCAATACACTTATACAATTATATATGCCTATCAAACATGTAATTACCTTTATTGGGCTACCTAGCTTCGAAACTACTATAGAACAACTATACTAGCTAACTTGGCTAGGGAGGGATATGAGGGGAAAGTTATCGACTCAATGATTTTAAACACTGCTCTTCACGTTTGCCCGCACTCGTGGTTAATTGGCGTCTGGGAACGAGACTACTCTGTGTTCGCCCTATGTATACGGATCTAAAAGCTACGATAATATAATATCAAATTCGAAACTACCCAAATAAATAGTTTTTTAATAATATGGGACATGCGTGCACCCTACATCCCGCCTAAGCACCTACGTGGATATGAGCCGTATCATTACCGAATCCCCCCCCTAGGCAGTCTTCGTGACCTCAGCATGTTGTGCTACTCCGTCATCCTTCTCTTTAATCTCCTCGGTCCTTTCATCCAATTCGTCACGGAGGCGGGCAATGTGCTGCTTGCTCCACCCTGGAACCCACCATGAAGAATCGAACAGTTGATCCATATTCTCTAGCGGAACTCGACTAGTTTCCGGAAGGATACAGTAAAAGAAGATTGCGTTGGTGAAATTGGCAATGATGAAGAACATAAAGTACTTCCAGCCGACGTTTTGGAGAGCGATGGGTGAAACTTGTCCAATCAAGGTGTTTGTACTAGTTTTTGGAACATCGGCCTAAATTAGTAGTTGTGCAAATGGATTCGGGGCTATCGCGGAACATACGCAAAGGAGGTCATTGTTGCAATTGCAACACCCTTGGATCTTGTTGCAGTATTAAAAATCTCGGCCTGGATTCATACAAAAATAGGAGTCAGCATAGGTTCCACAAATTGTCAAGACCTCAGGCCGGGAGCTGCAATTTTTTTATTTTTAAAAAAAAGACTATCATGGATCTAGGATCTTCCGTACCGGGATAATCCAGGATAATGGTCCACATGCAAAAGAGAAAGAGAATTGATAGAGCCATGTCTAAAACCATTACGTTACGTATTAGCAAGGCCAAGTATCAATCATCCGGTTTGGATTATTATTTTCAATGACCTGTATCATACCATTATTATGAACGCCCAGTGCGCCCCAGTCGCATCTGTCCGTCCTCCGTATTCGGCAACTAAAGCAGTCACGATGATCCAAGCAACCATGTTGACAAGATTACCTAGAATCAAAACCCATCTCCTGCCAAAGCGGTCTATATTCCGTTGTTGTTAGAAAATTTAAGGAGTACTATTATAGAATAATATTGCATTTAGCAAAGGGGCCCAGTTACTTACCGATGAACATGATGCAACAGAATTGAGCGACAAGTGCGATAATGGAGTTGATGGCTTGTAATAGAAGCGTGGTGCTAGTGCTAATGCCAATTTCTTTGAAGATGGATGGCGCATAATACTGAATAAAGCTGACACCAGTCATCTGAATACTCCCTTGGACGCTGACGGCGATGAAAAGCCTCTTGAAGTTAAGTTTATCTGTAATCAACTGAGACCATTTCTTTGCTTCGCTGTCGTGCTCAGTAGTTATGCTCATTTGGATAGCCTCAAACTCTGCCCTGACAAAAGCGTCCGTTTCATCACCATTTGAATGGAGCTGAGCTAAGACAGCAAGGCCTTTCTCTGTTCTTCCCTTGTCGATTAACCAACGAGGCGACTCTGGCATGAAGAAAATGCAGGTCCCCAATATAATGGCCGGAACCATTTGTAAGGCTAACGGAATCCGCCATTGACTATCATCACTTAAGTGGATATATGTACCGTATCCAGCCCAGGTTGCTAAAAGGGCGCCGATACCCAGCATGAACTGCTGCAATGCAGTAATCCGACCACGGATGGAGGGGTGAGCAAGCTCTGCTTGATACAAAGGTACGATCATAACCAAAATGCCGACACTTTAGATTTTTCGTAGTATTAGCGGAGTACGTTTAATGGTTATAGATACGAACACGAAGGAATATTATCTAGATTGATCTAACGATAGGGGAGGGTACTTACCCAGCTCCCGTGATAGCCCTACCAGACCAAAGGTATGCCAATGTCTATAAATTGGTATACTCTGTTTAGCTATGAAACGGCCATGACGTCAACATCTAGCATGCTGAAATATCAACATACCTGGGCTGCAGTCTGTAAACAAGCCCCCAACAGGAATATAACGGTGGCGATAGAGATTGTAATACGACGACCGTACCAGTCCGATATGTGGCCGGCAATGAATGCGCCAATAAATCCACCTCCAGTAAATGTTGAGACAACAGCACCACTAATCCAAAATACATGTTACTTTATTTCATTTGATGAGTATGGAGGTTAACCGATTAGCTGCTCACATTTCGTCAGGGTCATTTCCGAATCTCGAAATAAAGGTCTCGCATTGAACAACTTCAGCAATGACACCCTTGAGAACGTCAAATCAAACTATTAACTTAATTCCCGAGGGAGCTTCAGAGTAAAGCAAATTTGTATTGCAAAGGATGATGAACTAACCAAATCGTAACCGAATAAAAAAGACCCCAAGGAAGCAAAAACTCCCACGAGGAATTGGTACCATTTTGGTGGTAGAGGCATGGTACCGATGTACTCGAATTGGATGGACGATCAATATTATTGAATCTCCAGAGTTATGGGGGAGACAGGTGTATAGCGCCATGGCCATTTGCGGGGAACCATCGCTTTATGTATTGTCGATCACCATCTGGATTTCGGCTTTCGAGCTCGGAAGAATAACCCACGGTCGACATGTTAATTGCTGGAATTTCCAATCATGGGAGGGCCGGGCGTTCAAACTTGCAATTAATTAGTTGTCACTCTGGGACTTACTAAGCTGCTGCAATATATCGCATGACTATTATGAACCTCGGTACTCATCCGCGCTATGAAGTCTCAAATAAACTTCAATGCTAACTATGTTGCCATTGAATGAATGGGCGCGGGGTTTCGTCCAACAAGCTATCCATGATATCGGATATCCATATGGGTCCACAATTGCACAATATGAGTACTTACCTGGCTAGAGTCTTTCTAGATCATTTTTGAATTTATTAGGATGGAGGTCGAAAAACTAGTTGGCACGATAGGCTTGATTCATGCGTGTATGTGTGTAAAACTACGAAGATATGTGAACCCGAACGGGGTATATGACTCCGAGACACGATATATGCTGATCTCCAGAGTATCCTGCATATGACTATTATTTAACGGTATTATGGATGAGATAAACTCTTGTTGCATTCTGCGCTCATGCACCATGAAACCAAGGTCGAAAATATTAACTTAAGACGCTATGTTTTTCCATCAATAAGAAGCTGAGACTGGGTATATCCGACATGGGTCCTTGAGTTCGGCTCGCATCTCGACACGAAAACTCCCTGCATTCGCTTGACGTCAGCCGAACTTTCAGAAACCTTAACATTACATATGCATATGATAGACAAACTTCTCCGCATTTTGCTCCAGACCGGGTGAGAATTCGGCATCCAACCCACATTGGGGTATTGCGAACAGACGGCTCGGAAAGATTTAGGCTAATCCATGGTAACTCCGGTTATTTCCCAGCTTTAAGTGTGGGGTTTGGGATGGGGAATGGATCCTCTGCCGCCAGTTCGGCGTAATCAAGCTTGTCAGAAAGGCTTATTTCAATGACTAGTCGAGTTGTATCACTAAATTAGGACACTTTAAATTAATGTATTCTTACAATGGGGATTTTTGGTGGGGAGTTAGTGAGCTGTTATTCCGGTCAAAATGCTTTCCTTAGATTATTGTAATGAATTTAAAGCTGACCCATGGCTTCTCTGAAATATCTGCTGGATAGAGATATATACTCTTTCACAACCAATATATCCACAACAGAGCTGCGACTAGCTATATGTTAGTCCATACATTCGGCGAATTTGCGAAATGACCACCTTCACAAAAATCTCAAGTAGAACGGAGGCCTCAATACTTATTGATGGCCGCCGTGCACTCTATGATATCGACCCTCTAATATACTCTGGTTTCACGGAGTAAGTTTGTTAATCATTCAAAAATATGAATTTAAGTTTGAATACTGCTGTCATATGAGGTTGGGGTTGGTACTGTTGCTTACATTTTTTTGGTCTCAACGAAATAGGCACATGGGAAGATGTATCTATGGCGGGATTTATGACCCAGGGAATCCCCTCTCCGATTCAAAAGGGTTTCGAAAGGACGTTATGGATGCACTCCGAGATCTTAAAGTGCCATGTTTTCGATACCCGGGAGGGAACTTCGTTTGCACATATTCTTGGTTGGATGGTGTTGGGCCCCGTGAAGCCCGGCCAAAACGCCCAGAGCTTGCCTGGAAGGGTGTCGAAAGTAATCAATTCGGGACGGATGATTTCATGGAGTGGTGCCAGGCGCTTGGGGCTGAACCATATATTTGTCTAAACATGGCAACTGGGACCCTCATGGAAGGTTTGTGATGCCATACAACTACCAACTATTTGGGTTGGATTAATCCAGAGCTAAATAAACAATATATATGTGAAATAGCCTTAGGATGGCTAGAGTATTGTAACTCTGATCAGGATACTTATTACGCAAACCTGCGGCGAAAAAATGGAAGGGATAAGCCTTATAAAGTAAAATATTGGGCACTTGGAAACGAGATGTGGGGCCCGTGGTATGTATTGAAGTTTTCGCACAGAAGCTGATCCCAAGCTAGCTACGTATATCTTACTAAATTTTCAATCCGTAATCCATGAAGGCAAGTCGGGCAAATGACGAAAGAAGATTATGCAAAGAAAGCGCATCAGTGGGGAAAGGGTACGGAAGCCAAGATTTACCACTTCATATTCTTTTGTTTGCTGACTCGACAGCTTTCACAGCCCTAAAGCTCCTTGATCCAAGCATAAAACTTATTCTGTGTGGAGAGAACGGCACTAGCGATTGGGATAGATATGTTCTCCAGAATTCCATTGAATATATCGATATGCACTCTATTCACATATATACTGCCGACCCTGAGCATGTTCCGAATGTTATAGCCCCGCTATCCGCAGAGCGTGCGATCGAAGTAACAGCTTCATTAATCGACCTTGCACGCATCAACAATCGTTTGACGAATCCGCCAACTTCTGATAATCATATCATTCACAAACCGACAATTTGTTTCGACGAATGGAATGTTTGGATGTATACGCGCGCTCCTGGAGACCAGGGTGCGGAGGAGAGCTATACTCTATCAGATGCATTAGCAGTTGGCGTATGGCTAAATGTTTTCATCCGCCAGGCAAGGTACTTAGGGATGGCGAATATAGCACAATCAGTGAATGTAATATCTCCATTGATGACAACCAAGGGAGGCATTGTCAGACAGACGTCATACTATGTTCTCTATCTTTTCTCTAACTATATGAGAGGGAAAACTTTGGGGGTCCACCTTAGCGCTGGAACATATGAAGGCAGAACAGTGCCGGAATGGATCGGTACAACAATGGAAGTGCCCTGGCTCGACGTCTCTGGCGCTATTTCCGAAGATGGAACGATAAACCTAAGCGTGGTTAATATTTCGGAAGATGAAGATATTCTGACACAGTTATCTATCGCGGAGGGCACGAAGGTCCAGGTTTTTAGAATTGGGGGAAGTAGGTTCAAGATAACTGATACTAATATGGCTGGAGAAGAAGTCATAAAAATCCAAGAGGATACCTGGTCAGCAAGTGGAAATTATAATTTTGAGAAGAGGAGTTATACCCTCCTTCGTTGGAGATAAACCTATCCTTGACGCTGTGCGATTTAGTTCTGGTTGTTTTAGCTAGAAAAAGTCGGCTTGGAGTTTCAAGATGCACCAACTTAGCGTAACCTGGGTATGCGTACACTGTTGCCTGGTGGTTTAGTTTAAGAGCAAACATAAATATGAAAGCTTCAAAGGCCTGTTGATGTTGTCTGGTAATACTATTTCTTCGGCCTCATCGTCCACCTTCCTTCGATCAGCCGTGACTACATGCAAGACTGGTCGACCTTAACCGGCGGCTCACTTTGATGCGGATTGTTGGATATTTTGCGTTGTCTACTTTTCCACACGTTTCGAGCTTCTGCGATTCGCCACGCAAGCAACTTTGTCAGCAACAAGATACGCGTCAGAAAAGTGGTTACGAATCCGCGCCCCGGGCTTCTTTTATAAGTACGGGCTTTCGCAGACCATCAGACGAAGCTGCATTACCTCGAGTTGCGGCAAATTTTCTAGTGCGGTGGCGGTGCGGTCCAGTGCTGTATACAACTGTGTATCTGTGCCTGCGCCTATAGCTAATAGCGCACCAATTGAATCTCAAAATCCCACCCTCTTCAAGCTTCAACACGACAACGTCTTAGACCAGGCTAATATAATTCATCAACTACATCCGCAACCATGGCCGACGAAGCAAAGGAACTGAACCTTCTCAAAAACGTCGAGAACAGGATCGTCTTTGCCCAAAATGATGCGGCTCTCCAGGTAAATTGCAGCGTAGAATCGCCACTATTGGGAAGCCGTAACATACATACTTATGTTGCTGTTGTGTCTAGACGATTTTGAAGACGTTTCTATGTCCGATGCTCCTGAAGCTTGAGTCACCCCATGCGGCCGTGCGAGAGAAAACCATCTCGATATGCCAGCATATTAACACTAGGATCAAGCCATCTGGCATACAACTCCCCGTTGCCGCTTTGTTGGCCCAGTTCCAAGGCGCAAATTCCGGTCTTCTTCTCAAGAATTTCGATCTGATGTATATACAAAGGGGCCTGGAAAGAGTTCCAACCGATGTAAGTATATCAAAATCCAACAAAATATGGGATTATAAACATATTTGACTGATGCTGACTCCAAATAGGAATTGAAACCACTATTACCCGGGATTTTGCATGCATTTGATGAGATATCAGCGGGCCACTCCCGAACAATGTTTCAAATACTGCTTAATACCCTCTCACAGCTACCCTCGCCTCCCGCAAGAGGTAGCCCCGCTGCTGCTGAATACCGGCAACTGCTCGACCTTGGCAATCATGAAAAAGCAACCGTGTTCCTGTCCCAAAAGTTCGAAGATCTTTTGTTGTTAATATTAACTCCGTTCCAATCCACCGAAACGGGGCCCGGTCTATCTTGCCCAGGCCTGTCTGCTGAACGATTTGAATTCCTCACATTGGGGAAAAAGGAGACGTTTTCGCATTCACGTTTATCGAGCATCAAGCAGAGAGTGTTGGAATTCATCGCTGTAGCAGGGTTCTCAGATAGGGACCTTTATTTCCCTTTTCTCGTCGCCGCTGGCTCTGACTCCGGGTCTCAGCTCATAAATCTTGGCGAAGATGGTTTGAAAAGGCTGACTGTCGATCTTGATCATCTGGAAATTTCGGATACAACGAAGCCAGATGAGAAACTTATGAAACCGAATGAGACGGGAGTTTACATTATCCAGAAGCTCTATAACCTTTACCTCGGTATTCCTGAGACGAATACCTCTGCTGCGAGAGCTAGCCTCAAAAGTAGAGTTCTCAACATTCTATCGAAATCAATACTTGCCTTGAAAGAAGAAGTCGTCTCTCCTACGAAAGTCCAGCGTCTGGTAGAGGAAGGGCTTTTAGGCGACAATGCGGAGTACAATTTCAAATTTAGATCCTCGGTGTTTGCCTTCTTAGTCCACGTTACTCGTTTGGGTGGCGATAGCCTTATCCAAACTGTTGGCTATGTCATTGTAGAGAATATTCGAACCTGGATATATGCTGATGGATGGCCAAGAAGTACATCGGTTAACACTAGTCAGCTTTCAAACCATCTAAGATCGCAAGGTTATATCACAATCGGTCTCCTTGCTCGGAGGGTACCGGCTTTTATTGTGGAGAATGATTTACAGATTTTGAGATTTCTTCTTTCTGCGGTCCGAGGCGAGACTAAAGAGATGAGGTCTTCGGCAGAAGAAGCAATCAGTTCGATACTACCGTGCTTTTCCCTGATGACTCGGACCCAACGGAAAGACGTCAAGGAACTCGCATTCCAAAGTCTCCTGGAGGACGCTGATACCTCAGGGTGGGGGTCGTATCTCAAAATCGCAAATAGAGCCTCGTCCTTTGGAGATCCTGTCAGGATTTGGATGTGTCTTCTAGCCTGTGCTACGATAGGTGCTAGGAGCACTAAAGCTTCGCGAGATCTTATAGATGATGGGAGAAAAGCATTGCATCCCTACTGGTTCGGCATTTTGCATCCACGGGCCAAATTGAATAACGGAAGCAACCCTAAAGTCGAGACAACTTCCGACGACGGCAAGATGGATATTGACCAAGAAACCCCGGAAGCCGAAGAAGCAAAATTTCAACCTTTGCTTACCTTTCTTCTTTCGAATGATGCTCGACTTCCCAACGCTTTCGAGAACAGACTTACAACCGCTAGATCAGTCTATGGTGTCCCGATTTTCGTGCTACCTGAGATGGTTACGTTTCTTCGGAGTGTACTATTGATTAATTGCCTAGAGTATGGCGTATCGACTGAACAACCTGAAGGCAAAGGCACGGAAGATGCGCTTCTTGTTGATGGAGATTGGGATGACAAGATAAGCAGTGAATTGGCTACTTCGGACCAAATGCGGACTTTCGTTCGCCGATATATTGAGAATACTGGTGTGACCTCCAATTATTTCGAACTGCTTCTTCGAGCGCTCCTAGATACATCCGACGCTCCAACATTTGGCAACATTTTGATGGAGTTCTTTCCTCTGCTTTCTTGGCAAATTTTGGAACGTCTACTCAGAATATCTAGCCAAAATCAATGGGCTGAGCTTAACCGAATGGTTTGGCAAGGGAAACGTGCAGAGAGAGAGTCAGCATCCTACCTACTCGGCATGTTCAAGGCACTATCACCAATTGATCATGATGGAGTACAGACCAAAGAGTGGCTAGATCTTCATATATCCCGAATCACATCGTGGGAGTCCTGCCCGACGACAGTAAGTTTCCTACTTTCGTAATCTCCCCCCAACATAAGCTCTAATCTAAAGTTTTATATAGGAATCAAATCGAACGCATGGATCGATTATCGCCATCTCGTATTACTTTTCTCGGTTAAATGTCGAGGCTCCTTATAAGAGTACGGTGGCATCTGCTAGTACTGGGGAGGTTTCAAAAGCAATATCAGCTTACATAGACATCACTATCAACTCTCGAGATACTGAGTTTCGCGACGCTGCTATCGTAGCGTTGACGCAACTTTGTTATTTCAAAGTTGTTCAACCATCCCAAGTTGAGAAGGATTCGGAACTCTTTGAAAAACTTAGAGCTCTTGGGAAATCTGGGCATGAAAAGGCAATAATTGCTCTCGGAGCATTCAGTCTCGTATACCCGGCTCCTCATAATCCTGACGGGCCAACAGAGGAAAAGGACAAAATCACAAAGATAAAAGAAATCCTAACTAGTGTTCATGACAATAAAATGCCTGAGCTCTCATTCGCCACTGGTGAAGCATTGTCCATTTTGGCGGCTGGATGGGACTCGCAAATACTCGCAAGGAAAATGGATCTTGTTGATGGAAAAGTTTCTGCAGCGGGCCTCGGAGAGAGAGAGGACGGTCAAATACTGAGAAATCTCGTTTCAGAGTTGCTTGAAATGCGAAAAAAGGGCGGAAGTGCGAGCTTTCGGAAAGCAGCTTGTGTCTGGCTCCTCAGTATGGTGCAGTACTGCGGACATTTAGATCAAGTTCGCGAACGGTTCGAGGATATCCATACCGCCTTTAGGTTATACTTAACAGATCGAGAAGAATTCGTTCAAGAGACCGCTTCTCGTGGTCTGACGAAAGTCTACGAACTCGGAGACAAAAGCCTAAAAGAAGAGCTTGTTAGGAATCTCGTTTCCTCGTTCACTGGAACAACGAAAACACTAGCAGGCCAGGTGCAAGCAGATACTCAATTGTTTGAGCCCGGCGCGCTGCCAACTGGCGACGGATCCGTCTCAACTTACAAAGATATATTGTCTTTAGCGTCGGAAGTGGGAGACTCGAGTCTTGTCTACAAGTTCATGTCATTGGCATCTCATTCTGCTATGTGGTCTAGCCGGGCAGCTTTTGGGCGATTTGGCTTGGGAACTATCATGTCGAATTCTGAAGAAATGTTCGCAGAGAACCCAAAACTTTATGCTAAGCTTTTTAGATACCGGTTTGACCCCAATCCAAACGTACAACGGTCAATGAACGATATCTGGAAAGCCTTGGTCAAAAACCCAAGCGCTACAATTGACAAGTATTTCGATAATATTATGGAGGACCTTCTGAAGACGATCATTGATAGAGAGTGGAGAACAAGAGAAGCAAGCTGTGGGGCAATTGCTGATTTAATTCAAGGCCGGCAACCCTCTCAAGTAAGCAGCTTGGCCCTGTAGTGTTCCTGTCTCCTGACTAATTAAATATCTGGTGCTAGTACGAAAAACATATCCAAAACATCTGGACTATGAGTTTTAAAGTCCTTGACGACATCAAAGCTTCGGTTCGGGAAGCGGCAATGAAACTGTGCCGAACTTTAACCAAGTCTCTCATCCACACGGTTTCTGATGAGCACAATACATCTCCAAAGGATGCCAAAAAGGCGCTGGATAATATTATGCCCTTCTTGATGGGACCTAACGGCCTCGAGAACCAGGCAGAGGATGCCCAAATGTTGGCATTGAGTAAGTCCTCAACTAAATACTTGGGAACTTGATTCATCTAACATTACTGATATCTCGTTTAAAGAAACCCTTCTTGACTTAGTCAAAAAATGTGGGCGTGTTTTACGGCCATATGTGCCAGATATGATTGATCAATTCTTGAATCTACTCAGCTCCTTAGAACCACAAGCAATTAATTATCTACACCTCAATGCTGCGAAGTACAACCTGACAGAAGACAAGGTAATATTCCTAATCCGTGTATTTCGAACTACACAGTAACAAGGGGTTTCTCTAGATCGATGCCGCCAGATTATCTAGCGTTCGCACATCGCCTATGATGTGAGTTGATTGTTCAATTGAGAACGACAAAGAGTTCTTAACATTTTCTCTCGTTCTTACATTTTTTCTCCTTCTACAGGGACGCTATCGAAAGTTGTTTGGACATCGCGGACGCAGATGTCATGAAGGTGTTTATCCCAAGGTTGAACAAAGCTATTAAGAAAGTCGTCGGGATGCCATCGAAAGTCGGCTGTAGTAGAGTCGTCGTCACTTTGGTAATTCGCCATAGCTTTCTCTTTAGGCCTTACGCAAATGATACCCTAAAGGTGATGTCCGCCGCCCTTGTGGATAGGAATGAAACAGTATCGGCATCGTATGCTGCTGCTTGTGGTTATCTTGCAAGACTTGCTAGCGATGAAGCCGTCATCAAACTTTTGCAATATGCCCAGAAGCTTTATTTTGAGCAACAAGGTATTTAAAGCATTTTCCACTCTATTTTGGGAATTAGCGACTTAAACTTGAAATTAGAGGAGCGAATGCGGGTATTATCTGCGTCGGTGTTGAATGCTATTTCAAAACAGTAAGTGGGTCGTTGGCTCACGGGAAACTCCGGTTAGGACTAAGGGCTAACTTAAGTTACTAACTACTTACGCAAAGTGCCTCGGATCGATTTCAGGCTCTTGCTTCAGATATTCTCCCATTTGCATTTATTGCAAAACATGATCCGGAAGAATCTGTTGCGGAAGAATATTCAAAATGTTGGTCCGACAATACGGGGGGCTCTGGGGCGGTAAAACTCTATCTGCCTGAGATCGCGGCTCTCGCTGGTGCCCATCTTGATTCAGCGAGATGGACGATTAAACAGACTGCAGCATTGTCAATCGCAGATATATGCGTTGTACTAGGTATCCCTGTTCCACAGGTATGGCTGCCACATGCTATGTTCCACAACTGACGGGTTCCATGGGCAGGCCCAGATCTCACCCAAGAACAACTCGATGTTGTGTATCCCCTTGCAGTCCGTAGTGTTGCAGGGAAGAGCTATCCGTCGAAGTACAGGGTCCTTGAAGGATTTGCAGCCCTTTGCACCTCGCCGAAGTTTACGGAGACCCAGAAACTCAAAGAAGTTTCGAAGGTGAGTTGAACATCAACCTAGTAAACCGGGCTTTCCTAGAACAAAAACAAGCTAATATATTTTAACTACAGATTTTTCTTCGGGAGGCTAATCGAAATAATAAAGATTACCGCCCGCACGCATTTGACAGCTTGGCAAAGTTTTTGAGGGTTCAAAGTGAGACAAATCTGTACGACGAAGTAGTGGACATCGTAGGAAACGTGTTTGAAGCCGGTGCAATTACCGACGAGGATGAAATGGACACAGACACCCATGGTAAATCATCAGAGAGGCTGTGAGTGGAGAAAATTTTCCGAACCTTTCAGTTGTGGCAGCTGAACTTATCCTAATCCGATGTTAGGTGGCAAATTACGCTAGCAAGTAGTCTTCAGCTTTTAGCTTCGAGCATGCACAAAAGATACCCAGATTCAGGTAGGTTTAAACGAGCACGAGCGCCCTTCCCCCTTCAGCTCATGCGTAGACGGGCTGTGAAAAGCGTGCCAATCTCCTGCTTGCTGACGCAATATTTTATTTTCTTTTCACTGCAGCCTCACAAGTGGAGACCCTCCTTGCGTTGGTCGAAAAACAATTACTGCCTAGTTGTAGCCGGGATGTGAAAACAGCAGCAATCGAGCTTGTCGAACGGATTTTAAGTCGTCTGCAAGATAACGGGCCATCAACTGCCGTCTCGCCTGTGGACCCGAAGACATGGAACAAGTCTCTCGTGCAGCTTTGGACTAACCTCAACCTGGTCTCAAAGGGGGCAAGTTCGGAGAATGAAAAAATTCGAAAGGAACTAAAAGCCGCCACAGAAAAACTGTGCATATGGATGGGAAGGTTGCAAGTCGATGGGGATAGCATCTCGGAATTGGTGCAAGCCCGGGATCAGGTTAACCAATTCCTTGGGCAGTCATAAGTCATCGGATAAAGAATGCAACGATTGGCTCGTGAACCTGCTTTAGCGAGGCTCTGCCTCCCACCGTTTCATATAGAGGAAGGCTTTGCAACACGCCATCATGAGTAAATAACAATAATATCTTCAAGTTATCACAGGAAAAATTTTCCACCTGGGATCATGCTTCTTTTAGGTATTACCCCGTAAATTAAGATCGTTGCTTTTGCTCGGAAGTAACCTGTCGAAAGGGGATCTAGATTTGACAGCGTGACTATGTCATAGGTAAACTGGTCTTGAGATCATGTACTTACTTGCTGACAAAATTCTTCAAAACATCCAAATGCATTTACCAGGCACCCAGGATTCTAATACATACATCCCAGGAAGTAACCGCACAAATGCAGGCGACTCCGAAATCGCCTCCACGCGCACATCAGAATCACCTCGCACATCAAGCGTCTAGTCCAAATCAGTGCTGGTTGGTATGTAACCTTTTCGATTTCGATTGAAGCGTCATAGACTCCTCTTTGTAGCATACAGGAGTGGTTGATGATCGGAGGATAGTGGGGTGGCGTTTTCCGAGTACGAGCTGATGCTCCCACCGCTCAAATCGTGCGACACAACTGACAAGCAATGCAGCCGCTGGAGGCGACCCGCCCAAATGGAGCGCTTGGGCTGAGGAATTTGAATCCCAGGGGCCATGGCCATTAGCATTAATACTATTTCGAATGTTCGCAAAATTAATTGAAACTCTTGCCGACTGCATGCTGTGTTCAGGATTATGATTTCAGGGTCCTGCACGAGGTTCCAACTCGCTCTATTCTCGCTCGACTCCACAGAAATGAATCAGGAACACGCAAGCTGGCTGCACCTGAAATTTTCCCCAAAAGGGTAGTCATGTAGGTACCCCAAACCCAGTGCACCAGTCTTAGTCGTCGATAAGCTCCAGAGCTTTTGCTTCTTATCCACTAAAACCTGGGTTCGGATCGTTGTCGCACCATGCAGTTGGCCAACGACATTAGAGACACCCACACACGCCCACATCCATCCACATCTGTATTCCTGCGGGGGTTAGCAATTAGCAATTGGAATAGACGCAAGAAGAAGAAAAATAAAATACCAAGAAGAAGCAAGGCATGAAACTGTCCGACCTAAACTTCTTTGAAAATTTTCTCCACAGGCTCTCCCATTCTGCGAACCACCTGCGCACTAAACTATGTACCAGGTTATTAGATGACCGAGCATTTATATGCAGCAAGGGCAATGGACGTCCGAATGGCTGGTTAGTCTACCAATCGCAAATGGTCTGTGCAGGCAGGCAGGCAGGCGTCAGCGGGATGCCAAACTTTCTTTCTGTTGTGCATGCCCACCCGAGGAGCGAAGGTTCTGCTTAGCTGCTGGTGAACTTGGTCACATCCTTGTAGCGTACATGTAATAATGTACCATTGAAGGAGAGAGCTGTCACTGCCTGATCTCATTCCTTCTTCCTAGGCCTTTCGATTTTCTCCTTCCCTGCCCTGGAAAGTTACCTAAATTTGCTAAAAAGTTTTAAATGTCAGTACTCAAGTAGGTAAGTAGGTGAATGGATGGCAAAGCTGCTAGTCGACTCGACTCGAGTTTCTGGGTTTTATAATTTATATCAGGGGAGCCGGACGTACATCTTGCTCGTGACGTTTTCACTCCCTTTCTAAACTAAAACCTCCTAACTCCTGCGTTCGAGATCCTCTCCTCGCCGTGAATCTCTGCGGTATTAGTCCTAGGATCTCCTCAATCAATTCAGCCAGTCCCCGTTCCCTCAATCAGGCCCCCAGCTATGGTTCTCCATTAGAACGGATGGAAATCGAACATCCTGGGAAACCCGCCCCGAAAGTAAATTAAGCAGCGTGGGACAACTCACAAGCCTAGGGTCAGACCACCCCTCCTCGGGACCCGCCAGTATTATTATTATTGACAGCAATTGCAACGGCTCGAGCCCTATTTGTGGCTTTAACGAATTTATTATCAATTCTATCTATTGTTGTTAACTTAAGCCATCGCCGGGTTCCACTGTGCCTGATCTGATCTGGGACGCGCACTGGATTGCTGAATCCAGCAAATCATCTTGTGGGCTCCTGCAAGCCATGTTTTAAAGCCACCCCAGTATTGGTTCACTTTGTGGATAATCCCATTTGGAAGTATTATCATATTTTCATTTAACGAAGGGCCTCTTTTACCGTCTATGGAAGATCCCAGCCCATGACTCGCCAATATCAAAACCTATAGTTTAACCCAGATACTACATACAAGGTAATTCAGATTCTGGTTCTTTATTTTCCCCATCGAAATGTTTTTCTCGCCCGCCTAGTTTTTGTCCTTGCAAAAAAAACTAAAACCCCGGTGCTCCTTTTTTCGATTTGCTCAAAACCATTGGGTTGGACGGTCTCGAATCGGATTTGTCTATTTTACCATTTGTCTTGCTAGCTCACACATGGATTTGCTCTTCCTCCTTTGTAACACCATGCTAATGGCTCCTACCTCCTCCTACAGCACTCAACAACCGTAGCCGTCTCTCTCTTTAAAATCCTGGAAGCTATCTACAGTATGGATAGAGGACGGAAAGGTCGTCGGCACTCGGTGCCCCATGTTCAGATGAGGGAGGATGGCGGTAGTGGAAATATAAGCTCCTCGTCACGCTCTAAGCTCGCAATTATAGCTCCACGCAACGAGAAGGATAAGGGAATTGGCCCATCTCGGTCTCCGAAGGATGGTGTCTTCAAGGATAGATTGCCACCCCGTTCTCGGACTGGTTGTTGGTATGTGGCTTTTTCATCCGTTTTCTAATCCTTTTTTTTGCCTCCACGTTGAACGATAATTAACTGGACGGCCCTTGGTAGGACTTGTCGAGTATGCCTTTCTGACTATCTAGGGAATGTACGTGGCGGTTTTTCGTTTCTCGCTAACATCTTTGTATCATCACTCTTATAGACTCGAAAAGTGAAATGTAGTGAGGAACATCCCGTCTGTAGCGTAAGTTCTGCCCTACACTTTGGATCAAAAAATCAACTCGCTTGAGGGAGCTTCGAAGAAGCTAATGATCAGTCTAGCAATGTGCTCGGCTACAGCATCAGTGTGACTATCATCCGAGGCTCTCCTTCCGTGATGATACCCGTCGTATCGTAGATCGGATGCCTGAAGTCTCCACCGTCGGGAGCGTAACATGGGACCGTGAGTATCTTCCATAGCCTGCCATTTGTCCGATTGTATACTCCCTCGGGCCGAACTTACAATACTCTGATAGGGAAAGCACGCTTGAGACGGACCTCGATCATTGCAAGAGAGCCCGCGATTAGCCCGGAAGCTCTTGCATTGCCACCTTTCCATCAGCTAGGGAACGACGAGGAACGAGAATTGAAAGCTTCGACTCGACCACCTGCGACTTTCAATCTTGTACTCACACAGGAGAGCTTCGAAAATCAAGAAAATGACGTCGAGGTAAAGACGGAATACGACGCAAACGACTTAGCCTCACCACTGAGGGAGAAAATAAAAGTTGAGGACGATGTGAGCCCAATTTCTGAACGGATTCCGTCTTTCAGACGGACTTTGGTGAATCAAGCGATTTCTTCGTCCCCGAGTATGGCGTCCGATCCCGACATTGTAATTCTGGCACGATTCGAAGAACCTGCAATTAATCTGCCCAAACCTGCTTCACTCACACCGACCACAAATAGCTCTGCAGGCCGACGCCTGTCTGTTGCTTCTGTCCGTTCCGCTGGCCAAAGTTCGACTGCGACATCTAAAAGCTCGCCCCAACTAGATGGTCCGAAAATCTTACCAACTGTTATTCCAAAAGAAGAGCCTGTCCATGTTCATCTACCATTTTCGATACCAGATTATGGCCTCACACTCAATCCAACGGACTCTCTTTACTTGAATTACTATCGAAGCTATGTTTCGCAACATGTTTTCCATGTTAGGGGCGTTGGAAGTATCTGGAATCCAGCGTCGATTCACGGCGAGGACTTTTTCGACTTGGAGGCCACTAGATTTCCGCCGGTAGGTACGCCGTATTTGTGATAGGAGGACTGGTTGGGATAGTGCAGTTGTGGTATACTAATTGCTCAGCAGCTTTTTCATGCGATGATGGCAGTGTCAGCTTTCAGTTTCGAGCACAGGAGTCCAAATGGGAACAACTTTGTCCAGTCTTTACAACATTACCAAGCTGTTCTACCGGCCCTACAATCCAGCCTATCGAGCCCAGTCGACTTAACATCGGACGGGATTATTTACACACATTTCTTTCTTTTGCTCTATGAAGTTAGTTTCCTAGCCTTTTTTACGATTATTTTATTCCTAAACCTTATTACTCACCGGCTTCCAGATTGCAGCAGCGGAAGCTGGACGGCCGAATCTATGGCAACAACATCTATCTCAGCTACGCAGTTTCCTCTTCGAAAGGGTTTTGCACGATACTTCGGGAGCGACCCCGTTTATCATCTGGTACTTGGTTGCAATCGATGTTATCTCCTCGCTAGCAGGGGTTGAAGACGGGGATCTTACAGAATCTTTCTTGAGAAGCCATCTTATCACGGATTTCAAGAAAACTTTTGCGCCCAGCGCAGTAGCGGACGGTCTTTCGATATATTCTTCACCGGCTCACCAAGCATTAGAAAGCGAGGCGTTTCTTCAAGCTCTTTCTTTGAATCAGGAACTAATCCTTCTGGGATCGACGATTGCGAAAACTCGGATTGCATTGAAAACATCGACTCCATTAGTCACAGAATATGGGTCGGACGACGCTTGTTCAAGCTCAGATATACAAGCCTCGGTTAGAGAATCGCAAATTCACCAGATTTTAGAGGAGCTACAGCGAGTTTGGATATTCCATCAAAATGGGATGACGAATCTAGCAACAGAAACGGATAGCGCAATGTCCACCCGGCTCACGGTTCTTCAAAGCCAGGTATAACTCTATTGAGACGCCACGTTATTTTGTTTTATTTTTCTCGATTTTTTTACCTAAATATTCTAACGGTTTATACTTTTATCACATTTTAGGCGAAACTCTTTTACCACGCACTTAATCTTTATGCTAGGACTAGCATGTGGCCCAACCAGACACGAGAAACTGCAGACGTTGAGACTAATTCAAATGAAATCGCCCTTTCGATCCGAGCCATCATGTCAGAATCCGCACAGGTTCTCAACAACCCAGCAGTTTTCTTCAGCACGGGCTTTCTCATATTCCCTCTTTTCATGGCGGGTATCTCAGCAACTGACGCACGAGACCAAGCATGGGTCCTTGACGCCCTTACTCGAGCGGGCGTTCACACAGTCGGCCGCAATTGTACCGTCGTAAAATCAGCTCTACAAACAATTTACCAACATCAGAATCAAAACGCCGCCTTGCATCCGGTTGGAGCCGTTGCCTCCACCAGCAGGTCATGGCAAGATATCCTTTGCGGTTTCGGAGTCCAAGTGGCACTTTTTGGGTTTTAATTTAATTTACTACATGGCAGGCAGGGGAAATTTTTATATACTATAAATACGGTTCAAACTTGGGAGAAGGGGGGGGGGCTATATCCTTTCGACAGCGAACATTCAACAGTACAACTGTCCGTCTTCTAAAGCGGTCTTTTTTTTCTCATTGCAATTGTTTTTCTTTCCATGTTATTCCATAGCGTATCCTTTTTCACGTTGCATATTGATCACACCTTTATCCCTCCACCCACAGGCATATTTCAGAGCATTGGTCCCCTTTTTGCAAGCAGAATCATCATGAATTGAGCTCTCTATCCTTGCCCCCCTTAGTTGGAAGGGCTGAGTTAAATCCGACATGTCTTTTTAGCGTATTTTTTTTCTGTGTTAAAGAACAAAACCCCCCCGAACTTCTTTTCATTTGCCTATAAATATAAACTCGAAACCAAAAAAATACCTAATCATAATTTACACGCCTGAAAGCTAGATCACAAGATGAACTTTTTTTCCAACCAACCACCAAGGCGGTGGCGTTATAACCTGCCAATTGTACAACCGAGCCCCGTCCGAAAACAGCTAAACAGGCCTGCCATATGGCGGTGGCAAACGTTCCTAACAAGTACTTAGTAACTACATATGTACTCGTCTATTCCGTTTGACCGTTGCGTTAAGCTGAATACCGAAAAGGAAAAGAGAAAAAGGGAAAAGGTTCAAAAGGAATAACGCCAACATTGGAACGCCCCGACATACATATGTCTAGTACGTACGTACTCTCCGTAAAAATCGGAGCAAGAAGGAAGGAACAACATTCTTCGGTGTTATTCGAAGCCCCCAAAACAGAAAAAAAAAAAAAAAAAAAAAACCGTGCTTCGGCTGGGTTCCAATTCGTTCAAGCAAAGGTCTTGGGTTTTGCGGGAAGGGGCGTAGGCTAAAAAGCCACGTGGAAATTTGTTACCAAATTATTCCAGGCCCCAAAGGGTTTTTTGAGTTATCCTTCTCTCAACTCCAACCACTTTTCGATTCAATACCTAATATGTAAGGCGTTACTGATAGGTTTTCCTTTCCCCCTTGCTTTATTTCGCCGTAGGAGGTTTCGAAGAAAGGAAAAAACCCTCATGGCTGTGGCAAAGGGGATGAGGAAACGCCACACGCATATTTGGCGAACTTGATGCTGAGACCCTACCCAAGTACCAAGCTCCCCACGACCCACCCGGTCCCGGGCTGTATTTCCGGCAAGTCATGAAAATAATAGTTATTAACTAATGTTACGAACCTATAAACCCTTAAATGTGTATCATATTTTAACCGACTATGCTTGTTTGTGGATGCGGATGTTTTACTTCAATATCAAACCCTTGGGGCCTTGTCTTGGCTTTGAAGTTCAGCTTTCTAACTAAACAACAGCTTTGTTTGATGAAAGGACGTTGTCACGAATGTTACATGATTGGTCCATTAGAGACCAGCAGCCCCCCAAGCTTTCCAGGCCGCCCCGTTGCATATTTGGAGAATTCTCCACTTCCCTTCCCGCGCTAGCCCCTCTTGTAGCTAGTGATCACCGCCCAAGACTTCGCTAACTTGTCTGGTGTGCGACACACGAAATCGATGAATCGTAAACTAATCGGATTATTTTTGGAGAGAATTTAAAGATGAGGCGAGGGGGGGGGAGATGCAAAGGTTAGGTAGCCTTGTTTCTTTAAGAGAAAAAGGAAGAGAAGGAAGAATCCTCGTTTAACCCATGCTCTCCATGCATATCCAGTGCATATACCACCGATTTGACGATTGGAAGTTTAAATCCACCTATGGAGGGCGCCCCCTCGCCTTGACCTTGAATCGTATTCAAGAAGACGACCAGCTAGTTATCTAAGGTTAACCTAGCTTCAATAACGAGTTCCTTTCTTTTCTCCCAAAAGCTAGCTAGCTAAACTAATCTCTAATAAGCTGTGCCGCAGGAAGGCGGGTAAAAAAGCTTATATTAGATCCTTTACTGATCGTCGCTTTGCTTCAAGATCGATGGTCACGATACCCTTATACATACCCTTTTCATCTTTTCTTATATTCACCGGAGTAGGTAAGAAGGAAACGGTAAAACTAACTTCGTAAACTATCCGCCCAGCTACGAAAGCTAGCACATGACTTTTAGGGTCTTAAGAGCTCTCTTCTACGTAGTATACCTAATGTAATGTACTTACACTTACATATGGAAGTACATACGCTTCTTAGTATGTACGTCCATATCATTACATACATATCTGTAAAACGTAAGCCGCCGAATATCCAAAACCCACACACCTGCCCCCTCCCTTCCAAATATTGCGTTCAAATCTGCTACATGCAGCAAACATACATGAAAGATTACCGAGTGTACTAGTCCGATATTCCGGCCTAGTACTATATCGGAATGATCTGATTTGTTGGATGCAAAGTAAAAGAAAAAAAAAGGGCAAAGTAAGTACTTACTTACATGTAATTCCTGAACGAAACGAAGATATCCCTGCGCCATCAAAACATGCATTCTACATATCCTCTGAAGGAAAAAAACATGCCCAATCCTTTTTTTGTTTTGTTTTTTGTTTTTTTCTTTTCCTTTTCGTTGATATCTTGAGTACATAGCTCAAGTTCCGGTGATTCTTCTTCTCTTCGGGGAATTAAATTAAGTAAAAAGGGTTTTCTTTCTTTCTTTCTTTCTATACGCCGAACTCCATGGCCGCCTGATGCTTGGCAAGCTTGAAGAGAGAGAAAAATACAGATGTTGATATGAAATCCTAAAGTCCGTGCTGCATGCATGCTGATCCCAGTATCTAATCTTTTTTTTTCTTTCCCTTTCTTGCTCCTGAGCTTTGAAGGAACAAAAAAAAGAGGGCGGACTTTACTTTACCTAAGCTCAGATGCGGCGGGTCACGAAGTGCGCTCCGCATGTATGTACCGCAAGCTTATACCGAGCAAAAAAAAGCCATTCCAGGCATCATGACTTTCTTCCCCACCCTTGTAACTGCCTAGCTGATTCCATCATTGATTAGATTTGATCAAAGAAAAAGAAATAAATAAATAAATAACTACACAGTAAAGAACCAAAGTAAAAAGTTACTTCTCTGCAGGTAACGCAAAGTATGATCCATAATCCCTGCTTCTACCTACAAGGAAAGATATCACACCACCAACGCAGCATTTAAGAATCTAGAACCCTCTCATTACATATCTATATCGCTATCGACGGGGAAAAGGGAAAGAAGGAAATAAAAGAAATTTTTTTTATATCTTAGCAATAATACGGGAATACTATAGGGCTATAGCAAACCCGAGTACCAGGGAGGAAAATTTTTTTCTTTTCACGCTTAAGCTTACGGGAAAATCGATCAAGCCCTCGCCTCCTCAACAATCAAGATCTCGGAACTCGCCGTCGCCGATTGTCCTTTCCCGGCTAAAGTGATTTTAGGAAAATAAAAATGGAAGGAAAATCAACACAAGTTTTTTATTTTATTTTTTTTCGGAGGGGGTGGTATTTCGAAAAAAGGCTACGGGGTTTAGGTGAATGGGATGGCATTTTGTGAAGGCGATTGGTTAAATGACAGGCAAGTGGTGTAGAATGTACAGGGTTAATTGTTTTCCGAGCAGCCGCAGCGTATGTAATGTAGACCATTAAACTGAACCATGTTGAAAAGCAAGAGTGTGATTGTGGGAGAACAAAGGGCATGATCGCCAGCTGCAATATGTGATGCAAGTTGATTGTGAAAGATGTCAAGCTGGCTGGGCTGAGAACGAAAAGAGGAAAAGGATAGAACCCGCCGCCGCCGGCCCCTCACTTTAACGCCCTTCCCAGCCGTTGAAGTGTGTCAAAAGAGTCCTCCAGCTACATAACTGGATCTCCATTTGAGCATGGGCCCTGAGGCCTTGGGTCCGTCCTCCCGCGCCAACCTCGAGTAAACCTTCCTTCAAAGCTCCCACTCACTCACTCACAGCCACACAAAAAAAAGAACACACGGTCCGCAGGCAGCCAACTCAAATGTAAATTATCCAATCTTGACACCACCAACCGCCGCCCAGGTGCTCGACCTGCTTCCAGCAATCTTGTCCATATAGCTTTCAACCTTGCCCCTTCCAATGGTGGTCTTCACAAATTCCGCCACAGACGCCATATCAAGCCCTTTGCAGCTCAAAACGGCGTCTATATCACTTTCCGTCACCTGGACTGCGTCTTTTGCCTGCTCCTTCGCCATTTGTACGACAGCTTTCCACGATGAACCAATCATGTTTTTGATCTCCGTGATTTGAGACTTAGGAATTTGTGGCTTCAAAGCCTTGACCACCGGAGACTTCTCCAAGTATTCGCATAGTATCAAAATGTGTTTGCAGGCCTAGATGGCAAAAAAATTGCGATAGTTCGTCGTTAGCAGCCCGATCATATGCGTCGTCATCAAAGGCTTCAAAAATAGAAACGCCCCCAGAAGAGAGACCAAGACATCGTATTTGCGAGAAATGCCCTTACCTCTAAAATCATGTAAGCTTGATGTAAACTATACCAAAGCGTCCGATCCTGGCCATCATCGAGTGACAACTGAGACATATCGCCAACAGCAGAGGACACATCTTCACGATTGCCCTTCGATGGTGGCTGAAAGCTACCCCTTAGAGTTTGGAATTTGCTCGATATCTCAGTCAACAGCAATTTAACCTTCCCACTCGATTTGGAACCACCCTCGCTTTCCACCTGAATATCTCCCATCAGACAGGCGATATCTAAGACCTGTCTCTCAACACCCGTGAATTCCTTGACGCCCTCCTCACCACCCTCAAGGATTCCACGGAGATGCTTGGAAAACGGCACGTGCTCCTTCTCTGAGGCGCCCTCATTGGCCTTCGATCCTGATGCTGCCGCTGATGACGCCTTCGTTGAGTCTGCAGCAGAAGATGCCTGTGACTGTGCGACCAGAGTCGCCGCGATATGTTCAGTCAACAAGAATGCCTGAACCCATTGGACCCCGACACGAGGCCCCACGTCACAGCCTGTATGCCAGCCGTCTTCCCCGAACAAATCAAACGTTCGGTTGTCCGACGTCTTAGCATTCAGAGCTCTATCCCACAGAGCCCCCGCTGCTGTCGTTGACCCTTCCGTCACGGTCACCCCCCGGAACCTCTGTACCCGCCTCCGTTCGATCTCAAATTGGCAAGCTGAGATACTCGAAGATACTCTTTTTTCGAACAATACCATATCCTTGATTTGTCCGTATGCCCCATTCTTAAACGCCAGGCTGATCATTTCCGGGTTGGTGCGGTTTGCATTTTTATATAGCCTGAGCGAAATATCGTACATTTCCAAGCTGTCTGTAGGGTTGTGTGGGACGTGCATACCAACATCAGCCATATCCGTAGGATGCAGCAGTTTAGCTGCAGATGACACAGAAAATGGAAGAAGGGTAGATAGCCTTGTCAAAACATGATGTGATAGCGAGTCATTTTGGATCTGCTTGATGCTCAGTCGTTGATATTCGATGGTTGCACAAGACGGGGCGCCAATAATCATGTACAATCGAACTAGCATGAGTAGTGCTGTAAAGTTATGTTTCGACTTCGTGAGGAGGTGCTCAAGGATTATTATTGCAACCCTCACCGGAAGGGGGTCTTGCATACGAGATGCAGTGTATTTGCACATAAGTGCCTTGGCGACCAATAGTAACAACTCGTCGCCGATCCTCATATCGGTGACTAGAAGGTCGATATCGACTTTGAGTGAGACGTTATAGACAGCCAAGCATTCTTGGACAAAGCCGTTCAATCCTTCTGTGACCGGTAGCCGTTCTTGATTGTCTATCTCGATCCAAAACCAAAATTTCAAGAGGGTGACCCACTCGCGGACTGCATTGGTCAACTCCTTGGTAGACGATTCAGATGAAGTGATATCCTTGCTCTTGCAGTGACCCGTCATCTTGACTAATAGTTCTTTCTGTTCATCCGTATTCAGTTGGGCCACATAAGGTCTCAAGTCATCGTAACATGAACTCGTGCCGCCTTGTTTTTCGAAAAATGCAAAACATACTGCAAGGAGAGTTGACACGTCTTCCTTGCAGTTTAGGTTGGAATGAGGACGGCAGAGCGATGCAAATTCGACGGTAGCTAATAGCGCATTTCGTGAAGCACGCTCTTCTCCATCTTTGAGTTTCCCCGCAAGGAGCGCTGCAGCTTTGGTGAATAACGGATCCTCTGGGTCTTTCGCTCCAATCTCAACTGCGGAGGCAACATATGCGGCCCATACTTTCCAGTCATCCTTCCAGACCCTGCTAACTTTCGGTTGTTCTAGACCCGTCCCGTCCGATCCGTCCTTGATAGCTACACTCCCGGTCGATAGGACGCTAAGACAATGGTCGTTCACATCCTTGAACTCTTGCAGCCGCAATTTCGTCTCAACCAGCATCCACCAGAACTCCCAGTAACTGTCCGAGCCAAGGCGACTGTTGAACCCTGTCGTTTGGCTCTCTAGATACTTGACAAGCTCCACATCATCGACTTTCGTGAAGCTCAAGATATCGTAAAACAGTTGTAGCTCTGCAGCCGTCCGAATCGATCGGATTGGCCCGGATTCCTTCCCTTCTGGGATCTCGCTTGCCGCTTTCGATATCATGCGGGAAGCAAGCATACCAAATATCCCTACACTCGATCGTTGATCGTCATCGCAGGCTACCTTGTGATATCTCTTGGTCAGCTAACCAGGCAACCCCCAAAAGCCGTTCCCATTCGAGGGAGGAAAATAGGCAACATACGACCATAATAAAACATGCAGCAACAGCCCAGAAATAATACCCCCGGTTCCCCATAACACCCTTCTGCAAAGCCATCGCGGCCTTTTGCATTCCGGTCCAATCACACGCCCTCATACACCCACTATACCACTCTTTCAAGCCAGCTTCGTCAACATTCTTTGTCCTCCCCGGGGTAGCTATCCTGGCCTTGTACAAATGTTCGTGGAACTTTCCGATTTCTTCTTTCTTCCCGAGGTAGATGTATGTCATTTCTATTAGTCGGATTGTCTCGCTGTCCTTGGTCGGTGGGGTTCGAAACGCCAGAGAATTGCAAATTTGGAGGGCTTCGGTAAGTGGGGAGGTCTGTTCGGGAAGACCAGCGGTAGGGAGATGTGCTAGGATGAATGCTCTCATAGCCTGTGTAATTCATGTTATCGTTAGTTAGCAAGATTGGATAACCAAACTCATTTTTTGATAGCTCCTGGTCTGGAGGATAGCTCCATAGATTCAAAACTGGTTACATACCGTCAAATAATCGCCCTTTTCACCTTTCTTCAACCTACGGGCAATCAATTGCAATGCCTGCTTTGCACTCCCGCCCGGTGCATTCAACGTATCCCATACCTGCTGATTCTTTCGATCGAATGGTGTAGCCATATTTTCTTCTTTCGTTTCAATAGTCTATCGCATTTGAGGACGCCGGCCGAAAAAAGGTATACAATAGAATGGGGGAAAAGAGGATCAATGTCCCCTTTTGTAAGTCCCAAAAAATTGAAGTTAAAAATGAAGCTATCGTGAGTCAAGGCCTAGTGGGGTTTAGAAGAAAACCAAGCTCCCCGTTACCGTTCCAAAATCTAGTGTTGTCCCAGCCAGAAAGCTCCTCGAAGAAGAAGCTACTAGTCACCGAAAGACCACTGCGATCTGTCGTAAACGGGTCGTACAGCAGATACTATCTTTTTTTTCCCGTGGTGGATGTCGGTTTGTTGTAGAATGAAGCAAGAAAGAATGAAAGAATTGAAGTGTCAAGAAAAAGCCACAGGATTCTGCCATATCAAGCCACAATAAACAACTGGGAAAAAAACACAGACACGCCACCTCAGCGGCTATCGCGGCTAAATCCCACCTCTTAAGCTCTTCCGCTTTCAAACTCCCCCAAAACCTCCAATTGCAATTGCATTTGTATTTCCGTACATTGTTACCAAAAGCCAAAAGTATAACACCTCAATCTCATATGATATCTATATCCTACATGGTTTTAGCACACTTCCAAGTCTAGTTCTAAAGATATCATTCAACCCATCATACTGTTGCTTTTGACTAATCCGAGTCGTTCAATTCAAGTTACATCAGTATTCATACATATCATTTGAATTTACGAAGAGCGCAACTTGAGAATCGACAAGGAAAGACGCTTTGAAAGTACTGCATTACATGCTTCCAAACCGCGGTAATTAAAGCTTAAGAAGGCTAGAAAGTTACTATCAAGGACTACCGGAAACCCGGAAGGGGAAAAGGGAACAATGCCAGAAATACAATACCGCGAAAACCCAGTCGACGAAGACACAAAACGTCAATTCGACACCAAAGAGACCTCAAAATTCTACGACCCTTGTCAAGACGCTGCAAATAGGTCTCTCAAATGTTTAAGAAGGAACATGGGAGATCGGGAGATGTGTACCGATTATTTCCAGGCTTATAGGGATTGTAAGAAGAAATGGGTGCGTTTTCTTTCCTCCCAGTCCTTTTGAAACCACAAATTTCCTTCATTTAGATTCCTAAAGGCATAGATATACATTCGTTGGATCGTAAAGGCTAAAATGTTTACTTACCTATGTATATCTCGTCAATATTTTAGGTTGAAGAAAGAAAAACCGAACGCTGGAAGAAGGCCATGGGATCCCTAGGCTTCAAAATTGGTGACGACAGTCCCGAGAGCTCCTCGTCTTCTTCTTCAGCTACTGCGGCTTCTGGTAGCACCACCACTGGTGGAGAGAAATAAAAAAAAAAACATCATTAAAGATAATACCTTCATCCCACCGGATGTAGTCCTGCTGTACTCCCTTGCCAGCCTGGAGGGCGGGATCTCTATAGCCCTTTTCGCCGCCTGAAAGATATCGACACTCTTGTCCGGAACAAGTACCCGCACCCATCCTTCTTCCCCAAATTGTATGAATACCGACACCACTCCCTCATGTACTTTATATATATCCACAGGCGTTCTAGGAGCGATTTATCTTTCAGTCCAAAACCACCCAGATCTTCTGACGTAGCTATCTACATATTTTCATAATTAAAATCTAAATATGTATAATCTAAAACCGAGTGTAATGACGACGCGATGATGACGACGTCAAATATCGATTGACGAAACAGGTAGGTAGGTACGTAGATACTAGGTATATAGGTAGATATCAAAAACAAAAGGAGTATTCTTATAAACCTCCCTCAAGCTTCCATACCTTCCATCCATCCATTTCCTCATCGATAGGTATCAAAAGCAGCTAGTTATTTATAAACATGCACACACAAATGCATACGAAGAGATAGAAAAAGAAGCTGCGGTAACCCAAGCCGGGTATTCATATTCAACGAAAAGACAGGAATATATCAACTTATGTATATATATATAAAGAAAAACTATATGATTTTTTCAGTAGGTGTGATAGTGCACTGGGTATCCAAAACAAAAGAAAAAAATAATTAAAATAGAAACGCGGTAAAGAAACATGGAGAAAGGAAAGGAGAAAGGTAAAAAAAAAAAGAAGGGAGGAGGTGCTGTTATATATATATGGCGATAGAGAGAAGATGAGAGATACTTTCGAAGAGGAAAAGAGAAACTTATGAAAATACTCATTACAACATAATATAGGAAAAAAAGGACCTATAAGCCAGAACTAAGCAACGAGTACTGTTGTGCTTGTCTGTTAAAAGAGAATTAGGAAAAAAGGAAAAGGGAAAAAGCGAGGTAGTAAAGTAACGAATGTTGCAAACAATCTATGCGCAATGTAAAGAGAAAGAAACTCGCCGGCAATATCAACCTCATGAATACTCGATGCCGACAGAAATGAAATGAATCAAAAAGAAGAAAGGAAGAACGAATGTCTCGCTAATAACAATGAAGTAGAAAGGAAAGGGGGGGAATCCATAAAAGGAGGATGTTATATCAAACCCAAAATCACCTTTTTGCTATAATAATAGTTCCAATTCAAACTCCCCATCAGGCTCCTAGGAATCCCCCAAAAACGGATGTACAATATGAAGAGGTAAATAGGGTATCCTTCGCCACAATAATAGTAATAAAAAAGTGCGTTACGCCGGCTGCTTCTCCAACTTCCTTCCTCTCGGTTCCTCGACATCTGGAACATCACTCCTATCACTCCTTATCCGATTCAAACTCACGTCGTCCCTGCAATCCCCGTCTGTATTTCCAACATCGCTTCCCTCCTCTTTGATAAACACAACCTCTTCATGCTCCCCTATAATCGGTGAAAACTCTGCAACTTCCTCAATTTCACATTCGTCTTCATCCTCCTCCTGTATAGCATCGGCCTGCGCGCCAGCCGAACTGGTACTCGCCCGTTTACTCGCTGAATGCCGCCGTCTCCCTTGCGCAACACTGGGTGATGAATTCCTCGCATGGCTTAAATTTAGGTTTGGCCCTTTAAACGCCGTTTTCTTCCTCCTCGCGAAAGCAACTGATTCTTTATTAAACACTGCCGTCTCATTGAACGCGTCGACCCCAGTGCCTTGTCGAACAAGCCGTACATTTGATGGGAAACTATTCGTCCTCGGTGTCGTTGCTACAACTTTTACGCCGGACGCCCTGGGACTCCTCGGCGACGCCAGCTGAACAGAGTTGACCGAACTTGAGGATGCAATCGAAGAAGCTTTAGAATGCGACTTGTGAAATGATCGTACTGAAGACAACGACGAGGACGTCGACTTCCTACCTCCCAATCCACGACCTGACATTCTCCGCGCTGAATGCGGAGTCAACGGTGATGGTGATATCGACTGGCGTTTCCTTTGCTGCGCCGTTACTAAGCTCGGGGGAACATGACTCGATGATCCGCCCTGCCTTGCCGTATCTCTCCCTCTAGACCTAGCATCCCGCTGTCGATCGTTTTCTCTGAGCATTTCAAGCACGTTCCCCGCCCGTGTACGAACGCTCCCACTTTGATGCGAACTATGCAAACCCCTTCCTTGATTAAGGTTTGACTGCGAGGTACTTCCATTCTGCAGCCTGGGCTGATATTTCGCATCACTAGCAGTCGACGCCCGCCTCGTGGAATGGAATAACCAGTGCTTCAAAGCAGCTAGAGTAGTCAAAAAATGGATCTTTCGTTGATTCGGCCGTCTTGTTGAGGCTGACGACGGGAAAGTCGGATCACGATTTAAATCTGGTGACGACATGATCTGTATCTGACTCTGATTCGACGGGTTCCGCTGTAATTTATTGTATGGATGTCGATCTTTCGGGTTCGGGTTCGGAGGTTGCTGTGTCGGTCCTGCAGGCACTATTGGGGTTTTAGCTGAACCGCTTCCATTATCATCGACTAACGTGAAAATTAGCCGCGGAGGAATTTCTCTGAGCTACAGAAAGAGTCATCAAGGGACCTACGTGATGCTGAAGAAGCCTTAACGCTAATATTGGCCCATTCAGCCTCGGCTTCTTCTCTCGGTGGCTTAAGGAAGTCAGCAGCAGCAGCAGCAGCAGCTAGCATACTCCCCGCACTAACTCGCCGGCTCTCACTTCGTCGCTTTTGACGCCGTTTTTCCTTACGTAGTTCTTTTTCTATCAGGAGGTTCCACCAGCCGGCTAGACTGTCACATTTCTGGGCGAGGACGCTTTCAACGACAACCTCGGTTTGAACTCCGGCGGATTTCATGCGGTCTAAGGTTTCCTTTTCTATCCGGGTGCTAAAGAGAGCTGGTTGTTGCATTGCAAGGATATTCTTCTGCTGGTTTCCATAGTGCATGAGGAATGGGTGAACAAGGATTTCTAGTAGTGTCGGCCGCGAGATAGGCCGTTTCGAAAGGAGAGATTTGATCAAAGCAACAGCATCTAACCCCAAAGTTTAGCTTGAAGTACTAGCAAAGGAGGTGCAAAGTGTCCTGACCTGCATCTAAATGCTCTGGATATTTTGGTTCTTCGTTCAATATCTTGAGCTTTGTTGATGTCTCATCATCCTCATCGAACGGTAATTCTCCGCATAGCAAGGCATACAATATGACACCTAACGACCAGACATCGACAGCTAACAAAGAAATTAGCCAGATTGAATGTTTCAGTGATTAGTCGCAGAGGTAATTTACCCTGCCCAAGGTACTTCTCCCCTTTAACCATCTCAGGCGCCGAGTAGCACACAGTCCCACAAAACGTCTGCAGTGGCCGAAGTCTCTCATACTCTCGTGTGAAACCAAAATCACAAAGCTTGACCTATGCCACAGTAAAACCCCACCCATTAGTATCTAACCCCACATACCACAAAAAGGATGCTTATAATAGGGACATACATTCTCATGCCTATCTAGCATAATATTCTCCAATTTGAGATCCCTATGCACACAGTTTTTTTGGTGCACATAAGCCACTGCGCCTACTAATTGCGCGAATATTTTCTGCGCCGTTTCGGTCGACAGCCTTCCATTTTTTATCAAATAATCGTACAACTCTGCACCGGGACAATATTCCAATACCATCCATACTAATGATTCTGTAACGACAACTTCGTATAATCGAACGATATGGGGGTGTATTAACTGCCGGTGGTGATGTATCTCCCTGGCAAGGTTTGGATCGCTTTTCTGTGCGGATTTGAGAACAACCTAGGTGATCCAATCAAATACCCCTCGCCAAAGCCGCCGAGGTAATGAGTTTATTAGCAATATGTTTTTTTTATTGTTTTTTTTATTATTATTATTATTATTATTATTATTTTTTTTTGAAAAATAAAAAAATATCGTGACGGATGTTGCTTTCTAAGGCTGAGAAAATTGAACGGGAAAAAAGTGGCATACCTTCGATCCATTGGTAAGCTTATGTGTCGCCAGGTAAACATTCCCAAACGACCCTTTCCCAATTAACCGTCCAAGAGTATAATTTCCTACGTGTCTCAATTCAGGCGACGAGAATTCGCTATAATGATGGGATGCACATTCTTAGCTTTGGCTATCGGCAATATGTAACGGGAGTAATGTGTTGGACAGGACTGAGAGAGTGTTCAAGGGGCTTGAAGATGAAGATGAGGATGATGGTGATGAAGGAGCATAAGGAGGAGTTTGCGCATACGTTAGGAGTTCGTTATACGACTCTGCTAGCTATTCGGATGGAAGGCATAGTTGTTAGTTATAGTTGCTCCACTTAGAGAAAAGAAGTGCGACAACGAGAGTGATGTAATGGTGTGAGTGTGTGCACCGAACTAAACTCGATGTATGTGTAGGGTGGTGCTCTGACCTTTGTCTTCTGGGTCTGCCGTTCATTTCTCGACTTTGCCTGCATAGGGACGTTGGTGACGTCCAAGAGCGGTCGTCCCTGGAGGTAAGAAGTAGCGAACGGCTCGCCAGTTTTACTGATTATATATATCTACTCGGTATACGATAAAAGGGAGGAAACGGGTGTATTTCTTCTTTCTTGCTTTCGGATTGTCGAGCAATAGTTATGTTATAATGACGAAAGAGATGTCGTTGAACGTGGAAATCGAATGGCAAAGAGACGTGCGACGGGGTATCGGAAAGGAACCAAAATAGCGACGGCTGCAGGTAAGGCTTAGGCTATACATAGACAGAATAGTAGGAACGAGATGAGTAAGAGGAAGAGAGAGAGAAAAGATGACCGTACGTCGGAGGATGGTGGCGACGCGGGGGTGGATGCAATGTACTGTGCAGTGGATGTATGTACGTTCGGGGGGTGGAATTATAGGAAGGGATCCAGACAGCGGGTGAAGGCGGGAGGGTTTGACAATTACAAACGGGCGCACAGTCGAATCGAATTGGAAGAGACTATTGAAAACAACACGCTAGCGCAGGGCTATATTGAAGGATGTATTACATGTTAGTATTTTGTAAGCATCGATGAGCGCGAGTTTGACTAGAATATATCGATTGGATTGATTGGATTGTTGGAGGTATATTGTTTTTCAGGAGAGGAGGGGGGAAAGGAAGGCTCATGAGCGGGGCCGTTGAGACTCCTCTTCCTCTTCCATTTTTCGGGGAATGTATAAAACAAAAAAAAAAAAAAAAAAAAAAAAGCTTACATACATATATGGATGTCAGTATAGTATCACACGATATAGATACTTAAGTATATTGTATCTTTGTCGACGAGATCAATACCGATATGGTTTTGTTAATCTCTTCGCAGAGGTTCAAAGATCAATTGAGTCTGATATCAAAAGTGCCAAAGCTTGACAGGTCTTTTTGTCCCCTTAAACGATCGTTTAATTTCCCCGATTTCTCTCTCCCTGACCAGGTCCAGGCATGAAATCTGGCGATCCCCTCTTTGGGACAGGCCGTTTCGACCCACTTTTGCGGGAGGCATTCGAGCCAACCAACCAATCGTTGGTAAGGGAAAATCAAGTCACGTGGCACCAGGGTGGGAGATTCTGGAACACACGGAAGGGCGGCTTTTCCCTTTCCCCTGAACTGGGGGATTGATGGTGGTGGTCAGGCCTTTGAGGCTAAAAACGTTCTGTTCTGTTAAGTTCGAGTCGCGTGCATGGTAAAAAAAATATAAAATATAAAAAAAATACCAGTTCGTTCATTCTTTTGGGATGGGACATTTGAGTATACGTATCATCATAGTTCAATTTTGATAAAAGAGAAGGCAGCTGGTAGTTCTAATTTAAAACAGTCAAGTTAGATTGATTGCATTTGACAATGTCAATGCAATACGACAACCGGAAACTATGAGTTCCGGGTCTCGTTTTCCCTCCCAATGAAAATAGCCTGTCTCTCTTCGCGAATGGTTGAATATATAGAGAACCAGCCTATGATCTCAACAAAGGCCCAGCTAAACACCCAATTGGTTTTGAGAGTTGATAATCCAACGGTAAAAAAGGTCTTTTGGGCTTGAGGGTTCGCGTCATATACATATGTCAAGCACGCGAGCGCGAAGAAGAATGTAACTCTGATGGGAGCTACGTTTTTTAAATCACAAATTTATGCATATCATTTGTTAATTAGAGGGTGATACCAGAAGAGTACGGGATGCTGTTTGAGAGATAAAACATACCTTGGCCGCCCCAGTGGATGTAGAAGGGGATACCGTCGATGCTAGCGGCTATGAGATCACTACAGCCGATGAAGCCGAATAGGAGACCGAGAAATGATGACACGGGCCGGACGGCAGCTGACGAGAATGACACCACTTCGTCCTGCAGAATTATCAATGAGAATAGAAACTCAGAGAAGAAGGAGAAAAAGAAGAAACTTACGATTCCCATCGCCTGGCCGAGAAGGACGACGACACCTTGCTGGTCCAGCAGCTTCGGTTGGAAGATCAAGTGGTAAGCTATGGCCAGATGCAAGGCCGAGACTGCTCCAAGTCAGCACGCATAAGCTTTGATATCATGTATATGTATATACTTGAGTACTTGAGTACTTGTATAAGTATAAGCATAAGCGTATGTAAATGTATGACATACTTATTCGGATCTGCGTCGAAGCGGATACGAGGCCCATATTGCGTCTTGAGCTTATCAGAGTATTTTTTTTTGTCTTCTCCTTGCCGTGTTTCTATTCCGAGCTACTAGGTAGTTGGGTGGGGGTGTATCAGCAAGTACTTAAATCCCTACGTACTTATATAAGTAGGAAGTAAGTATATAAATGGAATTGAGTCTGGATGGGTCGATGTCTGGTTTGAATTCCGCAGGGCTAGCTAGCTGGTTAGTGGTTGCAGTTGCAGTTGCAGTTGACGGGAAGTTAAAGTATGTGACAGGTAATATACATACCTCATACACGTCTGGGCTGAGTTGGGACGGGAGGGATGGACAACAACGTGTTGTGGCGTCGTGCACCTCGTAGAACCTCAATTCGGGGGGTTGATGACTTACTAATCCAACTGCAATTGTCGCCCGCCCCCCTCAAAGTTTAATAGAATGTATAATGAAAACTAACCCCCACCATTTGCAGGTTGGTCAATTATAGCCTACTACGTAACTTCAGACTTTTTGGTTAGTTAGAGAGTGTGTATGTGTATATAAGATCAATGCACGCGGGGTTCGTGGGTGGGAATCGAATTGGACTAACAGAAAAGTCAAACCGGGGTCCATCTGCAAGTTGCCCCTCCATGGACCCAAACCCTCTAATAAAGTATGTATCAATTTCGAGTCTAGCCGTAGACGACGTATGTACTTATGTTATGTACTATACTATGTATGCACAGAATGAGCCGTGTTTGTATGTAATTTTATATACTTACTTAGTATAGTACCGACCCCGCCATGCAATGGCTAGCAATAACCAATTCCAGTTCCACCTCCACTTCCAGGCTGGCTGGCTGGCTGGCTGGTTGTCTTATCGTTATCGGGCCCTCCCTCCCCTCCCTCCCTCCCCCTCCCTTTCCCTTTCCCTTTCCCTTTCCCTTTCCCTTTTCCCTTTTCTAAGTTAAGCTTCCCCTCCTTCTTCCCTTCGATAATTGGTACTTCCCTCAATCCTCGGTAACCAAGTATGCTGGCTATTGGGTACAAACACTAGCCTCTAAAGCATATGTATTGACAACGGACATACATACTTGCCCGCCTACATCATACATATATGACATACATGATACATGATACATGATACATATAATAAGAAGTAGCTGTTGCTAGGTGTTAATAATATACCAAAAGATCGATTGTAGTGCGACTGTTGGTGAAACTGCCTAGGGAACTGGCAGTGCAGCGGGATGCGCTGTCTAGGGCGTCTAATTTGAACCTGATCTGCCAATTGCCATAGCTACTAGCGTTGATAATTATGCAGTAAATATATACTACTTATCCAATCCAATATTATTTTAGTACTTACTTAGGTAGGGTCGGTCGGTCAGTGCAGTCAGTCAACAGCTAAGTAGGTACCAGCTAGTCCATCACCCCTCCATCCATATCTCCCCTCCATCTCTGTCTCCTGGGCTCTTAATTAGTAGTATTGATATCGATCTTCTTCTTCTTAATTAATTAATTCTTCCACCTGGCTGAATATTCTCTTCCTCTTCCTCTTCTTCTCTTCCTCTCTTCTCCTCTCCTCTTCCTTCTAGCGAATAAAACATAATTCGGAGTCGACCAGCCCAGGCAATCCGAACCACCACCACTACAACCACCACCACCAGCAGCACCACCATTGCTTGCGACAATCAAACATACAGCACTAACTACAGCTCAGCTCAGCTCGACTCGGTTCAATTTAGTTCAGCTGTACAGTAGTAGTACTGACAAGGCGGTCCGAAACAAACAGAAGGGCAGGCAGATAGGTAATAGACAAACAGACAAGTACAACGTCGGATAAAGTATTTTGTTCCTGTGCCTTGTGCCTGTTTCTGATCTCCAATCTCTGGTTTCGGTTTCTGGTTTCTGGTTTTTTGGTTCTGTTCTGTTCCACACGGCCGGTCGACCTTCCTCTTCCTTTCCTTCCTTCTGCCTTCTGCCAAAAGCAGTTTAACCAAAAACAACTTCCCGCTCTCTCTTCCCACCAATTCCAACATCACACAGTCCTCACACAGTCTTCTGGACCCCAATCCCCGCTTCGTCGCCCTGTCGCTGTTTTTGGATTCGTGACTTGTACCGTACTGTACGGTCACCGGCGACACTGCATTCTATTGGACTGTAACTTAGCTGTGCTTAGCTGTACATCCTCGGTACGGGAACTCAATAGCCTCTGTTCACCCCACCACCGATCTTAATATAAAATTCTCACGCTTGTCGGTTCAACAACAGCGACAGTAACTGCCCCTCGGTACTTCCCCCGCCTTTTTTTCCTTTCGTGCCACCGGAACGGCGTTTACGGCCTCGTTGGATAGCCAACGACGACCAAGTATGGAAAAAAGGCCGTCCCATGACCCTCTAGGCCAAGGTCGTGGCAAGATGGAAGTAACCGACCCGGAAACATACTACACCAAGCAGAACATCATCGGTACGCCTCCTTTTTCTTTCCTTCTTTTGTTTTGACAAATAACTTGAAAATTGACGTTTCTCCGTCTACAGGTGGAGGAAGCTTTGGCAAGGTCTTCAAAGGGTAACCTATTTTCACATGAAAACAAATAATAGAAAAAGATGTTAGTGTTAATATAATCCACCTCTACCAGTGTCGACAAACGAACCGGCCAATCTGTCGCTATCAAGATCATCGACGTCGAAAACGCCGAAGACGAAGTCGAGGATATCATTCAAGAGATAAACATTCTTTCCGAACTCAATTCCCCTTATGTCACCAAATACTATGGCTCATACCTTAAGGGATCCGATCTCTGGATCATCATGGAATACTGCTCCGGCGGAAGCTGTGCAGACCTCCTCAAACCCGGCCTTATTCCGGAAGATTACATTACCATCATTATTCGGGAGCTGCTCATGGGATTGGAGTATTTACACAGCGATAACAAGCTACACAGAGATATTAAAGGTATATCGTCCTGCAAGGTCTGTATATACGTTGTCTGGTAACACGCTGATGAGTTTCATATAGCCGCGAATGTGCTACTGGGATCAAATGGCCAGGTCAAGCTTGCCGACTTTGGAGTCTCCGGTCAGTTATCCGCTACAATGACCAAGAAGAACACCTTTGTCGGTACACCTTTCTGGATGGCCCCAGAAGTCATCAAACAAGCCGGGTACGATCAAAAGGCAGATATTTGGTCGCTCGGCATAACAGCCCTCGAACTTGCCAACGGAGAACCCCCATACGCCGATATACACCCGATGAAAGTCCTCTTCCTGATACCGAAAAACCCTTCTCCAGCACTCGAGGGCGATTTTACCCCTCTATTTAAAGAATTTGTCGATCTTTGTTTGAAGAAAGACCCCAAAGATCGCCCTACCGCCCGAGATCTGCTCAAACATCCCTTCGTTCGGCGTGCGAAGAAGACCACCTACCTCACCGAATTGATCGAACGACACGAACGGTGGGCAATTGAACATCCTAGTGGTACAGCCGACGAGGATGAGGTCATGGAAGAGCCGCCGAAGGAGGAGGACGCACAAGACATGTGGGATTTCGGTACCGTAAGACCCGTTAGAGGGCCTAAAGAAGGCTTGAAATCTATCTCCACGGCCGCAGCCAAGATGCGAAATGCTCGGTCTCAGATGCAGCAATTGCAGAAACCTGCCGAGCCAGTGCAACAGAATCTACCGGCTTCAAACGTTAAGGAAAATATACAGGGTTCGCCTCAACCACAAAACTTTCGAGACTCTGGTTATGGATCCGATCCTCGATTCAAGCATCCAACCCCTCCTCAAAACCAGATGCATGATATGCAGCAGCAGCAGCAGCAGCAGCAGCAGTTGCATATGCAAGCTGCGCAGCAACAGCAGGTCCCGCAACATCATCAATTTGCTCAGCAGGTCCCGCAACATCAACAACCCCCGTCTCATTATTCGAGTCAAGATATGATGATTGATGATGACGAGGCGGCTTCACGGGCGGCTCTAGCGCAGGATCTCTCTTGGATGAGGTTGAGTGAATCTGGTATTCCTCAATCATCAACAAATCAGACTCCTTCTACATTTGGGGCCCGGCCCGACCAGAAACCTCAGCTTGTAAGATCTTATTCTGCTGATCAACGGCAACCTATGTCACCTGGAATGCCCCAGCAGCAGCAGCAGCAGCAGCGCCATCACTCACAGCAGGCACAACAACAGCAACAGCAACAACAATTCAGACCTGCGAACCAGAACTACGGTTTCCAACCACAACCTCCTCTGAGGTCACTGACGGACCAGGATTCGCCTTTGAACCGATCGTACCATCAAACTAGGCCGCTCCAGCCAACTCGACCACAAGAACCTGAGGCAGGTGCAGAGCATGAAGTTACAGCGCTTGAGGGTGTGATCCTACCCGCTCTAGAGGCGGCACTAGGGCGGAGAACTCACAACTTACAAAACCAAATCAAGCGCTCCTCAGCATCCGCTCAAAGTTCGCCAGCACTCAAAGCGGCTGCCGAGAAAGTAATTCAGCAACGGCAACAAGCCCATGAGAGAGTAAGAAAACTGGCGATCAAAGTAGCCAGTGTCTTCAAGGAGATCGAGGAATGGGACACAGCTGCTCCTGTGGGAATGGGAAGCGAAGTCACAAGCTTTCTGGAAGGCTTCCTCGAAGAAATCCTAGTCAGGGTTGATGCAGAAGAAGGAGATATGTACGAGGAAGAAAATACGAGCCCGAATCCCCAGCCGGCGCCAGCGCCCACCGGTAATTGATCTCAATATTTGCATCACACGTAGGATGCAATGAAGTAAGGAAATTTCTTTAGTGTGCAGGTTTGAAGCATTCTCTTTTTCACTTCTGCTTAGCGGCAATACCCTTGTGTATTTTATGAAAGTCATGAGCGATTGAGATCGGAATTGCATGCGATTTTCCATGAGCGAGACCAACGAAAAAAGGAAAATATTGGCAGTCTTTTCTTGCGTGTAACCTTTTTCTGTCTTTTTTTTTCTTCTCTCTTCGATTTTGGAATGACCAACTGGGAAAGATTATTAGCGATTGGTGTGGCGAAGAGCGATAATGTTTTTGGGGGCCATGTATTAACATCCCCCGTCCCCTTCATGAACCATATTTTCTTTGAGGGTATTTGGCTACCCTGTGTTTACACACTCCTGTGGACATGAAAATGTTTACCTTTACCAAGAAGTCTTGAGGCTTCCTTAGCTCCCTAACATTCGTGATATAGATGGGGGTCATGCACACTGACTTTGTGGAAACTTGAAATGTTGGAGCAACTGCAATTGCATTACCAATCCCTGATGATATTATATCATGAATGAATATATTGAAATTTATTTTTATTTATTTTTATTCTCTTGCATTAGATCTGGCTACATAGGATCTGAGGACAGGATCATGCCATGTCCGCCCTCCTTTCCGCTGGCCGCCTGTTCGAGAAGAATTTTGGCCCATTTGTCCATTCCAGTTGAAAGGCATTTTATCATCTGCCCCCTTGCAGCAAAATATACCACGTTCTCAACGCAGAAACAACATACACCCAACATATTCACATTTATTGCGTTTAGCGAGCGTTCCGTGCTTATTTCCTTTCCTTTTCTCTTTCCCCTTCCCCGCATCCATTCCGATGCCACACACCCCCTTTGAGCTTTTTTTTAAAGGTTGAATTGAATTTTGGTTAATTGGATTGAATGAAGCTATGTTCAATCCAGGCAAATGAAGAAAAAAATACATACGTCAAGAAAATTTTGGATATTTGGAAAAGTCGAGTTCGAAGTATCCATTCCACAGGGTGATGTATGTGTGTATGCAGAAGACATTCGAGTAGCATGTGCATGTGCACTGTACATACGAAAGAAATGGAGCAAGCCCAATCATCGGCACGGGGCCTTCTATCCGTATGGATCTTAACGATGGAGAAAGGGAAGGAAAGTCCTTATAAGGACGATAGAGATCCTTCCCAATTACTGTTCTTTTCTCTTCACCATCCAACAGCTTCTACATTCACTCACTCACTACAATCCTTACGATCGCTTCCACTCATTCGAGCTTTCCAGCTTCACAAAGTCACTCTTTTTTTTGAAACGATAATCAATCTTTAAAGAACCTTCTTTAAAAACCCACACTCACTTTCAAAAATGGTTGCCTACAAGAAATCCACCACCACCCTTCTCTTGACTGCCACCCTGGCCGCCGCCCAAAACGGCACTTTCCCTTATGCCTCACAGGTAATGGAAGAAACCGACATCACGTACACCACCGTAATCCCCTCCCTCTGCGCCACAGGTCTAGTCCCCCATACTTACACCATCAAACAACACTGCGACTACGCTCCTTGCGAGCAACCCGCAGTCCCCTACGGTTGGGAAGTAAAGACCAAATGGTGCGAAGAAGGCTGCGGTCCAGAACCAACCTTCGTCCCAGTCACTGAATGCCCCTGGGAAAACCCAGCCCCGACTCCAGCATGCTATGGTGAAGGTTGTTATAAAGACGAAGTCGTCTGCCCGGAGGGAAATACTTACACCAACTGGTATCACATGCCTACCCCGGAGCCAACTCCATACACTCCACACCCAGAGCCAGAACCAGAGCCGTCCTACCCACCAAAGTGTGAAGGAGAGGGATGTAACCCCCACCCGGAGCCAAAGCCTTACCCACCACCAGTCCACCCAGAGACCAAGCCTTACCCACCACCAGTTCATCCTGAGACCAAGCCATACCCACCACCTGTCCACCCAGAGACTAAGCCATACCCACCACCAGTTCACCCAGAGACTAAGCCATACCCACCACCAGTTCACCCAACCCCAGCTCCTGAGCCAACTCCATATGTTCCAAGTGGTTGCGAGGGCCCCGAATGTCCTGGATTTGTCACCAAGGTCTACCCCGAGCCAGAGGTTCCATGCAACACCACCGTTCCTCCACCACCAATGTACACCGGTGCTGGTGTTAAGACCGCTGCTTCCGGTGTTTTGGGATTCATTGCTGTTGCCATCGTTGCTTTCTTGTAGATGGTCCCCCCCTTTCTTCCTTCTTTTCTTTTTTCCCTATTCCTTATTATATATATAGAATAGGATTTTTTTGGAAAATGAAAAAGGGTATACGGAATCAACTATTCGGTTTAACGCAATGCATATGTATCCTTACAAACTACTCTTCGCCTCATGTACGACAACAACCATATACCATATATATATCCTTTATAGACAATAGACAATATAGACGGATAACAAGATACATACAATTGTCCAGTTTATTTGTTCATTAATACTTTACCCCCTCTATCCGCCCCCCTAAATTGTAACTAATATAGACTTTTTTGATTTTTCAGTTATTCTTTCTTCTGTAGAGTTTGTAGTAGTAGTGGCGTGTGTGGAATATAAAACCTATCCTTTTCGAAAAACAACATTTCCCTGACGTTTATTATTAATTAAGTGATTTGGAAGGATATAGCATTGACGAGCTACTAACTGTAGCTAGCTATAGACTAGATGAATACTTTATTAGCCTACCGCTGCCGCGTAGAGCTACAAATCTTATCACACGATTAGATCTATTTGCCGACGATACTATGCTGATTTTATCTTGGTATACTTCGGTAAATATTTATACCGCGCATCCTTCTTTTGGTGAGCAGCACCGTATTAGTTAGGAATCATATTTCTACAAAAACCTGTTTCAGAAAAGTCACTTCCTAATGGCAACTTTTATTTCACAATCTATTGATCTAGCTTAAAAAGAGAAGTGTAAGGATACGCATGTTGATAACAAGACACAGAGTATACTATTCGTTTCATATATTATTGTCCTATAAACTCATACAGCTATAGTTGTTTCCACCTAGAAGGTTGAATGTGATACATAATCCAATATATAGATATAGATATGAAACGGTTTGTTTCTTTTGATTGTGAGAATATAATGTTGATATCATATTGTCCACGAGGTTTGTGCATCTAGCTTATAAGCTTATAAGATGGGATATATCTAGACACAAAAAATACATAGTCAGTTGTTCTAGATCTTGAGTACTATAGAGAAAAAACATCTTCACTTGAATAAGTTTCAAAACTAGGATACGAACCCCCCTCTATCTGTGCTGACTGAGGTAGCATTACGATACACACTACTCCAAATCAATATATCGTTTGCTCATCAATTACAACCTCTATAGTATCCCACCCACATCATCACGGGCCTAAAAACAAAGAAAGATACATAAACCTAGGTCAGCTAAGTACCCTTGTACCCATCGCTATAAGGACCAAAGAAAATAAATAGGATAGTCTAGATTAAAATAAAAAATGGCCAAACCCTCATCCTCCAAACCCTCCTCACCACCACTACCAGATTCCCCCTACAGACCTCGTATCAAAAGATCTATGATATGGCACCCGGGACACTGTACCAGAGGCTTCATAGTCACAGATTTTTACGGCGATCTTAACGCTTCGATTATAGAACACGGAGAAGTTATAAAATGCTGTGGACAGTTTTGGAAGGCGAATAGACAGTGTACGGTGGGGCAGGATGGTACTGATGATCCTGAAGAGCCGGTTAGTTCCCCCCTCCTTCGATATATACAATGATGTGCATGCCTACGTAGTTTGTATGATTTTTATAAGAATAGTAGATTTTAATCAATCTGGTATGACTGATGTGTGATATATAGCATCCGATCTATAAACGCTACAGACCATCAACAATAAACGACATCGAGGTATCAACAATAGCAAGGCCACTAAACCGTTGTCAATGTCAACCATCTCATAGCACAACTGTTCCGAATCTCACTACAAAGTCAGCTACATCTATAACATCTACGTCCATGGCCACCTCAACGAATCGTAATAATAAACCCACCTTATCCCCAACCCTACCATCCCAACGTTCACAGACACCTTCCCAGTTCCCTATTACCTCCGCAACTTACAGTCCTACGGAGTATATCGCCCCAGAAGGTTCATATCCGCGTCCGCAGCAGCCAACAGTTCCGCTACCATCATCATCGCGGTCAGCATACCGTGATCCTGTGGTTGCGTTATCAAGTAGATTACCATTGGAACGGACGAAAGGCCATGTAGCCGAGGGGGTTGGGAGTGCGCTTGGTAAGTTTAAAAGGGCGAAGGAAAAAGAAGGTAGCAAGTCACCTACTTTTTGGGGATGTATTGGTGAGGATGGGGGGAAGAGTCCGGTTGGTAGGGAGGTTGGCTGTCAGCATGTTTTTTATTGTAGTCATTGTGGGGGGAAGAATAGTGTTTGGAGTGATAGGAGGGGTTCTGAGGGGAGAGAGTAGTTGGCCTTGGTTTATGTTTAACAATTCCTAGGTGGTTGCTTTATCAGCGTCATTAAAGGATTTGGTAGTATATATTCCTAGAAAAGTATCGTGGGTATACAAAATGGGAACGACTCTAGGTCAAATTTAAAACTCATCATCACAACCTCAAGCTTAACACCGTTATTGTGTAATGAATGCTATCGTGTGCGGGCGCCAAAGGCCCAAACATGAAATGCTTGCGAAATCCAGAGTTGCAAGCATGTACAAGCAGGCCCACGATCAGGGATGCCAGAAACATTCCTATAGACTAAGATATACATTTATACCTTTCAAAACTAGTGAGGTCGAGATATATATATTCCTGCGCGCCACATTTGTGTATACCTATACGTCTTCCGTAGTCCCTGAACCAGCTTTCTTAAGATTTGCCATTCATTTTAAGACGCCCTATGCTTAAAAAGCATAGATATATATATCAAAATTTGAAAAAAAAAAAAAAAGAGATGGGCCGTCCACCCGCAAAAGAAACAATCCAAAGGCTCGTAAAATCAACATGGGACTATGTATCCCCTCTAACCCCCGCCACCTCCCGTCCACTTCATGATTTTTATAACAGCCTTGATATCCTAGATAGTAGCGCCGATATTACGACAACCCCACGCCAATCTGAAGAAAGTATTGAAGATGATATGATAATTGTAACAATCACTACTTCGAGAGCTATTGAGAAAAAACTAGTGCCCGAGGGGACAAAGTTTACTTACGGTGATATGGTTTTGAGGTCGTATGCACCCAAGGATAGGGATTTAGCAGAGGTTGTAGAGGAGTGGAGGAAAGTTGGAGATGTGATTGTTAGGAAGGTTGGGGGTAGGGAAGAGGAGGAGGAGAAGTTTGGATACTCTGGGTGAGTGGGTCTTATAGAGCTGTAGGTTTGTAAAGTTACTTAGTGGTATAGGCTGTTACCCCTCCCACGAGACTAAACTTTTGGTCTATGGTGGTACAAAGGTGATTTATAGAGTTTTTCTTTGTTCTCGATTTGGAACATTGATGTCCGTTTTGAGGACGGAAGTCGGATCGACGTGTGGTATTTTGGGGGGTTAGACGACAGATCAACACACTTGGGGGGGTAAGTCGTGAAGTTGGTTATATACTCTGTGACCTTCCTTGAGTTATACTAAGGGATTCTAGATTACTACTTAGGATGCATTTAGTTTCTGTGAAGAGAAAGGGGGACAGAATGATATGTCATTTTATTGACGTGACGAGAGTATAGTAGCCATTGGGTGCTTACCAGATTCACCATAGCACTAGAGGTATTTTTTATTGTCATGGTTCTAAGGCTGCAGAAGTTAGCAATTCTCTACAGCTAAATTAAAAGGACCCTACAGAAGTTCGGTTACGAGCTATCTCGTAAACCAGATTTAAGGCTCTTAAAAAGACTACGAGACTAAATCTTTAACCCATAAACATTTCTCTTTTCGGTTCGGACTTTTCTCGAGCCCTCTCTTGTTTACCATCACCTTCTAACCAATTTTTGAAGATCATCACAAGATTGACTTTTATTGGAATTCTACTAACCCTTCTCATCCTTTGTTTGGATAGTCTCCTGACGATTGATACTCCCCGATCTCCAATATCTTGCGATTCTCCTAACTTTCCTTTTTCTAACCCGTATCAAATTGCCAGCCGAGTATAGTGGTAAATTCAAAAGATGCCGCCGCGACGAGTATCATCCTTCACAGGTTTCGACCGCCTCACCTCACTCTCCCGAGCTAGTTCTTCTAGCTCTGCCTCTAGTGACCGTCAGATTCGAGTACATTCGTTGCCGTAAGTTAAGCTTTTAAAATTCCTTGTTTGAAGTATTCCATTTGAGAAAGACTAAACCGAAACTGCAAATAGACCGGGTGGGCTACCCCGTGGTCTTAGACGAGTCCCTTCATGGGAATCCATTCCAGGAAGTCAACTAAACCGACGTAGTCCCAGTCCAATGCCGAGAGGCTTCGTGCTCGGCAATAATCATAGGTCTATCTCAACACCCAGTACCAACCCTGGAGCTCCCAGTGAAGGGATAATTATTTCCAGAGTCGCGAGCCTCATCGGTCAAACCACACGACTTGAATCCACTATGTCGGACTCTACTCCACCCCAAGACGAGAACGAAAATCAACAGATACTTCTTGAAAGTGATGCATACGTATCACCTACTACTAGCACTAGCAATAACATCGCTGTTAGCAACAACAGAGAGTCAGTTACCTCAAGTGACTCGGATACGGCAGGGAACAGTCTGTACAGCCTCGAAAGTCAGCAGAGGGGTGGTAGGTTGAATCTAGGTCTTTGGCAACCTGAGGAGGAAAATAGACGAAAACGGGGTGGAGGACGATATGCCAGAAGGCCGACCCTTCGATCTACGGATCGAGAGCTTCAGGAATTACTTGAAGGACCATCGTCCCCACCGCCACCACTTCCACCACAACGGCCAGAGCCATCAGTACCCCCGCAACGACAGCACTCGCCTCATCCACTACCTCCACCGGAGCTGCCCCAGTCATCCTCATCCTCGGAGGCGCATGACGCTCGTCCTACACTAGAGTATCAACCAAGAAAACAAGTTTTCGAACCATCTAGCGAAAAGGAGCTTGAAGGGCTAGAAGTAGTCGGACTACGATCAGAAGATGGCGAAAGAATATACCCGGGCAGCCATTCCAGCAGTGGGAGTTCAACACCCGAAAGGAAACCCACACCAATTCCAACCCGCGGCGCGCCCGAGGAGGCCGAGACCAGGGTCACCCGTCGACAAAATGAGCTTCCAGTCGCCATTATTCCCCAAACATCCATGGAACTAGAGAGGCCAAATTTAATCGTCAAACCAGTTCAATATTTCGAACATCCCAACAATGAACGTTTGGCTATTGAATATTATCCTCTCGGAGACGATGAGAACGACTGGACGGATGAAGAATCATGGCATTGCTCGGATGGAGAATGGCCTGATGCGTCTGAATATGATAGTGACGAGGAAGAGGATTTTGGGTGCATCGGGTTGTTTCACAAGCCATACGAAGAGATGCTAGTCGCTGGGAAAGGGTTCAACACGGTTTTGGTAGAGGAAGTTGATAACTGGCCTGTCCCTGACGAAATCAAGATCCTTGGGTATAGAGTTATTGGTCGTTTGGGAGAGGAACAGGAAGATGAAGATGAAGAGGACGAGGACGAGGACGAGGACGGAGACGAGATTGATGAGCGATCCGAGAAAAACGAAGGCCACAAACTACACAGAGAAAATGATTGGCTGCATGGTTCGGACCCGATTGATGACGATGACGAATGGGAGGATGAGTGAAACGCTCTAAATCTTGACTATACTGGAACGCTTGGTGATTGGTACGCATGTACAGAACTTCGAGAAGGTGACAGGGTTTTGACAAAAGAAATTCTAAACTATCGTTGACTATTGGACAATTACTTTTTTTTTTTTAAAAAAAAAGGGAAAAGAAACTGAAGGAGGTGTCTGATTGCTGGCCTTACACCTGTGCCTACTCGTGGCTGTTTATTAATGCGATAGAACTAATGACACGAATATTTTTTATTTAACATAGACCATTCAAAAACTTGCCTTTGTTTCGTAATCTACTTGCATGGTATTCGGTCTCGGTGCCGCTACGTTTAAAACAATAGCGGGGTATCTATGGTCAGCTACTTGAGCGGGGTGATTATGTAGGGCCAACCTCATCAATGTCAAGAACTCCTATGACTACCACGTGCATCGTATTTCGGCTGGATCCACGTCAAAAGACATAAGCTTCCTCAAGAACTCGAGAAAGGGAAAGAAAACTACAATGCAATAAAAATGCTTTTTCATGGGATTGATGTAAATCAATACTTGCCTGTATATGACTTGACCGCCCTGGAAGGAATTTAAATTGTGGAATGACTAAGATTCTCGTGCGCAGCCTGCAGAGTCCGACTTCGTGCATCATATTGGTCTGGCAGCCTGTCTGGTCGATCCAATCAGAAATATCTCCCAGGCCCGCCCACACCTGGTCGGTTGGCTAATGCAAACCAATTTAAATTAGAGGCATGATGTAAATGAGCTGCTGTGGACCCAATTGTACCTGCTGCAGCACATCGCAGGTTCGTCGAGGATGTAGGTCTCGGGTACAATATATGTGTGCGTGCGTATGTATCGCAGTCGCAAGACCCTGGAGCTGCCGGAGCTTGTTTGGTAGACACCACGGAACAGGATATTGGAACTGCAAGACGGGAGTGATGGCGTTTCGTAGGATGCATATATCGCCGGCTACTTACGTGATAACGTGGGGCCTTCGAGCGGATTTCGTTCTGCGGTCGAATTACTTGGAATTTGTGTTGTCGACGCTGTCAGACTACGAAATACCACAAGATTCAGAAGCCTGAAGCTCTATTTTATATTCATCTATGTACCTCTCATCGACATCTTCTAGGAATCCTAGCTGGCATCAACGAAACTGCCATCGCGCAGGACTGGCATGGGAATGGTGAAGAGCCATCAGGAAACCCGCAGAAAATTTTTTCTGACCTTTACCTTTCTGTGCATCGAGCTGCATCGTCACCATGCAGCGGGTTGCATGTAAACATCCACATGATTCGATGGTCCGACCAGCGTCCACAATACATTGGTTGATGTACTCCTAATCCTACGGAAGAATGGCTATGCTTACGACTAGTTTTTGTAATAGTAAGTATGACGGGTTTCCAAATTGTCTTATTCTTATAAGATCCGGGCTTATCGACTGACAATTATTTTAGGGTCAATTAAATTCGCCAGCCTCTTCGAGCTTGTCCTTGGGAGCTGGAAAGGTCGTCCGTCGGCCTGCATAATACGATAGCTGCGGCGGAAATTCCCCTGGCTGTTGTGTACCGTATGGCAAAGGAGCCATAGACCATTCGCATCTTCTCGGGGCAAATTTCGAGAACCAACGTTCTAGCCATCCATTCCTCGAGTCTGTCATCTCTATCCTGGATTCGATAGGGGACTCCCAGTCGGTGAGTTGTACAATAGCGATTTCCCAGGTTGTCTTCGATGGGTGGGAAAGTGTTATGATTACGGCTGTTCAGGTCGTCGAACTATGTTACTATTTACCCTGGCAAAAGCCGCCCTTGCCAGCCAATAAAGAGGATGGCCTTCCCCACCTCTTAAACTGCTAGCCTGTCGTTATTTTTTTACTTCCGGCTCTGTCGTCTTTCCTTTTCTTATGCCTGCCTCCCACACCGTCGTTTGAGCTCCGGTCTGCAAGCATGCTAGCACCTTGTCCCTAGTCTTCAAACCAGCATAGCATCTGTTGACCTAAAAGCGGCTTTAGACGCAAAGCAGTGCTGGCCAGACACGAGGAAAGCTTTCCCTTGCAGTCGCCCTGCTAATCATCTTCCCATTTAATATTTCCTCCTCTTCCTCCACACTTTTCGATACTTATTCAATTTATGAGGCACAGCTATCAGATCTTGTACCATCACAACAATATCACAACAAATCTTCCAGCAAACTCAACGAACAACTAGCGAACAGGAAACGATTGTTAGTAATCCTATTCTCCGAGGTCGACGTTCATTTTAGCATCACAGGGCTGGCAGGGTTCAGAACAAGTTTAAATGTTGGATGGAATGTGGATCTCGTGTTTATGTCGATTGTTCGACCTACCCAGAAAGAGTCGACTATGGCGTTTTTTTTTTCAAAGCCTCTAGGAAGGCCACGAAGTCTATAGACGGCCTCCTCACGGCAGGGTCGACTATCTTTCGGTCGGGAGATCTAAATTTTGTGTCCGTGGCACCACGGAGCTTGCCCTGCTGGCCCTTTCGATGTGTTGATTGTAGACGCCGTATGTAAGTTTGTCTACGGTTGCTGACCCCAAAGCATGTGAAATGCAGGTTTTACGATATTCCACGATAGCGGATATATACTCCACGAATTTGAACGACCATTTGGTATAACCTTGGCGGCCACTGGCACTTCCTGGATCACTCTGCTTGTCCGAGGGGAGATTGTGGGATTATGGGCAACTACGGCCCCGCAAACTGATAGGGATACCAACTTTTGATTGCGGGTTGTTCTCGCCTCCCCCTCAGCTTCGCTCTTCGGTTTCTCAGTGACAGACTTCGCTCTTGAAGAAAGACGGACCTAGTCTTTCTTGACCTTTGCTCAAACTTAGGATGCCGTAAGTACCCAATTTCTTATCTTTACTGTATGATATGTTCCTGCACAATTTCTTTCTTGCATTACGAATCCTTTTGCCTGCTGTCTGTTTCCACCACCACCAACTTGCTTGAACTCTGCGCGGACGGGGAGTGAGAATACCCGGGCTCCTATTTTTACACTTATGGCCAAAGCAGACGTGCATGCGCTGGCTGGAACATAAGCTCCTCGACTTGACTCAAGTGTGTGTGCACTTTTCTGTTCTGTTCTTTTCTCTCTTCTGCTGCTTGTTTTTTCGATGCTCTTCGCCTACAAATACCCCCTGCATGCACACCAAAATTGCCGACTTGCTTGCAATAGTGAGATGATCGAGAGACACATTGAGTCTAAATCAGCCCCGCTCCATTTCCTTCCAGGTAATGAGCCAAAGGCGGTTTAACCTGTCCTCTCGATGTCCATTTCACATATATATCCATAAAATATCTCTTGTCGTGACACTTTTCTCTTGTTTCAAGTCGAGCTACTCGGCCTGAGGAAGTATATCTTACGTGCTCTCCGCTCCGGGTCCGCCGCGGATCCTGTGCTTGTACTGGAGCTTCCTCAGCTGCTAGTTTCCTTATTTCGAGTTCAGATTTTTTTGATATTGCATAGCTTCTATACTGTCTTCTCCTCGCTCATTTCAAAGCTGGAGCATTTTCTCATGTAATTCATAGAATCAACATTACTATCGATCATACCGAATCCGTTGATGGCTCGAGCTTAGTCTCGTCTAGGGCCAGCAGTAGCTACGAACATTACGGCAAATACCCAAATCGAATCCCTTCGCAGCTTCCGGGTCATTTCGCACCACCTGACTATACAGACAACGACACCTACGGGTCTGATAGCGAGACCTTCGACGATCTAGATCAGGACGAAATCGAACCATCTGAATCCGCATCTCGCCCAGGCGGCCGGAAACCGGCATCGAGGGCGGCTGCTAGCAGATTAAGTTACCTTCCCGGTCCACCCAGATCATACGCTCCGCCACCTTCTTCACACTACGGTGATTACTCGGATCATCACACCGAAACCACAGAGAGTGATACCGAGGATTACTCGCCTCAACCACAAATATTTCAAAGACCTCCTCCAGGCGGCAGACAGCCGCCACAACCTCGAGCATTGCCTCCTCCACCGGGCCCTTGGCCTAGGGCCAGCGCTGCTCCATCATATGGTCATCCGCGTGCGCCACCGCCGGGGCCTCAAGCGCCTTATGGCCACCCGCCACCACAACCAAGAGCTGCACCGCGAGGTGCACCTGCGCATTACCCGCCGCCCCGAGGGGGCGCCTACGGTGATGCGTTGGTATCATATGGTGGACCAGACGATGATGAGTATGACGAATGGGTAGAAGATGATTACGAGACCGCAGCTGAAAGGGCGGCTGAAGATAGAAGGAGGGCGGCGGCGGCGGCGGCGCATCAACAACAACAGCAACAGCAACAGCAACAGCAAGCACATGCCGCCCGGATGCGAGAATATCAAATGCAGAGGGATCAAGCAATGAGAGAAGCTGCTGCCGATGACCGACGACGGCAGATGGCAGAGAGAGAGGCTAGAGCTAGAGCTGAGGCTGCAGCGGCTGCAGCGGCTGCCTCTAGACCAAGCTATTATCCTCAGCCTCCATATGGTATGCCACCTGGTGGGATGCCAAATGGCCATACTATGCCAAATGGTCATCATAACCCTTATAGCAACCCAACTTCTCCCCAGGAATCGCTTTATGATCCTTACATGACTCCACCTGCTGCGAATATGCCACCACCTCCCGGGGTCAACCCTTACACCTGGGCTGCGATGCAGCAGCAGCAGCAGCAGCAACAACAGCAGCAGCAGCGTCATAGGATGAGTATGTCTGGTGTGCCAGGTATGATGCCGGGTATGATGCCGGGTATGGCAGGAATGGCAGGAATGGCAGGAATGCCGGGTATGCCGGGTATGCCCGCGTATAGTATGGGAATGGTTCCATATCAACCCCCAGTTAAAGAAGAGGAGAAGAAAGAAGAAAAGAAGAAGGAGGAACCTCCACCCCCAGCTGCTCCTCCGGCCCCATCTGCCCCATCTACGGCTCTTGTTCTTGCAGTTCCACCGGCTTACAACCCAACTCGTATGTCCAAAACTGAAGAGGATAAGAAGTTTGAACGATTGATGGAAGAGAAGAAGTTGCGGGAAGAGGAACGTAGACATAGAATAGAGCAAGAAGCTAGGGACAGACAAGCTAAGCTCGAAGATTATGAGCGCAAGAGGGAGGAGGAAGCTGCAAAGGCTGCCGAAGCAGCAAGAGCCCAAGCGGTGGCAGAAAAAGCAGAGGCGGATGCTCTCGCCGAGAAAGAGGCACAAGAGAAGGCATTATTAGCAGAGCAAGAATCAAAGGCTAAAGAAGCTGCTGAAAAGGCAGCCGCTGAGGCACAAGCTGCGAAAGATGCCGCGGAGAAAGCACTCGAAGAAATGAAGGCAGCAAACGAGAAGGCTCTCGAAGACGCAAAGGCCGCCAATGAAAAGGCCCTTGAAGATGCAAAACTCGCAAGGGAAAGGGCTATCGAGGACGCAATGAGAGCTGCCATTGAGGCAGAAAGAAAGAGAGTAGATGACGCCGCCGCCGTCGCTGCCGCCGAAGCGGCTGAGCAAGCACGAAAGGATGCAATTGCAGCTAAAGAGGAGGAACTGAAGAAGCGCGAAGCAGACTTAATTAAGAAGGCTGCAGATGATGTTGAAGCGGCAAGGAAGAAACTCGAGGAGGATATCGAGGCGGCAAAGAAGAAGGTAGAGGAGGAGGCTGCTGCTGCGAAGGCAAAGATGGAGGAAGAGGCCACGGCACTCAAGGCTAAGTTAGAGGAGGAGGCTGCTGCCGCAAAGGCTAAAGTAGACGGAGAAGCTGCTGCTGCTGCTGCTGCGGCCGCTGCCGAAGCCGAAAGGCCCCGATTTATCCGATTCCGTGATGCTGTCAACCGCAAGTTCCAATTCCCTTATCAACTTTGCCAAAAATGGGAGGTATGTTTTTGTTCCCCAAGGATTTTATTTTCGTTGAGCCGTACTAATATTGCACTCAGGGAATGGAACGTCTTATTCATCAAGCTTTCAAGCATGTTGACATTATCGGTCCCCACGTTATTGACGGACATTATGACCTGCACGGACCCGACGGACAAATCATCCTCCCTGGAGTTTGGGATGTCACCGTTCAACCTGACTGGGCGATTACCATGGTTATGTGGCCACTTCCTGAACCACCACCACCAGAACCAGAACCAGAACCAGTTCCAGAGCCACCAGCACTCCCACCACCAGAAGAGATGACTATCATTGTGGAGCCCATACCTGAGGCTGCACCTCCATCACCTCCACCAATGGTGACTATTGCTGAGATAGCCGCTGCACTGCCAGAGCCCGAGCCCCTTCCAGCACCACTTCCGCCTCGCCAAATAGAGATAGAACCATCTCCAGCGCCAGTCAGCCTTAAGCCAGTTGTTGTGAAGAAGTCACAAAAAGCACGCCCGACTGAAGTCAACCCTATCTTGCTCTGGACCGCAGGACGATACAACCCAAAGAGAGGGAAATAAACCCAATCTCCTCTATTCCGTGATACACCCTTTTTGAAATTCATCATTGGCGGCGCCCTTATTCGTTTCCCTTTTATGTTTCTTTTATTCCCTGTACTTTTCGATTGATTCCCAAGTAATTCTTTCTCTTCTATTCAAACTACCCGAAACGATACCTAGATTCCTGGTTATTCCCCTCACAAGAGGCTATTTTCTTTGGTCTGCATACAGGACTCTATATCTCTATATCCCCTCTATATCATCTCTATATTCGTCTGCTATTTGAGATAACGCAGAATCTTGACTATCTTGACGATGTTTCTTTTTTCTTCTTTCTTTTCCCTTCCATTCAATTCGAACCCTTATATCTCCACCTATTTTTAAATATAAAGATCTCCCTGCGTCTTTCTCCCTTCCTATAAGAAACTTGATTTAGTTTTCCAACAATACCAAAGGAGTAGGCGGGGGGTTGCGTTTCTACTGTTTTTTTCCCCTTTTCTGTCGTAATATGCTGTACTTTCTATCTTTTATTTTTCTTGAAGTTCTCCTCATTGGAGGGGATGATTTCCCTCGTTTCTCCCTCTCTCTCTCTTTTTAGCTAGTTTTCTTCTAGTTTCGAATTGACACGATGCAAATATTCAACGTTCCTTTGAAGTATTTTTACGATTGATACCATATATCCGCCCCCATTCCTTTCGATATAATATATCTAATCGATCAAATTAACCACTAACCGTATACCTACAATTAAATCGAGCTTAAAGTCCTAAACATCGATGGATCGAATGATGCCAAAAACGTATAGGAATAATAAGCCCCCAATCGGATCCTCCTAGGACTATAATGGTATATATATAAAAATACATGTCAATCAAGGCTTCCTATTCGCCAGACGTGTGTGCCTGAAATGCTTCTCCAATCTACAGATCCTTAAATCAGTTTTCTTTCTTCTGCGGGAGATAAACGGCACTATGATATCATAGACCATCCTTAATCCTCAACCGTTCCATGCAAGGTTAATTTGAATTACGTTAACTAAAACCCGCATCCACCTCCCTTCCACAAAAAAAAAAAAAAAAAGGAAGCAAACGAAAAAGTAACAAACCGGTTGTTACCGTTGTATTCCGTAAAAATCGGGAAATCTTCTAGAAGGGAAAAATAATAAGTGCCTTCCAAGATTGTCGAAGGAGTCTAACTGTTCATGCTGTGCTACTTCTGATATATATGTCCCGCATATGATTTAGCTTCGGTGTGCTGTCATCTGGCAGCTAGTTCTCTTAACCGGGCCCCGGCCCAGCCACCCACGTCGCTTTGCAGCGAAATCAGGGAAAAGAAGGACAGCGGACGAAGATGTTATAACTAGTACTCGAGATGTAGGTACTTACATATGTACTTGATGTTTTGTATATTCTGACTTTTACAATATGAATGTATCGACATCTCGACAATTCGATTAATACCATTTCTGTATAATCTCCATCAACGTTATATTTATCGGCCATCTGTCTACTACACGAATCCCTGTCTACCACCACGACGAAGAACAGAACATTAGATACCAGCCAGCCGCAGCTCACCTGAGCAAGATCCCAAGATTGATTTCAGGTACCGTTCAGCTGCCGAAACCAACTCACTTGATTACTTTTCCGTGCCCCAAAACGATTAAAACTAAAACCAGCCTGACCACTGTTCCCCAGAAATAATAAATAACGACCAGCTACTTTCTGGGGAGGGAGGGGGAAAGGTGGGCAGGCAGGAGCTAGCTACTGTGAACTTGCGCAATAGTTGAGGCTAAAGCCAGGCACCCGAACTTAACTTGCACTTGCAACTGCACTTAATGGCAGCGGGCTTCTGAGGTCTGAATAAAAAGCCTGGGAAGTCTCACCTCTGACATCCGTACCTTTTTTGTCCTTTTATTCTTTTTTCTTCTCTCCAATTCCGAGTATACATATTCGCCAGTCCCTGAACTTCTTGTTAATCAACTATACTATAACAATTCTGGCGATTCGATTCAATCGATTAGATTAGTATCGCATCGGCGACTCTAGCTCGAACACGGGAAAAATCGCTCGGTTCCTTGCATTTTTTCGTCTCCTTCTGCGCCCGTCCATCTCATCGTCCCCTCATTCTTAAGGACTTTCAGCCGGCGCATTCCTTCAATCGCAAAATCCAAAATAACCCCCAACGTCAACGGCGGCGATTCCCTTTTCCCCCCAGAAAAAATAAACAGTGTCTCTTAAAATAGCCGACGAGACTCCCATTCCTTTCTGTTTCTCTTTCCTTCTCTCAAAAATAACCCCCCTATAAACTAGTCGCATAAGACTCCGACCCATTAAATAGTATAAAAAAAACCTTCCCTTCCTTAGCTTAGCTAAAAAAAGAAGAAGGAGAAACAATGTGTCTCGTCAAAGTCCGCGGCGAAGTCGAAGACGACGTCATCGTCCCCGCCCGAGTAGTCGAGCGCGAATCCGTCCGCGGATCCCACCAACACCAGCATTACCAACAGCATTCACAACAGCGAGAAACCCAAATCGTCTCCACTGCCCCCGCGGTAATCGAAAGACCGGCTCGATCCCATCGCTACTCTTCTTCCTCATCTTCAAATGCTTCTTCAACAAATAGTATCACCTCAAGCCGTAGTTCCATGGGCTATGCCGGTGCGAGGCATGAAAGACGGTCGAGAAGGTATCAACAACAACATCATGCTGCTACTGCCAGTAGTTATGATGGGAGATCTTATGACGGAAGATCCCATGACGGACGATCTACGGCGGGGAGGTCGAGTTCTAGGAGTCGGGAACGTGGGTATTATAGAGAACAAGGGAGGGTTGTGAGCGGTGGAAGTTATGATAGAAGAGGGAGTTATAGATATGTGGATCCCCAACCGAGGGGTAGCAATCATGAAGTTAGAGCAGGTAAGCAATCTCACTTTTACTTCAATTTCAAAATACTTCACATAAATTCTCCAAATTTTCAGTTTTCAAGACCAATTATATTTTAAATCTATGAAATTCAAAAACTAATATCTACATTGGAAATGGTAGAAATCCAGCGCGCAGAAGAACACCTCCAAAGAGCCGCAGAACTCCAAGAGCGCGAGAAGAGAATGCGAGAAACCCGCGCAATCACATACGATCCAAGATCCAGTTCAGTCAGTCATAGAAGCTACGAACACAGTAAAGACGGTAGTAGAAGACGCAGCGACGTTGTCGTGGTCCAAGAGACAGAGCGACATCGAGACCGTTTTACCAGCAGGTAGTCTGAAAACATAAAAAGACTAAAAATCTGCCGAGTAAAACCCCCCCGCCCCAGGCCTCCTCCCCGGGCTCCCTTCTAGATTTTATTGTACAGGACGTGCGATATAAAACCGATCTTCGATACATTAATGACCCCCTCCTCTGTTGACATTCCTTCTTGAACGATTATTGCGATCTTACATTACCTTTCTATTCCTTTTTCTTTCTGTGCCGCTACGATTTCTACGCCACCGCCACCGACGATATATTATACCACTCTGCGATGTCATTTTTTCCCTTCTCTACAATTTCCTTCATCCTTCTAGTCAGTTCGCATACTAACTGCTAAAAAAAACCAACCCTGTAACGATTACGATGTATGAGCGCTGTATTACTTTTCTCTACATTTCTTCGTCTAAGAAAGCTACACATAATACCTGTTTAAACATTCTTAAAGAACCTTCCTTCCTTTTTTTTTTTTTTTTCTTCAAAAAGATTTAGCTTAGTTAGCTGGTACCCCTATAGTGAGCGCTTGCACGAATCATCTGATATATTAAATGTTTATTGTAACATGGCGCAGAGTATGAGTTCTATGCGAATAATGATGATGATGATAATGATGTCGACGGATGCTGATAATCACGAGTTTCCTTTTTTTTTTCTTTTCTTCTTGTTTGTCATACGACCTCGACCATTTGTACTCTTTAACCTCTTTGGATGAGATATTCTCCACCACAACTTTTATGCACTGCTAGCTACTAGTATATTGTTTAGTATATATGTCCTTTTCTGATCATCCGCCGCCGTTAAGCTGGAATCCAATACCTCATGCATGTAGCGTTCGGTCGTAAGTGTATGAAATACTTTTTTGATTTGTTCCCGCTCTATACAACGAATGCCACCCGAATATATCCCTCTAATCCCGCGTTCTTTTTGTGTATCCAAAACTTCAAGTCCAATAAACTATTTTTTAAAAGAAACAGACGACCAACGCTAGCCCTCCATAAAGAAAAGAATCAAACGGGGGGAAAAAAAAGCATAACATCTATATAAAAAAGACGGGCACCAAAAAACTTTCTAGGAGCAAAGAAATTTACTTCCCAGGTGTCAACGGTAACCACCCACTAACCCCTTCTCCAGTTTCATCCATTAGATTTCCTGGCGCCTGTCGCCTCTGCGGCAAAGGTGGCGGCGGCGCTTTCCCTCCATCTTCCATATAGTTCCCGTTTCTCCGACTTGCAGCCGAAACGCTTCTGACACCACCAGCCATAGCACCACTCTGACCTACCCCTCCAACAGGATTAGAAACCGTCCTCTTCATGCCACTGGCGCCACCCGCACCTTCTCCAATCTCCATCCCCCTAATTCTCGCCGCAACACTAAGAATAGCCTCATCATCAACAGAATCTCTCGCACTCTTAAAACTCTGGGGCGAAGTTTCAATAGTCGACCCGGCTAGGCTGCTTGGTTTCTTAGGCTTCGGAGGCGGTACCCTTGTTGTCGATGTGGAAGAAATCGACGGGCTCCTACTAAGTGGTTTTTGTGGAGGAACGGGCTGAGCTCTTGATGTGGCCTTAAAGGGCGGCGTTATAGGTGTCGCAACCGAAGTCGTAGTTATACTCCTCGTAGGGTGTAAAACTGATGGTGGAGGTAATATTTCCCTATGTTTCACCGACGATGGTGCCGCCGGCGGGGGTAATATTTGATTCCCCAACGTTGGCAATGCAGAAGGATCATATGGCGGTGGTAGTTTTCTCAAACTTGGCCCTCTCGTGCTACTAACGGTACTACTCGTCGTTGTTCTTCTTATTGATGGTGGTGGGGAATAAAACTCCTGCGGCGGTGGGGTGGGAGATGCACTGTTCTGCCCCGATGATGGTAATTTTGGAGTCGTTCCTCTAGCAGGTGGCGGCGCCGGCGCCTCTTTCTTCACCCAATCCTTTTCTGACGTGGCAGCGAATGGATTCCCCATCATCTTTGCTGTATTCACTTCATAATTATCACCCGGCGGTCTAACCGTACTTTTCGCTGGAACTCCATGATCGAGCCACCATTTTCGCATATCCGTTGATGCAGGGGGTACTAAGTTTTTTTAAAAAAGATAGTTTTCGTATTAAAATCATTTCAAAACTCTCAAATCTCCAGCTTTTAAAATAGCAATCGCGACTACGAATGGGAGGAAGAGGTAAGGTACGGTGTTGAACATACGTCCTGGAGCAATTGGATCGTATCCGATTAGATCCTCTTCGCTTTCGTCTTCGTCTAGGAGATTTGGCGTTGATGAGTTTTTGTTCATGGCGGAATCACGGCGGCTGGCGTAGATCTGTTGGCTGAGCTTTTCTTTGACCTCTTCATTGATAAACTGGATTGTAGCCTCGAATGTTGCATATACGGGTCGGTGATCTGAGAACTTCAGGGGTGCACTGTTGTATGTCAACTGGCGGACGTTGCTACCCTTGCGAAGAATTCGATCGCACCAGGCGGGTATACGCAGTTTTTCTCTATAGATTTTTATTAATGACCAGATATTAGCAGTGTTGAAGAGGGAAGCGTACGAAGTGTCATATTCATCCGAGCCGATATCAAATCTATAAGTAGGTAAGAAAGTCAATCTAGCCTCCGAGTAATATGGAAACGTCAATCCGGCGACCATTTGAAGATTCAGTTGGTCATTCTCATATAGCTTGCCCAAATCTCCTGCCTTTATTAGCCGTTTAACTTCATCGTTGTTCAATCCAATTCGATAGTTGAAGTCTCCAAGCCAGATAACCACATCGTGGTCATCAATGGAACGCCCTCTCTGGAACCTCAGCCCATTGGCAATGGTCCGATAGTCGCGATTTCTCTCATCGTAGTTCGCAAAGCCTGCAGCCAAATGGGCGGTGACGAGACAGATTCTCGTATTTCCATAGTCGAATCTAATAGCTACTGCGCCTTTATTTCCGGATAGTCCACTCATACCAGTTTTCTTTAAAGAGCCCTCCACGTTCTTGATTTGTGAGATTATATCAGACCGAACGTATATGCCGAGCGCAGCACCAACAAGTTGGCCTCCCCTCAGCAAGATGTATTCTTTTTTCCCTTTCGTGGTCGTCTTGCTTGCTCGATTCAGGGTATCCAGAACAGCCGATTCCCATAGCTGACGTATCTCAGGATCCGTTGACATTATCTGCTGCGGAGAAAGCTCCACAATCTCTTGAAACCCGACGACAATCAACTCAGGTTGGTAATGCGAACATGGAGGCGGAAACAACCACGAGGACAAGTCTTGGTCGATACCATCCGTTCTCCCAGCAAGATTCATGGTTGCAACATGTATCGAAATCACTTTTGTTGTCATAAATTGGTCGGACCTCCGCGAAAGCTCATTGTTGACATAGTCATTGATCGGATCATATAACACAACCGGGTCTTGTCCTACCAGCCTTCCTAGTAGCATATCAATTGTATTTTGCCTCCCTTTGTCCGCAAAATTGTTGATATAGATCCTCGTAGCGCTCTTTCTAAAATCGGCAAGAACGCCCCCCAAGCTTGACTTTCCGGAGCGTGTGAACGAGCTTTTCAGAGCACCGGTACCAGCATATATCCTGGATAACGCATCACCATTATCGGCCCATAAGACAGAATGTCTCGACCAAAGTTCGGTGACGGCTTTCTCATTTCGATGCCGTAGGAACCGTTCAATCGCCATCTGACTTATTATCTGTTGGATGAGGTTTGTACGATCTAGACAGTCTAAACAATTCGTCCTGAAAACACCTTCTTGCTGTAAGATAACCGTAGAGTGTGGCGCAGTTCCCTCATCGTTATCATGATCGACATCCTCAGTTAAGAAATATGCAAATGAATCCGCAGAGTCTTCGATGTATCGTCTGATCTGGGCGGCTGCCTCGTACCCAGCTCTTGTTTCTTCGTGGAAATCAAACTTTGTGGCTTTGATAAGTTCACCGGTTCCGTTCTTGTCGTTTTGGCCGAGGTACGGTGAATGTTGAATCATAATATCAAACATCCTCGTTAATTCAGCCTCCGCAGGTTTTAGGGCCGACAGCAGATTGACAATATGGATAGCACCATATTTGACAGATATGCCTTCAATATGCCGATCGAATGAAGGTTGTGTCGCTTCGGGACTTCGAGTGATCGTGACTTTTTGTTGGCCTGGGAGTAATCCAGCCTGCTGCTCCCAGAATAGTGGAACCGAGCCTCTGACTTGAGTGTACGAAAACCCGACACCCCTCACATTATTCTCCGCCCTGCTATCCCATATCACCGTTTCTGTCTCTACAAAGTTTGCAACGTGCCCATCATCGTCCATACCCCGAGAATTGAAACGAGTGCCTGCTCTCCTACATGACAACCTAGAAATGATTGTAATATGTGTTTTCCCTGCGAACCGTTGCTGGGCATTTATTGCGACTATTCCTCTATTCACAGTGGTTGTTTCAACATAGCCACGGATCGCAGAAGTAAGTATCCGAGTAGAATCTAGTGCTAAACGAGCCGATGTGGGCAGCCGGGATCGGAATTGAAGTAAAGGCTTGATAAGAGCCATGTTCCATAGGAAGGATTCATTGAACGTATCGATCGAAAAATGAGTGGAAGTCGACGTATGATCTACGGATCTATACATTTTTTTCATTAGGTAAAATATTCGGAATAAAGAGCCTTAAGATTAATTCGTACCTATTCTGTAGCCGATTTGTTAAGTCAAAATCAGTTGAGTAATAGAATGTACCCTCCGACAGCATCTTGCGTAATGCCGCGCATGGATGTTCAAAAACCGCATCTCCGTGCTTATTACTGTAATCAAAATCCTGGCTATAGATATCGTCCAAGGACATGTTATCATACTCGGAGGAATTTAGGCAATCTATCGCGATGTAGAAGTCAGAGATACAAATCCATTGTTCTCGGAGAGGAAGACGTGCATACGAAATTCTACTGCGTGGATCCGGTAAACCGTCTCTCCAGGCCTGACGGTAGCCACCAAGCTCGCTCCCGTAACCACGCAAAGGAAAACATCCCCGTTCAGCGATATTAATCCCAGCGTCCCTCGGCATGGAAGCGCACTCCCCATAGGATAGTACTCGGACAAATCGACCTCGTTGCGCTCCGAGAAGTCGACCATGCAGGCCGCAGAGCCGACTCCATGATGATGATTACCATTCGTCCCACCTGAAGATACATTCAAGCTAGAATTGGACCCGGAATTGTTGTTGTTGTAAGGGAGGTTAGCGGCGAAAGATGGAGCCGGGGCATGGTGGGACGCCGACGGGTTGTGTCGGAAGGTTAGAACGTGATTTGGCGCGCATAGTGCGATAGACCGATGAGGATGCGATTTCAGCAGAATACGGATCGGATTGGAGGTCATTTTGATGAATGAAAGGGGGAGATTATGGTGGGAATCGTAGACCAGGTTTACATTGTCGTTTATATGAGGAGTTATGGTGGGACGTCGGACAGGACGTGATGGGAGGACACGGGTCGGAGTCGTGTGGTTTGGAGCTGGTCCGTTGGTTGAAGCTGCACAGCCCCGTTTAACGTTTGTTTGAGCTCCGAATTAGGGATCTTGAGCAACGCAAGTCAGGCCAAAAATGCAACAGCTGTTAACAGTCGGTGCATATAAAGCGGACTTATATTTCTGCATGATGCCCCTATAAATGCATAAATTATATCTAGAGTATATTGAACTCTAAGAGAATACACTAATAATTTTGGGGTAGTTTTACATTAATCTAAGAAATCCTCTGGCGGGGATTTCATAAGTTAGATATAAGGTCAGCTGCAATATATCACCATTCATTGCTTCCCAAGCTAATTTGATCATTACCTAATGCCATGACCAATTTGATGCGTCGAGCTAACAGCTAGCTTAAAATATCACATTAGTAGAAAATCTAAATGACAAGTTCTAGAACATTCACAAAAAGAAGATATTTTCACTAGGGAAGTGGTAAAAGGCCTCCTAATCGCTACCCCGAAAACCCCTAACTTACATAAATTGTAATATAATTTTTGAATATGAATACTGCGATAAAATATTTTTTAACGTAAAAAAAACTCAGCTTTGCTAATAAATATCAATACCTTTTATATAAAGACTTCAATAGTTAGAGCCATCACGTGGAGGGAGGGTTTGGAGTATAATTCTCCGTTTTGTTTTAGTTCGAGACAAAAATTCGAAGTCAACTTCACCCCACCTTCTGTGTTACTACCAGAAGGAACTAGGTGATAGCTAAGATTAAGTGATTTCTTGGTCCTTTAGCCTTTTATGGATTCATATAAAGTTGGTGGAGATATTTTGTTTTTAGACTAGACCGGATACAGAACACTAGCAGATATCTAGATGCACTAGCCAGAGTTTGGGCTTGCCTTGTTCATGTAAATTAAATCACTGTGACCACTGGAAAAGCCATATTTGTTTGATGTTTAATCGCATACCTCTACATCTACCAATGTTCACTAACTAATAAGATACCTTCTAAATTTTGTAATCAGTCGTATGATTTACCTATATTGGGGTCCCGTCGTTACATGTACACGTTAGACGCAACGCCAACTCCACTTAGTACTTTTGTCGTGCTATTTTCTTTTAGTAGAACAAACCCCAAGTATTGCAGTAATATGACTAAACTGTATTATAAAGCTGAGGTCGGTTAGGTACAGTGAATATTGAATTGGTTATTTCTGCTTTGGATAATACGTGATGGTTTCGAGACCAAGCTAATTATTCCATTTACCAGGAGTATGGCACCGGACCAGGCGTGCGGTAGCATTGGCTGATGTTGTCACCGATCAATAGTTAATTCGGTTTCGTTTAAGGCAGGCCTGGCCGGACCAGGCCTCCGCGCCTAGGCCCTAGCTATTGACCTTGACTCTAATTGCAAGTTAGAATGGCAATTCTATATATATAAACGCTATCTTCGAGCTAAAGATTCTTTCGTCATTCCAGGCACGCCTGATACGATCGAAGCTTCGCAGTCCGCGAAACCATGTTAACAAACTAGTGGAAATTCAATGCCTTTAGGGATTGGAAGAAATATTGATTATAATATCGACAATTCGATTGGCTTAGGAGATCGTCTACATGATTTTGCATTTCTTCGTAGGTCGCCTAGGATCCGAAATAAAATAAAATGAAGTAAAATAAAGTATCATTTTCCCTGCAGGGCTGGTGGATGACATATCTTGCCGTTGCGATCTGCAGGTCATATATATATATGGTCGATATCTCGATTGAAACCGCAAGCTGTTAACATCAGCGCATTAATATTAAGCCCTATGATACGCTTAATTATCACGCTAAAGATAGAGTGGATAGTTGTAAAGGTTGAAAATAATATAAAAAATTATATTAAGAGATATGATCATATTATCTTTGATAAAAAAACTCGATTTAACTCGTTTCGTTAAGTATCGACTTTAATTAGAGTAGGTGTGTTAATGTGAATGAACCTCGTGGTACGTATACCTAGCCATAGGTACCTAGTTATGAAATACAAAGCAGCTAATGAAAATATTGAAACTGGATCCTTACATAGGCATTTATCGGGGCCGTAAACCCCGTCTATGCGATTATATTTTCTTGTTGAATAGTCGAGTTGAGCTCAGGCACAACCTTAACCTTAACTCGGGCCTAGGCACAACTCAGGCATTGCAAACGATTGATTCACCACATAATATATGCACATCTGTGCATATCATGACTTCGCAGGCACTCACAGTCAAAGAAAAGTCAGCTTTGCTCAACTTCAATTCAAGGCCACCAAAGTTTCCAAAACTATGCTTCGTAACAAAAAATGTCTAGTCAAGTTTCCCTCGAGTTTTGGTATAAATACTGTTTCTCTCCGTGCTGGAGTAGTCGGTATCAGCTCCGCAGGATCAGCATATCAGCAGTTTCAGTACAGCTCTACAGACCAAAAAAGAGAACTCCACTCGAGTTATAAATACAATCTTCCCAAATCTCCACTCAAAACTCCTTCTCAGTCTTTGACATCAAGGACCTTAGTTACGAATTCACCAATGGCGTCTTCCGATGGTCTTTCTGAAACTCTCCACGCCGTCACTCGCATAAAGCTTGATCAGCTAGCGAAACAGACAAGCGCATATGAATCAGCAAAGCACTCTCTTCTCGAGAATGCCGATGATGAACTAGATAGTCGAAAACGAGTTCGTCTCCTCATCAATGGTGCAGAGTACCTCCCCACGATGACTTCTTTGAGGGCGAACCCTACCCTGCCTCTTTATAATATACGAAGGTTTACCTCACAGTCTGAACGGGACCCCTCTGTTTCGGAAAGCTTCCTTGGAGACTACGAAAAGACGATTCGAGATGAGTTAGATGTGCAATCAAATAAATATGCATTTGCCAAACTCTACGGCCAACTAGTCAATGAATGGATCTCAGCGGGAAAGAACGGTAACGGTGAAGGTAGTGAGGCAGGTGCGGATTGGGTTCCTGTTGGACGGGAGGAAATGCATAAGCAGCGGGCTACTTGGGAGGGTTACGTCCTTAATGAGAAGAAAGTTGATACTGAGGCTATCAAGGCATACCTCGAGAAACTCTTCAGCAAGAATCCGTCCAAGGAAGTCAGATTGGCATTCGAAGACTTCCGTACCAGGATTCACAACCTTCAAGAGTTTTGGAATAACTCGCCGTTTGATGTGAACAATGTTTCAGCGACCATCAAAACATTGCTCCGGGTGGATGTTATCAATGACAAGAAGAAGGCAACATTGAAGGAGTTCCTTGGGAACAACGTCGTACTCAAAGAAATCGCCGACGTTCTGAATATGCGAATGGAATCCCGAAAGTCCTTTACTTGGGAAGGGATTTCGGTAATTGAGCAAAGAAGACAGCTAAACGGTCGGTATCGTTTCTACCCGGATGAAGATCTGCTTCAAACAATATTTATTCAATATACCGGCCTTGTGTGGGCGACGCAATGGCGGAGCAGTTTGAAAAAGTTCATTACTACTTACGGTGTCCTGAAGTCAGCACCTGGAAGCATCACAGAGGAGCTATTGCAAGACCGTAAATTGAAGCTTTCGAACACAGTTTTAGGCACGCCCTCAAATTTGGAGGGATACCTCGCCGATCACTGGATGAATGAAATTTTCGTCGACCAGCTGCCCGAAAACATGTTCGAACAACGTGGCGGGTATGAGGGTGACAATGATGAAGGTGACACTCGATTAAGTCCACTAGCTGTTGTGCAAAGATTGATCCGGATCGTTCAATCTGAGATCATTATTCGAAGACGGCTCGAAAAGGATACTACCGTTATTCGATCTGACTTCAAGTGGTTCGGTCCGTCACTTCCTCACGACTCAATCTTTGCCGTTCTTGAATTCTTCGGAGTGAAGGAAGACTGGATTCAGTTCTTTAAAAAGGTTCTGAGAGCTCCAGTCTCATTTGCTGAGGATATCGGTGCAAGCCCTCGACCTCGCCAGAGAGGTATTCCCATTGGGATCCCTATTGCTTACTTCTTCGGCGAAGCTTTGCTTTTCTGCACCGACTTTGCAGTCAATCAGAAGGCAAACGGGGCGCGATTATACCGACTTCACGATGACATCTGGTTGTGGGGAGAGAAGGACTCTTGTCGCAAGGGCTGGAGTGCCCTCACCGAATTTGCAACACTCACCGGGTTAGAGTTCAACGAGGAGAAAACCGGGTCTGTCCACATCTACAGTGACCGAAACAAGAAGGTAGAGCCTACTTATCCCGGGCTTCCTGAAGGTGATGTGGTTTGGGGGTTTTTAAAGCTCGACCCTGTATCCGGGTTCTTCACCATAAATAACACAAAGGTCGACTCCCATATCGAAGAGCTCTCCCTACAACTTAACGCCTGCAAGAGTGTTTTCGATTTTACTCAGGCCTGGAACATCTACGGTGCACGGTTCTTCCGAACGAACTGTGGTAAAGCATCTGTCTGTTTCGGGCGTCAACATGTCGATTCAATGCTCGAGACCTTCCAACGAATCCAACAGAAGATCTTCAAGTCTACTACAGGTGGCGTCGGCGAGCATTTGAAGAAGATGATTGTTGACCGATTCGGTGTTAGCGATATCCCAGATGGATACCTCTACTTCCCCATCAAGCTCGGAGGGCTGGAACTCCAAAATCCCTTCGTCAATCTCTATCTCATCCGCGATTCCTTCCATCAGGATGACCCCTACGAGTTAATGGATGAGTTTTTTAAAGAAGAGGAAAGAGAGTATAGCCGAGAGAAGGAACAGTTTGAAAAGCGGAAGAAGTCTAGGGACCCTAAAGCTGTGAAGCTTCAAGGTTTGGAATTTCTGACCCGCGAGGAGTATGGAAGCTACCGGGAGGAGACGAGTTATCAACTCCTCAAAACATTCCAGGCGTTGACCTTTGAACCGTCTGAGATTGGGGTGGATTTGACTGGGGATGTTCAGGCGATATTGAATATAGCCGCGAAAGGAGGGCAGAGGGGGAGGGATCAGTGGAAGAACTACGACAAGTGGATCTTCCAGCTGTATGCGAAAGACATGATGAAGAGGTTTGGAGGATTGAAGATTGTGGATGAAGGGCTATTACCCATGGGGCTAATGGCGATGTTGAGGCAGTCGAGGTTCAAGTGGCAGGGATAAGTTATCCTTGCGCATCTGGGGTTCATGTTACAAGGAGGTTGTGGGGGTATGGGGTTCGGGTTTAATTTGACTCGAGGTTTGTAAGATAGGTATTGATTTGGGTATAAGGGCTACTTATAGGCGGTTTACAGCGGTCTCGTAGTCGGACAAATACGATTAGGCTGCCAGTGGAATCTTTACTTTATATATGTGTATAAAAGAGTCATCTCTCAACTTAGATCAATTGAATATATTTTGCTCTCTTCTTTCAATACGATTTTCCTACTGAATTATCGGCTGTAGACTACATCCATGAGCAACTTGTAGTGGAAAACAAGGAAGATAACCTCTAGGTCCTACTGACACGGGGATATGATATTACTAACAACACCGGCATATCACATAAGTAAGGTCATCAAATATACCCAGATTCGTGAAACCACCTAACCATCAACAACTATCAGAAACCATCAACCATGGTTATCTCGACGACCAGCCACCTAGTCGGTATGAAAAGTGGGTCATTGTAACCGCCTCGACTCCTCCTTTCCAATGCCATTGTCGGGGAACGATAGCTCCTTCTTATCATTTCACAAATCGTTGTTGAAAATAACAAAATTGGTGAGAAATGTGGTTTTTGAAATCCCTAAGTAGTTCAAGCCTCCCGGAGGGCGTCTACTTTTGAAGTCCAAAATCATCACGTGACCTTCAGACTTTGTGTTGTAGACGTTGTATTTCCTAGTATTCCCAGATAGGAAGTAGCCCGATCAAACGGCTTCAAGGTCACATGGCATCTGACGACAGACGCCAGCGCGGCAGCTTCCAAGCTCGCGATAAACTCCAGGACAGTTACGACAACCTCATCGGGCCAGAGCGCGCATTCATCCCGCCCACCACATAAACCCGGTCTTCATCAATAAATCTCCCAACCACCTCCTCAGTCATCGATAAAATTGGCCTTCACAATGTCTCTTACCAACCTTCTAAACCGGTTTAAAACCGTCTCCGCCCACCCCACCCCCTCAGAATCACTGGCCCTCTCCCAACTGGCTCCATCGGTCCTAAACCTCTCGATCACAGATACACCTGAACAATGGGTTCTCTACGAATCTTTACTCATCTCTACACTCCGAACTGGCGATGATACATCTGCCCAGTTGATTCTTCAACGGTTGGCAGATAGGTTTGGGAATGATAATGCGCGGATTATGGCGCTACAGGGGATATACGATGAATGTACTGCTACGAATCAGGCGCAGTTGGACGAAGTGCTGAAGAATTACACTGAAGTTTTGAAGGATGATCCTACAAATATCGTATGCTCACAATACCTTACCAAAAAGGACCAAAAGAGAAATCATTGGGACTTCTGCTAACGTTTGGAATGTCGGGTTGACACGCACAGCCTGTTGCGAAACGCCGGATAACACTTCTTCACCACCTTTCTAAAAAATCAGAAGCCATATCCGCCCTAACAACACTGATCGATCTAAACCCAACAGATGCCGAGTCATGGGCTCAACTTGCACAATACTACTTTGAAATATCGATGTATCCGCAAGCAATATACTGTCTCGAAGAGGTGCTGTTAATACTACCTAATGCGTATAACACACACGCAAGACTCGGAGAGATACACCTTGTTGCTGCTGAGAGTATTAATAACAGTGGATCAAAGGAGGTTGTGGAGAAACTGGAGGCTAGCCTGAGGTGGTATTTGAGGGCTGTGGAGTTGTGTGATGGATATTTGAGGGGCTATTATGGGGTCAAGCTGGTATTTACTCTTGATTTCTTCCGGACATTTAGTTGGTGAGGGTTTTTCATGCTAACTTTGGTGTAGGTCACGGGAAAGCTATTGGACTCCAAGATTTCGACAGCCTACAGGACAATACCGGAGGAGAAGGTTAATAAGTTAAATAGCGTGGCAACTGTGCAACTAAACGATATTGTGACCGGATCCGAGAAAGGGAAGAAAGCATTCATCGGATATGATTCTGCAGAAGTTGCGGCAGTGAAAGAACTACTAGAAGCGACAACGTAAAAAGTAGATATGATCTGATGCTTTGTTGCTCTTCTTATATGCGCTTTGCTTACTAGCATCTGGAGACTATATTGCATTAGCTATTGCAATACGCCTAATGATAATCACCTCCTTGGAGGTCACTACAAACGGGATTTCTTCATAAAACTTCCATGGTCCTAAGAGTTCGTAACAGTAATTCTCATGCCCTGTGCTTTTCTAAACAAGGGTGCCGCTATATCATCTAGATTAATTTCTTTGGTTTAGATATTCTGAGCTCCATAACCCTTAATCATCTCTGCAAACTTCCAGCTCTGGTTTTCGATCTCCTTACTGCCAGTAGTAACCCCATCCTTAGTAATAATCGCCCAGCTATATTTAACCCCAGACCTAGCATCACGATACCACAAAACCTTCATACACTCCTCCACAAGCTTCTGCGCGTCCTCCTGGGTCAAATTCGAAACCGCTTCTTCATCTGCAACATGTCTCCTTAATATAGGAATGGCGAGATGAGCACCATACCCTGTTGCCAAAGCGGGGGCGGAATATGTAGTCCCCTTCAAATCTACGTATGACAAGAAAGGTTCGGAGGTCTTTGGGTCAGCTCCGGCTGTTAGTATCGAGTTCCAGAGAGGGTCGAATTTGTTACGACGTTGGTAGAGGACACGGGAGATGTAGGTGTGTACTTGTGGCGCGTAGAGTTGGTGATCGTCTGCGGGGTATTGTTCTTTGATGAGGAGATTGTCGAGAAGGAGGTGGAGGTATTGCATGTCGGAAATGTCGCCGCCGGCGCCGACGACGGTGTGTGTGCCAACTTGGAGGAGACGTTCGACGTTGTCGTAACGAGCAAGGGATCCGTAGGATGCTATGGTGGGGAAAGGTTAGATTTTAAGAAGGTCCCTTTTGTTCATTAAAGTGGGTATTGGGGTGGATGGTGTAAAAGTACCAATGTTATCGGCAGCGATTATGACTCCATCCTTAAATTTGACACCTAGAACACTGGTACCGGTGACAATGGGTCTTTGAGTGTGAGTGATTGGTTGGGATTCGTTGAGGTAGCTGTTGTCGTAAGCTCCATAGACGTCGTCTCTAGGCTAGTAACGTGAGGACAGGACGAGTTAGCATAGCTCTTAAGGCGAAGGTATAGATCGGCTGGGTTTTTAAATGAAACTTACACGGCCCCAACCGTGAGGAAACTGGTTCATTGTGATGGATTCTATTTGAAGATCTTGATGATGCTGGGATAGATGTGAGCTGGAAAGGGTGTGGAGGTAGTTGGTAGAGGCGGTGGTAGTGGAGTGGTGGTGGTGGTGGTGGTTTAGACGCGAGCTTGGTTGCGTATGCTCCAGCTGGTGGATGCCAAGACTTAGTCCTGTGCGGTGCATGGGCACTCCGGGGCCGGGTCTCTTTGCGGCCCTTGCACCGGTCACAGGCCTCCCCGAGGTAGTTTACAATACAATCCAACGTCACTCAGCTTGTTTTTGTCCTTTATCGATCACAGATATAGATATTCCTCAATTCTTTACAGAGTACTTGTGCTTTTATATTACAAATAACTATAGGTGCCATAGAAATGGTACCTACCGAATTACCCAGTATAATATTGTTCTCTTGGAATCTTGATTCGATATCGATTCTATATCTACTTTGTCTCTTTGAGTTTGCGGCTTAGAAAGACCCTCCGTAAATTATTTATGCTTAAGTCAGTATGTATATGCCGTATGACAAGGCATTACTCTCTAAACCAGTTTAGGTCGTTTTGAAGACTCCCCTCTCTAACACGACGTATAGACGTCCCTCGCTCCAAAATATCGACAATCCACGGCTTTCTTGGTTCGAAAATTCCCTCAATCATCCAATACGCAAAGTCCCAGTGATACTTGTCACCGAGTTCCATTCCCCGTGGATCCCGAATATTGATCAGCAACCTAGAACCCACCGGATCATGCTTGGGTACATCCTCGACCAATGATCCTTCTTTTAACATTTTCAGCCTCTCCTCGGTTCTTTTTACTAAATTCCAACCCTGAGAAGATATTGCTTCGTTGTATAAGATTCGAATGATATCCGACAACCTGCAGTCTGTTTCGATAATCTTTACTATTGCTTCGTTTTTTAAGTGCGACGGTATAGACGGGGAATCATGACATAGCGGATCACTCATCCGGAAAGTTGCACTGAAATAGACGTATATGGAAGTTGATTCCAACGTTGGTCGAGTAAGATACAGTCCTAAAGGTTCGAAAGACCGAATAAACTTTTCTGCGACGGAGTTTATGACTTCCTCCTCCAACACGCCATTCGTGTCCAGATTCGCCTCCACGACCGCAAAAAGCGTCTTCCATAACTTCCGGAGTATCAATGGTGCGACGGGGTTTATTTGGTAGTTTCGGTCTAGATGCTCTTGCATAAGAAATAGGTCTAAAGTGTCTATCTGACCAAGTTCGAAATTGGGGTAGAGTTGAAATAGTTCATCTTTGCTTCGGTTGGGTTTCTTGGAGAATGGATTCTCTGAGCCAGGGTATCGCCATGTACCCCATTTCAAGATGAGAGATGTATCGACTATGTTTTTCCAATCTTTGGAGACGCAGCGAGCGACGGTAAGGAGTTCGAGAGCTGGCAGGAACGATAGTATCTGCTCTAGGAGCTCGTATGTTTCGAGGGCGCTTCTGGTGGCACTCATGATCATCGTTAACGTTAGCTAGGCTGGCTGCCATTCAGGTTGTGATGTGGCAGGCATCTGTGTTGCAATGCAATAATCTCAATTTGGGATTTAATTTGTAGGAGATATATTAGGTACCGGTATACACTGCAGCTGTCAACTAGTATTATATCTGACGATAATACTATAGTTTGATCAAGTTTCTTTCGTTGTCGAGTTGCAGTTGTATCTTTCTTCCTTCAATCAATCAATCAATATATATATACAATAGAAGGTATAGAGCCATGTTCGTAAGTAGTCTCGGAGCTTAGGTTAATTACGTTAACCAGTACCAGATATCAAAACTTTGCGCTGAAAGGCAGTGAATTATTTAAGATGTATAATTAAATTCAAGGATGGCTATAATATCGAATATCTAAGTGGTACCATAGGCTAAGTTTTTCACTCAGTAGTATAATAATTATTACATGGAGCGCCAATGGATTGCCTCTTTAACTTTATATAGTTGTTCTTTAAAAGTTTTGAAGCTTAATATGTGGATCTAGAAGGTACTTGCAATTGAGGAAATGGCTACACGCATGCACGCGGTCTCTGTCGGGTCGACGACGACGACGCTGCAATCGAATTAATTACATGTCTATAACTTTTCCTCAATTATAAGGCATCTTCAAATCCTTCATGCAAATTATATTGATTCTTATGTTAATCTTGAGTTAAATAACAACCTCCGTACTTACACAATTACAGGTAATGGATTAAGTATATATAATAGCCTTCGCATCTGTCGGTTTCCCAGCCGGAATAAAATAATGACAACTATCCTTCTGTGTCAATCCGTATTTGTAATCCACGAAGATCTGAAACTCCCCATCTCTCTCTGCCGGGCACGCAAAGAACCCATATCCAGCATCAATATGTCCCAACTCATAGTACCCATCATTCCTCAACCCCAAAGTAAATCCTCTAGTGATAGCTCCCTCAGGTAATGGAAGCCCTGGATCAGCGCCTTCAACACCTCCTCGTGAGAAAGAAAGCGCAAGTGTTTGTGGGTGGATATATACCTTTTCCACCGCGATGGCAGAAAGGTTTGCGGAGAATTCTATGTATTTTTCAATACGGATACCCGTGACGTTGGGACGGAGACAGTCCCTTGGGTTCATGCGGATGCTGCAGTATGGATATGGAGCACGGCCGATCCAGAATTTGCCGTAGAGGGCGTTCATATCCTTTTCGCAGATGGAGGCATCGGTATATTTTGCGATGAAGTTGAAGGCGGAGTCTGGAACAGTTTGGCGGGGGAGGAGAGTGGCTGGGGCCGCTAGAGTTGCGGCAAGCAGGGAGAGGAGGGTGGTGGCTTTGAAGATCATCTTTGGGTGGCGATATATATATCGATAATCAAGAACTTTGTGTGAAGTTTGGATTTTAAATATGAATGAAGAGGATAATGGCGAGGGAATCCGGTGTGCCTTTTAAAGACGAGATCCCAATCTTTCGAAATCTTTTCTTACAAAAATATATTCTTAAGATCGCTGGATGATGAAATCATGACCGGGAAAATATTTCGGAAATCTCGGAGGGTTTTATAGACATCGCTTGCGGATTTAAAACCAAGGGTCGGGCCAGGTAATTGATTGCCGTCCCTTGTCTTGTTCGTGTCTTGTTTTCTGGATTGCGATACTACCTCGTGCCCTACCTGCCCAAAATATTATATCTCGACTCGAATGAATGAATATAGTAAATCTGCGAGGGCAAATAACTCACCAATAGTCTATTCCCACATCCCCTTCATAACGTGAAGAAAGAAATTTTATCGTTACATCGTGGTACGTAAAATAACATTTATTACCCTATTACACCCTCTAATCATTCCTTTAAAAAGCTAACAGCCAAGATCCTAGTTCACAACGTTAACAGGTAACAATCGGCAGATCATAACGATAGGTAGGGAAGAAGTGGTTTCACTGCAGTTGGGACCGAAGATATATGGTCCTCGTGAGGTTGATATCACACCAGATGATCCGAAATATATAGCAGCGACTACCAATGATGTAAGCCGTTATATTTAGATTTGCCTATAACGAGTAGGAGGAATTTTGATGGTGCGTTTTTAAGACCTGGTCTTGAAAAAAGAGGACGGGTGTAACCCGGGCCGCTGCTCCCCCTACTTTTCCTCGAGAGAGCAAGTTTTGCCGGGGGAGACGGTAACCATAACTGGAATGGGAAGGTGTCGATCAGGCTGTTTGCGGGGAGGAAATTGGTTGTGTTGGATGTTAAGTATTATTTCCTTTGACCATTAAGAAGATTCATTGGAATGAGACATGCGGGTGTGAATTCCAGGGTCGAGGCTATGGGACTTGGCCATGATACCTTATAACGTTATATACGTTATCACGACGCTCACCCCTCCTCGTGATTTGTATTGTGTTGAGCCTGTTGTATTTTAGAGCGCCACCAGGGATAGCTCACAAGACAGGGCTCCGGGCTCCGGGCGGATACCCCACGCCGCCAACACCACGAGATCTCGATGATGTGACAGCTGCCAACCTGCCGCACGCTGGACAGATAGACACAGACAGACACACTTACATTCCACCTCCACGAACCAGCCTTTCCAAGCAATACTCCGCCAGGATACCAAGACTGCACTCCTCACCTCCATCGCTTCCACTCCTCCCTCCGTTATATTACCTCCTTCAGTCCCAACATCTATCTCCATACCAACCTTGACCCTGTGTGTGCTGCCGGAAAACGACGTCACTGCACCGAGGACCGGACCTGAGTTTCTATGTCCACACGCTACCACCTCCTTAGCTAGGGTTCTCAGGACTTGCCCCTCATGTAAGGCACCCCATCTGTCTGCGGGGAGATTGGAAGACGAAATCCTAATATTGATGATTACCTACTTCCTATGTCTAGGTTCGAAAAGTCTCTTTACGACCTCATCCGCGGCCTTCGCGCCCACAAGGGAAATGAAAAGGCCTATATTGCCCAGTCAATGCAGGAATGCAGGAACGAAGCTAGATCGAACGATATGGGTACTTGAATCCTTATTCCTTATACTCGATATCCCCGCGTACGCATGAGCTAGGAAACGGACTAACGAATTATTGGGGTTATTACATAATAGATATAAAATGCGCCGCGATACTCAAACTTATATACCTCGAAATGTTCGGCCATAGCATGTCGTGGGCTTCTTTTCATGTCTTGGAAGTCATGTCCTCGCAGAAGTTCGTGCAGAAGAGGGTGGGGTATTTGGCTGCCGTCCAGAGCTTTCGGCTGGATACAGACGTTTTGATGTTAGCGACGAACTTGTTGAAAAAGGTTGGTGGTCTAAATTAGTGGATGTGAGAAATTAGAAGCTAACTGGAATATAGGATCTCTCGTCGCCAAACCAGTTCGAGTTATCTTTGGCTATTAACGGGTTATCGCATATCGTATCTCCATCTTTGGCAAGAGATTTAACGCCGGACCTGATAGCGAAAATGAACCATTCCAACCCTTATATTCGAAAAAAGGCGGTGTTGGTTATGTATAAAATATTCTTACAGTTTCCCGAAGCTTTACGAACGAGTTTTCCGAGACTGAGGGAACGGCTAGAAGATAACGATGAGAGTAAGAAACTTCTCTAGTGTCAGCAGAGACTCCATTCATAACTAACTTCTCTTTTCTACAGCTGTGGTATCTGCAACCGTCAATGTAATCTGCGAACTATCCAGGAAGAATCCGAGGAACTATCTTCCTCTCGCTCCACAACTTTTCAACCTCCTCACAACATCAAAGAATAACTGGATGACAATCAAAATCATCAAGCTGTTTTCCTCTTTAACTCCCCTCGAACCCCGACTTGTGAAAAAACTTGTCCCACCGATATCAAACATCATAAAGACCACAACTGCCATGTCCCTTCTTTACGAATGTATCAACGGCCTAATCTCCGGTGGCCTATTAACACACTTAGCCGGCACTTCAGACGGCGAAGACCTTGCTATTCTATGTGTTGGGAAACTAAGAGGTTTCCTCGTAGAAGGGGATAGTAATCTTAAATACGTTGCGTTACTAGCACTGACGAAGATGACAAAGACGCATGGGTATCTCGTTGCAGCTGAGAAAGATGTTATATTGGAATGTATAGACGACGAGGATGTTAGCATTCGACTAAGGGCGTTGGAGTTAGTTGTGGGAATGGTAGATGTGGAGATTTTACAACCGGTCGTAGGAAGGTTGTTACGGCAGTTAAGACCCGTGTCTTCGGATGATAATGATATATCCGGAAAGAAGGAGTATGATGATAACGAGGAAGATGATGAAAACGGGGAAGTGGAGTTGGTAAAGAGGACAGCGGGACCGGCAAAGCCAGCTGTCAGTTTACCTGATGACTATAAGGATGGGGTGATACGCAGGATCTTAGAGATGTGCTCAAAGGATACCTATGCGAATATGCCAGACTTTGAATGGTATATTGACGTATTGGTTCAATTGGTGAGGTATTGCCCCGGGGAGATTAAGTCAAGTGGGGGCCAGAGTTTGGATGATGAGGATTTTGAGGAAGCCTACATGGCGGGAGGAAAGGTTGATGTTGGGGAGGAGATTGGGAGGGAGTTAAGGAATGTAGCGGTGAGGGTTAAGACAGTTAGGAGGCAAGCAACGGAGGCAGCGGAGTTGTTGATGGGGAGGAGTAGTACGATGTTCCCAGTTACCGGAGGCGGCGGGAAAAGGGTGCTATTGGCAGCAGCATGGATCGTGGGAGAATACGCAGAGTATGCAAAGTTTCCTTTTGGGTGTTTTGGGGTTTAGCGGGTGCTAACTTATTGATGGGGATTAGACATTTACGAAGTCCTAACGAGACGATTGATTCTTTACTACAATCGTCAAATGCATCTTTACCAGCGGATGTGGTCTCGACTTATGTCCAGGCCATACCAAAAGTCTATTCCTATCTCACATCGAATGATTCTATCGCATGGACACCGGAACGGAAAACAACAGTTACGCTTCTTACGAACAGGGTAGTCGAGTTTCTGGAAACACTCAGCTCTTCACCTCACTTAGAGGTTCAAGAACGAGCGGTTGGTTTCCTGGAAATATTTAGATTGGCAAAAGAGGCTATAGCCGAACAACCCGCCAACGCGAATAGAATACCAGACGAAGACGAAGGTGGAATACAAGAAGAATACGACCCGCCGCTAATACTTACCCAGGCGATCCCTAGTCTCTTTCACGGGTTTGAGTTGAACCCTGTGGCGCCAAGAGCCCAAAGAAAGGTCCCAATTCCTGATACCCTCGACTTGGAGACTCCTATAAACTCCCAATTGGCTTTCTTGCTAAGCTCCGCGGACTATGACGCTGGGGTAGGAGATTTTGACCCGACGGCCGCGGCTGCGGACGAGGAGTTTGAGAAGTTTTACTACCAGAAACCCGTGGTTGTTGTTGAAACAGCTGCCCAGAGAATCGATCGAGCAGCATCCAATGCTTCTGGTGGGGATAAACATGGTATTACAGGGTCGTATCAGTCTGGAGAGGACACCTATCTTGATCCGGACATCGTAGCACGGAGGAAAGCTGAGAGAAGGGAGAGAAATAAAGACGATCCATTCTATATTGGAAGCACGGGAGCTAGTGGAATAACTACGCCTAATCCTTTAGGGGGTGAGCACTTTGATATCGATAGTATTCCTATTATGAAGTTGGATCTAGGAGATGGTGTAGGTTTGATAAAGGAGGGTAATGTAGGGGCACCGGTTCCAAGAGTCAAGGTTGAGATTGCTGCCGATGAAGGAGATGGTATGGACGATGGCGAGGATATCGAACCTGTTGGGGTTGGGAGCTTGAGGATCAAGGGCAAGAAAGGCAAGGGCAAGAATATACTCAACGTTGATTCGAGCAATCTTGTTGGGTTCTCGTTGGAAGAACCCGAGGAAGACTTGCTTGCCCAGGAAGAAGATGTGGCAAAGGCGAAGAAGGAAGTGGAAAGACTTAGAGGCGAGATTGCTAGGGCGGCGGAGAGGGTTAGGGTTCCGACTGTCCAACCAATTGTTGAAGTTCCACCACAAGCTCAAGCTCAACCCACAGAGGTTGCGAAGAAAAAGAAGAAGAAGAAAGTGGTGGAGGAAGGTGACGACGGTGAGAAGAAGAAAGTCAAAAAGAAGAAAAAGAAGGAAGGGGAACAGGGAACCGGCGACCAAGCGGAAAGTATACCTGTTGTCAAGAAGAAGAAAAAGAAGAGGCGATCGTCAACAGCGGAAGCGGGAGGGGATGCCGGCGAGGATGCCGGGTGAGGTGGTGGAGCTGTCTGCGTCTTGGGTAGGCAGATAGTGGTGCTGGCGAGCAGGAGGAGCAGCAGCTGTACAGTAAAGAATTATAATTATAACCAAAACCTGCAAGGCCAAGGAAAAACCTGAAGCGTCGACGGATGATTTGATATTGCATTTGAGGCTCGTTTCACGCTGGAACAGAAATCTCGAAGTGGGCCCACAATGACGATGGACACGTCATAGATCACGAAGGAAGAGCAGGCCAGATGGGAAGCCCAGGTCTTTAGTCACGTTGGCAGCATCTCTGTCGACGACATGGCAGCCAGCGATGCATCTGTGAGAAGCTGTCGATGAGGGTGTCAGACATTAAGCAATGATGTGTTGGCTGGTGTTGTCAATAATATCTTGATCGTTAAATGCAATGCTCACAGCCGCAGCAGCCAGGCCGGACTGTAACATATCATACATACCCTTTCCCTTGGGGGGAAAGGGAAAAACCAAGGGAGATTTAGACGGTCCAGTCCAGTCAGACTAGACAGCATGTCAGCCCCACCATCGCCAGCCAATCCTCGAGCGGGCATGGTTGCTGCCAGATTCGGCTGCTCTTCATGCATGTTTGTTATCGATACTGCGAGCAATCCAGCCTAGACAGAGCCCTTGAACCCTGGTGGAGAGCTAGTTAGCGGGAGATGGCGAATCATGACATTCGAGGCCTGGGGCCATCGGCAAGACCATGCATGGATGGGAAGCTGGAGCTCGTTTTCGCATTGAACCAGACCGTGCTAGCGGTTACGCCGTCGAATGGCGTACGAGGCCGGTACCGTTACCTGGTAGGCGATGGCAGAGATGGCGAGATAGCCTGTGCAGAACGGTAGACGGGACTCGTAGATGGAGTGCCAATGGGATGATGTGCCTCTCTCATCAAGCTTGCAAGCTGACATTGTCATGTTAGTCCCAGTCCGCTTGAAAATGTTATATATGATACACTGCACTGTACGGTACCATGTAATAGGCAACTTTCAAAATTAGTAGGTTTAGGTTAGAAACCCCACGTAAAGTCGATTGAGGCTTGATGTTCGAAGGAGGAGAAAGTGAATCTGAAGGTCGAGGATACTAATATATCCCGGCCACCCTCCAACTCCACACTTCGACATATATATGATATATGTAGGCTGCTTCTCCCCCCTCGTCCAACCCTGCCCTGCTGGAGTGCCCTGCCCCGTCTGCGGATGTTGCGTGCGTCGGTTGTTACATACACACAACAGCCCTGTCGTGCCCGTCCCGCTTTCTAAATTCGAAATTCGAAATTTCTTTTCTTTTATTTTCGTTTCGACGAATTTGCCGGAAGAAAAAAAAAGGAATATTAATCGTCAAGGTCGAATCGAGAAGGGTAGACGCTTCAGTATCAAGAGCTCGCGCCCGAGAATGGCTGCAGGCTAACCTAGGCTAGGATTAAAACGTCTGTTCTCCACCTTTCCCCCCAGACCAGAATTATATCTCGAGCAGCCCACCCTTTCTCGGACTGCTTGCATTTTCAACCTTCAACTTCAGCGAAAAAGAGAGTCCCGGCATCGTCGCTGTAGACTGCCATCCGACGGGACGCTGACGACTTGAGTCGAGAGCTTCCGGTAAGCTTGGGGAGGAATCGCCCGCTGGTCGAGGAATCAAGCAAGCAATTTTGTATTTCTGTAATGACGGCTCCCACGAACGAACACCTGACGACAGCTTTTCTCATGCACCATCGGATTCAAGCGACCTGTATTTTGTATATTTCGCACCTTGAAGATTAGGACACACATATAAAACCATATAGGATAGCATCGCGGCCACATATTTTCTTACCTGATATTTGGCATCATCTTGTTTCCCTCGTTTTCGTCGATAAACCCTTCCTGTTCCTCTTTCTAACCCGGCATTTGCACCCCAATCCCGCCCGTCGAAAACGACGTCTTCATATGGCCCATATCTCGGGCTCCTGTCGAACTGTCCCGCACCGTAGTTAACCTTCTGCAGAGAGTCGTCTCGAACCTCCCTCTGTGCTTCCACGCAGGACATCCCTCCGACAACCAGCTTCCCCTCCCTCTAGCTTGCAGGGTCTCGTCCAGTCCAGTCGATCCAGTTTCTGTATCGTACGCCTCCTCTCCTGGCCTTCCCTGCCCTGCCGACCTCGCGTTCTGGTTTGACTGCGAGTGCTGCGTGCGTCTGTTTGAGCTGTTCTGGATTGGCCCTCCAACCGAGAAGGACGAACGACGCATCTCAACCCAGCCAACCAGTCTCGCCGGGCATCGTTTCTCCCATCACATCGCTGCTCGCCCGTCAAATCACAAATCCTGACTCCACCGATAGACCCTTGGTATTAATTTTGCCCACAATCCCGTCTAATCCCTTCTCCTCTTTTTCTTTTTTCTCTCTTCCTTCCATTTTTTTTGGTTTTATTTCCAAAAGTGTTCGTTGCTGGGAAGAGGTTAGTAAGTTGAGTTGATTTTATATTTCCGGTTCTGATAGTCGGCTCGGTTGCTAGATGATTGACAGACATAACATGAGTTCTGGCTGGTACTGATTCCTAAGCCTGATATAAACCTTAGTTGACTTGACCATCTTCGTTCCTCTTCCATGCCATCAACCACAAACCTAAACTTCAACATCAACCTCAAATAGACCGGCTTCAACATTTAAATCACACTCTCCAGCTCGGCTAGAGAACATTCTTCGCAGAGAACAAGCTCCCGTGCCACAGATTCTTCGAATTTCCTGGATATCATTATCGAGCTGCTTGGCTGCTTGGAGCCTCATTCAAGATGGATTTCTCAGCACCTACTCGACCAATACCCACCACATCCTCTCTGTTTGCTAGCTCTGCTCCTGCCGCCAAACCTCCCTCTACGGCAAACCCTAGCAATATTTCTCATTCCCTACAGTCACAAGCCTCTAGTTCAGGTGCTTCAGGATCATCATCTGCGAGTTTAAAGCGGACATCGACAGACCTCACTGATGGACTAGGCGCGTCTGGAAGCAACACCATGCCATCTCTACGATCTCGATCAAACAAGGTTGCGAAGAACTCTCAGAATGGGGTCGATTTGTCTAATTCCCCTGGTCAACTGCAAAATGGGGAGCCGAAATCTATCAGCCCTCCTGCTCCTGTATATGATCCCAGAGATGATGTATGTCTGCTGCACCCCATACCTTTCGCTTATATTGAAAGCCATGTGCTATTTTGGATACCCCTGCTGACTGATGACTCCTACAGCAAATCAAAGACCTTCAGACGGATCTTGCTAAGCTCCAGAAATGTGCTACTTGTGTGGTCTGCCAGGATCTACTCTTTGAACCTTACTCATTAGGGTGTGGACATGTGTTCTGCTACTCGGTATAAAGCGATGACTCGGGTCCTTAATGTAAACTAAGATGCTGATGGGTGTTTCTAGTGTCTGAGAGATTGGTTTCGCCAGAAGAGGACTTGTCCGGAGTGCCGAGCTCGTGTTAGGCACCAGCCAGCTCCTGCATATCTCGTAGGTCTAAAGTTAAAATGTTTACGATGCGAGTTCTAACGATCTAATGATAGATTCGAGACATGATCGACACATTCGTCCAACGAACTATACTTCAATCGCCCCATGAGGAAGGAGAAACTCTAAAACAGCAGAAGGAAGAGGCTCTCAGGATGGTTGAAGCAGATAAGTCTGATCCACGGGGGCTCTTTGGGGGGATGTTTGCTCGAAGATCAGATCTCCAACCTATTTATGATCCTGCCGATGGTGTTGCGCGGTGCCCAGACTGTAATTGGGAAATTGAAGGTCGGGTATGCGCTAGCTGTGGACGGCGCTTTCACAACTCTGAAATGCCAGACGCCGATAGCGATGCGAGCGACGCTAGTGAATTTTCTGAGGAGGATGATGATGATTCGGAACTAGACGAAGATGAAGATAGTGTACAGGGGTCAGACGCATCGGTCAGAATGGATGATGATATGGATGACGAAGAAGACTATCACGATGACAGTGACATCGACAATGGATGGGAACCGGACTACGACCAAGATCACAGACTAGCCCTCGCACTCCAGGATTCGTACCATCAAGAGTTTATGAGATACCTTGGAGCTACGCCTAATTGGGTGGAAGAACATTTCGGCGCCGACAGAGCACTGGCGGCTAGGGAAGCGGCTAGGAACTATGTCGAACGATCCATGAGCCGTAACCTGTCAAGCCCCGGCCGATCACTACAACCAAGTTCGCCATATAGCAGAGACTCGGAAGATGATAGTGAGGAGCATACCCTTGATGAAGATGACAGTGAAATGGACGATTTTATTGTACACGATACTCCGGACCGCCGACCTCGACGCCAACAACCAGCAGCACCTACATTGAGACGGCATGCTCGGAGGAGTGTTGCTGATCTGTCCGACGATGAAGACGAGGATGACGATGAAGACGACGAACCTGTGTTGAGAAGGGACAGAGCGCGATATTTCGAAAGACATCCCATCATCATTAGTTCTGACAACGAGGACGACGAGGAAGCTGCAGGCTTGATTAGCGCAGCGGGTTATGCACAACTCGATCATGATACTACAACTGGAGACGATGACGACGATGAGGATAGCCTGGATGAGAGCAATATTGGTCAGATTTTAAGACCTGCTGGTCCTCTACGAGCAAACACCATGCCAGCAACTACTGCATCCACTAGCACGCGCCGTAACCTAAGGGAACAAGCAGCTATCGAGCATCAGCGAAGTGCCACCCCCCCAGTAACCCGGCGACGACGTAGGACAGTCACATTTCAGGTCCCAGATGATGCGGATGGGGAAAATGATAGTGACACTAGAGATGGAGAGGGAGATTTAGATATGGACAGACATTCGAGAGCAGGTTCCACCTCGTTAGCCTCCATCACCTCCAACCGAACTGACGCGTCGACTCATTCCAATCGCAGTGGCGGAAATTCTTTTTCGCAAGATACACCTTCAGTTAATGAGGATGAGTCCTCAGACGACTCTTTGCCGCGACAGCGACGGCGGAGGGCGGGCAACGCCACATCCTCGTCAAATCTTAGGCGTGCCACGACAGCTCATCCATCTGGTGGGTCACGAAATAGAACTGCACGTCCAACAAATAATGTCGACCCAATGGTGCACCGACTTTTGCGAACATTTAACGCCCAGAGGAATGAATCTCAGCTAGAGGGGCTTGGTATGTCAGTGTTGGAAAATGCAATTACATTCACGCCTAGCCCTCGATCAGCCAGCCACGATCTTCAAGAACTAAATGATCCGATCGTAATTTCAAGCAGTCCTGGTCCCACACTTTTCCAAAGGGATGGACATCGAGCAAGTCTCAGCTCTCAGACAGCCAGCAGGGAATCTAGTCAGAATCCTCTCTCCCCGTCATCTCAGCAAACTTTGACCCCATCGCGTGGAGTGAGTGTGCTCTCCAACGAGTCCACTCCCCGTCCTAGTATCGCAAGCCCCGCAGCTAATGCGATGACGGCCGCCCTATCGAACGCAACAGGCGAGCCTAGCGCTTGGGAAATGGTGGCTGCTCCGAGCAGTGTTACATCGAGCACTGCAGCCACTCTCGGGAGCACGCAAAATGGTCTTTCTAATAGAGGTATGAGAACGAGACGAAGCAACGCTGCTCTCCGGGGGCATGACATCCAACGGACAGGTACACCTACAGGACGCAATTCTACCAGGTCGAGCCGTAATGCCGCGCACGCCCCCGCAGACAGTCGAGATATTCAAGGGAGGGCCCGGGACTTTCTCGCCCAGCGTACGAGGGAGGTTCAAGCGGCAAATGCAAATGGACAGGCCTCCAACAACATGAGAGTCACGCGGAACAGCCAGGCTGCGACTACAGCTATGTCATTGCAGCAGAGAATTGCTGCCAACCGTGCAAGAGATTCCACGACACCCACTCCTGCTTCACAGAACCAACTGACCGGGAATGATCCAGCTCCACCCCGTCTAACAAGAACCGATACTGCAGGCTCTGCGAGCCGTAGATTAGGGTTTCAGATTGGACAAGGCAACAATCCAGGCCCATTGTTTGTTATCGATGATGACAACCATTAAAATTGCTTGCGCACGTTTGATTTCTTTGGTCAAATACAGCCGTTTAATCGATAACCCTACACCGGGGACGGCTAGACATCTATCTCTATTCTTTTCCTGCGGGGCACTATTAGGGTTTCTTTTCACCTTTCGCAGATTATCAGAGGACATTGTTTACGGCGCAATATTTCCTTCTTATCTTTGTCGTCCCCTGTATAACCTCTTTTTTTCTTCTCCTCTCCATGCTCGTTACTCCGAACGATTACACGACAGATCTACGATAACTATGAATGCAACGGCCGAGATACGATGCTTACTCGTGCTTCTTATCTTATCACACGCACGCACGCATGCACGCACACACCTACACACATTTGTATTACCCCTCGTGTTTACCCTTCCCCTGGATTGCTTCTTACATCCTTGTCTATTTTATTTTTATTTTTATTTTCCTGTTGCTCCCCAGATACGAGCTTTCGATTTCCGTTATACTTATACGGCCCGTAGACCTTTAGCAAAGGTGCCAAATACAAAAGAATTTGATTTATCCAAATTGGACACAATAGCTTCGGTATTACTATGTGATCATGTGTGACGTGCCACCTAAATCTTCTACAGCTTAACAGTATTGTGCTGGTTCGACTGTCGAGAACTGATTGCCGCAATTATGGTAGGGCTATAAGGCTATATTTCTTATCTCACCTCAGCTCTATCCAAATATCGAAAGATTCACAAAATCTAGAGGCGCTATCTAGTCCTTCTTCAAATCGCTCATGACTTCACTGATAACACCGCCACCGGCTGTTTTCTCCCTTTCATCCTCATCTTCCTCTTCGCCTTCTGCCCTAACTCCCTTGACAATGGTCACAAGCTGTAGACCGTCACCGACTTCGATATGTCTCTCAACAGCGCTAGTGAATGCATCCTTCACGATTTTCTCAACTTGCTCCTTCGATAGATCGACCTTGGGCCTGGGTTCCTCGCCGTTTGAGCCCGGTACGAATTGATTCTTGAAGTTGATCTGGTTGTCGAGGAAAGGGGTTATTAAGGAAGCAGCGGCACCGTAGGCACGGGATTGTTCGCGTTCGAAGGAGCCGACGTAGTCGTAAGAGTAGATTGCACCGACGCCTTTATATAGTTATAGTGTTAGTTTGGATATTTTTTTATTTGCTTGTTTGTCAAATCGATGGTAGATTTGCGGGGTTACGTACCTTCTTCATCGAGGCCACCAAGGAGGGGTTGACAGTAGTAAGGGAAAAATCGCTTTTGATACAAAATCCGCGACAACATGACCGCAGCAGCAGCTACAGTGATATGTTTATCGTGATTTCGTTTGTAATCCTATATCCCTCCCCAACAATATTTCATTAGTTACCCATTTTTCCAACTGTCTTTCCTTCGATTTATTTCCATGATTTTAAGAAGGAAAGAAGAAGAAAACCCGTAGATGAAAAGAGGAGGACTATTCCATACATCGATCTTCCTAGCCACCTTTCTTACTAACTCCTCACCATCTGCAGACATACCGACAACGCCTAATATGAGGCCGCTGCCGATATCATAGACTTTGCGCGCGGTACGGGTGTTGATGCTGTAACCTTCGGAGGAACGCGTGTCGCCGGCGATGATTACGTAGTCTTTACCCGCGATACCGAGGATACAGCCGCCGTTTTCGGTATACCTGCCATAGGTCATTAGTATATATTTTAGATAGTAGAGTTTGATATGTATCCTATATAAGAAGGATACCAGAGTATGGGCAATGGACGCTTACGGGCTCCAGTGGTGCTGTCTGGGCTGGGATGCTGTGGTCGGGTGGACATTGGGCTGTGAGTGTGGGAGGAGGTAGGAGGAGGCCATGGTGAAGGTGGAGATGTTTCGTGATTGTGGAGTTTTATGGGTATAGATGGACGACGGGTGGTGGTGGGTAGGTGGTGATGAGGTTGTGGGAGATAGCTTGGAGCTTTGGAGCTGGGTTGACGTGGGTCCTTTGATACGAAGCTCGAATTGCGTGGACACCGGGCAACACATTTTGCGGGCGAAATGCAACAGGGTTTACGGTTTTGTCCTGAGAGTTACGACGTTGCTCGTAGTAAGCTATTTCTCTAGCTAGTTTGCTCACTATTTTGGGCATTGATTTTAGTATAGAGCTTAGAATTGTATTTAAAAAATGCTGCCTATGGTCTAGGAGTTTAAAACTGTGAGATTTAGCTAGTTTCGGATCGATACTGATTCTGAACATGACTGAATTATAGCCCATAACCGTGGCACGACATATAATCAATATCCTATAATAGTTGAGCCTAACCATAGACAAAGGTGCAGAATTAAAAATCGGATAGAAATTCTGAACCTCATGACTAGACATTCCAGTGCCTTTTTCAGGGGGCCGATACTTAAAATTGTGGTAGACTTACTGCTTTTCGTACTCTCATATATACTATGTAACCAGTTACATTCTCTAACTAAGCTTATGCACAACCATTCTCTAGAGCTCTCCCAATGTGATGACATTTAACTGGTACTATAGCCTGAGTCTACATAGAAAGCATGGTCATAATTATACAAAATAGGGCTTCAGTATTGCACAAACCTTAAATGGGGTTTATTGATACTGATCTGCCGCGGCGTTAGTGAATCAAAGAAATCATCTACGTTTTCAGTAATCCGGTAACATTATAGTATTCTTGGAACACAATCTCAAATCATATTAACCCTGTATCTGGATATCCTTATTGAAATCTGCAAATGATACAGTATTAATATATTTACTCTGATATGGATAATGAATGTATCCATTTCAGATCTGCAGAACGTATGATATCAAAGAATCAAAATTATGTACCGAGAAGTACATAGGACCCTTCAGTGTTCAGAGTACCAGACTATACAAAGCGTTAAAAAATAAATGGCTTTGTAACGCTAAAAGGACATCCATATATCATAAAACGACTCTTCTTCTACAAGATCTCTAATCTGAAGTCTCGTGCCTGGTATTTTGATGTCCAAAATGTTGCATGTTTTGCGTTGCCCCAACCTATCCCATGGTCTTGGTCTTGGCAGGCTATGTCCAGTCCGCGCTGGGCGGCGACAGTATCTCGAAACCAATATCCTTGATACTTCTTAATTCACGAACACCAAAAAAATGCTGGGTTTAGTACAATACGACAGCGATGAGGAAGATAGCCAGGAAATCGAGGAACCACAATCTCCTCAAGAATCTTCAGCAAACATTAAGGTATTATCGATTAATATATCTTCTTTTTGGTTCAGTTACTGACGTGCCAGATCGCGTAGGGCGGACCCAAGGCTATAGACACAGCTACCCCTGCCATATCAACAAAAGGTATGCTCTATATCAAGGCCCAGGATCGCAACAGCTATGATAGTTAGCTAAAGCCCTCAGATGCTGCGTCCAGGAACGTGATAGCCCCCGTCGCGGCACCGACGTCTGCAGTCCTTGCGATATCCTCGCCGCCACCAATTCAAGGACCCCAAGTCCCCTCACAGAATGAGAACGATACCTTTGGACCTATGCGCCCAGTGTCAATCGAGATAGAATACCCGCCTTCCGACGAGGGTGAGAACTCAAGACCGACATCGCCTCCACTATCACCTTACTCCCACGCACGATCGCTTTTACGTTCATACACGATTCCGAATCTTACACCCGATTTCTCAATCCCCGAATCACCGCCTGGGTCTCCACCGGCGGCTACATCGAAACAATTTGCTACTTTCCTGAATCTTAAAAAGAAAAACGTTCATTTCAACCAAAAGTTATCGCAGACTATGGCTTTACGAAATCCGAATTTGTTGGAGAATTTGATGATGCACGTTGGTATGGATTCTGTGGGGCAGTATGCGAGTAATTGGAGGAAAGATATTTGGAATCCAGATCCGAAGTTTTTGGGGGAAGGAATTGAGAGTTTGAGAGGGGAGAATGCAGTACAAGCTTTGGCGAGGTTGCAAAAGGTTGGATTTGAGGAGAGGATGGCAGAGAGGAAGACAGTGGAGTTTGTGGGGAGTAGTAGTGCTAGTGGAGACAAAGGCGGTAGTGGAAAACCACAAGCCCCAATGAGTGCTGCAGAACGGGTGATGTCTGGGCTTGATCGTGAGAGAAAACCGTCACCATCGGTATCGAGGCGAGACGGACAGGGTGGTCCTATGAGAAGAGAAGATGATAGAGATCGTGACCGTAATAGGAACCGCGACGACGGGAGGAGGGAAAGGTATAGAGATGAGCCGGAAAGGCATAAACGGCATAGGTCACGATCGCGAGAACGCTCGAAGGAAAGGCAGCGGTACCGGGAGAGAGATTACGGAAGAAGGTAGTCCATCATGCAAACCAGCGGAGTGTACGATAATTAGAGATGATATATACATATTTACAAGTATCCGGTTCGTATAATGCCTTCAGGGTACCTAAACTGTCGACGACTCGACTCCTGGGCCGCATACCGTGTAATTGCCCGAAAACCGAGGGTTCGATTGGTCCGAATCCGGTTACGATTTATTTTGGGCCTTCTCAGCATCGACCACCCTCTTCGCCGCAGCAGAGATCTCTGCTCCACTCGCATTACCACCGAGTTCTGCAATTCTGGCGGTTGCATCCCGTATTATCATTCCCATATTCAAAACGAAATTGTCCTTTTGCTTCAATTTTGCAACAACCTCATCCACTATCTCAGCTATCTTTTCAGGCGCCAGGACCTCGACTCGACCAGAATATTCCTTGACAACATCCAATTGAAGCTGTTCCTTGTCGACTAGGTCCTGTCTTTCCGCGGTTTTGAAAGAGTCGATCGCAACATTGTGCTTTTTCTCCATCGATTGAAGAATCTTGAGTATATCCATGTCATTCTTCACAGGCCTAGGTGGCTGAGCCATACCAGCATTTGAGATTTCCGCAAGGATGGCCTTTTAAGATTTATATTGTCAGGTTTGCTTGTACGTCTAGTGTGACAATATAATATTTTCCAGAGGAGAACATACTTTGACGACATTGAGCCTGATTTCCTAGGTGTTAGATCACTACTATGACAAAATATATAGCTTAATGAGGTATCAAGATAAGCGCTTACTTTTCTTTATCCTTCGCTTTCATAGCAGTTTTTAGATCTTGTCTGTTCAATACATGCACCTTAGTGAATCCGTATCGGATTTTGTTCTAGATGCATAACAGGTGCTACCTTAAAGCGAGAAGTAATGCTGGTGGAGCCGGCTGTGCGGCTGCAGCCTCCGAATAAGCCCGAACGAATTGGCGCGAAAGCGATCGCGAAACAAGTAACCTTCGAGTTCCGAACATATTTACTTCTTTTTCGAGTATATTCTGATGTTGTAGTGTCGTAACGTAATCTCTTCAAGATCTAGCTCTGTGGCGCTGAAATTTCATGTCGAAGGTTTGTTCGGGCCGTAGGCGAGAGCCTATTTTAGCTAGTAGCTCAGTGCGGCGCGCCAGCTAGCTTTCCACGCGAAACCTCCATGCATTGACACTTGCAACCTCATGCCCATTCAACATTTGATGAATATTCAACCAACAACAACTATCTCGGGATATTCTATTGATTGTTACTCGAATATTTAGAGCTTTATACTACTGTCTCGTAAGAGGATGGATTAAAATCCCTGAGGGCATCCGTCTAGACTCTATCCTGCACAATGGCTCTACCCCACCAACATCTTACTCCCCAAGAGGTCTCGTTCATCTGCGAGAGCGAGCTCATCACTATCGTTCCGCGTCAAAGACTTGGAGCATTGAATTTAATATCAGTGAGCATAATCAATTATTTCTCTCTATCTAGATAGATAGCTTCTCACTAACGATCCGATACCCTTAAGATAGACACTCGTCCCTTGGTTCCACCCCAAAGAGCAGATGTCCCACTATGGCTGGCCGTCTTCCTGCGAAAGCAGAAAAGATGCAATATTGTTCCACCGGATTGGCTAAGTGTGGATTACTTGGAACGTCTTGTAAAGGAGGAATCTGATAGTGCTGCTTTCTCCCAAATGCCATGGAGATGGATGGAAGTTGCAGAAATCTTGCTAGATACGTAAGTCTTCGTGATGCCATGAAAAAACTTGATGACAGTAGTAATCTATACTAAAATATCCAATTTCGTCATGAATAGATGTTCGGAAGATTTGATCTCCCCGTCTGATATCGCACTACACATTAGGTCGTTGCGAGAACTCAGGCAGGCGAAGATACGAGCCGGTCTGTCAGACCAAATGAACAGCTCTTATATTAAAATCAACAACTTGGGCTTGATGGAGGTCTGTGAGATTAGGCCATGGGTTGGCAAAGTAGTTGACGGTCTCAGAAAGATTGAGGGCGAAGCCGGATCGACTGCTGCTAGGAGGAGAAGAGAGGATATCGATGCCGACGGCGATGAGGATATGGACGACGATGGCTACTGATGAGCCATCTATTCTGGTTGATTTTGGTACACTCGATCTCCCTTCCCTTGGGCTTCTCGATCAGCGAACCTTGATCAACAGGATAAACCTAACTCGAAAACTGCATGAATATCTAACGATAATCTAGTTTTCACTGCTCTCAAATTGCTCTCGTTCTCTGGAGCTTTGTTCGAGATTTTTTCTCTTTTCAAAACATTTCCGAACTGCAAAATATCAGGAATCGGGGCCACGTCTTTCCCTATTATTCGTCTCCATATCTATACGACCCAATCTTTATCTTACGACTCAACTTCTCCTTCCAACTGCTTACTTTAATGTTATTTCCCTTCTTTGATTCCTCAAGCGACTCTCTCAACTACCTAATTTTACAACCCACACTGTTCTCTTATCAGCAATTCCTCTCTTCTTTCGTATCCTAGCTTATATTGTTCTTGAATTCAACAATGGTATCGACCCTTCGGAAGTCAATAGGCAATAGGCGACGGTTAAATCGTTTGGCCGAAGGAGAGGTACCTCAACTAGCGTCTCGGAGACAACGTTTACGTCGATTAAAGCATCTAAGAAGAGTGTGTAAAATCACTCGACCAACTACGGCGCTATCTATTCGATCAGCCGCCACAGAAATCTATCGGCTTAAACAGGTGTTTTACAGAAGGTTAGCTCCTCTGTATCTCTTCTGTTGAACAAACATTGACTCTTCAAAATCAGGTCACTCGAAGAGCCTCAAGAATCCGATATAGATGACGGGGAGTCCTCTCCAGCTGCTGCACCAAACCAGTTCGGATATTCAAACGCCGCTACCGCGAGTAGTGACGAAGCTTTCTGTTTAGCCTTAGAACAATTGGTTCTCGACACAACTCAAGATAGTCATATCCAAAGAGGGGACCTAGTCACTATGAATCAGCCCAGTGTATCAGGTGCCATACAAGATCTACTCGTGGGAGTACTAATGAATTTATCTTTGACGCCGACTAATTCCGAAGATGGCAATGCAACCGTCAAACCTAACAAAGATGTTAATCGCAGAATGACGATTCCGGATTTCATCAATTATGTTAACGGCAACCAGTGTACCAAGCGGATATTTGAGCTTCATCTAACCTTAAGGCAATTGCCACCAGGTAACACTTGGAAAAAGAATTTCCTCGCGGTAATGCAGGATATTCAAGATTACAAGATTAAATCCTTTCCTCCCAACATGGGGTATCTATATCGACATGGTGTAATGGTTCACGGTCGAAGTCTATCAATCCAAGAACGCGATAAAATTCTAAAACATATCCGCCTAGAAGACCTCGAACTATGTTGGTGGGAAACAGTAAGTAATTGTCTTGTACGAGACCTCGTCGTTCCTTTTGAGTTTTCATAATTTGAGCAGTGCTGTGTGCTGCGGGTTATTTCATATATCTTTTACTAACTCAATTTGTTTTATAGGGACCTGAATCAGCGGACCTACTGCACAGAAGACTTCCTGCAGCGAGGAATGAGACGGATTCTAGTCCTGAAACCTATCCAGGCTTCTCGTTTGAGCTTGACGCTATCAAAATTCTTCGAAGTGGGACAGTTACACGGGGATTTGGAGTAGGCATGCCCCCCTTTGTGGCATCTGGGTAGTCTCGTCTTCAGACGCCAGTTGGCCACAAGTGTTATGACCAGCCGCCTGAGGCCGTAGGTAAGAAACCAGGATAGGCTGGTAGTCATAAAGGCTCGAAAATTCCAGACTTTTGGTTCTGTGAACAGTGAGCAAAGTGCGGGTGGATATCGATACATGATTCTCGTTTAATTGGCCTGAATTTTTGCATTGTTCACAGGCTTGGTTGGCTTTGATATGGTGTACAATTGTACGATACGAACAGTTACTTTCTTTGTATTTCATGGTCGTAGATGTTATCACAAATGAACTATCCCAAACTATGGATACTTGTGCCGAAGCTTGGAATAGATCGCCTACTATTCCTACATGAGCTTGCATATGTAGAATCTTTCTCATGCAACACACATGCTCTTGAATATCGATCAGACTCATGATAACACAAAAACTTGCAATTTGGAAATTTGTCGCTGTATGGGCTTCACGCGATCCGCCTGTAATCTTGTTACAAGACTGTGTGGGCCTCGTGACTAAGGATTTGGCTTATTATTTTCATTCCAATGCAATAGGGAGTATTATTTGATACTGGATGTGTATAAATACGTGCAGTTAGGTTATTCTGATACAAGGCTACCGGTACCAAACTGCAGTGCTGCATGAAAAGGAACAAACATCAATTGCAAATCTACAAGGCTGCTCCAAACCGTGTTAATTTAATTAGTAAGTACATGTCGAACGCGAACGCCTATGCCGAAGACAAAATGAACGACGCGGCCTTAACCAAGAAACATGACCTACTCGAGCAGATTCTGTTCGCACCTTCGCCAATACTGGAGAGTCTTGAGTTGAACTTGAGAACTAGGGATGTAATATCACTTGCAGGTGTTTGTCAAAGGTGGAGGGGGTATCTTATTCCGGGTTATCATGGTATGTATACATACATACTTAAGTACAATACTATGACTTCCGTCGCGCATGATATATAAACCTTATATATCAATAACCCTGATTGTGTATCCTCATTGAAGAGGATTAATTGTAAAATTCAACTTTTCTAATCGATCATCTTTAGATATCGAATCGAAGGGAGGAGTCGAAAAGATTCATGACGACCAAAGTACTATATCATGGCACCCTCTCCTCAGAACTATCCGTCCCTGCACCCAAACCTCCCTTCAGAGGCGACATATCATCTGTAAAATGGGACTTCGGTGCTGGCCTCCCCTCCCACAAAGTTACGACAACACCAGCTTCGAGGGCAGTCAAAATCACAAAGCCAAGATGATAAACCCCGCCCAACTCATGGCCATTTTCGGTGATAGATATTTCTCTACCGCGATAACAAGGATCCACCTAGAGGGACTAACGAAAAGGATCGGTGGTGGCGACAACGGCCCTTTACTCGAATTTATTTTTCAATGCAAAAATCTCGTTGAGATTAGTTTTCGATGGAGTAGTTTGGTAGATGTTGAGGAGCTTGCTAGGGAGTTTGTGGAGGATCCTGAGGGGGTTTATGAACAGCAATATAGAAAAAAGTGGAGGGGACGTTGGCCAAGTGAACCTCTAGATAAGATGACTGAAGCTATTCCACCGAAGTTGAAGAGGGTTTTGTTTTGGGGTGCGGGGAGGATACCGTCGATGGAGTATGAGATTGGAAAAGAGCCCAGGAAATGGCAGGTGATTAGGGGGGCCCTCTTTGACAAGTGGAATTTGAAGGAGTGTGTGAGTAGATTGATGGAGAGGTATCAGACAGATGTCGAATGGTGTGAGAATGAAGTTCACTATAGAGGTACCGGTGAATGCCGGTCGAGGGGGAAGTGGGATATGAGATTACATGAGAAGGTGAAGCAGAGATGTGAGGTCTGTGAGAGTATCGTGGAAGCGCAGTGCATTGTTTGTGATCTCCGGAATGTTTGTGATATATGTCTGGGGTTTGTATGCAATCGGTGCTTGAAGGTGAGAAGTTCTTCGGATACAGGTGAGTCCCCGAATCTCTTTAAATATCTATATAATATATATAAAATCCTGGGAGAAGAGAGTCTAATGGATATGTACGCCCAGGAACCCAAAATCAGGAGGATATTTCAGATTTCAACATGCTCCAGTTCCGCTGTATCAGGCCCCCCTGCGAGTGGCGAGGCGGAATCCACTACATCCACCCATCTTGCTCCCCGTCAAGTATAGTCTGTACCAACTGCAGTACCCTTTCGTGTGACTTTCGCCCAATTATGTGTAAATTCTGCGGTGCGGGCAACGACTGCTGTCGGAAGGGGAATATGCACTGTCTGAAGTGTCGGACAACTCTCTGTAGCGGATGTGGGAATTGTGAAGTCGATGGGGGTGGGCATGCGGACTACCACAGAGTAAGGCCGGTTAGGCGGTTTAGGTAAAGTGTAGCTTTGCATTTAATATTGGCATTTAGTATTTGCATTTGCAATTTGTCGTCATAGATAGTGTATCTGTTAGTCTCAGCTCCTTTGATTGGTGGGTATATTTACGATTGAAGAATGATGATATAACATTTCATTGCAGAATTTATAAAAAACCCCTCCTGCCTATATGACATCTGTATCTTTAGAGAAGGCGTAGAGGAACTAAAGAAAAGACCATGAGAGAGACAAGAAACAAGACGAAAAAAGAAAAAAAAAGAATAGCTAGTGCGCGTGATATAAGAGACGATATAGTTCGTCCACTAATAGGCCTTAGCTTAGCAGAGCCACATACGCATGCATGCACGATCGAAACATATATATAAAACAAACTGAACAATCTTTTTAAGCCCATTTCCCCAACAAAGCCATTAACCCGGCTCCCAAAAGAGTGCAAGTCAGCATAAATGCCAATTTCCTGCCATCTCTGGTTCTCTTCGGATCGAACAAGAAGTCCCTAGCCAGTAGTTCAACCAATCCTGTATAGATCAAGATACCCGCAGACAGCGAATCTAAAATGCCACTGACGACGTTGGCGGTGAATGATCCAGGATTGTAGGATCCTCTTAGACCCAAACCAATGGCGATGGCAATTGGGGTGGAAAGACCGTATGCAAGACACAGGATCCAGGGAAGCCGGCTGCCAGTTTTGAATGGGATAGCAGACATACGGGCGCCGATCCCGAGACCTTCGAAGCCTTGGTGGAAGACGAGAACTGTATTCCAAAATCCATTAGCCCAAAAGTTCTTCGAATCAAAGGAATATCAAGAAATAAACTTACCAGGGAACAAAGTATTAAACTCTTCGCCAGCAACCCCCAAAGCCAATCCAATGATCACAGAGTGGAAGATAACCCCAAACTCCAAGATCAAAAACGCAGAAAACTGCGAATAAAAATCCCGTCGGTTATAAACACTCTCCACATCACCAACATACTCTCCAGAAGCATCCGACTTGACATTCTCATTCGAGGCTTCCTTTGGCTCTTGCGCTACGTACATATACCCGTTAGCTATACTTCTAAATAATGAAAAAACATATGTACTAAAAAAGTACTTACAAAACCCCGCCATGCTCGTAACTTTACTACTAGTTGCCTCCCCAGCAACTTCCGCCTCGGTCCTTCCATTCTCAAGTCCACCATCGTGTCCGTGCGTCGCTCCAAACTTCGCTTCTGCGTATCGTTCCGCGATAACGTCGACCAAGAAGATTAGCATTATACTAACCAACGCAATAGCTGGTGGCCAGGCGTATTCCGCCCAACCGCCTGTCATGCCGACACATGATGCCGGTCCGATAGCTTCGTATGCTGGTGCGAGGAGATGGATAAATGCTGTGGCGACGATGACGCCGGCGCCGAAGTATCTGGCGAAAAGGTAGATGTATGATGGGACATTCAGTCCTGGAGCACGACGAGCGGCAACAGGGAAGACTGTGCAAACAGTCGAGACAATTAGGATTACAAAAAGAGCGGCGATGCGTATACCTATTTTTCAAGCAAGTGTTAGTTCTTATTATGTTATGCATGCATGTAAATGAACGACTATATGTTATGGGAATGGAATAGAATAGTATCTTAGTATAGTTTACTCACCCAATCGGCCATCATATTCATTCCCTTCAGCACTCAAGAAACAAATGATTTGAACAGGATCTGCTGTGGTTAGATCCACATTGGTAGGGTCAAAGGGAGCATCTGATGCTTCAGCCTCCATCTTTGCTTGCAATAACCTACTCCCAAAGGCTTCAAAGAGCCCTTTTGAGTTAGAGAATGTTGGATTTTGTGCGTTGGCTTACTAGAAAGGGACTTTGAATTGAAGCTGAAGATATATCAACCGAATATAAGAGAAAAAAAGCGGTCTGGTCAAAGCTCCCAAAGAACCACAAGGGAAAGGGAAGGGGGGGATACCAAGAGGAAAAGAAAAGAAAGAGAAGCAAGATGAGAAAGAAGGACAAGAAAGAAGAGCCGCTTCCCAAGAAAAAACCAAGCCGCTATTTATGTATGAACGGGCAGAGGACTACGTTCCCCCCCCAGGCATTTCCAATTCTTTCCTTTCTACCGTGCTCCACTATCATACTTCTTCTCTACTCTACTCTACTTTACTCTATTACTACAAGGTATCTAGAACAGGAACTACACTTTCTTCACAATTCACACACACATGCACACACACACTACTTGCGAACTAAACTAACTAGACTTTTTCAGCCCATGTGCATCCTATGCCATTATGCAATGCCCGGTCCACCCCCCCTGGCTAGGTTTCAAACTCTCTTCTCTGACTTGTCAATTTCATCAACCGACCCACGCTTCAAACCCGATTTCCAAGTTCCGGACCGCGAGGTTTTCGTCCTAAAACAGTATAGTCTTACGTTTTTTTCTTGATCTAACAGATAAACTAACAAAAGTGGGTCCCCGGCCGGTCCGTTTGGGGGGGTTGGGTTCGCAAGTCGGAGAATCGCGGGCGTGATAAATCAAAGGACAATTGTGTGAAGCTAATGAGAAGGAGGAAGTTGGAGGACTTTTTTTTTAGATAGATATGATGATGTAGGTATCTATGGATGAATGGTTCGAAAGTACCCACCCCCAGGATATATTTTTTTCTCACACCACCATCATCATCGTCAGGGACAAATCGGCAATATCTTTTATGATAGTTACAGCGGTTAACGTTATGGGGTGGGTAGTATTTTGCATTAATACCTTATTCTTTTGCATTCTTTGTTCCTTTGTTTTCTTGCTAATATAATATGTGTCGATAGAAGTATGCGCATGCAACAGGCATCCAAAGCTAAAAAGAACAAATCCCAAGATATGCAGTACCATCATGACCTTGCACCGGAATACACTTCCAATAACCCGCCGCCAAAAAAAAACAAAAAGATCAAAATCTTATGATTTAAGATCTCCCCCATAAAAAGTATAAATACCCCAAAGCATCTTTCAGCCTTTTTTTAAAAGGGACCCTTTCCTCTGTACGTCTCCAATTTTTCCTGTCGATTCAGCCCATGCTGTGTTACACTCCTCCCCGGTTAAAGGAAAGAAATGGAAGACCTCCTTCTCTCGATATTTTGAATTTAACCCAGTTAACCTCTACTTACTCATTTACTTACTTATCTATCGACTTACATATTACAAACCACATTCGCATTCGCACTATACGATGGTGTGTGAGAGAGTGAGTGTAATATCATGTTTAGCACGACATCGCACTCCGGAACCATTTAGTGTGGGTGGCCCCGAATCGTTTGCTTCGCAAAGCTTGTCATTCCATTGGCGGGGGCGTTCTTGGTTCCAATCAGCCCCATCAAAGAGGATCAAATACTACTCCGTACCGTCCGCAGGGTACATAAAGTAAGGTCGGGTCGGAGTCTATCGGAACTAAAAAGAAGACCAACCAAGTAACGTAGCTAAGAGCTCGTCTTTTTTCTTTCTTTCGAGCCTTGTTACATATTTACATACTGACTAACATACATAAAGTACTTACCATATTTTATGCATCGGCACTCGTGGGGTACATACATACATACTTGAATACGAGAAATATTATATACCGATAATTAAAGTTCTTTTTTTTTTTGGTCTGATATTGACTTATGATTTCGTCTCTTCTTTTCGTTCTCCCCCCTCACTTCATCCCACCTGCGCGCTCCGTCATGCAGGATAATTATGCTGGCGAGCTAGTTTTAAAGGATAACATTGGTTGGAAACTACCACCCTTCACGAATATCACCCACACCCAACCGTTTAGAATTTTTCTTCGATCGGTGGCTGCATAGACGGCAGGAAGGGGGACATGTTTCGAGCTTAGCCGAAAAAAACAAAAGGGTATCTTCAAGAAGAAAAGAAAAGAAAGGCGAAGAAGACGAAAAAAATGTCTCGCCGTTCGGAGGCCCCACAGATCGAAGGGTATAAGGTCACTAAGCCAGTACGTAATTAACTTCTTTCACTTGTTGGATTGTGAAAGAGGAGCCTAACTAGTGCTATGTAACCTTATCACTCCACTGAATCTTAAATCCACTTTTCGAAAGAAAAAAGATATCTACATGGAAAAAAAGAAAGAAAGAAAGAAAGAAGCTCTCTGATAACAGTAGCAGTAGTACTATAATAGTAGTAGTAAGAGTAACGGTTATTTGTAATTATCCTGCATAATGCGCCGAGGAATTCAAAAAAGCCTATGTTCGACCAAAAGCGAAAGGATTAGTAAAGAGAAGGAAAGCTAAAAACTACAACATTAACAAAGAAGGTGGTCGAGTGACCTCATACTACCATGATAATGGAACCTAACTTCCCTACTACATACTTACACACTTAACCTATATGTAACAAAAGAAGACCCCCTTCGCATAACGCACGTCGTACCCATGTCAATGGAAATATGCAAATAGCACACGATTGATTGCTAATCGACGCATGCTGCTGTCCCATCAATTGAATATTCCATTACCGATATCCCCATGTAGTAACCTACCTCGCTTGGATATATGCAAAACTAAAAGGAAAGAAAGGAAAAGAAAGAAAGAAAAAAGAAAGATAGATATATATCTCTAGATATATACATAAAATACCCAAGCTAGCACGTCTTTTTAACCGTCATGCACTTTTTTTCCATTCGAGAAATGCATGTGAGGATATACATAACTTAACTACTAAAGTACAAGGCTGACAGAGCATGTATATATATTATTAATATCCAATATTCGATCCGTCCCGTCGTGTCGTACAGCCGAACACAAGCTACCTAGTTCGAACTTGCGGGATATCGGATGATATGACAAGGGGGATCAATCACCATTAACGTCGAGTCTTCCAACTCAGCTGACCCGTATGCATATACATCCGTTATATATATATTAACTTTTGCAAACTGGAGCTGGAGAATTGAATAAATCTCCAAGCCTAGGCAAATGTATTCCAAACACCCAAACCCTGGTTTTTGTGTCACCGACGCCGGCTCCGGATCGGTTAACGTTTGTCTGGGGAAAGTCTGGAACTTCTAGTAGTATATACGAGTCCTTGACCTTGTACATATACTTTACAGAACCGGCCGGTGCTCACGTGGGGTACATTTGTAAAATAAATACGGTTGGCATATTTTTTTTTTTTCATATTTTAATTTATAGTACATATCGAGACGAAGAGCCTCCCGACTCATTTGCAACCAGGTATAGCTAGCTATAGGAGAGCAAAGGCCGTTAACTTATCGATTCAATGTATAATAGTATATGTCTAATGTATCGAGTTGTACACTTATATTAGAGCAAGGGAAAGTTAAAGGTTTAAAATCGCTGCCGGCATAGTAAGTTCAGGGAGTTCATCTGTATTGAGAGCCAAATGAAGGCAGCCAAGAGGGAAAATACGAAAACGCGGCAGTTGTAGAAGTTAGAAAACGCCATTCCCCATCGAATTATAGCATTAACCTCCCGACGAATTCGAAGCTCGCATATTTAAACAAGTTAATAGGACAGGAAAGAAAAAGAAAAAGAAGCTATGCGTCTAGGAAAAAAAAAAAGATAAAGATAAGAAACGAAATAAAACCCCTGTCCGGGCTCTCCTCATCATCCCCTCCTCCTCCAGTCTTTATTCTGCACAACTTCCGTTTCAGCTTTCAATATCAACCATGATAGTTGCCATTTTCAACCCAGCTTCTTCAATCGACGCATCTAGATGATCAATAAGATTCTTTCCCAGACATTTCAACTCAAATTCTTTATCCGCCAATCCTTCATCACCAGTTTTCGTTGCCTGTTCGGGCAGTAAATCGGCTTTGACGTACTCGAAGATCCGTTCAACGCTGTCTGCAAGGGTGAACCGTCTAACAACTCTCGCTCCATCTGGAAGCCTGAATTGAACTCTCGTCACTGCCGGCGCACCCGCTGGGGGCTCAGAGTGATGCTTGTTCTTCGCTATCGAAGCAAATACCGAGACGGGTTCTGCTGCGCTCGGCTCAGCTGGCGCGGGGGCAGCTGGAGGAGCGTCTGCGATATCCTCATCCAAGTTGATTAAATCACCTTCACCCGCAGCCTTCTGCTTCCCTTCCTTTCTAGTCAACAGATCTGGATCTTCTGACTCTTCGTTTTCTCCTTCTGTAGCTCCGACCCCCAAACTCTGCTGTAATGCCAATTGCATCATTTCCTCCTCGGTCATATGTTCCACACCACGGGACTTCTCCTTCGGCTTTTGTTGTACTGGCATCTTGACGGAAGGATCCAATGAATACCTTTCTAAGAACTCATGCAATTGCATCAAAAACTCATTCTTATCGGGAACCCGACTCCAACTCTTCAACAACTCCCCAGTACGAGGGTCAATGATCCCAATATGTGGATAATCAACCGTAACGTACCGACTAGCGTTTAGGTACAAGTTGATGTATTGTATTCCATCCACTGAATCATTGGCGTATTGCAAGAAAATAAAATTTTCTTGGATGGTAGAACGGATTGCGGGGTCTTTCCAAATATCACGGTTGAGGACCTGGGAGTCAAAAACCGTGCTATCTTGAATATTGACCATGAGCCATTTGAGACGTTCTTTACCGATATCTCGACCGCTTGAGAAGTCGGCACGAGTCATAATTTCGAACGGTGGAGTGTAAAGCTCGGCGAGACGAGAAGCTCGACTAGAGACATTCGAAGCGCCATTGGTAGCTTGGGCAAGGGCGCGGCGACGCTGAGCGGGTGTTACCTGCGCATCAGAGTCGCCAAATGCCAACGGATCATCGGGAACACGCTGGTTGAAGATGCCGACTGGGCCACGACCTATGAGTTTGTAATGTTAGTAGCTAGATTCGTATCTTATATGTAAAGCTTGTTGGTGGTAATTGCATACCCTGTGGTCTTCCCGCTGTTCGATTTCTATGCTCAACCATCCGCCTGATGTGATCGTCGCCGGGCCCGACTAAAGTTTCTGTAGTTCGAGCCATAGGAGCTCGAACACCATCCATATCCTCTTCCCTCCAAGAAGGAGCAGCATTCCGGCTTCCACTACCCCCAGCTTCGGCATATAGCTCTTCTTGTAACCTCCTAGCCATAGCTTCATCGTCTTCGTAAACTTCTACATTTCCGCCACTTATTCCTCCTATATTCCCTATAGTCGGTTCGGATGCAGCCGCAATGGCTCTTGCCGTTTCCATATCTTCGTCATCGTCGTCATCAACAGATATAGCATCACTACTAGTTCTACCCTGATGTGCCAACGACGGCTGGTGATGTGTTGTGGAAGCTGCAGGAGCGGCAGCTGGCTGAGGTGGTGGGGCAGCGGCGGAAGTGGAGGACGAAGTACCACCAACGGTAGAGCTCAAATCAGCACCATCGTTGGCGAAAAACAGCTCGATGGCTTGCTCGAGGTTCCATTCGGTGAGGCCTAGATATGTTTCGGCTTTGTTGACAGAAGAAGTGTTGGTTATGGCGACGAACTGCGCGAGCAGCTCCTCGCGAATATTGTCCATGGTGGGGAGATTTAGGTGGGCTGCAGGTCTTGGCCTGGTGGGTAGGTGACAAATTGCCGGAGGGTTTGAATACGGTGGATATCGGATTTTAGCTTGTTGACAAAGCTGTAGAGGTTATCGAAGGAAGTTGCAAAGCTAGAGCTTTACTTTATGTGAGATGACTAGTGGTATTGGTGAAGTTGGTGAGATGAAGAAGAAGAAGAAGAGGAAGAAGAAGAAGAGGAAGCTAGGAAAGAATGACGGGGGTTGAGAAGGTTGACGCTGGTTGGCGTGCTGCGTGGCAAACGTCTAAGGGCAAAACCGCGGTAGCCGTTCTTACAGACTAATTTAAGGATGAACTATAATGATGCCTTTATCGACAAACCCGCTCGACAGTTATACAGTTATGATAGTCCGGTTTAATAAGTTTCGGAGTATTGTCTTTGGACACACGGTGAAAGAACTAAATTTGGAAATACTTCTTCGTGGTTTGCTTAAGAAGGATCCAGTCAATTTATTAAGATTGCTGTTGAGTCAGGGCGTAACCAATATCTGACCCAAGATGCATACTAAGCAGCTTAGCTGAAGTCCTCCACCAAGCGAACGTAAACTCGAAACGGCCAGGCGGAAGTTGCTGCTTAGCAAGCAGTAACCCCGAATCGAACCCGGGTTTATTTAGTTTAGGAATCCCGCCACCGGATCATGTATTATAGTACAAATGCATAGCTAACGCTAAGTAATTGCTTCAAGTTAAAAAAAAAAAAAAAAAAAAAGAGAAGGAGAAAGAACTAAAAAACCAAAACGAAAGGACTTAGTCCGCCGGTAGAAGCAGTCATTAGGGTATATATGTGGACTGGTATGTCGGCAGAGATAGTGTATCTATCTTATAATACACTCCGCGGACACCTATCCACCCGACAGAAGCAAGATGCCTTAACCTCCACATCCGCCACTGCCCTTGCAATCCTCAACTGTAACTCCACCAGTCCAGCTTCTTCCTCCCTGCCCATCTTCCTCAAGCATTCGTGATACCCATGTAAAGCCCACACGTTGTTCGGATGCTGTCTGGCCCTAGGCACACTCTTGTCAAACCCCAGGTCCGCCCTATACAGCCCCGCTGCCCTCTCAACTTCCCCTTGCTCCAGTAGTAATGCAGCATATGCATGTCGCGTAGGCATCATCCAACCCCATGGTTCTCCATAGATCAATCCGTCATCTAGCTCCACTGCCTTCCTGAGTGCCTCGAAAGCGACCTTGTAGTTGCCTTTCCTGTATTCCAACTCCCCGAGTAGCATCTCTCTCGCCACGGCGAGCACATTAAGACTCTTATTCGTCGCCGTTAACCGTCTTCCAGACACCCTCGTCAAACTTTCCTCAAATAGTCCCTTTTCCGTCTCAGCTTCCTTAATCCTCCCCGTCGCTGCAGCAGCAATAGCTTTCGCATAATGCATCGTGGCTGTAGTAACACAGTAAAGACTTTGATCGGTCGGTAATTTCAAATTCGATATCTCCTCCCATCTCCCAAAACGTATTAGGATATGCGCCCTAACACTCAAAAAGCTTTCTAACCAATCCGCCATAGGTGGGCTCTGGACCCGTAATAAACTTTCCGGTATCGAGCTTTCCATAGCCGTAGCAGTTTCCAACGCTACTGCAGATTTCCCAGCAAGCATGGCAGCGTAGATAAGTGAATGGTAATCGTGGGATCTGTATAGAGTATAGAAGTTCTGTAATCCGGCGTTTGTGAGATACTTTTCGTCCGCGATAATAGCAGCGGTATTCGATGCTATTGCGCGTCTATAATCGCCGACTAAGATGTCAATATGAGAGGGCATATGTCGAAGATGTCCTGCGTCCGGTATGAGGTCTCGTAATCGATCTGCAGCGTCGAGTGCCAATTCAGGTTGTGGAGACATTTCCATCAAGTGGATGTACATATGTAATACACCCGGGTGAGTCGAAGATAAAGGGTTTTTAATGGCAGTATCCAGGGCTTCTTTCGCTTCTATCGTCCTCGCCTTCGAAGAAGGAAGGCCCGTTTTGAGATCCCATAGCTGCCAAGGTGTGAGGTTCATCAACGCTTCGGCGTATAAAGTAGCAACATCCAAATCATTTTTGAACCTGGAGTAGACACTTTTCATCGCATCCGCATAATCCAAGTTCCACTTCAAAAAGCTGTTTGGCCGGGTACTATCCTGGTACCGTAGTCTCAAGGCTCCGATGAGCGCTAATTCAACAGGTCGACTGCCATTCAGCTGGACGTACTCCTCCGCCAATTTTGCAGCAGAATAGGCTCTTTGTAAAGATTCGGTCAGATCCGATGGATCGAACAAGTTCCACGGTTTATTGTAGTTCGGACCGAGAGCGTGCGCAAGACCCCAGTGGGCCATGGGACAGGTCGGGTCATGTGAGATGGCACTGGAAAAGCATTTTACCGCTTCCTGGTGGTTGAAACCATAAGACCAGATTAGGCCGCGGTCGAACCATGTTTGACATTCGGAGGACTTGGTGGTGATGGGACGGTGAAAGGTGCCGAGGTCGTAGTATGGCAATGAGGATGGCGGAGGAGGCATCATGTCGCTCGCGTAAAAGGTTTGTTTGCCGGGTTCAAGTTGGGCTGTTCTGTTGGAGTTTCTGCGTTGACGTCGACTTGCTTAGGTGACAGGTACTAGTTATCGATATATCGATATCAATAGCTCAACCATGAAGATTTATACAGATTGATATCGATGCTTTGAGACAAAGGAGATGATGGTCGATTGGGGACTTAAGTCAAAAAAATGATTAATTGATCATGAAGTCTTTTGTACAGATCGCGCCCTCAAAGAGCAGGTATCATCGGTTTATGTACCCCAGACCTCTAGCTATCCGAGTTAGGTCTGGCCTGGCCTAACCTTAGCTTTAAATTTGCCCCCGGCAAGCTGCTATCTTGCCGAAGCTCTAAGCTTCCAGCTTTGACCAGTTCATTACGCCGCGGCATCGGCCTATCCTATACTCTCTCAGCCTCTATCTGTTAAATTTCGGCCAATGCCGTCCGGTTTTCTAATTTTATCGCCGTCTTCGAGATAACCAACTCCGATATCGTAAAATCGAATCAAGTAAATATAATAAATTAAATTAATTCGCATTCGTGGCTTGACAAGTATGTCAAGTTCACGCCAGTCTGATATCAGCCGTGACGTGTCAGATACGTCTAATTAATAATTCATAGCATTCACGAAACTGACTTCAAAACGCTAACGTATACGCGTGCTACCCGGGTACCTGGATACGTTACTTTTTTTATGACATTCAAGTTTCATGTTTCTTTTTAACCTGTGATAACGGCTGCAGAGAGCTCTAAAAAAGTTAAAATTCTATGCCTTCTAAATCCAAGACAAATATGTATTTCCCCTACTGTCCCCACAGTAAGATCCCATGATCTGATCAGAACCAGGTTCAGAATTCTATACCCGTCTATACCAGACCCTTATTATAATTATAAGTAGCACAGACCGGCAATCCATGCATATGCACATGCTGGCATAAGGAGCTCTCCCCCCTGAAGCTAAACCCCGTCCTACTATTGCCGTGCCACAATCCCTTTCTCGAGTATCTCTATCAAATCCGACAATCTGGATATCATATATACCGAGTCAGCACATCTTTTTCTAAATACGGACTGTAGACTGTTATCGTGCTACCATCTTGAATGGTATGGTATATCTATAAACTCACCTTGTAACACTAAAATCTGTATATTCATGTCCCTTCAATTCCTTGTTCTCGTTATTCTGCAGTAGCACTGTCAATCCACCTGCTCTGCGCCCTGCTGCCATGTCGTCTAGACTATCGCCAACCATCTATTTATAATAAATAGCAGAGGAGTCAGTCAGTCAGTCGTTCTTTTTCTGCAGGTAATGTGGTCAATTGTAAACACATACGATCACACCGGAAGCACCCCCTTCCAATCCCAATTCCTTCGCAATATGCAAAATCCCCGCCGGACTCGGCTTTGGTGGCTTAAAATCCCTCGTCACGATCGGAAAGAACGTATGTCCCGTTATAAAATTCGTGATCAGATGCTCCACCGGCGCACTAAATTGCAAATAATAACATCAACGTCAATACCAATACCGTTTTCTCCAGAAAAGTCAAATATATCTAGAGATATATATTTATATATGTTATAGAAAAGGGGGACAACATACTCAAAATTCCTGGTACAAATAGCCTTCCTAACCCCCCTCCTATCCAAATAATCCATCAACTCGACCAACCCTTCCTGCGGCTGCATCTGTCCCATCGCCTCCCTCTCCACCGCTCTAATCTTTTCAAACCCAACTTCCTGCTCCGATTTCCCACCCACCAACCCTCCACCTTCGGGAACAGTATCAGGCAAACCCAATACATGATCGAGTATATCCGTTCCCTTCGTAATCCCCAATTGTCGTCGCATTTCAGCGAACATCCATGATTGTGGAAGACAAAGCGTACCGTCTACGTCAAATACGACAGCTTGGAGATGAGGGAATAACGGTGGTGTTGGGGCATTGGTGGGGTCGAGAGGGGCGAAACCGCGGGGTTTTGTGGATGTCATGGTTGTGGTGGTGGTTGATATGTGGGCTATTGGGAATTTTAAGGTGGATTTGTACCTTGGCCGGGGTGTAATGACGAAATTACGGGTTATTACGTTAACTAACGGGCGATATCGGAAGTTGGAGATAGCTTGACCTCAACTAGGAGCTAGAGCTATCGACCGAGTAAAACTTAAACGGGGAATGGCAATTGGCATCTGCTTAGCTTAGCTTGGTAGAAGATGTAAAAGAGAGGGTTTTAAGGGTAGTAATCAGAATTGAGGCAAAAAAAGGGAAGGGGGAAGTATTCGGGCTTATAAAGTATACAGCACTAACATGAATATCTACAGCCCTGCAGCTGGCGGGTTCTAGACCGTCGAACTTCCAGGTAATTTACGTTGACATGCAGCTGAATCTGCAGGTTGGCTGCAACGCAACCAATTGTTGCATTGCTCCTCTCTTAGCTTCTAGCTTAGCCTCATGGAAACATGATTTAGACATGACATGACTTCTCATTATGCATTAACAGACCGCCCCGGGTATCTTGTAGGTATATACACTGGGAGTAGTATACAATAGTAAACATCATTTGTAACTAAACAAGCAAACAAAGAAATCGAATAGCAGACCTGCAAGCATTAAGTGATATCTAAATAGCTAGCGGCTTATAACTTATATTATATTACTTAAGTATATTATATATACCACCCAGAAATGATCCCCAAAAGCCCAAGAAACCCTATAATTGTGCTTGCTCCAAAATTGATAATCATCCTTGAACTCCCCGAAATGTAGGTTGGATGCGGTAATCCGATCGTTGCAGTTCCATTCCCACTCGTCCCATTTCCAGATGGACTATAAGTCGGCAGCACCGGCGGAACAGAGAGCGTTGGAATCGTAGCGGTCGAAATCGTAGTCTCATATATCCCAGACGTCGTCGCAGAGGGAGCACCAGTATGCGTAGTCGAAGCCGTATAATCTAAACCACCACCACCACCACTGCCAGCCCCAGAAACAGTCGCAGTAACAGTACTGACCTCCTTACTGATAACATGTACAGTACTAACATCCTTGCTGACAACATGTACAGTACTAACATCCTTACTGACATAAGTACTAATAGTCGTAGCCGTAACCGTAACCGTTTTGGTACCAGTAGCAGTAGTACCATAACCCCCAACCCCAGGTGCTCCGGCACATCCAGCACAAAGCACATTCTGCGCTCCCGCAGGTAACTCCCTCGTACACCTCCTCATGTCGGGATAACTGCCGTCTGCGCAGAGGTAACTGCAATCCCTATCGAATATCGCAGGACACGAATCGCCTGTGGTCGGACATGCATTACAGTAGACGCGGGGTGTGAGCGGGTCGTTGGCTGCGCAGAACGGATCGTTGCCCACTGAGATACATATGTATGCACAACCTGCTGAGGGGGTGGTTGGGCAGTGGTCATATTTGGCCCAAGCGGCGGGGTCGGCTTGTGAGGCGACTAAGATGGCATGGATGGCCAGGACGAAAACCGAGGATTTCATCTTTTCTTTCTTTCTTTTTTTTTTTTGGAGGAAGAAAAAAAAAAAAGATCGTTCGTCACTGTCGATAGGAATGCGCGACAAGCGGTTGGTTGGGTGTCAAAGTATCGACGTGTAATCAATTGATTTTAAGGCCAGTGAAATCGCATCCAGACAGGCAAGCAAGGAACCGGGTTTGGCCCTTGTGGAGGTCCCTTCCTTTATATTTATTACCCGGCTGGGGCCCGTGTTTCAACGGCCTCGAGATCTCTACGTTTGCGAGGAGGCTGGACCACATCGTGATAATTTTTTCACCGCGAATCTGCGGACCCAGACTCGTCCCGCTCCCTAAAAAGCTAGGTCAGGAAATTCGAAGCCAGAAGGCATAAGATAACCAATTCGCCACCAGTTGAAAAACACCACCATAAAGTTATCACCATAATAATAAGAATAATCTATCTAGACAAGTGAGGTATACCGACAAAGGAACACAGGGTCATGGCCGCTATCGAAAGAAGACTTTTGGAAGGGGGGGAATATGGCTTCCACAGAAACATCGTGAAAGGAAGAACACCGAGGACATCTATATGTAAAAATCATCCTCTTTAATGGCTGCTAGATGTCTGTACAATCACGCCGATAAACATCGAGCCGTCATCCTTCTTGGGTTCTCCTCCAATACCACAACTAATATCCGACATATTAACACCTGCTCGGGGAACGCGAAGAAATTAGTACAAAATACTATCCGAGAAGACGAGAAGCCACAAGCAAAGCTCGGCAAAAAAAAAAAAACTCAATGCTCACATCTTAAATAAACAAACACCACGGTTTGCCCTGTCATGGTCTTCACCCTGGAACACATATTCGATCTTGACATCCAGATCTCTTCGGTTCTTTTCAGTTGGCTTGCTGCTCAAAACACCTTGGAGGTGTTCTCCATTCTTAACTGTAAGGACGTCATCTAGGTAAAAGACAGTCTGCTTCCAGTGGGTATATTTGGCGTGTGGTCCGGTGGAGAACTTGATAGGCTTGTGGCAAGCGCTGAAGTCGATATCGAACCAGGCGATAAGGGCGTGGATGAAATCATTTCGGCGAACAGCAAGGTCGAAGGGAGCGGTGAAAGTGAGATCACTGGGCTTAACAGTGTAGAGGTCTAGGGCCAAGACTAGGCAGGGATCCGTGACGACGGCCTTAAGATCGACAGTATCCACCAAAGGCTCAGCCAAGGCGGTACCCTGAAGAGGGGTGAAGTCGAAACCGTAGACGTTGTTCCAGACTACTCTCCCGTTAGCGGGCTGCCGTTAATTCAAATTGAGGGAAAAAATACTTACATCCGATCTTTTCTTCCTTGTAATCACCATCTTCAATGGCGGCCATGTAGATGCTGGCCTTGTCAGGGAAGATCAACCCGCCAGGGGCTAGGTACTTGTCTCGAGCCAGCAAGACAGTGTCCAACATGGATTCGTAAAGCAAGAAGTATCCCATCCACTCTGAGATGATGATATCGACTTTGTCAACCGGAAGCTCAATCTCTTCCATCTTGCCTTGTATTAAGGTGATCTTGTCGGAAAGGCCATTGACAGCAACGATCTCCCGTGCCTTTTCAATGATAGTAGACATATCTACAGCGTAGACATGCTTGGCTCCAGCCTTGGCAGCGAACCTGGTGGATGGCGATATAACTATTAGATGTGATTTTATCGCGGATAGTAGAGGAAGGAATAAAACGTACATGCTGAGAATTGAAGTACCACAGCCGACATCAAGAACGATCTTGTCCTTGAACAGATGACGGTTTTGGTATATCGCGTTCTTGTAAGAGTTTGTTCGGACCTCATCTTTCTACGTGAGAGGAAATAAACGAGGTCAGCATTCACGTTTTTTAGGCCTAGCTTTTAGGGAGGATGATTAACATACCAACATCTCCTCATGGATGCCTGGACGCCCGAAACGTTTTCTGATCATTAGCATGTTGTCCCAAAGGCTGGATTTGAAGAACTGTGTAGCCCGAAGGCTCGATAATGTCTCGATATAACGGTGGAAGGGAAAACAATGAAGATAATGTTATGGTTTGGGTTGTCGACAAGCAGTCAAGTCGTCTATCAAGCAGTGACATACCGTGGTGATTATAGCTATTTACAGAGATGTTGGTTAGCTAGTTGATCTCAGCAGCAGATCTGGAGCCTCAGAACAGCCGAAACAGCCAGCAAAGAATAAAAATGCCAGACTACCATGGAGGAAGAGAGCAAAATGAATGAACCAAGGGAGGTAAGTACCTTTGAAAGTAATGGATCTCTGACGGTGTCATGTCCACCGACCCCGTTGTGGCGGGGTTAATTTCCGAGGCCATCTCTGCGACAAGTCGGTGATCGAACGAGCGAACAATAAGCGAAACAGTACAGCTCAAGTAAAGGTCGGCGACAGGGAATCAGGTAGTATCGACGATATGGGAACGATGGTGGTGGTGATCAAGACGCGGAGGTTGTTGTCGACGGACAAGTTGGTGGAGCAGTTTTATTTGGTGCCGCTTCGTCTTAAAAAAAAGTTGTTCAGGGAAACCTTGTTGGAAAATTTCAGCGTGCCCGAATTGGCGGGTCGCAATTGACCACACACAATAGTCTAACTAGTACCAAACAGTCCATTGCTCGCGCAGAGCTCAAGCACTGGACTGGAGCTCAAGGCAGCCGGGAAGCTGCGAAGGGGTAAGATTGATTAAAATGCCATTTAGTGGTCTCTCTATATACTACGAGTGGGACTAACATCAATATATAAGAACGCCGTCGCTAAGCACTTGCCAGTTTCTGACCTGGATGCCAATAGGATATGAAATGAAATGCCCAAGATAACGCCAGCGCGCGATCAAAATGAATACCAGAGTAAAGAAACAAATGTAGGCAAGGAAGGCTTTGCCTTGTAGGAGCGTATGTATCTCCATGTGCCAAAGTCCAGCCAGCTCAGGTGGCGGACCCATTTCACCGCCTGGCACCCCACCCCTTCTTTACCATCCACCCCTCAATCCCGTCCCAAATCCCCTCCATGATCTCTCGATCCTTGAATCTTCTGTTCTTCTCTACGTTCACCATCTGGACATTTCCCCAGCTGGCCACCGTTCCAGGTGGAACTTCCCCACTCCACCCAACATAAAACCCCTTCACTTGCGAAAATAGATCCTGCGGTGTACTCCACTTATAACTCTTGAACTGCCACAACTGGCCAGTTGTAAATACCGCCACCACACGCGACCATTCATCGGGGGGGAAGTGATCTGGTGAATCGACGATCACAAATCTGGTGTCGTGTTGCGGGTTTATCGACGGCATACGCCGTGATATATACATCATGTTCTGGCTCTCAGAGGCAGACATGGATGGAGGTGTGAATTCGCCTTCCTCCAGGAATTTCTTGATGTTGGACATTCGTAATAGAGCAGAAGTAGAAGGTGATAGGATGATGATCGGATGTCGAGGACGTGGTTTCCCGGCAAGCCCGGGTTTGTTGCTTGCCGGCTTAGAGCCAGGCCGTGGTGGAAGGGCAGCCTCGCCGGTTTTAGGTGCTTGCTGTGTGGCTCTAGCATTTTTCATATAGGCTTCACTGATCTTGCGAACGTGTGAGAAGTCCTATTCCATCAATTGTCAGCACCAAACACCATAAGCCACTTATGAATACCCAATAAAACACCCTACCGTAGGCTTAATCCCTCTTAACACCGAGTTTCTATCTGTAATAACTCTTTCGCGCGAGTAAATCTCCGCCAGCCGTAAATTCGTCGTGTACCTCGACTTCGCAACAGCCCCGAGTCCACCAGAGACCGCTGAAGCCTTATCCCCAGCCTTCTCAGCGGAAGCACCATCTAACGGTGTAACGTAATCGCTTTCATCCGTTGCACCCTCCAGAAACGTGATCAGGTCTGTTCTCTCTAGGAAACCTAGGTTCTTAACTAGCTTCCCGTTTCCAACAGCCTGGCAAGCCGCAACGTAGGCCGGAATACCATCGTCTTTATGCAACCAAGCGAATAGGATCGAGCGAATATCGAAGGCATCACCACTTTTGGTGTGGAAACGCGTCGGGGTATTAAGGGTGAAGGAGACTGCAGCAGGGTGTGTGAAGACAATGTGAGTGGCTGTGGATATTGGAGGTTCTGGAGTGGTTGGAGTCGGGCCCTCGGAGAGCTTTGGTGGATTGGAAGTCTGAATAGAGGCTCGAAGGAGCTGAAGGGGGTCAATCGTAGTGGCCATTGTGGGGTTCGATGATGGGATGTGAATGCGAGATGTCGATGTCGATGTCAATTGGAGGTTGTGGTTGGGAGGAGGAGGAAGACGTGGGAAGATCGAAGCGAAGACCTGCGAAAAGATGGCTTCGCGTCGCACAAGCCGCAACACTCTTTACAATCCTCACTACAACTACCTACTACGGTACCACAATAAATTTACATACCGGTATACGTATACCCGCATTATATAAGTAATTACCTTATATATAGGAATCCAGAAACTTCCAAAGGGCCGAATCAATCGTTTTTTTTATTTATACAAGAGGACGAAACTATTCCATGCAATTGGATCGAATCGAGTAACGAAAGTGTAGAAAATATGCATGCAGCCAACTTCAACTCCAAAAAATCCGTTCCAGACAGATATCAATACATATAAAATACTTCAAGATGATCAAGGTCCGTTCTTTCCCCTCAGACAAAAAAACAATCAAACTGAAGCATCAGCCGTGGCTTCCTCTTAGCCGACACTAGCTTAACTCTCCATTGGGGGTTCCACTAGATTTTCCAGAAATAATTATCAGAAATCTTGATTTACAGCTGATATTTTTAGTTGTCAACCGATCAAAAGTATAACAGAGACTCACCCTTTGGTGCAGGCGCTAGCCTGTCATTTTCCAACTGAGCCTTGTTCTTTTTGACTGCAGCCATTCTGAAAATACGTAGCATCCTGCCTTGCTCATCTGTGGTCCCATCGAGCGCAACAGGTTTGAGAGCGACATTCTCAGCAGGCGCGGGGAGGGCAGCGACGGAGCTGAATCGGACATATCAGAATTAGAAATTATATTCATTCATTTTTTATGAATCAGAACCCGAAATAAGCCTACCCGACGGCAACGAAAAGGGCAAAGATGTAAGAGAACTGCATCGTGAAGCTATGGATTCGTGGAGATCGTTAAACGAGTGTATTTGCCTGGAAAACTTTTAAAAGAGGGTGGACAGAAAAATCGTGAAGGATATCGTATGTCGAAATGAATGAATTCGTGTTTGACGTATCAGTATGCACATGTATGTGTCGATTCCGTTTGGATATCAGAGTATATATAGGCCAAGTCTCGCCGCAGGATAGAGGCCTTAAAGCAGCCTAATATTGAAAACAGTTTCTCGATATGCGCAGAATTTACAAGAACTCCATACTTTATTCCTCCGCGAGCAAGCTACTATCTCGTCTCCAGCATCTCAGATCCAGCTGTTTAGTATGCATGTTAATATCTTTTCTTCCTATATAAGAACCTCGCAGGCGCAAGCGAGGTGGAGTTAGACAACGCCCTGTTTCCCGTGCAAGCTTCGGATTAACTTATACCGCTACGATCGACCAGATTTCAACTTCTTTCGGATAGTGTGCACTAGGGGCCGTAAAGGAATTCTTAAAGGATCTAAAGTCTTTGCAATTGCTTTGATTTGGGAAACAAAATAACATTCAGAGATGTTCCACAAACTCAGTGCTAATGTAAGTGTGCGCAGCTCTGCAGCCCCGGCGGGGGGCTTTTTCTTCGTCAAAACGTTTAAAAACCTGAATACTCGTATTCAAAGTCCTTGGTAGGTCAATACACCGCAAAGCACAGAGTTACGTTGCAGCTGCACATGTACTTCCGTGTGCAAGATATCGGTATGTTTTTACCGACGGTAAACATTGCCGGAACACTTTCCTTCCACAGTTTAAAACCTGCCAAATGCAATGAAATTCCGGACTCCGGATCCTGCTAATATCGAGTATCTCCTACAGAAAATAATTACTAAAAGTACATATGTGCTTGTGTGAAAAAGAGCGCCAAGCCTGCATGGTCCAGGAAGTACGCATATTCACATTTCGTCCCAAGAACATTCGGCCAGGGTATCATAACTTTGTCCTCTCAAAACCCCACATTCGTCAACTCAAATCTTCAACTTTGGTTAGACATGATCCCCGCGGCCGAGCAACTGCTAGCATTCGGATCAGCTGGATATGTGGTAAATCCTGCAGGGAGTGGGATTACGCCACGCGTCTTCTAATTATAAGCTCACACACACCATTGCATTGGGGGCACATTACATACACAGTACATGTGTGCGTTCGATTTTAACTCGGAAGCTGCCGTGCTAGTCTACCCTCGGGAGCAGTTATCCGGTGAGCTCCTGAGCTAACTTTTCGTCTCAAGTTCCAAGCTCTATTCAGGGTCTTGGTATCCCGTAATTCTGAAGCTTCAAGCTTGTCAAGTTGTCAGTTTTGTTTGGAAACAAGTATTAACCCTATGTCTTATATACCTTTAGGGAGAATTATGGATATCTTGAAAGACCCCACTAAAGCTGCATGACGAAGTGGATCGCTTTCAATACCTCCCCACCCCATATATAAGGGGCAGATCACACCTTCTTCCTTCCGTCTTCACTCATCGATGCATAACCCCTGCTGTGAAGCCAATATTGGCGGACGAGAATGGGCATGGTACGACCAATCCTGGTGTGATTCCCATCGAACATATGCATGTAACAAAAACCGGAGCAATTCCACTTCCAATCAAGTACTGACGGCATGAAACCAAGTCCTGTGCCAAGGATAGAATGCAAGCAAGCTGAAAAGAGTTCCATAGAATGGGGGTATTTCCATATCGATATCGAATTTGATCGAATACCCCGCTCGGAGTGTGAAGCTCGGCGTGTATAAAAGGGGAACATGAGGAGATGTTGTTGACTGCTTGGAAGTTCCCCCAAACCATCACTCCATCATCTCCATCATCTTAACATTCTCCAACCAAACTTCTTTTTCATCAATCTATTACAATAAAGCTCTGGTAGCAAACACAATAATCATGCCTGAATCCGGAAACACCTACAAGATCGTCAACCACAAGAACGGCACTGCCCTCGATCTCTCAGGGTCTGATGGCGTCTCCGTTACTGGATGGGATTCTCACGATGGTGACAACCAAAAGGTACATCCTTTCCTAAACTATAAGCATATGCCGGATCACGCTACTAACTTCACTATCAGTGGACTCTCAACGAAGAAGACGGTCTTTGGGTTATCATAAACGTTGCCACCGGCAAGTTCCTCGCTCCGGAAGGAGGTGATGAGGGTAACAGTGTCGTCGGTGGCGAGGAGCCCTTCCAATGGGATATCCGCAATGAAGGCGACGACGAAGGCCTCTGGCGGTAAGCTTCCCCTTCACCTAGCCCTTTCTGCTATTGCGGCATTTCTAACTTAAACGTTTATCAGTATCTTCGTCCCACACTCCCACTTGAACCTCGACTTGGACAGCCAAGGTGAAGACGATATTCCAGCTGGAGCTAGAGTTCAACTCTGGGGCCAGTGGGCTGGTGATAACCAGGTTTGGAGGCTCGAAGACGGTATGAACGATCTCATTCACCACTTACCATACTCAGAGCTTTCAAAGTGACTAATAATCCATGATAATGTCTAGCCTAAATTACAAGGAGTCCTCAATACCAAACTGCTTGTTGAGACACCATATATCTCTTCCATTGCTTGAACTTGCTTAGAAACATCAGAACAGCTTGGGCTCTCTCACGCGTGCCATATTTAGAGAGTTGTCTCCTAGCACCACTTCTTGTGGTATTATTTTATTAGATAGTATATTTAGGCTTCAATACAACTGGTTCAGGGATCCATGATTATCGATAGAAACGTAAATACATGTGCACAGAATTCGTAGGATCTTTAGCTGCTAGTGAACAATTTTTTATGTAAGAACTAGCTATTACGTATCCTGTACCTTTGGCTCTAAACTCATCGGCTGCGAGAGGCCCGAGCCTTGAATTCAGCCTTGCAGCCAGCCAAGCATAAAATCCAGCTGCCTGATACAACTACAATCGACACAACATGTTGTGGAACTAATCATAGGAACTAGGAGTCGATCCGATTGGTCAAAACACACATACTTGCAGTGATGACGACGACTCTAAAGACTAGATTCGGAATTCGGAAGGACGTTAATTTAATTTAATGTTTTTTTTTAAAAAAACAACTATAGAAATCTGAAAGGCATATATGAAATCAATTGAAATTGTGCCGTGAAATTTCGCCAACAACCAGTATCATAATTCGTAATCTATAGGAGGATCATGAATTGGAAATTCTTTACAACCTAAGCTTCCCGAGCCTTAATTACCACCCAAAGCTAACGTTAACCCAAACATCTCCCCAGGTACTTCAAGTCTTTCGTTGCCCCTCAACTCGTCCCTCTTCTCATGCAGGAGGGACCTTTGGAGCCTTTGGAGGCAAAGCCCCAGTCCTGAACAGGTCCGTTACAGCCTTATGGTGTGGAGTGGATAGTCTTATCACGCCTGTTGGTGGTCCATGGACTCCGACAGCTGCCTTCCCGGTTGGTGGTGGTGGTGGAGGTGGGGGTAGTGGGGGTGCCACAGGTGGCGCCGCAGTTGCCTCTGCTACTGGGGCTGCTGCGGTGCTGCTTGCCTTGGGCTTCAAGGCGATCTGCCATGGGGCGGCGAATGCAACGCTATCATTGAACAAATTGGCTTAGTATTGATATTCTATTGAGCGTTATAAGGTATATCAAGGAGCTACTCACCCCGACATGGCTAGAACCACGGCAAGAACACCTTTGATTTGCATCTTGATAGACTTTGGTTACTTTGTTTGTTCAATTCTAAGAATAAAAGCAAGTGTTTATAAATTTATAGAATGCGGCTGGACCGAATTGAAAATAGTGCGTATCCCAAAATTTAAAAAGCAGCGTAAAAATATATAGATAACGTATACGTAATGAATGAATCCGAATCGAAAGCTTTTGGAAGGAAACGAGTGTGTATATCGTTATCGATAGCTAATGGAAATCAAAACCCGGGAAATACCAAGACTGTATATATCGATCTTCAGAAATCTCCCCATAAAAGGGCGTTCGTGGCCGCTGGCTTTATAGTACTGACCGTTTACCGTTATTGCAATTTCTTAATCATTTTTGACAAGGCTAAGGGCCCTAGGATCTCGCCTTACGTATGTCACCCCATACATAGATGTAACATCCTTACTTTCCTTTTTTCTCCTTCGAATATAAATTCCTTTTCAAAACAGCATTTCCTACAGTCCCATGGGAGTCTGGATAAGACCCAAGGGTTCCCAAGTTTTCCAAGGCCATAATATACTACTTAGTTGCCAAAAATTAATCCCTTATGGAAATATATAGTTATATCACAGTATAATTCTGGCGGGGGCCAAGCTCGGGTGCTTCGTGATATATGGACACTCGACGCTGGTGCATCGCAAGTATTAACCTTATTTTACTATCAGGAGGCACTGTTACGAGCTCGTCTACGGACTCCGCCCCTCGATAACGACTTCCGAATTTTTACGTGGAAATGTGTTATGTATGTGCATATGCATATGTGCGGAACGGGTAAGTTGTTCCATGGTGCCAGTTTTTGGCGACTGCGGGGATACGAAAAGTATTCGAGGATTCCGATGCAACGTACCTGGTGCTGATTGTCCGCCTTCTCAAAAATCATAAAATTCAAAGATATGTTTAAATTGAAAATGGGATATGAATATATGGTTTCGTTCCTAGAATTCTATATCTATATACAACCGAAAAAAAACCGCCAGAATCGAAAGACAGAAAGACATCGACCCATATAACGCCGGATGATCTGAATGAAATGAACGGTGCTACGTGCCAGTTCTCAAGCTAACTTAGTACGAGGCAACAACACAAACCTCACGTAACACAAGCCCCCCAAAAATACCACACTGTGGTCTTGTTGCCCCAATACTCGGGCTCGAAGATATCGATGTTCATGTTCCACAATACAATCATATGTTTTGCTTCAATCCCACAATAGGTTAAACACCTCCCAAAAAAAACCTTATTCCATAGCCAATCCACCCAGAAACCTAACCCGCGCTATAAAACTTGCGTGGGCTGAACCCAACAAGGTTGAAGTGAAGTTTACCCCATCCCGGACCGGTAGTTTTCACTTTCTTTGCCGCGGCAGAACCTGGTTTTACCGTGGGAATGGAGGAGTCCCGTCGATATACAGATGGAGCGTTTGCGACGGCTGCACTAAATCTGGGATTTACAATTGGGGCTGCTAGTGTAGAGCTATTTTCTCAATTGTGAATTGACAATTGTATTAGCTTTCATTCCTGGATCTGTTTTGTGGAAGATTGGTTGAGGGATACCATACCTCGACAAAGTGAGTATAGCTACCGCGAAAACTGTAGAGAAATGCATATTTGTTTGCTTCTTTGGTTATCTGATCCAAGGCAGCCCCAGATTGTGTCTCTTTTCAGAATTTGAACTGTGGTGACTTCGAACGAAATGAGGCTTAGGAAATCTCCGTGCGGGGTAGTCAACTAATAAAAGTGTGAAAAATTACGAGGAAAACTTTGCCGTCTTATATACCATTTGGGCTTTTATTCATTATTGCAATTCGAAATACTTCTAAGATGTATATTACCAAACCGATAAAGCTATACGAAACAATAATATCGATTTTATTCTTAGCCTATATTATCGTTCCCATCTGATCCACTTTGATGTCCATCATATCCCATATGAATGCTCACGTTAATAACGTACTCTTGCAATGTTATAAGAAAGTCTAGTTCTAAGCTTGAAGTATAAAGAAGAGGCGAAGTGGACGCAAAGACAATCCACTTTACCGTTTCCACTAACCCTTTTAGTAAATAGCTCTTGTGATTAAGCGACAATATTCCATGGTATTATCTAGACAAATTGGCCCGGCTTTTCACCTTTACCTAGCTCGTAAGTTACATACACACATGTATCCAGGATCGAAGCGCTAAAACAGTGTCGACTATATGAAAGGGTATTTTATCCTTATCCCGTCATTATTTAATACTTTTATATCTTTCTCTGTGTAAAATTCAGGAACAAGAATACGGTATATTCATTTTACGAAGAGGGGGGGGGACTAAGTATATCTCGTGGAACACATCTGAAAAACATGTCTTGAATTTCAACCTTGTGAGTAGTCTAGTGACCTTGTGAGCTATATATATTTTAAACAACATGTACACCAATAAACACCGAAAAAAAAGAAGAAAAAAATGTAGCGAGGAAACAAACCCCCCAAAAAACGATAATTCAAAATCCGTACCAAGTCCTAAAGGCAATGAAATCCCTGCTAAACTTCTATAAGACCATGTGTATACGCCGGCCATCAGTGTGTTCTATGAGTTTTTTAGTCCTCAATATCTCTCTTTGCAGAGCCGGCTTTGCCGAGTTTCAAGGTCGATAGCTTTTTAATCGAGGAGGCCTTGGACCCAGCTGGAGTTGGGGCAGCCAAAGCAAAGCTAGAAAGCGATTTTATCTTAGTATTTGGCCCATCGACACTGAAGGATTCTATGTAATGTGCTTACCCCGACAAAGTAACCATGACAATGGTAAATAGTGTAGTAAGCTGCATCTTGGATTGTTTTTTGGGGTAAAAGAACGGAAGAAGCTATTGGTTTCGATATCTTAGAGAAAGGAAGGAGTGACAGCGTCTTATCGAAATGTCAGAGCTCGATCAGGCGAAAAAGGTGGATTCTAAGATGAATCGATTACTGAAGGAGGAGACCAAGAAATCAAGCGAAGCCAAGGGGGCGCCGGCGTCCATGGGAGGAAATCCTCCTGTATTATATACCTTTCTCCTATCCGCTAAATCATCAAAATTCACACCGTTCCCTAATTGTGGGTTTACAACCGGATAGTCGGATAACGTACCATTTTGATATATTCAAACCTTTCGCTAGTAATCGCAGACGAAGTTATAGTGTCAAATTAACTTCCCCGTATGAGCTTATTTAACTCAGTTATTAGATCGTCATCTGAAAGAGCCTTGTATCGGAAAAATGTATTTCTTTGGTATCAATAAATCATAGATCATCCTTAAACTGTCGTAACCAAATTCTACAATGGGGCAGATTATCTTTTAGGGACAGCGACTTCTTCAAATACGAAAAATATAGAATAGATTGACAAAATTCTTTACTACACAAATTTGTGTCGACGAATAGTGTGCTTATCAAAACATATCCTTTCTCGCGCTCCGCCAGCTTAGACTACGCTGGGGAGGCTCGACAAAAAAAAAAGAAAAAAAAGAGCATATACATAAATCGCGGAAATATATACATCGCAACCTATAAGGTATATGAAATCAATGATCTAGAAACTTCTCCCAAAATGCAAAGCTTCAAGGAATCCCGAACCCCCAAAAGACCATCTCTTGATGTAGCCATCGAGCCTCGCTGTAGCCCTACACCACTCCCCTAAACCCTGCTTGGGGCAGCCTTGATACTTTTTCTCGATGGAAAGCTTTCCGGGTTGAATCTCCTGTCCCTCTTCTCTTCTCCATTCCTCCTTCTAAACCTCCCAGGTAGATCTGGCTTCGCCACACCCCCCAATTTCAACGCACTAGGCTTAATTCCCTTCGCCCCGGGTGGTGCTGTCTTCGCAGCAGCCTTGAAACTCGAGGCAGTCTTTTTGGCAGAGACTTCTTCCGCCACGGGTTCTGCAGGTGCCGCAACCGGTGGAGCGGCTACGGGAGCAGGAACAGGAGCAACAGCAGGAGGATCTTCTCTTTTAACCCTTCTACGATCTTCGCGTTCCTGTCCTGCCGTAGGACGCATAATATCAGGTAATAAATTAGTGCCCTTTGGGTAGTTGATTTGTCTCTTTCTGCTGCTAGCTACGGGCTTTGTACCAGCGCGGATGTGTTCCCATGGGTTGTAAACGGCTGGATTTGGATTTGGCTCTGCGACGGGGGCAGCTAGGGTTGTGCTATAGTTTTTCAATTGTTTAGTCTATTTTCGTTTGTTTCTATGATTGATTATATTGGGAGTTAAAGCTGTATTGGAAGTTAAATGCTTACCTCCCCATGAACAAAACAACGGCGATAATTCTTGAGATCTGCATTTTTGACAATGATGCTTGAAGAAGCTGTGGATGATGTGTAATGTAAATTCCGTCTATGGAGTTTGGTATATACTCAAGTATATTTATACACCTCGTAATATCTTCTAGATAATTTTGTTTGAAACAAAAGGAGTGTAATAGAAGAATAGAACGTCAACCAGGTACTAAGTATCGTTGTACAAAAAAAAGAAAGAGAAAGATCAAAAGACGGGGGGAAGGGGAACCCGAAAATGAGTGGTGTCTCGTATCCTTTATATAAAATTCATACGCCTTAACTGCTAACTACTGCTCACGAAGATCTAGTTCAAACCCCCAAAATCTTCCTTATAGTACCAAATAATAACACTCCCCTAGTCACCAAAGCTCCATATTCACAGATCCTTTCCGGAAGACATCTTTTCATAACGCATAAATTCTCCGTGTGTGGTATAAACTAAGCGGAAGGACCATCCATATCGCCATTCTATTAGCCGACGTGCATAAGCGAGTGAATTTCTCGAAGTGTTGGCCTGAATTATACACTGTTCTATAGTCGATCGTCGTGATAATTAATTACGCCGATTTACTGAAAAGAGCATGGAAAGCTTCGATGAACAGGGTTCGAGGTTAATTGAGTCCATCTTGGTGGGGTCTAGACATATGTGGATACCTAGGTAGATGCATATCAACCTGACAAATCAGAAATACTGGCTACTAGCTACTATTCGTTATATTATTAGCGAGAATATAATAAGGACTTAAGATCCAAGTAAATACCTAAGTTACTTCATGAGCCTGTAATCAAAGGTGAGTTAGAAAAGGCCAGCATCTAACACCAGTCTTGGCCGCACATCTACTTTTTATAGTAACAATTTTATAGCAATTCGATATATTAGCCACCAAGGCAAAAAAAATTCCGATTTATTTTCACTTATAAGAACTCTTATAGAGACACTTTCTATACATGATTCTCTGAACTCTACTTACGTGCTGCTTCAATTAGAGAACTTCCAATCTACTTCCACCTATCGAGTGGCTGTAGGGAGCTAGTGCATTGAGAAAAACTACACGAATTCCTTTTAACTTCAGACTCGGCATGATTCTAAAGACCCTCAGCAGCTCTGTGATTTGACAACAGTATTCCATGCAGGTGGCCCATCACGAAAGATAGCACCCTTGAGGGATACAATCCAATCCCTAAACTTATTGCCACACTCATCGACGATAGCATAAAAGTCTCCTACAAGGTTACCACACCAGACTTTAATTGGTTTATTATTCTAGTATTGAAACGTTAGTATCCGCTGAGATTTATCATAAGTATGAATTAAACTCATATACTATGGAGAACTTACGTCGTTGCAGAGGAAGATACCGCAGTTATGCGAGCAAGAGACACGTGAACAGCCAGCATAGCCCTTAGGTGCGCCGCAGTAGCCATTCAGCTGCCTGAGGTATCTAACACCCTCGGCACACTGGGTGATATAGTTTCCAACCTCCTTTCCAGAGACGTTGCATTTGGTCTAACATCATGTAGAGATATTTAGTGTCCTGCTTCATAAGCTAGTGGTGTATAAATGGTCAAAACCGACTTACACGTCCTCGTTTCTCTAGTTTATCACTTCGAGCCTCGAGAGTGCTATTCTTGGAGAGACCCTGTCGAGCCATCTTTTCCTGATAGTCAGGAAATTCCCAAGGGTCGTACTTGGGGTTCATCTCATGCAGTTTTCTGAAAATAACCTCCACGGTCCCGGTGATGGTGACATCCGGACCACCAGGAACAGCTGGACCGGTAAATGTGATTGGAGGAGCTTTGGCAAGAGCATCTTCAGACAACAGATTGGCGCGAGCAATGGTGTACCCAGCTGCACAATATATCTATGGATTATTAGTTGGAGAGAGTCAAGTACTTTTGCTGAGATTTCACTTACAAAACTGCTGAGAGCAGCAACGGTAAGAAAATTGACCTTCATTTTCGAATAAGAAGTTAAGGAATATACCAAAAGATAGATTCAAGAATAGCGAAAACAAATGTTTTTGTTTCTAAGGTGTGGATCTTAATATTCCTGCTCAAGTCGGGGGAGAGAAGCACCTTTATATTCTTCTCGAAAAGCATTGTGAGTGAGATTCTCTATAGAGTACTTTCTAGCTTCCAAGGCGGATGCTATAATTCGGAAGAGGGTTAAACAATAGCCTCACAAGAGCCTGTGCCGCACTTTGATCTAAAAGGTCGTGATGATGAGGAGGAGGTCAGAGCCAACCCCTGTTGTCAGTAACGGAACTTAGATCAAAAGGTCCCACAGGGCCTCAGGAGTATAAAAAAAGATACTATTATAGTGCAGCCAATGTCACGACAAGATAGATCACCAGGAAAGAAGGTGATTATGTTCTACACGCCTCCATCAAGGGATATCAAAACGATACGAGTATGATTTGGAATATTGGGCAAGGCACGATCTTGGTCTTCCAGGCCTGTGTACGAGACAAGATCTTGGTATACACAGAGATTATCTAACCCATCTTTACTAATATCTAAATCAAGGACCATCACGCTACAGGTCGACAGGGCACAAGGGTCAGGCCTTCCATAGCGAGCTATTAGGGCTGGTATGCATGTCTCATCTTAAAATCATTACTCAAGACAGGAACAATTGCCGAAGCGGGTTGTATTTTCAGCCCTGCGAATTCGTTTCGTTTCGTAAAGAAAATCTGGGGTTAGATGTCTTCGCTATTGCTATCTTCATAGGCTAGTCTTAACTGAGAACTGGTTATTGGAAGCCTGATGCACTACGACTGGGTGAGCCCTCAAGCTTTTAAACCCATTTTTAGACTTCCTGCTATCTTTAACTTCTTGGATTAGAATTGTGTCACCGTTTCCTCTGGCGCTCGAATTGCGATCCATTCGATTTCGTACTGGTGATTGCGATCGATTGCGCCTGCCGAAGACGCCTGCCTAATAAGGCTAGGAAAATCATGCGTCTGACATCTGACGAGAAGACTTTCCCTGCGGCTCGATCCGAGGGGCAGGACCGATAGACTGGGTTCATCGTCTTGAGATAGGATCCGAATCGAATTTTCGGAAGGTTGTGAGTTAACATGGGAGGAATTGGGGCTTAAATATCGATTGGATAAGTAGAACTTGGGCACAACGAACTATATGCACAAACTTTTACACCAAAATTATTTTCATACAACAATACATATTACCATTACCACAAAGCATATTTAAAAAATAAGATAAAATATAAACAAATCATCATTTTATTTTTCATTTAATTATACTCAGTTCATTTGGAATTACTTCACTTTTGCGCAAGGAAACCAAAAATTGACGTTGACCTGAAACGGGTGGTAACACAGACAGTGCGACAAGGATTATGTAATCTTCCAACAGCTCAAACACAAAGTTAGTCCGCTGACCTTTCATAAAGAGCGTAGCGAGCTTAGAAGGCTATGTTTTTGGTATCAATTCGTATGCTGTAGGCTCTAGCTACCTTCAAGCACGCTAATGGGAATATTGATATTGAATATGTGTAATTATGTGTCTGCAGTAAATATTAAAATTGCATTCAATCCTACCCTTAGAAACAGTCTTTATAAGTTTAAGGTTCATCCGAGCTTTCAACACTGCATGGCAGCGACCAACTAAGGATCTGTCTTCTTAATTGTCCATTTATCGAACTCGTTTGCTGGATTCAATCTCATCAGCCCATGCCTTGCACCCCAATAAGTCAACAAAGCCCTCTTCCTCTTCCCAGGCGAAACATCAAATTCCATCAACTCGTTGGTAGCCTGAATTATACCACCACCACCACCACCACCACCACAATCAAGTCCCCAAAGAAAAGGTTCATAGGCCTCCAGTTTTGTAACAAGCTGACCTTCCTACTCTAGGTTCTGCACGTAAGCACAGAGACTAGCCCTATTGTGCTCCCACAATCTACGTTGCTTAAGAACTACCTATAATATGCCAACCCGTCCTTTTGAATCCCAGGCTCTGGTAGTAGGCCATACATACCCTTAAACCCGTCGACGCCCTCAAGTAAGTATGTACTGCAACGGCCGCTACCACACAAGTTGGATATATTTAAAACAGCTACCCCCCGCCTTTCTTTCGTGTTTTTCTCCTTTCTTCCATTCTCATCACCCAATGTGACTGTGTATAATGTCTGAAAAACAAAGTCCCAATTATCACGAAGGCAAAGTTGGGGTTATATAATGAATACATTGGGTGACTATATCGTTATTATAAATTTGTACCTAAATACATCCATACTTCATGAAGTATTTACATCAACCCTGCTAGGTTTAAACTCGTCTTTAATAACAATATCCAATGCGCATATTTGTTTCCCCCTTTAATAGTCTCCAAGTACTTCCAATATAACCGAAGCTCCACATTTCCATATAACCAGGTCCCCAGTATCCCGGAGACCACCAAGTCAAATAGCCATCTTCAATTCAATCCAACACTCTTAAGCCTTCCAGCCTCCCGGATAGCTATCAGTGGCACCTTCAAGTACTCGGTAGCTCCCGTGATTTGACAATTTGGTAGTATCGTAATAGTACTTGACTTCTCCAACCGCAATGTGAACCTCGAAGTGCGGCAGAAGAGTTTCTATATCAATAATTTGACCCTTTTTCTGCAATCACCGGAGTATCATCAGTATCCAAACCCTGTTTAAACTTATTCGCCAAAAAAAAAAAAAAAAAACAGGAAGTCGACTTACATCCGTAACAAACCATTTCAACTCGTCATTAAGAAATTTTGTCATGACTTCCTCATCAAGGGTATCCAGCTCCACGGAATTATCCTCAAGAAGCTTCAAGAGAGCGCGATTCAGAGATACCTGAGCAACGCAGAGCGCTCCTTCTTCACGCTGTCGTTGACAGTTCGCGCATGCGGCAGGGTCGGTTCCCGCGAAGTTGTAGACTGTATCCACAATCTCCGCACGATCTCCGACTAAAATCTTCCCAGAATCTCCCTTCGAAGCATCGCCCAAAATGAAATGAACGACGTATGACCTTCCACCGAGAGCATACCTATCTCATTTTTAAAAGGGTTAAACTTTGTTCTAAACCTGTCATGGACTTTTATAATTATGGCAATCAAGCCAAGGGGAGGGAGAAGGGGGGAACTTACTTGTTATACGTAACATTAGCGACGTAATCGTTAAACGTTTCACCATCTCTACCACCCTTTACAATACTTCCCGACTTCTTAGAGTCTCCATCTTCTTCGTCATCTCCATCCCTCTCACGCCTCTTTGCTGCGGCCCACGCCAGAAATTCATTTCGGGCAATACCTTGTGACTTATTAATCGCTTGGACAACCTCACGGCGGAACTGAAGACCAAGTCCGACGGAGAGTCCTTCAACATTATCTTGGGCTGCCAATGCAGCACCGCCAACCTTTGGCTTCCATTCCCTCGGGAGACCGGTATAAGTGTATCCTAGAGTGGACCAATCCTTGACATCATCAGAAGTAAAATAGTCATTCTCTCCAGAGCCGTTACGGAAAGGTGCCAAGGGAGTTGTAGAGTCGACTATTGAGCCAGGCACTGTGCTCCAGTTACCGCTGGGGTCGTCCCACTTGTGATCTGGGTACGATGATTTCACCCAGTGTTCAGCTCCATCGCCCCAAATATTTTGCCATAATGCAAAAATACGATCGATGTTACTATAAATTTTCAATATCCGTATTGATGTTTATTCCGATAAAACGTATACGCGATAGGTACTTAGCGTAATTGACTCACCAATGATGAAGCATGAAAAGTGGATCAAAAGCTGATACCGGGATTTCACTCATGTGCCCAAGTCCTCCAGACCAATTATGCAGATTGTTATGGATAGCCTCAATCGATAGCCAGTTGAGTGGGGGTCTGAGAGTCTTATCCCTTGGATCGCTATACTGCCGAGTGCTGGCGAAACACTCATAGGCAGCAAAAGGTGAAGAGTCCTGATGGCTCAAAAGTCGAAAGACGGCATTCGCTAGAGTAAGTGTACGTGGCTTTGGTTCGTTTTTCCATTGATACCACTTATGTTCTTCCATAGCATCGGTGATGTTGGTGTAATTGTTGGCACCATTGATCCATTCTTCTCCAACCGTCGCATTGGGCCATCTGCCTGTAGCTTGGCATATTCCAAACTATTTTATCATTCACATGAGTTAGTTCCTCAACAGACTTTCGAAATACGAACCCAGGCAATTTTGGTGTAGGTTGCAGAGCACTCGAGTCAGAGGGGGGTAACATACGTTCGCATCATCATCCACATAATCAACGCCGTACATGCCGAAATTCTCACCATCCTTAAGAGTAAACTTAGCCATTGGATTAAGTACACGGTCAAGATAACCCGGCCCTTGAAGGAGATGTTCAGAAGGAATCTGAATATATTGCTTCATCGCAATATCTGGAAATTTATAAACACCGCCATCATACTCCTTAGACTCGTCCCAATAAGGCAGTCTCCAAGTCTTGATAGCATCGATGAGGAGGTCTTTGACATTTTGACCAAGTCCTGAGTTTTCAACCCATCCGCGCATGTGGTTAAAAATAAGACGCTATATTGTCTGTGTTAATATATATCAAATTAAGTAGAGGATTTGTATCTGCATACCTCGAACAAAAGCATGTAAGGTCGGTGCCAAGTGGGAAAGAGAATAGAGTTATGGGTACAATACCCACCCCAATCGTTATCCGGGGCCTTAGTTGTGGTTTCTTCATCCCACCTGTTATTTATTAATTAGCTTTCATATTACAACATACGAAGACAGTATTCTCTCAGCTGATCGGGGGCCGGCTTACGGAATCTTTGGATAACCGTGGATACCTACGGGCACAACAGATTAGTAGTGGAATAGAATATATATGAGCATTCGCGAAAAGGAGTATCCTACCAGCTACTTGGAAATACGACAGTGTGTTTGGGTTACCCTCAGAATCCACAGGTGGCATTGCCTGGAATTCTCTCAACCCCATCAAGAAGACGAATACTTGGAGTCTATCAATAATGGCCTTGGAGTTATACCATTCATCGACTTCTCTCCTCTCCGGGATTGGATCGCCGGGTTTGAGGTACTCGGTAATACCCTCGACGACATAGTGATCGTTTCTCTCGGGCATTTTTGAAACCAAGTCGAGGAATGCTATGACTATAAGATCAATTAAAGCGCAAAGATCCCGGAATATATATATATATCAAATAGTCTTGATTATGAAAAAGACAATTGTATAATTGTATGTTGATGAGGTAGTATTGTTTGGAGTCTTTCGACACTTGAAAGGGCCCTCGACGACCCTTTATATACTATTTCATCGGGGGCAGATACCGTATCAACAGAGTGTAGTAGTCTCATGTCCAGACCTGGAAAGAATTTACCGTTATCCGAAAGCAATTCAAGTATTCTACGATATCGCCACCAGGTCGCCCGAGTTCGAACTTGAAAATGTGATATGAATAATTATGCTGCTGGTTCATGTGGGCTCTCAGCTTAATTGCTCTCGACCATTAGATGATTCAGTAGCAGCCCCGCTAAGGTATAACCCCTCTTTCATGCCTAAATAACTTAAACGGGATACGATTTTCCCGGGTGGGGACAATACGACTGTGGCTGCATAAATGGCTTCCTCTATATAAAGAGTAGCTACCATTTCTGTATACGTATAATCATTGGATGCCATCTGAGTTTCCCAATATTATTCAATTACAAGTCAAAATTGATCTCGTCGACGTCAGTCGGCGATAGTGCTGCGACTTTATTCTCAACATCAATTTCGAAGCACTTGCGCAGTCTGCACTTGCGATCATCAAAACCCCTTCAAAATATCGTAAAAGGTCGCCATGATGTTATAAAACTACAGTTGGAGTCTCCATGCAAGCTTCACATCAAAACTTAACAATGTAATCGCTCAGTTCGCAATCGGTATTATTCGAGACCAACCGACCGTGCATATGACTTAATGCGCATGCAAGTTAAGCGTATTCCTGTGCGCGCTATCGAATTATATCGTCGTTGAGAAGAACGCGCATCCTTGCATCACTAGCTCTAACTAGCTAGGGTTCACGGGAAAGTTTCAAACCTAAAAATACCTAGACTTTCTTCCGCCCTATATGTGGGTAAAGAATATGAACAAATAAAACCCTTATGACTTTTTTTTTTTTTTTTTTGGCGGTTGTGGAAGGTAAATAGCAACTTAAGCCGGGAAACACAGAACAATGCATAATGTTTGATGCATGTACGTACTTTGCTTTGGACCGTGGTTTTGCAGCTACACAGCATACGTAGCCGTCGCACTCGGCCTCCACGCTAATGCAATTTACCGCAGTCGGAAAACGGCATTTATTATATATGTGTATAGGAGTATCAACTTCCTGAGAAATGAATTTTTTCTCTTCAAGCCCTAGCTTTTAGGAGGGGTGGGGGCCCTAGGTATACGTAAAGGTTCGGAAATCAACATATAATACTGTAGATGCCATTGGAAAATACATTAGAATTAGCTGTAGAGATGAATTTTAAATTTTGTAGGATGACATTTATTCTAATGAGCATCAAGAGCAGCCGCCTTTTAATAACACCAAAACATAACTACCTCCTAAAGCGAGTAAAAAATCATCATACATAACTGCAGATCTATGACGAACGCTAGTGTTTTCCCACGCAGGTGGAAGTATTCATTTCTATGATCATCCCATAACAAAAGAGGGTGATACTTATGCACAGTGACTTAGTACGCCGCGCTCTTACTCTTATATAGCATGAAGTGCAATATACACAAATATAATAGCCGATCAACTGCTGAATTCCTGCATACGTACGCTTAGGTTGATACTACCCAAGTAGTCTAACCAGAGGCGTGTAATATATCATAACGCATTACTATAGAGGAGTTGATATATCACACCAATCCTGCTATCCATCAAAGAGTCATAGCTATATATATTAAGATCTACCCGCCACTCCTCTGTACTTCATGTCTTTATACAAACCTCCCTCAATCTCACATCCTGATCTCTACGTGGGCACAAAAAATTCGCTGGATCTTTGGGGAGGTAAGGTCATGTGTTGTATGTTGTATTTTTATTACTTCGACTGAGATGCTTAGTAGCTCATAGCTAGAGCTCTAGAGGGTATCTCATCTATCCCATCCAGCTAAGTTAAACCAAACAATATCAGACACAGGCAAAGACCTAAATTTCTCTAAAGGTACGGAGTATATATCCACGAGACAAGCTGAAAATTTCTCCCAGAATTAACATATAAACTAATATGTAAGTATATATATTTTGTATCCCCCTCAACCCTCAACCCCCAAATCCTATATAACTATATATCTATCTATCTTGAGCTTATAACTTTCCAAGCAGTAGATGTAAATTTGGAAGGAAGAAGAAAAAAAAGCCAAGTTAACATCCATACCCCCCTATAGCTATAGCTGTAAACCATATTCATATATTGTCATTTTCTTTTTGTCCTTTTGCTCAAGTCATTTTTTTTTTCTTTTTCAAGAGTGATAAAACAAAAGAAAAAATGGGATAGAGTTCCCTCGGAAGTTAAGAGAAAGAAGAAAAGACCCAAAATAGAAACAGAAAAATAAAAGAGAACGAAGGAAAACCCGCACATCATAGAAGGAAAGGGAGGGAGGGAGGGAGGGAGGGAGGGAGGGAGGGAGGGAGGGAGGGAGGGAGGGGGATAGGAAGAAAAAGGCATAAAAGTGGTGATCGAAGTAAGAGACCACTAGAGAGGAGAGAGAGAGAGAATATTTTCGAAGTTTATATGTCTCGTAAACCAGAAGAAAAAAGAAAATCGTCTTCAGAATACGATCACGCAAATGAAAATGAAAAAAAAGAAGATCCCTAAGAGAAAAAAAAAAGAAAATCCATATAACCATAGTGTCATAACATCAAGGAGAACCCGGTCGGAAGAAATCCAGAGGAATGGGGATAGAAAGGAAAATTTGTTCCGTCGATAAGGAGAAAATAACAGAAAGAGCTTTGCTGAAATCCACTCGGGCGAGCTCAAAGTTAACTAAATATATGGCTAAAAAGTACCTAAGATGAAAAAAGACCCCTTCTATGAAAAAGCGATATAATCATGACAAGAAAAAATGAAGGAAACCAAAACCAAAAGGGGACAAAATGCAAATGCTCCAGTATCCTCCCAAAAATGTAAATTGTACATGCATGCTCTGCTAACTATTTTTTTGAGTCGTCGTTAAATGGAAAATAAGACGGAAGGGGAAAAGGGAAAAAAAAAAAAAAAAAGGAAGAAACGAAGGTATTTCAAGAAAAAAAAAAAACGACGCGAGAAAATAAAGGATAAGACGCAGAGGATTAAAAGTTTCTAAGTCCACCAAAGAGATTACTCAAACAGTTCCTGTCGTAATGCCTTAGCGCTACCTCACCGCCGGTGGGAACTCCTCGCTGGGTGTTTCGTATCCCACAGTGGCATCCGAATCTCCCCTTCCGAAGGCTGGTAACAGCGGTGGTCGTTGGTGGTGATGTTGATGCCGATGGTGATGTTGTCCTTTCTCAATGGTGTCCGGCACGCCCTCGCTGTTCCCGCTTCCCCTCGAAAATCGTTTACTTCCTCTCTTTTCTGAGATACTGTTCGCGATCTCGCCACGGGCTCTCGCATCCTCTAGAGTCTCTATTCTAAAAGCCAACCCCATATCTTCATCTAGCGATCCAGGGTCCGCAATTCGCTCAATTTTATAGCCTTCCCAATGGAACTCGCTATCATCCTTGACTGGTGGGCTACTGACGATATCGGTTGCAGGACTTTCGGGTACATAGTTCGAACTCGGTGGTCCTCGTTGTGGACTACTAAACGGTGACGGCGTGGCGAACCCATTAATGTCGACTCCTCCACCGTTCCGATCAGGGTATCCAAACTCCCCACCAAAGCCGAAGCCATTCACACGCCCATTTAATCCTTCGTACGGACTTCGCGAGGATCCAACGGTGGGTGTCATTGTCATCGGACTCTGCACGAATGCATCTTCCAGTAGGGGTGTTCTCTTGTTGATTCTGGGGTTGATCCTTAGCGAGGTTGGCGATCCTTTGCTTGAACTCGAGCTAACGTGGACGATTTGTCCATCGCCAACCACGACATCAATCGGTGCCGGCGGAATCGTTCCACTCCTGTACACGTTTTCCTCTTCTGGGAATCTATAGAGTAACTCTTTCGCGCTCGGCCGATCCCGTGGCTGTTCGCTCAGACATGCCATCACAATCCCTCTAAACCAACCGGGAACTTCATCAGGTGCGTCCTCCATCCCCAACGGCTTGGCTGCGGCCTCCGGTTCGTCAACTTGGTACACCAAGCCCCAAAGCACCATTCCCAACTGCCACACATCACTCTTAACCCCAATAAACATCCCTATTCGCTGCTGGCTCTCAATGAGACCCTTTATTTCCGGTGGTTCCCAGCCGATAGGACACCCTCTTCGATTTATGTCGATAATCTTAACGTCGCCATTTTCATCAAGCACCATATTCGACATTGTAAAGTCGCCTTGTACAAAGCCTTCCTCGTGGATTTCCGATAAGCCCTTGATGATTTGCCGTGCCCATCGCTCCCGCTTTCTCCACGGTAGCTTCCCGCGTTCGTTGAAAACCACGTCGATTAGCGAACCGTTAGGTGCGTATGAGATTAGTAGTCCCCGAACATGCTTCCTACGCTCGTCCACGACGAGTCCACCGAATCGTATGACGCTAGAGGAATTTCGAAGCGCATGGAGGGCGTTTATTTCGTAGAGGAACTCGTCTATCGTGTCGGGCCCTGGAATCTCCTTCTTGATAAAAACCCTGTCGCCTTGTCGGACTTTATATACGAAACCGGAGAGGTGACAGTCGAATTCTAGTTCGGATTCCTGGTAGAGGTCGCAGTGTAGATGCCGGACAAGATTTGCATGGGGGTAGTGTATGATTTCGTTGATATCTTCGTTCACATGGACATGTAGTCGGCCGTCCTTCGTTTCAAGCTTGAGGTTTGTGATCGTAGGGTAGAACTGTATGTCGAATAGAGAGTCTCGAACAGCTTCGTATATACGGGCAGATTTTTCGCGCTGGTACGGGATATGTTTTAGTTCCTCCTCTAGGGAACCGTGTTCGGCGTTACGATAGTCGCAGGAGACGGTGATACGGTGTCTGAGGTGTGGAGATTCGGCATATGTGACAAAGAACTTTTCGCGATCGGAGCGCTCACGAAAATGCATGGATAGGTTAAGAATCCAGCGCCATTCCAGCTCCTCCTCTATCATTTCCTGATAGCGCTCATCTTCTTCGTAGAGCCAGTCTTTAGCATTCGGGGAGTGGATGTCGGTGGCGGGTGAGAGAGGTGGTTGGTTGTCGATACGGGCAGCAGAAGAACGCGGGTCGAGGATTGACGTCACCGTGGCGCGAGGCGAGCGGAGGGAGGCATTTGTGGTACGAGGGTCGAAGATACCACTTGTTTTGGGACTCGCTAGCGAGGTAGAGGTATGCCTGTAGTCGAAATTCTGGCCGGAGAGACGTTGGATACGTTTCGGGTCCGTGGACAGAGCTCGCTGTTCCTGACGGGTCGGGCGTATTTCCTTCAAGTTTTCACGCTTCTCGCTGTCGACCCGGACGGGAGGTTTGATATTATTTTCTGCATTGGGAGGTAGAAGCGGACCGGGAGGAGAAGACGGTGGTAGCGATGGAGGTTTCCTTTGAGAAGGAGAGCGCCCGAGAGCGCCTAGAGGGACCGAAGCTGTCGTGGGACTGGAGAGGGAACCACTGTCAGCGGTAACCCGTCGAGCATTCTCCGGTTTCTGGAGAGGTTCCAGTGAATGGGAGATCCCGTTCGAACCACCATTTTGCTGGCGACTGATACTGATACTGTTACTGTTATTATTGGTAGTAAGATTATTTCGGCCGGCGGTAGTAGGAGGAGAGGATAAGTGACTGTTGTTTGAAGTTGTAGAGTTCTCTTTGTGGTGTTTATCTTTGTTATTATTGTGATGATGATGGAGGCCCTTCTTGAAGCGGTTGAAGAAGCTCGATTTCGAAGAAGAGGGCCCGCCTTCTTTGGACGTGGCCGGCAGGCTACCTGTGGATCTTGAAGGGAATGCCATGCAGGAACAGAGCGATTTCATTAACGGAAGAGAAGAGGGGGTAGGAGGACTCTTCCGTGAGGGAAGAGGATGAAGGAGAGGAGGAGGAGAGGGAGGAGGAGGAGGGAGAGGAGGAGGAGGAGGTGAGGAAGAGGAAGAGGACTGTCATGAGGCTCGGTTAAGACAGAGCAGAGCAGCAGAAGCAGAGGCGCTCTACTAGCTAGTTGAAAAAAATAAAATAAAAAAAATAACCAAAACTATCTTTTCATAGATATATGTATATATCTAATTGAATCCTTGATATATATAAAGATGTACATATATCTTTCTTTCGAGAATAGTATCGAATTCGTGAGAGAAGGAAAGGGAGGAAGTTATATAACTGGTTGGACCGCCGGATGAGAAATAACTAAGTAACCGGGACCGGGGAGGGTCTGTTTCAAGTCGAGTATCCTGCGAAATCAATCTTCAATTGAACAAATAGAATAAAATAAAATAAAATAAAATAAACAAAAAAAGGATATGATATAGAAGAGTATTTGGTATTTAGTGAGGTTAGAATTATATTAAAGAAGGAAAAGGAAAGGAGAGAGAGAGAGAGAATCTGATACAAAGTATAGAGCGATGCAATGAGATGGCTGTTCCGCGCCCTCAAGGATCATATATGCCTCTTATACTTCTCCTCTGCATGAACCGAAGGTACTAAAGTCACATCGCAGCCACATCACCAGATTCCTTTTTTTTTCTTTTCTTATTTTCTTTTCTACTTCATCGTACATACGTACATACATATTAATAAATTGTATGACAGAATAAGCTGTCTGTAATATAATACAATGATCAATTGATTGATTGATTGATTGATTGAGGGCGGTTACACAGTGGACAATTAATATTAATGCACGGCTTCAAGCTTCATCGATCAGGAGAGTATGGTACAGTATACTAGTATAGGATATCATCTCATCTCCTCCACCTTCCGGATACATCTTCACATCTTCACTTTCTACATGTCAGTTTCGATTAAATTTCACTTCCCATCTTTTTTCAATTCAAGGGTGAGAAAGAAAATTTCTGTTTGAATACAATTAAAATAAAAAGAAGAAAACATACAAACATGCATGAGAAATCTGCAAAGCGAAGGGAAAGAATACCCAGCCATTTCAGGGTGTCCCGGCCTGTCAAATATCCTTTTTTTTTCTTTCTCTCCTCCTTTTCCTTTCCGGACCGTTCCCCCCTCGTCGTCGTAGACTTGTTTTTTATAGGAAGAAGAAGAAGAAGAAATACATGTAGACATCCCGTGATGGTCATCTGACGCCCTTTCCTTTTTTTTCCCTCTCTCTTAGATAATAAATTAAACCCTCTGGCGCAATAGTATCGTCCCTTTTGCGACAATCTGGCATCATTTCTCGATTAAAACGTGATAGTGATAACTTCTACCTTAGTATCTTTTACTAGTACTACATATACTAGTATAGTATTACATATACTCGAGCTTATAATTATTATTAACTAGCGCCGTGATAGTGATAGGATGCCGCATCGGATCAGTTTAGTATCTAATATATGCGCCGCATCCAGAGTAATCTCATCAAACTACCCGCTTTTTGACAGAATCTTCCAGACTCCATCGGATGTATTAACATTCCTTCTTTCTTTCTTTAGTTCTACAATATATGTAATGTACTTAAGTACTTAAGTATATACTTGTAGATATATATTATTTATACACAAGTCAAGAATTTTATTGAATCATAAAGGAATAAACCCGGTAGGCCTGGAATGATACAATATGATATGATACTGTTGGCCGTTGGTGCGCTGTCCAAGTTAACTTTCAGGTACTTCCAAAATACTTCGAGTCGAGTCGAGTCGTGATATCAATATCAACTTCAATATAAACTATTCCCCCACACGTGCACTGATAATATAATATTAATCTATCTCGCTGGCATTCATCTACATACGTACATACATACATACATACATACAGAACCGCGGGATAACTCACAGACATGGACACAGTCGGAAACCCCTCACTTTGCCGTCCTGCATTCTGCATCAAGCCTCCTTCTCCTCTTTTTCCCCTCCCTCTCTCTCTCGATCTCTTCCCTGTCCTCAAATCATATCATGTACGTTCTTATTACCCACAGAAAAGCGCCCCCCTCCCCTCTTTTCCCCAAAGTCTCTTATACTTTAAGTATCCATAGAATTGAATACTTACAGACATATGTAAGTATGTAAGTACTTATGTATGTACTATGTAAGTACTTCGCCTGTTCGACCAACCGTAACCTGCAGCTCCGTGTAAAAACCTGGTTGGTCTCACCCTTCAGGGGACTCCCCCGTCCTGAACACACACACACCTTTAACACCCTACATACTTACATACACAGCCGTTACTTGTTAGTTACCTTGAGTACTTGCCCGAAGGGAACAGGAACACTAAGGAAGAAATCCCGAATCAAGTAACCCTCTTCATTCAGAAAAGAGACAAAAACCAGCTAGCGTCGCGGGAAGAAAGAGAAAGAAAGAAAAAAAAAAAAACTAGATCGATGCGTTGGCACCTCTAAACCGCCTTACACTGTTCATTCCCATCGGGTCGGTACCTAGAGCTAGAGAGCGGGGGGGTACAGCGGAGGAAGAGGAGGAGGAGGAGAATGAGGAGGAACACCGATAAACACGGAATATTAACGGTCCATACGTCCACATTGCATTAATTCGCATTAGCATCGATACGTTACTTTCTTACCTACATACATCATACATCCTGCGATGCATGCGTGGGAACTGTGATCAGATGACCTTATTCGTTGGTGAACACTTCTCTCCCTCTTACCCGCCCACGAACCATCCATACAGAAATCATCGGGATAAAAAAGGCTTATAACCCAGAAAAACATATACATCTAAAACTGCGAATAGAACTGCGAATTTAAAAAAAAGTGGGATCAATCGATAAGCCTTACCCCCGCGCGCGCCCTGCTGTCCTGTTATGCGCCATGCTATGCTATGCTATGCCGTGTAAAAAGTAATGATAATATAATATACCCCCCCACATTCAACCCCAAATATATTATACTCTCAAGAATAATCATTCCCGTCGGAAAGATCAAAATCAAGAACAAACGAGCGAACGAACAAGTAAGTATACATGTCGATAAGTAAGTACTATACTATACTCATGCACAATCGCTTCCTCGACCTGTCGGAACAAACTTTTTTTCGTTCCTTAGAATGCATGAGAGGGAAAAGGGTGGGTTACACACATATGCCACGCCCCCCGGCTTCCTCAGTATACTATACTACTATACTTGATATTAATCAGAAAAACTTATTCCAACAGGGCGGACCATCTGATATGATTACTTACTTTTCCAAGCTGCCTCGATTTTTTTATTAAAATTTTTTGAAGAGAGAAAAAAAAAAAGAAGTAACTTGAACTCGTGATCTAACTAACTCGTGAGGATGGTGATACAGTTCTTTGTTACACTCATACACCATCAGGTCATCTTACTCAAACAATCCGGGTTGGTGGGTTACCACAGCTCCCATGATTCTCCCCTTCAGTATATTAGTGTTCTATGTAGAATTAAGTACTTTCTCTGTATTAATTAATCAGGGATTTAATTCAGTCGGTAAATGTTCACCTCGTAAAAAAAGGTGGTTTTTATATACAAGTGTACACCTTGTCTCAAGTAAAAATGCAATGAAACCAAGATAATGAAAACCCTCCCCAAAAAAAAGAGAACTCCATCCGGTGCTTTTATTTTAGAAGAACAAGAACAAGAAGGAGAAAAGGGTATTTACAACCAACCGATTCCACAATCATCAATAAAAAAAAAAGGAGTGTACCGATTGGTAAGTGTGGTGAATGTATGCATGCAATGCCATAACTTCGTCGTTCCCTCGTTCATTTCATCCCATCCCATCTTATCCCATCCATCTAGGTCTATCCTAGCCTCCCCTCATAACCCCTCTTCCTCTTATCCCATCCCTCTCTTTTAGTCTCAGGTAGACAATCCGTATGATATAATGTAGAGTGGAGTATAGAAAGAAAAGAGCTAACCCACATCTACACCACCCACTAAGCGATCATTGTCCCCGCCATAGCCGCCAAGAAGGCATTCATAAACACTTGTAAACTCCACAGCCCAACGGCTCTAATCCTCCTCTTCTTAATATCCGCGTCCGCGATATCTTTCACGAATGCATCATAAACCTTTTTATCCATGATCCCAAAGTCAGTCTCCATAGCTCCGGTATAGGTGTATTTAATGATCAGAAAGGAAGGAATGGGAAAAAAAACTCACCTCAGCACTCAAATCATCCATCAACCCACTATCAAACAACGTCCAACTCCCATCGAACTCCTTCACCCTCTTCACCATCCTGCAATTAATCGGAATAATCGTCCGTTGGCTATTGATATACGCAATAATAGGCCTCATCAGCGCATTATTACTATACGACAAATCCTGTGTGAATAACGGAATCGCCGCTCGGGTATCGTTCATCTCAAGGTGTAAATCGATCATCATGAACTTCCTGTCATTAGACGATAATGCTGCCGTATTTGTAGAAGTAGTAGTAGTCGTAATAGCATTATTGTCATCTCTCGACGTATTAACCGCTTCGATAACTTCTTCCCTAGCCATCCCCGTCGGATAACTTTCATCCTCCAACCCGACAACATTAGCCATCAACCTTCCTTCCTCTTCATTCCCATTAAGTCCCACCGCCGCACCAATGATGCCAGTGACACTTTCAACACTTAGATCCCTCTCCCTTACCAACCCTTCCACCTTCTCCCTTCTCGTTTTGATCCCCGCTTCCATCTTCTCCATCACGTCGTGCATAAACTTCCCAATCCCATCCGCCGAATCCTCAGGGAAGTGAATATCCGCTATGATATCCAAATTCCCAGCTACAATCCAGCTCAAGGGTCCTTCATACCCTCTATTCAAATGATCGAATCTCAATCCATCGATCCTGAACCTACTAGTCCTCTTCCACGGATAAACCCCTTCTTGCCCTCCATCCGCATCCCCAATCGCCGCTGTAGTAGTAGTAGCAGCCGTGGTCCCATGACTCTGCCTAGGGTGTAACGTAAACAACGAATCATCATAACTCCCACTAACATGATTCGCGCTCAAAAAATCATAAAACAACCACCTCTTCCTCAAAACCGGTAGGTCACAGCTGAAGATGCTAACATGGAACGGCCTAAACCCTCCAGGTTGGTAAACAGTAACCAACAAATCCTCAAGTTTGAAATGATCCAGTTCGAAGTCTCCGGGGGCGTATTTATGTCGATACGAACGTGGATCTACATCTTCGTCGAACAGTAGATGCGTGCGATCGATGATACCACGAACACCCTTCATGTCCACATCTACTAGAAGACCACGGCCGTTCATCCATTTTGCGAGGGAGATGGTGACGTTGACGGTATTGATAGTAACATCGAATTGGGTGTAATTCCCATCATCCTCTTCGTACGGATGTCCGCTATGGTCCTCGGAGAATGCTGCAGCTGCAGCTGCAGCGGCGGCAACAGATGAAGACCCCTTTTGTACGCTCGTACCTTTCAAGATTCCGGGTCGTCGAGATACAAAGACATTCTTAAAGGATATACATCCATCTTTCCATCTCGGTACGATAGCAGATTCGAAAACTACTTTCATACCCATTTCTTGTGTCAAATAATTTCCCACAACCTTTGCGAGGTATTCCTGAGCGAAGACGGTATTGACGAGCCATATTCCTATTGAGAAGAAAGTAGTGGTACCCAGGATGATCCACGCAAGGTTCCCCAATATGATCCACGAGAAAAAGGCAGATATCTCATCCATGTTAAACGGACGTATTTGTCGGATCGTAAGCCATTTGAAGCGGATACGCAGACGGTCCCAAGCCGAGGAAGCAGCAGCCAAAAGTTCTTCTTTGCTCGGGCGGTGGATCAAAGGCAAACGTTCCATAAAACCGTGATCTCTGGCGGCACGTTTAGCAATAGCATGGTACGCCGATGCCGCCAGTGATGAATTGTTTTTATCGTCCCCAGAAGGCAGTTTCGGATCCGAGCTTGCAGGGGCGGGAAGAGAAGGAAGTGGAAGAGGAAGACGTTTCGGCACATCTGGTGTGACGTCAGACCTTCCTCCTCTCTCGATATTCCTATCATGCCTCTGGGATTGTATCGGCCTAGTAGAACCCTTCGAATAATCTCTATATTCTTTCTCCCCATTCCCATTCCCATTCCCACTCCTATCCTTCCCTCTCCCACTCCTTCCCATCCCATTATTCTTCCCAGACGATGGTGATGACGATGATTTCGAACTCGCACTCCGACGGGACATGCGTAGTATCCTATCCTTCCTACAATCCGTACATACCCCACGTTTCCACACCGACCTCGCAAGCGGTACCAAAATCCCCGTTCTAACCCCTTCCCTCAGTTTCCTCCGACCGTTAACCCCATTCCCGACTCTATCAATTGTAGCATTCGAACTACAAGAGCTAACCACCGCAGCCGTTGTCTCAGAAGCCTTCGAAGGCAAGCTACTCCAGGCGAATACTCCGGATGCAAATCCACGGGATAATACGTATTTAGGAGATTTGAGGCATTGGGAGGGTGTTCTCGATGAAAAATAGGTAGCGAATGGTTGTGCGGAGAGGAAAGGTGGGGGAGGGGTTGTCGCGTGCCAGAGCCGCCAGGCGGTACGGAAGACGGAAATCGACGGTGAAGTCATTGTCGAGTTACGGCATTTTTTTTTGGAGGGGTGAAAGGAAGAAAAGAAAGAAAGAAAGAAGGAGACCTATAATCTGAGAAACAGAGGAACCAGTGAAGCAACGAAGGACATTGTTAGCAGTAGCAGCAGTTTTTATTAGTATTAAGGATATTAGATAAGTAAATAAGTAGTTAATTGTGTTTTTATTGATGCTGCGAACAGCTAGAGAAGTGAACGAAGGATGATGTCGAAGGGAATGCAAGTTAAGAGTGGGTTTTTTGGTGTTCTTTTGGGGGACAGCAAAAAAATGGCCGGGCTTGTTTGGAGCTCGCTAAAGTGGGCGGGTTAATAACGGACATAAGCGAGTCCATTGCAGCTGAGAGCAACTGATAACCAGCTGCTTGCGGTCACGTCGTTATTACATACTCTGTCCAACTTCAATTCCAACTTCAACTTCAACTTCAACTTCAACCTCGTTCCTATCATCTTTAAAATAGAATTACCCCGGTTTCTTCACCATCTCAAAAAAAAGAAGCCAGTTACTGGATCACCGTATACCAGCCATGTAAGATGGGCAAAGTCTGCATCGAGTGCAAGTACCCGGTGCCAGTCCTCTACACCACCTCCCAGGCCGCCTACGACCGCAAAACAGGCAGTCCGGTACGCCTCACCCAATGTCCGCGATGCAAGCATTTCGCCGACAAATACGTCGAACATGACTTCGTCGTCCTCTTCATCGATATGGTTCTTATAAAACCTCAGGTGTATCGACATCTGTTGTTCAATCGGTTACAAGTCGCAGAAGACGATAAACCAGACGTATGGTTCTTCCGTAACTCCTTTAAAAGAATAAGAAATATTCTATACTTAGAACAGTTACTGATAGGTATAAATTGGATATAACAGCGCTCTATAATCCGTCTCGGTGTCCTCCTTCTCCTCTTCGACGTCTATCTAACCTGGGCACGTATCGAGAAACAAGCACCAACCCCTTCCACCACTTCAACCCTCGGCATCCTAAACCAGCAACCGATAGTAATCCAATACATCTTCTTCCTCCTTCTGTGTCTAACAGAAACAATAATCTTCCACTCCACTATCCGATTCATTTCATTCTACTACTACGGCTTCACGAAACCAAATGCTGTCAGTACGGCTTTATTAGTCAGCAGTTGTACGAAATTATTTCCGATTTTGATGGTTATATGGAATTATGATGTTCCAGCGGCTGCAAAGAGCGTGGGGTGGGCGGTTGTGGTGAATAATTTGGAGGCCTTGAGGAGTATGTTACTTCATCCACCCTTTTCTTCGAGCATACTGTAGAGATATATGCTAATTCTGTAGTCCTGTTGGATGTATCGTACCCCAAAGCGGCGCTGCTGGCGTTCTCGGGTGCACTCGTGAGATCACTCTCCACGAATATGATATTGTACTGGACCGGTCTACCGATGTCCGGGTGGGGGTTCGAAGGGTGGGTATAACCTCCCACAGCATACGTCGCTGGCTAGTAATTTGAATACCCAAATACTCTTAATAAACCAAACCCGTCAAGTATATGCGTGATTCCAAAATCCAACCAGCCATAAGGCAAAGACTTATATTCCATCAACGACGCCTGCAAATGAACGTAGAACAAAAAAAAGAAGAAAAGAAGACAAAATCCAAACGCTACAGTAAATAACAAATCCACAATAAAGCCGTCAGATATACACCGTACCCAGATAATCAGGGAACTATATGCGTATAAGCCAGGCCAAATGCAGGCCATCCCCCTTCTCTTTCACCCCCCTTACATAACCGTAACCAAGCGCTCTAGTCGTAAAAACGCTTCGAATGTTGAATGTTGATGATGATACAGATTCTATTATTACATCCTCCATCCTCCCCCACTTCCCGCTAAATGATCCGCAGCCTCTCGTCTTTGTACGACGTAGCAGAGATAGTTTCGTCGGGTTTATTCGATATATTCCTTCCTAAAATTCGATGCCGAGGGTGCAACCAATGGATTTAACTGCGCTAGCAGTGTAAGGGCTATAATATACTCCATTTAGTAAACCACCCATAAAACCCTCAAAACCCGGGGGAGATCCATAGGGAAAATATACACACCCCACATTATATAAGTACACGCCACCGTTAGAATTATCGAGCTTCTCCAGATCCTATATTATTTTCGAAAGAAAAATAGTATGTTAGCCAGCTGTTCCTTTGGTATCCGTATCCCGTATCTTCCGAGTTTATTATCCATCCATCCATCCATCCATCCGTCGAGTCTCTATTGACGATGATGATGTAATGGACTTTTCTCCAGCAGTAGTTGTGTGTATGGTGTGGTATGGTATGGTATAGTATGTATGGCAACGTACGTCTGGTTCTCCCCCTTCGGTGCAAAAACATATCCTGCTCCCGCGATCAAAGCGCAGATTACCAGGCCGATGATTATGCTCCATCTATATTTTTGTGTTTTGTACCATGTCAGCTTCGGGATCTTCCGTATGTGTCTTTTTGTAAGGACTGTTTGTCGGTGGAGATGTACCCGTTCGCCATGGTGTGTGGTATAGTTTTATAATAAGTGGAATAGCAGCAGATATGGATGGGGTCGGACCGGAAGGGGATGTATGTCGCGATTTCGGGGTGTCGGTGGTGGACGGTGAGGGTGGTGGCCGGATGGTGGTGGTGATGGTGATGTGTAGGTGTGATCGATCTGGAACTTTGGGTTCTTGTCCTTAGACTGGAGAACGTAATCTGGTTTGACAGGGGCGGGAATCGCGAAACAGAGACGTGCACCAGGTAACTACCGGGGATTGGGAAAGCCAACGCAAAAAATACCACACGGAACTGGACTGGTGTCTTGGAAGCGAAGGAATGTCAGCCAATGAATGAAAAGCTGTGCTTGATTTAATTGCAGGCAACATTTAATATGTGAGGTGTCACGAAGTAAGAATTTTGTTAGCGTCTCGCAATACGCTGCCTGTATATGTATATGGATGTTGAAACCGATGGGGTTTATTTAAGTCGTGTAGTTTCCTCCCAGACTTTTTACTTTAACTATACAATTGCCTTTGCATTTTGGTTTATTCATATCATTTCAAATTTTTTGCGCTGGTAGGATATTGAACTACAACAATTCTATACCCACTTTAAAGTAGTACTTGACATCTTGCCTGCCTCCAGGCCACCTAAGTAGGCGATATTAATCCGCCATATAACAGATAATTTACACCGACCAAAGTCATTAATACGACCTATATATAAGACAACATGAGCTCTTTATCTAGAGAAGATAGGAATCTACTCCTATGCTGGCTATACGATGGCATATATAAATTCCTTCCCCGCTGGAAGGAACCCGATGTCACCAAACTTTTGCAAGACGCGGCTCGACTGCCGCGAGTCACAGGGATGAAGAACTTCTCCAAGGCTACGATCAGTGACATAATCGCAGAACATGTTGAGTAGGTAGAACCCCCTTTGTGCGTAGTTATTCCGTAAACTTGGATACCTGATGTTTTGGTTTCAAGATCTATGCATGTTATTGTTTTCATTTTGATTTGATTTATTCTTTATTCTTTTCGTTACACAGGTTTTGTATTTGTGGGCGTGTGCTTAACATGCACGCCTGTAAATATTCTAAACGTGCTTTTCGTGTAGCCTCGAGACTAGGCGCAGGGAAAGGGCAGGGATGGTCTGATTAGGCTGCCTCTCCACAGTTTACATGAGATAGATTTATGGTCTTAGGATTATGTTAAACGGAGACTTTTAGGTATCGGTCTTGGAAATGTCTTCCGGTCCCCATGAAGACGACATCTATAATCCTAGTAGATTGGGGAAAGCAGAATAAGCCATTGGCACCAGCACCGGGGCCAGCTACTCAGACGAACCCGCCAGCCGCAGCACCACCCCCCCCTCCTAAAACAGCTGCCGCACCTCCCCAGTCGACTGCAAAGGCGCCGGCACCACAGCCGACTGCAAAGGCACCGGCACCACAGCCAACTGTGAAAGCACCGGCACCACAGCCGACTGCAAAGGCACCGGCACCACAGCCAACTGTGAAAGCACAGGCTCCTCAGCCGACTGCAAAAGCACCACCACCACCCCCTCCTAAACCAGCAGCCGCACCTCTCCAGCCAACTGCAAAGGCACCGGCACCACAGCCAACTGCGAAAGCGCCGGCACCACAGCCGACTGCAAAGGCGCCGGCACCACAGTCAACTGCGAAAGCGCCGGCACCACCCCCTCCTAAACTAGTAGCCGCACCTCTCCAGCCAACTGCAAAAGCACCAGCAGCACCACAGCCAATTCAGGCCCCCGCCCCAGGCCCTTCCACCCCTTCCTCTCTGCAACCTCCGCCTGCTGGTGTAAATGTTCAAGAAACCGCCCCCGCAATCCCTAACCATTCTAAGCGCCAGGATGACCCAACGCCGTCGAATAACGATCCAAACCAAGGTCCTGTGCAGGGAGACGCCACAAATACGGCAACGAGTTCAGTTGCTTTGGGTGAAGGGGCATATCCTACGCCCAAGGGGACCCCAGCCATCCCAGAAAGTCCAATGAAAGAAGCAGTTCAGCATTGGTGGGACGCTCCTCGTTCAGATCTAGAGGATCCATCAACAGGTCAGCACTCAAACTGTTTACTTTATCTCCTTAATTAATTTTATATTAACACTCTTCTGTTTAACGACAATCAGACGATTCCAGGTCAAGGCTCGAAGAATTGGTGTCTAATGCCGATTCATTGTTTGTGAATAGGAAGAGCAAAGCTTCCATCCGTAATGCTCTCGAATACATCCCTTTATTTACATCTGATCTTCTCAGATCGGCTTCAGACGTGGCCCTTCCACCACAATTTGCGGTGTTCGGGAAATTCCTAGGCCCTGAATCAGCAGATTCAAGTGAGCAACGTTTATTGCTCTTAAATACTAATACACCGTGGACAACATTTATTTGTGGTCTGCAGGGGTCCGGGAAGTCACATTCTCTGACAGCAATGCTAGGTAAAACCCCCGCTGACGATAGTATTACAAACAATATCGACGCTATTAGAAATGTGGCATGTGTACTGATATATTGATATATAGAAAGCTGCCTAATACGTGATGAGTCAATTGGTCGTCTTCAAAAACCTTTATCCGGCCTCGTCTTCCACTATTCTCCGTATCACTCAAATGTCGAAAGCGAGCCATGCGAGGCAGCCCATCTCGCAAACATGAGAGATAATTCTAAGAACTCGTTGGCTCCCCAAGTCACAGTCCTTGTATCCCCTTCAAATATAGGGAATATGCGAACGGCCTATGCGAATATACCAAATGTCACAATCAGGGAGTTTCAGCTGAATCCGAGCCAGTTGAACATTGACACCATGTTCGATTTGATGTCGGTGCGGGAGAATAGTGGTCTTCTCTATATGGACATTGTTCGTCGAGTATTAAGAGATATGGCAATCGAAAACAATGCTACCAACAAGCCCTTCGACTATGATAAATTCAAAAAACTACTATTTCAAGGTGAACTGGTGGGGATGCAATCGCGTCCGTTGAAACAACGACTCACTATTTTGGAATCATTCATCGGTCCAAAAGATAGTCCAAACTTGTTTCACGCGACACCGGGAACAGTGACTATCCTCGATCTTACTTGTCCCTTTGTCGATTCCGAGACCGCCTGCGTGCTATTCGGTATTTGCAATCAATTGTTTACTTCTGCCCCCAAACTTTCGGGGAAAATAATTGCTCTAGACGAAGCGCATAGGTACATGACGGACAATGCCTCTGCGTCGGTAAAACGATTTGCAGAGTCAATAATCGGAAATATCCGACTTGAACGTCATTTGGGTCTGAGAACGATAGTTAGTACCCAAGACCCTTTCATACATCCTGAGATTATGGAGTTATCTTCGATGGTTATATTTCATCGATTCGATATTCCTCGGTGGTTTGAAGAAATACGGAAGCATGTTGGGTTTCAAACCAAGACCCAGGCACCCGAGCCCTCGCAAAACGTCTGGGGAGACGAGGAGTTACAGAAACCGGAGGCGGACATTTTCGGGGAAATCAAGGGTCTTGATACTGGCGAGGCGTGCATCTACTGTCCTAAGCTAGTAATACCCGAAAATAGCTGGGGGGTATCGACTTTGAAGAAGTTCGGTAATGGAGTTTTCAAAGTTATGATACGGCAGAAGATCACCATAGATGGTGGAGCGTCGAAAAATGTTCTTTGAAATGTTTTTTTACTTATTTCTTTAAATTTTATTTCTTTCTAGCCATTTCTTCGGTGGACCTAAGAGTTTAGTCTGTTCTATAGCTACTTAATAGTTCTAGTTACCAAAAAGTCTTAGAAAGGTTTTATATTTATCTGCGATTGTATTATTGTATATACTCATAGCTAGCTTCAACACGTTGCATCTGTTGTGTTTTATCACCAATTTATTCTTCGGTCGGATAGACAAATGTTCTTCGGCAATTCTGAGCTCCCCGCGATTTAATCCGGATATCAAATCCTCGTTTGATGCAACTATCCGTAATCAAGAACGGCCCTGGATCTAGATCGAAAACCGCAACCTTACATCTGGGTATGCGCTCCGGCAGAAACATATTGAATCTTGCCCGCAAATCACGAAAGCATTCCTCGCTGAATGCCAGCAAGAAAAGCTTATAATCAAGTTGGAAATGCATCCGCCCTACGGCTTGGCCCTGGTCTCTCGCATTCTGACCCGCGGCCCAGTCCGCAATCACAAGAGCTTGATTCGGCTTAATTCGCTGAACACACTAGCTATAACTCCCCAGTTTTCTCGACCATTGGTATCTTCGAGTTCACATTCTGCGACATTATCCCCCAAACACCGTTTTTCCTCCTCGCCAATATCATACTTTCCTTTGGTTCCTCGGATCGCATCTATTCAAACTCGCAATATGTCAGACAGACCAAAGGATCCCAGGGAGGATATGAGCGAAGAGGAACTCCTGGAGTTGGTCAGAAACTCTCCGTTTCGCAAGTTTGGAAAATTATCCAACGAAGATGGGAATGATATCCCTTCTGTTAGTTCTACAGTTCCTTCACAAAAAGTAATTTTTTTTTTGAAGTATACTAATTTGATATATCAATATAAATTATAGTGGGGGAAAACGATCTATTCAGATCTTGAACCCATTGATGCGACCTTATCTCCGAACCCGTCCATCACATTTAAAATGTATATCAAGGAGGAATACACCAACCTATCGGGTAACTTACATGGTGGTTCAGCAGCCACAATTTTTGATATCGCGACATCGATGTTATTAACACTTGTTCAAAAGGATGGGTTTTGGCAGCGCTGGGGTGTCAGCAGGACGTTGAATTGCTCCTATTTAAGAGCAGTACCAGGAGGAACTACTGTCAAAATCCATTGCGAAATCGTCGGTTTGGGAAAGAGATTTGTTCACATGAGAGCAATTATGAGGGACGATGCGGGGAACATTCTTTTGACTTGCGAGCACGGGAAGGTCAATACGGATTCAAAGCTCTAGAGATATATATCTCCGTTCAGTGAATTTCCTGTATAGTTATTGTCCTGTTAGAGCCGGGTCGTTTCTTCCCCCTCCACGTTGCACCTCCATTTTATCGGCAGTGTAGATCCGAATCTAGAGAGTATAAAATGCTCAAAGAATTTCGTATTTTCGTATCGAGGGCCAGACCCTGTCAAAAGAATAGAAAACCGCGTGTGTGCTGACGCGCACGACGAGTAACCAAAATATGCAAATGCGACGGTGCAAATGGGGACAACGTTTGCCAAGAATCTGACCGTCTGCAACACAACTTCACCCAGTCTAAAAAGGCCAGCATTCTGTGCGGCCTGACTATCTAGCCGGCCTTCAGTCATACATATATCATCTTCATATCATCCACCCCGTCCTGCCCGGATGCGATTTGCTCCCTCACCACTAGCTCATCGTTTGCATCCTACGAACTTCAAACCATGCACTGGACACTTTCCACCGCTTTGACGGCTTTATTGGCCTACCGGGCCCACAGCCGTAAATCGCTGACCTTCAGTGGGATCCTTGCCGCCGTCGTTACGGCTTTGGTTCATGCCGTTCATCCGTTCTCCACGCTGAATATCTGCTTATTGTTCGGATTCTATCTTACCGGAACTTGTAAGTATACTCCTTCATCTTCACTTTTATTGGAATTTTTTTCGGTCATAAATGTACAGGGGTATTGTAAAAGCGATTGGGATTTATGCATGTTTCTTGCGAACGGGTACATTTCACATGCATGCCAAAATACTTGCAGGGCCACGTCCAACCATTTCCCCCTCGTACAAAAGCTAAGCAAAATACCAAGAGGGGCTTTGTATTTACTAACGTGAATTAACGATGTATAGCGGCGACGAAGCATAAACATGCAATAAAGCAATCTCTAACCATCTCCGCAACTGGGTCTCATACCGTCACGACAAGAACACATACCCAAGTGTTTTCGAACTCTATCTGTGCGAGCGTGTTAATTTTAATTCATTATTATCTTGTAAAAGATGATTTGAATTCTGGTAAAGATATTACATTTTCTTTGTTGTCTGGTGGGAAAAACGGATGGAGGGATGCTTTGGTAGTGGGGATTATGACGTATGTATAACTCGGACATCCTGGGGTAATGCAAGGACCTTAACGCTAAATATATATGTTTTCATTGCCAATAGACAATACGCCGCGGTTCTATCAGATACTCTTTCATCTGAACTGGGAATTCTATCCCGCTCACCTCCAAGGTTGATCTACAACCCGCTGAAGGTAGTTCCACCGGGCACCAACGGAGGCGTAACTCTCGCCGGTTTCATAGCCGGAACCGCAGGAAGTATAATAATCGCCATCATCTCCGTTCTTTCCGTCCCATTCAGTCCAGAAAATTCAAATCTACAATTTAAAGCCACTTTAGGAGGCGTAATTGTTGCAGCTGGAATCAGTGGAACTATCATCGATTCTTTACTCGGTGCTACACTACAAGCAAGTGTGATCGATGTAAAAGCTGGAAAAATTGTGGAGAGTGAAGGCGGTGAGAAGGTTTTAGTGACAAGTACCAAGTATCCATCGATTGAAGGTCAAATGAGGAAAAGGGTTGGTGTCGCAAGTGAAGGACAGGATGTAACGGCTAAAACCAAGGCTGTTGGAGGTGGGGAGGGGAGTAGGAAGATATTCAATGGGTTCGATTTGCTGAGTAATAATGGAGTTAATGTGGTTATGGCCGGGATTGCGGCTGCAGGTGGTGTGCTGTGGGGTTATTGGTTTGTGCAGTAGAAGGAGGACAGTAGTATTAATGTATCAAGTGATAGTATTGGTTTTGAAAATTAATTGAAGCACTCGCTGTAGATGACGAATAATCCTGCAATAATATCCTATTCCAAAGTTGCTCTATTTCATTTTTTATAGATCAACCTGTTCCAGACCAAGATCAACCATCTATTCGGTTCAATTACCTAATTTCCTTTCTATTTTTGCTATCCCACGAAGTGTATTTACTGTCCTATAAGATGTACCATCCACTCCTTTCCACCCTTAGAGTGCCTTCTACTTCCAGCACTATCTCCTTTTCTGAATCATGGTTAGTAGCTGTTACAAATTCGGGCAGCTTGTTACCTCTAGCATATAATGGCTCCCAGTCAGAAGGCTCGTCTTCATTCTCAGTAGAATTGAGAGCTTCCCAAAATTGATCAATGTCCTCCTGGTAATCGAACTCGCCGATGGCTATATATATAAAACCCCCAACCGTAGCCATTCAAATTGTTAGTACATATGCTGCACGAGATAACCGAAGGTAGAATAAATCTGGGCAAGTACTCGCCTTCAAGTTCTAAATCATCAATTTCGTCCCCAGATTGTACCGATTCTTCATCAACCCAGTCCGAGGAAGATTCATCAATCTCGACAGGATCGCTTTCATCAACTTCATCTAACAAACTTTCAAATTCCGAAGGAGTTTTCTCATCCTCAGAACCTGCCAAGCTTTCGACATCGAAATCTTTAGTAAGTTTTGGGTCAAGATATGAGCGGCTGAACGCTCCATCCAAGTCGCCCAAATCTTCATAACCAGGTGCAAAACGCACTGAAGGAACCGGGAAACCCCCAATATCAATCCACCCCCTAGGTGAATCCTGCATCTCAGTGTCCTTTGGGAAACGGTGAAATATAAGTCTAGGATCCTCTTCAGGAATCAGGGATTTACCCATTTTTAACTTCAGATGTTTCGGAAGTTGGGGTGTCTCAGGATCTTTGTGAACCTCAGTCTTGAGATGAAGGACAGACTCCGGGTTAAGTAAGGTGACAGCCGCGAGACAATTGTGTACTATTTGTATCCTGTCGGTTTGGCTCAGGACGCTCGGTTTGAACCTTGCTTTGATATCACCTAGAACGGCGGTGAATCTTACGGATCCCGGATTAATTCCTTCGAAGAGCTTTTCAAACCACGACCTCATCCTGAATTCATCGGAAGGGAAGCTGCTGTCTAAACTATGACCTCCAAAAAACCTCTTTAGCTGATTCAGATCGTCCGCAACGTTTTCAAGATCCGAGTCCAAGATTATCCCATAATGTCCCCCAGGCCTCCAGCCGAATGGCCTTGTGGAACTAGGCGGTTGAATGGGACAAACTCTCAGCTTTATTGGCTCCATGCCGGCTCTGGCGTTTTTAATTGAAACGATAATTGGTGTACCATGATCAATTGATGTGCTTTCGCCAATGGTGAAGGAAGCCCCTCCGCCTTTAACATAAAGGCCTCGACCGTTTTCAGAGACAATTGCTTTGGAGTTTAGGAAAGTACCATCTCTACCCCCAGAAAAGCCAAGGAATGAAGCAGGCGCCCAACGATATCCATCTTCATCGATTCGCGGTTCCGAGTTGAAGATGATACCACGCTGGACGACCTTTTGTATTTTTAAGAAAGCTTCCATTCGTCTAATCGAGAGGCGCGCATCGTCAACGTGTTCACGATCTCCAACCCCTTCATCGATCCGCATTTCTTGTTCCACGGCCACTAGACGTTTTACATTCATTGACAATGAAGTTCCTACACACAGCGTCTGGTCGCTCAACCATGATGTCGAACGGCGTCGCATTGAGTTCATCGTCCCACTTAGCATTTCATATCGTCTGTTGACGCTCCAGCTGAGGGATGGCACCGGGTTCCGAAGATAATACCCCCTATTGTCTCTCCTGAGGTAAGGGAAAAAATAAAAGAGACTCATGGCTTCCACGCAACGGGAGGGGAAGTCGACACAGCAGCCTCCCTCAACAAGCCTTCCCCCTCTTGTACCGGGTCTATTTTGAGAAAATTCCATCTCTCCATCCGCATAAAGAAATACCAATTTATTGGCGAGCATACCCTCCTGGAAAGTCCATAGCCTTCGATTCCAGTTGGCCAGGTACGAGCCTAGACCGTTGTCAATGCTGGCTGAGCCTGACGGTTTGATGGCCTTGAAGGACGATGAGATAACCAAAACGGCACTGGCTGCGGCGTATATATGAGCCATTTGGCTAATAGCCATCTTTTTTATTTTTCTTCTCTCCGGGGATGGGCCAACAGGGATACAAAGTGTATCAAGCCAAAAATATTGAGGCTGTCCCTTTAGGCCTTCCCAGCCAGAGAGTGTATCGATATATTTCTGTATCTCATCCAGCTGGCATTGGAGTAGGGAATTTTCTTTTAAGTTCCCTAAACCATCACTCCATCTAAATTCCGCGAGCACCAAACAGTCAGGTTAGCGAACCCGATAGATCTCTTCTTAGGGCTAGGCCAAGACAATCGATGCATAGATCTATATTGTCCACTTACACATGAGATAAAACGATATAAGATGGTTCAGCCTTTCCCCTTCTCAGCATATCGGCACCCTTCACCTTGAGGACCCTTGCAACAGGATCCCATCTATGAACAGGCACCTGCCCCCTTTCTACGATTTCCATCACACTCTGTACATCTGTTGCAATACTCCCGTTGCAATCCCCTGTGCAAGGGGGGCTATGTACTTGCCGGTAAGTATTCGGATTGACGGTTCTGGCTTTGCAAACTTTAGGTGTGCATATATCGTGCGAGATGTTCTCTTCGCCTATTCTAGTATCAAGACTCGCTATGTAATAGTGCCCATCGATACTCAAATTCTCCATCATCGCCTCAACGTCAGACGGACACCAGCCTTTCATAAGGATGTGGGACTTCAGTAAGTTTGATGATGCCCAGAGGTGACCAGAGTGTCCCGGAATATGATGGAACTCACACATGGCCAATGTAAGCGCATGGTAGAGACTATTCATTGAAATCCAGGTTAATTCAGTAACCGGTATCACTGATGGCTTTTGAGAAGTCCCATTTTTTGATTCATTATATATCATGATTATGCTGTTGACCGTTTTTAGAATTCGACATATCTTTGCCGTAAAGTCACTTAGCTTCTTAGGAGATATCGCACTTTCCGGAGACTCATATCCCACTTTTTCCTTCCACTTGAGGACGAACCCAGGCAGCTTTCGCGTTGAGACAAATTTCCCAGTCGGGTCGAGAAAGTCGGAGTATTTCGTGTGGACGCCGACTATAGCCAGGACTTCTATGACGGTACCGAAGTAGAGCCATACCTGGAAAAACGACTGAACCTCGGCAGGACTGCGCCCTCCAAAGTTTTCATCACCACGAAGCTGCTCAGAAGTCCAACCTTTGGATTGGGGGTAATCCGCCCAAGGCACATCCTTCTTTCGAGTGTAGGTCTCCAAGGCCAGATTCGGAATTTTCAGGTGCTTTTTGCCCCGCGGTAGGGGTAGGTGTTCCATTGGGATAAAAGTTTCGAAAGACTTGATTCTTTAGACAGCCAGCGGCCCAAGTCAATGGAGTTTGGACGGTTCGAGTCGTGAATTTCTGCTCATGTTAGTCAACATGATGTTCTAAGTAGATACTTGCAGAATGAAGCTTATATATATATGTCTGCAGCTGGGAGACTTTCGAAAATAACTGACCCGAAGCTCGCCCGCCCGTCATATCGTAGCCAAAGCTTCAATTCGAGAAGCTAACGAGTAAGAGGATCCAACTGCAGCTAGTGGGGCAGCCGGAAGCTAAATTAGCTTCCACCACAAGGGGTCCCTACCAACCAATTCGCCTAAACTAGTCTTGGTTAAAGCCCAGCATCATGCTTGCCAGAACCGAGTTCAGGGATGTCAAAAGGTGGTGCGGGAACAGCCTTACGCAAAAAAACTCCCAGCCAGAATGGGAACCACCAACGTTCTAGTTTCGCCTTGGGCAGCGCCACAGTATCAACAGCTCTGAATACCAAAATAGTAGGAATCCTTCATACTTGAATTCGTATCCAATATAGCTAGTGTCTCTAGAGGGGCCCATTCAAGCTTCTGACGAGCTTACTATGAGATGACAGAGCTGTAGCGCGCAGGCCCATAGAAAACATATAAATCCCAGTTTTCGCACCCAATTGACCTCAAGAGTCTACAATAATTATCTACTTGTAGAGGAACCCAGCGAATATATTCATCAATGGCATCAATTGCAAGCGAGACCCAAGGTTTTCTAGGTAAGAATATAAATATCACCAACGTTCTTACCAACCTCCAAGGGAGAGAGAGCCCGTATTAACTGCCATGATTACTCATATCAGCTGATATGGCTCCTATAGTCAATTTCATCTTTGGCCGTGCACCAGAGGGTGCCGAAGAGGCGCTTGCCCGGGTCTCGGAGTACTTATTAGAACAATGGCAGAATCCTAGTGATATCCTTTCTGTCCTGATGTTATTGGGACCAGATATTGTGCAGAGATCTGTTGCGCAATTAGCTGGCAGAGTTGTAACCCCATGCGCCTTTTCGTTCGGATGGGTGGCTTATTCTGCCTCCGCTCTCGTGAGCAGTCTCGGCGGTAAGTTGCTATAAAATTAACACCCATTCGATGTTATTCGAGGATTGTGGTGCTACCTGTCGTTGGTGGCCTAGCTAGATGCAAAAAGAAGGTCGAGGCTAAACCCAATAATTTGCAAAAAATATAGATGGTCGGCTCATGCCTGATGCCGATGTCGATGAAACCCTTGTTATCGGCGCCAAAAGTGGCCACTGCCGTTCCACAAAAAGCTGGATTCTCGGCCGCCTATTGCGAGATTTTAATGATGCCGTCGACCAAGAAATGAGTAAAGAGGTAGCTCATGTCCCTCCACGATCTTCGGACGTACCCTCTACGACCGAGAAACGGTCACCAGCCCAAGAAAGTCCCGCCGTTCCCGCTCGTAGCGCAGAACATCGTCCCTGGGAAGCTCTTCGTGTAACTGTCTTTGAGTTCGATGATTCCTCCGCCATACCAGGCCATGGAACCCCAACTCTGGATTGGGTGTGGCTTCTTGGTCCCGTCACCATTCTAATTCAAATTGGCCTTGCTCTTATTCCCTTAATACTTTATGATTGCTGGGACATCCTCCTCATTTCTGTAGTTGGCAACTTTCTCGCCGTACTAAGCGGCTCGCTTCCGCAGTGGAGTAAAGAAAAATGGGCATGCCCCAAGAACGGCGGTTCGACTGTCACAATTACACAGGGTAATGGAAGCCGTACTGCAATGGTGATAGTCGGGAAGAAGGATGTGGGGCCCGATCTAGAGATTTTGGCCAGAGGGACGAGAACTCGTGCTGCTTCACGGCTCACAAGAGTGGCAACATGTACACTGGCATCGTTGTGGGTTCTCCTTTTGGTAACCGTGGCGGGCATGAAGAGGAACTCATGGTGTAAGTATATACATCACCATTCCCACTCTTTGACTAGACTTTAGTTATCAGAACATAGCTAACTCGCGCAAAATGGAACGTTTGCAGACCTCATGGGAGTAGGTATTATAGGAAGTGCTCACAATATTATCGCCGCAGGAGCCAAACGCTCACCTGCAGCCCTCGGGCTTCATTTGAAACAGCTGGGAGAACCTATCAGCGATAGCAGCGTAGCAGCAGTCTTGAAAAAAGTGGAAGAACAATATGAATTCGTCGGGTCATCGCTGTTGGATGTATTCTATCCAGGCGGTTTTCGGGTAAAGAATGACGCCGACATTGAATTCTGGGAGGAAGCCATTCAGAAGCGAAAGAGGCCCAATGAGTATGGTGTACTTATCAATCTTGGCTAACCATGTGTTTTCTGCACATACACAATATGGGCTGCAGCCGGCTGGCGCGGGGTAATGTTTTCTAGCTGCCAAAGTATGAGTTTATCAACCGCGCCCTGACTTATTATCAATATCCCACGACGAAAACCCCATTTAAACACTTGTACTACTTAAAGAATAAAATACAGTATGAAACTGTGTCACTTGAACTCAATTGAGAGCGCTGCGCACTTAAGTAGATCAATCAAAACCCCGAGCTATAAAAAATGCCGAGGTCGTCCCAAAGTCAAGAGCAGTCGTGTTAATATATCAAGTAACCGCATCATTTTTTTTCTTTTTTAAAAATCGAAGCAGTCATTGTAGATGATGTATTTCCAGCTATTTAATTTCAAACATATAAGTTAAGATGTAGACAAGATTTAAATTCAAGATATTTACAAAGTACCTTGTCTCGTACCCAGACCTGGAAGAAGGTACCTGAAGTATAGATGCCTCAATACTAGTCTACAGGAGTGCCAAAAATTTAAGCTAACTAGAATTTGGAGTAGCTTACTTAAAACAAAGAGTGTTCCTTCAATTCCACATACTTAAAATTGAATTTGATAATCAATAAATCAACAAGCTATACACTCACGACCCTGCGATTGTCCTTTTCCATTTTACCGAAGAAAGGATCTTGAAAAGGAAGAGGGCTTCTGACCACAAAATCGGAATTATCTGTGCGGCGACTGTTCCCTTGGGACGAGATCTCCAGCTGCGCTTCAGTCGAACAGGACTCACTTCGACTCCCAACAGAAAACCTGTCGCTCAAGTACTGCATAGATGAGATTGCTAGAGACAATAGGTGCAATCCAATGTGCTTAGTTAACGCTGCGTGGGCGGAGAGGCCCTCTGGTAATCTGTTTGTAGATCTAGAACCCCTCTTAGAGCTACGACCCTCGCTAGTAGCACCAGCAGTGCTGAGAAATCCCCTTTTTGTAAACCCGGTGTGGCCTTCCGGACGCTGGAAGCCGGCTCCTTCGAATGGCCTCCCCGGGCGTGTAGATCGAGCCCTGATCGGGGTATGATGATCTTGCTCCCGGATTAGGACTTCAGTGGCTTTTTCGTCAAGCTCTGGGTCGAGGGTTGAAATGTCTCTCGTGCAAAATGGACAAAAATTAGGGCCTCGGGAGGCAGAAAGAAAATTTCGCTTTGCCATTCTTTCAAGTCGAGTTATTGTAACCTCCCCCTCGTGTGACTCTAGATGTATATAGAACTCCTCGGCTGTTGGAAATTCTATGAATTCGTGGTTGTCTAGGTCGCAATACCAAACTGTCGGCTTGTGAATTTCTTGCGTCCAGTCTTCGGTATGAAAGCCATCCATATGTCTCTGCCATTCATGCAAAGATGCGAAGCAGACAGGTTCCTCACCACATTCCTCTGAAATGCAGACATATGGTTGGAAATCTTCCTCTAAATGAGATCTTGTGGACTTTAGTTCTAAGTACTGCTTTCCGTAAAATGATTTGAACATACCTCCAGAGATTATTGCACTCCATTGCTCCATGTGAATCTTCCAGTAATCTAAAGCACCAGTTACACTTGCACTGTGTCTGTTCTTTCTGGGGCGTAGGATTAGCTGGCGGATCTCGATACGGATAACCGAGAGATTTTTTTGCAATGCCTTTAGTTAGAAACGAGCCTGCTATAGCTAATCCTGGCCCCACGAAACTTATCCCTAGGTCTGAGGACTGAGCTGCCGAAAACACATCCCCAATGCGTTTTAACCTCTGTGACATCGTCTGATCTAGACCTGCGGGTTCGAATAGAAATCGAATATCTGTATTTTCTACACTCGCCTGGTGCTTTCTTAGGTGCAGGAGCCTTTGTCTTCTCGACGAAATGGAAGTAGATAGCTGCCTTACAAGCGAATCTTCAATATTAGGGTATAAGTTCCTCACATATGTATATATTAGGCTCATGCGTTCGAACAGATGATAATCATCCGAATGCTTCTCTGCGAAATTCTGGCCCCTGATGAAAAGGTCTGGAGCTGAGGCCTTCTTGATGACGACTCCGAGGCGCTGAAGCCTGCCAAGTGCACCATTGATCCCATCCAGGGCGGCTTGTGTAGCTAGTAGAATACTTGATCTTGTTCTCATAGAGTCGTCACTTTGAGCTCGAGGAGCTTCTGTCTTTCCGGTTCCTGACAATCCTCGATCCGAATCGTTGGTCCTGGCAGACTCAATAATCAGTCCTAAGTTCCAAAGCGCCGCACTCGGCCTTTCGGTCAGTTTAATTGCAATTGGAGCTATGGGATCCGGACCATGCCCGTAGGAAATAAATAGGAATTCCTAAATAATTTCTTCGGAATTTTGCAGGTTATAGCGCTAAGTTACGCGTATACGTACCGTGCGCGTGTCTAGCATTTTTCTCTACTAGCTCAAGTAATCTGAGGACTTGGTCTTCAGCATCGAACATATATTGTAATCGGCTGTCCAACGAAGCCTGGGGAGGAGCGAAGACACCAAGGTAGCCCGCCCAGCACTCAAATTGTTGTAGATACTCTTGCACAACCCGAAATTCCGTTTGAGTATTTTGATTTTGCGATAACACCGATAGTAAGTCTGTGAGGAGGGTTTCACATGTCTTAGACAGATGGTAAATTCGACGACAATCTCCCCAGCCGGCTGCGATGGCCGCCATCGTGCCTATTTGAAGACACTATTGAAACCGACAAAGAAGTGTTCAAGCTGGGAACTAGACCAGCTAGATATAGGCCCAAGGCCAGGACTTGCTTGAGTGTTAGTCTCGTACGATTGTATTGCAGACGGGTTAGTTCCACACCAAAGTGAGATATTGTTGCAAGGCTGAACTAGTTTTTTAATTTTTTTTCAATTTTTTTCAATTTTTAACTTGACCTTTAAGCCTTTTCCATAAAACGGTCAAATTTAAGTAATTAAAGCGGGGTGCCAGTATTTATAAAGTAAGTACCTAGGTATATACCTATATAGACACCCACAAGCACCTATAAGCATGGCTATGCATAGGTATTGGCTAGTTGCTTCCGGATCCTAGGATCCTACCTAAGCGCGGGCTCGTCATATGGAAGCCTCACGAAATTTCATTGGTCAATATATATCCCCAGCCGAATTCGAAGTACTTGCCTACAGATCTTGAGCTCTCTAGTGTGGGGCATATGTACCTAAGCACCTAGTATATATATACTGAATACACAAATATAAGGCTGAAGTACTTACGAGTAAGTACCGAGGTATTTACTACCGCGGAGTAAATATTTGATATAGGTAACTTACTAAGTATATAATAGCTAAGCTTATCGAGGAGTGGTATCTCGACTTTGCTTCAACGCCTGACTCTTCGACCTGTCCTAAATTTTACATACATACCTTGCGCGACGCGCGGTAACAGTTTACACTGCTCTATTTAAGTAAGTACCTACCGACTTACCTCTTAAAAACGCTTCTATAACCGTAGCGTGGGTACTAAAATGGTACTACCTTGCCCAAGCCCGATCGAGATTACTGGTGTAGCCGCGCGATCTGGTGGTGGTGGTCCGGTGGTCGATTCATTTGGGTTTGAAATAGTACATTCTTACGAAACCGGAGGCCATCACGTCCTAGATGAACGAAATTCCAGAATGGCAGCTTCTACAGGATATTCGGCCTCTTTTCGCCTCGAGCCCAATTTATCAGTCTAGCCTCCAATGGGAGATCATAGGCTTAGAAGGCCGTTGCGGAAGCCCTGACGAAACCGATAAACATATGCGGGATTGGGAAATTAAAGCTACCAATGATTTCAACCTCTTCAAGCATGAAATGCGAAGGCTACCGAAAACTGCGCCCCAAGTAGAGCTATCGTGTGAAGACTTCAAAGACTGCCTCAACCGTCTCCACAATCTTCTCGATCTTCTCAGTCAACTTATCAAAGACTCTATTTTCGAGCACAAGTTGTCTCGTATTGAGACTGCCATTTCCCCTGTAAATGCGCGCAGCCCCGGCCAAAATGATCACAACAGAACTACAGCTGACGATGTAATTTAATTCTCGACCCAAGCATACCTACTTGATTGTGGGTAGATAAGAGCTTGTGCTTACTTTCTTTTCATGGTGGCAGGCTACCGAAGAAGTGCAGGACAATATATCATCAGTTGGAGCCGCCACTAATTACCCGCCGCCGCCGCGCCGCCGTCGATATGCTACAAATTACTTCTCAAACCCCTTCAAAGATTTCAAGCTCAAGAAAAGTAGGTTCCCGAGGTTAAGGGTACTCTCTGGAAGGTCAAGGGTTGAAAGCGCGCCGGTAAATACCGATAGCGTGCAGAATTATCCAAAACTCCGAGCTCTAGGAAATATCGTCAACGCCACTTCGCAGGACGGTAAGTATATCGTGGAGAAATGCGTCCCCTACATAAACCTAGAACAAACTGCAGAAGTCTACGCAAGGGGATCCCAGATACTGGCGGCCTGCAATGCACGGTTCGAAAAATTGAACACATCGGATTCTAGCCAATCGAGCTTATCAGGCCCTATTACTATCCCAAGGACCAACTGGAGAGATTCCGAGCCCGCAGTAGCCTCTGACCGACTTTTTAAAATCTTACATAAAAATACTCGTGCTTGCGGGGACAAGACAGGGCACCAGGCTATGTTGTGTCTCAGTGATATTCAGTTAAATAGCCGTCCATTGATATTTAACACGTTTTTCCTTAGTTGCGAGTACTCTAGCTACTGGCAGGACAGCAGGTTTAACACAATATCGAGGTGAGTCTAAAGTACTTAATTATATATCCCGTTATACGTTGGTGAAGTGCCAGTACCGCGGTTCTGCTGACGATTAATTGGTGTATAAATATTAGTTACCGAGACATGTATTCTCAGAAAGTAGAACATGGTGTCGAGAATCTTTGCAAACTCATCTATGAATACCGCCGGGAACTCCAGTCGAGCTCAACAGCATTAAATCTCTTCTTCGATGAAGAGCAATTATTCGTTGCGAGAACAGGCCTTTTAGCTCACCGTGATGTTTTCCCCGCGATCTCCCTTAAAGAACTCCTCAGCAATGGGTATTTTCGCAAGCCAACAGCTGGAGGAGCGTTCGATCCAAGAGATAAGGCTGTTCTAGCCCTTTCGCTTGCTCGCTGCCTTCTTCACCTCCTCCAAGGTCCATGGATAAAGCGACCATGGACAGCAGATTCATTTCAATTCCTCCATAACAAAGAAACGGCTGAGTTACTGGATATTCACCATCCATATATTCATTGGCCTCGAGAACAATTTGCGCCTCACGGTACGGAAGATGAAACTACAGAACCCATAACAATCAAATGCCGTAGAATCCTTCTAGAATTCGCTTGCCTGTTACTTGAGATACAGATCGGGGAAACAATCGCTTTTGATCACCTCCCACCAACGGATCTGGAGGGCAGAGAAGATATTCTATATGAGAAGGTAGATAACCCAAATTTTGGCGAAGCACTAGCACATCACTATGATGCCATCAAAGGGTGTCTCAAATTCAAAGCGCACCTAGACTTGCATAGAAAATACAACATTGCAACGCCCCTCGAGGAGCAGATCAGAAAGGTCGTATACTCTAATGTCATAAAACCCCTGGAACAGCAACTTTCGATTTTTCCAAACCCCAGAACCCTCCAGATACAACATAACCTTCAACTTCAGAATCGCTTGATAAACCCCATAAACCCTGTGCAGCCTACGAAATATACACAACTTCAAAGAGGGCCACAAGTTCAGCGTAGTCCTCTACCTACTTCCAAGACTTCTCTTGAAGTTCAGCGCGAGATCCAACAAAACGAAAGCTTATCATATCCTGAAGACTTCATTCTCACAAACTTGAAAGCGCTCGAAGACCGCAGCGATCCAAATCCCGAGAAAACGCCTAGGAAGCTCGAGGCAGACGGATTTATCACCGACCATAACCAGAATCCTACTAGCGTAAAAAAATCTCCAAAACCAAAAGCCTACGAGGTTGCGGTGTTGTGTGGTTCGTGAATGTCAAATAATTTCACTCTTTGTGCAATGCATCCATGTATATTGCCACATTAGTTCTAATTCATAATATCCCTCCCCCCATAGACGATGATTGGCCATCCAGAGACAGTCCAAGTGAACTGAAGGAGGATCCGAGAGCTCCATTGAAGCACAAATTGGAAAACATACTCGGACTTATCGCTCCTATGAACCCTCCAAATGTTATGATTCGCTTCGTTAATTACGGGTGGGATTGCAACGGGACCCAGGATAACCCGCCTGTGATAGATCCTTATCGGTTTAAGACGAAACCAATTGAGGGCGGCGCACCGAAAAGTTTAGGAGCAAGCCTAGACGAAAAGATTGTTCAACCATTGGTTGTACAACAGATACAAAACGGAAGGCCCAAGAATCCTCTTATTATAATTGTTCTTCTGGGGACAACGGTAGGTTGTTGCCACTAAACTCGAATATTTAGATTTTGATAGTCCCACCGATTCAATGTTACTGACCAATTAACTATTATATAACCATTCAGACCATTATAGATGATCAGGATTCCTTCAAAAAGACAATCTTGAGCTGCAAGCACCCTGGCGACATAGATGAATATAGCCAAACTGCTGTACTTTTCATCTTCTCTGGAATCAGCAGTATCGTACATAAACCTACCCAACGGTTCCTGAGTGGGCTAGTGAAATACAAGGAGCTAAAAGAGTGGGTGTTCTATTCAACTAAAGCGCTCGACGAGAACTGTGCTGTAATGCAACGCGCGGTTGCTGTCGGTATGGCCCAAAAAAACCCAAGATATGCAAAACAGGTAGGTTCCTTCGCGATCCAATACCATTCCGCCAAATTTACACTATTTCTTGGACGTTTTATCGTTCGGCTTTATTTACCGGCGTTGGCTGACTTACTAAATCCGTAGTTATTTGAGCTATTCAACGGCGTTCTTGAAAACTAAGATACCCCTAATTAGCCAAGCGTTTAGGTGACGTATTGTATTATTCTAGTATCACAGGGTGAATTTAAAACTAGAAGCAACATCATGTCGATAATATTCACATGCGTGTAGATTATTAACTTTCCATGCCCACAAACCTCGAATTAGCAAGCATCCAAATCTATAGTCCCTAAGAAACAGGCTCTTGTCCTCCGCCCTAGTCCGGGTGCGCTTTAACAAGTAACTCGAAAACTTCGAGGTTTTTTTTTTCCGACGCGAGTTCCAGCGCTGTTTTATTGCTTCCAAGAATATTTTCAACAACTTTCCGGTCCTCGGCCCTCTTTGAGGCCCCTATACCATTTGGTACGGGATCTATATCAAAGATCCTATAAACCATTACGAAGTCAGCATTTATCGACCAAACGGATAATTCAATAACTTATTACCAACGCCGTGTTGCCCATTTTTTATATCGAGGATCATGAGCATAAAAGTTTGGATCTGCTCCACGATCAAGTATCTCTCTTGCTAGCAAATGTAGGTTGAATGCGGCGGCAATACGGAGCATTTGGTTATACACATATTCTGCTTCCTCAGAACTTTGGCACTCTTGAGTTAGGGAAGATTCCGAACCGTCGCGCTCCTCTACAGCGTTCTTTTGATGAGCTGCTTCTTGTCTAGACACTGATAGATTTTTATAGAGTTAGCATTATATGTACTACACGTGTTTCGAACTATCGACACGAAAATTCGAGAAACTAGTGAATAACGGCCTGGAAATAACTCAACTACTTGTTCTAGCTGAAACCTTGTTTCTTAATCTCGCAAGGAGACGCTGCAATAGACCGATAATCGTAGTATAGGTGCGACCAGCCTGACCCGTGAACTGAATAAGGGAGATATGGTCGCCATCAACATCATAGTCTTCTTCGAGATCATCGGGTAACCCAAGAACTGCGGAGTTTTTGTCGACTACTATCCCATGTGATTCAATTGGATAATTTTCGCGAGTAAAGTTCAGCTTAAAGAAAACAGGGCGTGATATATATCAGTAACCTAAGTTGGATGTGGACAGTAATTTTCATATATCTACCTTCCTCATTTTTTGTGTTTGTTGCGTCTCATAGAATGAACTTAATTGCGTGTTTGTGTGCTTGATTAAATGTCGGAATTGTTCAAAGTTTTGCGTGGTATATCGCGTTTTTTGAAATATACGACCAAAGTGATCAGCTCCGCGAAACGTTTTGACGACGTCAATCTGGTCAGGATTGATGCCCTTATATGGTACCCCAAAAGAGAATATTTGCACTGTCGATAGATGTATCGATTTGTACCGCTCGTCCCAAGAAGCTTTAATAAACGCCTATTCGTCAATTCAAACTGTTAGTTTAATATCGGCATGAGCAATTTAAACAAGTATATGAAAACCTCTGTTCCCTTCCGCTACAATATTCCAAGATAGGGATCCAATCTCTTACCTCTGCAATAATTATCCCCCCGTGGCTATGGCCAACTAAAACTAATGGCCTACTTTGCTGGTGCTGATATTAAAGCAATATGTGAGAAGGTATGTCCGAAAGGTTTCAAAAGTGAAATTGATACACTTGAATTGATACACTTGAATTGATACACTTGAATTGGCGGAAGCTTCTTATTTTTTATTAAGCAAGCTGGATTACTTACTGGTTTTCTACGCGCCTTGAAGAGTTCCTCTAGAAACCCCGCAACGTAAGTAACTAGGTCATCTGCTTGGGTAGAGTATCCATAGATCATGATTCGACATCTCGATCCCAAGTCGGGTTCTTCGGGTAAGAAATCCTGAAGCCACATTTGTACTGTTCCATTTGACTCAACCCCACTCCATGCTCCATATGCATGGTTCGCAAGTCCGGAGATGGCTACGATACTTTTCCCAGGCTTAGCATCGCCGAAGTTGTAACTTAAAATTACATACATCCAATACAAATCATGCTAAAGGGATGACAGAGTGGATATAGAATGGACAGCAGTCATAATAATAGAGATATTTAACTTACTCTAGTAATATGTCTTCTTTTGGATGGTTTAGCTGAGTGAGACCCCAGAAGTTTGCGTCTATTTCTATGAGGTTTCCCTTCCGGTCCCGTAGGTGCTTTTTCTCGCCGGCAGCAACTTTCTTTAAAAAAGAAGGAATAGGAGGGGAGAATTTAAATACAGCTACTTGTGTACCGCAATCATCGATGGGATATGGTGCAAGATGTAGTTTGTCGATTGTGAAACAATCATGTTCCTCCTGGGAGAGACATCCCATCAACACAGTCTTGAACTCATCTGCTGTTGTATTTTTGTCAATATCAACGGCTCTAAAGATGCCAAGATTGTCCCCAAACATCATGGTCGCAACCGGCTAACCACGCCAAGTCTAGAACTACTTTGATCCTCGAGTTTGAGTAGATGCTAGAGATATGGAGCTATCAAACTCGAGACGAGTATATTGATCGATCTATGCGCTGGGGTTATGGTCGGGTCTTAAAAAGGGCTTGTGGGTAGCGTATATATCGAAAAATGCCAAAGAGAGTGGCCCCAATTATAACCCCAGCTATAAGGTACGACCCCCGCAAGGCTGTGAAGGGCATCGATTGATGCAGGATGAAGTCGCAATTAAAAGGCGGCTCAAAAGATACGAATTACTAGCTTCCATTGGGAGATGGATGCCTTCACAAATGTATGACACGGCGGTGTGCTATACTCGCATATGTAGATCAAGGCTATGAAGACCTTTCGGGTTTCCCTTCTAATTTACACGCGCGATAACGAATATTTCGACATTGGATGTATAGATCTTTGCTATGGGGGCTTTCTATAGACCCTTGCGCCCCCAAAATTTTTTAGTTTCGGTCCTCGGTATCATGATATTGGTCGTCAGGTCATATGTCGTGACATCGGCCCCACCATTGGCCTCCGTCATTTTCTCCCTAAAACTTGGGGCCACACTCGCACTCACCCAAAACGAAAGACATAACTCTATTAAAGCAGGTAGTCAGAACATTTATTGGGACTTTGCCGTTATCCCATTCAATTCGAGGTCGCAAAAAGGCTGTCGGGTTCTGTGTTCGGGAAGGTTCCACTGTGGCGGGGTGTTTGCTGGATAAGCAGCCGACGGGACCCATGCGAGCTCGGACGATAGAAAATTAATTCAGTCGATGCCGCATCTGCACCACGCCTGCATCTCTGCAGCGCGATTCGTCTAAATCACTGATTTCTTCGACTTTTCTTGTACGTATCATCTCATATCATCTTCTTGAATAGTTTGCGGGCATTGGGATTGCTTGGAGTCTTCAAGAAATTGGTGCTGTGATAGCCTCTGCTGCACAGATTCGGTTCCCAACGTCACGCTAACTCGCCCACCAGACCTCACAATTACCTCGACGCTTACTCATCCACCTTCTTCCTCCCACCCGACTACATCATCACCATGCTCTATGGAAGAGCCGCCGGCCGGGCTCTACGACAGCCATCGGCCAGCTCTGCTTCTTCACCATCGTTACCATCTTCTCTGAGCACGCGACTCTCCTCCTCCCGATCTCGGCTCTACTCGACCACCCGAAGACCACTCATTTCGAACTTATCGCGACGGAACTGCTCTGTCCAGACGCTTTCCAGCGAGACAACTTCGATACAGCCATGGTCTTTATATTCTCCTCCGTTCCGGTTACATTCCCGGACTTTCACTTCCACTTCAATTCGCTTAAAAGAAAAGATTCCCGAACAAGCCGAGGAAGTGGTGGAGGAAGAAAAGCCGATAAAGGAGGAACCCGAAGAACGACAGGCTGCAAAGAAGTCTAATTCCGGTTCCAAAGATAATTCATCAAGCAATCCGAAGGGAGCGGCCGGCAGCAGTGGTGCATCTCCACCAGATGGATCCGAACCGCCATCTGCCACCCCACCAAGTGGGAATACCCCGCCAGCTAAGAAGCCGAACCTTCTTTCTAAGCCTCAAGTTCCTGAGATATACCCTCAAGTTATGGCTATACCCATTGCCAAACGACCTTTGTTCCCAGGTTTCTACAAGGCCGTCACAATACGCGATCCAGCTGTCACCTCTGCTATACAGGAGATGTTGAAGCGTGGACAACCCTATGTCGGTGTATTCCTCTTCAGAGATGAGAATATGGATGCAGATACAATTTCATCCGTGGACGAAGTTCATGATGTTGGAGTTTTTGCACAGATTACTAGTGTATTCCCGGTTACTGGCGAGGAACATAGTCTTACAGCAGTTTTATACCCACACCGTAGGATAAAGCTTCAAAGATTGGTACCACCAAAGGATAAGGCGCAACCAGCATCGGCAACAATCACAGAAATTGAATCAAAAACAACACCTACCAGCGGTCTTGAAGAAGACCCTGCAACGTCTCAAGCTACTACTCCGCCAAAGGATGCAGAATCAACTGAACCACAGGGCGACGTTGTCGCGTCCTTTGAGGAGACTATTGCGGAGATCGAACAACAAAAGCCATCGCCATCTACTTCACCAACTTTCGCCACCGCTTTCCTTCAAAAGTATAATGTCTCTCTTGTCGATGTCGAAAACCTCACTGAGCTACCTCATGATAAAAAGAGTCCAGTAATCAAGGCTGTTACATCCGAAATTGTTAGTGTCTTCAAAGACATCGCCAACATGAACCCATTGTTCCGTGACCAAATCTCTACATTCCAGATGTCACATTCCGCCGGGAATGTCATCGAAGAGCCTGCTAAACTCGCTGATTTCGCGGCAGCGGTAGCTTCAGCGGAAGTTAAGGAGCTCCAAGAAGTTCTCGAAACATTGGATGTGGAAGATCGGCTACACAAATCGCTCGTAGTTCTCAAGAAGGAACTCATGAACGCTGAGCTGCAAAGCAAGATTGCCAAAGATGTGGAACAAAAGATTCAGAAACGACAGAGGGAATACTGGCTTATGGAACAAATGAAAGGGATCCGCCGTGAGCTAGGCATTGAGAGCGACGGGAAGGATAAGCTAATTGAAAAATTCAAGGAGAAGGCGTCGAAGCTTGCCATGCCAGAGGCGGTGAAGAAAGTTTTTGATGAAGAGCTTAACAAACTTACGCATCTAGAGGCCGTCGCATCGGAGTTCAACGTTACAAGAAACTACCTAGACTGGCTCACTCAAATCCCATGGGGCCAACGGAGTGCAGAGAACTACTCGATAAAAAATGCGATGAAGGTCTTGGATGAGGACCACCACGGACTGAAAGACGTAAAAGATCGCATTTTGGAGTTTATCGCGGTAGGCAAGCTAAGAGGCGGGGTTGAAGGAAAGATTTTGTGCTTCGTAGGCCCACCTGGTGTCGGAAAGACCTCTATCGGAAAATCAATTGCCAGGGCAGTGCAAAGAGAATTTTATCGATTCAGTGTTGGTGGACTTACGGATGTAGCAGAGATTAAGGGACACAGGAGGACATACGTCGGTGCCTTACCCGGAAGAATCATTCAGGCTTTGAAAAAGTGCCAGACGGAGAACCCGTTGATATTAATTGATGAGGTTGACAAGATTGGACGAGGACATCAAGGCGACCCGGCGTCCGCGTTGTTGGAATTGCTCGATCCGGAGCAGAACAATGCATTCCTAGACCATTACATGGATGTCCCTGTCGACCTAAGCAAAGTATTGTTCGTGTGCACGGCGAACATGTCGGATACGATTCCTAGGCCACTGTTGGACCGTATGGAAATGATTGAACTGAGCGGTTATGTCGCGGATGAGAAGATGGCAATCGCAGAGAGGTATCTAGCTCCACAGGCGAAGACCTTGAGTGGATTGGATAAAGTCGATGTGGACTTGACAAAAGAGGCCATCGAGGAGTTGATTAAAAGCTACTGTCGGGAGAGTGGTGTGAGGAACCTTAAGAAACATGTGAGTATGCCATGGAGTCCAAGAGATAAGATTGTCTCGCTAACCCCGCCCAATAGATCGAAAAAGTGTACCGAAAAGCAGCTCTCAAGATAGTACAAGACATCGGTGAAGAAGAGCTGCCAGAAGAAAAGCCCTTGACAGAAGAAGGAAAAAAAGCGCAGGAAGAAACCGCTGAGAAAGCCGAGGAGATTGCGGATCCTCAATTCGACGCAAAACCGGCTACGACGGAAATCCCACGGGCAGCACTCGAAGTTCCCGAAACTGTGCATGTTGCCATCAACAAGGAAAACCTGAAAGACTATGTTGGCCCACCAGTCTATACTAGCGATCGACTCTATGAGACCACTCCACCGGGTGTCACAATGGGTTTAGCATGGACACAACTAGGTGGCTCGGCACTTTACGTCGAAAGCATACTCGAATCCGCCCTCGATTCGGACTCTCGGCCTGGGCTAGAACGTACTGGAAATCTGCAAAATGTTATGAAAGAATCGACCGCAATCGCATACTCATTCGCTAAATCATTCATGGTAAAGAAGTTTCCAGAAAACAAGTTTTTGGAAAAAGCAAGAGTGCACCTGCATTGCCCTGAGGGTGCAGTGCCCAAGGATGGCCCATCGGCTGGTATCACAATGGCGACAAGCTTGTTAAGTTTGGCACTGGATACGCCAGTTAGCCCAACAGCCGCCATGACCGGTGAGTTGACTGTTACCGGAAAGGTGTTGAGGATAGGAGGATTAAGAGAAAAGACGGTGGCTGCAAAGAGGAGCGGGGCCTCTACGGTGGTTTTCCCTGCAGATAACATGTCGGATTGGTTGGAGCTGCCAGAGGTATGTATTTTCCCCGAGAAACGCTATCAACGAAATCAGAAGCTAAAAATCTATATAGAATATTAAAGAAGGCATTGAAGGCCGACCTGTCAGCTGGTATTCTGAGGTGTTTGATATTATCTTCCCCGGCATCGACACCACAAGGGCTAGCAATCTCTGGAAAGAGCAGTTGAAGAAGAAGCCCAGGGGAGCATCTGGCGAGGAACCGGATTCCTTGGAAGTCGATATGGATGAGACTGAAGTCAATGAAAGCCGGATCATCGGCCGCTCTCGGTTTGTATAAACGCATTGTTGCATGATTTCTTTAAACATTTAGAACCATGCCTAGATGGCATATAGACCGGGGAATTACTTCTCTTAGGATTGACAGAGTGGACCTTTAAGCAATGCCTGAGGACGCATTGATACGGCGATTTTTTGTTGCTTCCTATTGTCTCTTCCTTTTGTACAGATGTACATCCCCATAGGCGCTTTTTTCCAAATGTCGGGCGTGATGGAGCATTATACTTTTTGGATATTCTTTCGAGGCTTTTATCTCTCCTCCGAGCATTTATCTCCATTAGTTTCCTTCTTGTACATACATATGGTATGGTGAAGATTTAGGAGATTGTATATATTACATCAATTCACTTTCATGTCGAACTTTAGCCCCAGCTGCCAACCAGCTGCGCCCACATAAAAGGTCCATCCGAAGCACCTGAGGGGCCCATATCAGGTCTTCCTAGTAAGTTCCCAAGCCCGGATTTTCCAAAGATTTGCTATCAACAACGACTAAAATGCAACATATTACCAGCGCAGACCAGAAAATTGACGTATATTGCTATTTCTAAGAATGTTTCTGATCTCAGGACTGACCCAAATGCATGGCAGCTGAGATGAAATGATTTTGTTTTTTGGTTCGATTCATCGTTCACATCGGCTCTCTCCGGATCTGAATTCTCTCATCGGTCATCTCTCCAAGATTGATATCTCATATGCTGCCCTTCACCGTACCGACCTAACATTCCTTAGTCTGCTTTCTCCTTTTCCTCAGGCTGGCTCTGCAATTTATAGGCCACGATTACATAGACTCAACCCCGGTGTGTCATATAGTGGCTGCCCGGGGTTGGCTGTCCTAGAGGTAGTCAATCGGAACATCGAATACCCTTGCTAGTTTCTCTGACCTTAGGTTTGAAAAAGGATTTCTATTGTCACATTCTTTGGAATATCCAGTACGTTGATTTTTTTTACCGATCGATATATGACTTGGGCCAACTTTCGAAGGTGTATTTCAACTCTTATGGGCACCTTGTTAACATATTTATAGAAAATCTTGAAAATGGCTAAAAATCGCGGTCACGATCATGAGACACCATTGCCTTTCAAGCATGCATATAGGCCTAGCCTTCTCCGACAACAGTCGAATGCCATGGTTAGCCCCCAAGTCAGCCCGCGCGGCTCTCAGACAAATATCGCAGGCATGAATCAGACTCCACGGCCACCGGTTTGCTCTCCATCATCGCTACCTCTCCGTCAGGATGCAATCTTCCAATCCTTTCCAGTCCCTTCGCCCAGAAGAGGATCACCCAGACGGTCTCCTAGCGCAGGAGTCAAGACAACCACACGGACCCCTCCTCTTCAAAATGTGCAAGTATACTCACCTAGGTCATCCCCAAGACCCTCCCCTCGTGTAACACCACAGACCTCACCAAGTGACGATAAATGGGAGACATCGGGTACAGAATCTCCTGTTGTGAAAAGCGGTACCCCCACTGGGAATTATGTCCGCCAAGCTGGAGCTTCTACTCCACCATTAGATGGTGGTGGCAGCTTGAAACTACTTGACGGACAAAATTCGAACGAACCTGTAATCGGCGAAGATTCTACCCAAGACCCAAACCAGGGCCATAGCTCCCATAAGGAGGGCAGTGATAAATATTTTGGGAAGGGAGAAGAGACTCCAGGTTCCAATCTCCATCCACGGAAGGAATCACCTCAGAGCTCCCGCTTCCACGGAAGCAAGAAAACGCCTACCCCTCCAAGTGGGTCATCTGGAGAGAACGGGGGAACACCTATCGTTCCGACCAACTCCCCAGTCGTCAAGCGAAGAAGAACATCGGGACTGTTGCAATTTATGCGTTCGCCATTGACTTTCCCTGTACGCAAGCAGAATGGTAGAAGCTTCATATACAATTGCATACCAGGAATGTCTCGCAAGTCATCTACTGCACAGAACGGTCTAAAAGAGGTTATGTCCTCGAACGAGCTCCCCAATAATCGTATACCTCATTCGCACAATGATAGTCATGAGTTCACAAACAGCCCTAAGCAGAGCCCACCGCTGAGAACTCCAACTCCAACCGACCTTTCGAAAGTCTCTACAGAATCGGACAACCATAAAAGGCATCACGGCATTTCCGGGTGGAGACACAAGAAAACCAAGAGCGCGGATTCTATCGCAAAGCCTACAGAACCTAAGGGGCCCAAAATGCAACAAGACCTACATTTTTGTGACGATGACCCAACTTGCTGCTATGTCGCGGGCGAGGCTCACCGTTTCCGCACCCCCCTCGAGAGTCCAAGAATTCCGGGAACTCCTCCAACACCACCAGCAATTTCTCCAAGGACTTCGGATATGAAGGGCAAGAAGCCACTGCCATCGTATTTTGATCTTCGCCGCCAGGAGACGTCAAATGTCAGTCCAAATGACCTTGGCTTTACTTTGATGCCTCTAAGTGATCCGGACTTGTCAAGTCGCACGAGCAGTCTTCAAGCGCACGCATACAGACTTCCACACTTCGTCAAGGTGCCGATGTTCTCGCACGCAGCTCCCTTTGCGACTAGAGAGGACTATAAAAGCTATTCGGCCGAAGCATCACCCGAGGCGGCATCAAGAAGAAGCAGTTTTCCACCAGGCCCGGGATGGTCTTCGAACCGCTCTTCTGCTTCTGGTGTAGTGGATGCCCGGCGCGCTAGCTTCGGGTATCGTGATCATATGAATTTTATAACAAAACCTGAAGGATATTCCTCAAGAACCGGAAGTTCTGCGAAGCAGGATAGTAGTTCGGGCTCAGTGTCTCCACCCGGTAGCCACGGAGTAAGGAGAGATAGCCACAATACTGCATCTGATGGTTCACGGAAGAGCTCTCTTGGTGAGAGAAGGGCATCAAAAGTTATTGCCGCGTTGAACATTTCTCGAAGGGACTCGACCGAAGAAAAGGTCGAGGAAGATGGTAACAGCTCAGCGCACACGCCCGGACCCTCATCGAAATTAGTCCATTGGAGAGGCGCGGAGGTTACAGAGGAAGAGGCGAAGATGCTCGACATGTTGGTTGGGAAACATCGACTATTTTCTGAAATGTTGATGACGCCATTGGAGAAGACACAATCCGAAAGGTCGGAGAGATCACCTGAGTCGGGAGATGAAGCTGTGAGTGTTCTACGTCGGCCTTCATGGAGACGATTTGCATCTACAATTATGGCATCTCCGCTGTCAGGGCTTTCTGAGGAAACGGGTTCATCAGACAAAACGACACAGCCCGAATCAAGCGGTACCCGCGATATCACCGATCCTCGAGAGATGTATGCTGAGGCATTACAAGAGACTACGGGTCTTCCCATTGGCGTAACAAAGAATAGAAAAAGACACGAGGACGTCGCAAAAGCACACCCGCTTCCACCAAGTGTGATTGATAGGTTGGCGCCGGCAGACTTCATCACAGGACCTCCGGACATTGTCAAAAAGATTAACACATCGCTGATTGATGCTCCGGCGGGTAGTCGACCAAATCTAACCACCCGGACTGAATTTGAGACCGAAATTCTGTCAATCGCTATGCTCTACGGAAGGGTGGTTAAGGAAACTACAAGAGCCGCATCAGAACCATCCACTCCGCCAGCGGCAGATAATACTTCTGCTACATTTACATTGCGGCCTCGCTCCCGGGCTCCTTCGTTGACGGTTCCAGAACGCCCGAGCGTAGGCTTCATCACAAATGCCTTGGACGAACGTTCCGTGTCTGACGGCTTGATATCTGACGTTCGCAGGGTTTCACTAAATCCGTCAAGTAAAAGTCGTCGGTCCTCGTCAACATTAGCGCGCCTACATAAAATTGTTACTGGAGGGGAAAGGTCAAAACGTGACTCGACTACATCGCCGTTTTCCAGCCCCCCTGAGTATACTGAAGCCGGCAGTTCACGCCATCAATCGTTGAACGTGCCATCTTTGATCTCTGCCTTAGCTCGTGCGAGCTCAAGTGGCAATGATGTGAGTCTCGGATCTATGGAAGAAAGGAAGGACTAAGTTGGAAAAAAAATATCAGGGGTATGGGTGGGGCTAGATTAGGTTTTTTTTTTTTTTGTCTCTTTCCTCAGTTCCAATGTGGGGTGGTTCTAAGGAGATTTCAGATTGTCGAGACGGCTTGCTTTGTAAAAGAAGTGGAGTAGCATGGGGCAAGTAAGATTCGTAATTGGAAACAGAGCTCGTCTTGTGTTTGATAGATGTCTATGTTATCAAGGATGCCAGTGTATACGGGTCGCTCATTCCTTTCCACGAGTTTACAATTCAATTTGCTGAAAATTCCGCGTGGGTTAGGGAATCACAAAGAACTTTGATTCTTGAGGAAGGAAAAGTGAATGTTTAGCATTGTTGTGTCTTTCGTTACAATCGGGACTAAAGGATATTGGAGATGTCCGTGCGGCGCTTCAAGGCCTTCCGCTTGTTATCATGTGTGAACTTTATATTTTTTCACGATATGTTCGGATTTTGCGAAAGACATTTGCGAGAGGTTGGTTTAGGGTAGTTCGGTATCCCAAAAGCCTCTCCCGCGAGTTTATTCTTGATAAGTGGTATCGAGTGACTGATTGTACGAGTCGAGTCCTGCGATGCGCGATGAGACGCTTCGTCGCAAATACTTGACACCGTCAAAACTTTCAAAAGACTTTCCGATGTCTCACCGCCTTGACCGTTTTGTTTTAAAAAACCCTGCATAATGTGTATGCACTGCAAGAATTTATATCCTTCTGACAGCTCGCTCGACTCTGAGTTCGAGCGCTTGCAGAGGAGCACAATCGTTTCTTTATAAGAATACCTCGGGATGACTAATATATCTTAGCTAATTATCCAGATTTTTGACGTTATATCAATAGATTTTTATAGGTTTTTCGTAGCTTCCCGTCCCTTTTCTATTATTATTATTACTATTTATTTATTTATTTTTTTACGAAGATGTCCCCCCTTTATCCCCGGATGTATCCCCAGACCTGTATATAAATGATGCCGTGGCTTGGTTTTGTGGAGGTGCTCGGATGTTGTTTTTTTTTGTGGCAGAATAGTTCGGGTTACCCGAACGGTTAAAAGTGAGTTATACGAGCCTCTTTTTCTCTATATGTTTGGCCTCGAGCCTCTTTTTTTTATTCTTTAAATTTCTTGCAGTCTCGAGTCAGCGAGTATGCAGAGCCGCTAAAACGGCCGCTATCCAATTGAGTTTTGTATGCTTTGATGTTCTCAGATATCTATCTCTCCATATGGATCGGTATCTAATATCCTAAAAGGATCTTCGCTAGCCACGGGTTGCGCACTGATACCGTCGTCGGTGCAGGTAAACTCCGTGAAGGGACTAATGCAGAATACTTTTGCAAATTTTCTTTTTGAAAATCAGAGGTAACCTTTTGACTAGCTAGATGGAACCGTGGTATTTTCATATAGTAAGACATTTTAATGGTTTCCCCGTTTTTTCTTTCTTTCTGGAGTATATAGTCTTGTATAATATATGTGTCCGAGAACAGGCTAAGTCACTAGGTAGATAGATATTGATATCGAGCGATCGGATTGTCCGAATCTCCTAATACGTTTTAAATTTACTCTCTTTTGTAACAATATGACGCTTTATACATTCTGATAGATATATCAACGATCGTGGGGTTTAAAATACAGTTGCTACAATGTTTAGTGGAGTTAATTGAGATCGGGTGTCTAAGATCGCGGATACCGGATATTATATCATCAGGTAGCCGGATATACTTTTTTAGTGTCGGAAAGTGGTCACAAGCAGACGGAGATTTTGTAATCATGCATTTTAAACCAAACGGGAGAACATAAGAAAGAAAGCAAGAAGGAACAGAAAAGTCTAGGCCTCTCTCTCCGTTGAAACGGGGATCTTCTACCCATCTTTTCGCATGCAAAGCAAGGAACAGGTTTTTCTTTCTCTCTTTCGCTCCATCTACTTGAAACATAGATCAGCAATAAGATCTTGCCGAGGTAAAGATTTGCGGCCCTTTCTCGTGCTGCGGCCGGGGATAGTGTTTATGCAGAAAGAATTGTGTGATTTCATGATTCTTATGATATGTCTCGTTATGATATTGCATACGAAGATCGAAACGTGGCCAAGAAATACTAGGCAGCTGGGGATTTTCTGACGTTAATGGCATTTCCCTTTCAAATACAGAAAAAAGTCAAAGGTCGCAGTCGCAAATTTCAAGATGTTTATTTTATTTGTGTTTAAGAATTCGGGAATGCCGTTTGCAGGAAAAGGGGCCTAATGGTTAGATATCAGGTCAAACGATGGCTGTGTTCTAAATTTTTTTTTTTTTTGGAGGTTAGTCCGGAGTAAGGCATTGAATGCGATATACCTGCTATCGCAATCTTGCAGCTAGTAAGTAAGCTTTAAGATAACTGAGTACTTACTTTGTGTATGCACCTTGGACAAAACGAGGTAAATTTTATATTTTGTTTTAATTGATGACGGTGCATTTGCATCGACATCTACAGGGTTCCACCTTGCTTTCTATTTGGGGGGGGTTTTTTTTTCCCTTTCCTTCCTTGCTCCGCAACTACATAGAATTCCTTGGTGATGCCGCGGCTGCACGGGAAATCTGGGGTGAACGGATTCTGGGCTCAGGGGCCTGGTTAGATTTTGATATGACTGGTTAGAACCACAATTGTTTGACTTGCTTCAAGTTTGATGCGCACGTGGTGTTTTTTTGGATGGAGACGAGGGAAGGGACCCACTTTTTGGGGTTTGAGATCTAAAGAGGGGTTAGCTTCGTCTGTTTCTCCTCGGCACTAGTTCGAAGTTAATCTGAAAATTGAATTGATATTGATGGTAATGTTCAGCCTTCTCAGCTCATTATCATGGTTTGCGATTACATACTATTACCACCTTCCTCTTCACGATTGAATGACCTGAAAGAAACAAGAAAGGATGTGTTTCAACTTTGGTTTCTCCTGATACCGCAAGAAAAGGGGGAAGGGGGGGAATGGGGAACTTTGGACCACGTTTTTGTTCTTACGTCTTCAACGAGCTTTATCAGGAAGGCGGGAACGGGAAGATGCAGTTCATCCCTTTATTTTTGCTTGAGAACCCGACATTTGTTCTGCATCGCTGCGTCGCTGAGATGCAGCCAAGAAGTGAGCTGCCGGTTCACCCGGCGAGGTATGTACGTAGTATGCACTGCACTACTACTCTTGAGGGGGGCATCCTTTCTCTTATTGGTTCGAGAAATGATGATTTCGAGACAAGAACTTTGTGCGTCCTCGACCTCGTGGCAACAGGGATTTGGACCTCTTGAGCTAGATTCGCAAAATGAAAAATGTGCTTTCGGCTCTGATCTGTTCTTAATGGTATACTGCGTCCTTTTGTGGCCGGTGATACGAATGTTGGTATTTTGGGTTTTTGATACCGGGCAAGGATTATTTAGTACTATTGTTGTATATACGTATACGGCGCAGACGTCGACGTCTCGAGGGCTCGTAACGTAGGTATATACAAGGCATGTACGTATGTACATACATACGACTCTAACTACATGTATGTAAGTATATACACGACGTACGAAGCCTTCCTTATCAACGATCGAATTTGGGCGTAACGCCATCATTAATGCAAGTTTCTAAAAGCCTCATAAGGTGGCCTGATAACCCAAATCCTCCTTCAGCCAAAACGGCAGTTCGGATTTTTCGACCACATTCTAGAACTTTATAACTCGGGCTATGAGGTAGTTTGTGGAGACTGCCATCCACGGCACTTCAACGGCATGATGAAAGAGAAAAAATACTACTAGCAGCTACAAAGTAGTGTGAGAAATTAGATTAATTCTCTAGTTCTTCTCCTTCTTCCTTTTTTTTTTTTTTTTTTTTTTTTGCGCCACATCGCCAAACGTTGCAAAGTTAAAACCTGGGCGAATGCTTCAACCCACGGTATACCCTGTTCTCATTGGCAAATGTTGGCCTTGTTCCAGCCTGTGGAATGGCGCACGAAATTCCCACGCGACCCCCCATGATCTGCCCTGGGGCTGTAACGAGATTCCACGGTATCTTTGAGCTAAAAACAAACACCTTACTTGTAATTCATGTAATTATGTTGGGGGTTCATTAAAGGGGTGTATGACTATCAGTTATTACTGTCAACTTGGTATTACGAATGTACGGATGCATTATAGAGCGCCGAAAATGCTTCCTAAGGAATTAATTATCGAATTTCGAAAAACGACACGGCTTTGCCCGACAGGAATAGGTACATATATGCGCAGTTGATTTTGTCGACTAGCTTTAGAGTACATCTGTATACAGTTACATTTAATATATGTATGTACTTGCGTGTACTTACATTACATACCGATCCAACAGCATAACGGTCCCGTATAATTTTATGGCTTCGCATGCACAGGCGGGGAAAGGTTGGGAAGCATGTTTTCCGTCTACGGAAAAGGGAAGTTGGATCCTACAAACTAACATGTAAAATCCCCGGCTTTAGACGGAAGCATGTTAAAAAAGACAATACGGAATGCAGCATAGGCCACACACCCCTTAATACATTTTCCCTCGTGGGCATCCGTCGAGGATTTGACATCTCGGGACTCGCTTCCCACGTGTGCATCAAACACCCACGCCCACGCCCGCCGAGCACTCGTTTTTCCGTGAATACGACCTCAATATTTTTTTAAAATTTTGAATTTTTTGAAAGGTTTCCAACGCCACCAACTGAGTGAGTTCCTACCGACGGTTTTCACTAGGCGCTAAAAGGGAGTAGTGGTGGTATTTGTGAGCGTCTATTACGACGCCTCTCTCGTGGGCAAACCATCGCTGTCCTTGCCGGGTTTATATTGAGCCTGTTTGTGGACCTTTGGGTCGGTTTCTCGGACGGACTCTATCACAGGATTAATCTGGCGTTGGGACCACCATGCATATGCCGGTTCAAGATATCTCCTGCCGCCGTGGATGACGCCAGATTTGCAGCTGTGGATTTTTGTTTTCCTTTTTGAGTACAACTTTACTTCTTCTATTGTCACAAATGAATCCTTATATATGGCTGGCTGGGGTGGTATTTCCGTCGGGAGGCAAAAAAAAAAGAGAGAGAGAGAGATGATAGACATGTGGTGAATAAGCTTCAGCGGAATCCCTACAAGTCTCCATGGAAGACCTCATGGAACAAATTGGTTGGAACAGGGATTCACAACGTGGCAATTCGGTGGGCGCAACGGGATTTGTTCCACTGCGTGCCAATGTTAGGGCCGAGTAACATCGACCTCGTTCGATTCCTTCGAAATCGGGATCGTGCAACCGGTGCACTTCGACTCTTCAAACAAACCTTGTGAATCCCAAAATATCCACCTAAGGTTTTATGACCGGGACAATATGACCTGCAGTTACTTAATTAGACTCCTTTCCAACAAAATTGCAATGATGCGGTGACCAGAGCGTAAAAATTTGGAGGAACCGTAGATCTATGGGGTCCAAAAGTGAAGGACTCAACTTTTGCTGATATCCCTTGCTGTTGGATTGCGGAGCTATGCAATTACAAAGCTGATATTGACCTGTTTCACCGAAGGTGATCTTTCCGAATACAATCTATCTTGCCATCAAGTGAGCTCTCGGATGTTCTGGCATCAGATAGATTGAACGGAAGCGAGTCAGTCCGAATATGTGCCTCTTCCTGGTGGCTCGAGTAGTCGGAGAGCATCTCCACCCGACACAGAAGACGTCGCCAGATTACGGCATGGTATGTAGTACAGTGCGACCTCGAGGCTTCTTCCATAGTGCTTAGTGTATGTCGAACGCCTTAAGATAATAATATTGCCACGTGGTACTGGGAGCTGAAAGAAAGAAAGAAAAGCCCCGTTAGTTAAGCAGGTCCCACATGAGCATCATGAGGCGTTTTCATGGCGGTCTTGCTAATAAGTCCTCCCTTTTTATTTCAGACCCACAATTTTTCCAGATCTTTCACAAGAAGGACGTCGGGAAACTTTACTCACTTTTTATTTAAAAAATTCCGAGTTTGTAAGGGTGATAGCGGAATGTTCGTGTACCCAGAACAAGTATTGGTGGACCGAAGGTCTGCACATAACTGAACAATATTATTGCCTCCACTTCTCTGTGGGTCGTCAGAGCTTATTCCTTTCCATGCGGACGTTTCAAGATGAGGCTTGGCCAAGAAGGCTGGCGGCTTCCTTCAATGAAGGTTTCTGGCATTTTTACGAAGTGGGGTTTTTAAGCTCGTGGGAATGCAAAAGCGCAGGGCCCTAACTATTAGTCGGTGAGAGAAGGCTCCACCATGCACCCTTACCCCCTCCAGGGATGGGAAGCCACGGCGTCTCTGACTTGACCCGTTTGGATTGTTCGTGGACAGTTCTTGTCTGTGGCTCGCTTTCTCCTGTCATGATTGCTCTTCTCGAACTTCTGGATAGAGAGCGGTAAAATGGATAAAAGGACAGAAGGTTCTGCGCTGCATCGTACCGCGCTGCACTGACGGTAATAATATTAATACGGTGGAGATAGTATGCTGGAATATACTAACCATCACGTCAAGCTTTGGATCGAATCTCGGGCCAAGCCAAAGGGTCTCTCCTATCAAGTAAAAGGAAAACATTGAACGTAACGTAACGCTGTCAAACGAGCCCCCGTTTTTTGCTGCGTGATGCACTCAGATGTAATGTACATGTACATAATATAATACGGAGGTGCCCGCGAGTTGGAATGACCTGACGCCGTGAATCCGTTAAATCGAATCTCTTGCACCAGGATACCCTGAATTGTAGTCACTTTTCTTCCTTCACACGCGAAACTCGTCTTGTAGACCCGACTTACATACGTAAAACAAAACTTGCCCACTGACATACGCATACGTACCCCGATCGACCTCTTCCTTACAGACAATTGGACTGCTCCACTGGCCGGCATATTGCTCCGTGTCCCTGCTCGTGCTTTTTTTCCCGAACATTTCTTTCTTTTTTTCCTCTTTCTGACTCTCTTTCGTTCTTGGTCTGGTTGGCTTCGATTGATACGTACGCCCAGTCAACGTTCGAGTTGAATTCTAGAAGGCTTCCCCAACGTTAACGCTTGCGGCTTGAACATCAAATCAAATCACATCACATCACACATCAAACCAAATCAATTTAGGACTGAATCGAATCAAGCTTCTCAGAAAGACACTACAAGCAAACTGATCAGGAAGACAAAGACGGTTCTATCAAAAATTAATCATACGTTCTCTTCAAGGTTAACTAACTTTAGCCAATCAACCGTTCTTATCTGCATCTCCCCGAATGAGACTGGCACCGGTGCTTGACGAACCTACGAACCTGCCGACCACCCCTCCAACCTCCCAAACCAGTATCACCTGTAGGTTAAACCGTTTTGTTGTGTCTTATGCTGTTTTCGCCATAGGCGGTCAGAAACTGTTGTTTCTTGTTTCAATTTCGAACCTTCGCTTTCAAAGAAAAGCTAGGACGCCGTACACCACTAGCAATGCACTGGGGAGCTATTCTGTGGACATGGCCAACGGTGGCGCTTCGAACATCGTTTCTTTCCTTTTTGACTTTCTAAAATTATACCCTTTCGCCTTTTTGTTTTATCTCGCAAGCTATTTTTAAGGTTTCGCTATCAGCACCTGATATCAAACGGGTGTGTGGATGGAAAGCTTGTTTGTGGAGTCGATATATCTATTTTGACATCATCAGCACCATCTTCTGGCTTTTTTTGCTACACTCCTTGCTCCTAGATACTGTCGATATAGTAGAATATATCGTTCATTCTAGGCGGTGTCGTCGTTCAATCCGACATTGGTCACCGCTCACTCCGGTACCGTTCAGCCAACGAGCGGTGCCTAGCTCTCACAAGCGAGTCCGGTAGGCATTCTTTCCTGCTTCCCCTGCGCACCCTTGGTCTCATTGCATTGGCACTTCCGCGAACCACTGCTGTATCTTCATCGTCCGGGGGGAACCTGTTTGACAGGACGAGAGAAAAAGTGAGTGTTCTGTTATACTATGACAAGGTGGTACCCATCCTTTGGAATGCACCAATCCCCCTCTCTGCACATATCCCCCGTCCGTACTTACATCTATGCGTACATACATCATACTCAGTATAGTATAGGTATTACATACTAGTATGTTACTCTACCCCTCGTCATTTGGTTTATTTTCAGACCGTCCTGCCGGTGGATCAAGGGCATGGTGAGCGAGTTAATGGAACAATCTACAGGGTATCCACAGCATCGAGGCCGAAGCAAGTATGAAGAGAGAAAAACTTCAAACGGCCATCTACGGCTTTGAAAGACAAGTTCTCCGGCCTCAAATGGACCTCCATCCAGATTAGGGCTTCTTCCCAGAATTAACGAACGGGAAAAGACCCAATTATGGGTCCAATCTGCTGATGCTATTGCCATGTGCGAGCCATGCTCTCATTCCCACGCTTGCAATTGACTCGTGCAGCCAGTCAGGACTCCCGACGAGTCTTATTTTCAGGACCTTACCTCGTCCGGCTAGCTGGATGGAGAAAAGAGCATCAAGGGCCTTTTCCCCACCCTCTCCTCTCCCACCGCTCCCACACACCCTCTTTCAATTCAATTCAATTCAATTGTCGTTCGAATTCTCCACTTCCACCCCTCCCTGGCTGTGCAGCAGTAGCGTGGCAGACACCCCGGTTGCCTACACCATTTACCGCTGCCACGCTACTTTTCGAGCATGCTTTTTCTGGCCCCAATTTGCATCCTCTTCGCAGGACTAACCCTCATTTTTCTGCGCATTTTTCTTTTTCCTGCTTGTTCGGTATCAAATTTTCGGCCTTTGCTTTCCCTCCCCCATCTCACACCCTCTAACCTGCACTTGCTCAACCGAGGAGTTGTAGTAAGTACTAGCTAGTGCAGTGAGCAGAAGAGAGCGCAATTAAGAGAGAGAGAGAGAGGGCAACCTTGTTGGTTCGGTTTGGTTTTGGGTCCCATCCAGAGTACTCTGTAATAAACCCAATGCCATGCTAAGTTAGTGCTCTTTCGCAGGGAACCCACGGGCAAATCCAATCTCTGAATGAAAAGAGGCCCTGTGTAGCAAAAGCAAATGCACCAGCGGAGGGTCATCCCAAACCTGGGACCTTCCCTTCTTTCCTTTTTGAACGCTTCTTCTTTCCTATTAAACCAAAGCACCGTCTGTCCGTTGGGTTTCGTCTCTTCTTCTTGTCTCGCGTTTTGGACTGCGGATTAATATTATTTTCTTATTGTCATCATTGTTGCTTTGACTTCGGGGCATCATCATATATCGTCTCCTTTTCACATAGACCGCCCGTTGGTGCTGTGCTACTAGTATACTGCTAGGACTTCTTATAAACCACGGCGTCCCGGCCGGCTATCGATTCACTTTTCGGTCGAAGCGTCCTGCGCTTGCTTGCTACATATGCTGTTACACCTGTTGGTTGTGCAATAAAAGCTAACCGGAAGTACTCAACTGGTTATATGCATCTCGCATATACATGTACAGTTGCAGTATATAGCTCTCTTCCATCCCGTTCCTTCCTCTTACATGCCTGATACGACTGTCCTGCCTTTTCCCTCTGGATCTTGTGACAGTCCGAGTGCAGCCGGTGGCAGCAGCCTTGCGACTTTATCACCCTCACCACCAACCGACATATCATTAATATCAAACCGGAGCATTACCAATAATAACAGTATCAATTTCAGTCTCAGAGCCTCTGGGCCCATCCGAATTGTCAATAATTCCGGGAATACTACCATTATCAGTGGCGGTGTGAAGAGAAACAGTCTTCCAATCATCACCAGCGGCGGTACCATTCCCAATCCGTCCACCCCAAACCCGGCATCTCCATCTTCTGGAACGGCTCTTTCGCCTTCGTCCTTTAAATCAACTGCCACGGAAAGTTTCCCAACTTCTCCAGTAACTCCCATCCAAGAAATCCAAGAATCAAGTAACTGCACTATCCTTCCATCTGCTGGTGCTCTTGTTCCTGGTATTCTTACCTCATCACCATCCAACTCGAACTTCAACTCGACCTTCAACAACGGTGTCTCGAAGAAAGACGACGGCCGTGCAACTGCAGCGTCGACTTCATACTACAGCACTCTTGCTCAACGTCAAATCAAAAATCTTTCAAACGCAGCTCCTTCACCATCCTTCACCATCATCGAAGGCCCCTGTTCTGTAAAGCAAACAGAAGGCTTGACCAATAATAGCAAAGAGTCTACAAGTGTTGGGAACACTGGACATACCAACCGAGCGTCAATCAGTATCTCATCTGTCAACCCGCTTCTTTCGCTTGCCAATCTTGCACGAGCGGTTTCAGGTTCGCCTACAAATCCTCAAAACGGCAGTACAACACCTTTGACCTCCCAAACCCTCGGCCGGAAAAAGACGCTATCCAGTCGAAGAAAAAGTGACGGCAGTCTCTTAAAATCGTCCAGCTACGATAACTTAGAATCTCTTAACCAGCGGTTTCCGGCTGGTTTGACTCTTGCTGAAGTTCTCGAAACGACCGGGAATCATTCACAGGCAGTTGCCATAGACCCATCAAATAAAAATACACCCAACATGCATCAATCATCTTCAAGATTGTTGCGTATGACGCAGGACGATAGACCGTTCACAAGGGTAGGCCTTGCCTCGGACGATGCAGGTTTTTGTACCTCAAAAAGCTTCGCTAATCCCAATCGGCGACAGGATTTCAAAGATCTCTTTTCTACACTCATAGTTTCTTTACCTCTAACACCCCATAGGCTACGTTTCAAGACATATTCATTTACTTTTACCTCAGACCAAGCTGTAAATAATCTGGGTTCGCTCAAGTTTTCTCAGTCCAACAGAATGCCTGACCCTAAGGATCCATCACGGATCGTTACAACTACTACAACAACGACCTTCAGTATGGCAAAGGAGATGGCGAGGACAGTCTGCCAAAAGTTCGTCGCTGCAAGGTTTATGGAAGCTGTTGGCGAGAAGACAGGTACACCTTTCACGAGCAAAAATATGCTGTGGCAGTTAACTCCAAAGGGAATACATGTTTTGGAACGTTTCTGCCAAAGGAATGGGATCAACTCTCCGCACATCATGGCTCTCTTATCATCTCCTCTAAACACGATGCGATTAGTTATTCTCGAGAGGGATCCAGTTACCGACAAAGTTTCACAAGACAAGTCTACCACTGAGATTATCTTCCGTAGATTTGCCGGAAGCACACCCAACATCAAACAAACTGTTACAGCATCCGATTCGGACTCACTATCAGAATATGGGGATGGCCACACTGGTGTCAAACTTGCAGAAACACGGAAGGTCTACGACAAGGTTGTCAAGTTTTCTTTCACAGGTAAAGCAGGGGTGGACTGGTTGCTCGATTGCTGCACAACTATTGAGCCCGTTGAAACCTACGAGATTGCTAGTTTGTTTACAAGATTTGGTCTCATTCAATGTGTGGTTGAGGATAAAATCTATCTTCAACAGGAGCCGAAGGCTAAGGATTTTCAGCCGACAAAGTCTGCGATCTACATCGTAACAGAACGTGGAAAGAGGATAGCTGGTTGGATAGATTCCGAAAGGGGAAGCATTGAGAAGAGAAACGGTCATGCAAACGGCGAGAAGAGCTCTCAAGGTTCTAAATCGGGGCGTGGAAAGGAACCCGGTATAGTACCATCTATATTACCCACAATTCCATATCAACATCGTCTAATATCGTTTCTGAAACAGGTGAAAGCCGCGAGACCAACACAACTCGTCTTTCTTGCATTATTCACGACCCAGCCCTGCGTCTACTTTTCAGAGAGTTCTTGCGTGAAACGCTTTGCGAAGAGAACTTGACCTTCTGGATAGATGTCAATGACTTTCAATTGCAATTCAAAAACCAGACAACTCTCGACAACATCAGAGAAACTTTGGCCTATGCTTACGGTAAGTTTATATTGTCCAGATGTCAGCCCGATCAATATCTGATAAAGTTTACATAGGAATCTACAATGCCTTCCTCGCTCCCGGTTCGCCGTGTGAGTTGAACATCGACCATACTCTCCGTCAAGAGCTTGCCTCGACAATGACTCGAGCTGTTGCAAAAGACCAACAAGGAATGCTCGGAAGTCTTCGAGAGGTGGCCAACCTTTTCGAAAAGGCACAGGAACAAGTCTTCAAACTGATGGCCAGTGTAAGTTCACACAAACTACATCACCATATCCGTTAAGAACATTGGCTGACAAATCGCCACAGGATTCGGTCCCTAAATTCGCTAGGACTGCTCGGTACATTGAGATGTCTGGAGACCACGGCTCTGACGACGGGTCTGCGAATGGTACTTCTCCCCCTGTCCGCAAAGTGCAGCGACATGCAAAATAGAGCTTCAACGGCTTTCATGTTTGAACAAATGCTCACATGTCCGCGTTTGTGGTCTAGAATAATCATCTTGCACAATTCTACTTGCCATTGTCACCTTTACCATTCACAACACGCCGTCTTCTCATCCACACAAATCACCGGAAAGTAGACTGGTCATGCCAGGAGTTTTTTCTCGATACCCAATGCCTTTTTTTCCCTTTATTTGAACCGACTCACGAATTTCTAATTTTGCGGTTGCTGGCCACACATCATTTCGGCACCTTGTTTTACGTTGTTTCTCCACGTTGATTGAAACCTTGCACAGCGGTATACACTTAACGGTAGACTTTTTATTTTTCTGTTTCTCCCTTTTATAATCTCCTTTTGTAATGCTCGGAAACCCACCCATAGTGTCACGGCCGTATGAAAGGTTTGCTACTTATTTCTTTTCTCCGTATCATATCTTGTATCGAAGTTTTTTTCTTTTTTCTTTCTTTTTCTTTTTTATATATTTCCTTTCTCTAGGTTTACTTTGTTTTGCACAATGACGGAAGTAGACGGGAATAAGATCACTTGGGAAGTGTGCATTGGGACGGTCTAGCACTATTGATTCCATACTATCACCAAAAATTATATATATTCTTTTCTTTTTCACTTGTCAGCTTCCCTTTTCCATGCTATCGCCTCTCACCATCATCATTACATTGAAACGGAGTTTATAGGGCTTCACTGAAATGAACATGTGCTTTTATTCTCTTGCTTCCTTTATTTTAAAATCATGAGCATATTTCCTTCTTTCGCTTGTTTAGAAACTTAAAACGACGGTCTTTTAAAATGGAACCAGGCAGTCCCCAAATTATTTCTCACGTAAATCGTTCCTTTTGCATGTGCTTCGACCTCACGGACTCATGAATTCGAACTGAAAATAAGATTTTAGAGTTGAAACGGTAATACCCACTGCTCACGATACAGGCATCATCCTCGTCACGAAACGACCGTTAATTTCCCCGAACAATAGTCTGACGCATGCTTCATTATGGGGTGACAGGCACTTGACACGAAAACACTCGAAAACAGGCATGCTCCGGGCTTCAAGTTTCCAATTTCCCCAGGGCGTGCAGGAGATATATTTGCTTGTATGTGTGTATGATATAATTATAATATGCCAGACAAGGTAGCTTTCCGAGCTACGTACGAAGAGGAAGATGGCATTATACTCTATCTAGACGTTCCTAAAGTAATTTCATCATTTGATTTTTCGATTCAACGGTTTTTTTGGGGGTGCTCACTCTCGCTTGGGGAGAGATTTAAGAGGTGGACCCAGCTTTTTGAGTTTTGGGTGACTGGGTTGAAGCTTGTTGAAATACCTGGCCATGGAAACTCGGACCCAGTGGTTTGCAAGTTTGAAGATATCTTGGATTCCCTTCGATCCGTGTCCAGAAATAGTTTGGAAGGCGGAAAAAAAAAAAAAAAAAAAAGAAAGGATGTCTGACAGGCCTACAGGATCGGTGATTTTAGCCTTCTGAAGCATCATGGAAGATGCTGTCTTCGACAGGTTCCCGAGCGTCAATTCCCTGCGCCATAAGATTCGCCCATTCGTGCATTATAATGATCACAACCCCCAACGTGTAGCCCACCTGTCAACTCCGAAGAATGTGTTGGGATTGCAGTCGCAAGATTGTGAAATTGAGCATGCAGGATTCCTGCATCTTCCTTTTCTTTCTTTAATCCTGCGTCATGCCTTTCGAGATGCATCTTGCCATTTAGGCGGTTTTAGGAAAGGATTGGGATGTGAAAGGATTACGCCGTCAATAGTTCTTCGGGCGAATTTTTTCCCATGACACTCGGAGCGCTATGTAATAAGCACAGACTGAGCTTAACCAACTCGAGGCAAGACAAAGTCCGGCCGAGATCCGTATCATGAATGCTGTAAGATGCACTAAATACTGCCATAATGGGGTCTCGGAACGAATTTTCGGCATGTTTGAAGTGCCTTTGCAGCTGGTTGGCCAATGCAATGCAGCAAAAGTGAAGGGGAGAAAAGGCCTCAACTATAACTCGCATCGATGATATAATTACATTCCTGCATGCAAGATAAAAACCAAAACTAGAGCTCTTATTCATTGATTGATTGCATTGCCGCTCCAGATCATGTCATGCCCACGCTAGCAACGTGATCTATGTAGATACGATACGAGGTAGTGGGAGAAAAAACGTGATGAATCTTGCAGATTTTCATTAGTCCGTATGCGGTGTGATTGACAAGTATGGTTTCTGCATATGGTTTGTACTTGTAGTTCAGACATGTGTAAGGTTTGGGCACATACATGTGTGAGAATTAAAAGGGAGGAAAGGGAGGGAAAAAACGTGCTCTTGGGGCTACCTTGCCACGAGATCTAAAGTAAATTGGCACGTTTTTTTCACTTTGCCTTTCGCTGATTCGTAGGTTCGGAACTCAGTTGCCATTTGCCCTAACTCGTTTTCTTCTTAGTGCTTGAAAGTTAGCTAGGCAGTCTTGGGTAAATTGGTCAAGCTTTTTTTCTTTGCTTCATCTTTTTCTTTTTGGTCAGGGTGGAGATATATTATCATGAAGGGGTCACGTTATATGAGCCTTAGCAGCAATAAGATGTACCCGATATAGCTTCAAATTCTTTTTTTTCTCACTATTCTAACTTATTATAATTGGCTTGTTAAGTTGGTGAAACTCGCCTCAACATCCCTTGATTACCAAGTTTATGAAGCAAAGTAAAAAATTAAAAAAAAGTAAGATTATGATATAAAGTAATATCACTAACAATTTCCGCGGCAAAGAAAATGCTGTAATGATTTCTCCAAAGAAATGTATCAATTTGGAATGAAATTTCTGTCGTTACGAAGTCATAATCAATCAATCAATGATCACTCCTTCTCTCCCTTTCGGATCGTTATGGCGGTATTTACGGGCCGAGCAACTAGACCAATACCAGAGCCAGGTTAGCTTAAGCGATTCGCGGCCGTCTACTGTGTAGGAAAGATTCAAATCTATAATAGCTCAAGCGGATTCAATTCAAAGAATGCGACTCATGAACTGTTTCAAACCTCTAATTACATACTTTACCGCTTTGACCAAAGCCGAAAAAAATCTTTTAACTCCTTTCAGATAGAGAACAGAATTCCCAAGTATCTGACCACGCGGGAAATCTTTTTTGTTGAAAAGGACAAATGTTTTAAATCCATAACCTTGATCATGAACGGGTCAAGAAGAACCCCTCGAGTTGGGCACAGTGTTGGCGTTACATGGCCTTGCTTGGGCGATCTTTATCCCCAAATGGTAAATTTCCAGCTTAATCGGGAGGGTTTTGTGCAACCACCGATATGTTGGAAATTGTAATTTTTTTTGCAATTTTTACAAATTTGCTGAACCAGTTGCTGCGCATATCAAGATCTAAACAGGATTATGCCTTTTACTGTGGCTTTAGCCAAATCCCATGAATTCATGAACAGGGAAATACCTTTTGGTATATCTGGCAGAAGTATTAGGCAGTCAATCATGGGTGGGCTGGCCCGCCGTCTCTCTGTAGACGCACGGACAAAGGCGAGCTACATTGCATACGAAGTGCAGCTGCAATTGTCCACGCTGATAAGGTCGTTTGGATATTACGGAAGGAAATCGGCACATATGGGAGAACAGATCCTGGAGCTCAAGCTCCAAGCTAACTAACTTTTGCCCCCCCCCCGGGCCGTGCTTTTTAATTGTATTTTTTTGTGGTCGGGAAAGAGGGAGAGAGAGAGAGAGGATTTCTGTTTCATTATTTCCCTTGTATGAAGATTACCATACCCATGATCCTAGAGCTCGTTGGAGCTCAAGCCATTAAGCGCTTTGGAAGCAAAGCTTTTAGAACATAGCATTGTTGGACGACCCTATAATCCGAGATATTATGCCGAAAAAACACTCTCGCCCGCTCTAGACTTTCGAAACCAGGTTGGTCAAGAATAGACGAGCCTATCGTGCATAACCGAGCCCAACTGGCAGGGGAGGATGCCCCGGGGAGTTAGTTAACCAGGACCCCCAATTCAACTCCACATCTGTGGTCAATTGAAGGTTGGATCTGCAGCAAGGCCTTGCTAAACTGTCACGCGGCATGTTATTAACACCCCCCCAAAAAACCTTTAGCTCTACTTATGTAGTATATTGGATATTAATGCCTCGTGGGAAAGGATTTCCTTATACTACAATGTAAGCCTAGACCTATGTGCATGCCAGGACGGATAAAAGCGAAAGGGAAAGGGTGAACCTGGTATGCCAAAGTTATATCGCGCATCACGTTTTCTTGGATGCACATGGCATCGATGTGAATGATACGGGAATCGGATGTGTTCTGAATCCATAACCATGGCCTAACTTTAGTCGCGACCACACCCTTCGAAATATCGAATCGATCATAGAGCTAGAGGACCCGCATGGGAGATGTTAGTGTAGCTACACGCATACATGTACATATGCTTAAATCTTTCGCCGTAGCCGGTCGCGGATATAGTCCCGAGTCTTTTTCTTGAATAATTGCTCTGTATTTCCTGTCAAGGATAGTTAAAGCTTTGCAGTTCCAGCTCTAAAGTGCTACTAACGATTTTCGTAGGTAAGAATAGCTACCTCTCTTAGACGATGTTTAAATAGTACACCACCCTTGCAATATACTCCCCATCCCCCACGCTCTTCCTTGTCTCTTAATTTCCATCAACCCTACATCGACTCTAAACATCCTACTCTCTCTTCTTCCTACCCCAGTATTCCCTGATCCCACAAGCAGTGAAGCTGTCACTCCGATCCCGCCGCCGTATGCCGAAGCTCCTACGACCGGCACGATTAATTCCCATTCCGCAAGCCGTTCCCATGCTGCCAGCGCCACATCCTTGCCCCATAGCTTCAATCCCCATGTCGTCTGCGAGTAAATTTTAACGCGACTGACCAAGTTTTTGTATTCGTCATATGCCATCGTAAAGTTACATGTATCCGTTTCCAGAATCGGATCGAGCCGCGCCGCAGCTATGAGCATGGCTAGGGAGAGCTCCGGTAAATCTGGGGAGACGAGAGTCACTGCGTTAGCGAACATGACATAAGTAGCGTCTTTTTTTTTGTTTTTTTCCGGAGAAGAAAACGAGCGTGGCTGGCTTTTTGCATATATTGCTCGTATACTATCCTTGGTGACAGCTGAGGCTGACAAGGGAGCTTGTGAGGTGTCTATGTTGGAAATTCACTCACCTTCGAGGAGATATAGCTTGTTATCCGGAGCTGCTAAAGCGTGCTTCGACAAAGCTGATCCGGCACCTAGAAAAGGCATAGTGGATGAAATGTTGCATATTGACACCATCAAATGGTTGTATAGGACTTGTATGCTTTTGCTCGTGCTATAAACACCTTCAACAGTTCTGCGGAACGCCTTGTCGCCCTTGAACGCATCCTAGTTAAAAGTAGAATTGTTAGCTTTGAGCTACTTGTGGGAATTCCAGAAATAATATGCAGGCTAGGATATCTTACATCAAGGCTGGCATTCCACTGGGAGTAATACGCCATGTCGGTTTTGGTAGTATCCATCGGGAGGGTATCTATGTCGACGCATAGACCAGCTTTAGCGATTTCCCACCAACCCTCCAGGCGGGAACCAAGGCTGCCGCCGGTCCTGAACCCCAGAGTCCTGTGGCTGAATCGGCTCTTCACCCTTTTCTCAAGGTCTTCAACAATGTTGATCTTAGATGTCATGCCAACAACGGCGATTGGCGCCTTTCTTGCTTGTGCAATATCAAAAAGATTGTAAAGCAGCGTCTGGCGGGGATGCGCCGCGAACTGTTCAAACTCAGAGAGTAAAAATATGACGGAGATACTTGTCGTCTCTGACATTGCCTCTTGTGAAGCAGTAGGATCATGCTCTGAAGGGTGAGAAAGCAATGCTAAGATTGTAGTCAGGGTGTCCGCGAAGTTTATAGGCTAGTGATATCAGTAAACCGCTGCTGTGATATGGGTTCTTTCCTTCGACTGACCTTCGATTCATCCAACTCCATACTGCTTCCGAGCTGCCTCCAAATCTCTTTGACGGCCGTCTTTTCGTCGGTCTGGAGGCATCCACTCAGCCTCACAACGATGAAGTCTTTCTCGAAGTGCTTCTGTAATGTTGCGATGGCCTTCTCAGTAACCAAAGACTTCCCGCTCCCTCGTGGTCCAATTAGAAGAATAGAATTGCCTTCACCAGCGACTACTGTCTGCTCCACTAGTTGATAGACCGTGTTATATTCATCTTTCAACCCTACTAAGCTCTCGGGGAGTCCTCTTCCCGTTAACTTCTGCATAACGTGTGCCTTTAAAGTCTTCACTGCCTCCTCTGTAACCTTTCCTTGAAATTTTGGTAGGTTTCTGACTTCTTTGCGCACTTCTATAGCTTCTTCTTCCGCCGTCGTATCCTCATTTTCCTTTTCATCCTCCCCTTCAAATCCCTTACTTTCACTACCGCCTTCTTCAACTTCTTTAGCGACCCTTGCTCTTCTAAAGGTCGCCGTTAACTTCGACGGTGTCTTTTTCGCACTCTTGATTTTCAAGTTTGCTTTAAAAGGGTCTTCTTCGTCTGATCCCGGAAAGTCAAATATGTCACCTTCATCGTCTTTTTTTTGAGCAGGGCCTCTGGTTCTCCTGCCCGTACCCCGAGGTGCCAATCTCCCGTCGATTTTCGTTGGACTAGCATCGCTATCTGCCATAATGACATCCCCTTCTAAGTCCGTGTCATCCGGTTTTGCAGCTGGTTTCCTACCTCTCTTTTTTGTTGGTGAAGCTGTAGCCCCTTTTGTAGCCTCATTATGTTCCACATCGTTAATTGCAATTGTTGGCTTTGTTGCTTCCTGGACCACAGGTGTAGTCTTCTTTTTCGCAGACCCATGCCTCCCTCTTCGAAATTTATCAACACCAGTAGGTGCTTCGTCACCAGTGCCAGCTCCTTGCTGTTGTGATTGAGATTGAGATCCATTGCCTCGTTTTCTAACAGACTTCGAAGGCGATGTCTCTGCGGCGGTAAAACTGCCACCTACAGTACTCGGTGTGTCATCTCTATCCTTATGTTTCTTTCTCCCACCATATAAATTCGTGATCTTTTGTGGAAGACCTGCAGAATTCAACTTTGGTGGTGGTGGAGCGAGGGTTATTGATTCTTCCTCTAGTGTCCCCCCTGAGGCTTTCTTCCGGGTAGAAGCAGTCGCCTGTCTCCCAGGACGTTTAGGACGTGGCGTTTCATCAACGTCTGTAGGTTCCTCATCATCTTCAGGATTTATCTCCTTGGTGGCCTTCGCCCGACTACTAGCTCGTGGTCCACGGCCACGGCTACCACTGGTCTCTGTTTTTTTAGTAGGCGATAATCTTCGCCGCTTATTTGCTGGCAATTCTTCTTCATTTTGTATATCCACTGTTATAGATCGCGTAGTAGACCGGGGTGCTCGAGTAGCTCTTGCATTTCCCGTGGTGTTTGGAGGGGATGCAGAGCTTGACTCGAGAGCTTTGTTCGAGGGTTTAGAAGCTCGTGAAGAGTGACGCGTACTCATTGCATTTACAGGTTCAATTGGGTATTGGGAGAGATGATATGATTCGTGGGGGGAATATGGATTTCTTGGAGGGTTTGAGAAGGCGAGCTTTGAGGGTAATGGTTTGGTTTATATGCGCCAAGTTGTGTGGTGGTTGGGCTTTTGGTCCAACGCACTATCACCACCATTACCACCTATTAGATGGGAGTCTGGAAGCCTGAATTATCCTGATGCCTGGATTGTGATTGCTCGTTTCATATCTTGCAACAGACTACATGTCTTGGTGGTACAGATGCACCGAATGGGATTTGGCAAGCTTGAGGGTGTACAAAACTTCCGAATTGATAAAAGCCTCATGATGATGTCGCTTTGAGTATGCATATGTAGGCTAGGCTAAACTGATTATATGGCACAAACTTGATCAATACAGATCCCCAGACGAAATACAAATGTGACTTCGCCGTTTCAAGTTCTACAAACATTGAAGATGGGCTACAGCTACCTACTCTAGATTAACCTTCTAATAATATACATAACTTCACTCAAGCAAACTTGGGACGATCCTTTCGCAAACCCCGATGTATTCCTGGAACCTGCCGCATTCTCCCTCAGCTAGCCCCTCTGTGGTCCAAAATACCGTCCACTTCCCATCAGGCAGTTTGTATGTTCCTTTCGCCCGTTCAAAGTACCATTTGTTTACCGGATTGTTCTGCCGGCTTCGCCATATCAGCTCTTTCTGGAACATACCAGTTCCGTGGATCATAGCTTTGAACACCACATCTGCTACACCACCAGTTCCTTGAGCTTTACGAGCTACGGCAAATTTGTCGAGGTAGGGGACTTTTCTACCGTTATGCCCCTCCTCCCAGGTGATTATGGCCCCGCCATCATAATCACCTGCAATGATAACACCTGCGATGTTCTTGTTGATGCGGTCAAGGTAGTGATCGACGTCTAGCTTCTTCCCAAAAGAATCTTCTATCAGTTCGACGAGTCGCTTGATATTGATTTTCGGATTTGAGGTTAGTGTTTGTCCATCCTCAAACTCGGAGGGTGGGAGCATGAGCAACGGGACACCATGCTTCACAAGAGTCGTTATAACACGAGGTGTCGAAGGGGTAATCGGGAGGGATGAAGAGAAAACAGGCTTGTCAGTCAATAAATTGTGGATTAACGGGTTCCGAGATTCCTGAGGTCCCTCGTGTGTCATCGCAGCTTGGGGAGTCGTAACAACAGCAGAGGAAGTCGAAGGCAGTAGCTTGAGGCATTGTCTTAGGCTCCTTAGGGTCGATATATGTGTACTCGTTACAGAAGTTTTGTTATTCCGAAGTTCTGATAAAACAGAGGAATACTCCTGTTCCAAGTTCAAGAATACATGCGCGCCAGAGGGACGATCATACGATGGGATACCGCCAAGAGGGTCTAATACGATCAGTCGGTCAAGGGTCATAGGTTCTTTCGGTGATTCTAGACCCCGTACGGTTTCCGGGTGGAGCTGCAGGTCGGCCAGGAGATGGCACAATGCTACCAAAATCGAGTCTGGGGATATCGGTTTCAAGACTTGTTTGTGGTCGTGGGCTAGTGCCGGAATGACTGGAATAGCCCCTCTCGATATCGGTGCTAGTATGAGAGACGGTAGAAGAACGTGGCTGTCCCCATTATGGTCTATCGTAAGTGAACCCTCTACACCCCGTGATTGGCTACCAGCATCTTCAATCGCAGAGACAACCCTCTCCATCTGTTCCATATGGAATACCCGCAATTCCTTTTCAGTTTCTTCTGGTGCACCGGGTTTCCCATCTTCATTGACATCAACCACCACTACTGAACCAAGTCCGAGTCTTCCGAGTTTCTTTAGAGTCCTTCCAATAGCGGTGAGTTCAACATCAGTCAAATGCTGAGGTCCCCGTAGTTTAACAAGAGCAAGATGTAAATGCTGGTCCGAGATCTCAGGAGCAAAACAATCTTCAGAGAATTGTTCAAACGCCTGTGGCCGTGACTTCCGGATCAGACCTCTAATGAATTCACGGTTCTGCGTCTTCTGAAAGGAACCCGGCACAAGTTCGCTGGTGACAATGGGTGAGAATGGCCCGTCTTCCTTTTCTTTGGGTACGGAGGCGGGTGCCTCCAGACCTTTGGCGCTTTGAAGAGACGTCTCGCGAGGTTTGAAGCGCTGTAAGTATGTTTTGGCTTCTCGCTTGGTCGATGATGCCTGTAGGACGGACAAATAGAGGTCCTACAATAGATGTCAACCGCCCAGGCCCATTGGCTGTTCAAGCTTTGTCTCGTGAACATACTCTCGCTTCCTCGCCCACTTGACGGTGCTGCTTCTTCTTCTGCTGTTGGCCGGAAGATCTCGTCGTAAACCCCCGCTGTTGCTGTAATACATCTTGCAGACAGCCTAACAGTCCTTTAACCTCACCGAGTCGACAGATTTTCCTCCTTCAAGATAGTTAGAATGAGCCTATGAGCTACTTTATAAAACAAACCAGCTTTGAGACTTACATAGGCACAACGAAGCCCTTCATTGCGAACGGGCCTAGCCACCCAATCTGCGATGCTACAAGCTTGAATCTATGTATCAAGAATCTTGAAGTGGAGGGAAATAATATCTACGATTAGAATTGCGGTCGCCTGGGAGCATTACGGGCTCTTTTAAGCTAGTGGGAGGTACTGGCGCACAAGGTTCTTTGTGAAGGATCTATTCGGGATATGGCAAGCGAATTGAATGAAAGAATGCTGGTCGTGAACACAAAAGAATTTCGACTTGAGGAGACTATACTATAGGAAGTAAAGTATATAATAAAGCTGGAAGAAAGATTATGTAGGGCGAGGAGTGATTTCGTCCATGCTTTTGGAGATCCTTTGTTTACTGCTCACGAGGGATGTGCGAGTGAGTAATACAATCGTGGTATTCCCATTGCATTAAATTTTTTTAGCGGTTCGGAAATAGAATTAAAACGCGGGGGGTCTCGCTAATATGTTCAACGACGTCAGCTCCAGTCCAACAGCCAATGCAATATACCCAAACTACGTATACCCCATGCATGCAACCATTCTGGAATCGAAGTCAAGAAGGTCACGTCGCACAGTTCCAGATTCCTCAATGGATTCTTCCACACAATCTATGGATTTACAGGGCAGCTTCCAATCGCGGTAATTGGCTGTCGACGAAATGAGCTATTTGTTTCGATGCCGTAAGTCTCTTTGACTTCTTCCTTTCTTTCTTCCTTTCCTTCACAAGCCTAAGTAAAGTCCAAGTAGATTATATAATCGACATGGGTATGTATCTATTTAGAATGCTAATATATGGAATAAATATATTAAATCCTAGCTTCACCAAGTATATACGAGCACATAAAGGCTTAGAATTCCGTCTTACATCTATCGACGGCGTAGTCCCTTTCCGGCATCCGGGCATTACTCCTCTCAGATCAAGAGTCGAGTACAGGTGTTTTGATACCGTCGAATTAGGACCTGACACGGCCGGGTGTAAACGCACAGCTTGCCCAAGCTTGTAAGCATTCTGTTTGCTAAAGCAGTATAAGCTCTTCCCTGCCAACGGACGCCGGTCAGGGACAGCCCGTGATTCTGGAACTTTCGCTTGTTCTGACCAACTGACTTGTAACTTCCTTCCTTGCCGCCGTTGGTTTGGTGTGTCCATATCAGGCTCAAGAGGTTGCGAGGCCCACCCATCTGATCTGACCCCAAACCAATTACACGCGCGAGCATCCCCGTTAACTCCCTGAATCCCTCACAGCCTAGGATAAAGTCTTTTGCATTTATAAGGGCACATCGGCGGCAAGATCTTCATATACTCTCTCGACATTTGGATGACTCGGTCTTTTTTTGGATGTTTCGAGATCGATTCTGTGCCGCTGACAAATCCAACATCCGGCTTCAATTTTGGCGTACCAGCGCCGCCACGAAGCATAACTTAACGAGGCTGCACATAATAGTCAACTGATTTTTGAAACAGATATTTGCGAGCCTTTTGTAAGGCCGGCGCCAGCGTTCTTTCGTCCAAAGTAACCATTCAGTTTAATATATTGTTTTTCTTCTTTCCTCAGTCATTTTACTCGAAGAATACTAGCTTTTTATCGAGTTATTTGTGTCGTGCTTCCTTGCCTGTCAATTCCAGCTTAATCGTGCCTGATTTCTTTTATATTCTATTTGCTTCAAACATCGAACGTTGCTGCATCCGCCACCACCCCTGTTGTTTGGACGACCAGAACTTGATATACAAAGCAACCGGAACCACTACATCACCCTAACTACTCAATCTTCACAGCTCATTTTTTTCTTTCCTCTCTTTCCTCCTCTTCTCCTTCTCCGTCTTTATACAAACTACCAAACTTTCTTTCCGTCTTGGATCTGGAAAGGTACAAAAGGAAAGGAAGCAAAGAATAAGGGAACTTCCGGCATCTACGATACTTCATCGGATTCATTCATAAGTATACTTATTTTAACAAATATACTCGGGCAATGCCTCCAAGCATCATCGAAATGAGCGCCGAAGAGCTAAAACAAGCGGGAAACAAGTAAGTTCGATACCCCTCCTTGTCGTGTCAGTCTGCTACCTTCGAACAGACTTCCTTCTCTACTTACTCCGAGTGAATAAACTGCTAACAAAATATGGTAGATTCTTCCAAAACGGCGATTGGCTATCAGCGGATAAAAAGTATTCGCAAGCAATAGCAATCGACTCTACCAACTACACTCTTTTCACAAACCGCGCACTGGTGCGGATGAAGCTTCTGAGATATGACGACGTCATAGATGATTGCACATCCGCCATCAACCTCAATCGAGATGCTAGTATGTAGAATCTACTCGGTTCTTGATTCAACCCTATAGCATATTTACCTTCGAACAATAGTGAAGGGTTATTACATGGCTGCCCAAGCCTTAATCCAGCTCTCCCGACCAAGCGAGGCCCTTGGCTATGCTCACACGGCTTACCAGCTAGCCGTGGCTCAAAATTCTAAGTCCGCCACGGATGTCGCCAATGTCGTTTTGGAGGCCAAAAAACAGCGATGGAGGAAACAGGAAAGAAATAGGATTGATAGAGATAACTCTATGTTAAAGCAAATGAAGGAGCTGGTTAAAAGGGACTCGGAACGGAAGATCCTGGACCTCAGGGAGCAACAGTGGGATTCGCCGAGCGGCGAAAGAGACCTTGAAAGCGAAATCGCTGTTATTAGGGAAGATGCGAGAGTACAGATGGATGAATTGGAGAATGTGTTTGCGAGGGCAGACCCACAAAGATATAAGCCGAGAGAGGTACCGGACTATTTGATGGATTCTATATCATTTAGGTATGTGGGCTTCAGAGAGACATCGGCGCCACACCGTATTTTGCGATAGCCTATTAACTAGGTTTATAGTATCATGACAGATCCTGTAGTAACGAAGAACGGCCATTCGTATGACCGCCCTGTCATCATGGACCATCTTCGAAGGAGCAACACGGACCCGTTGACGAGAGAGCCCTTAAGCGTTTCAGACCTAAGGCCAAATCTAGCACTAAAGCAAGTTTGTGCGGAGTTTCTAGAGGAGAACGCCGGGTGGGCCGTTGATTACTAGGGGTACCGGCGTCCACGGCATGGGTCTTCGAAATATGGTTATAAATATTAATATCTTCGAAAGGCTGAGCCTGCGACGTTTGGATTTCAGATAGTTGGTGGAGTTGGTCTTTTTGGGCCCCAACCGTTTGAAATTTTCCTTTCTTTTTTGGATTTTGAACCTTGCTCAGCTCTGTCAGCCCTATGCTAATTTGGCTGACATTGCTACCTTTTCCTTGTCTTAATTCCGTTGATAGTTCAGATTCAAGCTTAGCGTTTAGATGTCGTGCATTGCCCTGGTTTATATTTTTACGAGACACTCGTTATTCCCCACACTTTCCCCCGTTATTGGTATTCTTAGGACGGCTTCTTTCCTCTTGGAGTAAATAGTTCAATATCTTCAATATCAAGCTCGGCTGTCATACAGTACTGACGATTTAGAGCAAGGGAGATTCTGTAGTACTTATCTTGATTATCATTATATATAAGTATATACCTATATAGGTATATAACACCTGCAACTTTTACGCCTTTCCATGATTTATTTGTTCTATGGATAAACACCATTTTCTTACCACTGCACTATCTAACTAAAACTTAGTAAAATATTTTCATTTTCAGGAGCTAGAATCCAATAGAAGCTTTGAGAAATACCATTACGCTCGTGGTCATAGCTCCCTAATTACTTAATTACCTAAGTAGTAGCTATACGAGGCTAGACCAATTAATACGTCTAAGATCGCCATTCCATGTTCGTGTAACCAACATTGCAACATGAAGCTCCTGCTAACAGCTTTCTCAGACTGTCAGCTGCATTGCAAGGATAGCTCTAGTTGCGGGAATAGGACACAGCCCCATACCGACTCCCGCGAAATGACAGAATTGCCACATTATTGGCTAGTCTTGTTTAACACTTGATCAGAATATCAAAGATATGGACACCAAATTAGTCGCGGGATAATTAAGTGGCTTTGAGGCATAACCTATCGGAATTCTAGGAGATTAAATTTAAATGTTAGGGTTTCAGCCTTCAAGCGATGAGTCTCTCGGATGCGTATTAGGGATTGTTAATTCATATCCAGCGACGTATAGATACCACTCTGTGAACACTATTTTACTATCGAGATTAAATTAAGCTTGTGATATACATCCCATAACATTATTTCTACAGCCACGTCATCATTTTAAGCCCTACAAGGGGTTTTTGTGGTATATTCTGCAGTGAAGGCATAAGTGGGTACAACAACTTTCGGAAATTTCATCGCACTCGCAATTAATTTTCGCATACAGGAAATGGCTTTATAGATGGCTTGTAGAATGTAAGCCAATAGAAATTCGATTTCCATAAATATGCAGCTATATATATTATTCCACCTTCAGCTGTTTAGAATATGCTATTTGATCGGAGAGCATAGCATTTAAACAATTAACTCCTGCAGCCCAATAACTTTATAATCCGAATTACTGGGATCAATACACTAAGACTAGTACCAAAGAGGTTATTCAATTAATCTTAAGGCGTATTAATTAGATGATTAAATTTGCTTAAGAGGCTTGCTGCTAAGGAATGGGGGGGTTTTAGGTGGGGGGAACTAGATCTAATCTTTGGAAAACGGAGATAAATTTGGATGCATGAATGGGCGGGTTTAAGGCGTGTGATGGCAGAGGCGAAGCCCTTATGTACTTTAAACTGAGGTCACATATTACAATTCTAATATTCGGAACTTACTGTAATATGATACTAACGGAAAGAATTCAGAAGATAGGTCTAGCTAGATGTACGTCTGAATCACTGTTAATATCTACGAGTAGATATCATATTTCTGCATGGTGCCTGTTTTGCATATTGCGACGAGTAATAAAAAGCGTGCAGGAACTGAATCAATCACCCGCTAATTTGTTTCAGGAAATATATGCAGGAAAGATCGTCGAGTCAAGCAAGGCAGGAATAGTAGCACATGGTCACATCTTGCAACCGCCAGTTCAAGGCCTCCTGTGCACTTGACCAAGTTGCGTTGTAGTCAAAAATCCAACAGTAGACCCACATGTTTCCTGCAATTCGGACTCCTTGAAATAATTTTGATATTTCTTCCTGTCAATCTTTGAACGAATGAGCAGGGCATTACGGAGTACGGCAAAAAGATACATGTATGGTCGCTTAACCTCGGGAAAACATCGACATTACCGTTATGCACACCCGTAAAACCCACAGCTGGTTGATAGTAGAGTCTTAAAAATCCTCCCCAGCCTGCTCATATATGTGGTACAGAGCTGCAAAGGGATCTTCGACCCGAGATCTTGCGAGGCTGGTGAGATTTCGTACTTGCAGTTGTCATATCTATCGTTTGCTCCGAACTAATCAATCCTTCGATACGACTAGCCGATGACATGCATAAACGGAATAAAAAATAGAAAAATAGAAAAAGAGTACTAAAATCCAACGCCACATACTCGAGTAGTATGAAAGCGAAATAATTCTTACTTAGATGTTGTCAAACCAAATTAGTCGAATCTCGCCGCTCACTGTCTGAGCGGGTCTGGGCTAATGCTGCATGCCATAGACAGGTGCAGACGACTGTGGGATGAATAATCGCATCTGACTGGCTGGATTCAAAACATCTTGTTGGAATGTCTATGGTCATGCTGGAGCTCGCCTGTGTGCCCTCCAGGGCTGCTCCCTGTCAGTTGCCTGCACGGAAGCAGGGACGGTGCTGCTCTGGAGATTTCGATGCGACTTGAGTTCTTAAGCCTGCTGGATTTTGATAGACGGGCTGGAATACTTGCCTCCGCTCGGATCGGCTGATAAACCGATATCGAAATGGTGTGGGTGAAGGGCTTCTATTCACATCATATTTCAATTTCAGCTTGATTTGACACCGAAGGGAGATTAGGTTGGTTGCATTCTTCGGGTATTGCGATATTGCACCTGCCAAAGATGTCGACAAATTAATTGATATCATGGTTATTATGACTTTTTGACTTTTTGATTTTCCAACAAGAAAAAAAATTGCGTCTGTTGCTGAACTGCCTAAACTATTAGATTAAGATGTACCACATGGTATCGAGGCAGACAAGCGATTTGTTCATAAGGGCAGACCCATGGTTAGTTGGTTCCGATTTGTCGATATCTGGATAGAACATCCCTGGCGTCGGTTTTAAGAACAATGTTAGCTCAATACTATACACCGACTGAAGTTAACTGTCAAGGGTCTGTAAATATTACAGCTATCGGATGCAATCGAAACGCAAGTTACCGTTTCTGAGGCCGGAAAAAGAATAACTCAAGAATGTGATTCGAAATAAAATCGTTATTTTTTCTTCAGTAGACGCAGCCTGCAGGTACCGACACGATAACGTTCTTGAGAAGCATGTATGTCCACATGTATGTCCACATGTCGACATATGGTCTGGGGAATTCGAGGCATGTGCGGTGTACTTTAGCGATATCGCCAGGTCACAGTGCAGCGGAAGGATAAAGGCAGGCTTGAAACATGTAACATGTCGGTACCCAAAAGTTCCGTATGGGCGAGCGAACTAATAATCAATTCTCTCCACATGTCTGGGCGTTAGAATTTGAAGCCTCATAATTTAAATTTATAATCGAACATTAAATCTTCCTTGTTTTTTGTTGAAGAAGAGAAATTTATGCTAAAATGGTTGTTAAAACCGACGGCGATTTCAACGAAAGTGGCGGCGTGGCAGGATTAACCCGAATGGTGGTCTTTCAACTGATCAATTATCCCTCTTTCTTCTTCACACGCCTTGCAGATTTTTTTTTGGGATCAAAAATTCCTTGATAACAGCATAAATGACCCCACCGACGAGCCGCTCACGAGATCGTGAAAACCAGACTTAAAACGCCAAATTAAGGCTGTATTCGCATATGCATTCTAAACACGGTATAGATTCGACAGAATGGAGTGTATTCTTTGTTTTTGTTGCAAGCCTCCGCGGGCACCTTGTTGATTGCGCATTTGCCCAGGTAGATAGGCGAATGCTCAAAGGGAATTGAGAAGCTCGGTTCAAGTACCTCAATGGTGCACGGTTGCTAGTGAACAAGGGTCAGCCGGCATCGAAGGCTGCTCTCTCCGATACACTGCGGTACAAACTCATAGATAACCTCTTTGGGTCAACATATTTGAAACTCGCTTTTTTATCTGTGGAATAAAGTGCTCGCTTAGGCCGGGTAGAAAGTGTCTCTGACATCGATATATGTCAATGGATATACTGGTGGCATTTTGTCCGTGATGTTGGGGGCTCCAAGGTGTTCATGTGCCAAATTCCAAACTGGCGGACCCCGTCTTCATATATTGCTGAGGTCTATGATCGACCTTCTAGATTAATACGAGAGTCTTGGCCCGCCTGGATATTTTCGATGGTGTTTTTTTTTTTTGAGGAGTTTTTCCTTCAACCGAGCTCGCAGATTGGGATTTGGTTTTGACATGGATAGTCGAGGTACCTGAAAGGGTCTCATGACAGGCTGCCGTCATGAGCAGCGTCGTACCCTAGCCTTACAACCTGGTGGACTCGACTTGCGCAATACTTTCAGAACATTCTCGTAAAATGTTCCTGACTCAAAAATCTCCAAAAATGCAATGTTGTAGGAATAAATCCTATTGTGAGATCCAGCTGTCTGAGTTTGAATCTGACGTTTTTGTAAGAAACTTTTGCGGCTGGAGAGTGAAACATAAGAAGATGCATCATTAGGACTTTGATCGCTGCCTTTTTCTTTTCTGTCTGTCTTTCGCTGACATGACACCGGCTGGTTTGTACGGGGAGGCCGGCGGTGCCCTCGCTCCACTTGGGTAACTAGAAGGAGAAAGATGGGCGGCGATTGATGCGGGTTATGTTTAGAAAAAATTGTGGGAATTCGGAAGGAGGGAAAGCTAATGCATCATGTCAAGAAACTAAGGCACCGGTGCACTGTACCGGCGATGAAGACGAGCACAGTCGTGTCGATGGCTGTGTTCTATTTTGAATCAGGTACCAGAGGGACAAAACTGCAGATACCAAGTCCATTCATATGATTTTGAAATGGTACTTACCGTCCGGTGATCCTTTCGTCGAGGGCTTGCAGATTTCGCCAGCCCGCTACAAGCGTTCTAAATAAACCCAGGAAAAATATTACATCCTGGATATATTCGTCTACGAGTTACCGCATCATCGAGGCAGGCAGGCAGGCATGTCGGTGTGCTTCCAAAGAGACGGGAAGAAATGAATCTATCAGGCTATATGCCGTTGGTACGTAAGCTAAGCTCGCTCGTGAAAAGCTCGTGGAGTGATCAGATTTCCATCTGAAGATGAAGCACGCACCGCAATCGTAAAAGCCTGCTCGTCGAATTAGCCAGAGGGCAATTGGCCGTCCCCACACTCTGTCAGAACTAGACCCCTGTTCGCACAAGCTCCGCCGCCATCCAACGATTAGAAGGGGGAAAAAAAGTAATAAAACTCGAATCATCTGGTCTTTCTGGGTTCCCGCGTGTATCAGATATATTTCTTCTTCGACAGCATTGTGAGAACCGCACACCCAACGGGTTAAAAGGACAGCAGCCTGGCTGAGGTTTGCCAGGTAACATTTGTATGGGATGATGACCATGGGCGAACTCGTTCCTTCTTGATGTGTATGTAGGTAGACGGCAGAGACGTACGTTATGTATGTATACTATGCCCGTTGGGTCAACGTATGATACTGTCATTTATCAAGCATGTAATGTATACATACCTGGCACTTTATGAGTATTTAGTTAATACTCTTGCAATTCGTTTCACACCATCCTGGTTGGGTTTGGAGGCAGTAGATGGGTCAGGTACGCATTGGATTGCGACAGCCGGATACATCTTAGCAGCTCGAGTCTGGTACCTTTTTTAAGCGGACCCGGCATGGAAACCTGACCTGACCGATGAGGTTATGGATTAGACAAGGTCATTCCCATCCGATAGCGCCTTGAAGCAAGGCACTCCTCCTGTTCTGATATCTCAACTAAGCCATCCTCTTACAAATATTGAGTAGTAGGATCCGAAGGTGTATTGTATGTACCGCACATGTACATTACATACATAGCGTCTACCCTTCCCACCGCCCGTAACATTCCTTGCCCTCCGTTTATTTGTTTCCAGCCGTTCTCGGATAACTATTGAATTGGTACATGCACTTTAGTAGGATCTCGTTTGCACGGTGCTGTACATAGGTACTTACTTACCGACTGTAGTGAGGGCTGTCTGTCTTGATAAAAAGCTTCTCAGCCCCCTCCCCCTCCCCATACCTGGCCCTTCTCTTTTTTTATTTTTTGTACTTGCACCTGTTCTTCTTTTTCTTCTGCTCCAGGAAATCGGGTAGAATAGCATACTTACTTTACCCAAGTAGGTGGTGGTAGCAAGTACTAGCTTGAACGGCTGCAGGTCTACACATACAACATTACTTCTTAGACATACATACATACTATACATATACTGCTGCTGCTGCACCCACTGCGGCAACACACGCCCAGGACAAGACAGACCTCCTCCTCATCCCCATCCTCCTTAACTGTGCATTCACCGCCTCTTTTCTTCTTCTTCTTCTTAATTTCCCACCGACATCATCTTTCTTCAATACATCATCACATTGATAGGATATCTATCGATAGCACGGATTCATTTTATTTTTTATCTCACTATCTCTTAGACAAATTACAATAAGATCTCGTTAAACCTCTTTTGGTCTCCTATTTCTTTTCTTTTAACAGCAATAAAACCCTCCGTTATTGCTTCCTCCAAGGTAATAAAACACTCTCGTGCTCATCTCCCCCTCATCTCTTCCCCCCATCTTCGCCCGTTTGAATCGGGTTATGGTTCCGCTCAGACCGTCTTGATATTCCCCGCAAAAGGATTATATCACTAAGGAACGCTTTCAATTCTTTGACAAACCGTTTTCACTGTGTTCTTGTACACTTTTGGCATAAATATATACTCACAGCCACACAGGGACGTTGTTCTCCAAGGGGTCCTCATTCTCGACGGCTGCTCTTGAAACTTGAAATTTTATTTACGATCCATCTTCGGCTCATTCAAACCTTACGAGATTTACGAACTGCCGTTTTCAAACAGATTAACGGGCACGTTTTTCTGGCACTCGAAATTTACTGATTGCTGAAACAATCAGTCCTGGTCCACACGGTCCACAGACAGAAACACCAAGCGAATAGCTGTTAGGAAACGGGACGGATACGGGAAAGCCCGATTCAAAGCCAATCAAACAAACTGGGGGGCCTGCTCACAGGATTTCCATATCATCACAGTTCCTCAGCATCCTCCTCTCTTTTTCTAGGCCCGATCTCTCTTCCTCTTCCTCCTGATTCTCACAACCTCTTCTTTTCGTCTGCTTGTTTCTCCTTCGACAGAGTCGACTGGATATCCCTCTTATTTTCCCTTCAATAACCGGCGTGGAAGACGGTCTGGTTGGCAGTTTCTGATCCTGCAAGGTACACAAAAAAAAACGGCGCTATCACAGGGTCACTTTATAACCATCACGCCCGCCGATTCGAGGATACTTGACGTTATTTGTACTAGTATCTACTGCCAACTCAAAGGCGCATCGACTAGCCAGCAGCAACTGTTGTAGGACCAACAAACCAACAGTACCAAACTGTCAACTCAACCTAGTCTCCGACCCGACACTTCGGTCCTTTGAGCTTCTGTTCTGTTGCGTGGATTATCTTGCACAGCTGTTAGGCTCTATTTCTGTCGTTCCGACTGTTCCAGTTATAGAAGAGTTCCGTGCCTCTAAGGCTTCTAGATTTGCATCCGGCTCTTTATAACCCACCAATTTTCCACTTTTTATTGGATTCCGACCAGCAAACTTAGGCCTTTTATTCCCATCCTTTCTGCGAAAAATCGGAATTCGAATGTCAGACGACAAAATGGCCATGGAGGTTGGTACCCCCTACCAATTCGACCATGTTACCCACGTTGGATTCGATCACACAACAGGTGGTTTTACCGGACTCCCACCAGAGTGGGAAGCAGTCCTCCGTGGTGAGATCACAGCCGAGGAGGTCAACCGTCGCAGGAACCCACCCAATTATCAGCGACAAAATGCTATGACTGCTCAACGAGGTGGCTCTGGCTCTGGGCGAAGAAAAAAGCAATCCTGCTTTATGGCTTTCTTGGGAAAATGTTTCGGTTCCACATATGAAGACAAGTCACCATCTCCAACCCGCATCGTCAGCTCCAGCAGGTTGGTGGAAACATCTGAACGCCCTTCTTCGGTACCGCCTCCTTATGATAGTGTCAAGTCGTACGATGAGGTAGAACAGAGGCCGGTTAACTCCCCCACAACCGCTACACCGCCTACCCAGTAAGGTTCGTACAAGCGCTTCAACCCCGCCAACGCCTGTTAGTGCCACGACGTCTAACATTTTCTTTAGAAGGACAATGCTTCAAATTTCTCTGCTCGTTTTGGATCAACAATTTCTTTCCTTTGCAGCATTTTTGAGATACCCATATTTTGCATTCAAACAAAAGTAGCACTCCAAATCTACGTAAACCCGACCACACGCATCTCTACATCGAATCCAACCATCATATTTTTTCTTCTTTATTCATTATCCTCTACTTCGGCTTCCTTTGATAACTTTTATCCTCTACACCCCCATACCATTCTGACCATGCTATCGGCAGAACAAATTGGTGGATAAGGAGCGCAATTTTTGAACCTTCTTCATTATCTTTTTCATTCCGTTGGTTTGGATATCTCTTTCCGCCTTCCCTTATTCCAATCGTCATCATATCCGGGGAGCTTTTGATCAAGCTTTAGGAAAGGCTTTGTCCTTTCACCATTACATTCGTCGGGATCTATTAATACCTTTCCCTTCTTGCAACTATATTTCTGTTTCTTTTCTTTTTCTTTTTCCTTTTTTTTTGTCCTTTTTCTTTTCATTTGACTGCTTGCATTCTGCTTAACAACGTGACGACCGAAACGACTCTCCTTCATACTTTCTTCTGTCGCACTATATCATTGGTGCCTCTTCATTTATCATTGAATTCATTATGGGGGGTCTTACTGTTATTTTGTTATTTTGTTGTTCCCGTTTTGCTTTGGCAACATGTTCGAGTACTTTAGCGGATGAGTGTGCATGTGTATCTGTATTTGAGGAACTACACAGCTTTGAGTTATCAAGCTGATCGGGCCTTATATATTTTCGGGCCTTGGGAGTGGAGAATAGAATTTTATAGTTTCCTCGAGAAAACTAAGGATCTCAATTTCGTGAAGTCGTAGTAATATTATACTGGAATTATAAATGACAATATGCAATAGAAACTACGTCCGTCTATCGTACATACATAGAGCTACATCAACCGGAGCCATCGAAACAACCAACCAAAATCATATTAACGCTATCGAACCTAACTTACTCCACGATAATCGCAAAGTTATTTCTCTTCCCACCCGGTAACAACTCCGTCTTTTTGAACTTCTTCCTGCTCCCGTTGCCAACAAACTTCCATAAATAATATACCAACTTCGGAGACAACTTTCTTCGAACCATTTCATATCCCATGGATATCATTATCTCCTGCAGCCTGTCTTCGGTAAGATATCTACTGTTTGTAACGCACGGGGCCGGTAGTACAAGGAACATGGCTGGGAAGGTACTCGACCAGTCTGTTTCTGTGGTTTCTTTGTTTGTACTGTTATTTGATAGCGATTTTAACCTCTTGCGACGTCTCTCTAGTGCTTGTTCCATGAATGATGTTATGTGCTTTAGCATATCTCCTCTGCCTGATGGTGTTGGTACGTAGTTTAGCACTAATGAACAGGAGATGATATCGTATCCATCGTCAGCTAATTGCGGTACCGGGAATTTCATGAAATCCTGTTTGAGGATTTCATCCGGGTGTAGGGAGTTTAGGTCCATTAACGTCCGTTGGGGTTTTGGGAAGTAGGAGTGTATTGTGTTCGTAGGTGATAGACAACCTATTTCTAGGAGTCTGTAGTTCGATAGACCTTCATCACTACCATCACTGCTGCTACTGTTGTTGTTGTTGTTGTCGCCATTGCTGTTGGAGTTCTTCCCGCTATGTGATTTTTTGTGAGTCGGTTTTGGGATTCCAAGTTCTATGAACCAATCTACGAGGATTTTTGAACTATCTCCACCACGTTTTGAAGATTGTCCTGAGACACTGGCACGTTGGTAGGCTTCTAGACCGCCTGAGGAGGATAGTTTTGAGGTTAATTCTGCGATTGTGGTTGTATCGTTTTGTTGGATTGCTTGGGAGAGACGTTTTTGGGTGGTGTGGTGGGAACGGATTAAGGTGCGGGAGAGTTTCGAGGGGAGAGGAGGGTTAGTGGTGGTGGTAGAAGAGGAAGAAGGAGGGAGATGACCATTTTTGCGACGGGAGAGGAGGGAGGAGGTTGGTTTCCGCTTTTTTTTGGATTTGGTGGAGGTCATGACATTGTTATTGTCGTGATGGTGTTTTTTTTGGTGGATGTTGAAGAGAAGAGAGAAAAGGTTGAAGGTTCTGGAACATCCTGGAAGGGGACCGATTCCCTTGGCAGATGAGATCTCAAATTTTAGATCTTTAACTAGCTGAGCTCTACTTTGTCACAAATCTTCAAATCTTCATCATCACATCAGCTACTCCTACCAGCTTCTATAAAGCTATAAAGCCCTTTATTCTATATATTTTATATAATCAAGCAACCTCCTACCTGAAAGAATCAGTATCATCTTTATTACCACATCATTTCATAATCTATCCATAGTACACAGTACACAGACCCCTCCAAAAAGAAGCCCCACCAACCAGCCATGGAAAAAGTCCTCGCCTGGTCCGTCGCCGCCTCAGCGCCCGAACAAGAGGGTGAAGACCGTCAACTCCCCCGTCTAGACCAAGATGCTCTAGCTCAGCTGCTCATGGGCGGCAAAAGCGATGCCGATATGATGATCGAAGCTATGCAATGTATCACCGACCCCACAGCCACCCTCGAAAACCGAGAAATCGCCTTCGATAATTTCGAACAATTAGTTGAGAATCTCGATAATGCGAATAATATGGAGAACCTTAAGCTTTGGGATCCACTCGTTAGGCAATTACAGGCGGTTGACAAGGAGATGAGGTTTATGGCGGCGTGGTGTATTGGGACTGCTGTGCAGAATAATGAGAAGAGTCAGGATCAGGTAGGTTTCTTTCCCTCTTTTGTCTCCCTCTCCCTCCCCCTTCTTTCTTCTAGAGTGATGATGCTAATATGTTTGGATGATATTTTAATAGTTCCATAAAACCGAAGGTGTAGAAAAACTCATCCACCTCGCTTTGAACGATTCCGCTCCCGATGTTAGATCGAAGGCTCTCTACGCTATCAGCAGCTTTGTCAGGAACCACCAGCTCGCACTGGACCAGTGCCTTTCAAAGCTACCGGACGGGTTAAAAGAAGAGTATTCTCAAAAGAGCTTGAGTGCTGAAGATATGGACGGTATAGACGAGCTTAGGACTAGATTGAAGTCGGAAGGGAACAAAGTCGCTGCATAAATCATTTTCTCGAATCCCCTTCATACGATATTGATAGAAAAAGTGCTTTGCGAGTTAGGCGTTCAGAGGGTGGTATTTGATGATTCCCTTGGAGTACGAGGTCTTCTACTTTTTTTTTCGCTCTTTAGATTGTGTGTACATAGAGTATTGAATATTATCTCATCATGAAGAATATGAAAACCGTAGTATTTTTACCATAATTTCCACTAAATTTAGAAGTTCTGCTGTCGAATCATCTCGAAAGGATTTGACGAGGCTCATCACGTGACATTGAAACTGGATTTCAAAGCCTGTCGCGCCTCCCATCTCAACTGCATCTGCGTCACCAAACATCACCACTCCAACATCCATAAACCATAAACCATAAACCAAAACCAAACCAACCCACAAAAAAACAATGCCACCAATCCGTACACGAAACAAGCGCAAGCCTCCACCGGATGGCTTCGATGATATCGAAGATACCCTTCTCGAGTTCGAGAATAAGATGAAAGACGGTTCGTCGAAAGCCCTTTTGCCTTATGGAAGAGAAAGAAAAAAGAAGGAGCTAACAGAAACTTCACAACAGCTGAAAACGCGCCTCATGATGGCAAACGAAGGAACGAGGTGCTATGGCCTATCTTCCAGATCTCGCATCAACGTACGTAGGGAATCAATTAAAATCACTACTATCATTCTTTCTGTCCCACGGGAACGTGCATGAGGTGCGTTCGTTTCCCGACCCGTCCGTTATCACTCCCTTTCCGATCGTAAAGCTTCTTTTCTCTCTATCTCTTCATGGTGGAGGAGGAGAATGGAGAGGGAGAGCTCTACGGAATCCCCCGTTACCAAAAATGGACGCTCAAAAAAATAAAATAAAATAAAAAACAAAAACAGGACAATCCCGTCTAACATCTACTTTTAATCTGTTCTTAGGCTCCCGTTATATCTACGACATGTACCTCAAAGAAGGCATCAGCAGAGACCTCTACGACTGGCTTCTAAAGAACAAATACGCGGACCCGCTACTTATCGCCAAATGGAAGAAACAAGGGTACGAGAAGCTATGTTGTTTGAAGTGTATTCAAACCAAGGAGACGAATTTCGGTTCGACTTGTATTTGTCGTGTTCCGAAGGCGAGGATGACTGGAGGGAACGCTGTAGAGTGCGTTAATTGTGGATGCCAGTGAGTTTTTATTACCCTTTCTTTCTTCTCTTCTGTTGGTGTTCATGGCTGACAAATGTGGTTTGTAATATAGTGGTTGCGCATCGAGCGATTAGAAAGAGGGCTACTTCGTACCTTAGATACTTTTTTACAGACAGACTGAGAGGGAGAAGTGGTTCTCAACGGTTATCTGTTGGGCACCAAAGAATACAACTTATAACCCGTTGGCCCATACCACTGCAATCAAAGATGATTTTCAATTATACGAGAGAGAAAACATCAGACCTGTAACACAAAACAGGATGCCGGGGTAATCGGAATTTTTATTTTTGTCTTTGTCCAACGGCGAAATCCTGTTAACTAATGGGAAGAGGGGGAACGGGGCTTACGAAGAACCGTTTATGGAGCCTATCACGGGAAAGGCGTTATGATTTGGCCAATTTCTTTTTTTTGGTGGAAAACAAGAAAAAAAAGGTATATTCCGTTTTTTTTTATTAAACAGGGATGCATGGGAGTTGCGATTGTGTATACTATATGAATACTACAGGGAAACAAAAGATTATTTCGATTTACAACATTGCATTACCGTTAGACTGAATCTTTTGATAGACATCTTGTGAAAGTAGTATTCTGGTGTTTTGTGGATTGTAGATGGTATGTACATCTACCTAGTGATCAATGTTTCAATTGATTATATACAGGCTATTTCGTGGTGAAACGTTGAACCATCATCTTCGTCATGTCAGCTGTGAAACCATCCCCCCGATTTAGCCTCTCAAAAGCAACTCTCAAGTCGAGTAACTCAAAAACAATACTTCAAAGCCTTGGTTGGAAGCTGTACGAAAACGAAAATTCGAAATGCAGAAAACAAAGTAAAGAAGAAACGCCATAACCCGTACATGTATGTATGAGAATATAATACCAGATTACTTCATAAAAGTTCCCATCGAGAGAAAGAAAGAAAGAAAGAAAATACACCATCAAACATTAGAACTACCCACACCAGCCTCCTTTAACCAATTTTCACGGCATATACAACGGCAAAGTCTCATCCCCCGCCTCAGGATCATGCACACTAGTAGTACCAACATCCACCCTCGGTCGATTACTAGTAGCATACCAATACGTCGGTGGAGCCCTAACAGCCTCAACACGTTCCGCAATAATCTGTTCTCTAGTAAGACCCGTTGTTTCTTCCGGTTTTGGTTCTTCCTCTCCTCCTCCTCCTGCTCTTTCTTCATCTCTTTGTCTTCTCCAACCTGTTATTCTTGTTGTTGCTGTGGTAGAAGTTGAATATGAAGAAGTGGGACGGATTCTTGACCAGAGGCTTGATGCAACTGATACAGGTCTTGCGGCTGTTTGGGGTGGTGATTGGGGTGGAGACGATGTAGTGGTGGTGGTAGTAGTATTGCTTGATGTACTTGTTTGAGGTGGGGAATAAGGGGGTACGAGGGAGACGGTGGCGTCGAGTGAACGTCTTTGACGGAGTTTTTGGCGGTATTCTGCGAGTTGGAGGTATGAGAGGTAGGTTGTGTATATTGATAATATACTGTATATCCGAAAAAAGAAATGGTTAATATTATATATACTACTAGAAGAAGAAGGAGGAGAAGGAGGAGAAGGAAAAAGGGGATATATTCTACTTACATACAAACCACCAAACAAATAAAGAGTATCCATAGTCCTACCCCCGGTGTGCTCGGAGTCGATATCTGTCTACTCTGCGCTGCGGATATCGCTTTTGAATAGTTGATCCGGGCGACTATTGTCCCAGCTAGCGATGCGATCCACAGTGCGAGGATGAATACGTCGGCCCCAAACCCTTCGATGGGGGAGAGTACTACATTGAAACAGATAAAGAAGAAAGAGGCGGTTGAGAGGAAGATATATAACGAGATCTATAATTATATTTTAAGATCAGTTAGTTAGGTAATTGGTCGAAGAGTTTAAATCAGAATAGAATAGAACAAAGGACTCCGTTTCTGACTTACGCAAGTGATAGCAAGAATATACCCCCACCCGCCGTCGATAGTAATAAACTTGGGCGCATTTCTACCATACGAAACTCTAGAATTGGCGGTGATAACAAAAAATGGTAGACAGATTAGACAGCCGAAGGATTGGATGTAACGGATGAGTAACCATCGTGCTTGGACTCTGAACGTAGGTCTGTTATCATACTCCGGCCCGAAGTAGCCGTTTGTTGTTCGACGCATGTTTTTTTTATAAAAAAGATATTAATTATATTATATATCTTCTTTTTAATTAGAAGAAGTGTATATAAGTTATGTGAGTTTGGTTTCTTTTGGTTATAGATTAGAACTGATAGGCCCCGAATGGAAGGATATTAGATTTTTGAAACGAATGCGCTCCAGTCCGTCAATGCTGAAACGTTATATCTGTGTTGATAATGTGTCTTTTTTTGTATATGCGATTGCAGATGAGGTTATCTTCAAGCAAGAAACAATTAACAAGAAACTAGAAAGATACATGATCCGGTATATTCATACTTAGATATATACTAGATCTATAGAGTCCCCTCTAAACCAACATTTCTGAACAAAAACATTCTTAGTCATAGTTAAACCAAGGCTGCCGTTCTGAGGATTCTATTCTAAATTAATATATTTACAGGGGTGGCGGTGGTGGTAGACCTCTCTGAGATCATAGCTACTCTGACTTAACTGTTAAAGTCGGGCCATCGGTTTAGCTTAGCTTCGCCTGCGTAGCCTAACAAACAGGTACCCAACCTAACCCACCAAGCCGCAACCAGAGTTTTTGTGAACGGGGTTACCAGGCACCAAGACCGAAAAAAATCCGCAGCCGGCAAGGACCAAAGAACGGCCAAGGCTGATTTGGGACAAAAGATATAGCACTCGCTTTTAGCCCAGGCCCAGATTATAGCGGCCCTCGCCCCGACTGGATGTATGTACCCACCTGTTATGCAATGTCGAGATGTGGTCTCGTGCGAATGCTGCGGTACGTTTATCAATCTATTCAGTATGAGATCAAGATGATAAGTGTGGAAGTGTTAATAGTATAGCTATAGATGAATTCGCCTAACCAGATGGAGATCGAATTAATTCCAAATCTATAGTGAAGATGAAACGGCCTTCGGGTCTATGAATTCAAGTCAACCTTTTCAGGCCCGGTTGAGGCATGCGGCTGTTCGGTTACTATACTATTGGTGCTATTGCAATATATACCTTCCACAAGGCTATGACGTTTCCCGCCCGCCTTCCGTCGGCTATCGATCGCAGAAGAATGATTTGTATTATTTATAATTAAGTATCTCACAGAATTGAAAGCCTTTCCAAGTATGTTTTTCTTCGGTTCTTTTCGTTATAAACACAATTCTTTCTTTTTCATTCTAATACATACTAAGTAAAGGTGAGCACCTGACCAGACCGAGAGATCAGCCGTGAGAATGCTATAGTAGAGTTATTAATCTAACTAGCTTCGCTAGCTGTAGCAGAGCCTCCTCCAAACATCTTGGTGATCTAGTCATGAGGCTCAAGCTATCAAGATCGCTCCTTTTAGATCATCTCTGCCTGAAATCAAGGATGGAAGAAGAATAAGGAAAAAAGGATAACTAAACTCCAAGCCTGGGTGTGGTCGGGCATACGGACAATATCAAGCATTACTCCCCCAAAATTGACAAGGCTTTCCCCGCATCCCCACAATAAATCCAAAAGAAAAAGGGCAATCAGTCTCCATATAAATTCTTTCCTTTTCGCCTGCTTGTTCAAAAAAAGAGAAAGCTGCAGGATTATATAGCAACTCTAGCAATAGGACAGGTATATTGCCGGCGCAGAAAGAATGTCTCGAAAAATAACTGGAAAAAAAAAAGGAAATATGTAGAAAAAAGAGAGGGGAGGCTGTCCAAAATCCTATTCAATACATATAAACACCATATCGGACTGTACCCAGAAACTTTAATCGCATACGAAATCGAAAAAAAGTCGAAACTCACATGAGCACACACTTCCCACCATTAGGAGGCTGCGCCGGGTTCTGCGACTTTTCGATTTCTGCGACCAACAACTCGAACGCCTTTGCTACGTTCTCGTTATGTCTGGCAGAGGTTTCGGTCCAAGAGCACTTCCATTCCTCGGCGAGCGCCTTGCCTTCCTCAGGTGATACCTGTCGTTGGATGTGAAGATCGGATTTATTACCGACTAACACGCAGGGGACCCATTCTGCACCCTGTGTTTCTCCGTACTAAAGTGATTAGCTCACATTCTTTTTTTTTTTTCCGTTTTTGATTTCATGAAGACAAAAAAAAAAAAAAGGCTTACAAGATGGTTGAGGATTTTATCTCTAATGACAGTGACCATATCAAACGATTGCCGGGAGGTGACGGAGTACGCTATAAGGTACCCATGGATCCCAATTGAATGTTTCGATTGGAGAATACTATATTCGTCCTGACCAGCGGTATCGACGATTTCGGTGGAGTAATCCTGTCCCTTATATTTGATAACGGTACTGAAGGTGTTTTCGATTGTTGGGTAGTAACTCTCGACGAAATGATTTTCGACGAACTGGACGGTTAGGGAGGATTTCCCTGTTCACGCACAAACAATACCAGTTAATAGATTCCTTGTGGGCATGAAATACTCTCAACATATAGAACATTGAGAAGGAAAGAAAAGAAGAAAAAGAAGAAGAAGAAAAAGAATAATAATAATGATAATAATACATACCAACAGCCCTGCTCCCGACGATGGCAACTTTTCTTTGTTTGACAGCCGGCATCCTTCTAGATTTTCGTTTACTATTATTATCAACTGATTCGGTTTCGCTACCTTTCTGTTCGCCGGTTATCGAGGGAACGGAATGGTGTCTGGTATGATGATGATGCTGATGCTGCTGATGAGGCACCGACGTTGAAGCGACAGATGCTCTAGGAGTATACTCTGGTGGAAGATTTGAATTCGCACCGGGAGACGACTGCTGGTGCTGCTGGTGCTGCTGGTGCTGCTGGTGCTGCTGGTGAATACGAGATATTTCGTCACTGTCGGGACTAGCGACAGAAGCTGGGTTGTTGTCCGGGGTTGGGTTTAGCACTGCAGGCAATCGGGCAGGTCGGGCGTTCGCTGAAGAAGAAGACTGGGTATCGCCTGAATCGCCCGCACAGGCGCAGGGGAAAAGTGAGGATCGTATGGTGGCTCGAGTGAGATTTGGAGCTGCCCGGCTGGGGGGAGTTCCCTCGTTTATACGAATTCTACGAGGTACTTGGAATTAAAGCAGGTAGGTATGCGATCGATATAAGTTTTTTTTTGTTTTTAGATCGAAAACAGCGATGCACGATGAGAGAGATTGTTAAGCTTTCGGAGGCCTCCGGTGACCTGCCGCCCGCTGTTAGATGGGTAGATTCATGTAAGTATGGGAAGTAGATATGTATTGATTGATATATATATATATATATCTAAGAAGCAATCTACTAGAAATAAGAAGGGAGAGGTTATATAATATATAAAAAAGAGGAGAGAAGAAGAAGAAGAAAAGAAAAGAAAAAAAGATAAGTGGCGGGTTGTAGTGTAGTTAAAGAGCTGCGATGGATGAACCCGGAGGAGTTCTTGGTATTGAGCAACTGAATGACGCCAGCCAGACGGTCTGTTATGTAACAACACTCTTCCACAGGACACTATTACATAGTACCGACAATGGATATGAGTAAGAGTAAGGGTAAGAAGTATGGATGTTCGAAAGCATGTGATGATTTATGTGCAATGCAGCCGGATTCACATTCCCACGGTCATTGCATGTCTTATTTATTACTTAAGTCAGTATCCTTACATGTAATAAGTAGTTAAGTACTTATTTGATTTTGATTGTCGGTGCAACATAGCTTGGTGGGTGGACATGGCCATGGCCGGGCATGGACCCTTGCAATGGCGTGCATATTTCCATGTCCGAGCACAGTCAAGGCCTGTTTCTGCTCCATACCATACTTACAATATACTTCCACGTAAACGTTAACGTTTACTATCGATAAGACTTCATCCATTCGAATTCCAGATGCTCCGTCAATAGATATACACATTATATATCTTCGCGTCTGCTCGATTCTCATCCGAATTAGACTCCTTCTAATCTTCGGGTTTCGCGGTATCGAATACGACAACCCGCAAAGATGCCTCCAGGTCAGGGTCAGCCCCAGAGGCGCCCGGCGCAGAACGAAGATGTACGTCTACTATAATCACCACTCTAGCATCGACATGTTCACGAACAGTGATAGCCATCAATTGGGCTTTTTTTAAAGGCTTCGAGCTAACGGTGAAATTCGCATCATAGACGCCGATATGGAGGACAATTGTGAACAGTGTCATCATGGTCATCGCGTTCCAATCCATCTGGAGTCAGTAGCTGTCCCTCTCCAATCCACATTGACAAACTCCTCAAAATGCTTCAAAGACTAAGGAACTAACCCTATTTTAAATTCTATTTTCTTTTTTGGAAAATATAGAAATAGCAGGAACACAGATGGGATGGGTCAAGCCGGGCCCGGGAGCTGCTAACAAAGCTGCTCCCGTCTACCCTGCCCCTCCTCTCGACCCCTCCGAAGCGGACCAGTATGAATATAAAGGTGTACCTGACATGATCTATCCTCTCTGGGAGTTCTCTCAACCGGTCGACATCTCCGTATATATTACCGAACATCCCGGTGGCCTCAATCTCGCAGATCCCGCAATCATCCAGCAAAACCGCGTCTTCCACACCGAAAACTATAAAATGGATGACACCAGCGAAGACAGGGGGGTCAGCACAACCGTTAAATTCAGCGATCATGTTCAACATAATGGAACCCTCTGGGCTGTTATATATGTCCACAAGCACGGAATCACAGACCACGATGCCTCGAACAGCTTTGCACAATATAAATTGCTTACCCGGTTTATGCCGAAGAAGAAGATTGCTAAGGTTAAGAAGCTTTTGGGTGGGAACAAAGACGAAGAAGTCGAGGAGGAGGTCGAATCGGAACCACATACCGAAGGACCCACCGTCGCTACTTATTGGCATCCAAATGTTACAATCAATATAGTCGGAAACACCGGACCCCAACAGTATCCTAGCATGCACCCGGCGATGCGACAACATTATAGCTTGGAAAGAAATGGTGCGCGAGACCAATACGGAAAGAACAGTTGGTTCTACCCGGTTGTCTTTGTCAATGACTTTTGGCTCCTAAAGGAACATATGATGCCAATCAACGAGACCGTCAAGTAAGCTCATTCATTTCAGCTATTGGTATTACACCCTGATCCTAATCTTTATCAAATAGGACCCAAGACTTGCACATTAACGTTTACAACATCCCAAACTGGAAATACAACATCTATGCCTCCATGGACCAAGCGTTCAAGGTACAAGCCCAGCAGAACAATGCCCAGGGAGCCGAACTCGAGGAAGTAAAGCGTATTCTAATCGACACCAACATCTACCTCCTCTCCACTACTATTATCGTCTCCCTTCTTCACACTGTCTTCGAAATGTTGGCCTTCAAGAGCGATATCGTAAGTTCCCTACAATTCAAAATATTTGGAATATCCAGGCACTAATTGATGTGTGCCATATATAGTCCCACTTCCGTAATAAGAAAGATAATGTCGGTGTCTCCTTCCGCACCATTCTTGGCAACGTCATTATGCAACTTATCATCTTCCTCTACCTCATTGACAACTCGGATGGCACTTCATGGATGATCTTGTTCGGTCAGGGGACAGGTATACTAATAGAAGCCTGGAAAATCACCACGGTCGTCAACGTCAGAGTCCGTGAGGCTCCAGGCACTTTACTTGGTTATAAAATCTCCTTCGAAGATAAACACAAACTCAGTGAAACCGAAGAGAAGACGAAGGAGTATGATGAAATTGCGTTTAAATATTTGATGATTGTCGCGGTACCGCTGTTGTTGGCGTACGCGGGTTATAGTTTGGTTTATGAGGAGCATAAGAGTTGGTATAGTTTTATTATCACGACACTTGTTGGTGAGTATAATATCTTCCGTTTTATTTCGCTAGTAATTTTTCTGGGGGGTTGTTGGCTAATGAGTGTAATAGGGAGTGTCTACGCATACGGGTTCTTGATGATGGTACCTAGTCTATATATCAACTACCGTCTCAGGTCGGTGGCTCACATGCCAAGAAAGACTATGATGTACAAGTTTTTGAGTACGTATAGTCTCCTGAGCCAAAGAAAGAATACAATTTACTAACCCTGGCTTTAGACACCTTCGTTGATGACCTATTTGCCTTCACTATTAAGATGCCAACACTCCATCGCATTGCAACCCTTAGAGACGACGTGTAAGTTTTCTTCTATTTTTTAAAACTAGTAGCTAGACCGTGATGAGACTAATATAATTACAGTATCTTCTTCATTTATCTCTACCAACTCTGGTCGTACCGCGTGGACTACAGCCGTGTCAACGAATTCGGCCAGGGAGGTGATGGAGAAGATGATGAAAAGAAGGAAACAAAGGCAATAGAAGAGAAAGATGAGAGCACAAAGACTGAAGTAGAGGAAGAGAAGGAAACAAAAGCGGAGAGCTCGAAGGAAGGTGTAAAACAGAGGAAAAAGAAGTCAGGTTAATGTTATAATGGAAATTGGCGGAAAGGGATGGTTCTTTCTTTTTACCATACGTCGTTTGGTTTGTGCATATATATAGATGGGCAGAGCGTATAAATATATGAAATGGCATAGAAATCATGGAAATTGAATGAACTTGTTGGTCTATCGCGTATGGAGGGTTACACAGGCTAAATGTCCATCAATATAATATATAAGAGCAAAAGGGCCTTTGCTTCGGATGGTTTAACATACGGAAAATAGCAGAAAATAAATCGAGACGATGAAAACCGTTTACTAAAATCCACGAGTCTTATTTAATTGAGAAGTCGCGTGGCAGAAAATACTATAATAGATACGCCTGCTCTGAGTAGATCCGTTGTAAATGCCTCTGGTCACCCTAATATAATTAAATATCTACCTAGGTACCTATATATAGCACTACTAAATTATAAACTCGAACCCTTTCGTCCTTCATACCTTCAATTTCTCAAGAAGCCCCATATCCTTCCTAATACTCCTCCTCTTCACAACAAGTGCGATTTCTCCGAGAGCAAGTGTATTAATAACAAATGCAGCGATGGATGCCCATAATACCATTTGCTGTTCAAAATACATTAGTTATAAACCCCAGGCATGGCAGAGTGACCGATGTTCTTATTGTTTAAAAAGACACTTACATGCATATTACAAGCCGAATCGAAATCAATGCTTGGAAAATGTCTTGTTCGGGCTAAAGTTACACGACTACAAGAGTAACTGTATAAATCTATTTTGGCCAAGTCAGCATGATTTCCATGTGTAATCTGATATCACCACCCCCTCAAATGTAAGGATCTATTGAACGAATATATATGTATATATGAGGCAGAAAAAATACGAACCTTTCCCCTTCTTCAACCCATGATACAATCCCGCCGCCAAACCCCACAATGCCGTAAGAATACTAGTAGCCACACACGAAAATACATCGAACTTGCCATCTTTATGTGGCAGACGACGGCATGTACAACATGATACAACCGTGGTTATGAAGTTTATAATTATTGAAGTTGCGGCGAAGCCAATCATTAGAAATCTATTGATATATTTTTAGATGTTCTTAGTCAATTATTTCTGTTTAAATCAATGAATCGATAGTGTATGTAATAGGACTTACACTGGGAGTGTATACGGCTTCATTGGCCATGCTGTGATGTATGGTGCTGTTCCTGGACGACCACGGCTTATTCTGTGGTATCGTGATTGTTCCCATATTTGGTATGCATCGATTGCGAAGATGACCTAGTTTGATATGTATAAGTTATTTTGGGGATTTAAAATTTAAGAAAGCGTGTACGTACGACGAGAAGACTATTTATCAATTCGATGAAGTGTTAGCGAGTACTTCTTACGATAGGGATATCAATATTAATATATTTTGGAGAACTGAACTATACCTCAATAATAAATTCAGCAATCTAGTTGAAAACCTCAGAGCGCATAACCAGTTTCTTATCTTCTTTACATCATCAACATATTATCAGTTAAGTAGTAATTATCAAATCACAGATACCCCATGGCCAGAAGAGGATTCTGAGAGTATACATACCTGATCCCTCCTCCTCAGCTCCTTCAACTCCTGCCTCTCAAACCCCTCTTTATCCAAATCAATTTCCTCCGTAACCCCCTCAAATTGCGTCTCCAACAAAATCCCCCTCTGAGACTCCATAAACCCGAAGTCATCATCATAAGGCCCACTCCCCGTCGAATAACTCATACTCCCCCCACTACCACCATTCGTACCCTTCCCATCATTACCATTACTATTATTAAGATTCCCTCCACTCCCTCCTGCTCCACCGCCTCCAGAATCCATTCTCCGACTAGTACTGTTCGACCGATAGTACGGATAGGATTGGTAGTAAGCCTGTGAACGGCTGGCGTAGTTACTTCTACTGCCGTTGTAATATGAGGACCTTGAATATGAAGTTGAGTTACTACTATTGTTGGTATTGTTATTGCGCTGTTGTCGTTGGGCTGTGGTGGTGGTGGTATCGCCGTAGATCACGCTGGAGATCTGTTGTGGCTTCATGAGATGTGATCGGGAGGGGGATATATACGTGGGAGTTTTTTTTATTTATTTTATTTTTATATAGTATATATGATGAGAATGGACAAGTTGGTTCTGTAGTCGCGTGGGAGGTGGCTTGAGGTTGTATATGGGGTCTTATTAGGGGGTTTAAGGGCACATGGGAGGTTTGAGGGGGAGGGACTCAATTTCCGCCTCCTCTTCTTCTTCCTCTTCTATTCGTGATACTTGGTCTTTGGGAAGAAATTGGGGCATAAAATCTCCATTAAATGCTTAATCTAACGCATGGGTCCTGTTGGGCCTTGAGATTCTGCTTTGAGGTAGTTTCCGTATGACCCTGAGATTCATATTTCTGTTCAAAGGTTGAACCGAGTTTTTAAGTCCAAGTATGGCCATAGGAATGATGCTATGATTCTAAACGTGAATAAATTTTTTTTAAAAAATAAGATATCTATATCTCGTCTTCCTCATCATCCCAATCGTCCTCTCTCCCAGGTACATACAATATCCTACCCCCAGTCCCACCTTCCTCACTCTGTGCATCAAAGTAAGGTAACACCACCCCTTCCCTATCACTCTTCTGTTTCGCCGTCAACCCCAATGAGAACGTAAGATCACTATCTTCCACCGCTCCTCCACTCCCATTCCCCGAAGAAGAAGCTTCGACAATAGTAGGATTATAAGCCGGATGATCCTCAAGTAATATCAACCTCTCCTTCGACTTTTTAGAAGGCGCATGACATAACAAGAAAAACCACTCGCTCATAGCTCTACCAGACATCCGTCTATGTTCTAGTTCGTATATCAACCCTCGTGATTTATCGTTGATACCACAGGTCTCACACCATCCGGTGTTAGAACCAAGACTTGTCAATGATCCTTCTATTCCTTCGTCAAGTCCAAAACTCGGGGGTGGTAGTGATTTATCCAATGCCCTCTTTTGGGTAAAGATGTGGGAAGGGGAGTAGACAGTTATTAGAGTTGTACAAAGGTATTTTAAAAGATCTAGGGGATCGGGATTGTATGCGTTATTTGTAGATGTAGATATTCGGGGGATGTCGGTGTGGTATGTTGCTATGATTGTGACTGATGGGGCGAGGATTGAAGATAGGAAATAGGAAAGACTCATGTTGGATTTTGCACCTCCTACTTCTTCGCTGGAGATTGATACCAAATGGTTTGTAGAGTCAATGATTATCATATTTTGAACCTTTGTAGGATCTGGATGTCCTCCGCCGGTTGCTGGGGTGGTGGCAGCAATGAGTTCCCGTTGTAAAGCATCCAGTGATTTACCACGGGCTTTTAATATTTTGGTGACATTCTTTGGAGGTCGGAGTGTGGTGAACGAGATGTAGATTATGTTCACCCGTAGTAGCTATATATTCATCCTTGCATTATTAGTGTCTAAAAACTTTTTTTATTTTTAGGTAGTATCTGGTGAATGAAGCCTTTTCCCCACCTTTGCTCGGGAGATATATTCTTCTACTAGAGGTGCAGAGGACTGTTCTAAGCTGTCTAAAATGAGTGTGAACGGTGACGGTGTGCCCCGTTGGGAGAGAAGTCGGGTGCCCAGAAGTAGATTATGGGTTCTGCGGTATTGCACCGTCTTTGCATTGGCTTGTGGTGGGGCCATTATATCATATGGATACCTGCGGGGAGGTCTGATGATGAGGTATGTAACTTTGCTAATCCTCGAAGAAAAGACGTCTGATGTGTGTGAGAGTACTACGAGAGAAGGATGGATCCTATGGGTGATATTGAGACTGAGATGGTATCGATATCGATATCGATACTACTTCTTTTGGGTATTTGAATTTTGGAGCGGGAATGAGTAAATGCATGTTGGATTTTGTTGCAATTTTTCTGGCAAAACTGAGTTGTTTTATCCCCTCCAAGTTTATGTATGCCTCGAAATGGTGCAGGGATTTACTTCCCTTCAACGATGCCACCAATTCTTTCACCCATAAGGGATAATATACCTTGAGATTTCACATTTTAATATTTAATCTAAGCATCTCAAATCTCGAACCTCCCCGAACAAAAAAAGAGAGAAAGAAAGAAAAAAAACCACGGAGGTTGCGCGGGGATGTCATGTCTCCAATGTCCTCCACCCCAGCCGGCTCTGGGAAAATCTGGCTGATAACCTCCGCAACATCCCCACTGGGATTCTCAATTGCCCGACAAGCCCTTCGTAACGGCGATAGCATCGTTGCCGGTTGTTCAGTAGAGGAGTACGCTGCTTGGAAGGACTCCCAGAATGGTAGCCAAAATGCAACAGGTAACAACACAAAGGGGAGGCGAGGTTCGAAAGTTGATGCTGCGGGGGAGGAGATCAAGAGTTTGGATGTTGGATATTTGAGTCGTTTGGGTGGGTCGGCGTGTTTGGTGGTTTCGCTGGCTACGAAGTAGGTAGCCCTATAAAACTATTATAATATAATGCTTTGGGGATATAGGTTTGTTATATGATCTATACTAATGGAACTTTCCTTAGAAACCTTACGTCCTGTCAGGCAGCTTTGGCTCATGCGATTTCGACGTTTGGTCGTGTGGATATCCTCCTTAGCTGTACTAGCCATAGTAAGTCTAAATACACTCTAATCAGTTATCCGAATTGGAAGAGCTTCTCTTTTATTGATATAATAAACCTAGCATACTACGGGTCCATAGAAGAAACCAGCGAATGGCAGGCCCGCGAACAATTCGAAGTATCCTACTTCGGAACCATCAACATCGTCAAAACCATCGTCAAAGACATGCGAGAAAGAGGTACAGGAGGCCATATAATCTGCCTCACAAGTCTAGCCGCACAAACAGGAACACCGGGTTTATCCCTCCTTACAGCGGCACACCACGCCGTCGAGGGTTTCACAGAGGCACTAGCTTTTGAAATAGCACCATTCAATATCAAACTAACTAACGTCGAACCTTCAATCATGACATACTTACTTACAAACCCCGTTAATTTACCACCGGAAATTCCAGTCGATGGACAAGAAGTAAATAAAGAAGACAGGATTATCAGTGGAGACGAATACGACGACGATGATGATGACGAACACTTAACCCCGCGAACAGGAGCGGGGAATGTCAGACGATTGTTAGAAAAGGTTACACTCAAACCTGATAGTGGTCTTAATACCCCCAAAGACGTGGGGGATCCCGTATCCTCGGATATCGCTGCTCCGTTTGCCCGAGTACTACGGTACCCGAATCTTACGCCGAATGCACAATTGACTTTGGTAGCCGAAACTACTAAAGTAATCATGGCCGTAGCGGGAAAGGATAATCCGCCTGGCCGGATAATTGTCGGCGGGGAAGACGGAGGGGAGGACGGCGAGGGTGGGGTACAGAGCGTTAAGGAGAGAATGAAAGCCGTGAGTGAAGAGCTTGAGGAGTTTTTGGAGTGCGCTATGAGTGTGGATGTTCCGAATGCTGTTGTTGATGAGCAAGGAGAAGATGGAAATCCGCTATTGCTTTGATTTGTCTTTACAGTTATTTTTTCTTATATGCATGTTCGCACGATATCCATTTGATCTTGGTAACCTGTTATTTTCATTACAGTATACTACTGCGATGCTAGGCTAGATATAATTGGATGTTCATAAATATATCCATGAAAGTTTTTCCCGCTGTTTTTTTAAATTATAGTTTTTCTAAAAACAAAGCAGTTATAGCCCCGGTACTATTGCAAACCCCGAACCGACTTTCCGGAGTAATATCCCCCTACACAATAATCCAAGCCCTTTCACTTACGCTGACCATAAGACTTGGTAGCGTAATCTCCCTTGTAGACAATGAGATCCTCGGGCTTGTAGTCATGTCGGCCGCTCAAGTAGCTGTCAAGAATGGCTTTAGTGCCATCAGCATATCGCTTCTGAGCATCCAACGATGTTCCAGACATATGGGGAACTGTTAACACTAGGAGTTAGCCCTGCTTATAATTTATATATATCGGATAACCAAGTTTTATTTACCCATAGCATTGCCACCACCGAACGGGTTAAGGGCGTATCTAAGTGGGTGCTCCTTTGGAGCTGGTTGAGGGAACTATGTGCAAAGCTTATATTAGTATTAAGTAATCTTAAGTGATAAACGGAGTACGACTTACCCAAACGTCACCACCATATCCTCGAAGATGGCCAGACTTGACAGCCTCAGCGACATCCTCCTTGACAACAATGGCACCACGTGCGGTGTTAATGAGCCACGATCCAGGCTTCATCTTGGAGATCAAATTCTTGTTGAACAATCCAAATGTCGATTCGTGGAGTGGGCAGCTGGGAGTATGCATGTCAGCAATTATACTCTAAATATTCCTTTAGAACCTGTATTGATACGGAGAAAACTTACTTGATAGTGACAACATCGCACTGAGAAATCATCTCCTCGAGGCTCTCAACACGACGGCAACCAATCTCCTGTTCGACTTGTGCGCTGAGTGGCTGGTAATCGAAGTAAAGCAATTCCTTGCAATCAAATGGCTTCAATCTGCGGAGCACACGCTCTCCGATTCTGCCGACACCGACGGTACCAACGACCTTGTTTTCAAGATCATATTCATCTTTAGCGACAGCAGCAACTTCCCAGTCGCCGCGTCTGATTTGTTCATGAGCTGGGACGAAGTTCCTGACGAGAATCAAGATAGTCATAACAACGTCTATATTCGTAACCCTGTTAGCACAGTCTTAATGTACTAAAGTTATCTTCATAATATACGTACGTTCGGCAACGCTGACGACGTTGGATCCAGTGACCTATTTAACCTCGAGTAAGTGTTCGTTCGTTTCGAAAGGATAGGTTAAAAGGCTACAAACTTCGGCAACAGTGACACCGCCATTTGTCTTATTAGCAGCATTAAGATCAACATGATCAGATCCAATTCCTGCAGTGATAGCAAGCTTCAAGTTCTTTGCCTTCGCAAGACGCTCAGCAGTAAGGTATCCTATATCGTAATTAATAAACTTCCAAATAATATCTAACAAAAAAAGGAAATTTTTAAAAGAGGTATCTTACCAGGATGGAATGGAGTAGTGATAATGACTTCTGCGTCTACTAGTTCACGGTCGAAAGTCGAATTCTCGCCCTCCTTGTCAGAAGTGGTGATCAAGGTATGTCCTTGATCCTCCAACTGTAATAATTTTTCATGGTTAGCCTATTCCCAAGCTAAAAAGCCAAGGTAGAAATTAGAATTGGAACGGAGACTAACCCATTTTCTGATTCCAAGTTCATTCTCAGTTGTTCCGAGCAAAGCTGGGACATCCTTCGCATGGCTTCCACCCTACAACATCAAGATCAATTAGATATCACCTTCTCCCCACAATTCTCAAAAAAAAACCAATACAACTCGGCACTCACATCATACAAAACAGCAAGAACTTTGACCTGAGGTTGGAAAGTAGTTGTTAGTGTTCTGCTTTGAACGTTGAGCAATGGCCGTCGATATGCCGGTGGGGCAACACGGGCACCCAATCTAGAGGCTTGGAAGGCCGGTCTGGCTAAACAACGCGCAAGTGCAGCTCGGGATACCATTTTGAAGATTTGGGTTACTAAGAAAAAGTCTAAAGAGAAAAGTATCGATCGAAAGGATTCCACGTCCTGTAGGTCGGTATATATATACGTCGGCTTGGTTGGGTGATTGGCTGGCTGAATTGCTCTGCACTGACTGTTACTAAACCGGGCTACAATGGATTCTCAATCCGGCTGATGTCTACCTGCAGCTATTGTGGAATTCCGTAGACGGCACCAAGCGGCCAATGGACAGGAAAAGGTCAGCTCATGATCCTAGCTATTCGCCGTCTTGTGAACACATCTAGTGTTCCTAGTTCTCAAGGGTCCAAGTGAAATTCCATCAATCGCAAGCATTTGACCTCAAATTAACCATTGTAATCGAGAGAAAGACCAAAGCTAAAGCCATTGGCTAGCTGGGACATAGCTCCCATCCCTGGAATTGGATCCCTTGCTGCCCATAATGAGCTACCATGGAAGTCTCATTCAATGTTACATAGGAACTTCCGGTGGAAAGCCGCGACGGACCAAGAAGTGAGAACTTCCGTGAAGGGTCCCTTGCGTCTCTCCGCGCTGGTAGTCATAGTGCAGTGGAAGGTGCATGGTCGAGTTCATAAGTTGTACAAGTACAAGTACATGTACCGTATGTTCGACGCTGCATAGGGCACTAGGCGAAACTTGGCACCAAGCCTTTCATTCTAGGATCCCGTGCATCCGACAGGCTAAGACGTCACGGCAGATGCGAAATGCGGGGTAAACTGGACCAGGGTCTAAAGAAAGCCGGGCGGAGTTGGTTCGGGGTGGGACTTCGGAACGGGATGGGAATTTGGGAACTGCAATTGCGTATGCAACCTCGTGCGAGATCACAAATAAAAAAATAAAATCAAATAAAGTAAAGTAAAATAGAAATTTATAAAAGCGAAACCTCCAAGGTAGATTATCACGAGAGGATGAGACAATCCATTGCGACAGCCAGACGCTAGGGAACAACGGATGCAACGAATGGAATTGGAAAAGTGGAACTTTGCGGGTAAGGAGTTACGATATTGAATATCAAGCTTGTTGTATTTTGCGAACGGCTTGGCTAACAGCAGCATATGCGATGGTTAATCAATTGAACGTACCTTCGATGTTCGATGTAGAATCAATTGAATACTGAACTCGAAATTTCAATTCGTCGGTCTTTGATATCGTGAGCTATTTCGAAATTGGAGATCATTCACTGCGGGGAACAGCCTCTTTTATAATTATATTACCCCTCAGCTAGCTAAGCTAGCTCTAATCGACACAATCTCACCGTTCCTCGATCCGATCTCGAATCGATACATGGAACCGATGAAAAAATCAGTTGATCTATTCCTATTTCCCTCATCCAAGCCCCTTCCGAGCCAGTTACGAATTTCTATCGATAATATTTATAATAGTGGAACCCCTCAGCCGGCAGCCCGAAGACATCCTCGGTAGGTGATGCTGGCAGAAAAGCTTGTATCCCTGGTACCTCCTTCGATCACCAACTCCATTAATCCGCATTAGGAAAATTATCGTGTTCGTGTATATGCGGCTGGCCGTTTTGATAACGGTTAGTCGTACTACTGATATGGTTGCCGCCTTTAGCCGCGCACGTATATACGTATGTCTATGATAAGTTCTTGTCTTTGTAGACGATAGTGCGGGGAAGCTTGGATCTAATGAGGGAGTTCCGTGCTGTGGCTGCTCATATTTATCTTATTTGACTTTGCGGGGGAGTCATATGGAATATTAGTCTAAGCTCACATTCATTATTCTTTACTCTTAGTTATATCAATTTATAAATTTATGAAATTTCTATCCAAGTAAATCGTACCTTTACATCGACCAGCGCGTATAACAGCCATGATCAATAAATTATTGCAATTTTTTCTAAGGAAAATGAATATATAACACCAGGTACTGACTATAACCTATCTATAATATCGCATAACCCTATCAATTGAACGTCAAAATCTAAGCTGGAAAAGAGGGGAATGTATATATATCACTATTTGTGTTCGGGATCCTTATACGCCATCTCAATGAGTGGTCCAAATTTGAGATCGATAACACGGGCTGTCATCCCACGCCTACTTGGAGTCTTCCTGTCCGAGCCTCCATGAGCCTTTTCATTTGACTTTCCAGGGAGATTCTCTGGTTTTGGCGACTTTTCGTTCGGATTTTCATGAGTCTTCTCATTCGACTTCCCAGGGACTTTATTTGGATTCGGCTTTGGTGCCTTCTTATCGTCTGAGCCACCGGGAGACTTCTCATTCGACTTCCCCGGTACTTTGGTTGGACTCGGTTTCGGGGCTTTCTTGTCGTCTGAACCCCCAGGAGACTTCTCATTTGATTTTCCGGGTACTTTAGTTGGATTCTGTTTCGGACCCTTCCTATCATCCGGATTGCCATGCGTCTTTTCATTCGATTTTCCAGGTATTTTATTTGGATTCGGCTTCGGGGACTTCTTTCCGTCAAGCTTGCCATGAGCTTTGTTATCTAATTTTCCATTCGTCTTATCGTTTATCTTAGGCTGCTTTGGCGCTTTGATATTCTCGCGTAGCGACTTAATCTTCTCCCCGACGGCACCCTTAGACGGCTTCGAAAGTTGATGGAATCCTTGTCGAATAGTAGCCTTGCTTTCCGCGTCGAGTCCCTCATGGAACGATGATGCGTCTCCATGGAGTAATTTCCCAGCTCTCTCGATTCCCAAAACGAGACTAACCTTATGCCTGATACTTTTTTCGTCGGCGTCCCCAGTGGGCTTATCGGTGGAACCAGTAGATGCGTATGGGTTGTAGTACGCTATTAATTTTAGTTAATGTTAGAAATAGTATTCATATAATCCCAAATAATGAAATTAAGTCTTACTATAAGGTTTATAGTCATCAGAACCATCGAAGTTGTCGATGATCTCCATGGTTGTTAAATGCTGCTGGTAGAGACAGTCACTGATATCCTTCCACGGGGCTCCGATATCGACAAGTTGCTGGCAAGGATCGGTAGCTAATATATATGCCAAACCATCCATTAATTTAGTAAAGTCTCTTTCCAAAAAGTCAACTTTAAGGATCGTGAACTTACAGCTGCTTCCGCCATCTGGAGTTCCAGTATCGTCGCCTCCATCATCCTCTCCGTCCCCAGAATTAAACCCTCCCTTCCCTCCACTGCCACTTTTGCCTCCTTTAGCCCCTTGGGCATTCTTCCCGCCTCCCTTCTTATTATTCTTCGATTTAGAAACCCCAACTGCTACACCTACAATTATCGCAATGACTATCACACCAGCCACTACGCCAACCACAATCCAAAATGTCTTCTTCGCGACCCGTCTCTTGATCAAGGGAAGGTAGATCGAGTCTTTTGTTGGTGATTTATGAAAATTTGGTGTTGGATTAAAATCTGCTGGTGCGGCCTTCTCGACGTCCGTTCCAGCATACTGTGGAGGCTCCAAGCTCGTGGATGGGACTGCCGCATAGGATTGATTCCCATGATAGGGAGTCTGCTGGTAAGAGTTTTGCATTTCTTATATATTGTCTCCTCTCTAGTTCGGTATGATAGGAAAGAAATGATGTTTAATATAACGTATTCCCAGGGTATCGATATCAAGAGTAGACCTTTTTAAAAGTGCCATACTGCGAAATATATATCGTTCCCTGAGCATAACAATACAGTCAAATCGATCAAGCCTTAATTAATTTTCGATACCAGGATATACATTTGCACAACATTTCCATGCGCCAAACTGCGCCTTCCCGCCTCCAAAATTAAACATTTCCCACAAGCAGGTATCTTTTTCTCTCTTTCACGTACAACTAACAGTTTCCCCCCAATAGACCATCTTCAGCCCTTCCTTGGTATCCAATAACTACCACTTCCCCCCCAAACCCAACGTTAAAATATTCCTGCATGAAGTAAAGTGCGTTGTGGATAACTTTACCACATTTGTCCCGCCAAGTACGGTTCCAACAGGCTTTAATCCAGCGTAACCACACTCAGAAAAACCACACTCACCACCACCACAACCACAGCCTCAATTAATTCCAGACACGTGCAGTTGAACAATAAACCACGGCCTATCAGGGAATTGGGGGGTAGAAAGACCTGGTACCGGGATCGAAATTCCTCAAGAAGCTTGTTTGAGAGCTTTCGGTCAAGGGTACACTTAAAGTATTGCAACATTGAGTCCTTGCATGATCTCGTCCCGTACTTGCTTCCATTATTTGTCACCCTTTGAGCTTCTTGCATATTGTGTGCCAGATTATAATTGGTCGCCCCCTCTTCTTTTGATATCGCGATATCGTAATCGAAGTACTGGGAAGGTATTGCATTCTGTTTATAGGCTGAAAAAGAATTCAAGAGTCATAGTTGATTGGGGACCTAGGATACATGACAATGGCGTGTCTGAATATGCTACGAAGTATCTATGGTACCGGCTTGTCACTTCGGTCGAGAAGAATCATGCTGTGTGAATATGCACTCTTTCGCCCACTGAGTTCGACAACCCTATTATTCAAGAAGCAAATGCCACCGAGGCCAAAGGTTGATGAAAACGATATTGAAGAAAAGTTCCTTAAGGGCAGGTATGAATGAACGAACTACCCATTTTTGTTAAAATTTTAAATTTCTTTCCCGAGTATTCTCATGATTGTCGAGATAAACTTACTAATTCATTTTCACCAACGCCAGCGGTCCGGGTATGGTATTTCCTCATGATGCAGATTATATCGAAGAACAGGTATCTAACAAATAACAACTTTTGATTAACCAGGCGGCCAGAAAAGTATGCCCTGAACAAATCCACAATATTTTATTGCTCCTTCTCTCTTCTAACACCTAGTCAAGTTGTAGGTACACTTAGACCATCAATAATAATGTATCTAGATCTATATTCTATATATATTACTTTATCTACAAGGTCGATAGCAAAGACCCGGCTAACATCCTCAAACAGAACAAAACCTCCTCGGCCGTCCAACTGCGCCATATTCCCACAGGTATAGTCGTGAAGTCACAAGAAACCCGCTCTCGCGAACAAAACCGGAAAATAGCACGCCAATTACTTGCGTCTAAACTCGAGGACATCGAAAAGGGAGAACAGAGTCGGAACAATGTCATCAATGAAGTTAAGAAAAAAAAGAAGGCTAGTAAGCGGAAGAAGAGTTTGAGAAAGTATGTGCTCTCTGTTGGTTGAGGGGTATATTTATGGTATTAAGGAGTTTTAGGGATTAACTGTGATTTGAATTGGCATAGGTACCGGAAATTAGAAGAGGTAAAGGCTGGAACAGCAGGACAGATCACTGCTGGGGATGATGTTACATCTGCTGCAGCCGGAGAGCTCGAAGCGGGCGAGGAAGATGAACCCGAAGAAAGTGACGATGAGGAGGACGACGACGACGGGGATGATGATGGACATGATGAGACTAGTCATGGCGAAAGCGACGAGGAAGAGTCGCGGGTTACGCAAGAGCAAGGCAGAAAGGGTGACTCCAGCGAGTCATAGCCGGGGTAGCTGACTTTTCATACCATTTTCCTACTAGTTAGGGACACTAATTCCTTTATGTGGGTATTCGGCGGTAAGAAGTTCCATTCAGAGTGGCGTGGGAGTTCTTTGAGAACGCAGTCATCTTTGATTTGACCCTACCCTAGCGATACGAACGTTCCACCATCCCCATTATCTTTTCCGTCAGGTCTATCTCTAAATGAGGATGAGAGGGACGCCACTAACCCTGCATCAGCAGCGTGATGCAGAGAGTCCTTTGTTTTCTCTCTTTTTGTCTCTTTCTGAGCCTCCTTTTTACTAGCTTGGGACTGGACGCTGGTGTAACGGATGAGCGTCACAACGAGAACAGCTATAATTGCAATAGCAATCTTTTACAAAATGTTAGAACGATATCCTCAGCCAATAATAATTGTTCAATTAGTACCACTTACCAAACCTCTCCTCGTTGTCGTCCACCTCAAAGCCTCAATCTCGCTCCTCATATCGCCGTTAAGCAATATCGTCAGCTTGTAGTTCAATTCTTGGATCTTGATCTCCATGGCCCGCTCTTCCTGCCGTGTTACTATCTTCCGATCATTGAACAGGCTCGATACCTCATCTTTCAGATTCATCAAATCTTCATTCAGCTTTTGCTCTAGTTGTTCATAGTCATGTTGTATTTGCGCCCGTTCTGTCCTTGTCTTTTCCAAAGCTGTACGCCTAGTAAATTCTGTTTCTGTTTTTAACTCAGAACAGGCGGCTCGGAAAAGATAATTCTCCTATGATCCAGATAAGATTCTGTCAGTATTTTTATTTGAAATAGAGGTCTTGCGGATAGTACTACATTTTCCGACTTCGATTTCGTCACCATCGATTCCTTCGCCTTATCTAGATTCACCGACAGCAACCCTCTGATAGCCTTCATCGCCACAACTGACTGGCCGTATTTAAGTCCACCATTCTCCAACTGCTTTACCATGGCATATGTGTCGAAGTTATGATACGGTTTTGCCAAGGTCGGGCTGATAAGAGGTTCTTTCGGAGGGCCCAGAGGGATTGCCGCCGGCTGCTTCCCCGAACTACTAGACGGGCCGGGCCCTTGGCCTCCAGTACTTTTAATTATCGGTGTAGTTTTACTCCCCGGTTCTTTTACTGTTGCCGTTAGCTCATCCAATGCCGATGTGTCCTTCAGGCTTTCCGGGATGTAATTTTTTCCAATGTCGGTTTTGTCCGATTTTTGTGTATCAGTCGGCGTAGTAGGCACCTTCTTCGCAGCACTTTTATCATTATCTTCAGTCTTCCCTTCCGCCGACGCTGATGCCTTTGCCGGGGTCTCAGGCGTCTTCACAGGTGCCTTCTTGACTGGAGAACTAGGCGGTGGCGGTGGCGTCCCACCAACAAGAACAGTATCGTCCCTCCTCAGGCCCATTGAGTCCTGTAAAGTTCCCAAGCATCGTCTCTGAGCTGCTACCGACCTGGAAGTACCAGGATGCCGTGATATCGAGGCAAATGAGCACCGTTGTGCCCGACTCGGGTATGTGCCGATCCTCGTCCGAACCGCATGTTTACAGCAAGAAGCCGTCCCGCAGCTCCGCGCTGTCGACAAGAAGCTCGGATAGAGAAATGTAAGACGGGGGATGGACATCAAGGGTGTAGCCTATTCGTTGTTTTTTTTCCCGGATAGTATGGAAAGAGTTAGAGAGTTTTGACGGGTTTGAGGAGGTTTGTTGTTGAGGTTTGGGATACTAATGTCATAGGAGCTTAGGGTCTGCGACACGAGTATGTGACATCGTCATAGGGCCGAGGCTCAAGGGATGTCACGCCAACACATTTTCTTGCAACAGTTCACCTTGCATACGTACGACGAAAACCCAAAAAGTTGGTCTAGGATGGTCGGGAAACCCCATTCAATATGCTACGCTAATGTAGATGAAGAGTATATTTACAGGAGGGTAAATTTAGTGAGGCAATTGTTACCTATTGAAAATACTAGTGCTGATCAGTATTGCCGAGGTTCATGCGCTGGTGGGTTTAAGTTATTAAAGATATGGACTTGAATTCTATGCAACCGCTTCTGTCGACGGAGCCACTACGGGGACTTCAGCGACTGTCTTCCGAAAGGGAGATTGACGTTGGTAACTCGATCCTCGTAGTCGTCTTTTTGCATATCTGAGAAGAAGCAAGCAGCCCGAAGGGGTTATACCCTCGATTCTTCTCGCCTGTCCAATTGATTCTGGCTTGGTTGCTGTAAGAAGTGCTTTCTCTTCAGCAGAAAGTGGAGTAATCCTGCAGAAAGAAGTATCAGTACTTTATAATGCGCCAAGTGACGTTCGGGGGGCATATAACTTACAGGTTATAGTCTATGTCGGGTGGTAGAACTAAGTTCTCGTCTCTTTCAAACTCCCGAATATCATCTATTTGCTGCTTGATATACGGCGCATATGCACCCTCGATGTTTATCCTTTCCCTAATCCTCTCCGGGTATTTATTAAGCTCTGGAAATACCCCTAGGAACGAATCAACATTCAAGTGATTCTTCCTGAGCAGGTCGAAAGCAGTATTTTTGAAGGCATCCTGAGAAACCTCTATACCCTTTTCAACCCATTTCAGGGCACCGAGTTCTAGACTCTTCAAAGTTGACCTAACCTCATCCATCATCCCAGTCTCAGTCTGGAAATGATCCCACCTCTTTTCACCTACGACACCGAAATGTCTTCCCTTCTCGGTAAGCCGTACATCGGCGTTATCCGATCTAGCAGACATTCGAAATTCGGATCGAGCGGTGAACATTCGGTAAGGTTCGGAAACTCCTTTTGTGATTAGGTCATCAATCATAATTCCGATGTATCCATCAGAGCGAAGCAGTGTCATTTGCGGTTTATTCTGCGATGATAGCCCGGCGTTTATACCGGCTATTATGCCTTGGGACGCTGCTTCTTCATATCCCGTCGTCCCATTGATCTGCCCTGCTAGGAACAGTCCCTTGATAACCTTGGTCTCAAGTGTAGCTCGAAGGCTTCGAGGATCAACGTAATCGTACTCAACACCGTACCCAGCCTGGGTCATAGTAGCTTTCTCTAACCCTGGGATGGTTTTTAAAAGCGCTTCCTGAATATCCGCGGGAACGGTCATGCTAATTCCATTAGGATAAACAATGTTGTCATCATATCCCTCAGGCTCAAGCCATATTATATGTTTATCCTTATCAGGGAATCGCATGATTTTCGACTCCAAAGAGGGGCAATACCGTGGCCCCTTGACTGTTTCACGTATATGTATTGACTTATCCAAATTTGCTCGGACTATCTCATGACTTTCGGTAGTTGTGAAGGTTTGATAGCAAGCCAGTTGTTTCTGCACCTCGGAGTTAGCTAATCATAATAAAGAAGCACTAGCCTACTACGGGGGCTTGCGTACTTCCTGTTCAACTTGCAGATTCATGTAACTGAACGGAACGGGCGGATCATCGGCGTATTGAATGTCAAGGCGAGTATAATCAATAGTGTCCCCATCGATCCTCGGAGGTGTGCCTGTCTTTAATCGTCCCAATTGGAACCCTGCCTCTCGTAACGACTCACTGATCCCGTACGATGCAGCTTCTCCCATCCGCCCAGACGGAAATACATCCAACCCTAAATAAAGTTAGAACAAAGTGCCACCAACTACCAATTTTAACCACAATCAATTACCAATGTGAATCTCCCCACTTAGAAAGGTCCCAGTCGTGATGACGATATGCTTGGTATATATCACCTCTCCGGATTCGAGCTTAACACCCGTAATTTGCCCATAGTGGCCCTCACTATTGCGAGCGAAGCTTTCATTCTTGTCGATGACGATATCCGCCACAGAGCCCTCTTTCAGCGTTAGGTTCGGATAGTTAGAGAGCTCTGCTTGCATGTGCTTCTTGTACAGCTTCCGATCGATTAATGCCCTTGGACCCTGTGATTTTCGGAAAGTAGCTCAGTACTCTTGCCATATATAGTTTAGCTGCATCCGCCACACTGACCCAAACCGCGGGACCTTTACTCCGGTTCAGCACCCTAAACTGGCTGCCCGCTTTATCTATAGAATCAAATCAGCCACAGGAGCTCGACGAGCTTCAGTGGACGGAAATCTTACCAACTATCCGTCCACACAATCCATCTAGTGCATCGATCTCTCTAATCATTATACCCTTTCCAATACCGCCAAAACTCGGATTGCAGGAGCAAACACCAATACTAGATAACTTCTGGGTTACAAGGGCGGTTCTCGCGCCCGCTATAGTAGAAAGACTGGGTCAGTATTCTGAGACAATGTCTCAGATCCCAAGAAAGTACTAACATCGTGCAGCGGCGGCAGAGGCTTCACAGCCAGCGTGTCCACCTCCAACAACCACAACATCGTAAAACACCCCCGTCGTGCTAAATCGCTAGTTAGCGCAAAAACTTTCCACTTTTCAAATAAAAAAACAAAATTATGAAAAATAGAAAACAAAAGGAACGTCAAAAAAAAGAAATCAGTGGAAGAAAAAAGGCCAGAGAATATTAGAATTAAATAGGATAGATGGTTTTATTAAAACAATAATATTAAAAATTATTAAAAAATATATCAATATTAAAATGTAACTCACCTGTTCTCAGAAACACATGTAGCTAGATTTCGTCTCGTTTGAGAGATGTATTGGGGAAAGGCCGCTCCCTGTTTGTATGTTCGAAAAGCAGCTCGAGATAAGCGTGAAGCAAGCATTATTGAAAACGGAACTAATAGCTGCGGACCTCGATGCAATTAGGTAGCATAATTTGCGGTCATGAGACCGTGAGGGAGAGAAAAGGAAAGGGAAGGGGAAAAAAAAAAAGGGCCGTGATGGCCGCCTAAGCTTAGTGGATCCGATGACCTTTTTTTTTTTTTCTGCTCGCCTCTAAATAGGTACCTACAGGTAATACCCACTTGGCCAGCGTTTCGTCAGCTAGGAAGAATTGGGGATTGATAAAACTAGGCGTGGAAGAAGAGAGAGAGAAAGAGAGAGAGAGATGAATTTGCAAACTTCCAACCCTTAGTGCTAGTTAGTGCAATGTTAAGAGGAAGGCCGAGAGGTTAAAAGTTTGTAGGCGACTTTTGGTCAGGTTGTGAAAATTTTGGGCGGCGGGCAGTTTTTGCCGGGCGGCGGCGCTAGGTAAGTTACTAAGTAGGTAAATACTACGTACTACGTGGAATCACCAAATGTCGACCACAATAGTTCCAACGTCAACGACACTTTACAACGAGATCAGATATCGGGCCAGACACCAAAAAAATTAAAAAATTAAAAATATAAAAAAAAGGATACCCAGCCCCAAGAGTGGCAAGTGCCTTTAACCCCAGAAGATTATAATTTACTAGTTGGTTTAGGATTTAGTCACGTTGGCGGTTAGTGCTGTGCAGAGGGTCGTTAGTGATTACGATAAGGCTGGGAATGGCGGAAGAATAACAAATCTTCTAACGAAAACTCTAAATTTAAGGTTTTGAGATCCGAACAACGTTGTCGAACCTTATTCCCACAGCCTGCGTCCATTCCGCCGGCCTGGCTCAAGCCATTGCCATGTCGCCACTCCACCTCGAGACGAGATGTTGCTCTGTTACTCCATGTTCTTAAATTAGAGCTATCAAAAGTTACGTCTTCGGGACTGGGTGTTCCCGCTGGCGGGGAACGTCTACAGGTGGTTCCAATTGGGAACACGTAGTCTGCGGAGAAAATGGGGAGGAATAATAGGCATATGATTTATTCTGGAAAACAATCCAACATTCCGGAAAACTTTTTGGGAAAACTTTTGGTTCTATCATTTTGATTTTCCCCCTTCGTGGAAAATGGAAATTTGAAATCGCATTTCCAATTTTCACTGCATCGTCGGCCCTCAAAATGTCCGTGACATTTGCTCCGTCGCTCCTCGGCGCTTTCCTCCCTGATTCCCACAGGAAAATTGACCATTGGCCCTCGGGTATCGGCAATTTTGCAAAAAGGCTGCCCCCAAAAACCCCTCGCTCCACCCACCATGACCATGACCATGACCATGACCACGTCCCCAATCCAGATAGGATCCCTCTCACCATCTTGCGTGAAACTCCTGATGTCAGGTGGCTGAGATATGAGGTATGTGCTGTGGGTGTGTGGGTGAACCAGTATTCGACACGAGATAGAACTAAGAAGCCAGAGACCCACATTCCACCATTGTCTTCCGGACCCACGAGTGCACCCCGAATATTACATGGAATTGTCTCGTTTTGCATAAAAGGACTTTTTAGTTAGTTCAAGGCCCTTCTAGAAGTAGTTTCCTGCCACGTGCAGACCCAACAAACAGTAGAGATTCTCTCCCTCTTTCCCTTTTTTCCAAATGTCAAACGCCGGAAGGAAATCTAAACTGACATCGCTCCACATGTCCACTGATACTTTAGTTTTATTTTCTGCGTCTTCTTTTAATTTTTGCTTTCCGTTACATTCCCCTTCTTCGCCTGCAGCTTGAGCTCCCGGTTTCCTTTCGTTTGTTCGCCATATCCGGATATTTATTATGCGTATCCCGCCAATTATACCCAAGGTCAGCCATATCAGCTTGGTCGCATATGTGATAAGTCCCGTGCTTGCCGCCTACCCCAAACCGGAGCCAGACTTAATGGCTCGATTTCATGTACGTTTATGCACCCAGTCTTGGGAATACCACCACATAAAAATAAAAAAAACCGATTCCAAAGACTTTTGGTCAGACGAATCGAAGCGAAAGGAGCCCCAAATCACAAGGCCAAAACGTTCATGCAAGGCGGTAAATTAGTCGAGTCATTGATTCTTCAACCGACCAACTTCAACGACCTACTTTTTGTGCTGTCCCTCTCGGTTCGCGGCATCATCCGAAAGGGTTCGAGTAGACAGTTCTTCGAATTCCTCAGCGCCATGTCTCAAAGCCTCGAACCCAATGTCTCACCAGCTCGAGTATCACAACTCTTTTAAAAAATCTCATCCCTAGCAGGACTACCCTGGCGATATTTTGCAATTTGGGAACGACCGATTTTATCGCAGTTACCTATACCGCTCAACAAAATATTGTGTAACATTTATCAATCGAGAACGAGGGGGGGAAATCCTGAAAAATAAAAGAAAGCAAGCCCAAGAAATGCGCCCAAAAAGAGAGAGAGAAAAAAAAAAAAGAGGCAGCACCCTAGAAAGAAGCGGTGACCCCTTAAGCTACCAGGCGAGGGGGAAAAAGGCGGAAAATCCCACGGGCCAGTCTTGCACTCGGGAGGACATCAGCTACAAGGTTTTTTTTTTTTTTTTTTTTTTTTTCCCCTTCGTTTGGTTTACTACGTACAGATGGTACATATCGTAGGTTTGTATTCCCGCCAACAGTGCACTGGATTTACCGTCGTACAGAAGACCCCGAATGCGAGGGAAAAACCCACACTCCACAACCCAGCTTTCGATGGTATGGGACCAATCGGGGTGTCCACACTGCATCTGTATTCCGGGATTGTGAATTCCGTTCGTCTGATATGCCCTTGCCAATTTACTCTGTGAACTAACGTTTGGGAATTCCGATATACCTTACCCTTACATATTCTTACCTGACCTATTTCTTTTTTTATTTTTTTATATTTTCTTCTCTGGGGTCAGATACTCCTCAGCCACTAAGGAGACAATTTAGTCGAGCTTTAGCGGCGCACAGCTGCAGCTACATACACAGAGAGGGATATTTACGATTCTACCGGGTCTGGAGGCGTGGAAGCCATGCCGTTTAGTAAGGTAGTCTTTTTTCGGTCTTTTTTTTTTTTTTTTTTTTTTTTTTTTTCTTGCCTGACCTTTTTTAAGTAGCGGGACAGAAGGTCGATAAACCACCTTCAGCATAACAACAGATTTCTCGGGATCCCCAGGTATATTAGTCTGCCCAATTCTCTCGCTGCAACGTAGGATATTTCCTGTGGCCCAACCGGCATGTAATTACGATAGCATCTTCGTCATGCAGGTAAGTGGGTTATGTTTCGCGTCATCCTGTCCATATTTATATCTATTCTTACTAGTCTTTTTGAAATCTTGGGTCGTGACTTCGTATTCAACATGTGAGCTTGTCGAAACCTTCCAGGCCTTCGGGGCAGTAAACCGAAAGAACGAAAGAAAAAAAAACAGAGAGCTCTGCCCCGGTGCATGTACGGTGTGCGTTTATTCGCTACTGCAAAGGGTCCATACGGTCCCAGACGAATGGCACACCACAGGCACGCAACCAAGGCACCAACTTGGTGTGTCCAGTTGTGATTTATCTGGTCATGTACGGATTGCAGGTTGAGCCGCCCCCGTTTCCCTTTACCAAAGGTTAGCAAGGAAGTGAATTCCTGGTTTAGTCATCTTCAGGTGCGTAATCTCTAATATGTTTTTGCTAATTCTTGCATCTCGGTCAGTGGGGAAGGGTCCTCCGCCATTATCATTTCTACAGGCATCTTTTGCCATTGGGCTGCTGCACCGGAATCAACACTGTCGACACCAACCTTCTTGGACGTCACCTTGGATTCTAACTTTCACATATCGACACTACACTGCACTACACTACATTTATTTTATTGTACCAATACACCACTACGCCCCCTTTAATATTCTCTCTGCCAGTCTTTTCCATCTTCGTCAAAGATATATCCTCCTTTGGGCGTTCTTACTCGAGTTCAACCTGGAATCCAACGCGACCCAGCCTTGTGAAGTCACTTAATCCGATTTTGGTCTCCCTCCTTCAATAAACGCTTCTGTTTTCGATTCGAGGTCCTTCTCTAGTTAAGCGCCATGTAAACTGGCATATTTTTTTACCCTGTAGTCCCTTAATGCTTTGCCCTTTTGTTTGAATTTACCACTACAACCTGATCTGAATGGATCCTGGAATTCCTTCCTTCTTTTACATCCTTCAACATCTATTAAGATATTCAACCTTTCACGGGACGATAACCTTCTGGGAAAAGCTTCGACACAGACGGTTCTAGGTTGCAGTACTCTCTGCGGCCCTGGAGTTTCTCAGAGGACATTCACAGAGCTATAGTAGCTATCTGTAGATGGGACCTTTCCCTGCCCGGACTTGATTTCCACATACGGCCATTGGCTGTTGGTATCCAGCCGGGTCCCTTGATGCTTTCAGGAACAGGACCACTTTTAAACTAACAGAGAAGGAAATGTTTCTACGCTGTCTATCCCGCTCACAAAGCATTGGAAGTTTGATGTAATATTTTCTTTGAAGTAGCGGGAAAAGATAAAGGATGAATATTTCTGTCATCACCACCGATACCTTTCGGCTCCCCGTCAAATTCGTCGAGGAAGAGTTTTAAGGAAAAGAGGGGGAAGAATAAGAAGAAAGATAGTAGTAGGAAATACACTTCTATGTCCATTACGATTTCAAAAGGAGGTAAGAAGATATAAACAGAGACGCTAACATTACAACAAAGATCGTGTAGACCGTTTCTTCCCACGAAGCCCTCTTTACAAGTAACATATATTTTTTTTGGAAAAAAGAACCCAAGCAAGCGCCGCGACCACCGGAATGCCGAGGAAAAGGAAATGGAAAATGATGAGAAAGAGAGAAAGAAAGATAAAACAAAGAGGATCGATATCGATAACAGATCAAAACAAGCTATCCATGTTTCAGCTTCATACCCGGAGCCTTCGTTTACTGGCCGGTCCACTGTGGAGGGGGATAGGGATGGAGGACGTCTTCGTCGTTCACTGTGCCTGTTCTTTGCCCCGGTGCTGATTGGGGCGAGGATGTCCAGCCAACGAAATTCTCCTGAGGAAACCGACTCCGATCTTGCATTTGCTGTGGCCCGGGTTGAGGACTGTGAGTGCCGTATATTGGCTGGGTCCATGCAGTCGAAGAAGCGGAGCTATAGTTAGAAGCGGCCGGGCTAGGAACCATTGGACGATCATAATGGGCTGCCCCGACAGTCGAGTAGGTGGATCGGTATGGTGCACTTCCCGACAACGCACTCGTATTAAGAGGAGATGATTGAAAACCAGAATAAGGGCTTCCAGACCAACTTTGTGAGGTGACGGTTTCGGTTTGAGCAGGAAGGGAAAGTGGAGCGCTAACAGGGGCGCTGCTTAGGCTTGTAGTATATGGTTGGTACGGCGGGTGGTACCTAGGATTGTGGCTACCATGGCCAATTTCATACTCCTCAACTTTCATTGGATCACTTTGATGCCCAATATCACCGGGATAGCCATGAGGACTGCCTGTTGGAGGGAAGTAGTTGACTGGGGACTGCATATAATTGTAGTCAGACGGGCCACCTGGGAAGCTACTAGGAAGGAAAGCGTGTGGATGGTGTGGATCATGTCGGCCATATGACCCGATTTTCGAAGGAGAGGAATCATCATCCTCATCAGTCTGCGCCTCAAACATTGCGTCGGCTCCATCATCGATAAACGAAGGCCTCCTGGAAACATCCGATGTCGGCTGTCTTAACGAAGAGGATATGAAGAGAGTACTACGCGGTCGAATATGGGCATAGGATGAAATCTCAGTCGGTCTGGTGAGTCGGTTATCAAGGACATCTTGAGGAATATAGTATGAGATCAAATGGAATTGTCGGTTGTTCTCGTCCTGTATGCTGATTGTCTTCTTCACCAGGCCGTTCATCTTGAAATCATATGAATCGATCAAAGAGCCTACTAAGGAGCGATCAGAATCGCCCGGAGGACCAGCTCTTGCCGGATCCATACCAATGGGGTGGAACTGTTGATGAGGATCTTCCATAGGGTCGGCATTCGGAGGCCTTCTAGCCTTTGTGGTATTCTTCCTTTGGGCCCTCTTTTTTTGTCCCGGGGGGAATGGTCGCGATAGCTCTCTGTATAGCAGGAAGTTCCCCAGTATCCTGCTTGGGCTCCAGTGAACACCGTCGGTCCATCGCTTTATCCCGGTATCGGTATGTTCGAAGACGAAGACATTTCCCGATTGGACAGCCGAAGCCCTCTCCCTATCCTGTGCGCGCCTTTGCACAGTGAACAGTTGCCTCTGCAGAATAAGTTCTACAATCATCAAAGCATCCTCGTTTGTTTGACAGAAGACATTGGATATGGTTGGTTGGATCAGAGATCCAGCCGAAGACATGGTGGGCAGTTGACGGCGATTCGCACGTCTGTCGGTGGGATATTAGTTGATTTTAGTGAGTGAATGGGTATGATGTTGTAATTGCCGACTTATATGGGAGGAGGAGGAGATTGTTACAGACTAATAGGAAGGCCCGGCGGTGGGAATATGTTAGCAACAAAGCAGGCAGGCTATATCATCAACGGTATACTGCTGCAAAGACCACCACTCACGTTTACGCCAGCAACCTATCGAGCCTAGGCACGTAGAAGTACAGGCACGAGCACAAGCACAAGCACTGGATTCTCGACCGAGTTGAGGCGGCATCTATCGTCCTCAGGATTAAGGATCTCGGTGACTTTATCAGCTGGTCAAGCTATCCCGTCTTTGTCTTCTTCTCTCTCGCTCCCCGCAAGACAAAATCGGTTCAACAATACAATGTATCCAAATCAACGTGGCGATCGAAGGCCCCGTGCAAGGATGCTCGTGGAAAACACGCACACAGATGGTTGTGCGTGCGTCTGCGGCCCTTGAGCAGATAAGAGTTAGAATCGAATTCGGTGGCCACGCTGCTCACGGCCTTGCAATGCGATGAATATATCGCACACGAGCGTGTTCTTGCCGGATTATAGAAAACCTCGAAGCAGGGTCTTGGATATCCTATACCTGTTATTTCTGGGAGTAGGTAGCTGGAGTTTGAATTATTTTTTCTGACGATACTTTCGGTTTGATGCCTTGCTGAATCTTCCTCCTGGTGATAGACTCGAAGTTATAGTTTCTCCTTCGGTGAACTATCAAGCGAAAGACAAGTAGTGCCTTCTAGGGAAAAGTAAAAAAAAAAAAAGATCGGATGCCCACTCCGGCCCAAATAAGCTTCCGATGTCGACAATATGAGGTACTTCCGCAGTACGCCTAAACTCTTTCCGCGTTCGTCCCTTTCAACAGATTTCACTTATCTCGATATCTCCCGAGTGTCCACGACTATTCTTAAGAAAGCCGAGGGACAAATTCCGAATCGAGAAAGAAAAAAAACCTGATCTCCAAAAAATGAATCAGGTCTGGGACCCTATGCAGCCTGATATCCTCCGAAGGCCGCGTGGGATCGAAGGAAAGGGAAACGTGGGGATAAATTAAGTTCCTTCTTCGTTGGAAAAGGAAATTGATGGGTCCAATTATACAACTAAGGGTGGCTAGCAGCGGAGTCAGCTATCTTCCACTATAGGGAACTTGGATACAAGTGGGGTCAATGGCATTTTGGGTCCCGCAACTGTTTCTGCAGTACGGGTATTGACGAAAACACAGAATTGGCAATTGACTGGAAACATCGGCGTCTGTGGTAGCACAGCTTGCATGTGTTCACGTTGCGTGTGGTTGGGGGAAGATACGCACATGTGCAAGATGAAGAAGGACGTGAAATGAGCGTGGGAGTGTATGACAGACCTCTCCTATGGGAATATCAAACGGTGGTGGAAGAGCTTCCTTAACTGCCTTCTCTTCTTGAGTTAAAGACACAGGCGCGTGGCTACACAAAGCTAGGGGAGAGGTCCACGCTCGATTGGTTACAAGAGGGGACTGGAGAACTCAAAGGCAAGATTACCACGCACATAAGCGATTAGTAGCTTGATGAAAGCCACCACGATACGATGCCGACTTCAAAACAGATAATTTCCCCGCCCCGCGTCCGAACAAGGTCTCGACAGAAGCTCTATGGGGAATAAAGAAGCGCACATTGACAAGTGCGACGTACTCGGAAGGTGGGAATTGGACGGGAGCCGTGGTATGATGAACCATGAGATGTGGTTCTAGAAGAATGGTATATGCAAGGCTAATCTTGGTGATACTGGAGAGGACTTACATAAATGAGATCGCTACGGTAATTATTATTTTTTTCTTTTTTGTTTTGTTCCTCGGTTTTATATTCTACTCGAATCCTTTTTAGGTCCCTCTGAAAGAGAGCTTCGAAAACAGTGCAGTAGTGCAACTATACGACAGCTCTGGACCGGGCCAGGAATCAATCTGGGTAATTAAACCGTCGTCACAGAAGCTGATTTGCCGACGCAGGTGCAGCTGCAGTCTCGTGCTGCAGCTGGGGTGGGAGGCCGAAAAAAGAAAGTGCCGTATAAAATGAGGATGTTGAAGCTATCGCATAGCGACAGCTAATATCCGCACAGATTTTTGATGTTCGGGGTCGCCAACCACAAACGTGTTTTACAAGTCGACGGAGTCGGACTTCGGATTTATTTGATGCGGCTAGTTAAAAAAAAAAAACCACGCGACTAAGCTTCGTTTGACCGTCAAGGGGAAATGGAAGGGCCGACTGATTGGAGGTTGAAGGCAGAGGTCCCGCCAAATGGTAAGTATTTGCAAATCCGGCTGTCCATTCGCACCGTGCATATAGGAAATCTTTCGTCTTGGTGCCTCCTTCTAGCTTTGAATGGCTGAGTGCTGAGAGTATCGATGGACTTACTCAACTAAGTACTGTTGGCATTAGTACGATTTGAGAAACAACCTTCGAAGTAAGAAATGAAAATGGCAATGCAATGCAATGGAAGAGGGCCGGGGAAAAAAAAAATTCGATAAACAAAATGATGACTGCCGTTGCCTATATGATACAGTCCTGAGCCAACCCGAACATCGACCCGAACCTAGACTTACTGCTACCACTGCCCTTGGAGAACGCAGCTAATGAGAAGCCTTCCCGCCTAATAGGTAATACTTTTTATACATCTGTACCGCTAACATGCTCTAACTTGTCTTGTGGGTAGCTAGCTCACAAAGCAGAGTCTTGCTAGGTAAAGGCACCATCAATCGTCCCCTTTTCTTCCTTCCTTTCTTTTTCTTCCAATATTCATTGAAATTGGCTGGGTCAACCTACTATTTTCTACCGCCGTGCTTTTCTGCCCTGTGCAGTCATTCTTCGGCGAGTCTGCTTGCCCATTACCCTGGGTCTCCGCGTCCGCACTCGCGCTGCTACTCTCGATCAGTTAATCAACCACAACTGCTCCACTCTCAGCCTAACATTTTATTCCCCATTGTCCCAAACACCCTTTCCCTTCCCTTCCCTCTTTGTTCGACCTTATCCCGTTGCTAGTACATACATTACATTACATACGTACTTTACACTTACGACGCCCGCGCCCAGCAAGCCGATACCTTAACTCTTTCTTGACCTTCATGCATATTTGCTTTTTATCCTGAAACCGTTCTCGGGACTCGATCGGTCTTCTCACGAAGATGTTCGAGACGGACGATATAGGCCACATGTTGTTCATGTCTAGTTGATAAACCGCATCGACAACGTCTCTTTAAAACATTTCTAACCACCGAGCAAACAAGCTTAAACAGCATTGATACGAAGGGCGACGGGTCGCGGATGATGGCATTCTATCACATTAACTGATCCCCAGCCGTCAACCTCAGCGCCGGTATCCTTCTATTTCCTGTTTCCTGTTCAACACAATGGAAAGGGATGCTGGAGCCCGCATCATGGCTTTCGAGCTAACCAGCCTGTGTACCCGCTAAATCGAAGGGAACAGCATTGTATGGTCGCCTTTCCTTTGTGCCAAGGCATTCCCTGTTTTTTTGCCCCGAGCCTCGGATGGGGTTTGGTTGGAAAAAACACCTGCCACGGAGAGAAACATCAAAATGATGCGCATTGTTCGTTCCAGCCGCCAGTTCCATTTCGAGACAACAGCCATCAAATTAATAGTTTGCTTGTATCACTTGTCTGAGAAAAAAAAAAAAAAAAAAAAAAAAGAGGAAGGATTAATCAGGAAAGGGAAAAAAAACCCATTACAGTTGTTTTAGGCTCGGACTCTATAGCTTGTCGGAAAGCATGCACGGGCGAGACAGCCAAATCGCTGAAATGCATATTTTGGCATTCCTTCCTACCGAACCAGGATTTAAAGTGACGAATCATGCATCCTGTAACCCAACTGGCCTGAACTGAGCGGGGTCTTGGGAAGAAAGAGAAAATGTTCCGATACACTCAATCCTTTCATCAACTTTATCGGTTAATTCCGCGGCGAAAAAAAATCTGCAGCAATCCAATTCCCAGGCCAGGCTAGGGCGACATCCTCACGGGTTCTTGGGTCAAAACAAGGAATACCGGTGTCTCATCTTCCGCATCCACCATCTTGCCTTAATAGGTGGCGTTCTCGCACCACAACGCCTCCATGCCAGTGGCACCGACAAAGGGATAATTCGACCTCTGATTTGGGCCTTGACTTGATCCCCAAGGATTGGTACCGTTATCGCTTATTCGCCGACTTTGGAGGTTCCCACGGGCTGGATTGCCATGTGGTAATAACAGCGGAACCTATGCCTTCGATCGAGCTTCCGAACCGCTAAATGTCTCGGAGATGAAGGGATATGGTTTGATATGAATGCGATCATTTCCGACACGGCCAATCTCAGGCTCTGCCGGCAGCTCAACTAACTCCACTTTGATCAGGGGGCTTTTGGTTTTGGTTTTTAGTGTCTAGTATTTGCGTCTGTGGATAAAACGCTTTGGTTGCTTGAAATTGAACCATGGGATGATGCATACTACCGCATACTACGTAGCTAGCCAGCAGAGTCGTCGTCCGTTGATATTAATCTGCGATGGGCCCAGCAGAGCGGCCTAGGTTAGCGTGGAGCGAGCGGCTCGCTAATCAAAATTTATTTCGGTAGACTCCCTTGACCTTCTTTCTCATTCTATGCACCCTTAGACCAGCGGGCAGTTAACTAGTTCGATAGTTGTGGCCTTAAAGAAACGCTCCTTCCGCCTGAAAGCACGAAGCCAACTGTCATTGGATTGGACAATTCTGTAGCAAAAACAGCACACAATCAAAGGCTGCAGAAGGATGCCGCAATTCTTGCCACCAGATCGCCTCCAAAGCTCTGTACACTGACCGCAGGGGGACGGAATTTCGGTCACCGCCGGATCTAATAGTCCCATGACTCAAGGGTGCGATTATCTCGAGTCAGCGGAGCCCACCATTTCCTTTTTGTCCTTACATAGATATTTGTCCTAGAACAGCTAGTGTCAGATCGATTGACCAAGACCAAGAGTCGAAAGAGTAAAATTCTGGAAAATATGAGCGCGCGCGGTTCTGATGCACTTTCCCATGCGGCACCACGTCGAACAAAAAAAAAAATAAAAGGCAAAAATAAAAATAGAATAAAGTAAAGATTTCCAATCGATTATGATTTTTCGTTTTTCTTATTCTGGCCATGTGTGCGGAAAATTTGGGAGTATTTCATGCATGCATTTACACCGACGGGTTCACATTTGCGAAAGAAATTTTTAAAATAAATCCGACTGCGACCTTCTATGATAATTAAATGAGCCAGTGTAACGGCATTGGATCCATGGCACTAATACTAGCTAGTATCCCTAAATGCAATTTTGCCGATAGGGTATCCACTACGGCTCTTGAGCCCGGTATCGACTGGTCGGTACACGTACGGAGTAGGCAGTAGCAGCGTCCTGCGGCTCGAATCGTTGCCAATGGCCATGGCCATACCACTGATGAAGCAGAACTAGGTACTCCCAGGGTAAAGTCCGCCTGGTCCCAAGGTCATGTATGAGACAACGGCCAGTGCAGAAATATCCTGTGAAGCTACGCTGTATGCACAAACATGCACAATATCCCAAGCCGACATTTGAGATTTCTGATGCTTTACTTGCTTTGGTCTCCACAACAGGACAGACCAGCTCCAAACTTTGGCTGATTTCGTATTCTAAGGCAATATAGCGCTATATCATGCATCAGCTATTGTATCAGGTGGATGATCTCGATATTGGTAATCTCTGACAGCAATATTTGCCAATATGGCTACCTAGTCATACGACGTTAAGGCGCTCCAAACCCTCGAGGTCATGCCATGAATCTGGAGTTTGAACAGTGATATCCCAGCGGCCAGGCCTGTCAGGTTAACTTGGTTCATGTTCAGCACTGACCAAACGGAACATTCCATGCTCCTTGTCGTCCAAACCCCAGCCATGGTCAACTAAAAACAGCAATGTCAAACTTCTTGGTTAGCCTAGCCCAGTCTCTTGAATTTTTCCTGAGGGTGTAGAGCAGGGCTTACCCGTTACATGTTAACTTCTATTCGGAACCCGAAGACTTGGTTCAGCAGCAACAGAGTAATTTCCATTTCCACCGCGATCAATCGGCTCAGCTTGCACTTTGCATGGAACTATTACCCAAGCGAATCCTCAACCGCCCTGACCTTGGCAGGACCTCAACTGCACCTGCAGGCCTGGCCGCGGTGCCCCCAATTACATACATGTAACGCCTGGATGGATGGATGGATGATGTATGGATTCAGTTGCAGACACACTCACACACACTCACACACAAGTTGCAAGTTGAGAGAGTCACCAGACATCGATTCGACTGCATCTCCGGTCCTCCGTAGACCGGTACACCTGTATACTCGGGTTCAGATGTTATATGCAACATGGGGCACAGCCTCAGCTCAGGTCTTCCAACAGCGGCTAACCTTTGCAGTCAGTGATTCACCAAATCCGAGATGCTAGGAGGGCGTCCGTCCGCTCCCTCGGTCTCACTCTCTCACTCACTCTCTCACTCTCTTTCACTCGCTCCCCTTGATTTGCTTGCATCTTCCATGGTCTTACATACGTCCAGAGAACCCGCAGGCGTCGGCGTAACCTATAGGCTAACATTAACCTAGTTGCCTTGGGTCAGTGCGATTCGGTCCAGCCCTAAAGCATAGGGGACTTATTTCGATAGGTGGAAAGGGACTCCGCAATGCTAAGTATGCCTAAGCAGGACATGGCTTGCAGTTTTAGGCCACGACTGGAAACTCGAATCGCAATTTTTCGCGAAGGAAAAATATCCAAAACTTCGAAACCAATGCCATTCTGCAAGCCTCAGTTACATGCGGAAGCCTTGATTGGCCATCCTAGCAAATTTTTGTGGTCTGTGAGGCCGAGCTGCTTTTTCTTTCTCCAGCTTTTTTTTTTTTTTTTCTCGCCGCCCTTCAAGGCCGCCACAGAACCCCTTCAAGAAGCCAAGTTGGGTGGGGAAGACGCTCTAGAAGCTCACATGTACTGCCGGTGGCTCCGAATACTAACCGTGAGCGTCAGTGAACCCTCCAAATCCAATTAGGCATAAGCTATGATGCTGAAGCTCAGAAGCGGGCCATCTTAGTTTCTAAGCTAAGATGCCTCGGTACTAGGCTTGAGGCTAGAGCATTGGCGGTTAATAGCCCAAATCTTCAACAATCAACGCACTGCAGACACAGCTACTTTTACATGACATTTACATTACATTGCACAGAGACACACATCTCTCCTTCCACCTAACTATCTGATCGAGAAGAAACAAACATCCCGATCGATCATCGGACCCAGCAAGGTATCGATATCTCAATTTACCGTTGGACTAACTGGGCAGCAGGAGCTGAGCTGATGTTTCCGGTTCACGATATCCAACATAGATCCCGTGAAAAAGAACATTCCACGATGCCTCGGCATTGCACAGTACGGTGTAACTAATATGCCGTCGTTCTCTTAAATCTATTAATCTCCCAAGCCGGGCACATTCCAAGCCTCGTAATCATTCATTTATGCATCTTGCATCACCAACTGCAACTGATGCCTTTTTTTTGTTTCTGTTCTTCGTCTCCGTTCGGCATGATATCAACTGCTCGCTAGCTTTAGCTCAAACGACAGCAGAATCAACGACATATGGTATATCAGGTCTTTCTTTCTCAAACAGGCATGAACTTAGCGCCGGCCGACGGATTCCTATTCGAACTTATTCGACCGATCGTCAGTCACTCGGGGAAAAAAGAGCTAGTTCCTACTTCATCTACATAGCACGAAAAAGACCCAGCCTGTTGAGCAATTTTAACGTCGTCCTTGGATGGGCCCGGGGCGTTTTTTTGCTCCTGGCGATATGACTAAGTGTAATGACCGCGAGCCGGTGAGAAAAACAACGGGAAACCATGGAGAAGCCAAATTGTCCCCGAGAATACATGCGTCTACACGCAGACTTTTTTTTTTTTTTTTTTTTCGCAGTCTTGTTCAGCCCAATATCCCGAGACTACCAATATTCCAATGCAAGTGGGGGAAGCGAAAAATATCCCTTGCATTGTATACACCTGCAGGAGCGGCAGCTTCGCTATGAATTCCTCTTTCTGCTCAAAATTATCCCAGCGGGACGAATTGATGGTGATCACATCTAGATTCCTTTGAATTACGTCTTGAATGATGCTGACGCTACCTTCTAAAATGCACAAACTACATTCATCGCCCGTATACAACAAACAATCCCTTCAAAGAGGGGTACGGGTAGTGATGTGACAGGCAAAAAAAAGAAACCGCCATTATCATAATTTTTTTAATCTGGATCTCGATGCAACCCGACGGTTAAAAAAAAAAAAAAAAAGAGGGAGAAAGAGAAGCCGTTGCGAACAGCCCCTCGGGCTTCCTCGATTTTTGCCTGCTGCCCATAACAACCGTTTTGTTTGGCTGCATAATCTAGGTGACCGCAGACCAGGTTCGTGCATGAGAAGGTAAGGACAACTCACTGAACTTTAAATTTATTCAGGTTAGACTACACTCTCCACCCCAGCTTCTTATCACTAGGAGGGAGGTTAAACGGCCGTAATCACCAAGATTCACGAGTCCCCACGCAACTCGCCGAAATACCATGGTGGGTTGTCTACCGTCGAAAGAACTGCAGATGGAATCGACATAGGCACCGGAACGACGTCTGTAAAAATGCCCATATCCGGTGTCGATGCCTCAGCTCGAGGTCCCCGAGTGTGTTCCTGCCCGTCAGGAAGAGCTACGGGCACGATTACACCACACTCCCAATTACGATTGGACATCTTGAAATCTTTCTCTGATCGATCCCACACTAGTTTACCCCATGCGCTTTCGCTAAGATTGTGAGAACCTGCAAGTCGTCAATCAATGCCTGGATCAGTTATTTGCCTCGTGGGGTGCAGCCAGGGGATGTAAGAGACAGATTGGCCTTACCAACGTATGCCCAGCCAATACTATTTCCACGAGGCCGTGGGAGACGAACAAATATGATCTAGATTCTAAGTCAAAATCACCAATTTACGTGATATCACACAATTTAGTACAAAACCCCCTACCTTGTTATGCATAAGCATGCCTCGACGGACACTCTGGCAATCATGCAACAACGATTGTGGGAATTTAGAACCGTTGAACCACTAGATGATAGATTTTTTTGATATCACATGAGCATTGCTCGTCTGGCAGGGGTAGAATGTATATTCTCAGGTATATCAGTACGTACCTGTCGTTGAAAACATATTGTACCACCGTTCTACAAGAAATATGTTGCGCATTAGCGAGGTCGGTTAGCTGCATATGTCAAAAAACACGCGTACTTGCCTCAATCCCGCCTTTGCTTGTTGCGACGGTGCGGCGAGACGGAAAGTATATTCGCATGGAACTCCGAACATCTCTCCAGACTTTGTCGTCGCTCTCATCTTCCTCTGTCTCCGAATCCGTACTCTCGTCCTCTGGTGCTTTAACTTGGCGGCCAATAAACGTTTTAGGAATATTCTGGACGGATTTCTTCCCTTCGTCGCCTATTAATCAAGGTTTTGTCTTAGCCCTAGTAGAGTTGATGCTAATGCAAGATCGGATCGTACCGTGAAGAGCGCGATAAATCCTTAGTAGAAACTCTTTATTTAGACTTCCTAGAGACGAGGTCTAGTGATAGATAAGCGATATGTACCGTCGACACATGGAATATTAGCATAAACTTACAATATAGTCGGCCTCCACTCGCTTTCGGGTCTTTAGCCCCAAATCCCTGACAGCACAGGCTAATCCACAAACTCCATTTCTGAGTGCTTCATCTCCATGATGCGAGCCCCCGATACTGTAAACAAAGCCTAATCGCTGGCTTCGAGTAAAGTCGTAGACTTGGTCGACTTTTTTTATGATATCGGCTGGAGGATGCGGTCATGAGCCTTCCGAAGCTGACTATAAGATTGCCAAGGTGTAGAGGTGGACTTACACGGCATCCCTTTTGCCTTGCAGAAATGTAAGAGATTTCTCGAGAAGGGTGTGTGAGAAGGATTAGTCGATCCTTCTGTCGAAGTTTTTGGTAGTTCTGGAAAATCGATAATGAATACGCTCTGTATGACACCGAGTCAGATCATCCTCAAACCCTAGGTGACACATTACTCAAGAGCATCTCACGAACATTCTCCATGACACCTTCGTTGCTGCCTGTCCCAGTTGCCTCTCCCCAATCATAGGATGTAAGATTGGCTGTTGGAACCACTACCCGTAAATGAGTAAGATGGAACAAAAGTTGCAGCTTCGAGTGCATAATATTTACATTCCCAGACATGTCTGGGAAACAGAGGCGTGTTCGTGGGATGTTACACAGATTCCTCCGATAATGGTCAACCTGGAAATTATCCAAATGCGTCAGTCTCTTCCTCAAAGCTGTTGCATTTAGTTTGTTGCAGATACGAAATATGAAATCAGTTGGTATGTATGTACGCACCACTTCGTCCTCCTTTGCATGAAGCACTAGCACAAGGTCACATTCTCCGGTTTTGATCTTCTCTAGAATCCAGAGGAAGTCCCATTGGTACGCTGAGAGAACAGCAGTTTGCAGGGTGTCCTGTTCAACCCGTCAGACGGCATTAGCATCATATAGAGTAATTGTGCCGGTGATCCGGATTCGAGGGAGCTCTTATGGTCTCAGGTTTACCTTCTGGAGTACTTCTTCGATAGTAATATCGTCAGATGTACGGGCGACTCCTTGAATATATGTCTTCTTGACGATACCATCATGAAATTGGGTAGCTCGTGGAACATAATTGGTTACTCTTTCTTGCAAGTCGCGCAAAGTCATGAAGGGTCCTCTTGTACTCTTGCTTGGCCCTGCCGACGATGATTCAGTCGGTTCCTCCTTCTTGATTGTCAGGTCCTGTGTCGCCAGTGACTTTGCATGTTTAGCTTGCGGGACATAGCTGTCATCCGGAGTCTTTCGCTTCAGTCTCGCTAGACGCTCTCGCTCCATCCGGCCTCTATCCAATCCTAGCAATCCCGAAGACTTCGATCTTTCTTCCTTGATATTCTCCTTCTTGATTGCCTTGGATTTGCCCTTGCTTCGTTCCCGTTGCTCTTGTTCTTCCTCCTTCTTGATAGCCTATTTATATAGAAATATATTATGTTAATAGTCTTAAAACGAAGATACTTGGAAATATTAAAATTGTATCTTTGACCTTTTTGACCAAAATCTTATCATCGTCATCGCTATCATCCAGTATAATTATTGGTGGATCGATTTCTTCCTTCTTGATACGAGTTGATTTTGTTGTTGTTGCAGCCGCATTAGTGTCCCCAGATCCCTGATCCATCAACGAGAGCCTTATGGCCTCTGCCAGATCAGCATCGTAGTCCTCAGCCATTCTTAGTGGTCCTAGCGTGGTGTCTCTCCCAAGATTAGGCAATCTGTGAATTCGAAGTACTTTGATGTAATATAAAAAAGATGCATATGGCGTATGGTTTGTTTCTTAAGATCATCACAGACGTGTTGCGCTGGTTGCTAGGACGTTGCGCGTTTGCTTGGTCTGGGGTCCCCTTTGAACTTCACTTGCATGGCCTAATCCGATTGCTGGCTCTGCCTTCCCTCGTCCCAGCCCTAAGCTAAACAACTGTTCCTGACTGGCCGGAACGGTCTTGCAGGGATTGTTACCTCTTCTAAGCTCCAGCTTGTACTCTCGGGCTCACTCCCTCAATTTGACTTCATCTGTACCTGCATACACCAGCCGAGCTATTAATTTACGTGGTCAGTTCCCCGCACACTGTGGCAACTTCAATTTGGAACCTCATTAACATCCTTCAGTAAAGTAGGAAAATCCAATCCAGTGTCCGCGAACTGAAGAAAATCTACCGTCGGATTTCTGTTCTGTCCGGAAAGAACCACTGGAATCAACGGAAACCTACTTCTTGGGAAATCCCTGGAAATTTTGGGAAAGGGTCGCTCCATAACCATGGCGGTCGACGGCCTCAAGTTGGAGAAGTGGGAGGATGCATTCCAACATCCCGTGGCTTCCGTCCGAGGGACGGAAAAGCAGCTACGCGTAGCATTGCAGGAGAAGAAGGAAGGACTCCGCGCGCTCGTCGGGTACGAGCACCAATTGAACCCAAGTCGCAACTTATGCAGGTCCACGGGAATCTAATAAAAATAATAATATCCCTTTTGAAATTATTTCTTTAGTGAGAGTTACCGAGACTTGTTAAAGACAGCTGAAAGGATCATTGAAATGAATGATTCAATTCAACGGGTCGAGTTCCACCTTTCCCAGGCTTCAAAGCAGTGCAATTACGGGACACTGCAGAAAAAGGCGGCAAATGCTGTTACTATGAAAGAAAATGAGGACAACAAAGGTTAGGAGAAAGGAACAATCATTTCTTTTGAATTCCATAGGTTGGAATAGGGTGAAACTAATAGCCCGTCGTTTTCCTTCGCTGGAAGTCAGATAGAAAGAATCGTGTAACTGCCGCGGAGCTCGCAGTCCTTTCGAATTGCCCTGTCGCAATATCTCGCACCTTGTCACGCGACAAAGCACCGTTGGTTGCCGCCAAATTATATATCCTTGCTAGGCTTTTGAGAAGATCGGTTTCCGAGAAGGTGAGATTTTAACTCAACGGATTTATCACAGCATGTGGCTCACTCGAATCATTTTTTTGCTTAGATAAAATCGCCATTTATCACATCACTGGAAAGGCAGCTATCAAATCTCCGAGTCACAATTTTGCGTGATTTAGAACATGAGTTATGCAGATTAGACGCCGACTCGAGTAAGATTTTACAATGCCTCGGGGCGTATTCTCTGATAACATCATCATCGGCATCAGATACTTTTATGTATTTCCAAAATCTTCGTCTGAATGCTGTTGTCAGCCTTCTCCGACAAGATACGGTATCAGCGGAGACAATCCTTGAAGCAATCCGACTTGTGAATGAGAATTTGCGATTATCTACGCAACTATTCCCTCGACGACTTTCGGATACCCTGACTACTTTGAAGATCAAACCGATTTTCCAAGAACCCGCTATCCATGATATCTTGGAACTCAATATGGCTGTTCATGGGAATTGGATCAGCGAAAGTATCCGCAAGTACACACCTTGGCTCAAGACCGACGACCTGAGTAATGATGGTTGCAAGGCCGAGATATCAAGCAAGCTTGGAACAACACTACGGGCTATCTTTGATGGATTAGAAAAGGCCGTCAAAGTAGTAAATCAAGTTGAAAGTCTAGTTCAAATCAGGTACAACATTCTTGCGGCGAGCCGGGGAGTTATGGGAAGGACATCGGATCTTAATAGCGAAGATTTGAACCAATCTCTCAACAAGATTAGAGAAATTGTGAATACAAGGATCCGAGAAGTTTTGAATGGGGACATTGGTGGCATAGGTGTTCTTGGATCCGAGTTGTCTACCCTCGTTGCTAACGGTACGACAAAGAAGAGAGGTATGAATCGATTTTTTTTTTTTTTTTTTTTTTTTTTTTTTTTTGGATATTGCTGTTAAGCGGCGGTTACTAACGACTTTATAGAACCTGCTTCATGGTCTAGTATGTTATCTTCCTTTGAAAATGCCAAAGGTGGAAGGAATCTCAAAGCAATGGTGAGAGCCGTCAACCATAGCGACAAGTCCGGCCTTCGAGCTATCCGACTCAGGCATGCTAAATGGGTTTCAAATATCGCCAATAACTACATCCATATCAAAAAGATGGCCGAAGAAAAGGATTGGGACCCAGATAACGACGATGACGATGACGAAATCGACGCACCGGAAAGTTTGAAGGAGATGAATAATAAAGATACAGAATCCTTGCTTTCTACATATTCCGAAGGGCTACTAGAAGGCTACCGGCTACTAGAAACGAACCTGTCAACCCTGGTAGATGGAATGCGACAGACGGATGAAGAAGCAGAGTCAACCTTGCCCATCGAAAATTCATGCATAGCTCTTCGGTTTATAACAGTTATCCGAAATACATCCCTGCAATACGCAAATACGACTATTATAGATCTAAGCTGGTTCGGCAAGGACGCCACAAGCAGACTTTACGAATTCCTTGCCAAGGGTGTGGCGAAGAAGGCATTGCGTGGATTTGGAAAGGATCTTTCGAGGCGGAAGTGGACTTCTGATGTTTCCTTTGACAGTCTGTGGGAGGGATCACCGAAACTTCCTGTCCAGCCGTCACCGCTGGTATTTAAATTCCTTCGGGCATTAGTTCAATCAATGAATGACATTGGGGCGGACGTATGGTCACGAGATGCAGCTGATACTCTCAAGAGGAACGTTGCGAAGTCCATATGGGAGGAACTGGAGGCGTCTTTGGTGTCGGCAGAGAAACAGACCAATGGGGTTTCTGGTCTCAGTATAGATACGAAGGAAACGAAAAACGATGAGTCAAAGGATGAAGGCGAGGGTGTAAAGGGTGAGGATGCAAATGGCGAGGATGCGAAGAGTGAGGATGCAAAGGGCGAGGATGCAAAGGGCGATAAAGAAGCAGATCCTAGCCCACCTATAAATCCTCTCAAGCGAGAACAAGTTCTACAGACCTACTTTGATACAACTTATCTGGATAACGCATTTCGGACAGCTAGAAGGCGCGATGTTGGCGGAGACGAGAAGAACAAGGAGAGCACAATAGTACTCTCGTGGGAATTTGTCGAGCGTACTAGAGAGAAGGTAAGAAACCTTTCTATATCAGATCATTATCTTTCATACACTAATACATCTACTTAGATTTCCATCGAAACGGACGAACGAGAAAGAATGTCAAGGTCTGCAGAGGACTACTGGAGGAGGACGAGCCTTATATTTGGTGTCTTGGATATATAAAAATATACATTAGCTTCCATAGTACTACCTCCATAGTCTTATCATCCTGTAGATATATTCTGGCTTCGACCTATCTATATATTCACTTCCCCGCAGCCCTATTTACTTCCTTTGTCGAATAGTACCCTTGTATGATATCTATTCGAAGCTAGAACGACACTCGGACTTTTGCGTTGACTGACGTTGGCAGTCGGCTTTAAGCCCCAAAATACGCCCCAAGAAATTTTATTATATTGCGCCCAAAAGCTCCCCTGCAAGCTCTCTCTTCCCACCTTCACATCCCACCTCTTTAAAAAAAATTAAAACGAAAACAAAGAACCCGCCCACCATGGCAGACCACGACGAAAGCCTTCCAGATGCCCCGGAATACGCCACCTCCAATATCGCCGGTTCCGAACCCTCGGACGACGATGAACCGTTAGACCTCACTCACGAGAACAATGCCAAGATTATCATGCTAGGCACTGCAACAGATGATGATTCTTGCGCATCGTTCCAATTCGAGAATGAAGACCATACACTGGGAAATGCATTACGGTGGATTATCATGAAGAAGTACGGCGATCCTGGATTCTAGGGAAGAAGAAGAGGAAGAAGAAAAAGAAGAAGAAGAAGGCAGGGTGGTTGAATGGAACTATGGCTGATCAGTTCTTTTAGTCCTCAAGTTGAATTCTGCGGATACTCGATACCACATCCTTCGGAAACGAAGATGAATATGCGGATACAGACATACGGTTGGTCTCCTATTCTTCAATGGTTTATATTTTATTTTGGAAATTTGGATGCGGAGAGAGAGAGAAAGAGAGTTTTAACGATTTTGAATTGGTGTTTAGGTGAGATCACCGCGAAGGACGCTTTGATTAAAGGCCTAGCGGACCTACGAGACCTCTGCGACGTCGTTACCGATAAGTTCATAGCCGAGAAGGAACGTTTCGTGGCGGAGAAGGGGAATTAGGTCCAGCCAAGGGGAAGAATGGAAGTCCCATTGGTTCAAGGAATCGAAAATAACGGCATATATGTCTGCTTCGGACGGTTATTTGCAAAATTCATCTTAATATGAAGATGGTCGATCACTCTCCTCAGTCAGCACGAAAAGAGAGGCGCAACTATCTATGCGAAATATGGACGACTCTGGGCGAGAGTATAACCAATTTGTTGGAATATATGGCGGGAGGAATTGTACGATATGCATAGCATGGGAGGGTTAGATTTCACTCCATGGTGTTTGGAATTTTAAACAAAACCCTGATTATTTACTGGCGTTTAAGAATAGATGGGTACTTTTTTTTTGGATGTATGTACTTTGTATTTTATATACCAAGGAGCTTTATCTCTACCCTTTCGTTTCCCTTGTCTATAGGAAATCCCATATCGTAGGGGATCATAAAACCTAGGGTTTTTACACACGCCAAAATAACAATATATCAATAATGTACAAGAGAGATGATTAATTTCGTCCCTATTTATGAAGAATAATCAAGTTAGCCCTTCAATCGATAATACCATTCAAAAACAATAGGGTAGGTTGTATCTTCCTCACCTGCAAAAAGTTATCCATGAAATTCTTCGGAATATGTGAATTCGGCTCCTGTTCCGACCTGAAGTAATGCATAAGATGTGGCAATTGTTTCCAGTAATTCATGGTTTCCTAATCATTTCACCCCCCTCCCAGATTCTCGTCAGCTTTCTAATCCCTTCTGTCTGCCAGGAATATCTTTTTTTTGTTTTGTTTCGATAGATGTACCTGGAACTCCATCTGATTCTTCATCAACAGTACATCTACAGTGCCAATATCCTTGACATGTCTATGTCTCTCATATTCCTGTCGTATCTTGGATCGAACGGCAGCGACGTCAATGTCCATAAGGTAGAGTTTGACGATCTCGGGTGCCTGTGGGATCGTTATATAGGTAAGATAAGTATCGGCCCCGGATTTCGGTTGTCTTTTTTCTCTCGAAAAAAAATAATGATAGTACTGACTGCCCGCTGCCATAGTCTGTAGGACTGAATAACCCTTTTATTCGCTTCCGCCCAGTTCGCAGCTAGAGAGCATCCGAAATAACGCAATGGTTAGCATCCATTTATCAACCAATTGCTCAAAGAGGGAGAAGAGGATGGAGGAGGAGGGGGGTCTCATACACTGCCGAGTCGGTAACGCGAATGCAGTCGCGTGGATCGTCATGGCTGTACTAGGACGACGGCGACGACGTAATCGTAGGTGGAGGGGTTTGGAGATGTCGGTGGAAAATGGTGGTCTTGGTTGTTGGACCTTTCTCGTCGGAGGTTATTCAATATCTGTATGGGTTGCTTCGCAGTAGCGGAATCATGCGACGTTTAATTGGTCCAAACACCGAAATTTGGCCGATGTCATAACTTAACCTTTTCAACACCAAAATTTAAAATCCCAGTTCCTGCATGCTTCATACTTCTTTTACAACTTATCTTCCCACTGCTGCAACATTTAACTTTTTTTTTTTGCATTGGAGAGAATCAAACATTAATTTAGAAGGAGTATGAGGGTGTTATATCGACCTATAACTCGGGTGGGATTTACTACCCCGAGTATTACTACTGCTACTACTGTTCAACGATGTCTATATTCCAGTCATCACCACCATCATCATAATCATCATGCCCACCCGACCGATGCCGCGAAATCTTCGATAAAAATGTCGTATACCCTGCATCATCCGCAATCTCACTACAAGGGTGGTGACGAAAGACACGAGCCCATTATTTTCATGCACGGGCTGTTTGGGTCGAAGATGAACAATCGCGGAATTAGTAAGTAAGAAGATATATTTCCTATCTTTATTCATTTATGTCTATTCTTCTCTTGAAATTTAAAATTTAAAATTATATACCTTTATTATATTGGATATGATGGCTAATACAATTTTGATCTTTTAATTTAGAATGCTCGTGAAAGAATTAAACAGATCGGTTTTCGCTTTGGTACGAATAGTTATCCGGTGCTGATATAGATATATACTTTATATCTCGCGGATAAGGTAATTGACAGTTGGAAAATATCAACAGGACCTAAGAAACCACGGCGAGAGTCCACATGTCACTCCACATACTTACACCGCCATGGCCGAGGACGTCGAGCACTTCATAAAGGACCATAGACTCAAGCATCCGACATTAATCGGTCATTCAATGTATGCGCCCAACTTCCTCCCCGCCTCGTATACCCCGGATGTATATCCATATCATATAAAAAAACAAAAAATAGCTAAAAGAAAACCGAATCATCATACAGGGGTGCAAAAGTAGCGATGTCCGTAGCACTCCGCTCACCAAACCTCATCCAAGACATCGTCGCCGTCGATAACGCCCCCGTAAACGCCCAACTCGGCCGTCAATTCGCTCAATACCTCCAAGCCATGACACGGATCGAAAACACACCGATAGTCAATGCCAAAGAAGCAGATGAAATCCTAGCCGCCTACGAACCATCACTCCCAATCCGTCAGTTTTTGTTCACAAATCTTTTGAAACCTACCAAGGAGAACGATAAATTCAGATGGAGGATCCCTATAAAGATCCTCGGCGGGGCTTTGGACGAAATGGCGGCTTTTCCGTTCACACCGGGTGAAAGATCGTTTACGAAACCGGCGCTGTTCGTGAGGGGCACGACGAGTAAGTATGTGGCTGATGAGACTATTCCTTTGATTGGAGAGTTTTTCCCGAGGTTTCAGTTGAAGGATGTGGAGGCGGGGCATTGGTTGATCTCAGAGAATCCGGAGGGGTTTAAGAATGGTAAGTTCGGTCGATGATGTTTACCTTAAAACGAGTACGAGCGATACTGATTTTATTTCCGGATAGTTTGTCTTGAGTTTTTTAGGAGAGAGAAGGAGGATTAGACAAGGTGAATACTTTGGAAGGTAACATAATCGCGAGTTCTATTCCGTGTATCGTAAACTGATTAGGAACAATTGAGATATCGGCCCCAATTGATCTTAAATAAATAAAAAGAAGTCTTGAAGCAAGCTTTAAGCATAATATAACGAGCAACCGAACAGGGGGAAAAAAGCACGCTTGCTTCTAATGGTAGAGCAAAGATAGAGGAAGGGGATATCAAAAAGAGAAGCGAAAACGAGTCAGCGACCAAATTAGGAAACAAAAGGAATCCAAGAAGAAAGAGAAGAAAAACGCCCGCTGCCATCCCATCCCATATCGTAGATATACACCAACGAGCCCGTGAAAAATCCATGATACCCAACACCATCATTTCGGCGTGATCACATCGTCCGTGCAAGATCAGACATTGTTTTTTAACAAGCGCAGCCACCTCCTTGCGTCTGTGCTTGCGCTGATACATCGACTACATCTGCTTTCCTGGCGACCACTCTATTCGGATCCAAAGCACCGGGCGTGGAAAGAACGACATCGACAAGTTTTTGGAATGGTTCTTTCGCATGATCTCTCGTCTTGGCGCTTGTTTCGGTGAAATAGATAGCGCCGTGTTTCTTTGCCAATTCCTCGCCTTCGGAAGCTTTAACGGCGCGTTGAGCTGTACGATCCGTTTTGTTGCCGACCTAATAATAATAACGATCCGAGAACCCTTTTTTAGTTCTTCCATTTCAAGAATATGACGTTTATAAATTGAGAATTGAAAAGGAAAAGGTGACGTACGAGAATCTTGATTACACCTTCCGGCGCAAATCTCTCTGCTTCCTCAAACCATCTGGGCATAGATAAGAAACTATCCCTGTTGGAGATATCGTAAACAAGGAGGATTCCATGTGCGCCACGGTAATACGAGGAAGTTAACGTTCGGAAGCGTCTAGAACAGAGAAGATCACATATTAGAATCCAATTCCACATCGATTTCCCTGGCGAAAACCCCCCTGATATAATGATATTTTATGTATATCCATCAGGAAGGTGGTATAGGATAGGATATGTATCCCCAAACATACTCTTGTCCCGCAGTATCATGCAATAACAACCGATAAAGTTTCTTATTTATCGTCAATTTCTTTTCTCGAAAGTCGACTCCAATCGTTGTAGTTGTATCATCGGGTTCGAAAACATCGTCGACATAACGTTTTAGTACTTTTCGAGGGAAGAAAATAGGGTGTTAGTTACGTGAACTTTTGTCGGAGGAAAGTAGTTCCGGGAGGTTGGGCTTACGAGATGTTTTCCCACTGCTTGAAGGACCTATCAGGAGGGCTTTTATAACGGTAGGCCGCTCCGGCGCCGACATTGTATGTAGTACTTATAATTTAAAAGTATGTATCGGATGTAAGCAAGGATTTAGGAAGGTTTGGTGTTTTGTAATGAATCGAATGATCGGGATTGAGAGTGATGTAAAGTGAATGGTAACTAGCAGTAGTAGTAGCAGTAGTAGTTAATCCGGGGTATGCCGAGCAAAGCAGGGCTCTTATTCTGACTAATATTTAACAAAGCCCAAAGCTTTGAAACGAATAGAATACCGCCAAAAGAAGAATATTAGAAGCCAAAGAGAGATTCAAGAAAAGAAATAGAAAGAAAGAAAGAAAAGGTAGGAAGGATCAAAGGGTTATTTAATATCAATATGGTCTGAACATAATAACATCGTCATTTGGCCGATGGCAAAGTAGGAAATCTGTTGGGATCAAATGTACCCGAAACCAAAGAAGCCAGGCCCAGGTGATCCTGCTGGTGTCCTCAGCTGTGCGTCATTCACACCTGCACACTCGCACACACTCGCACGCACGCACGCACGACAGTTATTACTTGGCTAAGTACTCGTTCGAGTTGGGTCCAGCTTGCAGGGTCCGGATTAAGGCCTTCGTCTCCTGAGCTAATGCTTGTTAACATTAGCCTTGATTGAGAAGTGCCAGATTCTGTCGCATGCTGATGCCTTCTTTGGCCTTCTTTGGCTGAACTCTTCGGCCACGGCCGCCTGCGATGCGATAACAAAAATACAACATCCTCAACGCAGATTTTGTATCACTTATTTATACTATATCTAAGTAGATTCTATCTAGATCTAAGTCCAAATATAATTAGATTCTTTAAACATTTATCTGATTTATGAGATATGGGACGAATTATCGCTATAGATTTAAAGAATTAAGGAGACATATAAGGTGCATAGGCAATGATAGAGGAAATACCATCGCAGTTCCACCCAGCAGACCTCCATATTAATTCCCTCGAACCCCGACACCCTAAGAGCAGTATTAAGCACAATAGCCAACCTTACCTGGCCCGCCTTCTAAACGTATAAACGTACTAATCACAAGTTTAAACGTTTATACCATGCTATACTTCACATGGCCCCCTCGTGCATCGATAATCCAGCTGGGTAAAAACCAAAATACCAATTAATCGTCAAGTCCAGACACCCGCATGAGTACCCAGAAATGCGTATCCTACTCCTAACTCTCACCCTAACCCTCACCTCCATCCCTTCCACATCCGCTTGGTCCTATCTATTCTGGCAAGTACCCCCCAGTCTCTCATCAGGTCCCCCAAACTACGGTACCAAAGTCTTCCAACCCCCCGCACCATGTAAACAAATACCACTAGACTCCCAACCCACGGGTCTAACCATCACTCAATTCGGAGAAAACAACGTCTTACCGGAAACCCGCAGATACCAAGCAAACCATCAATGGCTAGATCCGGTTCGATACATCGGATTATGGCATAGTAATCTCCGAAAGCCGTGCGAAGGGTTACCGGATGTGATTGTTAGGTATTATCCGGATGTGTATACCCGTCAGACTATTGATTTTAGAAATTTGGGGGGTTATACGGAGTGGATTGGGGATTTTGATGGTGGTGGGGATTTGACTTTTAGGTATTGGGGTGAGATACCTTTTGGGGATCAGTATTTTCAGGAGCAATTGGTACCTGGGGATGTAGCTGTCAGGAATTCGAGGCCGGTGGCGGGAGGGATAGCTAGTTATGAAAATAACTATGTGGTCGCGAGTAATGCGATCACCGTGGCTCCTATTAGACCTTCATGGGGACTTGATAGTTCTAGATGGCAGGGAACTGGAACGGTGACTTCTTCGCGAGAGGTTACTTTTACATTCCCCCCTAACATACAGATACTCACTGGTCAACCTTTGGATCGTGAGAAGGAAGTCGGATTAGGATATGTTCCCGAGAACTATCGGTTTGCAACAAATCAGATAGAAGAAGAATTAGAAACCGCACCGCCAACAAACCAAATGCAGCAGCCGGAGATCGAGAGTATGGTCTCGAATCTAGATCCTAACGAGGGTGCTACACTAAGAGCAGCCAAGAACTTGAACCGCGAACGGTTAGAAGCTCAATTCGATGATGTCCGAAGATCTCAACAGGAGATACTCGATCAAATAGCCCGAGATAGGGCGCAGCAGCAGCAGCAGCAGAATACGAACATCCCCCCACCCCCTCTAACTTCAAATCCAAACCCACAATCATCAGGACCCCAACTTCAACAACAGCAAGATGTTAACCCCCCACAACCATTACTCCACCCTTTTCTCCCCCAAGAAAACGAAGAACGACTTTCACCAGACCAACTAGCCGACAAAGTAGCCCAATGGACAGCCAAACAATGGCCAAAACAACAAGCGAAGGGTGTCACCGTGGATGCCTTCGTAAAATACATGAACGGTCTGAACTTAAATCTCTTACGATTACGACAATACTACCAGAACATTGAGCAGCAAATCGATAATGCTAGGAAAATGCAACAGCGGCTTAGGGAGCAAATGTTTGTGCTTCAGTTGCCGGGGAATATTCTGGCTTCAAATTCAAATCAAAATCAACATCAAAATATACTGAATCCGAATATATTGAATCCGAATATATTGAATCCGAATATATTGAATCCGAATATATTGAATCCGAATATATTGAATCCGAATATATTGAATCCAAATCCCGTACAGAACCAAGGACGGTCAATAGTACCACGATCAAGTCAGCAGCAACAGCAGCAGCAGCAGGGAACCCAGCAACTTCTACCAAAAGAATGCATATGTCCAAACATTAGCGGCGTCATCTCCCTAGAACAACCAGCCGCGGGCCAACCAAAAGATCAAAGGTTCCTCCCCGACATGCCCCCAAACAGCCTACAGAGCCCAGAACAAGTAGCCCCAAACCAGCAATCACCAGAAGCCACGGATAACATCAATTCCGAAGTCGACAACAGCAATCTACGCAATCCCATAGCAGACAACATCCGGAGTGGACTCCAAGCCGACGACAGACTAACAGATCAAAACCAGTCAGACAAGCCTAAGAAAGTAAAAAGCCAAGAACCAAAGGGTACCGTCGTAGCAGACCGAGCATATTCTTCGGCATTAGATACTGTAAGAAAGATATTCGACACTCAAAAGAACGCCGCCGCCGCCGCCGCCAGAACTACATCGTCGAATCAAGCAAGCTCGGAAACAAATACAAACTGTATCTGCCCCGAAACACCACAGCCGGAAACTAATCAGAATATAAATCCCGAAGCGTTCCCCATACGACAATCCTTACTGCCAGTCTCCGATGATATCGCCAATCCAAATGTACGGCAATATCTGCCCGGACTCTCCAAAAAGATGATAGACGAAATAGGGGAAAGAAAGAAGAAACGCCGAGAAGGTATAATTCAACAATCCCGATTAGCCAGGCTAGCCGAATTGGAGAGATCGACCGAAATAAAAGAGAAAATAGAAGAACAGCAAGAAAACACAGAAGTGAACGTCCAGGGGAGCGCAGTTGAAGAAGAAAAGGCTATAGACGATCCGGAACTAAGATCGCGGATCCTAATAGAAGATGAAGAAGGAGAAGGAGTAGTAGAAGAAGAAGCTAAAGAAGAAGCACTAATACAACAGAGTCCACTCGATCTAGCAGCACAACTCTTAATCGAGGAAGAAGACATACAACAAAATATACCGGATCTAATTCTCAGAGAAGACGAAGATCGCGATCGTGATGTTATTTTCATGGATAAAAGTTTATACGATACTGAAATAAAGGAGGAAGAAGAGGGTGAAGATCCAGAGACAAAGCTTGCGAAGGAGAAACGAAGGGCAGAGGCCAGAGTGCGAAACGAGAACTTTGAGATGCCAGTTGTATCGGGTTCGGAGTTCTTTGAAGAGATAAAAGATGAGGTTATATAAGTAGCTACTTAAGTATCTAATATAGGTTAAATCCATGCGTATAAATGTACATATAGTGCGAATATCTTACGTTTCTAAGATTATTTGTTTCTCGGTGTCTGCGAATGCAAGAGCAGCGTACTATCGATATCTCCACACCATATATATATTTTTAAATATTTTAATTTATTACAAAGATCAATGATATCTTTTCAATGATATCTTTTCAACTTCAAAAAAAGGTGCAAGCAAGTACCTAGTTTCCCCAATCAATTCTAGACCAAAATCCGCAAAAGAAAGCTTTGAAATCCAAAGAAGTATCAAATGGCCTGACATAACTTAGCTCCCAGTAAAAAGACAAAACCCCCGCGTTGTGATTGGTTGCAAACCCATCAATCGAGCTAGTTTCAAAATCCTTGGCCTGCATCTTCAAACCTCACTTGAACCTTCCAACCACCGTCAACATCCGAACTGCCTTTCCCCGGACTTTTCCAATCCACTTCTACCACTACCACCGGTGTTCTAAACGGACAGGGCGCAACATCTATAAAAACTACCACGCCCTCCGGATAGCACATACTCAAAATCCGGCTCCCCTCAAAGCAACCCTCCCCGACAATGGGCTGGAGGTAACCACAAAGCCTCATCAGCATTCGATTTTCTACCAGTTCTTCAACGTCCTTTTAATCCGCCGGCCTTCGCGATTACAAGCGAGACACCCAAATAGAGTATAAAACATGGGAGGTCTGAACCTCGAAGTTTTCAAGGTAAACCAAAAAAAACAAACCTCTATCTATACAATCTATCCATTAATATTTACTTACTTTTTTAATGCATCTATATAGTTCGGAATGTACATCCTCTTCCCAATCGCCTCAATGTATTACTTCGGCACAAACCTCGATTCCCGCTTCTCGGTTCCAAACTTTTGGCCAACAAAGGAGGAAACTCATCAGATCCCCTTCGAGAGGGATGAAATCAGGTTGGAACTCGAACGGTTGAAGAAACAGAGGTTGCAGAGGAGGAAGGAGAGATTGGAGGCTGACACGAAGAAGGCGCCGTTGGTTGAGAGGGAATAATGAATTTCTTCGTAGGAGATAGGTTGAGTGGGGGATGTTAAGGGACTCTCGAGAAGGACGGGAAGGGATATAAATCGCCTTTTATGGGAATCCATGAGGGGCCTGCTGAAAGTATACGGTTTGGAGGGATACCGATAGACCGAAATTTTACAGAAATTTTTGCTTGATATCGATAGTGTGCTATGGCGGCGCAGTAGGGAGATGGTATTTGGCTCCCGAACGCTGTATATCTTCTATGCCAGACCACTTGTATATATTTTTCACTCCATAATATGGAAAAACTCTACGATTAAATTGAACCATCATATGTATGTCAACCAAATAAAGGACCGTTGGGTGTTTTTTTATTTGTTATCCTAGCCGGAGGAAACCCGAGATCAAAGCTCACCGGCACATCTACACTAGAGGTATAGACGTCCAAGTCACCAAAAAAATCTCAGGCCCCTAGCTACCTATCTAAATGAACCGGGGCTTGAAGAAGAGATAAAAAGAACAGCTGCACCTCCAAGTATAAACAAAAACCCATGCCCTTCTTGTTATTTAGCCCAAAGAGAGAGAGAGAGAAAAACGCCATGGACTCCTCCGAGAATGCCCTTCCGAAATATGAAATGCCACGATTCCCTCTAGAACCAGAATCTACGCTGGAGGATATGATATGATTGCCGGCGCGGCCAAATGAAAAAACCAGGCGAGTTATCTATACCGGGGGAGCAGAAGTGAATATGAAATAATATGCAAATGAGTGTCAATGCCACCTGTGGATGGCGGGGTTGGGGTTCAATTGTAAAATAGTTGGGAAGGTGTAAGAAATAGAAATGATAAAGGAAAAAGTGCGCGTTTGAGGAATCATAAATAAAGAGATCCGTCCGTCTCACTTCTACGGACGTGGAGAGAAGGGAATGCGATCGAGTAAAAATGTTTGTCATCCATTCCTTATTCCAGAAACTTTTTAACGTTTTTCCAAAAAGTTCTTGCTTTTGCGTCGGCATCAACGAAAAAGTGCTTTACACTATACCCCCTTTAATATACTGGGCCGCTCGGGAGGTATAGGTTCCACCATTGTTAGCCGTATGCGAAGGTTTCCACTGGTAAACTGGGAGGAATCACAATCGCGGGAAGATTATAACATCCGACACCTAGATAGCTGCAAGACCGTGCAACATGTCCATCGGCCTTGTTTCCACCCGAGTCTTCGTATATCATCCTTTTCCACCTGAGATTGCGTTTCTCCACATGTACCAAGTCGTCGTTGTTCGTACTAACTCGGACTTCTTTTATATCAAGAGTAGACGCCTCCATATCGGCTACAACATTCAACACATGATTCGTCGTCTTTTCCGGCGTGTCATAAGGGTTTTTTGGGTTTTTACTGATCTCCTTCATCTCCATCTCCTTTTGATCCTCGCGCGGAGCCCTCAGGCCGAGCCTGGAAACATCCTCGCGGGGTGGGGCGAGGTCGCCCCATCGTCAATCGTCGTAGAACCTGGAGGGGAAAAACAGCTTTATTAGTTTCATGTTGCTGGGTTTTTGGCCAAACCGGAAGGAAACTACTTACTCGTCTTCGTCGTCAAGTTCGGCTAACTGTTCAAAGTTAACCTTGTATCGCAAAATAGCTCCGATACCACCGAAACCCTTGACGAACTGGTTGCCTTCACTGCTTCGGTCGGAAACGAATTCCAAAGTAGCACCAAAATCCTTGTACTTCTCAGCCAGCCACTCGAGGAATGGTTGCTGTTCGGAAACTTCCATCTCTTGGCTGGATTCTTTGTCCATAAACTTGCTACGGTCTTGTTCTTGTAGTTTGTTGGTGTGCAAGATGATCTCGTCGCCATTAGAAGCCTTCAATACCCATCTCGTAACATCCAAATTTTCGAAGACAATGAGAGCTTGATAATTTGACCAGTGTTAGTCAATATGATGAAATTTCGGGGTTAACTTTGATGATAGACCTACTCTCGCAAGCACCAAGTTCAAGAGCCTTGAGGGTGTCGTCGATGCCGTAGCAAACTCTGCCAGTATCTTGAGAGATTTCATCGAAATACTTGTTGATGAGCTTCTTCTCCTGGATGAATTTGACATTGCTCAAAGTCTCGGCAGACAATTCGATAGCTTGGTTGAATCCGTTTTCTCCACCATAGGACACATCGACAACTTTGATAATCTTGGCTTGAAGACGCTGGTCGAACATATCACTCTGAGCCAATTCAGATTTAAAGTCGGCAGAACCAGCTAGGATGAGACCAGAGACGTTGACTTTGTCGGCAGTGATATAGTTCTGGACGGCTAATTCGGCAACCTTACGGACGTAGTTGTGACGCTTTTCCTCACGAAGACGAGCGAAACGTAAAGCGGACTGACCACCACGGCCGTGCTTCTTGGGAAGATCGACAGCGAATTTCTGGACGATTTCACGGGTGTTCCCGCTCAAGGTACCGAAGAGAGCACCGTTACCGTCCATGACAATGAAGCCGAACTTGGAGTCACTCTCGAGAAGTTCGGAGAGAGCTTCGGTGTGGAATTTGTTATCGCAAAGGTATAGGGATGTGTTGATTGGCTTGAAGGGCTCAAAGTCGATATTGAGCTTCCTTTCCTTTCCTTCCGAGGTGATGATTTCACCACAGTAGATGACAAGACCATTTGGTGGAACCTTGGAGTAAAGCTTGAGACGCTGCTGAGTAGAGGTAATAGCGGAGAGCACGGAAAGACGGTTGACTCGAGATTTGATGTTTGATGCAGTTCCCTAAAAAGTAAAGCAACCCTTGTCAGAATGTTCCCCACTTTGACTCTTTGTTCCCAGATGCATAGAGATATAATAAAGAGATGACATGTATATGTCACAGCTCTAAAACTAAACAGAAAAAGGGCTCGGCAATCGTACGTATTCTTCAGCCAACATCTTGGCAGCTCGGGAGACCTGGTCCTTCGGAGCTATTTGGAAACTGGTTAGCCAGAGGTTCGGGATATATCTAGGCTTGTGGGTGGATGGATGTTACACACGGATGATGAGCGAGATCATGCTAGTGCCGTTTCCTCGGGCTAGTTCGAGTCTGTAATTTCAACAAATTAGTTTCCAAGCAGACATATAACATAAATCTGATATAGGAAACAGCATACCGCTTGATCAGCTTCTTGATCTTCCAGATCTCGATGTTCTTCTCCGCATCATTGCCGGGTGGAGGCTGCGACATTTTGCTCGGGTGGTTCTGTTGTCGAGCTACAGAAGCTAGGTATAACAAGGAAAAAAGAGGGTTTGAAGAGTCGAGGAGGTAGGATTCGATCCCGTAAAGGTACGGCAGAGCTTTGAAAGCTGCTTCGTAGGATTGATTCTTTGTTGTTTTTGCTGACGGGAGGGATGATGTTGTCGAGAAGGTGAGAAAAAAATTGGCGAGGTGGCCGTGCCTGCCTGGCTGTTTGTTCGCCTCGGCCGGGCTGCACACTAAAATTCAAGGTTTTTTTTCTGGGTGGGAGAAGAGCAAATTTGGGGTTTGAGACAGGGCAGTCAGCCAAAATAGCATATACTTGTACTTGCTTGTATATTCCAGCTTGAGGAAACTTGGATATTGGTCAAGTGGGTATGCAATAGGCAGGAGAAGCATCTTGGAGGAGGAGGATTTATATACTTCCCTAAACAACTACTACTTGTGCCTACAGTGGCTAAGTACTTCTTAGGTACCTCGTACTAGCTATAGTGGCTGGTGTTGATTGACTGGCGGTGACTGGCAGTGACTCCCAAAGACTCAACCTCCCAGCAAGTACTCTAATTAAGCTCTAATTGAATTAATCCTGACCTTCCTTAGGTAAGCAAGTACTTGAATCTCTCTGGCGACATCGGATGGATCTAATGCAAGGGCAGATATGATGTAGCTATAAGGTATTAGCTCCAGGTTAAAATATAATATCCATGACGAGCTCTGACCACAGCTGATTCGATTAGGCTCGATTCGATACTTCTTTACATCATCAGTTTGATCCAATACATCGAGTCGACTCTCTCGGATCCTTCATGTATCACGCAGACCATGTCTTGTACTCGTCCCGGCCGATTGATTGCAATTGATTGACCTAATTCCGACCCCGAAAGTCCTTGTACTTACATACTTAAGTACTTATAATTGCTGCATCCACCATTGCATCCCTCCAGACTCGTCCCGACAAGTTCAATTAATACGTACTAGCAGTCCTCTTTGTTATCTACATTGCCATCGACTTTGACGTTGACGTCGGCGTCCGTGTCAGGTACGGCTTAAAGCTTCAACAATGCAGACTGTTGCTTATTTGGGTCCGCCGTCGACCTACTCTCACCAGGTACGCATGTGCATCGCATTAATTAAGTAATTGCAGGATATCATCTCGCAGTTACAATTACAATTACAATATAAAAATACTAGTATCATATGTATCAACTAACATTCAATCGATTCCCAGGTTACTCTTTCAAAATTCCCTCAGGACCAGTATGAGCATATCCCGTGTGTTCAAATCGCAGATATCTTCGCTTCCGTTGAGTCCGGCAGGACCGACTTCGGTGTCGTCCCATTCGAAAACTCAACCAACGGCTCTGTAGTCCAAACTTTGGACTTGTTCTGCGACAGGGAGAATCTGTTCTCCAGTATCAAAGTCCGTGGTGAAGCCTATCTCGATGTCCACCACTGTCTGCTAGGTCACCCAAGGGAAGACGGTATCTCCCGAGAAACGGTCTCTCGAATTTACTCCCACCCGCAAGCCTTCGGTCAGTGCGAGAAATTCTTGACCAAGTATCTGAAGGGCGTCGAGAGAATCGAGGTTTCTTCGACCTCCAAGGCTGCAGCTCTGGCCAACGATGACCCTTCTACAGTCGCTATCGCTAGTTCTATCGCTGTATCTGTCCACAAGAACCTCGAGATCCTAGCCGAGAACATTGAGGAACGATCGGATAACACCACCCGTTTCCTGGTCATTTCGAAGGAAGCGATAGGTCCGTCCCCGATCCAAGGAAGTGATAAAACATTCATGACCTTTACTGTTCATCACGAGCAACCCGGAGCATTGTGTGATATGCTTATGGTCTTCAAGGAGTTTGGTATGAATCTTACTAGTATTTCTAGCAGACCATCCTTGGATGTTGCCTGGAACTACATCTTCCTTGTTGAGTTCGAGGGGCATCAGGACGCAAAGCATGTACAGAGGGCCCTTCAGAAAATGAAGAAATACTGCAGGTCAATGAGGATTTTTGGGAGCTACGAGAGAGGATTAAAGCAGTAGAGAATACTAGTAGCCAAACGTATCGCGTGTACTAGTCATTGGGCCATGGATAGTTTAATTTAATTAATTAATCCCAGTCATCGTCATCATCGTCCACTTTTTGAGTGGCTGTGGCGCCGAATATCGACTTGTTTTTGGTGTTTTCTGTCGTCTTGGTTCTTTGGAATACCCCTATCGTAGACCGTTATCATGCTGCTTCAGATCATTCTAGCTCTGACATAAAACTGATGACTTACCAGATCTTAGCAATCGTGTTTCTAATGCAGCCGTCTGGAAAGAATCTGTATTTCCTAGCTCGCCTTCGAATCCAACAACCCTATCCACGCTTTTGCCGTCTACCCAGGCTATCAGGCAAGGCAAAACTTGAACCTTCAACTTTTCAATCAAGAACGGAGCATTCTCGACGTTTATCTTGGTGATCATGGTATCGAAATGTTTTCGCGCCAGGATCTCTAGATGTGTATCCATGATTTTGCACCGCCGGAAGTCCGGGTGGAAGAAATGGACCAGGGAGTACTTCCTCGAACTATTTATTCTATGTTAGGACCCGAATTCTTGCTAAGGAATAGGTTGCATGTAAATCATACGTAGTTAGATCCATAACTTCCTTCTCGGTTGTAGTTTCGAAGTATACACCTTGGTTCTCAGCCTTCATCTTCCTTTCTCTCGATAATCTATACTTCCACCGACATATTAAATTGAAATTCCCTACCCGATACGCCCAGGGTTAAGGATATCAAAAGACATAGATATATACTCACTCCTCATGCAACTGTTGCATCCGCCTTTCTCGAAGTCCGTCTAAAACATCATCTTCCTCCCTTTCCAGCTCATCTAACAGAGCATCCTCGTCATCGGAATCATCTGCCTTTTTGCCCTTGTCCGTCCTCGTATCTAAAAAATTGGCGACCCGTTCGTCCATGATTTGGGGGCTGGCTCGCTGTGTTGGTGTGTGGTAAAAAATCTGGAATGGAACTATGGTACCCGACGCCTTACGGAAATTGCCAGTTCCTTGAGATCCACAGGGTTAAGCTTTGCAGGAGATGATTGCTTGAGACCGTCGAGACTCGGGGACCTTGTCGTTTCTGAAGTCTTTGAGCTGGGTGTATGCAAATATCGACTGGTATATCATATACCCTAACTACTCTGCAAGTATTTGTGGGTCGCTAATACTGTATCGAGACTGTATAACTCGTGCTAGCTGTACCAGTGGTACCTCGTGGCTGTAGGATGTATAGCCTTCGATACAACGTACGTAAGCTCAATTGGTATGATCTCGATGAAAGCGAACACCAACAGCCAATCAAGGGGAGCTTCCAGATCAGATTCTGCCAGGGGGAACCAGTGGCGGATGCTTCCTGCCTGTATTATGTATGTAAGTATGTAAGTACCGTACTATGCCCGGGTGAAACGTCGTCTCCTTTTCGAGGTGGTAATTTCAATTTAACAGAACACATCCGTCAAACGACCTAAAACATCAAACATCGCCAAAACCACGCTCCCTTTCCTCTCTCTCTTAACTTTCTCTCCAACAACCACCCTCGTCCGCTCTGTTCGCTGTGCTTCGTCCCGTCCACGCCACTCGCAGCATCCCGGCCAGTTGCTGTTATCCCTTCAGTGTCGTCTGAGTCCGATCCTATTACCGATTTTTTCCATTTTCTTAATTACTATTATTTATTACTAAATATTTCAGTCAACTTCCTTTCTCCTGTCTGTCGTGAGACGCCTCTGTTTGTGAACACCCGACACCTTTTCAGCTCTTCTTTTCTCCAAAACCCGCCAAAATGTCTTCGGACCGTGACGATATGAGAATGAAGGAGTTTAACGTCCCGATGCCGCCGATGTCACCACCTCCACGGCCGCCGCCTCCTCAGAACCCCAATGCTCACTCAAACTCTGGGACCGTCGCGATTGCTAGCTACTGTGGTGCATCCATTCTCATGACTGTTACAAATAAATATGTCTTGTCTGGATATGCTTTCAACTTGAACTTCTTCTTGTTGATTGTGCAGGTATGGAGGCTCCCTACGTGGAACACATGGTTGTTCTACTAGCTAACTGAGGTGTTTTCCTCGATAGTCCGTGGTGTGCGTGGTCGCTATTGAGGTCTGCAAGCGGATGAAGATTATCACATATCGTGATTTCAACATGGACGAAGCTCGAAAGTGTATGCATCTTCCAAGATATTGATTATTTGTGAATTCAATATTCTAACTTGCCTTAGGGTTACCGGTATCTTTGCTCTTGATTGGTATGATCTATACCGGATCGAAAGCGTAAGAAAAGCATTATTCCGAGCTCGCAAACTGGAAGGTTGAAACTAATTGGGATTCTTTTTTAGCCTGCAATTCCTCTCGATTCCTGTGTACACCATCTTCAAGAATTTGACTATCATCATGATTGCCTATGGCGAGGTCCTGTGGTTTGGTGGCTCTGTCACCCCAATGGCTCTCCTCTCCTTCGGTCTCATCGTCTTGTCGTCTATCATTGCTGCCTGGGCCGATATCCAAGCCGCTCTCTCCGCCAGCTCTGTTCAAGCCGCTTCTCAAATCTCCACCTTGAACTCTGGCTACCTGTGGATGTTCATCAACTGCCTTAGTACTACTGCGTATGTTCTAGGCATGCGTAAGAGGATCAAGGTTACCCAATTCAAGGATTTCGACAGTAAGAACCACCCTAAATCGCTGACGTGTAAACTTCATGGCTGTTTTGCTAACCATGCAATAGCTATGTTCTATAATAATCTCCTCAGTATCCCGATTCTTCTCGCCTGCACTTTCCTTCTTGAAGACTGGAGCACCGAAAATGTCAACAAGAACTTCCCGGAGGAGACTCGAAACAATGTTATGATTGCCATGTTTATCTCTGGTCTCTCATCCGTTTTTATCAGCTATACCTCTGCGTGGTGCGTACGTGTTACATCGTCTACAACTTACAGCATGGTTGGTGCTCTGAACAAGCTACCTATCGCTATTTCCGGTCTCATTTTCTTTGATGCCCCGGTTACCTTCTTCTCTGTTACCGTAAGTTGAAACCCGGAATACCAAATCTCAAACTTCTTTTGCTAAAATTTTATTAGGCTATCGCCGTTGGGTTTGTCTCCGGTATCGTCTATTCGATGGCGAAGATTCAACAGCAGAAGCAAGCCTCAACACTCCCCACCAGCGCGAGCAGTGCCAGCCAGCGCGATGGCTTGCGAAAGAATTAAATATACTGGCTTTAGGTGCAGGGCCAGGGTGTTAACGTTAGATTGAGGTTTTGTGGTTGGCGATCACATTGGTGGTATAAAAGTTATTTGAGAAGGCCGGTAGAAGAGGATGTGTATTGGTCGTTGAAGGGACTCTTTTCAATCCGTGTAAAAGATATCGACATATCAAAAAATTGGGCGTTCTCGGGATTTGGTTAGATAGAAGCCCTCACAGCTGAGGGCTACGATTTCTTCGATTCTTTTACCCAAAATCCTTTTTTCTCTTTTCCTCTTTGCGAGTCATGTTTTTTGACCGCTTTTATTCTCTCTCAAAGGAATGGATAGCCAGGGTTTTAGGAACCACCCTGCGGCCCTGGGTATTTTTCTTCTTCTATTCCTTTATTGCGATGGCAGCGTTTCTAGAGTTCCCCTTTATTCTCTGTCCTTTTTTTTTGTCTTTTCCTCTTCTTTCTCTCGATGTCTGCTTAACGACAATTGGTAATCGTTTCTCTAGTTCGGTGTATATAATAGTAAGCATGCAAGGCTTAGTTGGGTCAAATTCTTCTGTGATTCTGCAGCGGTTGCGAGTCACACCTGACATGGGTGGGCTTTCATGAATTTATCTACTTTTTTTCCTCCAAATTTCCCCTATCGATCAATCTAGGTTATATATTCGGTTGTAGAATACGCACATACCGCACGCACAACGCTGGGATATCCGTGACTTCAAAGCGGTGTAAAATGATGATGCCGATTAGCTGGTATTGATAGCTTCATTTCCTGTTGAGAGTTCTGCTATTTTGTTCATTTTGCACAAACTAGCCAATCGGCCGTGAGAACGAGAAAAGCTCCGACCTGCGACCGATTCTGGGTAGTCGAAAAAGTCAAAAAACCGTCAACCTGCAAGAAGGCAAAAGATCCGCGCAAGGATGCAAGTCATCGGATATGATCTATATAAGGCAATAGAAAGAAGAGGGGGGTTTTGATTTTTGGCCTTGGTTTTTCACCCTGGAATGACGGCACCGTGATAATAAAAAATAGAAAAAATAGAAAAAGGAAGATTCGATTAGAACCTGCCAACATGTGTTACCAAGACTCTAGAAGGTCTTGAGGAATAAGCTTGTTTTGGAGAGGAACAATGACAAGGTGATGACCTTACCAAGCATGGCAGAAGCAACTTGCAGGAATTGGCTTAGGGGGGTCCCTGATTCGATTTGAGAGTTTGCATTTTTTCTAGATCAAGATGCATGTCTTGATTCTATCACATACGTTTCGCACTCGCGGAAAGATGACATCCTCCTTCCCCGTGCCCGTGATCATGAAGACTAGACTGTCATCACTTGGATGAGGATGCAATCGATATCAAATTGATATAGTTTAAGTAGTCGGCTTTACTTGCGATCGAATATATATGATAGTATACATAAAGTATATCTATCTGGCGCAGAGCCGTACCGCGAACTTCCTTGCTCGGGCCTTTAATTTCGATAGCACCAAGACCCTTGTCACCGCGCTGCTGCTTAGGGAAAGGGGATGTGCTTTGCCGACTCGGTTTGACCCTTTTTCCGCCGTATTCTGTTATGTTATAATAACTTGGCTTGTGTGGTTCGTCCGGACTTTGGGATGATGTTTGGTTTCTGACAGCAGTACGGTGAACATTATTGGGGAGTACAGTACGGAGCACTTTTTGTTATCCCTTTCAACGTCAACCTCCACCAACATCAACCTCATTCCATATAACTCCGCTGCATTGCATTGCATCGACACAAACATATTCACCCTCAAGAACTTCAAACGATTGCATTTCTGCTTCCCTAGCTTTGACTGCCCGAAACCACGAGGGGTGTCTAGTTTCAGTATTCTCCAACAGCAGAAGGCACCTGATTTTAATATTTTAAGCGTACGCAGCTTGTTCAACTGAACTGAGCAGCTCCTTTTCCCCAGCCAAACGTAACCGTTCTCTTCCCCCCGTTGCATTGCTGCTGCTGCTGTGCAACTCGGCCAATGCCCATCACCGCGAAACCCACACAACCTCCATTCCCATTTCTATAACTTAACGTCGTCCTCAACTCCAACTCCAACTCCAACTTTATCTCCAACTTCAACATCAACATCAACATCAACTTCATCTCCAGATCTAGATCTAGATCTATCTCTCCACCGTCTTCTCAATAGACATCCGGAATAACCAGAATCCCTTTCGGACCGAATACCGACTACCGACCCTGATTGCTGTGGATTAGCCAAAGCAAACATCATCTCCCTTCACCATGGCTTCCTCGTATGTTGGCGTTCCCCTGAGCATATCTCAATCTCTTCCTAGCGACATTCGCTGCTGCAATCTCTACTTAGATGCAATGCCTAGTAGCGAAAAATGGGTTTCTCGTTTGATTTTTCTGCGTCACCAAGCTGACCATCTATGCTTTTAAATACTAGTGGGTTTGCATCTGCCATGAAAACCTTCTGGCATGCTATGACATCCGATGACCGACATGCCACCTTAGATGGCCCATATCGAGCCGCTTCCTCGTATCCTGGCGTTGGTCGACATCCTGAACTCTCTTCTGTATCGTCGCGACTAGACGGTTCACATTACCATGACGAGCTCGGACACCCTGCCTCCAGATCTTCAACCCACCTCGCATCTTCAGATGGAAACGACATGTATAGGGGCTCTAGCGGTGGGCCACTAAGTCCCGGTGCACCGTACTCCCCTGGTTCGAGATCTAGCATGGCCTCGAGAAAGGATGGATCGGCGATATCTGGAATACCGCTACAAGAGTTCAATGCCGACGGCTCGCCTCCACCACCACCGATTTCCCACTCCTGGATGAGAATCGATAGATGGGCTGAAGAAAACTACCCGGAACTATGGGACCAGCTTTGCGAAGGCTCCACGATAAACGATATCAATGAGTTAGAACACGATTTAGATTGCTCGTTACCAATGGAAGTTAGAGAATCCCTACAAATCCACGATGGACAGGAGAGAGGAGGTACCCCTACGGGAATAATATTCGGCGCTATGTTGTTGGATTGCGAGGAGATTTTAGATGAGTGGAAACAATGGCAAGTTGTTAGAGCAGAGTATTTGCAGAAGCAGGCCCAGGCCCAGGCGGCAAGGCCACCACCACAAGCTGGACCATCTAGTGGTCCATCCAGCCCGCGTGGTGGTGCCCCTCCAAATGGAAGCACGCTAAACAAGGCAGTTTTGATGTCACGACAAGACTCGCAACCGGAAGGTGCGGTCCAGAAGGTTTACTGTCATCCCGGATGGATCCCATTGGTACGTGACTGGGGTGGTAATAATATCGGTATTGATCTTGCACCTGGGCCGGCCGGAAAGTGGGGCCAAGTCATCATGTTCGGACGAGATTATGACTGCAAATACGTTGTTGCAAAATCTTGGGCATCGTTCCTCGCCACCGTTGCCGACGATCTAGAAGGTAGCAACTGGTATGTCGACGAAGACAGCGGTGAGCTCAAGCTCCGCGAGCTGAAGACGACTAAGGTTGAGCCTGGGTATTTCGATATCTTGAGGTTACGGACAGATAAGAAGTATGGCAGGAAAATCCCACCACATATGAGAAGGCGGCCAGGTCCACCTCCCCACGTCGCGACAGGTAATGGACCGGTTGGGCCACGCCCCGGGCCTGGAACAGCATCTCCTGGTTCGCCTATGATCGGACTCTCACCAATCATTCGACCTGATGGCTCCCGAGAGCCAATGCCATCGAAGTCGCTATCCCCAATCCATGCGCCCAAGGCTGTCCGTCCAATCGGTAGAGCCCTTGAAGATATGCCAACTTCGGCGAGTGGTTCCGGGCCAACGACGCCTACTATCTTGACACCAGCGAGAACGAGTTTACAGTCAACTAGGAGTACAGAAACACCACCACCGCTGATCATTGATAACAACACGACGAAGAAGAAAGATGACGTTGAGGACTTGTCAGATCTTATCAGCACGCCAACAACGTCAAAGGCCGCTGAATCGGAAAAGGGAGCCAGCCCCAAAGCAAAGGAATCAACCAAAGAAGTCAGCGCTTTAGCGGATGGGCTAGAGGATGTTGACCTTGGGAAGGACAAATAGAGCATAAAGAACACAAAAACCGCATTTGTTTATCGCGGATGCATGCATTACTACCATAATCATACCCTACACATCTTTTTATTTGCTATTTTGGCTTTGGCGAGAATACAGTGTCAGCGTCATCTCTTTTTACTTCAACCTCTTTTTTTGCTCCCTGTTTGGAAAATACAATATTCCTACGCTGTATTAATGGAAAGCTTTTGCTTGATGTCTACTACGTTACTGGTGTACGCATGAGGGTTGCATGGACTCCTTTTTTTTTTAACCTCCTCTCGACCGCTTTCTATCTTTCTGTTACTCCTCTTCTTCTTTCCTCATGTACTTTTTCTGACATTTCTCTTTTTTCAGTCAGAGGAGATGCTGTGTCGACGTCCTTTTTTCTCTTTTTGTTCCTTCTTCTTGTAACCCTCCTCTTTCTTTTACTCCACGTTCCATCTTTTTCTTCGATTCATCCATCATGTACGTTACATAAATCGACAGAGCTTTTAATGCCTTTTATCCGGATCCGGGACCTTTTTCCGATTTTTCAAAGTTGACCTGGATATTTACGTAGATTTTGGATACGTCCACAAAATACGGCGGAATCAGTAGCTTCATTTATTAATGAGCTTATCCGATTAAACAGTTATAATTCTCAATTCGAGGACTAACCATCAATCTAGCTACGGACTCGAAAATATTCATGAAATGTCCGTTCCGAGTTTAGGAGGGTCAACATGTATGTGAATATGGTGAGCCCCCCCCCCCCCGCGATGCCTTCAACGATTAGTCCTATGAACGGCTCTTCTTCCCCTTCTTCCCCACTTCCTCAAAACCCTCGACAAACGGCCTCGTCTAGTCGGCCTATAGCCAGTTTACGTACCCCTTCAATCAAATAATACTTTTTGCTGTATCTTCTCCACTACGGAATCCATACAATGCATTTGATCCATAATTTTTCTGGGACTCTGATTCCACGTGCACGTCTACTGCTGCATGCTGCTTCAACCACCATCCCAACTCCTCGAAGACTACCTCCCCAGTCTGGCCCGGTGGAAATCAAACTATAAAAATTAAACGTTCTCATAAATTCAAACACAAGTACCATATAGAATAACTGCAGAATACAATTCCAGTATATACCATCCAAAATCGTTGCATTTTTTTTCGACCAACACAGTCGACAGTCGCAAGGTCAACGATTGTCATTTTATATATGGAAGGGAATACCATGGATGTTAGCAAAGGAGGTCGAAAAGCCTATGATATATATTTGAAATTATAGAGGTTTATAAAACCTTTGAATGGGGCTTTAGGTATTCCTGTGTGGTCGTCATGATTTGGACTTTAATTATAAACCATAAAGTGACATTTCTAAGTTGTCACCAAGATATTCATTGTTGCAGGATAATACATTCAGGTTGAAAGGATGTATGAAGAGAGCACACATATTAGCATTTAAAAAGATACTAAAGCTGGGAAAGAGCAGCCATCTATAGCTCTACAGGTCTAATCCCATATCATGTCCAACAGTATCTGCTAGGCGACCATAACCATCAGAATTGTAGTCCGACACGCCTGCAACTAACAAGTTGGACATACATCCTTATATCCAAACTAACCCGAAGCAGGGATGGCATCCTTAAACTGCTCGCAATACTTCTGAAGATTCTTCTTGTCCCTCTTTGGTAAATCCTTTTTCCCGAAGGCCTTCATGACGCCCTTCGTAGCCTGTGACCGCGCATGCAATTTTTTGACCAATGTTTTGGCGTCCTCGCCGATATTCTTAGTGACACCGCTCAAAACAGAGGTCAGGACCTACAAATTTTGCACGTCAGAAAACCATTCGCCATCGTCAGAGCTAACATAAAAAAATAAAAATAAAATTGCTGAGACCCGGGAGATACTTACGATAGGATAGGCTTCTAGGAAGTGCAACGTCGCTGGAACATTCTTACCCCACCATAAAGACCTCGATGCCGATACATCTGTAAAGCGAGCATCGGCTGCCTTTCGAAGGAATAGGGTATGATATGTCAAGCTCTTATCCGTCATTTTGTGTTTACACACCCACCCGTCGATGGTATCGTACATGTCCGTGATAGATTTGTCTAAGTCGGCGATGAATTTTTTGTATTCTTCCCACGTAGCAAACCCTTCTCGCTTTGTGGTTACGGTTTTACACTCTTTGACCTTTTGTTCGGAAAATAAACTTAGGAATACTGCTAGGTGAAATCCATATTTGTTGTCTGAACAGACTACGGTTGATAGAGTGGTCTTTCGCTGTTGGTATGCGAAGGATTGAAGACTGGGGAGTCTTGTGGTGAACATGTCTAAAACCAGAGACAGCAACTAGCATCATGGGATTGCAATGATAATTGCATATTGGTTAGTCGGATTTTGATATTTCGATGATGGATGCTAAAGAAAAGAATATGAAAAAAGAAGAAGAAGAAAGAAAGAAAAAGGGTAAAGTGGTGCATTCAAGCTTACCATGTCTCTCAAAGGACATGTCGACTCTTTCCCCCAATGATGGGTAATGTCCTTCGATACAAATTTCGATTTCGAAATTCTAGCAAAATCCTTTGCGTGCATTTTCTTCGAACAGACCCTACTATCAGCAGTAGCGAGAGAAGGGTCTTTGGTTGAAAAAGACGGGCTCAAGCTCTTCAAGGAGTTTCGAACGGGTATATCACTGGATATCGATTTAAAGCTTTCTTTAAAAAATGGCGAAAGGTCATCTGCCCAGACCAGATAAGGCCACAAGTGGCTATAAACAAAAACAAAGTACGAATAAGACATGATGTTGAGAACTTCATTGCTCATATACCGATACTTCGACTGGTCGATTGGTAATATATATTTGCAGATCTGAAAGAACTCTTGGTTGGATATTTCTAGACCATATAAGGATCAAAACAATAGAAGGGGCTGCGATAGAGAAAGTAAACATAGGAAGATGCGTAGTGAATCTAAAAATGTGATGGGATATCAGGTTTATATAGGCATCGAGCTGAGGTACTGATTGCGGCAGATTTTACTGAATATAGACCACGTAGACCGGCCGGCAGAGCGGCCGTGAGTGGGCCTACGTAGATGAGGGGTAAATAAAAATACCCCTGGGACCACTCATCTACTATCATGCAGCAAGGGGATATACTCATTGCGCCTGATTGTGGATCGCGATAATATTAATATTGCAACGTGCCAAATTGAAAGGATGCAGATCAAAACATCCATTGTAGTTAGCTGGGTATATTGAGAAGACGATAGCCTAGTCAGAGATTCCAAGAATCACGATTATGACATCAGTGCACGGCCTTAGATGGCCAGAAATTTTACGTGCAGAAGACTAGAGCGTAGTAACATTATTACAAGGCCTAAGGGTTAGTGGAGAGATAAGTTTGAGGTTCTGTTTAAAAGATGATCCCCCAATACCGGTACGTATACCTGTCATGGTCTTTCCCATTCAAAGTTATGTATAAGTACCGGAGCGTAGGAACATATATACCACTATAGTACCACAGGCGGTAAAATCTATATAGAATTATGTATTAAATGCCACTTGAATCGTGCATTTGAATATATTAAAACGCTGGATGTGGGCTGCCTGGGAAATATTTGAATAGCAGGATACTGAAAGGTTTCGTAGTAAACTGATCTAACAAGGCGGATAACTATGACCGATCATATGAAGCAAGTCAATTCATAGAAATTGACCAATTAGATTGCATGTATTGATATTTAAATATCGAGAGATCTAGTTCATGTAAGAATATTATATATAATGAGTAGAAGTATATCTATAGATATCTATGTTTAAATAGTACTTATAGATCATTGGATCCTGAACACATCCCTTCGACAACGTATATATATATATATATATATATATATATAGATTCTCGTTTCAATTTCTTGCTAATATCTTTGGTATTAATACGAATGTGAACGAGCGGTTCTCGTTCATTTATTAGGGAAGAGTAGACAGTTCGGTCGAATTTAGGGTTGGGTTCCGCGCCACGGAAGAATCCCCAAATGGGGTTGACATCTATAAATTGTTCACAAAGCTCCGAAGAGGCAAGTTGAGGTATACTGACTTGAGTGCATTTTTATAAAAGGGCGAGTCTTCTGCAGAAGCTAGATTAGGCCAAAATGATACTAGTAACAATGATATATGAATGCAGTGAACAGCAAGTTCATGGCGCCAATGTTCCTTCTAAAAAAAAGAATGGGATATAATTGGGATATGGGATATCTGCCGGTTTAACGATTCAAGACTATGTGATAATGAAGACAGTTGCGATTTCTGGGGGCGCAGTAGAGTAAGGAATGTCTGTTGACCGTGGAGAGATTTTATATATGACCACCCGCTGGGATCATATCAGTTTTACATGGACATTGAATTTGCAGTGGCCGCGGCTAGTTCATTCAGCATGACATACATCCCAGCCAGTACATTGGTAGTAAGTGGGTCCACCAAGTAGCGGAGTAAATTAAGCATTATCTTAGAGACCACTAGTCTCTAGAGCTACGCAGCAAGGAGGCATGTGTATTATGCCCGATTGTCGGTCGCAAAATACTAATATCGATATTATAGTGCACCAGATTGAAAATGCGCATCTGAGGACCTTTATTGCGATTGGTTACATATTCAGAAGACTGGAGCCTGCTCGAGCGCTCAAAGATTCTGGGAATCATGCATTAGTCCAGCAATCGTGACATCACATGTACTGTTGCTTAGCCATGGATCTTGAAAGTAATGTAAGACAAGCGTGTGCGGAGATACGGATTCTAAGTATTATAAGTAAGCACGATCGCGATCGATTTCTTGAAAGAGGCCCGATCGACCCCTGCAAAGTTAAGTGAAGGGCGGGATCAAGATTAGCGAGGCTGTTGATAGGCTCAATATTAACAATGAAGAAGGCGGTTTATCTTCAAGTTTCCAACGTATCAGGAACCTTGCAAAATTCGGCCTTGCAGATAAATCTTAGCTTCGAGACCGGGTTTAGATGAGGGTAGGGATAAAGCGCTGCAATGCAATATCGATTTATATATCTATGATCCGCATGTTCCACTCTCTCACATTCCAAAGTTTGTCCACCCGCTCACGTGGATAGAATATTAATTTCCATCTGGAATGGTTGCTGCCTGGTTGGTTTCCCCGTGAATCGATGTGTTCATGCGTATGCAGGGGCATCAACATGCAACAATATGTTTGGCCGCCTACCGCCCAGTTGAGTCCAAGGCCTCGACGCGAGGCGAATATATATATACTGCAGGGGTCTATGAGCCCGAATTTCTTGAGAATGCGGCGCGAAGTACTAGTAAATTCATATACATATAATATATATATAATATAACCCACCCGCTCTTTGGACAATGACGACTAGTATTTAATCACGGCCAGCGAGCGATATGAGCGGACGATCAATTGAACAAGGATGCGAGGTTATAATATACTTACCTTACTCCAATTCGTCAACACATTTAATGATTGTTGTATTTCGGGCCCAGCTAGTTTGCAATGAATCGGTCCGACAGAAAAATATCAGAATAAACTTAAAAAAGAGTACTTTGTAACTCGATTATTCCTTGAAGGTATATGTTATAACTAGTCTTGTTATTGCAGTGTGCACGGACGTAGGCATACTGGTAAGAATAGTAGAAAATAAGGAAAGGGTAACGTCCACCAAAAAAAAAGCGACTAAAGATCACCCGTATCTGGAGCAACATCGATTCCCGGATTCCCTCCTATACCAGGTATATAGCGGCCTTCTGCTCAAATTCAAGCTTAACGCTCTGGAGCCCCACCCAGGAACGGGAACGGGAACACCGGGTCATCATCAGCGGGTGGGAACTTGGGAAGGGTCCCGTCATCTACTATATCACAAAATTTCTTAATAGCATCCTTTTCTTCTTGTGACTTGTTATCGTCCCCAAATGACTTCATCAGGGTCTTGGTGATAGTAGCCCGCAGCTTCAATCCCGCTATTAATTCTTTGACAGGTTTACCAATATCCGGGGTCGTAGCCTTCAACATAGCATTGAGACGCTATTATGATGTTAGAAAAAGAGTTCTCGACATAAAGAATGGCGGTAGATGTTCAGGGTATATATACTTGCCTCAGGATAGTCTTCTAAAAAGTGTAGTATCGGTGGAAAGTCTACCCCCAGTTGCGGGGCCTTCGCACGGACATCTTCTGCTTTCCGAAGAAACAGAGTATGGTAAGTCATACTCTTATCCGAAATTTCGTGCCGGCAGGCCCAGGTATCTATAGTATTATAAATCTTTGTCATAGCTGAATCTAGCGCCTTGATGTACTCATTGTATTGTTCCCACGAAGCAAAGCCGACCCGTTTAACTTCCTTCTTCGAACACTCGGTCACGAGCTGGGTCGAGAACGGGACCAAGAAGAAAGCCAGAATGCTCCTTTCAACGCATGTCGTCGTAGTATCCGTTGTCTGAATTTGCGAAGACTCAAACTTCTGTAGACTCCATAGGTATGTAGTCCACGCATCCAAAGAAAGAGCTAGGAGCTAGAATCAAGTGGTTTGGAGCAGCTGGTTAGGTAAATATTCAAGATAGAGGGATCTCTTTGTTGCCTTGTATGATTGACGAAACAAAGTTAACCTAAATCAAGGCTTTTTATTCTTACCATATCCCTTCTACGGCAAGTAGATCCTCCCTTATATTTCTTCCAGTCCTGGTCAATGTCTCTCGACTTTTCTTCCAAGCGGCGGTAAAACGTCCAATCGCTGAGTTTAGCAGGCCGATTGCATGGCTCTGTATCAGGGATAGGGAACATAATAGAGTATTTATCGGCATTTGGCCTTAGAGTCATCAGCGAACCCAGTGTATAAATGTCGTAAGCCCCCATCAAAGACTAGATTTATAAAACGGCGAATCTTCCGCAGAAGCCATGTAACAAGACGATAGAAAAACTAAAAGGAAGCGAACAAGCAATGGTATGGATGGTTCCATGGCTCAAATTTCGAATAATGCGTATTAATTAACGACTTGGGTGGGCAATACTATAATGGTTTGTAAGAATACGATTGTAGTCGCTAGAGGGAAAAATAAATCGATTAACCCGGATATCTACTAATAGGGGATATGTATCAGGGTTTACAGTGGGTGGGCAAATATTTATATGCATCCAGTTTACCGTAACTAGTTGGCCGAACGTCGTAGTTATACATATGAGCCGCCAGGCGTTCATCTCTGATAAAAAAATATGTCAGTATCGATCCTGATTAAGACCACTTTGCTACTACAAATCCGGAGAATATCAATAACTTGTTCATCCGAGAGTGGATTCCAATCATACTGCAGGGCGAATCCGTGAAGATGTGCATAAACACATATATATATGCACCTTAGATTTGATGAGTAGGCCGAGGTCGGTGCCTAGCTAGGCACAGCTGCCTTATAACTATACCAATTGATAATATGACATGTCATGTGTAAGTGAACTTTAGACTTAAGATATGAGCTCATAAGTTCAAGCCCGACCCCTCGCAGTGGACGGTGCGGTGAGGTTAAGATTTACAAATTGAATCCGTTAGAATAGAACGTTCGAACCCAAAAGCTCTAGTTACGAACTTTGATATGATAATATTCATGATTCATGAGTTTAATTAAATCAGAGCTGACAGATCTAACAACTTATGGATGTACGTCTATGTACGCATACCCCTCATCTTGAGATTACATGTCAGTTACATTACAATGTACAGTATATACCGACGAATCTTCCAGGTCCGAACCCAGGTACGAGACATCAGCGAATAGTCATATCTATATGTCTCCACCTGCTGCGCTGCCTACGCATACCGACTCACTCACATCCCAGGATGCGCCCCGCTAGTCTGGGGAGCGCCCCGCGGGTTACACGAATGCAATTTCGGCTAGGAATGGATTGCCTGAAAACTATAAAGTGATCAACCGGCATCGAGGAACGGGATTGGCTGTGAGAACCTGCTGATTAATTTGTTGACGCAGGGGTCTTAGACTAGCCTTGAGTGTTGGACTCGCACTAGTAACGAGCTTACTATCGCCTCGTCAAAACGATAGTATATACCACCATTAGTACCTTGATTTTGTTAAAAAGGGAGAAGAAATAGAAAGAAGGAAAGGAAAGAAATGAAAAGGAAAGAAAGGAAAAAGCAAGAAAAGAAAGGAAATGAAACAAAGCATTCCTATCTACTCTACAATATATATGAGATAGCTTAAATGTTCTGTTCAAAGTCTTGACCCATTGGCTTCTCAAAGGGTAGTAAACTTTTAAACAGGTTACAGCGAAATATTAATAGCCGAGGTCTTATTATCACATCCTTCAACTTCATAGATCTAGGAGCCCCCGAATATATCTTGAAGCCGCTTTATTCGCTATACTATCGCCCTAAATTCACACTCCCGGGTTGAAAGCGTGCCGGCATTGATTGGTCAATACCTGGGTAACATTTTGATCTCCACTAACTTTCTCTATTCTCAGATAAATCGGCTAGCCTCACAGCTGCGCCGTCTCCAACTTTCAAGCTCGATCTCTTTTGTAATATAGAATTGTCTCTGGAGTAAAAGCAAGTGGGGGTTGTGCTCGCAGGATTTGAGGCCTCGGTGCCAGTCATCGTAAGCACATTTTCCTTACCTCTTTTGTTGACAACAGCGCTAAAGAGTGGACCCTGAGAAAACGCATATGTATGTATGTATGTATGTATGTACGTGCGTGTATGCCGTGGACTTACGATCAATTGAGAAGGAATGAAGAAACTGCGGGATTTGGGAGGAGGGTTAAGACTTTCAAAGGGTGGAGCTGGTACAAACCAAGGAAGGAGCGGCATTTTGTAAACACCGACCCGTGAAATACTGACTCCATTTGGTGGACGATTGGCATGGACCTATTGCATGTCCAAAGCCACTTTCCACTAGTCGCAACGATTGTGTAGTCTGCTGGTAACACAGAAAACCACGAAACATTTTCGGAAGCTAGCAAACTTCCCGCTGCGTCTCGTTTCTGGCAGCAATTGGCCAAAAGAGGGTGCTCGCTTGGATGGGGCACCCTGCATTTGCTAAACCCAGTCAGATCTGTGCTGGGTCATGCATATGCAGTAGACCCACAGCGCAAAATTCAACGTTTGATTTATGGGGACGATCGAGCTTGATTGACCCAAGATCCAGCCCAAAGGCCGTAAGGCCAGCGATAGAATTTCGGTACCTGTCCCAAATCCTATTATTCTCGCTTCTTCCACTATAATAAGAGATTAGGCGACCCGAAAACGTCGTCTCGGTTTCACCGTTGAAGGTTTCCCTCGCTAATCACCTTACAACAAAGTTGCCGTCTCCCGTGCGGGGCTGCGAACAAGAATTCGCATCTTTAGCAATGTGGGGACGGCAGGCAGGTACATGTTTAAGCCGCTGCATTAGCTAGGCTATAAGCACACGCCTTGCATGGAAGTACTCGAGTAGAGGCCCAAGAGTATCCCCGTAGCTCCATAAATGGTTATCGCGGCTTCTTCGTTATGTAGCTTCCGCATTAATTCGGATAAGTCGATTTCTTCCATCTATCTCCTCGGCCTGAATATGGTTGTTTATCGTTTGGGGGTGGATTTCGCGCTGTGGATCGATCTTTGTGGGTGTAGTAGCCAGTAGATGCACGTATGACCCCAGCGACCCAGCTGCATGGCTCCGCACAGCTCCTTCCCTATAACCATTAACCGTCCTCATGTTGGAGTATGGAATAGCGGGGTTTGCACAGTTTCCTTAGTAGACGACCGGCTATCGCCTCCGCCTAATGTATATTGAAGTCATCTCTGGAGGATCCTAGGAGCTGGGGAAAAGCTCTATTAAAGGCCTCGATGGCCACTTGAGATTGAAACATTTTTCCATATCATCCTCTTCAACCATTACAACCGTAATATAAAGGTTGACAGCATCCCACCGGTTTGCTATTGCATCGCCCTAATGCAGTTGAAGATCGCTTTCGCCTTCGCCGGACTTTTGTCCCACGCATTCGCCGAGCGTTTTGTTCCGGGCGCTTACATCGCTGAAATAAAAGGAATTGTTAGAATCCTCCTCCTTAAGTACTGGTTAAAAATAGATACCTTGGGGAAGTGTAGCTGACTCCCCTGAACAAAGAATGCCAATGGCTTTTTGAACAAGGCGCGAACGAGCGGCATCAAGATCCGCCACCGTATGACCCTCAATCAAGATACTAGTATCTTCAATGGTGTTTCTTTCAAACTTGAGGATGATACCCCAGAGAACCGTGCGATAATCAACTCCTGGGGCGAAGTCGTTGAGCTCTTCCCACTTCGAATATACGACCTCGCAGCCCCAGCTGCTGACCCAGCTGCTGCGGAACAAGTTGTCCGGGTTATCACCAAAGTTCTCGGCAAGCGTGGTCCTGACAATGTTTATCCACCCCACGTTCAGGGAAATGTTCATCAACTCCATGCTCAAGGATTAGACGGGCAGGGTATTAGAGTTGCCGTTGTTGATACAGGTATTGACCAATCCCTTCACCTGACTTTTTTTTTGCCATAATCGCTAAAACTTTGAAGGTATTGACTACCGTCACCCTTCGCTTGGTGGTGGGTTTGGCCCTGGATTTAAAGTCGAGTTTGGCACCGACTTAGTCGGTGACAGGTATAACGGCAAGAATACCCCAGTTCCTGACAATGATCCGATTGATTGTGCTGGCCACGGTACCCATGTTGCGGGTATTCTCGCTGCTGTTGACGAGCAATATCAATTCACTGGTGTCGCTCCAAAGGTTACACTTGGCGCATATAAAGTATTTGGGTGCCCTTCCGTCGGCACTACGGACGAGGTTCTCATTTCCGCATTCTGTCAAGCCGTAAAAGATAAAGCCGATATAATCAGTGCTTCGATCAGTGCATCTAGCGGCTGGGGCGAAGCCGCATGGTCTAGGGCCGTTGCCCGCATTGTTGAAGAAAAGGGTATCCCATGCACCATTGCTGCCGGCAACGCTGGTGGCGAGGGCCTCTTCTACGCTGGAGCTGCTGGCGATGCCGCCGGCGCTATTAGCGTTTGTTCTGTTAATAATCTGGTGATTCCCGTTATATCCCCAACCGCCAGGTTTTCTTCTAGTTCGGTTCAGAATGAACGGTTTTCTTTTCAGACCCTGTCTTTAAGGTTCCCGGCGGAGGCCTTCGAGCTCTACGTGCCAATCGGTGATGATGGGAAAATATCCGATGCTTGTGTAGGTTTACCAGCTGACGTTGATATAACGCACAAGATCGTGGTTATCCGTCGTGGCAACTGCAACGTTCAGGTTAAGGTCGATGCTGTAACGGAAAGGCTGCCCCCGAGCACGAACTTTCCGCCGGAATTCCCAGCAAGGATCATGTTTATTAGTAATGATACTGATACCTTCTCACCGGGATTTGATGGTTTCGTCTATGCCAGTATAACCACTCCGGCAACCGGTGAGCTCTGGCGGGTGCTTGCTTCCCAGGGGAAATCTATCTCTGTCAGTTTCGAAGCAAATCCTCCCATTTCAATTGAAAACCTCGATAACCCGACTACCGGAGGTAGTATATCCCCTGGCAATTCCTGGGGGCCGACTAACCGACTGAATCAACGTCCACACATTTGTGCCCCCGGCGGCAACATTCTATCTACCACTAGGCTGACCTTAAACCAATGGTATTCTGTTAATTCTGGCACTTCAATGGCTACTCCGTATATCGCTGGCGTCATTGCCCTATACCTCCAGAAAGCGAGGGCCGAAGGCCGAACTCATGTCCCTCCTGCTGAAATACGTATCGGTCTTGCAACTACTGGCCAGCCCTTAGTTTTTAGCAATGGATTTGGAAATTCAAGTTTTCTATCTCCTGTTGCCCAACAGGGCGGTGGAATGATTGATGCTTACCAGTTCCTTCACTCCAGAACTGCAGTCGACACCGATTTTCTTGAATTCAATGACACCAGCGATCGCCACTTTCGTAAAGCTATAAGTTTCAAAATCACAAACATCGGAGACGCAGAGGCCTTTTATGATCTTACCGATATCTCTGGACCCACTGCCTACACTACCATGAAAGACTCCACCATTCCTCAACTTTTCCCACCAGATATGATTCAATCATTTGCCGCGGTTGATATCGAACCGGTCGCTCTCAGGATCAAGAAAGGCCAATCAAAGAGAGTTACTGTTAGAGTTACACCACCAAGTGACCTAGATATCTCCAGAATACCTGTCTATGGTGGCTGGATCAAGATTGCCCGGAACGGCCTAGACATTGACAGCATCAGGATCCCATATATGGGCGTAGCCGCCGACATGAACTCGTTCAAGGTCACTAATTTCGAACAAGGTTACCCAAAGCTTCTCAACTACAGAAGCGAGGGTTCCACAGAAACCGGAGCCACGGAGCCACCGGTTCTCGCCTGGAGTCTCGTCCTAGGCTCCGCCGTCGTCCGTATTGATGTTGTTTCTGTGTCTAATAAGCTAGCGAACGACATCAGAATCTTTTCCGCCGATAACATCATCGGTTCCATCCCAGGCTACCCGCTCTACTGGAACCCAAGAAGCGGGCGAGGTCAAGAGACCAAAGTATCCTGGGATGGCCAGGTGGTCAAGGAAGAAGGTGGCTCACCTATTCCGGTTCCTGCTGGTACTTACCAGTTCATCTACCGCGCTCTCAGAATCGGTGGCAGCAAAAGTACTGGCCGTGATTACGACCGTTGGGTTTCAGACAAGTTTGTTTGGTCGCCTGCATGGCCGTAGTGCCTTGTTTGTTCAGTTGAAGCTTCTATTGGTACAATCAATCACTAGCTTGTAGAGTAGATAGGCTGTTGTATATTATGCGTTGATTGCGCAGTATTCCATCTTGGTTATGTAATTGCATCGATGAAACATGCAATATAATATTTATTGTCCAACTTTGCTCTAGTTTAGGTAACAGGTATGGCCTCGTATTGCAGGCACGGTATATAGATCTACGCCGGCTAAGTCGACCATACCTTCTCTAGATACATTTATAACGTTTATTTAACCTAGGCCATACAGAGCAACAAAGGGTTTACGTACAAGCACACATAAATCAGTGATTACGTTTTGTTTAGCTAAGAACTAAAACTAGCTCCCGGCCCAATCCTTTCAAGTAGCTTTAGTCCGGCTAATTGCGTAACATATGTTGTTTCGTACGTATCCATATAGTCCCACATCTTACTACTTTACAAGGGGGAAGATGGGGTGGGGAATGAAAAAAAGAAGGAGCTAACTATCATGACATACAGCTCCAGACCAGGTAGCAAAAGAACCAACAGATTATATGATCAATATATTCAAACCATATATCGGTCCAAAAAAATTCAAAAAGAAAGGTCTAAAGGATTTGCTGCCGACGGGAGTCGAACCCGTGTCGCCCGCAATAAACCGGATTTGCTCCGATGGGAAACGAGCATCATACCGTTAGACCACAGCAGCGGATAGAGTTTTTGGCCCAAATAGGACCTTATCAATCCGGTTTGCTGGCGGGTAGGGCTGAAATGCGGGGCTGTTGGATTTTTGGTGGAACAACGCAGATACCCTGGGGCTAATATAATATTGATGAGACAAGAAGATGAGCATATGAGGGAGACGACGAAGATCTAGAAGGTGAATCTAGTACTTGTACAGCTATTAGCCTGAAGCAAGAGAAGAAGGGAAAGTTGATCTTAATTCTATAGGAGTCCTTTTCATTCATTAAGCCCATTAACTAGATAGGCAAGAATGCTATCGCAGTAATGGCGCTGCAGCTGTTCAAAATAGCGACACGACAGTGTCTCTGCAACGTCAGCCTAACATGACACTGCAATGTCACTACAAAGTCAACATATACTCAACTTTCAAGGATACTAAAAGAAGACCCAGAACCAACTGCGTGCTAGTGTCAATACAACACCGCTGTAGCGATACCCTACGGTCTGGGCGGGTGGTTATCTCAGTGAATAAGACTAATTTCTTTTACAAGGAAGATTTGATACAGCTGGTCTCAATTTGTCTCGATCCTAGACACTTAAGCCACTTTGTAACCCTAAATCTGTTGAAGAATGCCATTTTTCATTCATATCGCTCCTGGTGGCGGGTAGTATCGCCCATAATCGGCCAATAGTATTTACAATTATTTGTTTCTTTCGTTTTTTTTGGAAGTCAAATTTGCAAAATAACAAAGCTTTTAACCCGTTACCTCCCTCGCGTCCCTAAGTACTCACCCAAGCTCACATGTAATCCCGCACTCGATCAAAAAACGCTATCAATCCCAGTCTCTCGTCTCCAAATCACAAAGCGAGGAATATTAATCCCACGTATGTAAATTCTTCAACAAGCATCCTTCTTCCTCAGTATCCGTCTTTCGTCTCAAGAACCCAATCTTATAAACAGTCTCCCCTTCCTCTTCTAACTCCTTCTTGACAGCTTCCCAATCACCCTCTGAAACAACAAGCACCATTCCAATACCCGTGTTCCATGTTCTTGCGAATTCTTGGTGTGTCAAATTACCCTTGTACCTCAACCAGTTGAACAGACTTGAGAGCTTCCATTGCTTTACGTCGACGATAGCAGTCATGTCCTTTGGTAGCATTCGTGGGATATTTTCCGTTAGACCGCCACCGGTGATGTGAGACATTCCTTTTACTAAACCCTTCTTGCAGACTTTGAGGAGTGGCTTAACATAGATTCTTGTTGGAGTCAGTAGCGACTCGCCGACTGTGATATTAGCTTCCCATGGCGCTTCTGCTTTGTAAGATATACCGTTCCTGTCAACGATCTTTCGGACAAGCGAGAATCCATTGGAGTGGACTCCATTGGATGCCAATCCAAGGAGGATATCGCCTTCAACCATGTCATCCAATCTAGGTAAGATGGACTCCTTAGTAACAGCGCCAACAGCAGCGCCGACGGCGTCATAATCGTCCTCCTGGTACATGCCCGGCATCTCAGCAGTTTCTCCACCAATAAGGGCACAACCGGCTTGTTTGCAGCCTTCTGCGACACCGGCGATGAATCCAGCAGCTTTTTCGACATCGAGTTTGGAGCAGGAGAAGCAGTCGAGGAAGAACAGTGGCTCAGCGCCCTGGACTACCAGGTCATTTACGTTCATGGCGACGAGATCAATACCTGTGATTTGGTTAGTATTCGATATTATTCGTTATTGACTGTAGAACAAGACTTACCAACTGTATCGTGCTTGTCGGCCAACTGGGCAACCTTGAGCTTGGTTCCGACTCCGTCAATGCAGCCAATAATCAATGGGCCACCATACCCAGCACTTTGTAAGTCGAAGACCCCACCAAATCCACCAAGGTCAGCGTCGGCGCCCACACGTCGAGTGGATTTTACGGAAGCTTTGATTCTTTCGACTAAGGCGTTACCGGCATCAATGGACACACCGGCAGAGGCATAGGTAAGGGCCTCAAGCTCTGGGGCTTCTTGTCGGAATGCCCTGGCCGGGTATTAGCGACATAAAAAAAATAAAATCTTTTGGAACGATAAAACATACCGATGAGCAATGTCTTTGCGATAGTATGCTTTGTTGAACTTGATGCTGTGAACGCCCTTGTAGGCGCTTTTGACTGCTGATTCTAGATCGTCTGCCACGCAATTGATAGCAATGACACGGCCGCCATCGGTTTTCAATAGGTCATCTTCCTCCTTGGTCCCTGCGTGGAAGAGAGTTCCTTCCAGACCCGGCTCCAATGCATCTAGTGTCATAACGTCTCCCTTTGCATAGGCGTCAGGATAGCCTCCGGCAACTACTACCACAGTGGTAGAAAACCTTGGCTCAATGGTAATTTGAACAGCATCAAGCCAATGCTCGCAGCACGCAACCATGATCTGTGCAAGATCTGTGTCCCTGCTCAACAGCGGCAAAACAGTTTGGGTCTCCGGATCCCCGAATCGGACGTTATACTCCAAGACCTTTGCGCCAGATCTAGTCATCATGATTCCAGTGAATAGCATTCCGACAAATGGCATCCCTTCTCTCCTCATACCATCGATTGTTGGCTGTAGCACTCGTTTCGTGATATCTTCGACAACTGATTGCGGTGCGATTTTGGTGGGAGCGTAGCAGCCCATACCGCCGGTATTAGGACCTTGGTCGCCGTCGAATATCCTTTTATGGTCTTGAGCTGGGACGAGGGGAACGATAGTGTAGCCGTCGCTGAAGGCTAGGATGCTTAGTTCGTCTCCTTCGAGGAATTCCTCAATCACAACCTCGTCGCCTAAAATATATTAGCTTTTACAGTAGATCAAAAAGTGGAAAGGGTGATATATTCTCATTCTCACCTGCATCTTGGAATATCTTTTCAACCATGATATTCTTGACGGCTTCGATAGCCTCCTCTTTTGAAGTGGCGACAACCACACCCTTACCAGCCGCCAAACCACTTGCCTTGACGACGACATTATGGGGTACAGATTTGATGTACTCCACCGCTTCCTCGTACTTCGTAAAGTTTTTGTATTCGGCAGTGGGGATATTATGCCTTTGCATGAAATCCTTGGAGAAAGTCTTCGAGCCCTCCATACGGGCAGCCTCCTTTGTAGGACCGAAACATAGTATTCCAACTACATGTCGTCATTTGTTAACCTCTTCATATCCATCCTCAGTCGTTACGTAATTTGGGAATAAGAACCTTTGCGGAAATGTTCCTCAATGCCTTCTACCAATGGAACCTCAGGGCCAGGGACGACGAGATTGATATTTTCTTCGATGGCAAGAGCAACTAGGGCTTTGAAGTCGGTGACACCTATTTTCTTGTTGGATGTTTTGGGGACAGTGCGAGCGGTTCCACCATTGCCTACATCATTGATACCATCGATTAGGAATGTGAAAGAAACACAATTATAAATTAAATGAAGGAGCCGACGAACCTGGTGCAACAATAATCTTCTCGACTCGATCCGACTGGGCGAGCTTCCAGGCCAGAGCATGTTCTCGCCCTCCATTGCCAACCAGGAGGATTCGTAGTGGGGTGTCTCCGATCATTGTATTGCAATTTTCAATTGCGACAAGACGATGTATTAGACGGTATTAACGTTATTCCAGAACGTTCCTTGAAGACAATTATCACCAGGACGGTACCAGTCCGATCGATGGATAGAAGGTAAAAAAAAATTGCTGTGTCTCGAGATCCGAATTTTATCTTGCAGGTTTGCAGCGCATACGGTAAATTTGGTTGGCGGATGGGATGGCGAAGGTTCCAATGGCCAACCGATTGGTTTGCCTGTGCATGGCCGGGTCAAAGCATGGCGGGGCACTCGAAAGTTTAGCATTCCAATTCGGTCACCAAAGAGAAAAAAACGGGCATGCGAGCTCCACCGATTCGGACATGGTCGTCCGATAGCTCGACGGCGGCTTTAATTAGAGACACCGCCAATATTAATCCAGTCATCGCCAGAGATAAAGTGGAAAATAACTTCTCCAGATCAAACCTCCAGCTTCACCCGCATATACGGATTTGTCTGTGCCAATTAATTGCCGCCATCTATTTTAGACTACCTTGGATATCCTGCGCTAGCTGTTGACTGCACTGTCGTCGGCAGTATTGTCCTCAGATACATCTCTGCAGCCATTGCGCAATTGTTAGGGAGCCCCTGTTATTGGTTCGGTGTTAATTCAAGATGGCCAGTTCGAGAAGACCCTTCACGATTAGTATGCACGGCATATCCTGATAGTATCGTCATCAAAGTTACGTACCGAGGCTGACATATGCATCTTATAAACAGAGGTCCCCTGCTCCTCTGCAAACATAGGTTCGCCATTCTCTTCTATTTAACTTCACCCCGCTTTATTTCGATTCGACCTGATCATGACGAGATCGTAATCACAAAAAAGACTAACTCTCGTTTGAGGGCTTCTTCAAAGGACCTGGCTTTGATGTCGTCGGACTTGCACTATCTATCTATCTTACACTTACCGTCACATTCACGGATGAACATCCAGACGCCGAGCACAATTGTACGATCACATATGAAGGCGACGGCGCCGACGAGGTACCATTAAAACCAGACCATAATTTGATCACACGGACAGCATTGTATGTTCTCAAATGCCACGATATCCGCGACTTCCCAGCCGGTACGCATGTCCATATCAAGAATGACATTCCGTTGGGTAGAGGACTAGGTTCCTCAGGCGCTGCGGTGGTCGCTGGTGTATTGCTTGGAAGCACCGTTGGAGATCTCGGTTTGTCGAAGGATAGGATGATGGATTATACTCTTATGATTGAACGACACCCGGATAACGTCACTGCTACGATGATGGGCGGGTTCGTTGGGTCGTATTTGAGGGAGTTGGACCCTAAGGACACGGAGAGGAAGGAGATCCCATTGAGCGAAGTTCTCCCCGAGCCCGCTGGTGGCCTGGATACAGGTCTGAGGCCGCCAGAACCACCACTGGGGATTGGTCACCATATCAGGTTTGGATGGGCGCCGGAGATCAAAGCCATTGCTATCATTCCAGATTTTGAGGTTGCGACTGCGACTGCTCGAGGAGTATTGCCAACAGAATACTCAAAGAAAGATTTGGTATGGAAACCCCCCTCCCTCTTTTTTTTTAAAAAAAAGCATCGGCTCTATGGGTTTGTTTTGATTGTCAAGCTTACAAGTTACATGCAGATATTCAATCTACAAAGACTAGCAGTTCTTACAACAGCATTGACTCGATCGCCACCAGACCCAGAGCTTATCTACCAGGCAATGCAGGACAAGGTTCACCAACCGTACAGAAAGACACTAGTATGTTCCGTTTACCGCTAAGCTATGTATTACTGCAGAAGCTAATGCCCACTTTAGATCCCCGCTTTACCCGAAATTCTCACTTCGATGACCCCTCAATCCCACCACGGCCTTCTTGGAATATGTCTCTCCGGCGCCGGCCCCACTATCTTGGCTTTAGCAACTGAGAATTTCGAGAGAATAGCTGAGGAGATATTGGCACGATTTGCTAAGGAAGGTATTCACTGTATCTGGAAGGTCCTGGAGCCAGTTCAAGAAGGGGCTCAAGTGACTGAATTGTGAGAAAGAATTGAATTATAGCTACTTCTTTGCATTGCTGTAGAAGGCACAAGTTTGCCCGGCGCCGAGGCTGAATAGCGCGATTGTTAAGGGACCCGTTTAGAGAGATAGCTAGATTACGATAGATCGCAGACTCGTCGATTCAATTGATTTCCTGGCCTTTTAACGTATTGCTCCGTATCGCGATCGCTTTAGTATAGCAGTGCAGTGTCCTAGCTGGCAATACCGGCCTATGTTATCCGAAGAATACGAATGAGAAATTGTATGGATGTGAGTGGTCAGCTGGCCCAATGGCCTCTGCAAGGTTATCCGTTAAGCGAACGCCGATGGACGGACCTGTAGACACAACACGGCTTCGTCCGATGTCAGGAATCCGCTTTTGCGACAGACAATGCAATCTTAGCTTAGCTTCTCTCGATATTTAATTTCTTCATCCGATCGATCTATTACGTCTAAAATAACAATCCAGCATCTCAAGGGGGGATTTTCACCGAAAACAATGGCTACCACTCGTCGATACGCTACTCTCAACAGAGACACAAACGAAACTAAGATCAAGATTAAGCTGTCCCTCGATGGCGGCTCGCTCCCCGACGAGGCAAAAGATGCGAATCTAGAGGTCCAGGAAGGAGAACAGGTATCTACGGGCCATGCAAGCCAAGTTGCGGGTGGGAACGTTCAGAGTATACATACCGGTATCGGATTCTTGGATCATATGTATCATGCTATGTCGAAGCATGCCGGGTGGAGTTTGGAGATGACCTGTGATGGCGACTTGCATAGTACGTTCTCCACTGCTCGAAAATTATAAAGGATCTTTTTCTCTTACGATTTTGCTAATGCAAAATTATGAATAGTCGATGACCACCACACTGCGGAAGACTCGGCAATAGCTTTGGGGATGGCATTCAAAGAGGCATTGGGTCCAATTCGAGGCTACAAGAGATTTGGGCACGGATTCGCACCTTTGGATGAGGTACGTCATATCTACACTTTCCATAATCACCGGAGAATATTTGCCTAACCAGTCATACTAGGCCCTCTCTCGAGCTGTCGTCGACCTATCGAACCGACCGTATGCCGTTATCGAACTTGACCTAAAACGAGAAAAGATTGGAGACTTGAGTTGCGAAATGATCCCTCATGTTCTTGAAAGTTTTGCGCAAGCAGCCGGTATTACATTACATGTTGATTGTTTGAGAGGGAAGAACGATCACCACAGAGCCGAATCGGCGTTCAAGGCTTTGGCAATTGCATTAAAAGAAGCAACGTCTCGGACGGGTGGCAATGATATTCCGAGTACGAAAGGATTCTTATGATTTTTTTCCTGTGGATACGAGATTGGAATATACGAAACACCATTTGCATGAGCGTCTATCTACTAAGCACGAATCTGATGTTCAACTGTCCCAAGGGTTGCCAACGCCTTTTAAAATGGGAAAGCTAGGCTTTGACTGTACCGCTTCTAGAAGCTGAAGACTTCAAACTTCCCTGTCGCAACTGTCGGATGTCTGCATATGCCATGGATGGGCCGCCAAGAGCCGCATCCCCTACAATTCTTTTGGTCTCTCTGAGTGGACTCGTCGGATCTTTGGCGCCTGTTGGTCATTCTGTTCATGCATATTGCAGCCTATTAATAGCTGGCGTAAGAAGTTTTAACGCCTTCTTTACATGAATTGGAAGGTTTTTGCGCTTTTATATTGCATATATTGAAGGTGGACAGGCAGAAGGGATAGCTTACGCACACCGGGATTTCCTGGCTCAGGAAACAAAGTTAGGCGAGTCTCATGTTACGTAGCTGCCCCGATCTGACCAAACAGAAAGCTTTTTTTCCTGCCTGAGTGACCAGCCTTATGAGCAAAAAAAAAAACGGGCTTTGTGTTTGCTTGCTTTGAAACCTTGAAACGGTTTGATTGCTCCGTACCCGATGGTGTAAGTTCTGGAAGGGGGCCTTCTCATCGGAGCTATGGGTTTACCTATTCTGAGGTCGCGAGACCAAAAGCGAGGATGGGAAAAAAAAGCATCCCAAGCTACCTCGACTAGAGGAGCCTAACTAGGGAATGTGTAATTCCCGGGACCAAACCCGCAAGCCTGCTGAAAGGGAGCTTATTCATCCGCCTCCGCGCAGACGCAAGAAGCTGTCGTAGCTTCGGCTACCGCCTTGGATGACCTCAGAAGTGAGTTCGAGGGAGACACCAGTGCACCGGAATCAATATATCGACGTAGTAGTGATCACTGAAGAGAGAAGATGTATAAAAGCTTCAACTGGGGGACAGACATGAAAAAGAATTCCCTTTAGAAGGCCACCGGATAACACAGACAAACCAATTCAGATACATCAATCACCCGGTCACAACTATAAAATTACAAAAGCTCTTAAAAAAAACAATATTTTAAATTCGTTTCAACCCTTTTTCATACTTAAAATTCAATTCTTGTTACTCAGCCCTTGAAAAAGTAAGCTTTCCGGTCGAGTTCTCCTGAATGTGATGGATGTGTGATTAGATATAAATATCATCATCCTTGGTTGATAACTTCAAAAAACTTACTTTTCTCCTCTTCTTCTTCTCTTCATTTACCTAGAATTCAACTTCTTTTTCGTTCTCAGCAAAACAAAACATTCAAATCAAACATTCACCACCCTCCTCGCATTTTTATACTTCGAATCACGGTGAGTACACACATCTTTTACCTACTCGATTACATAGTTTATCCCCTTAGCTCCGTGTTTCTTCGATGTTTTCGATCTTGGATGCATGAGCAGGCACACATCTCACACAAGTACATCCTATATCGTGATATATTGGCCGAGGGTGCGTCCGCGTCGTCTAGCTATACTGCTTCGGGCAGTGGCCACAGCAGCGACAAGACATCTGCTCATGAATTCACCCGCTTTCATGCTCCATGCTCCGTACATATGCCATGCCATGCTATGCTTGTGCATTTGGTGATGTTCTCTTCTGTGGGTGAAAGAAGCTTGCACTTGCTTGCACTTGCCAGCAACGGGACAGGGTGGAAGTATCCGTTCGTATCTCGTGGCGTCGACGGTCTCCAGTCGTTTGATCCACTTTTGCTCCGAAAGTATAGGGCCCATTGCCTGTTCGGCAAGCTGGTTGCGAGACCTGGTCTGCAGCTTACCATGCGTGCAATGGAAGAATTACCCGAGACGGTAATTCTTGAGAGGGTTCTGGGATAGTTCTGGGACAGTTCTGGGATTGGGCCCCTAGACGAGATGCAGTAATTTGGCATCTCAACAAGCTATCTTTAGGCCCAAATTAGCTGAGATTTCAATTTTCAATTTTCAATTTCAACAGGGAGGTTCAACTTAGCAGGCTTCAGGAGCTTGACCTTGACCTTTGGGGGGGTGGGAGCTTACTTAACTGGAGTTAGTCTGGTTGCTGCTGCTGGCTGGCCTTTCTTTCTCCTCTTTTTTTTGGTCTCCTTTTTCTTAGGCTTATTTCTCCCCCTCATTCCAATCCACTCTGCTTCTCTTGCAACCCAATCTGGGCACCTTTCCCATTCCCATTAATTCCCACAACCTGAACCTGAACTGAAATTAAATCCCACTCCGACCACGTCTCCCCATCTCCATCCCCTCATCCACCATCTATCTATCTCCTACTACCCAGAACCTTCATCTTAAAGAGTCACGTTAACGTTTTTAATGTATTTGCTCTTCCTTCCTTCCTGTCCATTGCCTTCTGTCTTTTTCCTGTGGTTCTAGTCTTTGCTGACGTAGCTTTTCTCGCGCACGGTAGACCATAATCAGTCAACATGGAAGGTACGTTCAGAACCCCCTCTCCCCGTCACGAAACCCAGCTCCAACTCCCACGACATTGTCCTTTTCAATGTCTACCCGGGTTTCGGAGCTCGAGGTCATCGATTAGACTCATCATAGCTAACTTTTTCGTTTTTTTTCGGGCTTACAGAGGAAGTTGCTGCTGTATGTGCATTCTCCGAGTTACCTCCCTGAAACCTGCCCCACCTTTAGAACCTCCACGCACGATGAAGGTTCCTGGGAGACACCACTTTGCTAACATTCTGATTTTCTGTCCTCCAGCTCGTTATTGACAATGGATCCGGTGAGTAGAGCTCCAATAAGCTTCTTTTCTTACGGTAAATGTCGGATGCTAACGTGGAGTGTGATACAATACAGGCATGTGCAAGGGTAAATAAAAAAAAACTCCGCCTCTTTTTCTCTCTCCCCCATCTTTGATTATGTAGAGCTTTATACTGTTGACAGAGTGATACTGATGCATCGAGATTTATACAGCCGGGTAAGCTAATGTCATCTCCGAGCTTATCGGCTACAGTAATTTTTAGTGGCAAATAGCTGACTTTACCCCTTTTAGTTTCGCCGGTGATGATGCTCCACGAGCCGTCTTTCCATCCATTGTCGGAAGACCCCGCCATCATGGGTACGACTCCCCTTATTCTGGTGGAAGAAGAAGATTTATGTAAACTTTTAAGGATGATGATTTGTTAACACCAGCTGTGCTACTATGTAGTATCATGATTGGTATGGGTCAAAAGGACTCGTATGTCGGTGATGAGGCTCAGTCGAAGCGTGGTATCCTTACCCTGAGATACCCCATCGAGCACGGTGTCGTCACAAACTGGGACGACATGGAGAAGATCTGGCATCACACCTTCTACAATGAATTGCGTGTTGCCCCAGAGGAGCACCCAGTTCTCTTGACCGAAGCTCCAATCAACCCCAAGTCCAACAGAGAGAAGATGACACAGATTGTCTTCGAGACATTCAATGCCCCAGCATTCTACGTCTCCATCCAGGCCGTCTTGTCTCTCTACGCTTCCGGTCGTACCACTGGTATCGTGCTCGACTCCGGTGATGGTGTCACCCACGTCGTTCCAATCTACGAGGGTTTCGCTCTCCCACAGGCCATCTCCCGTGTCGACATGGCTGGTCGTGATCTTACCGACTACCTCATGAAGATCTTGGCCGAGCGAGGATACAGCTTCAGCACCACCGCTGAGCGTGAAATCGTTCGTGACATCAAGGAGAAGCTCTGCTACGTCGCCCTTGACTTCGAGCAGGAAATCCAGACTGCCTCCCAGTCCTCCAGCTTGGAGAAGTCTTATGAACTTCCTGACGGTCAGGTCATCACCATCGGTAACGAACGTTTCCGTGCCCCAGAAGCTTTGTTCCAACCATCTGTCCTCGGTCTCGAATCCGGTGGTATCCACGTTACCACCTTCAACTCCATCATGAAGTGCGACGTCGACGTCAGAAAAGACCTCTACGGAAACATCGTCATGTCTGGTGGTACCACCATGGTATGTTTGGCTCTTCCCCCCACGGATTACCCATTTCGGATGTGTAACGCTAACTTGCTTCCCTCGCTACTTTAGTACCCCGGTATTGCTGATCGTATGCAGAAGGAAATCACCGCCCTTGCTCCTTCGTCGATGAAGGTCAAGATCATTGCTCCACCAGAACGTAAATACTCCGTCTGGATCGGTGGTTCCATTTTGGCTTCCCTGTCCACCTTCCAACAGATGTGGATCTCCAAGCAAGAGTACGACGAGAGCGGCCCAAGCATTGTATGTGAAACATTCGAACCCACGTGACTGAGAAGCTTTATTCTAACCGATTCCCAAACAGGTCCACCGCAAGTGCTTCTAAGCGTATTCTTACTTTGGCGCGTTATTTTATCCATTTTCTCAACGGAAAGGGAAAGAGTGGAGTGGAAGGAACTACGAAGGAGATGCATCTATGGGGGGAAAAATTCGACCACTTTTTTTTTGACGAGCTGAAAGGATTCTAGTTTTTTTTGGAAGTCGATTCTGTGAAAGATGAAGGATCCCCAAATCTCGGCTCTAAAAAACGGTGCCGACCATGTTTCTTTTGTTTACTGTGTCTCTGACTTTTTTTTGTACCACTTTGACTGGCTTTCTTTCCTGGACACCCGAAAACCAAAAAAAACCCTCTACTACCATCATCATCATACCCAAAACCCCCTCCTATTCTCATACCACCGACCCACATTTTTTCTTTAAAAATGCTTCTTTTTTTTGAATGTTTTGCTGAGAAACGGGCAATTAAAAATCAACCTTTTTAACCCTTTTTCAAAAATTATGATTCCCATCGTATAAGACTGCTAGGCTGATACATCGTGGCTTTTGCGTGATATGCTTCTCTTTTTTTTTTTCTGTTTGTTTCGGGGATGCGAAGCTTATTTGTTCTTCTAAACTAAACTAAACTAAGCTATAGGATTGAATTATCGACTTGATTATATATACACTCTTGTATACTCCTAGGAGGTATATACAATACATGATTGTATAGATCATTTTGGAAAGGTGAATGTATTAAACATCCTACAAATGCTCACGCATATCTATCAATATATATACAGAGCAGCTGGCTTGCCGTGAACCCCAAAACGCCTACACACCAATACCTTCCTATGATACTAGTCCAGTTCCAGCTATGATACAAAAATAAATGAAAAAAATCCGTAGCAATAATCAAAAGTCCGCAAATAAATCGTCAATTGCCGTCCTCTTCTTCTCTAGAACCTTTTTCGTTGAAGTTGATTTATCGGCAGTCAGGGGTGTTAAAGATCTTCTGTTCGTTTGTAATTCGACTTTTTGTCGTTTTATAACTATTCCTTCGTCTTCCTCTGTTACGTCTATCTGTGCCTTTCGAGTTCGTTGGTGGTTTTGGATAACGAAGGAGTCTCGACTGATTACTTCTCCCGTATCTTCTCCTCCTCCTTCTTCTTCGTCATTTTCTTTAGTGTATAGTTTTGAAGGGGTAGTTTCTTCAATATCGTTGGTAGTATCGATATCCTGATCTGTTGATGTCGTCCCTGTTATCTCTTCATCTGCGAATGGCTTTAGAACCTCATGAACCCTAGCCAGGCATCCTAGCATTACCATACCCATTGCTGCGTATTGTGTAGAAGTGATTAATGTTGTAAAAGCCCTGTGAGCGTTCGGGATTATAGCGATCCATAGTCTTTGTAGTAATACCACGAAGGTCTTGTCGGATTTTAGGAGGGTTGTGAGGGATTCTTCTGAGTCTGAATCCGAGTCTGAATTTGATTCTAGATCTGAGTTTGCATTTGAAACCGAGGGTAATGAGGAGGAAGTATCTTTGTTTTTATCTTTATCTTTATCTTTATCTTTATCTGGGTATGTATGTTGTAGATGGTCTGTTATACGCTCCAACGAGCGTTTGAGCATTTGTAGCCATTTGAACCAGAGGGAGGAACGATGTTGGTTTTTGGTCTTGTAGACGAGGAGGTGTAGGATGTTACGGTCGTTTGTTAAGATTGTGGATAGGGATTTGGGAGATGTTGGGGTTATGAGGGGGGGTGATGGCGGTGGTTTTGATGGTGGTGGTGGTGGCATTTGTGGTTGATGTTGAAGAGGTTTAATTTTCAATTTTTTTTTAATTTTTTGGAGCTTGAAGCTTTAAATTTGGGGTTTATCTCTCTCATCGCATTTTTAAAGCTCCCCTTGTCACGGTCGTCGCGTGTGTAGGTTTCGCTAAAAGAGGTCCAACAGGCTGGCTCCAGTTCTGCGACATCAACTTCACATCATCCTCGTCCTCCCCATCTACTTCACCACCGGTCGTCTTCAATTGAACTATCGTCTAACCCCCACTTCTACGTTTCTTTCCCTAAAACCCCATCAGCACAAGACCAACCAAATAAAAATAATAATAAAACTATACCAAAGAAAAACCAGAAGGAGAATAAAAAACGAAAAAGAAAGAGAAAAAGAAAGAGATCATCATGTCCTCAAACGTCGGTCTCTCCACCCCACGCGGCAGCGGCACCTCCGGCTACGTCCAACGAAACCTCTCCCACATCCGTCCACGCGATCCAAACACCTCATCCTCCCATCCAAAGGACTACGATAAATTCGAAAGACATAGACAACGACAACCGGATAAAGAAATATTGGATCATGACCGGAAGAGGAACGTGGAGGTTAAGTGCTTGGAGTTGAGGGATAAACTTGAGGATGAAGGGTTTGTTTTGTTCTTCTTCTTCTTCCTCTTTTTTACTTTCTTTCTTTCTTTCTTTCTTTTTATATATGTATATGTATATGCATATGTAGATGCATATTATATAATGGTTACAGATGGGATAACCTGGCTGACTTCTCAATGGGTGATCTTTTTTAAAAAAAATATATAGACTGGACGAAGATGAAATCGAAGAACGAGTCTCGGCTTTACGAACCACGTTGATGGGACAATTGGATTCACAAAGAGTCGATGCCAGGGGTTTAAAATCACATCAAGTTCATGAATTGGCACAGGCAAAGATGGGTATGTCACTCCTATCCTATCCCACACACACACACACATACATACATACCCATCCAACCTTCTAACCTATATTTTTTTTTAAAAAAAAAACAGCCGAAAACGCCCGTCTCCAACGCGCCCTCCAAATCTCCTCAGACTACGAAGAAGGCAGCCACTGGAAACGCCAAGCAGAAGAAAAAGTAAGAAGACAAGAAGAGATGGCCGCAATGGAAGTACTAGCCATACAAGAGAGAGAAAAACAAAGACAACGAGAAGTCGAAGACGAAATTAGACGGGAAAAGGAAAAGGATGCTGAATTAAGAAGAAGGAATAGACGGGACAGAAGTGAGAGTAGAAGTCGAAGCAGAAGCCCCAGTAGGAGCAGGAGCGATAGGGGTAGAGGGAGAGGGAAAGATAACGAAAGCAGATCTAGGAGTAGATCTAGGAGAAGTGACAGTTACGATAGTCGTGATAGATCGAGAACTAGGAGCAGGACTAGGAGTGAGAGTCGAAAAGGTGGGAGGAGGAGGGATTCTAGAAGCTTGAGTGGAAGTCGGAGGAGAAGTGAAAGTAGGAGCAGGAGCAGGAGCAGGAGCTACAGCGCTGACAGGGCAAGGAGACGATATGATGATAGTGATTGATTCTTATTGCTATCAATACTTTGGAAGGGATGGTACGATATCAATGGTTGGCGAATTTGTATTTCGAGTTTTCATTAATTGTCATTTGCATCCGTACTCTTGCTATCAGAATGACATAATGGATGTTAACAAAAGCCTGATACTTCTATTGCATCTTGAAGCAGCAATTAATTGATCACAATTCCAAAACTTTATATATAATTTCAAACTGCCATCTTCTCCTCAACTGAAACGCTATCTCCGAAATGCTAAATTTATTCGTTTATTGTTCTTTGGATATAAATTAAGATGTATTTCCAAATCACACACCTATAAAGAAAAACGCCTCCCACCATGCCAATGGTATATCATACAAGCGAGTGTCTAGAAAAGGAAAGGGGGAAAGAAAGTGAAGGGAAAGCACATTTATATCCGTAAAAGAAACATGTTTGTAACATTTAGTAACCCATCAAAAGAAGAAAAGAAGGAGGGAGCGAATTCCCCCACTGCATTAAGCATTAATAAGGGCTAGTTGGTTGGTTAAACTGCTGTATTTAGATCATCGTGAGGCTATTAAAACCGGCCCGGCATGTAAGCCTTTCTACCATAAAACAAGAACTTGAAGAGTATTCTTCTTTCTGTCTTATTCCTCTTTACCCTTCATCTTCAAGTCCCAGGTCATTATTGTCGAATAGAATAAAACACCCCACGTGATTATTGCGGGAAAACGAAACAAAATGAAATATTACCGCTAGCCATATTGCCGAAAAGTAGTTTCCTTAAGAAGGAACTGAAGGGATACGACACATAATTTGTATCGTAGCATTTCCCAAAGAATGCTATGTTGTCATTAATACAAGTCAAGCAAGGGGAGTGGTGTAAAAGCCTCGGTGTGTCATCAGGAGCCAGTAGTATACTTCAAAAGTAAATTCGATAGGTGATGGCATTTTAAGCGTCGTAGTTTCCCTTGTCTACCTTGCTATATCCTCTTGGTCGGTGGATGGCCCAGTATACCGTGTACCCGACGATACCGGCCAATAGCACGCCGCCGATAACAAGGTGAGGTACATGTTGCCGCATCTAATCCACAAGTTGTTAGATTTCGCCGTTCCTTTCGAATTTCATATTGAAAACCCAGAATCATAACTTACCCAGAAAATGGTCTGAGCATCCTGTGTATGCCAAGAGCTGCCCTTGTACACCCTAAAGAAGCTCCAATCGTTATGTTGCTGCTCCTTAGACATCAATATCCTCACCCTATCCATCTCATCAAGTTGCGTTCCAGTCCATTTCTTCCAAATAATACTTAGAAATAAGGGACCGGTCGATGCCATGATTGTGATGTAGGGCATTACCCAATGTCTATCGTAGCTCTGTAGAACCTCGGTGACATGGACGAAGAACTTGTGTTCAGGGATAGCAGACATGACGTCGTTGGAGATTCCGGTTGGGTCTGTTTTACGGGCGACAGAGGGGTAGGCGAGAAGTGGATCGAGTTTGCGTCGGCAGCCCTGGTAGTAATATACATGTTAGCTTTTTTTTGTTGTAACCTTCTCTATTTGTGCAAGAGGGTTTCTTTGAAGGTATATAAGAACACATACGACATCAAGATCGATGTAAATGCCACCAAATTTCCTGAGAGCGAAGTAGCGGATGACGTCGGCTCGCATGATGGGGTGGTCATAACCGTCGAAAGTTTCCAGGAACCATGGGTACTCCTTTGCGATGAACTCGCGGGCCGATTCGTCCGTCCACAGCTATCGGGTCGAAAGAAAATCACAATTAGCTTTATACTATAAACATTTCCACATATTGGATTTCGGTAGACACATATCTAGCTAGCTAGCTAGCTAGAAACGAAAAAAGAGAAAGTAAAAGACTATCATACCTTATACTCCCAATCGGGATGTAAATCTAAACACAACTTCTGCGGCGCCTTCCATTTCTCAGGAATATCGGCAGTCTTGTATGTCTGATGGATGATCTTTGGCACCAACGCAGGACGTTTTGTGAACTCATCGGGAGCATCGAGTGCGACTTCAGCCTTAGGGATGAGGTCTTGGGAAACATCCTCGAAGAGGAGGGAGATTAATGTCGAGGTCGTATAGACGCCGTAAGCGAGGCCGATAGCGACGGCAATGAGGAAGTAGACGAAGGCTCGGCGCATTGTTGCTGGTAGCTTTTATCGCGCACACCTCTCGTTTTCCTGGGTTGGGTTTGCCCTTGTAACCCTCTCTCTCACTGTCACTCTCACTTTCTCTTACTCTCTTGTGTATTTTTTTTCCCAAGGAGGGGTGTTTCGTATTTTTTGTGGTGTTCCCTGTAGAGAGTTTGAGGCCTGTGGGAAGGAGGTTGAGAAGAGTAAGAGAGTAAGAAAGTAAGAGAGTAAGAGAGGTTTGTGCAACTGCTGGATCAGAGCATACCCGGTTGTCCAGTTGGATGAGGGAGCGAAGGCAACGACCTGCGAAAGCCGTCGTCACAGGGGGGCTGCACCCCGATGGGGCCAAGCGGGAGACCCGGTGGAGACTTGGCGTTGCTTGGTTACTCTGTTACTGTGGAAGAAAGTACGTCGGCTTCGGGGCTGAACAGACGCCGAAATCGCGAGATGATGTTGACATTGATCATGATATCAGACTATACAGCACTGATATCTCGAGAAATTAAAATGAGATGAGACGAAAAGAGCCGTGCATGATGATTATGATGTCTCTCTTAAACAGTTTTTTATTTTTATTTTTTTAAAAAAGGGTCCTCTCGATTATATCCTTACCGATCCGAACTATATGTACTAATTGACTTAAGTTAGTTCAGTAATTTACAATGCATGCGCATGTACATACATGCCATCCATGTGTCTATGTATACGTATGCCCTTTCTCTTTTAACATTCCATACGATATACTATACTAGCTAGGTATACCACCACTAGCTCGATATTGCCAGCCAGCATGTAAAGAAACGTGACAGAAACTTAAGTGTTTGAATATAATAATATTGGTGGGTCTTTCGCCGTTTCAAAGCTCGCCTCAGACCTGTCCCAATCCGGCAATTTCTCCAGAATTTTTCTCAACGTCCGGCACAACTTAAACTTATCACTATCACACACGCACACACACAATACATACTCTCAAACCATAACCTCCTCTCCCCCCACCACTACAGCAGTACCTCACGCGCACACACACGCACTCTCCCAAAATGGACTCCTCTTCAGGCTCAGAATTTAACCTCACCGACCTCTCCCAAAACGATAAGAAAGAACTCCAACAATTCGTTTCAAATGAGGCTCAAAAGGCTAAAATCCAGTCCAGTACGCATTGACTCTCTATCCATTCACCTTTTCTTCTCGTTAGATACCGAAAAGAAAAAGAAAATAGAAAAGAAAAAAAACAATACTAACATTTCTATTTGAACAGCCGTCCACTACCTAACCGACATGTGCTGGAAACGCTGCGTCACCTCCAAAATCTCTTCGGGACAGATGGACTCCTCCGAACGCCCGTGCATGGAAAACTGCGTCGACCGCTACATTGACTCTCAGATGGCAGTTCTGAAGCACCTGGAGCAGCTGAGAGGCTAGATCTTCTCCCTCATATCCTACCATAGTAAAATACTTATATTGGGGGGAGGGGGAATATATCGACTGGAGGGAGGGAGGGAGGGAGGGGCTAAGGCTTCTAATACACCTCTTAAACCTCCTTCATACTTGACGCTCGAGGGCACACTGTCCTTTTTTCTGTATTGTATATATATGTATTTGTTACACTTCTTGCAACGGGTATTACTAGACTTCTTTTATGATTACTGTTTTGGCGGAGTTTTTATGATTACTACTGGTTAACAGGCCAAGGAAGAAAAAAAAAGGATGAGAAGGAGAATTGTTTATAATCATGACATAAACGCCACACCTTACATATAAAATCGAGGGAACTGGAGGCTCGAGAGACAGAGAGAGGGCAGCCTAACAAAGAGAAGGGAGGAAGGGGGGGGGGGAAGATAACTTAGCTATGGCATCTGTGCATATGTGATCCAGCATAAACACGCTTAAATGACGAAATATACCATCCAATCCGTCAAAGCTAAAATGGACGAAACACGGCAGAAGAACGCTTGTGCACATAATCACATACATAGTACATACATCACTGCATCTGTTTCTTAAAATATCCCAGTTTTCTGTTCTGTTTGTTTGCGTATAAAAAAAATGGTTGTTCCTTTTCTCGCCTCGAAAGTTTCAGATCCATATCCCGTGCGGAAAATGCCTGCCTAGTTAACAGTCGACCCCAAAAAAAGGGGGTACACACAACCTGTCCGATTAAACGTATACGAATGTAAGTACCTCATGCACATGTTAACATCCAATGTACCCTTTTTTTGGTTCGAATTCGTTTCTTTAAACATACTATGTGGGGCCAATTCCCATAATAACGATAATTCTTTCCATATGCTTGCTGTATTCAACAAGATTTTCGTACATTTTCGTTCCGTTTCTGTGTATACTATTCTACCGGCAGCAGGCAATGAACCGAGGATAATTGGCGTTTATACCGCCTTCATGTAAGAGCTACGTACTAAAGTAGATAGCTACCTCCAAGCTACCCTTGCTTTTAATCACGAGTACTTTTTAACTTCTAGATTTTTTTTCCATCCAAAAGATCTAGAAAAGGATAATTCCCTGCAAAAAACGGAATAGTAAGTTTCACATCTCGCCCCCCTCCCATAGCTTGTAACCAATTGCCAATCGATCGTACACAGATGGTGTTTATACCGAGAGTATTTTAGAAAATACTATAAGTACTTATATTTAGCATTTTTTCTCGTAGGCTACCTATTTAGCGCGGGGAAACTATTTAGCTAGTATGCAAAATAGTCTCGAGGACAGCATATGACCCCCCGTCCATTGCATATACGCCAAATTGCAATTGGGCTTTTCACAAGCTAATTAACTAACATAAAAAGGTTTCCTCGCGAATAGGTACCTTTTAGATAGAGATACGAAGCTATACCAAGAAACTAGAATAAGAACAGAAAAGAAGATAATGAATTAGATCATATGATTAATATCTCGCCCGTGTGGGGGGTAAAAGAAGGGATCTCAATTAGCTAGCTAACATAGCTAACTGAAGCTGTGCCTCCCCCCCTCCTTGTATCTACTGAAATTTGGAAAATTTTGAATAATTGAATAATTGGTATTTGATATTTGATATTTGATATATTTCGGGTCGTCAAGGTAGGTTCACAAGCCATTTCGACCATGGCCAGTGATCCCCACGTCAACAGTAGTGAGTAGTAAAGAATCGAAAAGAGCTAACTTTTTTTCCCCTCCCAGCCTATCGTACAAGATAAACACCACCCCTTTCCTAGAAACCAAAATCCCAAAAAGAAAAGATGAAAAAAAAAAAAAAAAATGTGTAGTCTCCAAAGAAAAATCCCGTGAAACCTGGAAGATACCCTGTCCCAAAAAGATCCAAAGAAACCGTTTTTTTCTTTCTCCTTTTTCCCTTCTTTTTTCGTTTTCGTTTCCGTTAAGGTAAAAAAAAGTCGTAACCCACACCCCCCCATTCCATAAAAACAGAAAAAAAAATAACCTAACCAAAAAATATAACCCCCAAAGAGCCGTTAAAAGGAAAGTAAGAAAGAGAGAAACCCAACCGATTTTTCTTGAAAGAGTAGATTGAGTTATGTTGTGTGTGTGTGTGTGTCGTATCGTATTCATCCCCACCCTTGATAGCAAAAAGATAAAACAAAATGTCGTAACCTTGCAAAGGAGCATGCGTGTAGCAAAGCTAAACTAGCTCCTGTTAAAAAATAAAAAAAAGCATAAAAAAATATGTAAAAGAGGGTTGCTTCTAAATGAGTGTATGAAGAGAGAGTGTGAAGGAGGGGGTGTATTAGCATTAGCAAATAACTCCTCTGCTTTGATATGTCCTGATCCGAACAAAAAAAGAGAATCGAAATCAAAAGGGTTCAAAAAACTCGGATCAGGAATAATAAAAACAATTGTACAAAGAAACCAAATGGATCGATCGAGATCGAGGTAGATAGAACGTATGCAGTGCTTGCAAAGGGAACTCGTGTGGAATAAGCCGTAAAATAATAGCCCACGTTGCAGAGATAGACCAGAATAAAGCAAATGGTATGCCGCCGTTGTAAAAAAGCCGAAAAAAACGAAACAAAAAAAGCAATAGATACCGGGGTATTTGAGAGAGAACCAGAGTAAGGAAAAACATCAAAAGGTTAAGCAAATGCTTAAATGTCGCTCAAAATGCAGGTCGCAAAAGGTCCGCAAGTATAAGTCGGTGTAGTAATATTCACAAATGAAGCGAAGTTCCGTAGATGAGGAATCCAGGAGAGAGGGGTGGGCCGATGCCTGTGGCCTGAAATGATTACCAATGTAACACTGGTGTATTCGACTCGTCGTTGCTGTTGTGTCACCTCCTGTCATTTTGACGCATCGAGATTAGACGCGGGACCTGACAGGATGAGAGGTCGAGGCCAACAATTTCCTTTCGTTGGGTGAAGCATGTTGGTTTACTAAACGCTGAACGTTTGCGGAATCATATTCTGCGTCCCTTAAGACCAACAACCAGGAGGGCAATGATAGCACCGATGACGAGGATGCCGACGACGCTCATGACTCTGTTGACGTTTCTCCACCATCTCGCGTTGTCCCATCTTCGACCTTCCTCGTAGGTGGTGAAGCTTGGTAGAGATTCGGTGTCGACGCTCTCCTCATAATGGGTGATGCTTGGGCCGCGAACGTGGTTGGATTGGCTTGGTGGGACCACGGCGCCTTGGACTGCCTGTCGGATTTCTTGCCTCTCCCTTCTTTCCCTTCGCTTTTGTTCTGGCAGAGGATGGAAAGCACCAATGAACCAAGCTACAAAGCAACAGTCAGTAAAAGGAAGTATGCAGTAGAAGTGTGGATTACTTGAACCTACCAATGGGAAAGACAAATCCAACACAAGCCAACACAAGATGGATGTTGAAACGCTCTGATCGGTTGATAGGATAGGTCTCGAGATGAGGTTGGTTGAATTGATCTTGAAGATCTCGGCCTTCAGGGTTGAAGGTACCCATCCATAAAGATCCAGCGTTGGAAGCGTGAGTAGCAATACGTTGAATACGAGCAGGGCGAGGTCGCTGAACAGGAGTTATGGCGAGGTCATCGTCAATGGATTCCTCTCGATGGTGAGGTAGAGGTGTTCCACGGCCATAATATACTCTGTCAATCGTTTCATATTAGCATATATTTGTTCCGCTGCATGTCCCCTGCAACCGCTTATGAGGGAGGGGGTTGTCTCACCTTGCCCATTCGGGAACAGTCTGCGGGTTATAAGAGGAAGCCTTGCTGGATTGCCTGTTTAGGTCAACGGGAGAACCAGAGGAAAAGACAGTTGCCCTCTGGCTCTGAAGTCCTTCCGTCTGTAAAATTTGCGGGCTAAATCCCTTGGTGTTATGAACATTTACGGAAGGTCCAGAAGCACCAAAATTGGGCTCAACTTCGGAAATAGATGTAGAACTCGTATTGTACCCCCAAACCAGTCTGGCTAATGGGTTTGAAATCTTCCTACCATTACTCGAGTGGATCGCACGTGAGACTTCATAATCTTGTACCGCCTGCATTCGCGCTCGTTTAGGCTTGTTAATTTTCAGTGGGGCGGGTGCGTTTGTTTCTGTCTCAAGAATCCAGGAAAGTGCGGGTTGGATTTCGGGAAACTGCTCTGCGTCTATCGGTGGGGTGACATCAGGACTTGAGGCTTCAATTTCCTGCAAAGTTCTTGCCTTTTTGAGGATCGGCTTGAGCAATTTCGGTAAACTAGTCGGTGAGGGAAGTGGTTCCGCTATTTCCTGAAAGATTGGTCCCACGGAACGTTCTGGCGGAGTAGGAAGCGGTCGGGTAGGTGGTAGCCCGATAGCACTGATGCTTGAAATGTACGAATTTGTCGAGTGCTTGCTCGATACCCTTGTTACCTGTGTAAATGAACCACGGCGCAGGCGCTGGAATTCGTTGGAACGGGATCGCGGTCGAGAACCTGCCGAATTTGTAGTAGAAGATCTGCTGCGGGTACCTGTGCTAACGGATCTAGGATTGGATCTTGACCTTGAGCGACCGGACACTGGAGTTGCTGCAAGTGGGCTGTGAGGAACCAAGCGAATTGTTGATCTTACGCCGCGCTCTGGGATTGGTGGGGGTGGCGGAAAATTTGCAACTATAAAATTACGGATTTCTAATGATGATTTTGGTTCTGTTGAAAGTGTCGATATAGATGTTTGTGCTTTAATTTGTTTTATGCTGGAGCCGGCAGTATAATCTGGTGAAGGAGTGTGTTCTGAAGTTGGCAAAGGAAAAAACGAAGAAAGATCGTGGTCAGCAGACTCGCTGGTGTTAGATGAAAGAGTGGACGCCGATGGCTTAGCAGAGACTTTGGCGGCATTCGCTGTCGAATTGCTCCTGCGAACGAATCTGATTGTCGAAGTATCCTTTGGCGGACCACTATATTATTTAAATGTCAGCGCCTATTCCCCATTACGGCTATTTTAAGCAGAGCGGAAGGCCATCATGATTATGTTTTTCGTCCTGATACATATGACGAAGGTGGAGGGGGAACCCAAGCAGGGCTTAGAATTTCAAAATAATTGTGCCCGTCGACAAGTGTAAGAGAGTAAAACGTTTACTTACGTGTAAGGTGGAGGCCCCGAGGGGACCCTGATATCTGAGCTCTTAACATTTTCGGTTCGGCTGGTGCTTCCAATAACCTGGATTGTCAATCTGCTGCCTCGCTTCTCAGGCGACGAGCTGCGGTCCGTCTTTGAGGTTCGTTTACTTCTGACACTTGTGCCCCTCGACGGTACACCTTCGTTTTCATCATTGTATCTGCTGAGAAGATTAAGACCAGTTTCCAGGGATCCTGTGCGAGAGTGTTGCGACCCTTTGGCTGGCAAATTGTGGAACAGGGCCTGGGATGACGCTAGCGAACTTGAAACATCCTCCGTTTGCTTGACCCCGGCATTTATCTGTGAGTTCGACCTCTGGTGAAGAGCCCGCCGTCTCTCGGTCGCCATTGTCGGTATATGGTCGAATTGCTTCGAGTAAATTGTTCCAGAAAATAAAAAATAGATATTAAGATATTGTTGTTTGTCGGTGGGCCCAAGGGTCTAAAAGAGGGTCGGAAACAATATAAATTCGAGATCAAATTCTTGTTAAATTTTTATTTTTTTTTGTTCCGAACAGGTATCCACCAAACAATGCAATGTCGTTTTGTGTAGAATTTTGTTTTTAATCAGAATAAAATATCGTCGTCATATAATATAAGGGCATGAGAATTGCGTTAGATTTGCTGGAATGAGTAGCAGAATGTTACGGGTAAACGAAGTGGGCAGTTGGCAAATCGATAAAAGTCAAAAACTGGATAAAAGAATGGCTGGCTGAATATACGCCGTCGTAAAAATGATATATAAAAAAAGAGCGTGGAGGTCGTAATGACGATAAAAAAAAGAGTGACTATGTCGAGGTAAAAGAGCGACTTTGGCAGATTTTTCTGTCTATAACTAAAAATTCATGGTGATGGCGGCTGTTGAGGTGCTTCTACCAGCTGATTCGTGGCCCCCTCGTCCTGGAAGCTCCTCCTCAAACCACACCTTCCGACTAACGCTGGGATTTTCCGAAGATAGTAAGTTAGAACTCCCCGAAACACCACAATCTACCAAAAGAATGTAATTCCGTCTTCAACGACTGTCGATGACGAAGAAAGCAGGAAATAAGATGTCTGGTTTTAGAGACAGGTGGGAAGCGGAGGGGAAACGTGACGGATGGAATGAGAAGGCCGTTGGGAGTCCATGTGGTTTTGATGTCTCCCCTAGTATGCTGTTCTCGTCCAGCCCACTTTTTTTCGCCGCCGCTTCGACATTGAAATTATGTGAAGGGGCAGCGTAGGGCCGGTCACGTTTTTTCCGAGTCTGGTACTTTTTCAGACACCGGATCACCAAAGTCAACTTCACCGTGGAGTTTTCCCATTTTCGCACACAGCCCCCAGCGGCCAAATGGCACTAGCGGTTCTAATTGGTTCTTGATCCAGCTGAACCTCCATCCATTGGATCGCTTGGGTGTTCGTGAGCTTGACGTATTACCCCCCCTTCCATAGTAAGAAGCAGGAATTAGGAGGTCTCCGTCCCATTCGCTGAGGCTTGATTCACTTCGCCGTAACAAGCAGCTCTCGCTGAAGAAAAAAAAAACTGCTCAGAAATGGATTCAGGAGCATAACGGTGTTGTTGTCACCTGCAGGAGGCTATCACGTTGTAGCAGGAGAGCTAGCCTGGGGACGGGTTTATGCAAGGTACCGGAACCTGCTGTATGGAGACGTGAACCCTGTGAAGGGCATGGTGGTGCCTGTGCGACTGGCAAAACAACATGGTCATTTCCCTGCCGTCTTACACCTTACGCCATGAAGTGGAGTTTTTTCTTTGGTGGGTACGTGGGTTCTTTCTCGCATACGGGTTCGGCGTAGTGAGGATGACAGGAAGAACGACTGTCCACGGACCAGGCACCGGGGTTCCCTAACCTTCGACTTTCTTGACGCCCAATCAGCCTGTAGGTCGACCTAGATCCGGCTATGCGGTAAATAGGAGAAGACGAGCTCGATGGAAGCCGAACGCGAAGAGGTGTTTGAGGAGATGCGGCCTTGGTCACCGGCCACCCTGAATTGACCAATCAGCTTTGGCGCTTGTGTCTCCTTAAACGACGATGAACATGGGGGTGTTCTCCACCGTGGCTGTTACCGGCCATTGTTGGCCTGATATAGGGCTCCGAAGACCTTCGAGGGTTTATATCTAGCCATATCTGCCTGCATGTTGTCGTGGCATGCAATTGTTCGTTCAACGGAATCATGGGAGGTGAAGATAAGAGGTTGGGTTAAGCTCCGAGGTTCTTGAGTCTGCTTAGGCGCTGAGCATCAACATGGCGTTCACCTTCAGAGACTGTGTACATACTACTCCAAACCCCGGCACCCATGATCCATGTGCGTGTTACGGCAAACACCAATAGTTGGATACTCTGTACTAGCTATCCTGTGTTCTTCTATTGTTAGATATCTCCCCGACTGGAATTTTATTTTGTCTAGAACTTCGGATCTTTGACTTCCTCAAGGGAGTAGGTGATCCTAAATTATTTTTTTCTTTCTTCTTCAGGTTTAAATTTAAAATTTTTCTATTTAAAAATCAATAAAAAAAGTTTCTTCATCAAGGTCGTCCTTGTTGGATGCAATATGCATATAGTATCTGTATATTGCAAGTCCAATTAAACCCTAACCAGTTTTTTGCACGGGCCGTCGTGATAATCTCCCAACATCACCCTCACTTGAGCACGCGTACGTATGTACCCCTCTATCACAATATCACGTCGTTGCTTATCGGAGATATACGATATCCTGCCATCTCGATTACGTTGGTTCACGGATGTTAATTTTAATGAATCGGTACCTGCATAACACCCAGATGCCCATCCCGTATAACAAAGGTCGAGGCTGCGTATAAAAAGGAACAATGAATGGTATTTCATTATAAAATAAAGAGAAAAAAAATGGAGAGGATGGGAATCCCAAACCCACTAGCTCAAAACTACCTGTCGGTCATTAAAATCACAGGTCGGCGCTGGCGGCAGAGGCAGCGCTCGCCTTAGCCTTGGAGCCCCTTGGCTTCGACTCCTTTGTTGGCTTGACCGACTTCCTGTAGGACCTGATCAGGGCGGATGCACGAGAAATGGCATCCTCACGCAGATCGGCACGGTATCCCTTCTTGGTGGTGGAGTTGGCAATTTGGACGTAAGCCCTGCGTCGCAAGTTAGCATTTTTCTTCCTCCCCACAACCCCTCCAAATGGTGTCTTATATCAAAGGGCTAGACGTACTTTCGCGAGGTCTTCGATGGCTTGTACGATTGGGAGATGGTAGCACCGGTACCCTTCTTCTTGGTCAGGAGCGAGATTCCTCCCTTGCCAGATGGAACGATTCCGATAGCCTGTCAATCATTCACCGAAAGATAGTCGAAAAATTAATATCATATCTTCTGTTGAAAAAAAAAAAACCTCCTCCCCTTCCACCAGATCGATCTAAATTCTCAAACTACCCCTCGGGTTGCAACGGATTTCAACGAACCTGGTTGTTGATGGCACCAGCGTGCTATAAATCGTCACCAAGAATAAGTTAGCGTTCCGTTCCACCTGTCAAGATATCATTCCGTAGAAATTCCATAGAAACACAGAAAAGAACGATTCCTCTCGATATCTCCGGAAACAAGTCCAAAATGGGAATCCAACCTTTCTCGAGTGAACGTTCCTCAAGTTCAACGGATCACGGCTCAGCCTGACTCCGCTGCCAGTCTTCCTCTTGACGAGGAAGCTGGAGTTGTTGCGGGTGATTTCCCATAGAAGGTCACTATAGCATCATCCAGACAGCAATCCATCAGCATTTCTGTTTTTTTGTTTCTTCCTTCAAATCAAAATTCCCAATTCTCATCCTCCCCCCTCTCTATCATTTCAAAAATTCGGAGAATAACATGGCAGTATCGAGGCAAACGTACGAGGAAGCTGGGTAAGACATTATGGCGGTGATTTCTTGCGAGAATTTGACGTTTATTCTGTCGTTTCTATCGTGATATATGATCTAGTGTTGAGGACGAATATTGAAATCTCTTGATTGATTTTGAGTGTTTGATTTGTGGGCTTGGAGGGCAAGAGCCTGTTATTCCAAAACGGCTGTTTTAAACCAGACAAACACTTTGGCTTCAACGTTCTATTCAACACATCTGTTAAATTACAACACTTCGCAACACCATTTTGTGGTATATCTAGAATCGATGGCTGAGCTCGAGGAGGACAGCTATAACTGATCCTTACCGCGGTACCGGCGATAAGGGCCTTGTGTGGCCTCCTGTCGATAACATCTAAGTACTAGTTAGCTGCACCCCTTCTGTGAACATAATTTAACAATCTTCCTACCGTCACCAACAAGGAGCCGCAGTGTGAAATACAAGCATCCGCTATTTCATTTCCCAAGACCGAACCTTGCATCCTTTAAAACCACAACCTGCGTTATGCCGAAAAATAATACACGATTCGAGACTCTCCTCATAGACCCTAATATGTAAAACGGTAATAGATACACAATCAATGTTTCTAATTTTACTAATTCAAAGAATAATATAGTTTGGGGGAGAACACTACAACCATTGATAAATACAAGCTTCCCCGGGGGCTCGGCACAGCCTCGTTTAGCATATTTCCAGCCTCAGTAATCCGGGATCTCTCCCACCCCAAAGCATTGGCTAGACATAGCTGCAAGCCTCATGTCACGATATTACCCTTTTAGGTAAAATATCCCAGAGTGTTGAATAGGATAGAAATCTTGCATACTCCTAGCGCCTCGCCTCGAGACTAATTCCAAAATATCCATATGGTTTCCCCCCCGCTTCAGTGGCTGCGGCCGGGGTTCTAGAAAAGAGATTGAGTGTTTGTATGTTCAGCTGAAAGGTTCCAAATCCCGCCAATAATTTGATAATGTGATAGCCATAGTATGATTACGATAAGGGTCGAGTTTATTCCCCCCCCGCTTCTGTTGTTTGGATTAAATAAAACTTATCTTCCTTTCCTTTTGTATATATACTTGTTCTATTGTTCTAGACCTTTTTTCTTTCTAGTTACCATCCCCTGGCTGCATTTAAATAACGTTACCATGCCGTCGGGTTTTTAATTGGCTACCACTCAATGTCATTTCGATTATCCTCGGCCCGTACCGTTCGCGTTCCAAAATGTCGGCGGACGCATGGATACAATCGTTAATACTATCCCAGTCCGGTGAACATGTAAGTACTTAATATCTACTCTTCGAAACTCTCAACATGCACTAGATATATACATATCAAGAGTATTTTAATAATATTAATTATAATATATGATGTAAAAAAAACAGGCATTAACATGGTCCCTAATGAGCATACCCTTCATCCTCCTTCCCATCCGTCTCTACCTAAGATACATCCACCACCACCGTCTCCTCTCCGACGACTACCTCCTCTTCGCCGCCTTCCTGCTAATGATCACCCTCGGCGCAATTCACACCTACCAATACCCAATCCTATTCCAAGCACACTACTACTTCATGAACACAGACAAAATTAAAACCTCCTTCCCACCAGAATTTCTCAGAAATGAAATCCAATCCCTCTCAAAATCACAGTTTGCAAAGATTTTTATAATATGGACGTTACAATGGTGTTGTAAATTGAGTTTACTCCTGTTTCTTAGACGGTTATTGAAGGAAGTTAATAATACGCCAGCATTCATATTATTTATGAATTGGTGGAGGTGGTGGTGGTGGGGTGTAATGGCGATATGTACGACGGTCTGGTTAGTGGGTGTACTTATCAATTGCTTTACTTGTTTCCCACCGAAGAGGAGGTGGGAGGGTAGTATGTCTCTTTCACCTATCTGGCATATCTTAGGTATTTATATAATATATTGACGTTTCTTAATCTAGATTCCTGCAACATATCAACCACCAATAACGGTCTAATCGCCGCCACAATCCTGGACATAACCTCAGACGTCGGCATAATCCTTCTCTTCTCCAATCTCTTCTTTCTCTATCGACTAAAAATCAAATTTCCACTCTGTCAGAAACTCATCATAGTTGGTGTTTTCGGTCTAAGCATAGTTATCTTGATATTCCTCGCAATCTTCAGAGTTATATTATTATACAAATCAAGGGAGACGAATAGTAGTATATGGTTGAACGGAATAGCCGCAGCGCAATCCGAACAGGTTTTTGGAACTACGGCCGTTGTTATTGCGATTTTGCCGGGGTTGGAGCTGTTTTCTACGAAGCAGAAGTCTACGCAGGATGTGGAGGGGTTGCAGAATACCAATGGTGATAGTATTCATAAGAGCAAAACTAAGGGGGAAACAGTCGACGACAACGGCAATACCACATTGTTCTCAACGTTAACAACTTGGACACCTGAAGAAGGAGAACAACAACAGCAACAAGAGGAGGATAATACAGTGTGTCTAAGAAAGTTTATGAAACGTGAATCCAACCATAACGTTGTGGCACCGTTTCCCGAGCCCGAGGAATATACTCCGGCGAACGATATCAATAATAATGGAGGGCAGAACATTTATGCCCCATCTACGAATGTACCTCCTATACAGGTTAAGTTACGCCAGGTTATACCGGATATAGGTGGAGAAACATCGCCTGTTATACGGAAACGGTGAATAGGGCTCTTTTTTTGGATTTTGATTTTTAGGGTTATATTATACTATTTGGAGATACCTGGTATATATATTTCGTGCACAACTTGTTTAAATACCTATATACTTAGTGTATATCGGGAACAATCCACTATCAAAACATCTCAGTCTCGACGTAACCTACACATACGACCTAATAAACAATCTTGATCTAACTATATTACACCTCTAATTCTAAATCTTATAGTTAAATAACTATTCTAGATTTTCACGGTATATACGCATCCAAAAACCTCCAGGGAAATAATATAATTTATATTTCATATCCCACTCCACCCCATAGGCTCTAATATATATATACCTCAAACCACTTCTCATGGCCAAAAAAGCCCCGCGTATATATGAAACCCCCCCAACTAACCAAGGAGGTTATAAAAAAAAAAGTTATAAAGTATATACATGAAATACCGATTGATAAACCGACAGAAATCTGCCTGCAAAACAACCGGCAGCGATGAGGTATGGTTCAAGTTAGATAACCTCCCTCCGCTAAAACCCCCCCGTAGCATATTAAATACTACGTATACCTATATATATATATATATAAAAGAAAAACAAGAAAACACAATGCTGATTCCCATACCCTTGAAAAGTGTAAACATGAGCCTCAGGTGGCTATATCAAAAGGGGAACGAAGAGGGAAAAAGAGGAGCAAAGGAACACACGGTTATGCCGAGAAAAATACCGCCTGTTATCAGTCAGGTCGGTTGTGCATGTGAGACACCCTTCGTAGAGATGCGAATGCAAAATGCGGGAAAGAAGAACAAGAGAGAAAAAAACAAAAGTAGGCTCGCTTTATATAAAAAATCTTGCGGCCGTGGGATGTATCGTGTCTAGAAAGACATCAGATGCAGATGGAACCAAAGGGAAAGGACAATGACCTCAAATAGAAACAACCCTGCAAGAACGACCCGATAAATGAAACCTGATGAATACTGACCGCAAGGAAAAGAAATAAAGGAAATAGGAAAGAGAGTGAGGAGGGAGAGATGGAGTCGGTGCGAGTTGCGGTTGGGGTATTAGAAAGTAAATATTAGAATGTGATAAGTAACGAGTGTCCAGTGGAAAAACGAAAGCAACGCTGGTAACATATGAGCTGTTTGAAAGACGGAAAGAAATTGCGCTGGTGGAGACCCCCCCGAGAGTGTAAGGTTTTGAGAGGTGGATATGATCCCAAAGGGGGGTGTGTGAGAGCTGAATTTGATATGGATGTGCGTCAGAAAGGTGGAGCCCCAGCAGAAACGAAAAAAAGGCATAATGCTGATTGAGAAAAATGCAATGCGGATGTTGCTCAAACGCCAATGTGCTTCTTCAAAGTAGGATCGCCAAAGAAAGGATAGAAAAGAAAAACGGTGCTAGAAATTTCGTCGAGAGGCTGCTGGCTGTTGTCGCTGCAGAATTGGAGACATTAGGAGAGCCGGTCGACTTGGCTGCAGGGTTGCTGGTTGGACCGGCAGAACTAGGGCTAGTTGCTGTTACTGGGATCGAATCTACGTCCGTTGTAGAACGAGAAGCACTCGGGACTGCATCCGGACCTGATCCAATTTCCATGATATTCGTCGACGTACTATTAAATATCGTCTGACCAATGGAAATGGCTTCATTGTCCATATCGTATACGACGTATGCCGAGCGGAGGAAGGTATCTCCTAGGGTGAGAACGCTGCCTTCATTCATACCGAGAATACCAAAGTAGCAAAGAATATGGTTATCCTCGTTTGGTTCATCGGTAGCATCGATGATAAAGTCTCGAAGATTAACCTTGATGGTTGCCCCTGCGAAAGTAAAGTTGATAGAGCCTTCTAGTGAACGTTTGGAACAGTTGACGGCAGGGCCTTTGTATTCGGGGACGGTGATAGCGCCGACGAGTTCAATAAGCTGGCCCGCGATATCTTGCGGTAAATACGTAAAGCTTGCGCCACTGTTGAAGACTCGCGTTAGCATGATGTTTAATAATATCTGGATCTATTATGCGCCCGATGCACTTACGTATCTAGCAATGCAGGGGTGTTCCGGGATGTGTTCATTAGTTCCCTAGACTCCCCATCACCATTCTCAATCGTCAAGCCATGCAACGTTATTATGAAGTCGATCGGTGACGGTAAGTCGGTCCGCCTGCTGAGTGGGATAGTCGCTAAAGGCGCCTTGAATTTCCCCGTATCGATCCCTCCAAACAATATTTCCCCAGCGGCGGCATTCAAGTCGTTCAACCAAACGGAATAAGCGCGAGAGTTGATGAGTCCCTGGTTTACCATCTGTGTGACAAGACCTGGGTACGGCTCCAATCCTTGCAAAACCCTAGATTGTCGACGTTCGAATCCAATACCTAAGACACCTTCTTCGCTGGTTCCTTGGAGACCGATACCGAATTGAACATCCTTGACGCCGACACCACCAATGCCGAGTGTATCCTTTGCGTATACTCCTGATGCGTATTGACCGTCGACATACATGATCGAAAAGTCGCCTTCGACATATTCTGCGGTTGAAGAGGTTCCATTGTCGTAAGTTCCACCGATGTCGCAACCATTCCCTCCATCTCTTCTACATATTTCGGAATTTGCTGTTTCCACCCAGATATCGCTACTTCCAGTGTCTATGTGAAGACGAATGTGCTGAGGAGGGGTCCCTACGGTGACATTGGCGTAGAACAAAAAGTCCTTGTCGGAACGTTGCGGTGTTAGTCGGAGATATTCAATGGTTTGACAGCCATCTACATTATATAATAAAAAATATAGTTCAGACGAAATCGATGCCAACATACCTTATTATCTAACTTTTGAACGGCCGTTTTACTAGCAGGTTCCCGTTTACTGACTTGATTGTGTGTAACTCGCTCTTTTGAAAATGGAACCCTGATGACTTTCGAAGACCCATCTCTGACGAATAGTGTCGAAACCCCAGATGATACGAGTAGCGGAAGGACCAACAACCACGAACGCATGGTTGTATGTGTGTGAAGGAAAAGAAAGAAAGAAAAATAAAATAAATAAGATAAAATAAAATAAAACACCAACGAACGGTTTAAAAAACCGTGGAAAAGGAAAACACGAAATACTATATCCTCAGCATAAGAAGATATTGGTTTCGCGTGAGCGAAGAGGTTGGAAATCTGGAACCGAGACGGGATTGTTATGAATTAATTAGGAGGGGGGGGGTCCAAAGGCTTGTGAGGAAGAGCCTGCTTGGACCTCGATGTCGGATAGTATGAGATAAAACGAATGTAGGAAAAGAATGACAGGCGACGGCGACGACGACGATTAGAATTAGGATTATGAATATGAATATGAATAAAACAAGAAAAACCAAGAAGTCAAAAAGCGAAAAGAATATTATTAGAAGAGGAGGAGTAAGAAGAGGAAGAGGAAGCGGAAGATGAAGGATGCGAATTTGGGGAATGCGGAGAGCGGTAGTATAGTAACGTAACAGCTGGGAATTGGTTATCAAATCTCGTTTACGCTGTCGTTCATGGTAGGTCCCTAACAAGGTCAGTCCCAACCAGTTACCTGTTATGTGGGCACATATCCACTGGGCTGAACCGGACTGAAGAAGAAGAAGAAAATAGAAAACAGAAAATGGTGATGGTGATGGTATGAATGTATGTAAGTAAGTATGTAAGAGGTATCTCTAACACTCAGATAAGTCTAGAAACCTGCCAAAGAGATTAATTAATGAATGGGATGGGATGATGGCGGGTGGGACCGATATTGCATTGGCCGATGTGCTTCACAAACAGCCGCTAGCTTGGTGGAACCACCCCTGGAAAACGCCCTTCCCTGCTGCACTGCACTGCTGCACTGGAGAGACTGGGAGACAGCAGATATGCATGTATGCAGGAACTTGCAATTGTCTTCCGGCTTGTATTCTCGATTCAGGATTCAGGAGATAGATAACAAAAGATGCGGCCAATGACAGGTGATATGCTGGAAAGAATGCAATGAGGCTGTCCATTTCTGCCTCACAATCGATCGTTCAGAATGGTAAATGGGAGCATCCAAAATTTAATTAATTAATCTTCTTAAAAGAATAATACTACAAGATAATATTAATTTGCGCGAGCACGCACACTTCTTTTTTCTCACTCTCGTTCTCGTTCTCTCTCTCTCGCTCGCTCTCGCTCTTTTCTCGCGGCCTGCCTGTTTGTTTGTTACGTAGAATCCAACTAGCAAGGGTTCCGCACAGCGAACGAGGGGAACAAGAAGGTCCATTGATCTAACCTAACTGTGGGTGGCGCACTTAGTTACATACTTAAGTTACTTACATCTGTACGTACATGTACGTCCGCAGCTTCGACTTGGAGATTGCAGGCCTGGTGTTTCTGATTACGGGACCCCTGTCAAAGTGCGATGCCATCAAAAAAAGGTGGGGGAAAGAGTATGTACTACGCGCACGCATTGGCCAATTTGACAGCGCCAAAGAGCGAAACTAGTGGCTACCGAGCCCCTTTTAGTTCGTATATCTGGTGGTGGACCCACAATCAGACATCAAAGACATCTATCTAGAAGTTAACTAATCAGACGTCCTCACAAGAGATCTTGAAACGGAAACAACCGAGTAGAAAAAAAGGGCTGTGAAACGACGGCGCCGGATTGAATCGGTTCCGATGGTCGTGAAGTGTAGGCACATAATAGTCTCGTAAGAACCCGGACGCCTTAACGCCCGTGGCACATGTACTTGGACATATGTTTCTGAAGATCTTATCTCCATGGCTGGACTTGTAGCCGACTGGGTTCGATCTGTTTATAGATACTTTTCTTAAGTATATATTATATAGCGTGTATATCGATCCACGTGCGAATATATTAATATTTCTAGATCTTTGAATATATTAACTTATATTAGAGAATCTACCAGTATATTTATATAGATCAATGATACTAGCGTCTATCATATCGTTCTACCTAATAACCCCACCTGTTACGTAAAAGTGAGGGGATTCACCCTGGTACTAGTACAGATAGTGGGCGTAGGAGGGATAGGGGAGCAGGAGGAGGAGGATCGATCGAGGAGACGAAGAGGTGCATGGACCTCAACCAAACTTGTGTTGCACAATGTGTTGCTCCGCCAAGCCTCTAACGACACGAGCTTTCTTGTCTCGCGTACAGCACCCTTCACACACACACACACATACCTCTGCTCCGATATCAAACCTGCAACCTTGAAACGCGTGCCCACAAGTCGACTCGTTCATCATGGCTGGCGAATCCTCAAAGTCAGCAGCGCAGAAGGCTGGTGCAGCTGCAGACGGTCCTCCCGGATATGAATTACCATGGTTTGTACTCTTTTTACCATTTCCAACTTTCTTGGCAAGCTGTGTATTCCTTATACTAACATGATTGCTGGGGACAACTTACAGGGTTGAGAAATATCGACCTCGATTCTTGGATGAAATCGTCGGAAATACAGAGACGGTCGAACGGTTAAAAATCATTGCTAAGGATGGGAATATGCCCCATGTTATAATCAGTGGTATGCCTGGTATTGGGTATGAAAGACAGAAAAGAAACAAGAAAGCAAAAAAAGACCGAACGATATAGCTCGATAAGTTGCTGAAAGCAGCTATTCCGGCAAAGATTGCTTTTGATATCTCTTGGGATCTCAGCTGATTTGAACTTATCGAGGACTTCTTATTGAAGGAAAACTACATCTATATTATGCCTTGCGAGAGAATTGTTAGGTAATACCTACAAGGAAGCTGTCTTGGAGCTTAATGCTTCTGATGAAAGAGGTACTTCTTCACTACCCATATGCTATTCTGTAACAACGTCAATTGGGAAGTTATTTTTCTAACATGCCATAAAATTGATAGGCATCGACGTCGTCCGTAACAGAATCAAGGGATTCGCCCAGAAGAAAGTCACCTTACCCCCCGGCAGACAGAAGATCGTAATCCTCGATGAAGCGGACAGCATGACATCGGGTGCCCAACAAGCCTTACGTAGAACAATGGAAATATACTCTTCGACCACCCGTTTCGCATTCGCCTGCAATCAATCCAACAAGATCATTGAACCCTTACAATCCCGTTGCGCCATCCTTCGATACGCCAGATTAACCGACCAACAGTTGTTGAAGCGATTGATGGAGATATGTGCGGCCGAGGATGTAAAATATAGCGACGAGGGACTTGCGGCATTGATATTCAGTGCGGAGGGGGATATGAGACAGGCGGTGAATAATCTACAGAGTACGGTAGCTGGCTTTGGATTTGTGAATGGGGATAATGTATTCAAGGTGGTGGATTCGCCGCATCCTGTTGCCGTCCAGGCTATGATTAAGGCGTGCTACGAGGGAAAGATTGATCAGGCGTTGGAGACACTACGGGAGCTATGGTATGTGTTTAAACCCAGCGACATAGCGCGGAAGCTAAGCTTTGGATACAAACTCACTAACGATATCTGCGTATGGTACAGGGACAAGGGATATTCTGCAGTTGACTTAATAAGCACTATGTTCCGCGTTACGAAGACGATTGACACTTTGAGTGAACATTCGAAGCTAGAATTTATCAAAGTAAGAATCACCTACTCGATATTGCCCCCCAAACCTCAAAGCAACAGGAGCTAAATTCCGAAACTAGGAAATCGGCTTCACACACATGCGGATATTGGAGGGCGTCGGAACGCACTTACAACTCCAAGGCTGCATCGCCCGTCTGTGTCGGATTAACATGAAAAAGCCGTAAGGTATTTCCGCCCGGTCGCCTTCCGGTATGCTACGAGCGGTTCTGGATCCATTCCGCTCGATAAGATATTTTTATACTTTTTACATTCGAGCATATAAATTTCTATTAATGGAAACCCCGATGGCACACGACCCCATATGTCTGTATGGAGTATCCACACGGAAATCGTCTTATCATTGCTATAACCTACCTACCCGGCGAAAATCCAACGGGAAGCCCGTTAGAGGTTCAAGAGGGAAATTAATGGGTGTGGCGTCCCATACCTCGCGTCGGATCGGAGAAATGCCGTTACTGTCTAGTTCGGCTCGTAGTTTCACATTCCCGAGGTGCTTTTTATTTTATTTTATTTCTCGTGAGGTCTTTCGGCACTGGGATCCACGATATTATAATCCTTCTAAAAGTGATTTTCCATGTCTTTTTTTCATCGGTACCTCGAACGCAGCTTCCCAAAACGCGGCGGGTTTGGATGTATCTGCAAGGTCCCTATTTCCGCTGTAGAGAAAGGCTGGGCAAAACCTCGAATGGGAATTAGCCTGAACCGATACATCGGAATGCGTCTTTTTTTTGTGTACAGTGAAGAGAAGACCGCACCAGAAGCAGCATGGTCGAATCGGTGTATTCTGATTCGTAAAAAAGCCAATGCCGGTGTCCGCCATGTTCGGTATCACGGGCTAAGCTAGTTTACTAGTTAGCTCTCGTGCAGCCGTGATCGCATCACATCACATCAGATATCAGAGAGAACACGGCAAATGCCCAGAATCATGCAATATGCAATATGTAATACGTTGAAGCAAAAAATTATATACAGAACATTAATGGAAATGACAGACACTCTGAGCTCCATGGGATCCACTGCATATATGCATATCTATGACTAAGTAGGATTTACATTGTAGCTAGCTCTGAAGCAGGGACATCCCCTTTGGTCCTTTTACTTTGACTTTTATATATACGTATTCTATTAGCTAACTCGAGTAGTCTTTTTTTTTCACAAGCCTGGTCTGGGAAGAGCATATTGTTATTAAACTCATCCCAACAACCTTTCCTCCGCTTTCATTCCTCCCTCTCCTCCTCCTCTTCTTCTTCTTCTTCTCATCCCCAGGTTTTTTTGTAGGATCTCCGCATTTCTCACCCAAGCAAAATAAAACTCGTTTCTTTTAATTTTTCTTTCATATTACCTTTTCGTAGATTTTCAAAATGGTTAAAGCCGGTATGTCAGAACTCTCGTTCATGTGGTGTTTTGTTGAGCGTATTCTTTGCTCTTCGCGATGTCTCGCTGCCCCCCGCTAGCCCGGAGTTGCCCCTCATTGGCCCCGCATTCTACGTGCAAAACCCACAAAAAAGGTATTCGGATAGCTAACAGTCGTCTACTTCACAGCTGTTCTCGGTGCTTCTGGTGGTATTGGCCAGGTATATATTCTCCCAGAATCCAATTCCGAAGCTTCACGATTCCATAGTTTCCACAGGTTGTTTTTTAAAAAAAAAATTAAAAATTAAAAAACCCGGTGAACGCTTTTTAAGCCGGGGTCCGGAGCGGTGGAAGCTATGGAAAGACGTGTGCACAAAAAAGGATACAAGAACCCCGGATGAAAGGAAATGCAATGAATTGAGATCTGACCACGAGTACTTACTTTTCTACTTTTGAATCAAAACAGCCATTGTCTCTCCTCTTGGCCATCAGCCCATTGGTCGATGAGCTTAGCCTCTACGATGTCGTCAATACCCCAGGTGTCGGTGCTGACCTTTCCCACATCAACAGCAAGGCTGTAAGTTGTTCTGATCCCCACACTTCCCCGCCCCTCCAGTGTCTGCATTTGAATAGTCGGGGAATTAATGAAACTACATTGTACAGAAAGTCACTGCCTACCTTCCTGAGGAAGGAAAGGGCCTCGAGAAGGCTCTCACCGGCACTGACATCGTTGTGATCCCAGCCGGTATCCCACGTAAGTCAAATAAGATGATGACAAAAATAAAACCCGTTCTAAAAGGGTATCACCCTCTAACGCCCCGAGAAAACAATAGGAAAGCCCGGTATGACCCGTGATGACCTCTTCAAGATCAATGCAGGCATTGTCCGTGATCTCGTCACCGGAGTCGCCAAATACTCTCCAAAGGCCTTCGTCCTGATCATCTCCAACCCCGTCAACTCCACTGTTCCAATTGCCGCCGAGGTCCTCAAGAAACACGAGGTTTTCGATGCCACCAAGTTGTTCGGTGTCACTTCTCTCGATGTCGTCAGAGCTTCGACTTTCGTTGCCGATGTCGTTGGCGGTAGCCCAACTGACTATAAGGTCCCCGTTGTTGGTGGCCACAGCGGTGAAACTATCGTTCCATTGTTGAGCCAGATTACTCCAAAGACTGAGATCCCAAGTGATAAGCTTGAGGCTTTGGTTAAGAGTATGATTCCATACCCCCCTCCCCTTCTTACTCTCTCTCAGCCATTAGAGATTGGTATTTTAACCTTCAAATTTCTTTGTTTTTTTTAGGAATACAATTCGGTGGTGACGAAGTCGTCAAGGCTAAGGATGGTACTGGATCCGCCACCCTCTCCATGGCCTACGCCGGTTTCAAATTCGCCGAATCCCTCCTCAGAGCCGTCAAGGGAGAGACCGGAATCGTCGAACCCACCTACGTCTACCTCGATGGTGTTGCCGGTGGTAAGGAGGTCAAGGAGGCCGTTGGAGGTCTCGACTTCTTCGCCGTCCCAGTCGAGCTCGGAGTACGTTCTTTAAACCATATTTCCTGATACCCACATTTTGAAGATATAAACTCTAACGCTTTTATAAAAAAAAACAGCCAACTGGTGCCGTCAGGGCCACCAATCCTCTCCCACAAGCCAACGAGTACGAGAAGACACTTCTTGAGGAAGCTAAGAAGGGTTTGGCCGGAAACATCGTCAAGGGTACCGAATTCATCACACCTACCTCGAAGTGAGTTTACCTATTTCCCTTCCCATGAAGTTTGATTATGATGTCTAGACAAAAAGAAGAAGAAAAAGACCATAAAATGAAAATAGAATGGAGAAAAAAAAGGAACAAGGAAAAAAAAAAAAAAAAAAAGAACCAATCGGTAGCTGTTATAACGAAGCTGTTGGTTTAAAAAAGTTTAACGGTTCTCTTGCTAATCATGTTTTTCCCAAAGTTAGGTTATAGGTAAAATCGAGTTCTCTTAGGCAGTGATTGAAGCCCAAGTATTCTCACTATATTACCACCGCTATTATTTCTACTACAACAATCATCATCACCATTAGAAAATTGTAGTGCGGTTACTATTATCATGAATAATAATTAAAAAAAAAGAATACCATAGCGTTCGGATGGTCCTCAATCACTCTCTCTTTATAAGTAATCGCCTCGTAAGACGTATGCCCATGTAGTCGAAAGTATACCGTGTGTGTAAAAGGTCTATGATTAATAGACAAACAATCCACCATTACGTCTTCTCCTTTGTCTAAAAATAAATAAATAAAATAAAATAAAAAAACGCCATGACGCCCCTTTAGCTAAAACTACACATAAAATTATTTCATTCCAGAGCCGTTCATTTCACCCCACACCGCTCAGTTCCCGAAGAAGAAAGAGGCAAAATGAATAATCCTCTTGAGACTTTACCTCTATCGTAACTTATGCCTAACGGAGGATGTTTGTTCTCTTCTCTTCTCTTCTCTTCTCTTCTCTCTTCTCTTCTCTTTTCTCTCTCCCTCTCTCTTTTGTAACAGCTCTCTATATTTGATAAAACCTCATATCATCTCTAACATCATCCACCAGTCGCTAACTAGATGGAGTTTTGTTGACAGTAGTGATTTGAAAGACGGCGCCGGGAAGACCGGGGGTTTCGGCTGAGACTTGGGCGTTTACACCCATTGCTGAGAGGGCGCCGCGGATGACGCCACAGGGGAATTGGAGGAACTGTGGATTTAAATACAATATTAAAAATCTTTTGTTTTTCTGATTGTGTGTGTGTGTGTGCAGAATTTCTGAGGTAAAAAAAAAGAGAAACTTACGGGGGCGGCTTTTGTAGCAGCTGGAACACCGCTGGAAGAACTCATGCGGAGGAGTGGACGGAAGAATTGATCTGTTAAGACGTAGACGCCCTATATATATATATAAACGAGACATTCATGATGGTTAGATATTATATATATATCTATAAAATACGCCCCCATATACGCCATTATATTTCAAAGACGAAAGAGAGAAGAGGGGAGAAAGGGACAGAGAGAGAAACACACCCTATGGTTCGTCTTAAGATTATCAATCTGCTTCCTAAACACGAGATGCCAAATATCCTTGCAAAGGAACTTGATCACATCTAGATTATCCGTGAACCTAGATCGATCGCGCGAGAACCGTTCTACGAGACCGATGCCGACTTTATACCCTAGACTTTCAAGACGGTTGAAGAGGTCTTCGCGGGCTGTGTCTTCGTCTGTTGGTGGTTCTGCAGCTGTTGCTGTAGTCGCGGTGGTGGTAGTGGTAGTAGTAGTGGTAATAGTACTATTGGTATTGGTATTCGGTCCGGGTGTCGTGGGAGTAGAAGGAAGGTTTTCGATTTCGTTGAGCTTATTGGAGTATGAAGTCGGAATGGGATAATCTAGGGATGGCGCAGATTCGGCCATGCGCTGGACCAGAGGTACCAGTTCGATGAGGAGGAGGTCGATACATGATGCGGAGAAGAAGGTGGCGGTTGGGTCGGTGAAGTTGTATGGTGGGAGGGGGGCTTCGAAGGACATATTTGGTTGTTGCAATGAGTGGGCCCTTTTATGCTTTTTACGATACGGCCATGATGTTTTGTGGTGTTGGCGATAGCAAGCTTGTCTCAGCAGCTTGGGGGGAAGTAAGTAAAGTAAAGTACCTAAGCTAGCTCCCCTTGCAGACTTAAACTGCCCCGAAATTAGTCACGTGATGTGGCGGTAGGTTACCTAAGTAGGTATACTTCAGCAATTGGATAGATCTCCACAACAAGCGACTCGACACCTCATTCACTCACTCACCCACTCCACCAATTTTGCAATTGACAACTGCATTACCATGGACATCGTCCACACCCTCGCTAGGCGCCATCCGCGTCTCCTAGGTACGTCCCTTCTCCCCTCCCTACTTCCCATTCCACCATAGTCTTAAGCCCCAGTGCTCATAGTAACCAACACAGGGAACGCCCCCCTACGCACTTTAAAATAGTCATCCCGCAATCCCACACAGCCATTGTCTCCGCCATCCTCCTCTCCATCCTCTTCACCTGCATTTACGTTGGTGTGCTCTACCTCCACCCTCTAACCCGCCCATCACCGCGACAATCTCGAGATGCCCCTTCGGTGATTCGATTACGTATCCGTGCTGTGTATACATCATGTTTGATAACCACGGCAAGCACGTTCTATGCGTTAAGGGTACTTGGGGGGTTAGATATCCCGACGAGTTTGAAGTATATGGGTGTGTGGCCCGTGAATCCGTTGGATGCGGTAAAGGGTTTATTCTTGACTATGGTGTTATTCGCGGGTCCGTTGGTTGAGAAGTTGTGGTTGGATAGAGATCCTAGGGATAGTTTTGTCATGGATGTTAAGACTTCTTTGAGCAGTTGGATCGGATGGAGGAATTATATCGTGGTATGGTTATTACTTCTTTATACATCTACATTTTTGTACAGAAAATAAAAGAGGGGAGGGGGTACTGACTGAATCATATGAAATCTCAAGGGTCCAATAACCGAAGAAATCACCTTCCGCTCTCACATACTCGCCCTCCACCTCTCGGTCCCAAACCCTTCTTTAACAACTTTAATCTTCCTAACCCCACTCTACTTCGGCATCGCCCATCTCCACCACTTCTACGAATTCAGACTAACCCACCCGGACGTCTCCTTCCACTTCGGTCTGGTCAGAAGTCTCATCCAATTCACCTACACAACTCTCTTCGGATGGTTCGCCGCATGGGTATTCTTGAGGTACGGAAGCCTTTGGACCGCTATAGTCGTGCATAGCTTCTGTAACGTCATGGGTTTACCCAGGTTTTGGGGCGCCCTCGAGGAGGTTTGGAAGACTTGGGTGTATTATACGGTTTTGGTGGCTGGTGCCGGTGGCTTTTATTATGGACTTTGGAGGTGGACGGAGAGTCCGAATACGTTGATTGTGGTGGGCTGAACGGATCTTTGGTTTATGATCACCCAATACCAAACAAAACTCCGGTATAGATCGTGGATGGATGCTTTATATACTACTATATATGTATATAAACGTATACTGCTTCCATCTATTTATCATTTGTATATGAGGTAAGATAACGGTCATGTTGTCACTGCGAGTATACCCATCTCCAGTAACCAGAAACTTCTCCCAGCGATGTTTCTTGAATTGTTTAAATGTAGAAAATGTCAATAGAATAGCATGCTTTGATCTCTCTAATTATCTAAGCGGTCCTATACCGAGAAATGTACATCTATAAAGAAAGAACATGAAGGAAAAAGAAACGAAAACAAAGAAGAGATACCATGCACGAAGCAGTGCTCTTCTAAAATACTGGATCGAAACTTAGCTTGGCTTGTATACATGCTTCGAATCCAAGTACAATGAAATATAATATCACGCCTGTTCATGAGTCGTCATAGAAATAATACACGCTCCCGTGATTCACAAGACATGTCCCGCTACCCCCTCTGCAACGGGGGAAGGTAATAATAATAAAAAACGCCACCGAAGGAAAAACATTGATAAGGAAGTGAAGGAGAACGAGTTCGTGAAAGGGGTGGGGATTGGATGGGATGGGAAGAGATGTGAATAGGGAAGGAAACAAAGGAAGGAAATGGGAATCTATTTGTGCATTAACATATTTGCACCAGAGACACCCTGCCAGAACGCATATAAAACCCGCAAGACGCCCGCCACCCACTCGCTAAATGCTTATATTAGTATAAAAAACAAAACAAAACAAAAAAAAATTAAAAAATTTTTAAAACATTACGGCCAGAAGGGGTTGTGGAAGGAAAAGAAGGAAGAATAAGAGTAAGAGAGGAGGGGAGAAGGGCGCCGACTAGTTTTTGATAAAGCGGTGCTTTAGCACCCGCGGCCGCTGCCTACTCGATTTAGGCTTCGGCAGCGGCAGCGGCTTTGGCTTCTTCCTCGAAGCCGGCCCCTCCTCCGCGGCAAACTTTCGTTTCCGCAAACTCCTCACATACTCCTCATCCTCCTTCTTGACCTTCCACTCCCCCTTCATGGCCAACCCAACCTCCACCCACTCGGGGCCCAGCTCAAACGCCCCCCCCTCCCATAGCCACCCACCTCCCCCTAACCCCCTCCCTCCTCCTCCTCCTCCTCCTCCTCCTCCTTTCCTACTCTTGCTCTCTTCCTAGACCCCCCTGAAATCATCCATTGTTAGCATTAGATCCTTACCCAATCTAGAGAATTAAGAAGAAGGGAAAAAATCGAAAAAAAATCAAATATATCCATTGTTAGGCCAAGACAAAGTGAACGGACCAGTGGGGTTGTCTACAGGCTTCGGAAGTGCTAACGGGGTTGGGGTAGCAGAGGCTTGATGCCTCTTAGGCGCCGGCGGGCGGACGTCGTCGTCGTCACTTAAAGTGAGATCAATCGTAACGGGAGCGGGCCGCTTGGTCCCGCTCCCTCCGTTCGGTCGAGTCGAAGGATTCGCGAGTGGTTCGCTAGAGAGACTCTTCGGTGTTGAAAGGTGGGTAGGTCGAACAGTCGGGTTATGGTAGGCGTGGGAGGTCGAAGGCGTTAGCAACCCGTTCTGGTTGGACCTGAAGCTCGGAGGAGCAGAGTCTAGGATGGAGAAATCATTCTCCGAGTCGTCATCGTCATCGGAGTCTCGGTCACGTTTTATCCGTGGCTCCTGTTCTTTAGGTTCGGGGACGGTCCATCGTCCCATAGGGTCGATCTCGACGGCGTCAACATCTCTTGAAACCGAATTGAGGACTTCTTCCACATAATTATCGATGGCCAGGTCGGCGAATTCGATTTTCTTGCTACAAACAGGGCAAGTCCAGGTCTAAAATAGTGTTAGCTTTGGGAAGCGTGGTAAATCTATGCAAGGGGCGAGAAACCTACCGGTGCTTGTTCTTGGAGCTGAAGGAATGAGATAGCATCGTAACACTGGTTATGCTTGCAGAACTGCGATCTTATCGGTGTAACAATGCGTAAAGTCGAAGCCGGGCACTTCAAGGACATAATGGCCGCGGTGGCAATGAGATCGTCGTCCTCGTTATCTTTCTGGACTGTATGATTGGTTAGAACATGATTTCTGAAGTAACAACGAGGATATATGGAGAACATACGTCGATCTAGGACGGCCTGTTTCGAGATGTGGGGACGAGCTTTGATTTGACTGACGAGGTCTTCCGGTGACCTCTTTTTAACCAATTTGACGATGGCGATGTAACGCTACAAGGCAAGATAAGGCGTTAGCGAAAAGTAGAGGGAGAAAAGGGCTAATATTTCAAAGAAAATTTGACATTCTTACCTTCTGGGATAATGCGTAGGTGATCATGATATTATTCTTAGCCCCAGGGGCCCTGTCAAGGTGATCGGTGACATCAAGGGGTCTCGTGGTTCCCGGCTTGTTTTTCAAGCCTCTGAGATTGGCGGAGACTGGTTTGCCGTTGACACGGATCTCGATTTGTTGTGGAAAGGCGACGTGATGAGTCCCCGAAGTCGATCCTTCGGCACAATAGAGGATAGCTCGAAGTCCACGTCGAATTTCGTCCGCATTCTGCTGGGTCAGCTGGAGTGGTATGTTGACATTGCATCTAGAAGACGTGTTGGTGGGACCGAAGGCTGGATACAGAGATAGGTGAGCGATCGTGTAGCAACGAATATAGGTGGAGGGGGTTCCTCTTACACTGCAATCCATGGATAGAGGTTAGGTTTGTGACCGGTTCGTAGAAGGGACTTGGGTGGAATGCCAGATGAGGCGAAGAAGCTGTCGCGAGAGTAGGTTTCCTTTTAGCCATAGGTTCCAGATAATAAAGTTGGAGTTGAGAGAATGTTGGTGAAGTTGAACTCGTACCTGGTCTCATCGCCGGTGGGACGGGGGAGTGTAGAGGAGAATAAAGGCCAGAAGGACTGCTGTTGTAGCCATGTGATGGATAGGCGGGGGCCTTCGGAGGCAGCTGTGTTAGGGGAGAGGCAGCATTCGATGGTCCTGGAGACGCATGAGCATCGGGCGTGTCTGGGTTGTAGATCAACCGCTTAAGTTGCTGCAACCCTTCGTCGTTGCGTGCATCGACGACTTTTTCAATTTCTAAAAGATCCAGACGGGAGGGTTAGTCAAAGCTAGTATGTAAATTTTAGGCATCATAGGGGATAGAGGCCATCAACAAGGCTTGATAGGAACCATGTGACCTCATCTAGGAGGAATAACCACTGACAGAGCCAAGGGAGGAAGCTAGGAGACGATATAGTGGGGCTGTGGAGGGGTTCAATATTCAGGATTCACGTACGTTCAACAAGGCGCGCTTGCTGGGCTACCTTTAAACCAGAGACAGGTAAAGCCAGCTTTTTCAGGATTGTTTGAAGGTGGCGAACCAATAATTTGGACTGGACGTATTTGATGAGAGCGGACCGTTGGCCGGCCCAGCGGTTATCGTCACTAGACATTGTGAAGGAGTAAGATAGTTAAACGCGATGGGCGTTAGATGCGAGATGAACAGTCGAGCGGTTTGCGACGCTAAGAATGGTTCGCAGGGTGTGTTGATGAAGATGAAGAAAGGATGAGAGTGAAGGAGGATGGTGACAGTAGATGCTGGAAGGTATGTTGGTGGGATGGAGGACAGGTTGGTTGTTGGAAGTAGTTTGTGGAGAAGAAGGTGGAATTGCCGGAAAGCAAGTAAGAGTAAGTAGCGCTTGATGTCGAAATTCAGGAACCAGAAGAGGAAGGATAACCAAGAAGGATAACGAGGCAGTTGTCTTTAATCTTGTCTTTGCTACCTTGGAGCCAGTTTACAGCCAGGTCCCATGATTGTGATGATGTTTACTATGTCGGTGAGAGGGTATGGTGATTGGCGATGGTGGATGGAAGTCGAGCGATGATGTTGGTGATGTTGATGGAGGTGAGGTGAAGAGGAAGAGGAAGGTGAAGTGCAGGTGAAGTCTGAGTCTGATGTCGTTGCCAATGCGAACCGTTCAATCAATCAACCAACCAGCCAGTCAACTGCCAGGTCAACTGCAGGGAAACCGCAAATTATCCGCAACACATTTTTGTGACACGACAAACAAAAATACAACACGGCCATTCACTCGCAACGCGACCCAACGTTCTGAATGAAACAAACTCCATTGACAGTTCACGAAGTACCCTATGAAAAGGAACTAGCTCAGAGGCCATAGTAATAAATAACAGCAAGCCAAAGAGGAATAGTCCTCAGTGCGCTGTGGAGGAAACCGGAAAAATCGGGTACTACAGTGCACTGTCTGATTACCTTCACCACTGTCATTATATACTATATTATTAACCAAACCCTTCTTAGACAAGGCCTTTCAGCATACACATAAACCCCTTTAAGCGTCTAGACCCTTCCTTCCGTTCTCTATAAGGAGTGGGAAATGTTGGTTTTTGTTAGACGCGGGTTGGGTATTAAATCCGGTGCATGTTTGCGGTAGTAGAGCATATATTTATCATTCATTCCACCTGGCTTCTACTCCTAACAGATTTGACACGCCACTGACACATGTACATATAGACTCTTCCACCTTGCATTCATACATACACCGATACTACTCCGGCTCCAAGGACAAAGATTCAGTCAAGATAGGCAATGTCGCTACCCGAGTAGTTGTATGTCTAAAGCGATCGAAGAACGCATATCATTTCCTAATTCGAACCAGCCTGCTATGCGCATATGTATACTATGGACTAAACTAAGACATGACCACGTTGCTATATCATTGAAAGCGCGTGCTAAAGAAATCGATTCAGGAACATGGACCTGAAGGGCGAACTTACTCGTATGTTGCACATGGAGCTGCACAAGACTAAGGCGAACTATTAGAGGATATATACAAATACGGTATGGTCGGTATATATCTCTAAACTGTGATATCCAATTTAACTGAGATGCTGTCCGATGAGGTTTCAAGGCTAGGTCTGCAATGGATGTTACTACTGTCACGCTTAATAGGGAATTCGAAAATGTTCCAATATCGAATGCCCTAAACCTTCTTCGAATATAGTATACCGTTTATGAGCTTCAATCAGTTCGGTTGATATCACAGTGGTATATATATTGTCGAGACCGGGTTATGGCACAGCATTATTCTTTACAATTTAATGGGTGCACGTACCCCCACCTCAAAGCCAGTCACAAGTACGATATATATAAAGTTCACTTACAAGAAACCAACAATGCCAGAAGTTCGAACTAGCCGAGTTACCTTTCCATTACACTAGCTTACTTTAGAATATACACGCCATACTCCTCTCCCTCCCCTATCCCCTTTTGACGCCCGAGAACGAGACCAGACGATATCCTACGATTTATTTAAAATAAACCAGCCTCGATCGAATACCTTCATCGCACTCCGAACCAAAAAACAAAATTAAAATAACTAAACTCATAAGAAAAACAGGTAGGGCATTCCATCCGACAACCTTCTTAATTACAATCACACTGACACACCCACTTTCAAGGACTATACATACATGTATATATAACACCAAAAGGCCGCCGTGATGAAGCCCGAGACACCTCCGATCACGCTAGACCCGCACGCTCGCCCGAAAGCCAAAAGAATATAAAAGGCTGACGATCAAAGCGTTGAACAACATCCACATATCGATCCAAAAGCTTATTCCCAAAGACACCCATCACCATCAACATCCACCCATCTCCAACCTCCAACCTCCAACCTCCAACCTCCAATCTCCAACCTCCAACCCTGGAAGCCCCAGACACCCCACTCGCCAAAACACAAGGGCCACAAACCTCTTCCCGAACATGTGTTGAAAATGTTGTATCTTCCCCACCTCCCCAAAAAGTTCAAGAACAAAAACCACCAACCACAAAAAAAAAAAAAAAAGAAATCTCTAACATCCGAACGAGGAACTCCTCGCTGGATGCGCACCACTGCGTCCGCCGGGAGTCGAACCCGGGTCTATTGCTTGGAAGGCAATAATGATAACCGTTACACCACAGACGCTTATTGGATGAAATCCGCCATTGGACTTCGATTCCATGAGCTTTCCCATAATTTCATTCATCGAGAGGGTGATCAGGTGATACAGGAAGGAAGAGTGGGTGTTCTTTTGGTGGGGGGAGGATTTTATCATGTTTGGGGGGGAAGGTACCTTATGGTTGTGGTGGTGGGATGCAGAAACACATGATTTTCGATATTTGGGATATGGTTTCCCGCTTATTGGTTCGATACAATGGAGGCCACGCGATACCAGGAGGCAGATAGGCGGGGAGGGAGCGGGCTGACTCGTGGGACATGTGTGAAGGCTTTTGTGAACTGCGCACGCTTATTGATTCGATTCGATTCGATTCGCATATCGTAGGCTTATGCACCACACCTGGCGCAGCTGGCAACCGCAAGCCCGTGAAATACACGCCTGTAAACTGCGTATTTCATCAGCTTGTAGATTACCTATACGACGTGACCCCACTATACATCCACGAAAATCAACATATACGGATTGATTTAACTGTTCCGGAAAAGAAGGGAGGGAAAAAATTGGGGGTTTTTTGAATTTATTTTCTTCGAGTGAATAAGCACTGCACATGATCGCATTTGATACTACAAGCCAAAAGAATTGTGGAAATCGCAAAACGAAAAGTATACAAAAATAGAACATCCCCAAATTTAACCCATCGGCTACCGACAGAGCTAAATCCAAAAGAAAAACGGACTCAAAAAAAAATCCAAAAAAGATGAAATGGCGGATTTATGCGTCCGCCGGGAGTCGAACCCGGGTCTATTGCTTGGACTAGAAGATAGAATGTTAGGATTGATGTTTTTGATGTGGTGGTTTTGTATGTCGGAATTGACAACTTACAGGCAATAATGATAACCGTTACACCACAGACGCTTGTGATGGAAATCCGATTCCATTTGTCATTCCTCAAGCACCAAAGCTCGGGTAGGTCACGTGGACGGAACTCTTGGAAGCCCAACTTCAGATATCCGGGTCAACACAGCTGCACAGCTGCAGGGTGTCGTCCGAATCGACAGCCGATGATGTGAGCTTAGTGGGAGAGAGGGAATATCAAAGAGTAAGTTCTTCTTTTTCAGGGACTAAAGGATAATAAATATAACCGACGTTCTAAAGACTTTAGATCCCGTTAGTTAGTGTAGTTTCTTGTACGCAAAATCCCGAATTCCGGCTAACGGACTAGGGGTCAGGCCTGGGTTGGGGATGCTGTGGCATGCGGTGGCGTTTCCATTGCATATTCAGCTCCGAAAAGTCTGCAATGTATGCAATGTAATAGGTCATAGCCGGTTGGTCCTTAGGTAATAAGTGCTTAAGTAGTAATAATCCGGGGATTCGATTCTTGTATGTACTCGAAGAGTTCATCGACTGCGAAAGGATTGTTGATCGATCGCCTTCCAAACAGTTTGGTCCTCCGAGATCGAGCTCTCATTTCTATCACGTATACGAACTTAAGGTATGCGAGGCAGTATAGTAGATACTCACAAACATACATTCACGAATCGAATGTTACACCGGAATGCAATTGGAAATTATCGCAGACTCTCTGGGTCTGCGGTCTGCAGCCTGGAGGGGTTGGATCAACCACCACACCACCTACCCAAGTGTACCAAGGTCTTTAATTAGGCGAAAAGAGATCGAGGTCCCGTGGTTCTAGCGCTGTTTCTTCCTCTCTTTCTCTTTCTCTTCCTCTCTTTCTTTCCTTTTTTTTCCCTTCTCTTGTCAGGTTATTGTGGGGAGACTGGGCCATGAACCATGAGATATCTATGGCTGGGGTGCCGGATGGGTTGGCCGAATTATGCACGCCATCGTGGGCGCCAATGTATGGAGTAGCGGCGAAAGCTGTACAAGTTTCCCTGGGAATGGAATAGTTCCTTTCTTTGTTCCTCATGACCCTTGAGGATTTCGAATAAGCTATGTGTATGGCACACGCTATGGCACGGGAGAGAAAGCTAAGAGGCATCTTTTGACCCCTCTTCCGATGAATTCAAGAAGAAGAAGAGGTAGTATAATGTTTGGCGATAGTATATTAATTCTCTCCTCTTGTCCGGGTGTTAGTTATTCGGGTTATCGCAAGCATTTAACCTACATATACAATATTAATTTATACATCAGCTTTTACCTCCTAAGTCTTTTTTTTTTTTAATAAATTTATTATTTTTAAAAAAAAAGAGAGAATATAATAAAACTGCGCGGTCCTATCGGAGCGTATCTAACAAGAGCGTGTTAAACGGTTTTCTATTCTCCTGCGAGTCTCAGTCATCTCGTTCGTTTGAGGAAGCACTTGCACGTTTTCATTGCACAATAGCCGACTGCATAGCCCATCGGTCTCGATCAGACGTACTACTAACACAGGACTATCCAGATATCGGTTACCCTGATAATAACCTCGACCGTGTTTTGCGTTCTCAAACGGCGGACAAGATCAAATCTTGGTAGATCTCGGGATCGGATTTCTAAATTGCCAAAGGTTATAACTCCAAGTTGGGATCAAATCCTACGGGGACCCGAAAGAAGGTCATTCATCGCAACGGTTGAGACATAAGGCAAGGCGAGACAATTCGACAAGGCAAACGGGCGTCACACGGAAAGCTAGTATCTTAAAGTATGTAAATCCTCAATCTTTCTTTTTTTTTTAATATATTTTTCATCTCTTATTTCTTATTCTGCAAACTGCAATTCGGTTTATTGTCGTAACTACTACTTGATTGATTAATTTGGAGCCGGTGGATCGATAAGAATTGAGAAGCCGTATCCGTATTGCCCCCCCTTGCTGCTTCCCTTCCCTTCCCTTTACTAGGTACATATCCAAATACCCAGATACGTCGACCATACAGATCCCTACATGTATGTGCATTAGTACGGAAGTAGGTACATGCAGACACATACAGACAGACAAGCAGACAGACGGACAGACATCAATCGAGGAGCATTGAAGGTCTAAAAAGTATAAAGGATTTGGGTATTATCGCGAACCCGGCGTGGTTATTTCTCCTTTCGTCGCTACCACCCGACGCCGTCTATCTGGCTTTCAATGAGCATCCCCACCTCCGACCCAATTTGAGCTTAGCATTTATCTTGTATTCTTCCCATCTTAGCATTGCATTTCAATTGGAGTACTCGGAGTACTTGGAGTATAGATTGGATTGGATTGGATTGGATTGCGGGTCGTTGATTAGTATCCCGTCCTATCATATCATATCACATCTCAAGCTCACTACCTCATCTCCATCTTCTTCTTCTTCTTCTTCTTCTTCTTCTCTCCCCTCCTCCTCCTCCTTCTTCTTCTACACCTACTGTTATACTCTCTCTATCTCTCCCCTCCTTTTTTGCCTCATCGCTTCAGTTTACACATAAACTATATATCCTACAAATACACTGTACAAGTTACACTTTACCTTTACATACTCAGCCGGTTTGTCGGTTTCCCTTCCTTGCATTCCTCGCCAGATTGGAATAGGAAGTTTCATCCTTGACTTACCTGGTGGCTACCTTGCAATCAATCATACATACCCGTCCATCTCAGCGGTATTTTTGTTCCTTTGTATACTATACTCTCGATCGACTCTCTTTTCCCTCTCTCTCTCTTTCTCTTTTTCACACTCGCACTCGCACTCGCATTCACTCTCACTCTCTTCCGGGCCATTGTCTGCATGCATGTATGCATGCGAACCTTTTTCTTATTTCCCCCAAGAGTAATCGATACAAATCTATTATATCGGTCGTCCCGGTCATATATTCTATACCTAACTACTTACTACTTATACTTGCTTGGATCTACATATATTCTTTATATCCTCTTGTTCTTCTTCTTAATTAATTCTTCATCTTCTTACGATCTACTCTCCAGACATCATCATCATTATCATCATCATCTTCAATACCCTGTCTTCCCCAGTCACCCGTTCCGGCTTGTCAGGGTAACTAGCGTGTCCAGGGCACACCAATTATAGCGCTGTGCAAGTTCAGTTCAGTCAGTCATCCACCACCACCACCACCACCACCATCATATCCACCACCACAGACACACAGACACACCCACCACCACCACCAGCATTTACAAGCACCACCACCACTCACATTGCCATTTTAATCCCTGTCAGCTCTGGATCTTGTTCCTGTCTGTCCTGTCAGGTCCTCTTTTTTTCTTCTCTTTCGTCTGTCGTCTTCCCGAAGAACGAACGAACTTCCCGCAGAATTAGTCAAAGCACGCACCTACACTACACCACACTACACTACGCACATACGTAGTACATCACTCTTACAGAACGAACTAGAATGGTGGGCTGCTCATCCCGCCCGCTGCCATTCCTCCTCTTTTTGACTTACTCTTCTTACTCATCTTCATTTTTCTTTTTAATCACTTAAGTATATACATAAGTACTTACTACTTAAGTAGCTTAAGTTCTTATTATTTAGCGGAGGCTGGTTGTGCATTCATTCATTCATCAATCACCCATCCCATCCTGACCTGGTCACCTCCCACGGCAGCCCTCAAAAGCTCCGATTAGTTAGCCAAATCAAAGCAAGGATCACTCTCCACCACCTCCTTTGATTCTATCTCCTCTTCCTTTTACTCTTTTACTCCTCTTCTTCTTCTTCTTCTTCTTTTCTTCTCTTCTTTACTCATCTTCATCTTCATCTTCATATTGGATCCTCGTTACTATCTTTATCCTGATATTCCCTCAGTCCAGTCATCATCTTCTGTCTGTCTGTCTGTCTGCAACGTTGTTGTCCACGCATAACCCGCCACGCACTGCCAACCAACCAACCAAACCGTTTACTCTTCTTTCGTGTGTGTGGCCAGTCAAACAACCAAAAACTCTTCTCCTCTTCTTCCTCTTCTTTCTCTTCTTCTTCCTTTTCCCGCCCACAAACAACCTGCCATAAACATTTAAACATTAAACATTATTAAACCCTCCCCCATTCCAACCCATCCACATCCATCCATCCACATCATCTCCCTCCCACTTCTCTTCTCCTTCTTCCTCCTCTCCCTCTTCATCTCTTCCACCCACCACCCACAACAACCACAACAACAACAAAAACAGCAACCAAGAGCTCCTGCATTCTACACCATCTCAAACCTTTTTTGGCCACCGATCCATTTCCGTTCCCGACAAACGGGTTCGTCGAAAATTTTTTTATAACACTCTCACCAACCTCATCATTCCCGATACATCATCGTCACCACTATCATCACAATGGCCAAATCCGCACGAGCCAGCACAAAGAAGGCCTCGAGGTCTAGAATACGTAATAATGTCTACGCTCCCGTAGAACAAGCCCGCTTGGAGAGGTTATCCGCCAGACTCATGGCTATTGCCCAGCCGTCGACCTCGAGAACAACAACCGGAGGCGACCACATGGATGAGGATGGTAAATCTCCCTTGCCTATTCATTCTTCTTCTCCTTCTTCTTCTTCCTATCATCGATCCTTCGGGCGAAATAATTCTTCCGATCGCTATCGCTGCCGAAAATCGGCCGAGGCGAAAAGGCAATGGAAGCTCCTTACGCGAGTCCTTCCCGCTGCTTCTGCCGTCGATGCCATCCATTCTGCCGTACACAACAGGTCGGCTAACAGTGTTGCTGCCGATATAGACCTAGCCGACGCTACAACCCGTCAAGAACAACATACCGAAGACCAGGCTTTCAAGGCTGCTCAGCAAGGTAACTTGTTCTTTGATTTACCGCTGCCTCTCTCGTTGGTTGATGAAGACTCCAGCGGGGATGAGTCAGAAGACGATGCGTTTTACCGAGCCATCGGCCTGTTTGGTGACATTCAGGGCTTTGGTATGGATAACACACTGCGTGTCTGCCTGACGTGAGAAGCTTTGCCCGTCATGCTACAATCCTTCACGATTTAATGACGATTTGCTTTTTCTACGTTTTCCCCCATTTTTCTTTGCATTGCTCGGGCGGACACGACGGGGAGTTTCTTTTTCGGACTCTTCGTTCATCTGGGTCTTCATCTTAGCACTGGCGTTTTTGGATCTTTGAACAAAATGGGTGGCGTTTATCTATTTTTTCCCGGTCACATTGCGGTTTATGGCGTTGCTCGATATCCCGAAGTCCACCTATCCACACCTATCCACACACACACACACACACGCACACATACATCCACACATATACAACATCGGACACTCCTATCAGAAGCGTTTCATATCGAACCTTCCATCATTATACCCTTGTCTCCTTTCTCTTGTCATACCGGTCCACGCATAGCCGGCCTTCTTTTTTTTTGTAGTTTTCCTGTGCTCTTCTTTGTCTTTCGGTGTTCAACATTTTACATCCTACTTTTCTTCCTCTTTTTTTTATATATTTTTTCCTAGTAGCCTTCTTCATTTTCATCATCATCATCATCATTGTTACTGCCCTTGCACACAAAAACTGTGCTTCTTTCCATCACCATCCTAGGACGGGGTTTGAAGGAGTAATGGTCTGTGGCGCATTGGAGTGGACTGATCTTGGGAGGTTCAATTTTCTTATCGATCTTGCAGTTGGAGCTACCTGAACGTACCCATTTGCTCTATCCTAAACAAGAACTTGGCTACCTCACCTGTTTTCTACACCCTCCAAAAACACTCGCCCGAAGACAAAAAGCCGTTACTAACTCCTTATTTCTTCGCCCTTTTCTTATATTTCTTTGTTTTTTAAAGATCCCGCTACTTCTGCCACTATGGACGTCGATGAATCATCCACTTCCCGCGCATCCACGAAGCCGAAATCCTCCGCGAGCAAAGTATCGAAAAGAACCCGAAAATCGAGCTCCAAATCGATGGTGTTCGCCACTCGCAAACATAGTACGAAAAAGGCCGGCAAGGGCGGCTCCAAAGGACGGAAGTAGTATTTAGAAGAAGAAGAAAAAGATATATAATCTTCGACAGATACACCGGGCTAAAGAGAGCACGAGCAGAATCCGAGCTTCTTTAACTCCATTGTTATTGTTATTACTATTATTATTATTATTACTTTCGCGATGTACACCACCACCTTGTCTACAGCTTCTTTTCCCTCTTTCTCTTCTACCTCATGTTTTACTAGTAAAGCGATACCACTTTTGACACCTCAAGAGCGAATTACTTTTTTTATCGAACAATGTTTCTTACAGTTGATGCAAACAAAAAAGAAGAAGAAGAAGAAGCAGGAAGGAATCAGCATTTCTGGTTACGTTTTCTCCATGTCTGTCTGTCTGTCTGTCTCTTTTTTGTTTCTTTTATCCTTAATCGGTCGTCGATGTACTTTATCTGATAATGTGCCATTTGCAAAAATTGGCCGTTTGTATCATGTTCAACTAGACATGGAAGGGGGTGTCGGGATCACCAAAGGCGTTTTTCTTTTCTTTGTTTCGTTCTTAATTTACTACTTTTGCAATTTGACTTTTGCTTATCTGATTGATCATGAAAAATTTTTCTTTTCTTTATACCTACCTATCGTCTAATCGCATATGTGTACCACTGTTATCATCAATCCCGCAATCAATATCAATCAAGATCAATCATGCATCATGCAATGATCAATCAATCAATCAATCAATCAATCAATCGATTTAATCAAATTAAATCAAATCAAATATCAATCATAGAACTCATTTTGATTCAAGGAACATTATTATCATGTAGATGCATAATCACACTTTATTATCAAACCCATTCTTGACAGTTGCACGACTCTTTTGAGTATCTATCTTATGTTACTACATCTGAACTATGCTATACCAGGAAGTATCTAAGAGGTATCCATTTGCATAATTCAAGCATCAAAAAAAATCCCTCGGCATCTATGCGGCTATATATCATATACATCAAATTAACATGGAAC